ATTATTTATATTATTAAAAATAACATATTTTAAATTATTTACTAATTATATATATTTTTAAAAATTTTATGCTTACGGTAATCCAAATATAATAATCGAGGGGATAAAAGAATAATAAACACACAAAAACAAACAAACAAATAAATAAATAAAACAACGGCAAACACGAACACAATTATCGTGGAGCATTTGGGACCTTTGATTCATTGCTCGCATATTTGTTCTACTTAGTTTGAGATTTGCAATGCATCCTTTTTTGCAGGCATAATAATAATAATACTAATCATATGTTTGATGTTACAGTCTTTCTGAACGTATATATTTGTAACGAAATTCCGTTACTAAAGATCACGTAGCTAACGTCATTTCATCATTAATTCCGTCTCTAATATCATTAGTAACGGAAAAGTGAATTTAAAGACGAAAAAATCTCATTACAAAAATGATATTTTATTGTAGTGGTATATCAAGCTCTAATCTCTATACGATTGGCAACTATTATTGTTAATTATACTCTTATACAAAAGGGTGCATTCTTTTGTAAGATATGTTAATTCAAAATATATTATTCAATACAATTCAATTTTAAAAATATATTACATTGAATTTATATTATTTTATGAAAAAATTATAGCAAAAACCAAAACAAGCCGAAAAAGAAGATTGCATTAGAGTAAGAAGATAAAAATGAATTCAGTTATTTAGAATGAATAGTGTCAGTGTGTGTGGAATGGAATGGGACAAAGGAAAGAAGTCCAATAATTGGCTTGAACTGAATCAATCAAAATTACTTTGAATCCATCAGATCATATCATATCACACTAACTTCATTACAACTCATTCATTTGCTTGCATTTAAGATTTCTGACCTTCCACCACTTTCCTTTTTCTTTTTTTCATTATTATATATATATATATATTTTATTTTTTCTTTCTATACATTATTACTCTCTCTCTCTCTCTCATATATATATATATATATATATAATTAATATTCATCCGGATGTAATAATTCCGTGAATTATATTATATAAATATATATAATGTAACATCATCATATCAAAACAATGAATATACGTACCTTATCGGCATGTCATGATATGAATTGTCATGTTTTTAACAACACATACCTTAGAATTGTTTACATTAATTACATATTCATATGTATAAATAAAATAAAATAAAATAAGATACTCCCTCCGTCCACATTGGATGTCTGGGTTACTGTAGAGACGGAAATTTATGATAAGTATAATTAGTAGATAATTAAGAATGTATTAGTGAAAATAATTAATCTATAATATAAATAATTATAAATTAAGATTAAGATAACTAATTACATTAATTAAAATTTAAAAAATTAAAATCAGATTAAAGTGTAATCATTTTCAAAAAAAAATGAAAGTGACATGAGATGTGGGACGGACAAAAACGAAAATATGGACATAGTATGTGGGGATGGAAGGAGTAAAGACTAGTCGGGAGGGGATCCTCAGCATCATCCCTCCCTACCCCACTCTCAGCATCATCACACGCACATGTATAGATACATGAGTGTATATCTATACATGATTTTATAGATATACACTCATGTATCTATACATGTAGATTTTATAGATATACACTCATGTATCTATACATGTAGATTTTATAGATATACACTCATGTATCTATACATGTATGTGTGGCAGAGTGGGGCAAAGAGATGATGATGCTGAGAATCCCCTCCTAGACCGGTCTATATTAATTACTTTCACACATATCATATCATGATTGCCGTCTCCTAAACCGGTCTATATTAATTACTTTCACACATATCATATCATGATTGCCGTATTATTCTCTTTACTTAGGTGTATTCCATCTCCGAAAAAAAAAAAAAAAAAAAAAAACAAACAAACAAACACTAATCTATTTTATAATAAAATAATGAAAATAATGATTACAATCAATTATTATTATAAATAAATTATAAGTTCTTGTAATCAAAATTTTAAATATTAATATTATGGTCAAGTTGCCACTGGATAAACCAGCATTCACCCTATTAGGGCAGCAAGTGCTTCTAATTAATTAACATAATATATATAAATATTGTCTCTTTCTTATTGGCGGGACCCACCAGCCTATTCTTTTAATTAATTAAGCCAAAAGTAAAATTAGTCGAATGTCTTTTCAATTATTTTGTAAATAAATGGATGTTGCATAATCAGAATAATCCACAGGTTTTATGCATATCAGCATAAAGACATTTCCTAGTCGTTGTACCATGAACTTACATCAAATCGGACACATAATATATATACATATTTCGAGAAATTTCCATAAGGCAACTTTAATCAAGATTAAGGTTTATTTTAAGGCACTTAATTTTATTAATTAATCTCAATCAATCAATCATATGATATCTCTATTTTTACATGGAAATTATAACGTACACTAGTGGTGAGTGTGTATAGATCGATTGTTGTACATTGTTCGGTCAAAACAATTCCACTTTTGAGTAAATTACAATGGATTTGTTTGTTTGTTTTGTAATATAGTTCGAAAGAAAAATTTTTAACTCAAGAGATGAAAATTGTGTAGAAATATAAAAATAATAAATATATATGATATATTAATTTATTTTTTTTTTTGGTTAAAAGAATGCACCCAATACATCCCAAGAAAACTCTAACCAACTAAAATGTAGTCATAGCCCTTCAATGGCGGAATCAATAAACTTATAATTTGAGAAGCAAGTTAACATAATTATATATTTAAAAAAAAAAAATTACACTTAAAAAATAGGGGCTGGGCTGCAACCATACCTTGCCCCAATGTCCTGACCAAACATAATTTGTGCTCTATCTTTACTATGGATGATTTACAAATTCTCTTTTTATTTCTACAATATAAAATGCCTCTTAAAAATCTTCAAATTTTGCAATCAATATAAAATGCCTCTTAAAAATCTTTAAATTTTGCAATCAAATATCTATCAAATAGCATACCTCCGATTTATTTTTCAAATTTCACTAGAGCTATTGAATTCTTCATCAACTACGAATAAGTAACAAATTCCAATGCCATGAAACTCCCTTGATTTATAAGGGTGAAATGACTCTCTATTTAATATCAATTGGTTTCAGTAGGAAGTTCGAATTTTTTCTTAACACGGTATCAGAGGTATGACGCGTACCGAGTATTGATCATGTTTGAATTTTCAAGATTATCATCTCGAGAAAGAAATGTTGAATGTCCTATATAAGAAAAAAAATATAAAAATTTCCATGCCTTAAAAAAAATAAAAGACTTCTCCACTTAATACCAATTGATTTTAGATGTCCAAATCTTTTTTTTATCAACAACATGGATTCCTACTAAAAACATTTCCCCAAAACATAGAGTAATCACTTTCAACAATGAAATACTATATATATATTTTTTTAATGAATATGTTCTCTCAAGATCAATTTAAAAATCTTCACACTTTTCTACTGAGGGTTTTGCTTATGGCATTTTATGGAAGATTTATGTTATTTTTTCAAAAAATTAAATATAAAAAATATAAAATCAAATAATTATATATTTTTTATATTATATTAAAAATATCATATATATTCACAAAAGAATAAGAATGCAACCTAGTGGCAAAGCCCTCACCATTCTGACCAAAGGTCAGAGGTTTGATTTTTTTTAATATTATGCTACATTTGTATTATTTTATTAACCATTTAAAGAGGATGAAAAGATCCAAAGTAGATATATTTTATTTTATATTATGCTACATTTATATGTGGGAAGTTTAATAGTATGTGGGGGTCATACAATCCATTCCTGCATATATATAGTTTGATGTTATTTATGAAACACAAACAATAAATGGTAATAAATAGCAACAGCTATATATCATTATAAATATTACTGTATATTATATATATATATATATTTGAAACTCTCTTTGAAACAATATGTCATAATCTCTATATATATAAAAGGTGTTTGCAATAAACTTCATTCAACTATTATTATTATTATTATTATTATTATTTAGTGAGAAGGGAAGAAAGTAACAAAAAGGTGATGATATTGAGAGTGAAAACATAAATAAAACTGAAAAGGACACTGTTTGGCAAAGTGGGACATTTTTGTCATTTTGGTAGATTCTTCACATCATCAGTTCACCCCACCTGCCAATGCCATATGATATATGGCTAAGCTTCCTCACATTACTCACAATCACAAACACACATATTATTGAAAGTTTCTCTAAAGTTTTGCTGCTCCTTTTGGTACTACAGCCCTACTTTTCTTTTTTAAAAGAAAAAGGAAAATGCTGCTTTATTTTCCTCATGTTTCCAATAAATTATTAGATAGGGTTAGATTGGTTGGAAGAATATATTTCTTTGGACTGAGTAATTGAGATTTGGGAAATTGTATTTTTCTTTTTTTTTTTATGAATTAAAATAAATCTTGATGTAATAATACTTTCAATAAAAAAGATATTTCTAATATAACCAATATTTAATTTAATAATCATAACAAAGTAAAGATAGATAATACAAACAAACCCTAAAATCATTCCAAGAGGAGATCAATCTCACAATATCACGAATGTAATTTATCAAACAAATATATATGTATATACAAGAGAGAGAAAATCTAGAGCGAGAGAGAGAGAGAGAGAGAGAGAGAGAGAGGGACTGAACAATGCAGTGGGGAAACTTTAATCACTGTACAGTTAGATTCATTGATGGCGAAGAGGGAATTGATTTCACAGACGACAGACGCGACATATAAACAACAACGAGGAGAAGAGCTAGCTAGCTAGCTAGGATGTTCGATTTCAGAAATTTAATTTAATAAGGGATCTGTTCTCATCTGATCTGATCTCATCTGATCTGCCCTTCAATCTAAAATGAAAAGGGCATTCCCTAAATTTCAATTTACTTACACATTCAAATTTCCAAAAAAGACAAAAAAAAAAAAAAAAAAAAAGGAGAGATGAAACATCAACGTAACGGCTACTGTAATGCCGGCGGGCCTAGGAATTGAAGAGAATAAGAGACATATACATATATATATATATATAAATGATCAGTAATTGATTAATTAATATCATAACACCGTTTCAAAACAGCTGGGAATTCCGTCGTCGTCGCCGCCGTCCCACGGCGGCGGAGGATCGAGCCACCCCTCCAGCGCCGCCACATCGTACACAAAGTCGTTCCTGAGGTCGAAGAAAGAACCCAAGCTTGGGAGCTGTACAATTTCGCCCAATTCTTCCGATGTCTCCGACAGCAGCGACGACGACGACGTGCTCGACGGCGGCGACAGAATGTCGAACTTATCCATCGCCGCCGCCTTCGCGGCGGCGGCCTGGACGTCGCGGGGGCTGAGCGAGACGGGGCGGGGGAGCGCGGGAGCGAGCTCGGGGAAATTGAGGATAGCGGACGCACCTTTAATGCTGAGTGCGGCGACGTCGTGCGCACGCGCCGCCATTTCTGGGTTTGGGAAGGTCCCTAACCATATTCGCGACTTCTTTCGGGGCTCCCGGATCTCGGACACCCATTTCCCCCAATTCCGCATCCGTACGCCGCGGTACACCGGGTGTTTCGTGCTCGGATTGCCGGCGGCGGCGGCGGCGTCACGAATTCTCTTGATTTTCTTGCCGGTTTCCGGCTGCTCTTTCGGCGGCGGGATTGAGAATACTGAGGAGGCTATGTCTGAATGATTGTGGTTTTCGGAGGTCATGATTATATATATTGGAGAAAGTGAGAATTCAATTTAGAGATTCTTCTCTATAATTGGAAAGCTATGAATAGAAAGTGCGTGCGCATGTGGATAATTGTTCTAATTCTTGAAATTTGAATGAATATGAGTAGTAGTGGAAGAGATGGGTTGCTGAAGTTGTAGAAAATCCTGCACAGACAATGCAAGGAATATATAGTTGTTATATATAGTATTATAATTATAATTATAATATATGCAAAAGAAATAAAGGGCACGGCCATTTTCACTTGAGGCTGGCTGCCCTCTTTGATCGGCCAAAGACTCTCTGTCAATTTATTTATTTATTAATTATATAGTAATAATAAAAAGTACAAAATCTTATTTGCACAAGAATAGAATAGAGTGTAGGTAGGGATAGGGGAGGGCATAGGGCATGCAATAGGGCCCATGGAGATGTAAGAAATATAATGGGTCATTCTGCATGTAGTAAAAAATGCATGGGCCCCTTCTATACACAATGCACCACGCAACCCACCCTTGCCTAATACTAATAATAATATATATATATATTTTGTTTGTGTATATTTCCCAACCCTTAAGATTTGACCTTGTAATTCCCCCTGCCCTCTTCTCACTCTACCCTGATAGAAGAGAGAGAGAGAGAGAGAGAGATTTACTATCCGTGGATGTCCAGTTAAATGTATTTCAGGGAGAATAAATGTGTGTTTTTTATGGGGGTTTGGATTTTGAGTTGGGATTTGAATAGTAAAAATTTTGAATTTAAATAGTTGTACGATGTGATATAAACAAGTGTTGATGTGATATTTTGAATGTAAAATTGATTTTTAGTATAATATAAAAAATAAAAAATAGATATTTGATTTTAGAAAAAAAAAATGGAATGAATAGTTGAAATCTAATCCAATCCCTCAAACAAACGCACTGATTACGGGTTCGACTACATTAATTAATTAATTCTAACCCTAGCTCCACCTTATTTATTGATTTTTTTAAATTCACTCATCATTCAAACTTTCTTTTACTTTCATTAAGGGTTTTTGCATTATTAAATGATTTAAAATGATCATTTTACCCAAAAATCAAAATTTATAGGATAAATATAATTTATTTATCTACAAACAGAAGTTAACTAACACGTTATATTTTGTGCAAAGAAATAAATGTCACCAAACGAAACTTGCACATGAACGGCGACAAATGAGGTATTGTGAAACTCGAACTCAATACATAAGGTTTTGATACGATATTAAATGATGAAAATCATATCATAACAACAATAACCAAGAAAAATAGGAAAGACGGATAATATTTTGTCATGAAGCAAGTAATGATTTTGGATTTTATTAAAAAATTAAAATTTAAATTTTTAGGTAAGACAGTCCTCTATATATATATATATAAGCAGGACAAATTATTCAACAAATTAAGACTCGTTTTTTTGCAGGATATTAGGTTAGGTCGGTGATTTATTCAATACGCACTTTAGGATAACGGCGGCAGAATTTTACGTAATTAAAAAAGAGAGAGAGAGAGAGAGAGAGAGAGAGAGAGAGATTTGGCATATCAATTATTGTAATATTTTTTGTTATGTGTAGGGTGTAGATATATGGTGGCCACTAGATGACTTTTCTCTCTCTCTCTCTCTCTATATATATACATATATATCTATATGTGTCATATGGGCACAAATAACAGATCAGAGGTGATAGCAACGTAAGCATACACACACAGAGAGATATTAAGGTTGTGATTAATTTGGTGCATATGTATGTATGTAGATGTTGAAAAATTCTTACATATATATATGTGGAGTAGAATTGCTGCCTGAGTACGTTGGTCCCAATTCATCTACGATTTCATCACTACGTCCAATTTGTAGTTAATTTGCTTCATATATATAATTGGAAAATTTTATATAAAATCTAATAAAGTCGAAGAGACAGGATTATTTCTTACATGCACAGTCTTTAGTTTGAATTCTTCACTTCAGACAACATGTTTTTGTCTTCCTAGCTAACAATCTTTGGTACCAACAAAAATCCAAATATATATATATATATATATGTGTGTGTATGTAACTATATGTCGCTCTTTCATGCTCTACTTAATTGGTCCAATTAATTATATCATCAATTTTTGTTAGTACATTATGAGAGTTTATATTAAAGCTTCGATTGGAAAACAACCTTAGATTTATGTTTCTGACAAAACTTTATTTTTGGATGCAATGTAATTGAAACCCTCAATACGGTAAATATATAGTTCCAAATTTTAATTAGGAAACTGTTTGGTAGACCCTAAATTAATGGTTTAAAATTTTACTAGACCAAATTTTATCATATGAAATATTGCATACGACATTAATTATTTCAAGAAAAAAAAAGAAAGAAATCAAAAGAACAAACCCTAGAGTACTATGATTGATAATTTTTAATGACCACTTCTATTTGGACCACCCACGAGGTAGTTTTCGAGACCACTGTTGAATAGTCTCGACTTCAAAGAGATTATATATTTATTGGAAGCGTTTGTAATATAATTAATGAATAATTGAATGCTTTGTTGGAGTGAAAGTCCCACCGAGTTTCCATCACCATTGATGAACGATTTGCCATTTGCTCTCTCTATATATACATATACGAATATATATATATATAATCTATACGATTTTTAATTTGCTTGTAGCTAGAGTCGGGGATTGCTACAAATGAATTGAGCTTTAATTATATTTACTCAAATAATTTAAAATCACACAATCTATATTGGGATTACTACTTACTTAATCATCTATGTCTAAAAACAACAACTATGGACCTAATTGGGTTTACTATCTATGTGTATATATGCTCACTGCCATTTGCCGGCTTCCCAAAGTAATTTCCGAAATTATCTTTAATATGATATAAAATATTGATATTCAAAAATTTAGAGATTGTTTTGTCATATCCATATTGCTTCGGAAATTTCCAAAATCAATTTGGTGTTTTTTATTTAAATAATATTTTGATATAATAATATATAAAATAAAAGAAAACGCACAAACAAAGGCAAGAGAAAGGATTGTAATGAATTGCATATGTGAATGTGATGGAGTATTTTCCTATAAGGACACACAAACCTAATTATATGATAGGTGTATACTTTTGCAATTCTTTTGTTACATTTATTTTTTTTTTTATAAAGTATATTTAGATGTGTTTTAATAATAAAATAATAGTAATATTTCACTATAAATTGAATAAGATGATCATGAAAATAAAATAAAGAAAGTCAGCTTGGCGATGGTTTGCAATGTTTCACCTTTTACCCATCGACAGTGTCAAGTGCGTGTGAAATTTGTGGTGTTGGAAAAAGCAATGTTGGCCCCTACACATTTAATGCCCACCATATCTGCTCAAATCATTTATCTACCTGTCTCTTTCTTGCAATCAATTTTGTTTTTTATTCTTAAAATATGTCTACAATTTATTATTATTAATGAAGATTTGTTTGGAATCGTTACTGGGCCTAACTTAGCTGCGTTATGGGCTTGTTTGGACTATTCGGCCCAATATATTTATAGCCCATAATGTGCTGCTTCTGTTTTCGAATTCATTTCCTATGTCGTTCTTATGAGTGAAGTATAAGTCGCATATCTCTTTACGCGACTCTAGCTAAAGTTCGAGAGCGTGGTTCGTGTTCGTGAATAATGTGATCTAGTCTTTCCACAGTTTCACAGAGAAGCTTGGAATCCATTGGCAGTTGTGACTGACGGTATGTTGTGGTTCACAGTTTTATAATTTCACCGTTTTTGTTTATTTATTTATTGTTTTGTTCAGTTGTTTGTTCCATTTCTACGAATGATCGATCGATTGCATTTTCGCGAGTTTGACAATGAAGGAATTGAATTCGTTAGGTACAAGTGCGTTGGAGATGAAAAAAAAACTCCTTGTTTGTGTTGAGTAGTGTTAATAATCATATCGGTTAGTTTCTATTCTAGGGTTAAATGCAGAACCTACGATTTGAGGCCAGGAGAAGCCTTCTATATCCCATGATTCTGTTTCTACGTAACTTGTGTCTTGATTGTTGGATTCAATGTAGGATGAGTTGTCGCATGTTTTGATGCTCTGCAACTCCATTGCGACTTGTCTTATAGTTGGCCTTTTCTTCCCATTTAAATTCAAGCATTTTTGTGCGAGATTAGCAACAGCAAAGTGATCATCTCGAATTCCTTGTGCTATTATCTCAGAATCAAGAATTGACTTCACTTGCCCATCTTCTATGCTCGTTAGAAAACGTGTAGCTAGACTTCTTTGTTCCTCGGTCTTGCTTGTAGATATCGGCCTCTGTCGTGTTAAAAGCTCGACAAGAATCACGCCGAAACTGTAGACGTCGCTCTTTTCTGTGAATTTTCCTGTCTGAAAGTACTCAGGGTCTAGATAACCAAATGTGCCTTTGACCATGGTGGTTAAGTGAGTCCGATCAGTGGCAACTGATCTTGATATTCCAAAATCTGATAGTTTGGCTCTATATTTTTCATCCAAGAGGATGTTATTAGACTTTAAATCCCTGTGATATATGGGAATAGAAGTGGAATAGTGCAAGTAAGTTAAGGCATCAGCTACCTCCACAGCTATCCTGAGCCGTAAATCCCATGAAAGTGGAAATCCGGTGCTGTCATCATGTATGAGGTCAGATAGTGTGCCATTGGGAATGAATTCATAGACTAGTAATGGAACTTCTGTTTCCATACAGCAGCCCAATAACTTGACCACATTTCTGTGATTTATTTGGGATAGGATGACGACCTCGTTTATAAATTCTACTTGTTGATGTTCGTCTACTTGCTTTGATTTCTTCACTGCAACAATTCTTCCATCTGAAAGCATGCCTTTATAAACCGTACCTTGACCTCCACTGCCAAGTATCCGACTTTCATTGAATCGATCTGTTGCTTTCTCCAGTTCTTTGCATGTGAATATTTTCAATTTTTCAAGGATACTGTCGTGAGCTGATATTTGTTGATTAAGTAGAAGACCACCATTCCTTTTAAAGAAATTCTGTTTCTGCTGCTTGACACTCCTCTTTTTCAGTATTTTGTACAGCCAAAAGCCAGTGATCAGCAGTATAAACAACCCCAAGCCCGTAAATAATCCTGCAACAGAAAGAAGTCAGAAGGAAACAACCATCGACAATGTGAGGTGCAGTATATTTAAGAGTTAGAATTCCTAACCTGCATACAGTGCAGTGTTTCTTTCAGGTGGCACAAAAATGCAACCAGTGCCGTGTTTTGTGCCATCGCCAAAATAGTTACGTGGGCAAGAGCAGTTATATAAACCTTGAAGATTGGTGCATAGGGCTACCGAATGGCATGGATGAAACTCACATTCATCGATATCTATGATCATATAAAGTAAATTAGTCTCAAACACAATATTTATGTTTTTGCACAGCTGGGAATGACTGACCAATTAGTATTCGTATAACTATTCGCATAATATGTAAAATATGCCAACCTTGGCAACCTTGGCTGAGATATGGATTTCCCTGATATCCTTGCGAGCAGTTGCAACGGTATCCTCCTAGAGTAGTGCCAGAATCTACACATATGCTTTGTTCTTTACAGACTGTTTTCCCTGTTTTTTGAATTTGTTTGCAGGTCTCATTGCCAATCTCCCAATTAAGAGCAATTGGCACAGTATCTACGATTCTTTCGACAAATGATGAATCAGAGATGTCATTTACTTGGAAGAAGTAGCTGTTCTCTTCTGCCAGAAACGAGTAGCCGCAGGGATTAAAATGCTGAATATCAGATCGATCAGTCAAGATGGTCATGGTGGAGGATACATGCTGGAGACCCTTGGGTATGGAGGATTGGCAGCACCCAATTCCTGAACAGGAACCATTGTTTAGATCCTGGGTTTTTGAACAGATCGCCACGCAAGAACTGGTGAAATAATCTGATCCTTCTGCCAGCATGTTATCACTGGATAGCAAGGAAACATCGTCGCATCCGACAGCTGTCAGCTTGTTATCACTGGATATGCTGAAAGGGGTTTCATACAGATTCATTTGAAAAGCAACCTCTTGAGTCGGGCTTCCCTTTTCGTCGTAGCAGTTCCAGGCCAGTCGGTTCCTGATGTGTATTTTGGTGTTTGATATACTTAAAACTTCGAATTGATCAGCTCCAAGGAATGCCTTCGGGGGGTTGAATGAGGTGTTGCAGCTTATGTCGAAGGAGGGATTGATGGAGCAACCGGCCTCGACACCAATTCCGAATGGGTATGGAACTTTCAGATTCCCACACTTGTTGGGGCATCCTGGCTTGGCGATGCGATCGCCGTCGGCTATAGAACCGTTGAAATATGTCACGATAGAAGTATCAGAAGCATCTGTCAGGTAAGTAAATATTAGGATCACAGCAAAGTGCAGGAATGAGGTCATTTGCATGTTTTCTGTTTCAGGAGAAATGAATTCTTGTTTATGGTGTCTAACGAACTCAACACACAGTAAACTGGAAACAAGTGTGAATATGCATATATATAAATGTATGTATAGAAAGAGAGAGTTGGATGAGATTTACGGGCCATACTATGAGCTGATTTCTTGTTTTTATCGACCTAACAGAGACTCTTGTGTTCGACTTTCGTGTCATCTATCTTTTAACTGATAAGATCTTGTGTTGAACGACAGGCCTGCATTTTTTTATTCTTTTTATTTTTATTTTTATTTTTGACACAAGAACACTTGATGTACGTAATGTTTGTGTAACAAGGCAGATAATTTTTGAGTTTTTCTGTTCGCTTGGGATATTCCATTACACCATCCAAGTCCGAGGAATTTAACATTTTAACCTATAAATCTGATGTTATTCCTACAAAATCGGCATTAAAAAAGTAGTTTTTTTTTTTTTTTTTTTTTTTTTTAAAGAAGTATTTTGAAATTTATTTTTACTAGGCCCATTTGTAAGAAGCCCACTCAAGTACGTTAGTTGTAAGCCCAAGGGGCGAGGTTTTCCATTTCCATTCGTCGGCTTCATCTGGGGAAGAAAGATTACTGAACTTACATACGTTGGCGAGGAGTAGATTTCTTGTGAGTGTAACGATGGATTTGGAGAGACCAGGTGGGCGTGGGGCAAACCAGTTGAGGCCGATGGACTGTTCTCGCAACGTTCTCAGCCGCGCACATGGCTCTGCTAGTTGTTCTCATGGTACAACTCCCCTTTGCATGCTTTCTATCCCCCTTTTTTCTATCATATTAGTTAAGCGATTTTGCATTTATTAGGGTAGTCTTGTTTTGTTCTCTCGGCATATCTGGGATAATTGTTTATAGGAATCGCTTCACACATTACTGAAACAAAAGTGAATTGAGGTTTGGGGTAGGATACGTGATGCTTTTTTGGGACTAGGGTTTTGATCTTTGGTCGTAATTGCTGTTGAGAACATTTCATTTTAGAGTCTTCCAGAGGATGTAGTTCACATTAGTTGAATAGTACTTTTTTTTTTTTAATGTTTTTTGTGGATATATTTAGTACATTCACGTTGTATCGTAGATTTTATGTTGTTTCTATGGGTTCTTAGCTCCTAAATCTAGTCCTTTTTCTTTGGTTAAGTTTTCCTTTTTACTAGGAATTTGTAATGTGCTATAGAGATTTTTCTGTCACAGGGGAGACAAGGGTGCTAGCTGCTGTTTATGGCCCTAAAGCTGGGACAAAGAAGAATGAAAACCCAGAGAAAGCTTGTATTGAAGTCATTTGGAAACCCAAAACAGGGCAGATTGGTGAGAGAATCTTGACCTTTCTTCGATTTGCATCTATTTTCTTTTGGTTTTGCACAAAGCATGCCACTTGCTAATTTCAGTAAAAATTTGGAAATGTCAGGAAAAACTGAGAAGGAATTTGAGATGATACTGAAGAGATCATTACAGAATATGTGCCTTTTAAATGTTCATCCAAATACCACAACATCAATTGTTATTCAGGTTAGTTGGCTTCTTGTATTAGTGGAAGTGGTGAACTCGGAAGTCCTGTCACTTTCCTAACATAATTACATTCTCAAACCTGAGATTGTCTGCTAATGCGATCAATTCTCATGTGATCTGCATGAAGATTGGAACTGAAATTGAGAGCACACTTCAAGCAATCATCATATCAGATAAATTTGTGGGTTATTGTAAACTAGTTTAAATTGTCTAATTTGCCACATAAATGAGTGCTCCGAATGCATTAGGAATTTAAACACACACAGATAATGAAGGGGTCTAACTCAGTAGTGATGGGGGATTGGGGGAAATCGAAACCTTTGCCTTATTGCACAATACTAAACTTGGATTCTGTACTTGGGAGTTTTCAGATGACTTTGGCAGCTATATTTTTTGTTTGGTATTTCCGGGTTTTTCAGAATCACCTTACGAGATATATGGATTTTATTTATAATTTCAGGTTGTCCATGATGATGGCTCTGTATCCTTTAATTTATGGCTGTGGTTATCATGTAGTTCACCAACAAATTGAACTGCACTGTTATCTCAATTATAATTTCTGTTTGACGTATGGTACATCTTTTATTTCTCTGAAACGACTTCCTTGACTAAGCTTTTGTTAAGCTTCTGCCATGTGCTCTACATGCAGCATGTGCTGCTCTAGTTGATGCTGGAATTCCTTTGAAATATCTTGCTGGTAAAACAATATCTGGAATCTTCTATTTTCCATGTCTATGTTGAATCTAGATGTCATTTATCTGTGCTGCTAACATTGTACAAATTAAATTCTGTAGTGGCCACGTGTTGTTGCCTAACAGAAAGTGGACAGATTATATTGGACCCAAGCAAGCTAGAAGAAGAGGTATTTCCTTGTTAAACGTTTCTATGGCAACACATTACTACGTAGCATCTGTAATCGAAGATAATCTAGTATGAATGTTTCTTCTATTGGTACAAGAGTATGAAGGCGTTCGTATGCTTAGCTTTCCCCAGCTCAGTTCAATCTGTATGCACTGAAGGAGCAACAAAGGATGGCGGAGAACCTGCGCCACATGGCATTATTACATCACTTACACATGGTTTGATGACAGGTTATTTATTTCTTGATCCATTGTCTTTCTAATTACAATTTAAGAAGCGATGAATCTTGGTGGTTTGGTTTTTTCCTTGGACATTGCTTATGATGTTCAGTCTATCGTTAACAAATTGAGGTATGCTTGATTTTGTCTCGGTGATTTTGGTTTTCTTACAGTGACTGAATACTTCCAGTGCTTGGAACAAGCGCGGGCGGCTATTACACCTCTGTCGAAGATTCTGAAAAGGAAAATGCAATCACAGCCAGCCAGCTACCAATCTTGAAATGCTCATAGCAGAACAAGAAGGGAAATTACATCTTGAAACGTTGAAATTTTTGCTGCAAGCCTAGCCAGGTGTGCTGCTTTTGTATAACAACACCTATTGATCTTGTATTGTCTTGGACTTTTTACTGTGAGAGAAATCACAATTTTGGGTTATACTTAGATCTGCTTTTCCGAGAGTCATTTTTATTTTTCACCCATTTGTATTTCATGGCTCTGTCTGGACCATTACACTTCTATATTTGTGTAATGTAAGAAATTGAATCAATTTTCTTTTTCTTTTTTTTTTTTTTTAAAAAAAACAATATCAATATCATTTTTAATATGTTATCTGTCATTTAAATTATATTCATTTTCTTTTAGCTTTTTATTGAAAAAAATACATTAATTTTTTTTGTATTATATATATGGACAGGTTTTGGTCTTGAAAAGTTATCTGCAGATTAGGGGTGATGATGTCGAATTTGTGGATATAGAAAATGGAATGGTACATTGTGACCTAACTAGAGAGTGTGGTTGTGCAGTGATTAAGGTTTGGTTGAGGATAATGGATAATTGACAGATGGAGTGGAGGAGAATCGATTTTAAAGCAGCAGCTTCCACCTTCAACTTGTAGTCACTACCACCACCCAATGCTTAATTATCACATTATTGTTTGATTGGATTGCTACAATCGAAAGGGAGAGATATTCCTTAGGGTGCGTTTGTTTGGGGATTGGATTTAATTTTTACTGTTCATTCCATTTTTTGCCCCACTTCTAAAAAATATCAAATTAAACATTTATTTTTTTATTTTTTTATATTATATTAAAAATCAATTTTACATTTAAAATATTACATCAACACCTATTTATATCATATCATACAACTATTTAAATTCAAAATTTTTACTATTCAAATCTCAATTCAAAATTCAAACCGTACAAACACACCTGCGCGTCAGTGTTGATTCGACAACCACTGGCTGCTTTTGTTGTTGCCTCACTTGTCTCTTGTCCCAGTTTCCTTTCTATTGTTATTATTATTTGTCACTTGTCCCACCTGCAAAAACACGTTTTAAATTACTATTATCAGAGAAAAAAATTAAATCTTATTTAATGTAATATTTTTTTAAAAAAAAATTAAAAGAAATTGTTAAATAAACGAAGCCGCCTCTGCCTGTTGTTCGATGCTACAATATTAAGTATTCTTTGCTATAAAAGAATATATTTAATTTGACATAACTAAATAAAATATTTTATTAATTGATTGTGATATAAAATAAAAATATAATAAATGCTGAATTTAACATCTTAAAAATTAAAATTACTTAATACTAATAGGCATTAGTTTTTGCAAATCAATTCACTTTTTTAATTAAAACATTAGACACTTAATTCGGCGCCTTAACTTTTAAGTATTTAATAATATATGCTAATTTTTAATTATTAATTTTATTTTTAATTTAAAAAAAAAAAGAATAGTAAAAATTAGACACAAACTTCATTCTTATTTATCTTCTATTATATTTTTTTTTAAATAAACAATTAAAAAGCCATGATTTTCTATGCTTCAAATAATTTTAATTATCTTTAACATATAAATAAATATTATTTTTGTCTCACATTTCATATCAGTTTAATTCCTTCTACACTCTTTTTTTTTTAAAAAAAATAAATATATATTACTATATTATATTGTAATTATTTTTTGTTAATATATTTTTTAATTATTTATTAATTATAGCATTTCTAAAATTTATGTCTACAGTATCTATATCTTTATTAAAAGTTGTGGAAAGTTATTTCTTAATTAAAAGTTTATTAAATACTCCCTCCGTCGTTTAAATCTATATTTATTTTTCTTTTTCGGTTGTCATTCAAAAATATTTTCATTTTTTTTAAAATAAAAAATCATTTCACTTTTGTACTGTTTTTACTATTAAAAAAAATTAACAATTATTATTTACTTTTATTAAAATTCGTGTCCGGTTAACGCAATTCTATCTCTAATTCAGTCTCTAATGTCTTTAGTAACGGAAAAAGATAATTTAGAAAAAAAAAAAAAAAAACTTTGTTACAAAATTAATATTTTTTTTGTAGTGGAGTAATTAATTACTGGAGTGCGACTTTCCGTGCCAAAATTATTTTATTAATGAATACCAAGCATGATCACGTGACAAATTTTTGTAATATAAGAACAGTTTAGGGTTCTCTGATCTGTCTAAATGGAACGTGCCTTAATATAGACAAATGCTTTTCTACCTTGTTTTGTTTTTTCTTAATTTCGATCAGATATCAGTTTTAGAAATATCAACAGATTTCTTTCATGACAGATGGATTGTTATCCTCTCACAGTCTCATTCACATGTGATATTATTATTACACTCGATTGTCTGTGTCCCCCCAAGAATTTCCATTTAAACGTGCTCCATATCAAACTCAGAATTGTGCCTAGCTAGCAAGTGAAGGAAAAATAAGCAATATGTCGATTAGTAAATGTGCATTGATTCACATGAGTAGCTCTGCAGATCGAACTCCATTTACTCACAACTTCAAACCCTTTGCAGTTACCCCTTTCAAGGTTAGGAACTAACCCTAGATTCTTCTATATATTCTATGTTGTTGATTCTTGATGTCCTAAACCCTAATCTTTCTTTTCTTTTTCTTTTTGTGTGTGTGTGTGTGTGTGTGTTCTTGTTCATATATGATCAGACGGCATTTCAGAAGAACGTACCAACTCTACAAATCAATGCTCCTTATAGAAGATTGAAGGAGGCTTCTGTCAGGTTATTGGATGCCTTTGTTGATCTCATGTTTGTATTTGTCGATGAGCCACTTCTTCCTTCTCAGGTATAAAAGCTGTAAGAATTTGTTTTAATGCTGTTGTCTCGAAATTCTTGTTCATTTTTCATTATGCGATCATACTTGCAGAGTAACTTTGCTCCGGTGGAAGAGGCCGGCGAAGCCGTACAAGTGTCCATTGTTGAAGGGGCAATACCTGATGAATTTCCCGAGGGTGTTTATATCAGAAATGGTGAGAAATTGTAGCTGCCTAATTAGTTTCCTTAAGTCCAAAACTGTGTTGGAGATAGGGTTTTGGGTAACAATTAATAATATTATCGTGAAAGATCATCCACTTTGCTAATAAAATATATTTCGACCCTTAATTGTCTCGGATTACACGATTTTTTTAATTTAAATAATTTGAGAAAACAATCTCGATTTTAGTCAATGGAAAAAAAATATAAATATATACAACTCGAGAAATAAATAAGAATAAAATTGAAAACTTTGGATTGTATATATATTTTGTGGTGAATAGAATATGTGAATTCTTGTTAATATAATTATGTTCAATTTTGTAAATTATGCTTGCAGTTGCAGGTCCCCTCTATTTATCTTTTAGAATTTATAAGATACATTTTAACAATAAAAGTATCTTTTAGTTCCCACAATATCTTTTAATTTGAAAAACAGTAATTTTTTTTTTTTTATATGTAATAGTATTAAATTAATATGTATATTAATTTATGTTAGGGAATAGAATATGATTAATAAAATTCTCTTCAGTTTTGTAAATTTTAGGTGACATATACTTACGTATACATATAGAAGCATTCTTAAGAATTTATTAGATATTTATTCACAAAAAAAAAAAAAAGAAAAAGATATATTTTTTAATTTTTACTGTATCTTTTGATTTGAATTCTGCGGACACTTATGCAACATAATTTTCTTTTGTGAAAAATTATAATTCTTATATTATATATAAATTTTTTATATATACAATTTTATTTTTCTGCTTTCAGAATTTCAATTGTAAAATTAAATCTGATTTTTCGTAGCATAAAAAAAAATGCAAATGATTTGAACTGAGAGCTATTTTATCTCATTGTTGTTTCAAAATTAAATTAAATTCACCTATATACATATAACGGAATAATGCTAAAAACTCGAACAAACTGTCGGACATCTTACACACACTATATATGTTGATCGAATCAGGGGCGAATCCTCTTTACGGAGGTCTGAAATCTGCAGTGTCCATATTCGGAAAGACGAGCAGTTTGTGGGTAGAAGGAGAAGGGATGGTACACGCCGTCTACTTCAAAAAGGATGGTGCTGGAAACTGGACAACCTCCTACAACAACAGATACGTCGAAACCGAAACATACCTGCTAGAAAAAGACAAGAACAGGCCTTACATTCTCCCTGCAGCAGAAGGAATTCCCTCAGCTGTTCTGTCCAGTTACCTGATAAATTTGGTGAATTTTTGCCATCAATTTTCTTAATTCTGTGCTTTCTGCTGAATCTTTACATTTACCACTGTAAGTTTTTTTTTGACGTTGGATCTGTTATTGCAGCTGAGGCTACGGGCAGGGGCGAAGCAATACAGCAATACAAACGTCGTCGAACATGGCGGTCGATTCTTCTCAGTGACAGAGACTCATAGTCCTCAGGAGATCGACATTCATACATTGGAGACCTTAGGGGATTGGACTATCGATGGAGCTTGGACAAGGCCATTCACCAGTCATCCCAAGGTATGTCTTTATCCTTGGACGCTGCTGTAATTATTGTACATGTCTTGTTTATGAATTTTTCGGGTGTGCAGAAAGTTCCGGGGACCGGAGAACTTCTTATAATGGGGTGTGATAATCTGAAACCTTATTATGAAGTTGGGATCATCTCAGGTATGATGGATATGGGTCATTGTAATAAATATCTTTCGATCATGTTCGAATTCTTAGTTGCAAGAACTGAACTTTTGTTTCATCAGCGGATGGATCAAAGCTTGTCCATAAGGAGGATCTTAAGTTCGATAGAACTGTGATTAGCCATGAAATTGGAGTTACACAAAGGTAGTCTCTAGAGAAAAACAAGGGAAATTCTTTCTTTCTTTCCTTCTGCTTACTTCTCAGTATTATTAGCTAATATTTATGTTGTAATATTGGATATTCATCGAAATTTTTCCAGGTACAATGTGATCTTGGATTTTCCGATAATCGTAGATATGAATCGGGTTCTGAAGGGAGGCCCGTGAGTATATATATACTTCAAAATCCCCAGTCTTTGTGTAGTTTACAGACACATGTATATATATATCATTCTTGTAACTCAATTTACTACAGGCTAATAAAGTATGAGAAAGACAAACATTCAAGAATTGGAGTAATGCCTCGTTATGGAAATGCTGAATCCGTCAAGTGGTTTGCAGTGGAGCCAAGCTGTGCATTTCATTTGATTAATTGCTTCGAAAATGGCGATGACGAGGCAACTTTTGAACGCTCAAACAAATTTTCGATTATTCATTATGAAGAGTTTAGTAGTTCTTGAAATTAAATGGTTGTTGTGTAATTAAAACAGGTTGTAGTGATGGGGTGTAAAGGCCAAGAATCGATCATACCAGGGCCCGATTTCGGAGTCGACAAATTTAAATGGTTTTCCAGAGGCTTTAAGAATGTCTATTCAGTCGAAGAAAATGGCGAAAATACCGATCAAGATGGAATGCTTTTCGCCCGGGCTTACGAATGGCGACTGAACATGAAAACTGGGGAGGTGACGGAAGGGTATCTTACAGGAACAGAATTCTCCATGGATTTTCCCCTGATCAATCCTTCTTTTACTGGTCTGAAAAACAGATATGCATATACACAGGTTGTCGATTCATCGGCCAGCTCGGCTGCAGGTAAGAATAATCGACTGCGATAAAAAAAGCTTCTATGCAAAATATTCGCGACAATGAAGAATTTATTTTTGTTGAATAACAGGAATGCCGAAATACAGTGGCCTAGCAAAACTCCATCTTGAAGGGACTAATGATAAACTTGTCGAATACCACATGTTCCCGGAAAACACATACTGCAGTGGAGCTGCATTTGTTTCTAAGCCGGGAGCTTCCGAGGAAGACGACGGGTGGATCGTTGCTTTCGTGCACGACGAAGATGCCGACAAGTCTCAGGTAACAACAACGTTTGTTTGTAGTGTTCATATGTACAACCTTAAAAAATTCATTTGTTAGGACATTGTTTGATCCACTTTTTGTTGCAGGTGTATATTGTGGATGCAAATCGAATTTCGGGAGGGGCAGTGGCTAAAATTGGATTGAACAGTAGAGTTCCTTATGGATTTCATGGAATCTTTTCACCAATTTAATTTTGGCACTTAAATATTCCAATTTGTATTAGTTTATGAATAGTGGGTTTCTTTATGTATATATTAAAGTCGATTGTTGTTACCATTTTGGTTGTGCCAAACGATAGCAGTTGAGGTTGTCAGCATCTTAGGGTTCAATGCCATGGATGCTTCGTTGTATCCACTGGTTTTTATCCAAATCTTAACCCAAGTTGGGATTATCCCGATGCATATGATCTTATCTTTATGCTCTTTCCTGGAATTTGTCTCTATCCTAAGCTAATTAAAATCGATTGCCTGTTCATTAAATATAGTGCTTATCTTGAGTATCTTATTCTTGTCATTGTCTGAAATTATATTTGAATGTTAAGACACATCAGTGTCCGAGAAGTCCTATTTTATGTGCTCATCTCAATTCTCAAACTGAAAAAAGAGAAAAACGAAGATGGCGGCTTGCACGTGTGCGTTAGTTCATATGAGTGGCTCGTCCCACAGAACACCATTCGTCGACAACTTTAAGGTTTCATTGTCAACGTCTTTCACTGTAAGAAGCAAATCAATCCTTAAATTCTTTCATGTTGATATTCTAGTCATCATGTAATTCTATCGACTCACTGTTTTTTTTTTTAATGATCAGCCATTGCTGACGACGTTGCAGCAAAATCTATCGCGCCTGCGGATTAATTCCCCTTATAAAAGTATCCGCGAGGCTTCTGTGAGGATGTTGGATGCTTTTGTTGATCTGATGTTCGAATTTGTCGATGATCCACGACAACCATCTCAGGTATACTGATTTTTTTACAGAAAGCTGTAAAAAAAAATAAAAAAAATTTGCTATCGAAGTGACAAGCTGTTTCTTATTTGATCATGCATGAAGAGTAACTTTGCTCCGGTGGAAGAAACAGGCGAACCGGTGGAGGTGATCGCCGTCGAAGGGGAAATTCCAGCTGATTTTACGGAGGGTGTTTACATAAGAAACGGTAAATATATATATATATATATATATTAGATATTTTAGATATTCAAAAATTTAATTGATTTAGATTGGAGTACATGGACTCTTGCTCTTATTTTGTTTGTCAAATTAATGCAATCTTTTCTACATATATTATAATATATTAAGCTGTCTTTCTCCTTTATATTCAATGAGATCTTCAATTTTGATATATAATATATTAAATTTTTATTAGATTTTGAGATGCTTTTTTGTAATTGGTGTTCTTCAAGTTTATTTTTCAATTTTAGTTTGAGTTTGACTTTTGATGGTTTGTCCTGATTATTATAAAATTTATGTTTTCGATTGCATTGGGAGTTCGATCTTTTTCGTGTTTTCGACTATGGTGAGAGTCTTGTTGTTTTTCAACTTCAGTGAGAATTTCATACTCGGATGAGAGTTCGGCTCCCGTAGGAATCTGGTCGTTTTCCATGGGAGTTCTGCATTTGAATTTTCAACTCATGAGATTGCGAACTTGATCACTAATTAGTTTGAGGGGATATTATAATATTTTAATATTTAATTTCAGATAAAGTTTCCATAATTCAACTAACATCCTAGTAAATTCCATGAATTCGAAACAAACTCTGTAATGAATCGGCGTTAATTGAATCAGGCGCGAATCCTGTCCATGGAGGCCTTAAATCTGCAGTCTCCATTTTCGGAAAGACAAGCTGTGTGTGGATAGAAGGAGAAGGAATGCTACATGCTGTCTACTTCAAAAGAGAAGCTTCTGGAAACTGGACCATCACTTACAACAATAGATACGTCGAAACAGAAACGTATCTGCTAGAAAAGGAGAAGAACAGGCCTTACATTCTCCCTGCAATCGAAGGGAACCCCTCTGCTGTCCTAATGAGTTTTCTGCTGAATTCGGTAGATGAAATAACTATCTATCTCATTAATTTTTTCATGTTCGGTTAAAGACATCTGATGTTCGATCCGTGGTTGCAGCTGAGGATTGGGACACCGAACAAGCTCTACAGCAACACCAGCATCATTGAACACGCCGGTGCCTTCTACTCGGTAGCAGAGAATCATTGTCCTCAAAAGATCGATATTCGGACATTGGAGACGTTGGGAAATTGGAGTATTGGTGGAGCTTGGACAAGACCGTTCACTAGTCACCCAAAGGTATGTATCATACTCTTACAAACATAAACTTTTCTTAATTCCAATGGCCTGGGATTTCTTGATCGACTTATGTTTATTCTTTTTGTGCAGAAAGCTCCGGGAAGCGGCGAGCTAGTTATCATTGGAACCGATGCTAAGAAGCCTTACATTGAAGTCGGTGTCGTCTCAGGTACAGCTTAAAAACAATCGTTATTAGAATCTCTCTAGGACAACATTAAAATGTGTTGGATTGATTCGACCTTCCGACAGCTGATGGGACGAAGCTCGTTCATAAGGTCGATCTCAAGTTTGAAAGAAGCATCGTCAGCCACGAAATCGGAGTTACACAGAGGTACTCTGTCTTATTTCTCTTTGACGCCATGTTCAAATACAGAGACATACTATCGTCTAATGGATCGCGTGTTTCGTCGAAATTCTCTAGGTATAATGTGATCCTCAATTTTCCAATAATCCTCGACGTGAACCGGGTTCTGAAGGGAGGATCGTAAGTATTAGCCTCGACACTGCTAATAATTCTTTGTGCACTTAACCATTGTCGTAACTCATTTCTATCACAAGTAAAGGTTGATAAAGTACGAGGAGGGGAAGTATTCGAGCATTGGAGTAATGCCGCGATATGGAAATTCGGATTCTGTCCTGTGGTTTCCGGTGGAGACAGGCTGTGTATATCATTTGATTAACTGTTATGAAAATGGCGACGACGAGGTAACTTTTTGTGGAAAAATTGCATAAAATATTCTCATGTATATCCCATTATAACTTTTGTCTTGTATTTAGCAAAATATATTCCATATGTTTTTATTTCTATCATTTGGCTGCACGTAGCCGCGCGCATCAAATAACATAAATAACGATTTTTACAAAAATGTAGAATATATTTTGTCAAAAGAGATAAATACATGACAAAAGTGACAATGAGGTATCCATGGACATATATTTTGCTATTTTTTCCAACTTTTGGCAACTATCTCAACGAACTTAATGTTATTGATGTAGCGTCGTCACAAGGATTAGTTCTTACAAGCAGGTTGTCGTGATGGGATGTAAAGCCCGGGAGTCATTCATACCTGGCCCCGACTTTGGCCTCGACAAATTTGAATGGTTTTCCAGAGGCCTAAAACATGTCGATGAATGTGGTGAAAATATGGATCAAGACGGTAAATTATTCTCCCGAGCTTATGAATGGAGGCTGAACATGAAAACTGGAGAGGTGAAAGAAGGTTATCTCACCGGGACAGAATTCGCCGTAGATTTTCCTCTGATCAATCCTAAATTCACCGGCATTGAGAATAAGTACGCGTACACACAGGTTGTGGATTCAACGGCTAGCGCAGCTGCAGGTAATAACGACGACAGTTAAGTCAGTTAAAGGTAGTTCATATAAATAGTTGTTATGAATTTGTTGTCGAACAACAGGGATCGTGAAATACAGTGGCCTGGCTAAACTCTTTCTACACGAGAGACACGTCGAACTTTCTCGAGTAAGAACACAATCAATGTAGTACATTCTTGTCGTCTTGTTCTTTCAAATACTGTTGTATTAATGGATGTGGATATAACCTAGGCGAAAGTCGAATACCACATGTTTCCTGCAAACACGTATTGCAGTGGAGCTGCATTTGTTTCCAAGTCGGGGGCTACTGAGGAAGACGATGGATGGATCATTGCTTTTGTGCACGACGAAGATACAGACAATTCGCAGGTAATAACATAACATAACATCATCAGCTTCTGTAACGGATTTCTTGGTGTGCAGATTTATTACATATCGACTTTGCAGGTGTACATTGTGGATGCAAAGAACATTTCAGGAGAATTGGTGGCCAAAATTGGTTTGCAGAGTAGAGTTCCTTACGGGTTTCATGGAATTTTTTCATCCTTCGGATGATCCAAATGGAGAACGTCTGCTTTTATTTTTCAGTGTGATTTAAGAGTTATGATATGTATGTAGTTGGGGATGGGTTTAGAGAGTCAGTACATGTAAAATAAGTAGATTGGACGTGCTTTTATTTAATATAACAAAATAAAAATGTATTATCCGTTGATGTATTATCGTTTACAATCGCATCGTCTGTAAAGAATTATATAAGCTGTTTGATTGGAATTGTACTTCAAGGCGGCCAACGCCACTAACTTTTCAACCAATGATCAATTGTGCGAATCTAACTGTTCCTCTCGTACTAAATTAAATTACTATTGCGACATTGTTATCCTTCGGGTAAAACTAACTTTATTTTTTTGGTTTAGTATCCGAATAAACCCATCTACGCTAAAACTATCAACATAGTCAATAGTAAACTGTAAATAGCATATTTATATGCCTTTTAATGCTTTGCACTACAGACAAGATTCCTTGACCTGTCCAATTTGTCGTGTCTTAAAACATCTCTTATTCAAGAATATGATGTATAAATAAAACGTTTCTAGTGAGTAAAGTTGCTCGTAGTAGTTCGATCAACGTTTCAATCTTACTTACTTATTTTGGTCAATCCAAAATAAAATCAGAATATTGTTGTAGTCAAACTCTGGCTCTCAAAACAGTTCTAGTGTATTCTGATTTTGTGAGAATAGGTTTAATAATCAGTATATGAGAGTATTTATAATTAAAAAGAAAAATCATCCACTTCTCACGTATATTCTATTTTGAATATCATATATACTTAATGAAAAAAAAGTTGCACAATTTAAGATTAGTTTAATTATATAAGATAATTAAAAATAATCAAAATTTAAATACAATTAATTAATTAATTAAACTAACAGAATACATCTTGTCCGAAGCCTTACCAAACAAACTGCAATAATATTATTGTTTTAGATCAGTTAGTTCAAACCATTCTGTACCGTGATATATCTGAAACAGCAAACATACAAATAGTCAGCGACAGAAGAGGCAAAAAAGAAAAAAAGAAAGTTACACATACACTGGATTCTATTTTCCTATGTAATATCGACTCTTTTATTGGAATATATTACCTCAGTTTCTCCGGAATCTGTAACAGTAAATTTTCAGTGGACAAATTTTGCAGTATATATTAGGTCGTCTTTATTCTACTCTCTGGACAAACTTGAGATGGCTACTCACAGCTATGGAGCATTAGTTCGCATGAATGGCTCTGTGCAAAGACAAAGATTGCCAATATCCGACAAACTCACACACCTGGCAATGGTAAGAAATCAGTTGATTTACTCTGTGTAATCTAAACTGCTTTGTCTGATTTGTTTCTGGACTATGAATTTATGATCTGATCTCATCTGATCAGCCATTTTCGAAGACGTTGCAGAAAGACTTCCCAGTTCTGCAGATGAGTGTCATCTGTAAGAGAGTTGCGGAGGCTTCGATCAAGCTATTGGATGCCCTTGTCGATTCGATATTTGAATTTGTCGACGAGCCATTGCTTCCTTCTCAAGTATATATATTTATTGTATACTGATTTTATTGCAACCATGGTTTTGTTGTCTGAAGACTGAAATTTTCGTTTTTGTTGTGCACGTAGCTTAACTTTGCTCCGGTGGAAGAGATAGGCAAGCTAACGCCGGTGGCGCCGAGCCATGGAAAAATTCCGAATGATTTTCCTGAAGGTGTTTACATCAGAAATGGTATGGAGTACTAATTTCATTCGACTTTATTACACTTGCCTGTCTGAAATCCTTGGACTTTTGAGTAATGGAATTACCAGATGCAAACAAGATATATCTTTTTTCGATAATGCAGAAAGAAACAACAGATGAAGAACTCAATTCTTGTTTGTTTATGAAATGAAATTATCAATAGATTCTCTGCATGACCTTCCATCTATTTGTCATTTTTCAGCCTTGGAAAGGTTCTTCTTGTCATCTTGTTAAATGGGACGCGATCGATGATTAGGACTAAGAAATATTATTACCATTGATGATGCAGGGCCGAATCCTCTGTTCGGGGGATTGAAATCAACGAGGTCTGTATTCGGAAGGTCTAGCCACTGCTGGATCGAAGGCGAAGGCATGCTCCATGCTCTGTACTTCTGTAAGGACAGCAATGGCGGATGGAGGATTTCTTACAACAACAAACATGTAAGAACAGATACATTCAAGCTCGAAAAGGACAAGGGGAGACCATCGTTTCTTCCTGCGATAGAAGGCGACTCTGCGGCCGTGGTATCGGCTTATCTGCTAAATTGGGTAGGCCAGCGAAGACATGATGCTAGGGGTGTAATAAATATTATCTTTTTCCGTAAACTGGTTTTCGAAATTGTTTGTGCAGCTGAGATTCGGAGTGGTGAATAAGTATCTGAGCAACACCAGCATTTTCGAGCACGCCGGTAAGTTCTACTCATCTGCTGAGAATCATATACCTCAGGAGTTCGATATTCGGACATTGGAAACTATATCGAATTGGGACATTGATGGAGCTTGGGAGGGGCCATTCACCAGTCATCCAAAGGTATCATCGGATATCGCTAAAAGTTTACTACAAGATTCGATTTTTTATGTTGTTTCTACTCCTTTGTTATGTTCTGCATCGCAACACAGAAAGCTCCGGGGACAGGAGAGCTTGTGATCATGGGAATTCGTCCGCGAAAACCTTTCTTCGAGCTGGGAATTGTTTCGGCGACAACAAATGGCGCGCAAAAATTACTTCATAAAGTCGATCTTCGACTAAACCGATGTTGTCTCTGCCATGAAATCGGGATAACCGAAAGGTAAGAAAATTCTTATGATCTGAAGTTCTACCTTAGGCTTGAGTACATATTGCTGATAACATTTTTCGACTCTTTTAAGGTACAATGTAATCATGGATTTTCCTGTGACGTTGGATGTAAATCGACTCTTAACTGGAGGGCCGTAAGTGTTGTCTTGCATTGATCTTTTTCGCTATGTTAGAACTTGTTTTGTCTAATGTTGTTGCAACATCTCGTCTAGGCTGATAAAATACGAGGAACAAGGATACGCGAGGATTGGGATAATGCCTCGTTACGGCGACGCAGAATCCATCCGATGGTTTGAAGTGGAGACAGGCTGTGCATATCATATAATCAATTGCTACGAGCGCGATGACGAGGCAATGAGGCTTATCGAAACTCTGTTATCGTTTTCCTGCTAAGAAATTTCATTACATCTGATCTGCATTTCTTGCATTGTCTGGTTGGATGAGTGCACAGGTTGTAGTCTTGGCATGTAGATCCCGCGGCTCGCTCATCCCCGGCCCGGACTTTGGTCTGAATAAATTCGAGTGGTTTTCCGAAGAGTTCAGACGAGGAAACAATCAGACCGCAGAAGCGTCGTTGCTCTCCCGTGTTTACGAGTGGAGACTAAACATGGTCACACGAAATGTGGCGGAGAGGAACCTCACAGGAACTCATCACTACATGGATTTTCCGATGGTTAATGAAAAATTCATCGGCATCAGAAATAAGTATGCTTATGCACAGGTGATGGATTCATATGCAAGCTCGATTTCAGGTACTATGATGTCCTAATTTTGCTGGATTTGATGTAAGGATCATTACAGGTAATGTTTTGAAAATCTGTCCATAGGTATGGCAAAATATGGAGGACTAGCCAAGCTGTATTTTGAAGAAGAGAATGGCAACGAGATAAAGGTCGAGTGGCATAAGTTTCCGGAGAAGACATTCTGTTCGGGGGCAGCTTTTGTCGCCAAAACCGGAGGTGTTGAAGAGGATGACGGTTGGATCGTTACATTTGTGCATGATGAGAACCTTAATTTATCTCAGGTACATTGTATGAATTTCCTCGGATTGATCATCTTTTCGATCGTAGCAAAAGCTCTTGCTGCTCTTGCAGGCGTACATAGTCGATGTAAAGAATTTCTCCAGCGAGCCGGTCGCGAAGATTAACCTTCCGAGAAGAGTTCCTTATGGATTCCATGGAGCTTTTATGCCAATATGCCTTCAAAACTTTTAAATGACAAGGTTAAAAGATGTAAAAGATGTGTCGTTAGGGTAGTTTGCAGGCTATTAAGTTATCGACTTGGTTTGTTACTGTTTGTTTCATCGATTGTCTTCTTCCATGAAAAGACACAACTTTGGCACATTGTCTGTATTTGCCAACATGTAATAAAGTAGTCTTCTTGCCAAACCAATAATTTATGTGACGATTGAATAAAAAAAGGAGTTGAAAAGATAAACCAACTTTAATAGTTTAGTACAATCCATTTCGTAATTGAAAGCTACAATTTGGCTCCATGTTTCAACAGGACAATGAATCCACAGAGAGATGAAGATGCTCTTTTGAAAGGAACATAAAAATCAGGACATAGAATGGTAAGACAAGATCCAATGGAGGCTGCACTGCAGAAGAAGATGACTGCTGTTCTCTTCTTGCTCATATCTGTCCGAGCTCAAGACGCAGCCAATCAGCCCGACGCCGACGTTGATCCGCTCCACCCGAGCATGGCCGTCATGCTAGTCGTGTTAGTCGTAATTCTCTGCGCGACGTTTCTCATGGTGGCGTACGCCAAGTTCTGCCATACGCAGGACCGGCGCCATCGAAACCAGGGACAAGGCCTCGGCAGGATCGTGCGATCGAGGTCTCGTTTCTCAGGAATCGACCGGCGCATAGTCGAGTCGCTTCCGTTTTTCTTGTTTTCTTCATTAAGGGGATCGAAAGAAGGCCTCGAATGCGCTGTATGTCTGTCCGGTTTCGAGGATACGGAAATCCTCCGCTTGCTGCCAAGGTGCCGGCACGCTTTCCACATGAATTGCATCGACAAATGGCTCGAAAACCACTCCAGTTGCCCCCTCTGCAGGTGCAAGTTCGACGCCAGTGACCTCATAAACCTCGCGGACAGAAATCCGACAGACGAACAAACTCTAGAGTTCTACATTCAAAGAGAGGAGAGCAGTCGAGAAAGATCTTCGAGGTTCGATATGATGAACACATTGCAGAGAGTTGTCGCGAAGGCGAGAAGGGACGAGCCGTTGATCGGAGAATTCAGGATCAAGAACAACGACAGCCACAGGTTCGGACACAAGATCATCGTGTCTGATGTAATGTGCCGAAGCCGATGGAGCGATGTCAACTCTTCGGACCTCATGTCTTTGAATTCCCAAATGCTGGATGTCCTGTCCAGCCGAAGATTTTCTTCGGCGAAAGAACATATCTTGAAGATCAAAGAGAACTTCGAAAGGATGCAGCAGCCTGATCGAAATCTTCCGGCAGATGATTCAGACAACGAGTTGGATCATACCTCAACGTCTAAACAATTGGATCCGTCTCAGAAAAGATCGATGTCTGAAATTTCGAATGTTCCAAGATTCAAGGAGTTCCCTACAACAAGCAAGATGGGGATGGATGACAATGTAAGAAAACTTTGGCTGCCTATAGCTAGGAAAACTGTTCGAAAATTCGGATGCTAGATAGAAGACTCGCCGGAGATGTCTATGGAGTGTGTAAGATAACTTTCTGTTCGACTAGGAAGGCGCGCTTTATAGTTCTAATGTCGTAATAAAACTGGCAACTATGGCAAGAAATCTCTATACTTATTCATGTTATGAAGAGGCAACAAACATTCTTAACTAGTATAAATGGTAGCCATGATCTGAACTATCAACATCTGAATTACTACTCATGTCCTGATTGATCTTCATTTCCAATTCTCGGACGCGGCTGACGCTGCTATTCGGGCTGTCGTTGACAGTCTTCTTACACTTGGCCTTGCGCCATTTGTACTTATTTCGCCAATGCCTCGCCAGCATCAGCATCAGCCCCACAAACACAATCACCGAACATCCTCCTCCGATCAGCGCCAATTCGACCAGCACATGGCGCGAGGACTTAGTGTCCGGCATGATTGTCCAAATCGCGGCTATATAAGCCGCTGTCATGAACAGCGTGGACAGCCACATCGCCTTGTGCGTCCAGCTCAGCAACTTCATCATCGTCTTCCTCGTGTAGGGGATGATGCTTACGTGGACATTGACGACGCAAATGGATATGAACAGAGCAGCAATGTTGCACACCAAGAAGACCTTAAACGCCGCGCGGTTTCCCCTCAGCGCCTTCCCGTTTTGCTGATCGAATCCGCCTGGCGGATTGATCCCCGCTGCAAATGTAATGGTCGCGACCAGGACAGCCACTATGGTCACAGTTTTTCGAGCATTTCGAATCCCCTCGTTCTGTAGCTCCAGCTTCCTTTCCCTGTTGTTGCTCCGGTGATGCCTGTGGCTATGGCGCGCTGGAGAAATTTGGTTGGGAGTAGGCCGGTTATGCCTGGATGCAGATTTACTCTGTATTCCTTGTGGGATGCCTGTCAGTCCAGGGGACAATTGATCGCATCTCTTGGCTCCTTTCTCCAGCAGCGCCGGAATAATTGCGAGCGCGCCGGAATTGCTGGCATCGGCTTCGATTACGTCTAGAGCTGTGTATCCCTTCCTGTTCAGGGCATTTACTTCAACTCCAACCTCGAGAAGATACACAACCATCTGGTCCAAGATCATGGAGCTTCTTAGCATGGAACGAACAGTTAATTAGTTAACCAAATTATTGACTTACGGCTGTGAGCTTTCCTGCGGTGGCTAAGTGGAGGACTGTGTTGCCGTCGTTGTCGTGCACGTTGAGAAGGCTGGTAGTGTCGAGAGCCTGCGTTAGATATCTGACAACTTCAAACTGATTGTACTTGACTGCGAGGTGGAGAATGGATTGGCCTTTGTGCGTCGTGATTTCGGATGATTTGAGATTGATGGAGAGTATCTCGTCGATTATGTTGATCCGACCTCGGCCTGCTGCGGAGTGGAGAGGTGTGTGGCCTTCGTCGTCGCATTCCAGGCAGAGATCGGAGTCTAATTTGAGAAGCTCCCTCGCCATGTCCAAATGCCCCTTGCTGCAGGCCACGTGCAGAGGAGTGCAACCTTGGGAGTTCTTCTTCCAGGCGAAGTCCGGACGCGATTCCAGGATCTGCCTCGCTATTTCTGCAGGGAAAATTTTGACGAAAGGGGCAATTAGATTGGAGCTATCTAGGGTTTGGAAATTGGAATTGATGATTGTTGTTGTTGTTACCTGTGTTGCCAGATGAAGCTGCTACATGAAGTGAAGTTGTGGCCATGTCGAGCTCGAGGACGAGGAGATTGGGGAATTTGAGGAGATGATGGACGATCTGCGTCCTTCCTCTCTCGCAGGCGGAGAAGAGGACAGTCTCGTCTCGAGAATTGAGTTTGTAGGCCATCCATGGATCTGTTTCCAGCAGGAGGCGGACGATCTCCAGGTGACCTTCTCTGCAGGCCACGTGTAGGCTCGTCTCCAGCTCTGCATTCTCCATGGAAGCCATTTCAGGGAAGGTCCTGAGGATCTCCTGCACCAATTCCAGGTGCCCGAACCTTGCAGCCAAGTGCAGTGCAGTGTTGAGAGATCCCGGGACCGTCTGCCGGAGGATGCTCCCGTCTTGCTCCACCAGCTTCCGAAGCTTCGAGACATCGCCACGTGTCACGTATTCCTGGAGCCCACGGTCCATCAATGTATGAAGCTTAGATACGCTTGCATTGCATAGCTTCTAGTTAACTCTACGCATTACGTCTATATATATATACACTAATACACTATGGGTGTGTTTGTTTGAAGGATTTTGATAGATTTTCACTATTCATCCAATTTTTTTCCCCCAAAAATATCAAATCAAACATCTATTTTTTATTTTTTATATTATACTAAAAATCAATTTTACATTCAAAATATCACATCAAACCCTATTTATATCACATCATACAACTATTCAAATTCAAAATTTTTACTATTCAAATCCCAACTCAAAATCCAAACCCCCAAACAAACACACCCTATATGTGCGTGTAGATTTTTGCTTGATTTTCCACAAATAGCGAAACGACTAGGAAAGTTCAATTTAATTTATTTCGATGATTAATTAATTTAGGGATATGAAATATATACCAAGGGCAAATAAAGGAAACAAATTTTCTTAATATTTTGACTTGTGCGCGCACGTTGACTTATTAAGTCGTTTCTTTAAATTTAATTTTATCATTCGCTTGGGAACGACGTCTTATCAGATACCTAAAAAATTTGGGTTGTGTAAAAATAAATGAATTGTTATATAAATCGAAAGGGACATGTGCCTGTAAGTGTAATGACAAATTGGTCCCAACGCAGCAGCCAATATGAGAAAACACGGATTTAATCAAAAGGAAATTTTGAGGAAAATACGAATGGAATAAAAGCGTGTTGTTATTTGAACGCGACATACTACCCAACTACCTCTGAGATGACGTATTGTATGACGTAATGTCGAAGAAGGTAGCGGTTGTGTGCGTGCGTGAGTGTTTAAGCCTGCTTTGATTTGTCTGATTAGACACAAATTAAATAATAATATTAAATTCACATTATATTGAGGGCTCAAGTGCAAAATTAAAAACAACTTTACAGCACAATCCACGGAAAACTGAAAAAAGACATTATAAATCCAGACGGAATTGACATTTATGGACTAGAAAGTATCTTCTCCGGCCAGCTGAACATAAGACCTGACAATAAAGAAATTCTCATAAATAAATCCAGCAAGCCCACCTCCAATTAGCGGCCCAACCCAATAAACCCAATGGTCGGTCCAGTCTCCGCTAATAAAGGCCGGCCCAAAGGACCTTGCTGGGTTCATGGAGGCGCCCGAAAACGGCCCGCCAGCCATAATATTGGCCCCAACCACGAGCCCAGTAAGAAGTGGGCCGAGCCCATCAAGGTTGCCCTTCTTGGGGTCCACCATCGTCGCGTACACCGTGAACAGCAGCGAAAACGTCAGAATTATTTCCAATAATACCCCTTGCAAGCTTCCCACTCCACTTGCCAGTGAATGAATTGGCGTAGCCTTCAATATTTATTTTCAAAATTAATTATATACGAGTATTATTTGAGTTGAATTAATTAAATAATTAATTATTGATTAATTAAATGATTGATAAATTACCAGTCCTCCGGTGACGAAATTGAGCAGAGCACATGCAGCTACAGAAGCCAGCAGCTGATCGATCCAATACAGAAGAGATCTAACGACGGTGAAATTGCCGCCGGCGCAGAGGCCGATGGTGACGGCGGGGTTGAGGTGGCCGCCGGAGATGCGGAATCCGGCGGAGATCATGACGGCCACCACTAGGGTATGCGCCATGGCCACGAAGAACAGCCCCACCAGAGGATCCCCATTCAGCTTATCTATAAATATATATATATATATATATAAATAAACAACTACATATAGAACTATGGAAGTATTATTAATTTAATAGTTACCGGAGGCCATGGCGGCGCCGACGCCTGCGAATACAAAAAGGAAGGTGGCGATGAACTCGACGACGAGGGCGCGGAGGCAGTCGGGCTGGTAGGCCTCCTGGAAGGTTCCAAAGGCAATTTTTGCCATCACTGAAGCTGCCGATGTAAATTAAATTAATTATAATTAAGCTATATTACTAGTAATTAATAAATTAATTGTTGGGCAGTGAGCAATTGCAATTGCAAATTCATGTATTTATAGGAGCGTTACGTTATTGATAAAGCAGGCACATGCAATACAACTAGCACTCTAGAAATGAATGGGCCCCCCACTAAAGCATCTATTGTTTCTTTTCAATTAAAAGACATTAATCTACTTGTATATTTAAGATTACTTTTATAAAATGTTACATTAAATTTATTTTATTTTATTCTTTAAAATATCACAATAAATATTTAATTTTATTATTTTTTTAAAAAAAAATTTCAAACCTCCAAAACAACCTCCCAAAATTTTGGTTTGTTTACGTATACATTTAAAAAAAATTGTATTATTTATATTAATTTGAAAATATATATATATATCAAATTTCACTAACAATATACTTAAGTTTTTGCTATTTTTAAATTTGTTAAAATATTTATAAATCTCTATATAAATCTCTTCATTATTATTATTATTATTATTATTATTATTATTATTATTATAAATATTTATATGAAGTGAGTTATAGATAATTGAATGTTATTTTGACAATACTATGCCAGAAATATTATATAATATATATATGTCATAACTAATAACAAGTGTGGAAGCTATCGTCATGATACAATAACAAAGATAATAGTAATATGTAAATTTTATTTTATTTGTGTTCGTAGGAATATATATGTATATTAAATTACATTTCAACTGAGAAAAGTGAGTTAAATAATGAGTAGAATGGTTACTTTTGATAAATAATAGTAGTATAATATGTTATCACAAAGGCCTTAATTAACATAGGACGTCCAAATTAATTATTTAATAAATTAATTAATGATTGCCATGGATGGTCTGTAATTATTATTGGTGCAACTTTTAACTAGTAAAGGTACTTACCGATTGTAAAAAAATTGCACCAACTATTGAAAAATAACAAATATATATATATATATATATGTTGTCGTCCTTTGATTAAATTTTATTCAATGATTAATATACGGAATTATTGTGGTGTAATATATAATTTATTTATTATTAATGTGGCTAGCCAAAAGCAGTTACATATTATTAGTAAAGACAATATAAAAAGCAGCTCTAACTTTGACAATACAAATGAAATAATTTGAAGAGCAAAATGGACGGCTGTGTATTTTTATTTCAATTATTGTGTGTTGATTTTAATTTTTTAACATTTTATATTTAACTTTTCCTTTTTAAATATATAAAACATGACGTTAAACAATTATTTCACCTTAAAAAAAAAAAAAAATGTGTCACAAAAATACAATCATGAAAAATCATTCATTCGTTCTTTTGTTATCCACCACAAGCAATAAAGCTACAATGTCATTCATCTATATATATTCAAAGATAACATTATGAGTACTTAAAAAAAAAAAAAAAAAAACACACACTGACGAATTCTAGTTCATGTCAATTTAAATTATATATAAAAGAATGAATGTTGGATTCAATGTACAGAAAAGAGGTAATATTTTATTGCAACACAAACATGCATGAGTGAGTTGTCAATTTCATTTGAAAACTATGGTTCGGTTGACTTTGTTGGGTTGAGAACAAATGATGATTCATGAAATAATTAATTTTCCTTAGCCAATAATTATTATTATTGTAATATATGTATACGTATAATTGAATTCCATTTTATTTTCAATCTGAAAAGCATTACATGGAAATGAAATTTGATAGACACGATGAAGAAACAATGTGGGATGAAACCTCCCTCATATTATTATTATTATTATTATTATTATTATTATTATTATTATTTATAACGTGAAATTCGCAGCCGCTACCGAAAGTGGCACTGAGTAAAGCCCCGGCCGTACCTAATACCCTACAAATTAGATCCGACAGACAAATTATACTAGACGACATATTAATTATTATTATTATTAGTGAGAAGAGTATAAAAAGTAGGCAGACAGGTCGTAGGTGCAGCGTGTTAGCCATCATCTTGCACATGCTCGATATGCTTATTTCTATACTATACCTGCAATGATTGCTGCTTCTTTATCATTTTCCAATTCAATAAATTTATTTTTTTTTATTTTATAATGTGACAAACTAAGGCTCCATTTATATAAAAGTTTTTGGAGTTTTCTAAAAATAATAAATATTTAAATATTTGATTTGATATTTTGTGAAATAAAATAAATTAATATAATATTTTTTAAAAAATATTATTGCTGATGTTGATAAAGAATATCAGAACTAAAAGCATTATGTAAACATAGCAAAGATCTTTTATTTATCATTATTATTATGATTTTCCTATTTCTTAACCCAGAGTCACAGATGAAGCCACATTTAAGCCCAATCAAACTAAGAGATGGCCCATAATATAGAGTGGGCCTTAAACGAGAATCTGGGCTTACACACCTCCGATCATTCATTTCGGCCCTTAGCAATAAAATAATAATAATAATAATAATAAGCATAGTTTATGGCACGAGTGAATCGAGAGCTCTCCAGCAATCATGGAAGAGGAAGTCCACGAGGTCCACGATGGAACCTTCTCTTTCCTTAACAAAATGGCTGCCTCTTAGCACTATGCAATCTCCTCATCCTGATCATAGTTATAGATGAAAATGGCGGAAGAGCCTCTCCTGGAGACTGCTGCTGCGAGTAAGAAAGGAGGACTCAGGACTTTGCCCTTCATCATCGGTACGTAAACGTGAGCGCCGCGTGTTTTTTAACATTTGCTCTCTGTGTATGTGTGTGTATTGTGAATGTTGAGAGAACTCCTGCAATGCACTTTCACACTTACTCGGAGAGCTCGATTATAAGAATCTGATTCATTTGTATACAGCGAACGAAGGATTGGAGAAGATGGCAACGTACGGCCTGATGCCGAACATGATCCTGTACATGATGAAACAGTATCATTTGGAAATGACCACTGCGTCCACCGCCTTGTATATCTGGTCTGCCGCCACAACTTCCATGCCTCTGATTGCAGCATTCATTGCCGACTCTTTCCTAGGTCGGTTTTACACCATTGGAATTGGATCCATCGTCTGCCTCTCGGTAATTTCATTTTTCGGTGCGCTGCGTTGCGATTGATCGATCACACACGTGCACATTAACTCGGTATAATGAATTTGAGCGTATTTTGTGGTGTTTTGAAGGGAATGATTCTTCTGTGGTTAACCGCCATTATTCCACAAGCACAGCCTCCGCTGTGTGATAAATTCTCTAGTCAAAATTGCAGCTCAGCAACAGTTCCTCAGTTGTTGTTCCTGTGCGCATCTCTTGGCCTCATATCAATTGGAGCTGGGGGAATCAGGTCTTCATCCTTAGCCTTTGGAGTTAATCAGCTGGAGAATGGATATTTCCGTGCTACTCCTGGTGTTAAGGAGAGTTACTTCAGCTGGTACTACGCTTCGTATACCTTCTCTGTCCTCATTGCTCTAACTTGCATAGTTTACATTCAAGATAACATAGGATGGGGAGTCGGCTTTGCAGTGCCAGCCATGTTGATGTCTTTTAGTGTTCTGTTCTTCTACTTAGCATCCCCCTGGTATGTTAAACTCAAGAGTAGAACAAACTTGATTGCCGGTTTCTTGCAAGTGGCCGTAGCTGCTTACCGGAAGAGACATCTTGAGTCATCCCACTGCACAGCTACTGTCTACCATTACAAGAGTGGTTCATCTCTTGTTTTACCTAACACTAAGTTAAGGTAAGAGAGATACTTATTGCCCATTTTGCTCCCACAGTAGCACTACAACAATACTAATGCTGATCTTCTTCAGGTTTCTAAACAAGGCATGCATTGTTACCGAACCCTGGAAAGAATTGAGCTCAGATGGCCAAGCTATGGACCCTTGGAGTCTATGCACAGTGGAACAAGTGGAGGAGCTCAAAGCATTGATAAAAGTAATCCCAATATGGTCTACAGGGATGATTATGTCTATAAACAACTGCCAGCAATCCTTTCTAGTGCTCCAAGCAGCTTCAATGGACAGAAGAATTACCTCAGGTTTCACCATACCAGCAGCCTCATTTGGGACATTCACAGTTATATCTGCAATAGCATGGATTACGCTTTATGACCGTGCATTTCGTCCACTGGCTTCTAGAATCATGGGGAGACCTGTTTATATCAGTCCTAAAACAAGAATGGGATTAGGGATATTTCTCTCAATCTTAGCTACATTGGTGACAGCCCTAGTGGAGAGTATCCGTCGAGCCCTTGCTGTTGAACAAGGGCTCACGGTGCCAATGTCAGCAATGTGGTTGGTGCCTCAGAATTGCCTGACCGGCTTCGCCGAGGCTGCAAATGCTATTGCACAGAATGAGTTCTATCTCTCAGAATTCCCCACAAGTATGTCTAGCATAGCTTCCACTCTAACCGGGACTGGCATGTCCGTGGCGAATTTGGTAGCTAGTTTACTATTAAACAGTGTAGATTCTATCTCAAAAGCAAGGGGGCATGAAAGCTGGATATCAACCAATATCAACAAGGGTCACTATGATTACTATTACTTGATTCTTGGAGGACTAAGTGTGGCTAACATGATGTACTTCATAATATGTAGCAGGCATTATGGCCCCTTAAAAGAAGAAACAAAAAGAATGGAGAAAGAAGGCCTTTAGCTTAGCCATGTGATAAAACTGGCATTTGTAAAACCAATTTTGAGCAGAGGGATACATCAGAAATGATTGAAATATTTCTTCTACTTCTCGATATTTATCCGCATCTATTCTTTATCTCTTTATTCTTGGGTGTGCTTGAAAATTCTAAAAGCATTTATCTTATAGGCCAGGGGGTTTCAAGAAAGGAGTCAAACCAAAGACTCCTTCGGGATCGACAGGGAGTCCGACAATTTGACGTGCAACCTCAGGTGTTTGTGTCTTGCCTTTCCATGGGCTGAACCACGGACCTCCTCCGACTTCAACGGCTGCCATGTTACTTGTAACATCCAAAACCACCTAATTGAAGAAGACAGACAAGAACATGAGGATACATCGAGATAAATGGCAGTGTCGGAGAAACTACAGAGCTGAAGAAACAAAAAATTACTACCTTTCCAGCAGTTCCATTATAATTCTTTTCCCACAATTGCAGCCTCAGTTCCGAGAAGCAAGTGTCCTTGCAAGCTTGAGTGAAGCCAGCCTCTGATGTGGGAGCACGCAACGTCGTGCCGGGGTCTCGTGTTGTTGCTTCCAATTCCACCTACAAAGATGAAATACCTTGTTATATGAACTAGATAAACTTCTACTCCAATTTTAGCAAAAGAAAAGTTATTCACTCATATATATCTGCGCATGCCAAAAGTATGAATTACCTTGTATGTGTCATTCTCTGCAGAGATGCACCAATGACCCCATGGAGCAATCTCCCACGTAACCACACCATTCCATGGCACAAACTCGTAAAAAACTCCACCATAGTGAACTCCAATCTGCACATCAACACAACTGAGTCGTGATAAATAATCACCTAAAAACAATCTGCCGTAAATCCATTAAAAGTTGAATTATAATGGTCAAACAAATAATGCAAAGCTGGTATAATATTAGTAGTGTTGATTGTAGGTATTATTGGGTCATTTCACTGAAACATGAGTGCGGCGTATTTCAGAGAAGTACCAGTGCAGCATTTTCGAAGATCTCACTCAACCCAGGAAGCTGTCTCAACCCACCAGCGGCAGTCAAAGCAACTTCTCCATCAGCTCCTTCAAAGACATTGCATTGCACCTGTAGAGAAACTCGGAAAATAAATTAGATGGAAATGAAATGAATGGTAGTAACTAAACATATATTTCAACATATGAATATCTGCAGATGAAGACCAAACAAGGAAAATTGTTTCTGCTTACCCAGAACCACTTTCTCGGGAAGCCATTGCCCCAGTTCTTCTCAGAATATGATGGAGCATTTTTGAACTCGTATCGTTTACCATCCCATTCAATCCAACCTACAGCAAGGAATCATAGAGAAAAATAAGTTCAAAAGGATGATAATACAAGCAATCAGTCCTATAGCCTGGAAGGTTTTCATCCACTGATTACAAAATGACAAAACTCCAATTGAGTAATAAAACCACCGACATACAAGTTTCTTAATCAAGATTCTGAACCAACTCATCAGAAGCTATGAACAAAAACATTAACACTTGAGATTGGAATATGGAATACTTGGAAAATAAAACCAAGCAAGCACCTGTGGAAAGTCCAGCAGCCATACATATTTGCCAATGAGGTTCAAAGACAGGAAATGCAGCAAGCCATCCTGCTGTCGACTTTTGCTTGGTCCCGACATTTCCCCATCCATAAACAGGACGAGTGCTGTATGCCCACCGTGCAGTCTTTACAATCTCAGCATAATTAGTCCTGTCAAGCCAACGGTCATTCAATCAACATAAACTTGAAGTGACTGAGAATCTAAAATAATGAGTAAGAATGTTAACCTCCCATCATCAACGATAAAACCTTGGTGCCAAAGTGGGGTAACTTGGAAACCCTCTGAAACTCTTCTGTTGAATTCCTGAACAACATTCGATGCAGTTACTAGTGAATCTATTGCATTCCAATGCATCCTCAGGGTTGAAGAGGTCATTAAGACTGTAAAACTAGCATAAATTTGTTGTCCCCAAACAGTAGTTTATTGTTCTTAGACAAAATTTATGTTGCAAGAAAAATGAAGGACAGAAGCAGTCCTGATTGTAACAAGTATACAGTTAAGAGAAAAGCTTAGCCTATGAGTTAATCCATAGGAAGTATACTGACCTGAGGATGGACCTCTTTCTTCGGAGGCTGCATATTCTTTTGCGCCACAAAAGTACTGCCAAGCATCAGCTCATGTCTATCTACCAAATGCAAAACAAGAATAATTGACCAACATAAATGATCGGAAAAATTAACCTAAACACACCCCATAGGAAAACAAACAATTTGAACATTTTTCTCATATTTTTAGATCACAAGCAGGAAACAGTTCCACAATCATTACACGAAGAGACATATACCTCCCCAAAAGTTTCTAGATTCATCGATGTACTGGCAAATATATTTGTCATCAGCTCCAAGAATTTGCGCTCCAACTCCAGTATATCGAGGACCGTACTGTAATTCCTCCAGTCTACTCAATTTCTTGGGGAATGCAGGATTCTCCACAGAGTACATGAAGCAGAAGCTCTGCCTACACTCTGGAATGGAAACCTTAAAGTACCAGCCCTCGAAGAATTTCCTAGCGGTTCCATCAAAATGATACCTTGTAATAGAGGAAATGATGCAAATCAGTTCATGATAATATAGAGAGAAGTAGCGAAAACAGACGGATTGTATAATTAGGCAGACATTAATATATCAGCCCCAACTTGAGGAATAATGATAGCGAATTTGATAAAGCAAACAGAATCTACAGCACCGCCATACGCACAGCCTAAATGAGAATAAAATAGGCCAAAATTACAGGAGAATGTGCAGCTACAGAAAATTGCTCAAATTGCTTACCGCCATCTACAACATCGCCTTAATCAAGCAAATTGAGCGATAAAACAGTTACCCGCTGTGAGGAGTTCGAAGAGGACGATTGGGACGCGTAGGCTCATAAACAGGTTCAACGCTAACAGCCTCGCGTTTGGAATCATCACCAATGGAGTAATCAAAAGAGGTGGCTTTCAGTTCGGATTTCCCTGGGGAGTTCTTCCTGAACCGCAGCTCCGACGGTAGATATGGAACCCTACCGGCAGTGTTAAGAGGAGCAGAGGGCAATTGGATGAAGGCGTTCTTCATGATTGTGCATACATTCTCCATTGATGAAAGCCCAGAGTTGAGCGACAACTAGCGGTGCTTTCAGATTTTACGAGCGAGAAACAGGTGCCTCCAATACGCAACGGAAGTTCCGAAATTTCTTTACCAAGTCCTGGGATCCTGAAGCCAACCCCACACTACTGATGGTGTGGATCTATTTGGCGTTCGAGTCCCTGGAGCTTCTTACTTCTACTTTGCCTCAGGTCACGTGGTAATCGCTAGGCATACGTGGCGTGAAATAAATTCATCAAAGCTGACAAGGAAACTCGAATCGGTGTTGAATTTTTTGCATATTAAAAATTAATCAGCATCTATATGATTGTGTTTTTTACTTTCGTGCCACATAATTTCTTCTTATTTTTTTATTTTTTTTCCGTCTCACATGTCCATTCTTTTCTTAAATATAATTATATATTTTAATTTATTTTAAATTTTAAATTTTCTAATTTTTTTATTTTTAATTAAACTATATAATTATTTTAATCTTAATTCACAATTATTTTTATTATAAAATAATTATTTTTACTAATACACTTCTAATCACACCTTAGTATATATAGTAATGGGTCATAATACATGGGATTGAGAGAGTAATACTAATGACCTTTTTTTTAATTATTAAGAATTTATTATTTAAATATTTATTTTAAAAGTAATACTAATGACCTTTTTTTTAATTATTAAGAATTTATTATTTAAATATTTATTTTATTATTTTATATATATATAAATAAAGGCAATACCTCCATCCCATCTAAAATAAATTTTGGATTGTCCACCTAAAGAACTTCTAATATCTACCAATTGGCCGTTTACTTTTAACTGTTATTTCTATTTATCCAACTACCTCAAGTTTTGATCCTAATCCCGTTAAATATAATTACATTTAAGGATATTTTATAATTTTCAATCTTATAGAATAGTACTATATTTTAATTGATGCTTATATTAAAAATAATATTAATTGAAAGCAAGCATACCCTATATCAATATCTTGTACGATGCAACAACTATAATAATAACGAGGATCATAGCAATGAACACTTGAGGGGGATATATGCAAAAGAATAGGGCATAGATCGAGGGAATTAAAAATAAATAAAAAAAGAAGTAGAAATAAAAGGAAGAGAATAGATGATTTACATGGATGTCCACCAACACTGTAGAGCAAAAGCATTCAACTGAAGCAAGTCACAGAACAAGGACGAGTGTGCCTTGTCTGCCTTTGTTTTCTAATAACACATAGAGAGCTGATTGTGGAGAATCATCTATCTAATTTCACTGAGTGGAACTACAGTGGCGAACCTATCACTGGTAAACCAGTGATGTTCATCTGTTGTGTGGTGCCAAACCATTATTCCCGGAGACATTGCTGAGAAGCATTCCATCTGGCTTTCGTCCTCCACGAGGAGCTGCACGAACATGCTCGCCTGCGGCCATGGAAACCAGGTCACTCTAAGATGCACTTGTTCTTTCTTTCGAGCTTTATTTTGTGCAGATTGATTTATAATAATAATAATCATAATGTGGCTGATGGAATTGGTTAATGTAGAATGTAATGTAGTTCAAGAGACTAACCTGCAGATCTTGTTTGACAGTGTGAACCTGCCTAATAGGTTCGATTGTTGGCCGGTGCCATCGCTTTGGATCCCAAATAATGGTGCTATTAAACGCAAAACCAGACATCTCAGCATGGAATCTGCGGAACCTTTTTGAAATGTCTGGCACATGCCACCCGACCACTTGAGAGCCGTTGCAGATTGGACCCTCGAATAAAAGCTTGCCTTCGCTCCCCAGAAGCTTGGCCACTGTCCATGTCCCAATCCGACTGCATTCAGAAAAATGTTTGTTTAGAGTGATCAGATCACTGCATATATCAGGAAAGTACTTTTATGGTGTATTTGAGTGACTTCTAGAAATGTATCATGTCCTCTAGAGCTAAAACTTGCTGCTAGAGTGAGTCTCTCGAATAAAATAGATTCGATTCGATTCGATTCAGTATTGAAAAATAGCAGTACCTATTCAATGAAGAATCAAGAAAGTACCTGATATTTCTCATGTGATCAAAAAGATCAGTAGTGTATATCTTATCATCATCTGCAAAGTAAACAATGCCATCAAGCTGGTGTGTCTCAATGTGAGAGAGGGCAACATTCCTCAGGAGCACGTTCTTGTCTGTTACCTCCGTAGAGTTCTTAATACTGCAAACCAAATGTCTGTACACAACACCAGTATTCCTCAATATTTCAGCCGTTTCTGCAGATTGAGAATTCATCTCCACCACTATCCACAACAGAGGATGGGGTACGAGCTTTAATGTGTAAGCCAAGCGATGCAGATAATAGGCCTGAAGTGGCTGAGCATGGGTCGGGGTCACAATGATTAGAAGCTTATTGTACACCAGATCAGATGCCATAGCCTCAGAATCATTAGCAATTGCATCCTTTAGGTCAACGCTCCATGAGCCTGAAACCAACACAGAAGATTCATTCAAAGATAATCTACTTATTACCGACATCTCATTTTCCTGCTCGCTGAGCCGCTCGTCATTTGCATTTTGAAGCCACTCAAAGCTAAAGGTTTGGTGTTTAGGTATTAGATTAGTGGCCAGATTCATGGGAATGAATGGGGTAAGTCCAACTAGAACACCAATAATAAAGCACATTATGAAATGCAGAAATGCCCTCCGCCAAATTTGCCCCTTTAACTTTGGTCTATCAAAGGATCGAGAAGATCGATGTGAGAATAGACCAAGGATAAAACTCTGGGCTTTGTATAATGCATAGTCCAAGGCACCCAATGAAGAAGGCAAGATGCAACCATGGGATGGGTAGTTCTGACTGTTTGAAGATGACTTGGATAAAGGAGATGCAACCTGACATGCTTCACCATTCGATAAACCTCCTGATCGAGGAACAGGAGACAATGTTCTTCGAATAGATGCCATCACAGAGACTCAACCAGGATATCCAATTTTGCCCAAGATGTGCCGTTTAGCCCAGATTCATACCATAGTAAGAAAATGATGCACCAATATACAACTAATCATCCAAGTCATGATGGCCAATAAAGATCTTCCAACCAAAGTATCAACATGACAAAACCCCCTCAAATCATGTGATTATGTATCTTCCCAGCATATCCATAGAGCAGTTTGACAGCTGTTGCAAAAACGATATGCCAGTTTGTTCTTCGCCCTTTATGGATTTTAATCTGCTGGAAATTGCTACTTCTCAGAACTGGAATATGTTCTTCCCCCTTTATGCAAGTTTTTTAAGACAGACATGATTCTTCCTCTCCACTAAGATCCGCGGATGAGGTAAATAAGGGAAAAAAGCTCAATATATCCAAAGTACCCCTCTGTATTTTTATCATCCGATGCATCCTGCGAAAGGCAACTCAATTAAACAAATTTTTTAAAAATGCAAATTTTCTTTATTTATCCACACTAGCATATGTAGAAATCAACAGATTGAGATGCAAAATATCTTCTCTCAAAAATACTTCGCAGTTCATCCGAACGTTCTCAAATCTGAAAAGAAACAAATATTCCTTTCTACACCGTACAAAAAACCAGATTTGAAGCTCATACAAGTTCTATTAAGCATGTGAATGCAACCAAATACCTTGATTTTAGTCCCTCGGGAACTGGGTGTTCTCTCTCCTGAACCAATCTGAAATCATGGAGAAAAACAAGAAACGAGGACTCGTACACAGCTTCTTAATTGTAGAGCTGAGTAGATAATTACAGTCAAAGGACGAGGAAGCGTATCCTTAAATCTGTGTAGGGCTTCGAATCTTGGATACACTGCAATGAACCTGTCCACAAAAGAACTGCAGGAAAGTTAATGGAAAGGCCGAAATTTTTGAGGGGTGTGTGGTTTCTGCAAAATAGCAGTCACATGAGAAAGTGGGGATCGAATATCTGCAACCCACCCAGAAAACATTGGTCCCATAAAAGCTAATAATTTATAACTCCTTGGCTATGGATTAAGCCACAAGTGATGGTCTCAGTTTCTCTTTTTCCAGATTTATACCTCCGTAGTGTAAAATTCAAGAACATAATTTAAAGAGATCTATATATATGTGCATCAATCTTATTATTTTAATGTGTGAGACAGACAGCTGTTTCTTATTGGCTTCCAAGTACTTTTTTTTTTTTTTTAAGAATAGCAACAAGGTGAGAGTCATTTTCACAAACATTTTGAAAGCACGTACACCTTCAAATTGTTAGGTATTACAAGCACGGATAATAAATAACATGCTCGTGCAATTTTAACAAGCAACTATGTGATCATAATCATATAACAATACCAAGAATTTGCATTAAATAGATAGACAAGCTAATTAATAGATCACGTGCAACATGAAGAATTTTCTTCCAGAAGAAATTTTGTCGATTATTGTATTGTATTTGGTGATCATACATGTGCCAAGATATCCACTCATTAATTCGTGTGTATGCTTTTTCAACAGTTCGTTGTATCCAATGAACATTTAAAGCAGTAATAAAAGTAGCTTTGGCATATTATATAAATAAATGATGCAGTATGACTGTGTGAGCTAAAACTAGATAATTGAACAACTTGAAAATGCCAGGTACTTCAGAGTTTAAGATCAGTGGGAACCGTAGATTGGCATTTACGATCAGCGTTGGTAAATGGTGATGGTTGCGCCTGTATCTTCTTCTGAGAATCGGCCAAATTACCATTAACGGAATACCTTACTGCAGAAACTCGTAGGCTTGTATTATCCATAGAACTGATGCTGGTTCCTGTGAGCTTTATATAGCTCAAACTTTTTTCGTCTAAAATCAGGTATTGCGGAGCTTAACCGCTGAACCAAAATCCTCATATGCGCGCAATGACTATTGAAACTTGAGCAGTTGAGCTCAACAACTCAATTTTACATCCGAATCCGATGAAACTTACATCCGAACCTCAGCTAGTATAAGCACGACTGCACCACGATTGCTCACCCCCGATACTCCTCGGCGCCGGCTAACCGTAACCTCCGCTCTACGCCATTGAAATTTGAAGCTGGTTTTAATTTCAAATTTGAAAAGCTCTTCCTTTAGAAGACAAAAAGCGGCGTTGTCACCCTCGCGATTTTTCAAGCAGACCAATAATTGCGGGCCACGTGCAGAACGCAGTTGCTGCGGAATGCACTCTTCTCCCTTTAGCGCCAAATCTGGGGTCATTTTGGTAATTGCACCTCCCCTGGACCCACTCATGTTTTGGCGTCTTTAACTCACTTTGTTTAGGTCACTTTCCCTCCGGTTCCCGTTCCTGCAGTTCTCTCCGCACCGCAAATTTTAATCGCGCTTTTCATCAAATTCTGGATTCTTCCAGTCAACAAAATTTTATAATCTTTCACATGTAATTTTTTAAAATCTAATCAATAATTTTAATCAAATGTAAGCTTTGTATGGGCAAAAAATTTAAAAAGTAAAAATGGGAGTTTTAAAAATTTAAAAATATATAATAATTAATGTAATTTTTGTGAAAAGAATATGTATATATTCAATTGTGATATTTTTTTAAAAAATTGAATAATGACAAGGTTTAAAAGTATTTTTGTTTGTATTTTGTATAATATTCAACCTGTTTTAATTATTTTCATGAATTAATAATAAAAATCTAGGAATAAAAATAGGCAGTGAATTATTATCTAATTTAATTATAAGTCTTTTCCGTTGACCACATAATTATGGTTATAATATTATGACCAAATTAAGATGGCTTTAAAATTGAAACTGAGAATCGCATGGAATTGCACGGGAAGACACTGGAGAGACATCCCTCATTTAATCTAACGATCCCAAAAGATAATTATGTCCTTTAGGACACTGTGACCGTTAGATCAATCTTTTCAATCTCATCCGTCGAGAAAACCCTACCCTTTATCTGGGCCGTCAATTTTGATAATCCAAATTTTCAAAAGTTTTGAAGCGAATCACATATCAAACGGAAAACTCAAATCCTCTTCTCATCAAGCCTCCGCTTCTCTCTCCCACTCTCTCTCTCTAAAATCCCCAAATTTGCAAACCTTATTCGCATTGATTGCTTGTCGTCGAAAGAAGATTGATTCTGTTGATATCGAATCAAGATCCTTTTCGGATAGCCGAGTTTGGGAAGCGAGTTTAGAAAATTGTTTATTGCGCTGGTGGAGAAAGATTTGTTTTTTTGCTTCTTGATTTTCTGAAGCGGAGCGTGAAAGTGGAATCTTGTCAGATTTCGTCATCAAATTTAAGTTTTGGAGGAGAAGTTTGGATACCGTCGGTTCTGTTGCATGAAATTCGAAGCTCACAGTTGTTTTAGAGGGAATAGCATTCTGAGTTATGGAGCAGAATAAAACAGCGGCGGGAGCAGCGTCGCCGGCGCCGGTGGTGAGACAGCTGGATTTCACAATTAATCTGAAGGCTACGGCGAATTCAAATGCTAGCCGTACGGGAAATTTGATATTACCAGACCATCCACAGGCTCAATTAGAGTCCAAGCTATTGGCTTTAGCGCAATCGCAGAGACTGCATGCGAGTGCTAAATCTCCGTCGCCTCCGCGATTGGCTGCCCATACGAAGCTTCCACCTCGCAAAATGGTAATGCCTCCGAGATCTCCACAACGAGAACTTCCTGGCATGGTTGCGCCAGGGCCGGCGAACGCGGTGAAGCCTGTTCCCGTGCCCAAAGCTGCATCCAATTATCCATTGCTGTGAGTGCTATTATATCATTCCCATTTTCAAATTTTGGATAGATTTGTGAAAATTTTCTTCTTAACTTTATATGCCTGTGAATTCCGTTTCTATATGGTAAAAAATTTGTGTGGTCTTTTGCTTTGTCAACCGTTTCTTAATACATTATCAGATAGAAGGTGTTTAAACATATGCAGGTAAGCAAGGATCCGCGGATTGCACAGAAATATTCAAATGGTTTAATTTCATATTCACAGCTTGAATTCATGTTTCTTGATTTCTATGATAGTACATTTTGGAGATTTTGAATGCTAATGTGTCACAGATATTGTTCTGTTGCTTTCTTTCCAAAACATTTGGAGCAAATATCTGTTCTGTTCTATATGACTGTTAACTCATTTTAAAATGTTGCTTTCTCAACGTCAACAATTTGGAGATTTTGAATGTTAATGAGTAAACGCTTCAACATTTATCTGTTGCTTTCTCCAAATATCTTCAATTTACGTTAGATCTGTTCTATTTGCGGATATCTGTGTACATTTTCTCTCATTTTGAAATGTTGATTTCTGTTCAACTATGATAGATAACTCTTGATTGCACATATGTTCACAGATATATGTTCCAACATTTGAAAATGAAAGCAAATTCAATTCTGTCCAACATTTAGAACAATATCTGTGAACACATTAGTTTACAGAAAATAATTCATATTCAATTCTTTATTTACAGAACAGTTATCCTGTTGCTTTCGTTCCAAGTATTTACAGCAACTGAGCACTCACTAGCTTGATTAGGTTTTTATCTTTTCTCTCATTTTCGCTTTAATGTTTCAGGAAGTCCGATTCCCCAATATCACGTGAAAGGACTACTTCTGAACAGGGTGATGCCACTCCCAAGAAACAGAAGCAATGCAACTGTAGGAACTCTAGATGCTTAAAGTTGTAAGTGCATCTTTTTCGATTCATTAAACTTAGTAAGTTAGTTGGTATAGTAAATTTTTTCATCAGACTTATCAATAAGTGATTCTAGAGGTAAACAGATCTTATTGTTTGTGTTGAACTGCCTTTTGGCCTCTGAGATGTCCTCCTTCATGACCAACAGATACTGTGAGTGCTTTGCCTCTGGGGTTTACTGTGATGGATGTAACTGCCTCAATTGCCACAATAAAATGATGTATGAAGATGATAGAAAGGAATCCATAGGTGCAATTTTAGAGAGAAATCCCAATGCTTTCAGACCAAAGATAGCTGGCAGTCCACGGGGAGTCAAAGATGGGGTATGTCTCGGGGCTTTCTGATGTTTCATTCGGTAGCTTATAAATTAATGTCTAAGTATTCAGTTTTCCTTGCCTGCAGCCTTACTACAGTGACTTCAATATCTTGTTATGTATGTATATGGCAATGTTTGGTATAGTTTTCCTGTCTTCATACTTATGGGAATAAGGGATAAGAAGCCTTGAGATCAAGTATCTGTCTCCCCATGAAAAATTAGTCTATTTTCATATTTTGGAAATTTGAATTGATTTTGAATTCATGCACTCAATGATCACTGGGCATCATATTCTTGTATGCACATTCTCATTTTACTGAGAGAATATATAAGAAGAGTTAAAACTGGAATTGAAGTTGTCCTGGTGCACACATCCTTGTAAAGGGATGCATATGTTTAATCGCAGCTTATTACACTATCCTTAATTAAATTTATGTTGGTTTACTTCGCGTCTGATGTTAACTAGTTTATGGAATTCTCAGGTAGAGCACAACAGAGGATGCAATTGTAAAAAATCGGGGTGCCTCAAGAAGTACTGTGAATGCTTCCAGAACAATATTCTATGCTCTAACAAATGTAAATGCGTGGAATGCAAAAACTTTGAAGGGAGTGAAGAGAGAAAAATCCATCTTTATCAATATCCAGTAGATTCAGCGGACATAATCCAACAGGCAACCAATGCTGCCATTAATGGAGCCATTGGCACTCCAAGAAAGAAAGCTCGTAATAGCAAACAAATCAATTCAGGAACTGCCCACCTACCACAGTTTCATCAGGTACATATTGAATGCTTAAATCAAATTCCATCCAAGAATTAGATGACTATACTTATTAAGTCATGTCGTCATAACCCTTTTCCTTATAGCCTAATATCCCTCTTTTGACATCAGGGAACTTGCTGGACATCACCCACGTTTTCTCCATTATCTGTTCTCACATCTAAACCATTAGAGCCACCCAAATTATCTTACAGGTAAACTACTCTCATTTTGTTTTTAATATATTTGTGTTTGGATGTCAATAGTTTTGCACACACCGACTCCCACCCTTTATTTCATCCTTTTTCCTATAATCGAAGGTCTCCTTTATCCGGCCTCCTCCAACCACAACATGTGAAGGACATGTGTACATTATTAGTTGAAGTTTCAGCAAAAGCAGCTATGAGTCTTTCAGGCAAGTTTCATGGCCTTGAGATATTTATATTTATGCTTTACAATTGATCATTTTTTAACGTGGTAAATGACCGGTGATTGCAATGTTGTTTATTCTTGTTCTTTAGTTCTTTAGCTTCTAATAGTAGGAAATTGATTTCGAATGATTTCTTTTAAGCTATTTAATCAAATGTTGAATTTTACAATCACTTCTTTCAATGCCTTCTTCATTCATTTAGCTTCACTTTCCCTATTCCCTAACACTTGGATTTACCTTTTCAGAAGAAAACAAGAAGATTGATGTAATGGATGAAGATAAAACTGAAATTTCATGTTCTTCATCCTGCCATCAAAATTGTCGAAGCGAGAAAACTGCATTGGATGAAAGCCGAGTGTGTCCAGACAGAATTTCACACGGCGATGATGTCCAAAGTGGAAGACCGTTGTCTCCAGGAACACTCTCATTAATGTGTGATGAACGAGACATTCCATTTGCTGCCGACAATTCCCCATCAACAGCCATGGAATCCAACACAAGTACAAACACAAGTTCAGCACCTACCCATACCATCAACAAGTTATACGCCGAACAAGAAAGGCTCGTGTTAACCAGGTTTCGCGACTTTCTCAACAGACTCATCACCAGTGCCTCCATTGAAGGTGATGATACTCTATCTTTTTTATTATTAGTAAATAATACGAACTTCTTGATCTCTCTGCCCTGAGTGTATTAGCATTCAATTGCCAAAGAGTTTCGACTGATACACGCCACATGCTGTGACATTTTGCAGGAGCAAAACTAGAGCATAAAACTAACTAGTACACGCCGCCGCCGAGGTCAGTAACCTAAGCATTCTGTTCAATCCATGCTTTTAGTTCAGATATGTAGAAGTGTGTTGTCTTGATGCAGTTACACTTTTTTGGGAGGTCTGGTAAGATAATATATATTCTTTTGCTTTAAGAATTGATCTTCAGTAATGGGCAGACTTATATGTAAGAATGATCACAACCATGATTCCATCCATGTTCTTCAAGGTTTGCCCTTCCGCAAATATATATATACACTTCATCCGATGATTTGTTTGCTATTATTTTTATTTCAAGATGCCTTGGAGTGTTTGTAATTTTATTTCTTTATATGGGGCTTTCTTTTAACTTTTATAAATATAATATATAAAATCATTACAAACAAAAGTAAGAATTAAAAGTTACTGTAAAAAAATTTATTAAAATTATAATGTTTAAAGAATCATCTTTGAAACCAAAATTAGCAAATAAATAGAAATAGAGGTAGCATATGTTAATTCAAATCATTCTGGATGTAGCCATGTAGGCCAGATTAATTAAGAATCAAGATATCAGGGTTTTGTGCAAGAAAGATTCTGGCAGTATAACAATTAATATGATTTATGACGTTGTATTATTGCATAAGCATTTTTAGATATTTTAGTATTATTATTGATTAATAGTAAATTCTTTTATATCTTATTTAATATTTAGCTCTTGGTTTTTCTTTGTTTTTATATATAAATATTATATCAAATCCTATATATATAATTATAGTAAAGGGTGTGGACCCCACACCCTTTTTTTTTTAAATTTTGAAATCCTGCAATTTCAGAATTTTAAATTTTTTTCTTTTTATTTTTATACCATTTTTCAAAATTACAGTTTACTATTCCATTATTTTCTCTAAATAATATTATAATTATCTATTTTTATTATATAAGTTTTTCATAAATTTTTTATATTTAATTACTTTATTTGTTTATTAGATTATAATTCATAAATTAAAAAGTGATTAATTTATTTTATTTTTTATTGAATTTTATAAATATTTTAATTGTTATTAATTCCATAGTGGGTTAATTTTTTTATTTTAAATTATATTATTAATATTATAATTTTTATTAATTGCACCACACGGGGACTTACACTCTTTGATTAGGGATATGATATTTAGGGATATGATATTTAAGGTAAAGATGTTTAATTAATTAATAATAATTATTTATGATATTATTATATTATTTTTTTATTTAATTAATAATATTTATAATTTTAAAGTAAATTTAATATATATAATTAAAAAATAAAAAAATATATTTAAATATTTAAAAATTATATAGCAATTAAAAAATATATGCAATATGAATATAGAATAAAATATAAATCAATTTTATAAAAGATGTATAGTTTTAAATATAGATAAAAATATTTATTTTTTGAAAAAATAGATAAAAATAATGGGGTTTTGAACGCTTATTTACAATGGTGTATGTTATATAATTAATTAAGTTAATTTATATTTATTAAATATATTTTAATTTAATAATTTTTAAGATGTCAATGGTTAAGGAGAAATAAAAATAAAAATAGTATAAATTGTGACGGGAGGAAGGAAGTATGCAATAGCACATTGAAAATAAAAAATAAAAAAATAAAAAAATAAAAAAAAAAAGGGGTAAAGTTGGAGTGTACCGGAAAATATAAAAGAGATAATATGACAGTGGTGTCGTCTTCGCGGAGGAGATGAGCAAATATGTGCAGGAGCCATCCATTATTAATTTTCTTTGTTTTCCAAACCACTACTTTCCACGATTATGGTGCTGCCACGTGCGACGCACGTGCCACCGCCACTTCATAACTCTAAATTCAACTTCAACTTTAATGTCGTCGTTTTCTCAACTGCTGCACGCTTCATCTCAACTCTTCCGACTATGGAATCTTCGGACGACGTCGCCAACTTGCGCTCCGAGTTTCTGCAAGTTCTCCGCAGTCGAAGAATTGCTCAAGGTCATCATCATCCGCAGCCTTCTCTCTCTGTCAATCTCTGTATTAATCTTTTTTCTTTAAGGAAAAAAATGGTAGTTTCAGTTTCTCTGATGGAATTGTTTGAATCTGCTGCATTTGATCGCATGGATTTTGAAATTGGTATAACTTTGATTTGATTTAATAATTAGTGAAGAGGTTGACTGTTCAGAGGGGTACGAGAGAGGTTCATCAATGATTAGACAGAAACGTTTTTCGTATTGAGGACTCAGTTTGCATCAGATTCAAGAGAAGAAGAAAGTTCATATATCTTCTTCTCGGAAGATTATAGGCCGATGGAAATTTGTATCCATTCTCAAAAGCAATTTTAAGTTGAATCTACAAAACAAGGCCTTTGTTTCCTTATGTTATGTTGCGGAAGTTATTGGTAGTAGTACTTTGTGTTAGATAAGCATTAGCCACCACAGCACTACTTGAAGATTTTGATTATATTTATCAGCTATTTTGAAGTTAGCAAGAACTATTGGCTGGATATCCTATCATGATGTTTCTACTCTATCTTGTATGGATTGGATGGATGCTTGCTGTAGTGAATCTTCCATTTTAATGCATTGCACACCAATAAATGTGAACCTTGAACTTATGCAGTTTATCGTTCTATTGAACCTGCACAACCTGTCCAGCATCCGTTGTATCAAGAACTGCCAAAGCCAACTTTCAGTGAGGTTGTAGTCTCCATTGTATTTCTGTTCTGTGTTGATTATGGAAATCATTTATCTCACACCAGCCTTTGGTGAAAACATACAGGCAATGGAGTCTTGTCCGAGGAAAGAAATTCCCAATTTTAAAGAACTTCTTCAAGAGGAGAACTTTTACCTGACTACTGAGGTGTGGCCTCTTTTGTCTTACCAGAGCATGCTCCATGAAGCTTGAGCTTAATTGTGTATTTAAATGAATAAAAGTGTACTTATTACCCATTTCCCAAAGCTCCCTACTTGACATTTAGTGTGATCTCTCCACAACAATAAGAAGTTTACTTATCATGTTAGATCGATCTTCATTGACTTGATTGATGAACAAGCCATTTCGAATAAGCATACGATACATTGGTGCCCAGCTTTATATGCTAAAATTTATAACCAGGAAGGGGAGCAAGGGCGTTTGCCTGTTCTATTACTGAAAATGAGAGCCAGCAGTCAGAAGAGAAGGGCAGCAATTGTTTTCCTACACAGCACACATAAATGCAAGGAGTGGCTGCGGCCTTTGCTAGAGGTAGTGTAGCTTTATGTTTCAGAGAATTGTGGACATTAACAAACATTCTATAAGGATAATCATAAGAGCTTGTTTGCAATTTCCAATGGTCTCAGGCATATGCTTCAAGAGACTATATTGCTGTAGCCATTGATTCTCGCTACCACGGGGAGCGTGCCAAAAACTTAACTACCTACAAAGATGTGCGTCTGCTTTAGCCTGTATGGTCATCTTTGATTTGCTCTTTAGAATACATTATAGGTTCATATTTCTCATGCAGGCTCTCGTCACATCCTGGAAAAATGGGGAGACAATGCCTTTCATATATGACACGGTAGTATTTCCATTCTTGCAGTTTGAGCTAGAGACTCTAAACAACTGTTGATATGCTACAGTCAAATTTTCCTATGTTTGTTCAATCAAGAAAGCAATTTCCATGGTTGTATTTTAAATTGTCATTATGGTATGTTTTCTGAACTTAGACATATATTTGGTAGGTATGGGATTTGATAAAATTGGCAGATCATCTTTCTGAAAGGGAAGACGTGGATCCTCATAGGATAGGAATAACTGGTGAATCCCTTGGAGGTCAGGTTAATTCATTCTTAGGATTATTGTGTGTGTACATATATATTTCTATATTTGGAGCTCATCATGTGATGTTTTTGCTCAGGAATGCATGCCTGGTTTGGTGCTGCTGTAGATACTCGCTATTCGGTTGTTGTCCCTATAATTGGTGTTCAGGTAGGTTTTACAATTCCCGCATTATGGTGAGTATTATCTTCAGTTTCAATGTGTATGCAAAATACTTCTAGGGGTTTCGGTGGGCAATCGAGCATGATAAGTGGCAGGCTCGAGTTGACAGCATCAAGGATGTATTTGAAGGTGGGATTACATTATTACAGCACATATAATTTATATTCGTATGTTTCCTGTATGTATTGTTGATTCTTTCCATCTTGTTTTTTCAGAAGCAAGAACTGACTTAGGAGAAAGTACAATCACTAGAGAAGTAGTGGAGAAGGTTAGTTTTATCGCTCTCGTGTCTCTTCTCGGTTTAATCATATTTGCTCTATCCTAATAATTGAAAAGAATGTGTTGTCTACCTATGAACCTTTTGGGTTGTGTGTTCCCTGATCATCTTATAGGTATGGGATAGAATAGCACCTGGTTTGGCCTCCCATTTTGATTCACCCTACACAATTCCTGTAATTGCGCCACGCCCGCTACTGATTTTGAATGGTAAGGGAATTTCCTAAGTAGTAGTTATGTAGATCAACTTGGTAACTACATGAACTTGGACTGAAAAGTAGCATATGCAAATTTTTTAGGTGAAGATGATCCTCGTTGTCCTGTGGGTGGATTGGAACTTCCAGAATCGAAAGCAACACAGGCATATAGAAAGGCTGACTCAGTCCAAAACTTTAAGGTAAGATACAGTTAATAGCAGCTATTTCATAATCTAAAAGAACTAACTGATGGTGGTTTCAGGTGGTACTGCAACAAGGAATAGGCCATAAGATGACACCTTTGATGGTCAAACAAGCAAGTGATTGGTTTGATCAACATCTTTAATCCTGTGAGTATTATTAATATTTACCAAATTCATACTCTGCTACTCTCTCATTGTATTCTACATCCTAAGTTATGAACCACCCCAATTGGCTCGGTGCACAATATTGATTGCAAAAATAGTAAACATAAAATACCGAAAGCCAAAAAGTCCATAATCAAGCCAACCAAAATCTTCCTTATCATTCCCACCACGGCTAGACAGTCTTTGCATGCCTGAATTTTGACATGTCCACAAGATCTTCAAACAGCCTGTCCTCTGGCCTAGAAGCATTTTCCGATCCCGATGACGGAGGAGACGAGGTGGCAGCAAGTGAGCCCCTCAGAAATTGTCGGGGGATGCCTTGCCGAACAAACTGTATATGTTGCGGATACCCATAGCCATAAGCACAGCCGGTGCTGGGGCCAAAGCTAACCATCTGGCTGCTTCCGTACATCTGTTGAGGATACACATAACCCGTCGGGCCAGCCTGCATTGGCTGAGGATACATCACCACAGAACGTGGACAAGACATGGGAAGAGATCCCGGATCGTAAGCACCTCTTGGCGATGGCTGATTAATCATGGCCATGCTGCTGTCGAGTTCTGCTTCCCATGGAGGAGGGGGCAATGCTGTGGTATTATCAGCTCCTGTCAAATAAATGAGCAAAGTATGCATAAATTAAAGAGGTATTCGAACTTTGCATCCAGCAGTAGCAGAATCATTGAGTAGAGATGCACCGTAAACTGGTGAGGATGGTAGCCGTTTTAGCGACTGTTCATGCCGGGGTAGCATAGGACCGACAATACTTCCATTCGATAGTAATGGAGGATTGAAATTCATTTGAGAAGATGAGGGGCAGGCTTGTCCATGATCTAAAGATTGGCTGTTGTTATTCTCCGAGAACAGATCGACCAGAGCAAGAGCATTCTGTTCGGACGAAATGGGGATCGCTGGATGAGGCTGTACAGATGGAACAAGTGCCAGTGAGCTTTCTGTAGACGAGTTGAAGTCATCTCCACTCAAGAGATCCATCTGAGGATCGGGCTTTGATGGGGTCGTCCAAACACCGGTAGTAAGAGCCGGAGGTAATAGCTGCTTCTGTAAGGTACTAGGGGATGTTGTAGTCCTGCCAAAGAAAATTTCAACTTTTCTAAGATTTGAACAAAATAAGGCGGAAATTGTGACTCATCTAAAGGACAATGGAAGAACTCATAGGAGGCATTATATGTAGAGCAAAACGTAATCTTACCCTTTCTCTGGCTGTTTGGCATCATTGGTGGTGGAAGGGACCAAAGCCCGACTCAATTCTGGTCTTGGTTGCTCTATTTTTGAAGACACAGCTCCACAAGCAATCGAGCCGTGTTTAGCCAGTAGACATTGCAAGTCATCATTCAGTGCTAATGCTTGGGATAATAGCGATTCATCCCTACAAAAAAAATATAAATAAACAGAAAAACACGAACAAGCTCATCAAGAACATTGTTGCAATAGCATTGATGATCAAAGAATAGTTCTATATGACATTTCAGAGAAATAATATCGAGAGCATAGGCATGGTTAAACTGGGAGAATGATCGATAAGTTGGCAGGGGAAGTAGACAAGGCCTTACGAAGTTGAGTTAATAAGGTGCGCCACTCTTCGCTTGTAGGTACGGCACTGATCCACAAGATCAACTACGACCTCCTGCTTGAGCCCCTGCATGAAGTACACAGGCTGCTTCAATTTCTCAAATTCTGGTGTACTAAAGATCTTAAATTTATACAGCATCAAACATTCACAAGACAAGAATCCAATCATGCAGACAAAGTATTCCAATCACCAATCTGCCCTTAATTAATTACCATAACATTTTCGCACCTCTATGTTACCAGGATCTAAAGCATTCAGCATTTCTGTGAGGACCTCCATGATGCTACGCGCACGTTGAAGTTCGGTTAAGCTGAAACAAAAGAAGACAAAAGTCTACAATGAGCACATGACTGAAATGCAAAATATTTAAGCTTTTAATTATTTTAAAGGTGTAACCTTGCAATAACATCAAATCTATTCAAACAATGAGAAGCAACATTTGAAGTTGAGAACAAATGTATCACGATTTCACAGGTGGAAACTGGTAAAAGAGAGAGATTAAATGTATATACAATCCAGAATGCTCAACCTCAAGGTCGGAAGTTCAGTATCGGCAGAAGATCCCACTGATTTCTGACTCAGTTCAGAATTGTGCATATGTTGTGGGTTAGATGACAAAGGATGTGTCTGAGGTGGAGTGAAAACGGGAGCTGAGCTCTCGAGCTTCTGGGGGAAAACTGCCCCAAGACGCTGATACCAATTACATTAGCTTCATGAATACCGAAAAATAAAACATGAAACAAAAAATGAAAAAACAAAGCAATCAGAAGATTCAGTATGGAACTACCAATAAATCCAGGTATGCTATGAAATATTGGGGATATTTTGCTCTTGGGCCTCCAAAGGCTTCTTGCCAAGTATCTATTAAAGTCAATATCTTCTCTTTCACTTGAAAACCTAGCTGCAGCATCGGATTTTACATCATAAAAATGGTGGGATTCAGTATAAAATAGAGAATGAATTAGACTACCTTCTTTTTTGCAGCTTTCACCATTTCATGGGGTAAATCTTTTCGAGCAACATGCTTATGGACAATATCACCGCAGTTCTTCATAATGGTTTCTAATAGCTAGAACACGAAACGAAACATTTGCAATTGACTCAATAACTTAACCAAAATTTCTTCCACTGCAAGGATATGAGAGGAATCTATAAGGACTTAAACCAGTGTAGTCCAGAGGACAGAATTTAAATATAGAACTGTTTTCTTTGCCCAAATAGAGCACCCTAGTCTTTAAATTTGAACTTGTTTTTCCATCACTGGAACATTTTAATTCAACAAACATACTAACTAGCAAACCAGGGAAATTATCTGCCCTTGGATTAGAAATTTGAAGTTAAATCTCTTGAATATAATTTCACAGAAAAATGCAAGTTATTCTGTGCTGTATTCTTGCCGTCACCCTAACAGCAAGAAGTGTATTCCAATATCATCCACCGATTGCCTTATCTAACAAAGCAAAGTGATCTTATACATAAATAACTTAAGAAGTCTGGATAAGCTATTCCTTCTGCTAGTTAACAGAAAAAACACAGAGTCAAATCTTTTATCACCAAGAAGAAAAGGTTTGTACTTGTAAGAAAGAAGCACAATGAAGAATTACACCTCTAATACTCAATAGTCGTTGCATAAAAAGCACAAAAACAGCAAGCATAATATTTAAGTGGAGTAACACCCATAGAACAAAAAAAAAAAAAGAAAAATTAAAAATGAAGCTTACAGTTAGTGTAAGCAGCTGGACTTTCGGATTCTTGCTACTAAGCCGCTTCTTTATACCTTTAACAACAACTTTTGCTTGTCTGATAAATATCACAAACAACATGAGAATTGAGCTCATAAAAGGCATTATTCCTCAAAGGAGCAGAAAGTATGCATTGTAGTGAAACTAAAGACAGAGAGCAAACATTCAGAGAAACAACAGAATTAAATAGTTAAAGAAGTTTGAGAACCACTAGCTCACAAGCGTAACAAGAACCATTAATATACAGTAAATAGCCGATGAAAGATGCAACGGAAGTACTCACACGCAAAACACACCACCACTAATTCAAAAACTACAGTGAACCAAACTATTAAATAATTGAACACGACTATATAAGGAAGAAAGAACATTACGCAGGATCGTGGTTGCAAATGTCACAGATGTCGATATTCATAGCCCAATCAGGACCGATTAGCATGTCGCTAGTCGCTCTTTCCACCATTGAGTTAACCATCTCGTCTTCCCCAAAACCGTCGAGCAAACTGACGACACCTCAACGCCGCCGAAACTTCTCAAACAGCATCCAAAAAAAACGATAGAAACTGAGAATTTCTTCACCTTTTTTTCGAAGAAGGGAAACTGAGACCACACAAAAGTAGCCATAGTTCATCCCGGAGGATCCGACCGTTGGTTCCTTCCTATCCCAGACAAAATTGCTCCTGCATTCCAGTAGAAATGGGACGCGTGGAGGCATCCCGACCGTAGGTAATTTACACAGCCGCGGCGCGCTCTATGATCGGACGGTGGAGGTTGCGTTGGAAAAATCAGTAGTCTGCAGTGGACCCGATGAGCCACGACCGCCGAACAAACGGGGCGATTTCGAATTGTTAGATTTTTACGGACCGCAAATACAATAATAACATTATTATTAGTACTAAATATTTAATGAATATTTCCGTCAGCGCGCAATTTTAAAATGATACTAGTATTCAATAAAGACACACAAGAACAGGCCGACATAAATAACAATAAAACTGCCTTTATTTTCCCTCATTTTGGTATAATGAGGAACAGCCCAGAGTCGTAACATGCAAAGGTGATATTTTGTGTAGAATTTAAATATTGAAAAATAAAATTGAAATTAAGAAATTGCAGGTGCAGTGGCGCGTGCAAGTTCGTACCCTTTGGTTAAGAAATCCCATGCCATCCATGCAAGAATTTTCTTGATTTTTTATTTTTATTTTTTTAATAACGCTCGAAACTCGCAACTATCTGTGTGACCAAAAGATATTCAAAGTTTTAAACCATTATCTCACATTTATAAGTAGAAAATTTTGATTTTTTTAAGAATGATCATTGTTTCATATTGTACTACTCTTGCAGCCACTGTTCCCTCATATTCCCGGCCACGAAGACACAGGGTAAGTGTCGCCGTCATGCCGTCATGCAGGCGGTTACTGGAGCTCAGATACAAGGAGCATGGAGAATGATCGGGATAGACATCACCGAGACAAAGCGAGAGAAATCCGTATCGGATATCTATCCCGACTATTCTCAATGCATGAAATCTTTGGAGTTACTGAGTTTATAAATCTTAACCTTAGCATGAAATCCTTATCGGATTCGATCAAAGAAGTCACCTGAGGGCTCGGTGTAGATTACTGTTTTCAGTGCACGAGAGCGCCAGCCTTGCTCAACGAAGCCCTTGAGACCACAAAAATGGTAATGGCTCCACATCTACTAAAAACTTCGACCTAGACATGTACTAATAGACAAAATTTCATGCTTATACTTATCTCACATGGTGGTATGTTATCAGGGCCTTGGCACCGTGGTGTTTCTTGGTGCAGGAGTTGAGACTAAAGTATGGCGGAGTGCAACCTCAGTCACATCTGCCTAAAATAGTGAAGAAATGTATCAATAAGGTATGGAAATGCTTTTGATCGAAATGGCAGTTAAATGTTGTTCATAGTTAAAGTAAAATGAATGATAAAAGACTCCTTACCGTTGAGCAGGAAATCGGTCTCTCTGGATGAAATTATGTCAAGGTTGTCGTCCAAGTTCTAAGAGAATCCTGTAAGCTGATATTCATTCATATGCAGAGGGTCGAGAGAGTTTCCATATGCAACGTATTATAAATAAGTGAGTATAACTGTGAAACTCATAGGTGAAATGACATTGAACAACAAACCATAAAATGATCAAGTAAAGCCACAAAATAATACACTTTAAGACAGCATTGAACAAAAAGAATGATCCATATCCTCAACATACTTCAATCTAATCCATTGTTCATTTTCTTTCTTTTTCCTTATTCAGGATATTCCGGGTGGTAGAAGATACAAGAATAAATGGAATATTCAAACACTAGATCATATGTCACAAACTGCATAAATTTTAATTAAGGGATTCATAGAGATTACAGTAGAATGAAAATTTTGAGGTCATTGACTGCTGCTTGATGGAAAAGTAACATTTCTCTTTCTAGGTGTTCCGCATTCACTAAAATCAAGGGTACGCCTCCCAGTCTGCAGCACATACATTACAACAGATTAATAAGCAGAAGTTAGAATGAAATTTTGATAAAAACTCAGCAACATTATAAATAATATCATAGTACCCAATGCCCATAAACTAAATTCATGATATAAAGCTGGCAAGCTTCTGGTTAAAATTTTCAAATTTGGAAATGAACATTTAAATATTAGCAACTATGAAGAATTCATGTTAACAGGCACAGATGACTAATGCTTGCAACGGCACACCTAGGAAACTTACTGGAAAGTAATCTGACCAGGCAAGTAAAACTCAATCTAAAAGAAAATTTGCAATTTGAAAAAATCAGATTAGAAATGTTTATGACAACCATACCGACAACCATACCGCAAAATTTGTAGCCTTAAGGGCATAATATTTGCTTTGGGAATCTGGACTAAAGCAGCTCGGCTTTCCTTCTCCTGGGCCTTTTGCCCATTTAGCTTTCAAAGATTCTGGAGTTTCTTCTCCCAAAATCTCCAGTGCATCAGCAAAGGTACCAGCAGTATGCTCTTCTAATTGCTTCATTAACCCAATGGCATCATAACTTTTGTCCCCTGGGCTCAAAATGTCCTACAAAGATAAGTGGCATGCGGTGAGAACAGATAAAGTAAAGTATCGGTTAAAATACATAATTAGACTACAAGGAATCAGACGGACCTCAACTGTTATATCTGTATCAACTATGGGACCTGGTGTAAAATTGTTAATAAACCAAGGTGATTTCCATATGGAAGGAGACTCAGTAGTCCTCTTGAATGGTGTCTCCACGCATCTGAGAATGAGAAAAACCAAAATAAGAAATGCATCACCACAATCACTACAACTATTAGAGTGCTCAGGAGACACAGCGAAGCAGCAAGAGAAAACCATAAAATCTAGAGCATGGAGCTGTAGCCAGTCATCTTACCTGCTGTCTGTTTCGACTATGCCTTCACCAGAACTTTCAACTTTCTTCTCTGAAGGGCTATTCAATGTTTGCATTGACGTTGTTGCAGCAAGAATAGTGCAATCCTTCTGTGTGATGTCTCTAGGAGAACAAATAGCAGAAAAGCTCAGTGTCTCGGCAGAAGATAAAATAGCACCATGTTTTGATACACAATCAAGTCTTTTCGAATACTTATTTCCAAGAGTTCTGGAGCCGGGGCCAGATGATCTATCAACCTTAACTCCAAAAGGGTCAGGAGACAAGAATAGCATGTTATTCATATCCTGTTCAACAAGGATTCCAGATAACTCATTTTCCTGCAACCAAAACAGGGTCACGACCAGATCAAATTACACAAATTTAGTAGTTCAAAAGAATAAAAAGTGTTCTTTTTTACAGTTATCTCAACTTCCTTTTCTCTTCTATGATTGTAAGCATCTAGACCGGTAAAGCAATCTCAATGCCATCAAGCCTTCATCCTATAATGTGGTGACTATCTAGATCAGATGTCACTGTTACCATTTGTTAAGACAAGTTAAAATACAATACTCAAGATTAGAAATTCAACTACTTCAAGAGATTTCAATTAACAGAACATCTATTCGAAATGGAATTGATTAGATAATGAATATTAGTCACATCATTCATGGAAAACAAGATTTTAGCTCTTTCTTGGCTCTATTCAATTTCAACACCTCAAATGTTTCTTTATACCATTGCTTCTAAACTATAAAGTGAAAAGATACTCACCAAATCCATTGCATCTTTGCCCACAGAAGCATGTTCAGGTATGTTGTCTGAATACTCATCGAATGAGATAAGAAGATTTTTGCTGCCTTCATTCTTCGCCTGACAATCAGGAGCAGGGACCATGTTTTCTTTTTCCATAAAAGGCACTTCGAATTTCCCTTTACACTCTGGAGATACCAACAGCATTGCTTCTCTTTCATCTATACTTCCATTAAATACATCTTCCGATGTGGAAACATCATTTGTTGGGTTGGAAAACTCTTGTTCAGATATACTTTCAAGCTTCTTTCCACTGCTTGTTTCAGAAGCAGGAGATAACATATCTCGGTTTCTTTTTTTCATTATTGATGGAGCGTCGGGAAAACTCTTGGCTGCACTTTTCAAAACTGCGACTGGGCTATCATCTTTATTTGGTGAATCCCAGAGTTTGAGTGGAGTCATGGAAGAAATCATCAGCTGGCGTATGCCAAACGGACTGTACTGTTGATGCATATCACTGCCAGATTCTATAAGATCACAACTGAAAAATGGCATCTCAAAGCTTGGAAAACGAGGAGGTTCATAGAATAAAACTCCCAACCCCTGTTCTTCTGAGTCAGCTCGGTGTTTGTCTTTGGAAGAACAACATTGAGAAACATCCAATGGAGTTGATACAAAATCATTTGCCAAAACTAGATTTGATTGCATATTTACCACGGCGGAGTTTTCCATACAAGCAAAATTATTGAATTCCTTGGCATGAACAAATTCATCACCTTGTCTTTGCAAACTGGACTCCTGCTCAGCAATCATATGAGAGGAATAGTTGCACTGATTTGCAGTTATACTGGAAATAAGCAAATCATCATTAGACGCCAGGAGTAGATTAGGAGTGGCAAGAGGTTGACGAAGAGGAATTCCCATCATATCATAAGGCACCTGAGAAGAACATTGATTATATGACGACTCTGCAGGTCCATCAACATCCCTAGTAGTAGTTTCAAAGAGAGATTTATCATGGCTATCCTGACTATGTTCCCTCTGGCAGTCCAAACTAGCAATAGAGTTAGGAGTAGCAGAATTCACAACCCTGTTTGTCACGGAAGTATGTTCCTCATAAGTTGCTGAAGGAAAGGATGCATTTTCTTGGTTATCCCTTCCAGAAAAAGATGAAATGAACATTCCAGGTGAATTTTGCCAAAGCTCCTGGAAAGACATATCAGGCAGCCCACCATCTGTGTTTTGTTGATCATTCCTTGGAAGTGTTACCTGATCTGGAGAGGAACCAAGTTCAAGAAATTCATCACCCTGCTGTTTACAAGGTGTTTTTTGTATGGCATATGTGACGTCTTGAGAAGTAGGGCAATGATCTTCAGAAGAGCGGACTGTACTTGATTCTTCAGTTGCTCTGGAGCTCCCCTCGGGATGTTTAATTTTCTTGATTGATTTGTTTGTAGACTGAGATGTACCTTCCACCACCTCTGCTCTGTTTCTACCATCTTCACTACTTTGTTGTGCCATTGAAGAAGAGGAAGCTGGCTCTCTATGGCAAACAAGGGGTGCGCCTTGGGACTGTGAAAGTAGCCCTGATGCCATATACATGTCTAGCTTCTTCTTGACAGCAGAATTCCAATGATTTTTAATTGCATTGTCAGTCCTGATGTCATATGTACAGTGGAAACGAAAATTAGTAAAAGCCAGATGAATAACATGATATGCAGGTGATAGACATGTGAAGTTCATATATTTTTTAAGTATTATAGCTTCCTATAACTAATAATAATTATTGTACCTCCCAGGCAAAACCTTTGTTAACTCAGCCCACTTGTTCCCATAAATCTGATGGGCACGAATTAAAGTCAGCTCCTCATCTTGAGTCCAAGCTTCTTTATTTATGCCAGGGTTAAGATGATTGTACCACCTACAACACAATTAATGTCAACATATGTCCCAGTAAGTTTACCAAACAATAAAATGAAAATTGCATATATGAACATCAAGGTGGAAAGGGAGCCTACCTTTCCCTACATTGCTTCCCTATACGCCCAGGAAGATGCTGCGCAATGGTAGACCACTTTTTTGGTCCAAATTTATTCACCAATTCAGTTATGCTTTCATCCTCCTAAGCAGGGAAAAAGACAATTGTAAGTAAATTCTAATGAAAACAGAACACAGCCAAATGGAAAAAAAGAAGAACATTGCTCAACCTCTTTTGTCCATGGACCTTTAACAAGATCTGGATTAAGAACCTTCTGCCACCTGTGTAAGCATTGCACATCTGTTCGATCCTTGAAACACTCCGCTGTAACAGAACAGAAGCCACCCAAAGAGTAAGATCTCAGTAAAGGCCACACCTTGCAACAACTAACCACTAGCGCAGAACAAAGTCCTTTTTGTCATTTAGGAGTGACTAATTTAGGAAAAAGCAAGTCAGCACTTCGCTTCACACAAAAACACTTCCAGCCAAATCCTAGGGCAACACATACCAATAACCACACATCCTGAAAAGCTCATGCAACCAAATTTTTAAATAATTATCAGAAAGGAAAATTAAGAGTAAAGTTTCAGAATTTATGAGTCTCCAAATAAAGTTCTTAGTCTTCAAAAATCATCTTCGATCTTCTTTGTGAATAAAATATTGTATTAGTTGAAGCTGGCTATGGTATCGCAGCCTTCTATCTAGTTATTCCTTTAAAACATATATATGTATATATATATATATATATTTAACATCTTAAATATGTTATGTTGCCGTTGTGACTAGGCCCTCTAATAAATAATTCGGAAGGCTAGACAATGCTTAAATCTACTTCCAGTTTTGACTAGCTTCTAATAAGTAATTTGAAAAGGAACAGTGCTTAAGTCTACTTCCAGCTACAAGTAATAAATGATAAAATGTTTTGCTGCGTATTATTACCAATCTTTTTCCAGTTTTTTCCATTAAATCGTTGAACAGCCATCCGTAATATCTCATCCTGTCAGGAAAATGTTGAGACACACATTAAGAATTGAAAATTCCAAAATTGGTAGTGGCCTAGTTTGATACAAAAATGCCTGCGTTAAACAGCAGAGAATGTTCAGTGTTTACTGAGAAGCATAGTTCATTGACATTACAACTAGAGTAGTTTATAACCCTGATAGGATCCATATGTTGGGCACCAATACAACCAAGTGGCATGCTTTAAATTGCTCTTCCAAAGTAATTTATGCGGCTAAATAACCAGTTATAGTAAAAGAAACTCTATTCCAGAGTGTTTTGATCCCCTTGAAAGACCTTCGTAAACATGAAATCTGAGACTACAAAATCATATTGAGACTGAGCTATCACTATGTTTGATATTTTCGCTTCTAAAACAATATATAGTAATTTAAGAAAAAAAATGGCATACCATCAGAGTAAAAACAAACAATATGTAGAACATTACCATCCTAAATTCCTAAAAACTAGCCATTAACAAGATGATCTGAAGAAGATAAAGCTATTGCTCCTTTTGCACATGGAATGGTTATATTGTTTAAATCTAACAATTCCTTCATGTTCATCATACAAGAGTTGTAAGAAGAAAACCAAACATGTACTACCGTCTACTCTCGATGAGTATAACTCCCAGGAGCATACTTTTGAGTAACAATATAATCACATGCGAAGGTTATTACTGACTCTGCATTCAATTAAGAAAAGTTGCAGATGCAGAAATATAAGTTTCAGAAAAGTATCTGGTTAACCTCCTCTGCAGTCCATTGCCCCTTTGTGGAGCGCTTCCTAGGCCCACTGGTCCTCCTACACAAAAAGTATGAAATATCATGTAAGTAATGTTTGAGTAAATCTTCAATGCTTCAGCTGCAGCATTCCAGTTATAGGAAGGAGAAAATCACACTCAGTTTCCAATTGATTAAGCTTTAATACTAATGTGAAACCACTCCTATGTTTTCAGAGGTATGAAGATTATAAATGCAGCTTTTTTATTAGGGGGCCTCAATAAATTTATTAATACATACATATTGGGAAAGGATCACTACTTAAATTGCAGAATAACAAGTGAACTAGCTGTTCTTAAAAACATACCCATGCAACGGTTGAGCTCTTTCTGAACCACTGCCAGCACCATCTCGAAGTGTTTTTCTACTCTCATCACCATTCATATTTAGTCAAGAAATAAGAAAACCTGCATATGCCCCAAAATTCCAAACACTGGCAACCATCTACAGAATGTTGTCTCCTAATCATTATATGCTACCTGCAGGGATGTGGGCACAATTTCAATTCAGTATGAAGTCAAATATATTGAGAAAGATATAAATGATAGAACAGAGTAAATCTAAGTATGATCCGAATATGCAAAGAATTTTGATATTACTTAGTGCTGATACAGCATCCATTCACAAAAATGGCATCTGTCAAGAAATCCCCTTGCGTTCTAATTAAAATCAAATATTTGAGAGTTATCCGACCTAGTACACGGTGAAATAAATGATTTTGTGCCACCTTCGGATCTACATAACTGAAGTAAAGTATACTTACCGCAATTTCTGCGCCCGGTGAAATGAGAAATCTCATAATATGTTAAAGCTATGGCTACCAGTGTATGGATGAAGAAGAGTCAGCTATGTAGAGATAAAACATGTGTTCTGGAAATCTAAGGAAACATGCGAGTTGAAATTTCCAATTACAAGAAATACTCAAGAATCTCAATGGGCAAAATCAGAGGCAAATATCCTAGAAAGAGATCAAACAACACAAACTTAACCGAATCTCCAAAAAGGATCCTCCTACTTAGGGTTTCATTCTTGAAATAAATGCCGTTTTCAAATACGCAAATGAATGGAAGAACGAAATAAAGAAAATCATTTCACAAGCATCCTTCGATTGACGAAAAACACTTGCCGACAAGAACTTCAAAACAGACCAAACCCAGCTTCATCAACTCCAATCCGACACAAGATACAGCCGTACCCCGACTGATCGCCTCAACGCTCATTCCAATCCAAAAATGAGCAAATTCCTTCGATCCTATATGTATATATATGCAATCACACATACAAACAAAAGATTCCTCTATTGCGAGAGCAAGAATTTTGAGCAGAAAAGAAAGGAGACGAATGCTGGTATGCTGAGCGTATCTGAGAACTGTTCTAGAAGCAGGAGGTATCAATAAATAGAACAACGGTCCGATGATTCAAAATTGAAAGGGACGCTGGGACGGAGAGCTGTTTCAAAACCCTTGTGGTAAACATCGAATAGTAGTCTGGCAACAACGGTGAGGATCGTGCCACGATTACAAATCTAACGGCGTATATTCCTTTCTTTTTCGTACGTTAGTAATATCTTGTTTTTTTTCATACATATATATACAATCTGATTATTCTATTACTATTCGAACACAATATTTTGTTTTGCTAAAGATACCTTAAAAAAAATATTTTATATTAAGGAATTTTCAAATTCAAAAAATAATAATAATACAAGTCAAAATATATGGGAAGTGAGTGTAGAAAATTAAATACACTCACATTTATTTTTATTTTTTAAAATGCAACTAAAATATCTTACAAATTCTGAAATTCTTGTGCATGCACGAGAACCATTTGCTTCACAAATCACAATGTAAAATAGTGATATGTTTGGTAATGATTTAAAGGGTGTTTTCGGATAAATCTAAATTTTTTATTTTAATATAATATTTTTATAATGAACCTGACCAAAATACACTCAAACTGATATTTAAGGACAGTCAAATAACTACCTTGGTCAAAAAATACATGTGCAAAGTCAAAATCATTTATTCAAAATTTCAAATTAGTTACTATTTTTTATTTTCTAAGATTATCAAATTAGATAAATATATTTACAATTTACAAGTCTATTAATAGTATTTTATATTTGATAAATAAACTGTAAATGTATAAAGTTTAAATAATCTTGAATTGTTGAAATTATCTGATATATGTTTACTAAATAAAAAACAATATATCTAAAATTCTAACCAACATTTATTAAGAGGGACTCCAAATTTTATCTCGAAAAAATTTAATTGATAATTAGAGGAATTATTCTTCACTCTTATAAACTATTTGGAACAACTCAATTAAATGCAAAAATTTGTAGATTATTAGGTTTAACTGAAAATTTATTTAAAAAGCATTCGGAAATTAGCAAAAAAATCTGTTATACAGTTTTTAATTTATACTATTTAATCTTATGTCTATTTATAAATATATAACAATTGTTTACATGTTCAAATTTTTCTCTTATTTCATAAAAAATCTCGATTAGCTTAAGTGTCAATGTTCATTCCTCTCCAAACAAAATGTGCATACAAAAAAATTAGCTCTTCTAATGGCTTGGAAGTGGTCTCATTTGCACTAGGTCACCTCTATGTTGCTACATTATTTTAATTTCTAAAATAAAGTTATTGTGTATCTTTTTTAATTGAAATTGGCAAAATAAGTTTCATTTGAAATAGTTGAGCATCTAAATCTAAGTTATTGTTTTTTATTTTACTTTTCAAAAAATATTTTCACATTATATTACAATCAATTAATTTAATAATAAATTTATTAAAATTTGTGTTAAATGAATATAAAATATAAATATTGAATATAATATAAACAATTAATTAATACTTTTTCTGGTAGAAGATTAAAAAAATAGTTATATTTTAATATAAAATTAAAATAAAATAAAATATTATAAAAAAATTATGAAATAATCTGTAAAAGAATAATGAATAATTAAAAATTAGTGATATTATTGTCAAAGTAAAAATAATAAATATAAACGTATAAAATTATTTTCTACAAATAAACTATGGTTAAATTTAGCGAATAATTAGATTAAAAAAAAAAAATATCCGGATGGAAGGAATAATTTAAACATATAATCATAAATTCATAATGGTATTATCCTATAACCACCAATGAGATTTATGCCTGAATTCACAACGAATTTATTTATTTATTAATTAATTTATTAAGGTAGCGGAACGACGTCGTCTCGAAACCCTAGGTAGTTATAGTCCTATAATCCAGTCTAGTGCCTAGAAACCCAAGCCACGTCACCCATCGGCATGAAATGGCAGACGGATTCCTCGCCGGGCTCCGCCTTCACCGCCTTCAAAGCAAAAGTCTCAGGGTTCCATTCCGACGTGTCCTCGTGGCACGCCGCCGCCGCCTCCGCCTTGGATCCGTCGCCGCCCACCATCGACACCTGATACGCCACCGTAGGGTTCGCCACGTGGCAGTAATACGCAGAATCCTGGAGGTGGCACGCCACCGCCCCTTGGTCGCCGTCCATTTTATTCACCGCCACAATTTCGTACTCCTTCATCTCGCCGGAATCCTCCACCGCCGTCGTCATCGCCTGAACATCTTTCCCCAGCTTGGAAACGGCGAAATCGGCCATCGATTTCAGGGAATTCGCGCAGACGCCCTCGTCGGACGACGATCGCGCCGACCTCTCGCAGTCGGAATATTCCGGCGAGGACGCAACCGGCGCGGCGTCGGAATCGACGAATTGGGCGTTCAATTTGTTGCCCGGCCGGAGGTCTTTCTCGAAGAAGAACAGCGACGCCATGGGATTGTCGCGGAGGTCCTTGTCGTCGGCGACGATGCCGTACTGGAAGGGGTTGACGCCGACGTGGACCCGAACGGCGCCTCTGGGAGTTTGGACTGTTATGCCCTTGGTCGGAATCGGGTTGACGTCGACGCTTCTGCGCTGGCCAGGCCCGCCGGTTCTGACGCTGACGCCGCCGACTCCGACGTGTACGTTGGAGCCGGCGCCCGGCGTGCCGGCGTGGACATTGAGGCCGCCGGGACCGACGATTGCGGAGGGGATCTTCTCCTCAGACCAGGTTTGGGTAAGGAGCTGTTTGAGAGAATCGGGCATTGAGGTCCAGGAAGCTTCTGGAATCTTCTCGTTGTTGTAGTCGGTATCATGTTGGCTTGCAACCATTATTGCGACCTGAACCAAAGACATCCAATCACCGTTTAACACGTGTACAAGCGTAATAAATATTATTTTTTTTATTGATAGAATTGGCATGTGCACAAAATTGCTTTGGTTGTCTTATTTTCTTTTCTTTTTCTTTTTTTCTTTTTTTCATATTATATATTCGCTATATTTTTTCTATTAAACAATAGTATAATATTTAATGCTTATTTATATATTTTTTTTTTAAAAGAAAAAGACTTCATTCTTAATGTGAAGAATGGTTATATTTAATGTTTTTATTTTTATTCTAATACTATATAAAATCAAAATATGAAGACGCAAAGTAAAAACAAGATGCATGTTAACTATTCAAATATTTATTTTAACTTGAAACAAAATTTGAATTCAGAACAATCTAAGTATAAAACTTTAAACTCACTATGCATATGACTAATGAAAAATAGTAGTAATAATAACTTACAGACAGAAATATTGCTAGCATGAAACGGTGAACCTTGACGAGCTCCATTTTCTAAAATTTAATTATGAAGACTTTGATCTAGTTACACTTATATATATATATATATATATGTAAATGTCATGCATGCATACCTAATTAATGCATGGTGTTGAATATATGTACTCCCTCCCGAAATTAAATATTCATTTATTTTTTCACATAGTTTTAGAAATATTAGTAATATATTGAGATATAGTAAAAATAAAGTAGAAATGACTAAAATAAACTTATTAGTATGTATGATATAAATGTAATGACATTTGTATAATATATTGTAAGTTGTAAAGGTATTTGTAATGTTAGGTAGATAGTACAGTTACTAAAAAAGAAAATGGATACTTTGTTATGGGACGGACTAAAATGGAAAAATAGATACTTTGTTATGGGACGGAGGGAGTATATATAATTAATCAAACTCATGACCTCACGGTCAAAAAGTCCAACCCCTACACAACCGGTCATTCCTTACGGGACTTCCAATTTGATGATACTCAACATGGTGCTGCATTATTTCATCTTATAAATTGGTCAAATTAATGTCATGGTTACGCAACACATTTTCATTCATTTGGCATTATTCATTTTTCAAAAAACATCATATCAAATACATTTTTTTTCTCACAAAACATCAAATCAAATAATAATTTTTTTACTTTTTTCAAAACTTCTAAATTTTCAAAAACCTCTTATCTAAACAATCTTTTAATGTTTATTTAATATATTATTGTTACGTATGAAATTTATAATTAGGTTAAAAGACTTAAGCTAGAAGAAGATGTGGGCCTGTAATTGGGTCCGTCAGACTTATCAAGGGGTATTTCAAGATAATCGATTGAATCGGACGTCCTTCTAAGGAAATAGGCGAGTCAGACAGTCCATAAGTCGAATGGTCCGCGGGTCGGACGGTTCACAAGTCGGATGGTCCGCAAGTCGGATGGTACACGGGTCGGGCGGTTCACAAGTCGGATGGTCCACAAGTCGGATGGTCCGCGAGTCGGATGGTACGCGGTCGGATAAGCAAGTCGGAAGGTCCGCGGTCGGACAGACAGGTCGGTTGATCTGCAGTTGGATAAATAAGTCGGAAGGTCTGCGGTTGAACAGACAGGTCGGTTGATCTGTAGTCAGATAAGCAAGTCGGAAGGTACATGGTCGGACAAGTAGATCGGAAGGTCTGTGGTCGGACAGGTAGGTCGATTTGTCTGCGGTCGGACAGGCAGGTCGGTTGGTCTGCAGTTGGACGGGCAAATCGGCTGTTGCGGGGATAAAGTGAGAGCAGTAGCTTGGTCGGTTGAGTGACGCGTTGGGTAAGAACGTGTCTCAGCAAAAGGAGAATTGATAGACGGTTGAGGGGAGGCGTTGTAACCGTTCGGGCGACGGTTCCAGGTACTGTTTCTGATGAGTATTTAAGGATTGGGGTCAACAACTGGTAAGGTATCTTCAATCATCTTTAAACGAGAGCAAAGTCAATGATTCGGAGATCATCATTTAAATTTCAATTTGCAGCATATATTTTCCAATTTTTATTTATGTACCGTGCAGTGTTTAGAGATTCCTAATCTCAAACACTAATTATATCAAATTCGAAAATAATATTCTATTTTTGAATTTTACTTTTTATTATTGAAAATTAGCATCAACAATTATATTTTAATTTTTTTTTTTTGGTTAATTTCAAATGACTCTGATTTTGTTTTACGTCAATATTTAATAAGTTTAGTGTGTTGTAATGTGGATTTGGGACCCAATTTGAGTCTATATGCAGCAAAAATTTATTAAGAAATTAAAATATTAACTGCTATTAACTTTCAGCATATTGATCCTTAACAAACACGAAACTCATGAAATCGGTATTATGATTTATGAATGTTTACTTTTTATTTATTTATTTTTTAAAAGGATAACAATAATAATAAAATCAATATTTTGGACCACCCACATATGTAGAAGAATATTAATGTTGGCACCAATCGAAGTTTTAATGCTAAGCTTATTTCAAAATTAATGAGTAGATTAGGGTTAAAAAAATAAATAAAAAATCAAGGTTTGCATATCACATTTGATTAGCCATATTGAAAAATAATAGAATTGGGCTTGTATCACTTGGATGAATTAAAGTCATCTTTTGGGAATAATCGAACTCTTAAGTCATCTTTTGGATGAATTGATCTAAAAATAATTATCTGATTTCATTTTAAGATTCGGTCTTCTATATTGTCTAATATATAGAGCTAACAATTATTTACATACTAAGCTAAAATTAATTTTTTGATGGGTAAACATCTTGTAAATATTGAACAAACATAAGCGACAAATATGCATTGATACATTAGCCAAAAGAAACTATTTTTTTTAATATCATATTTCATATACTACCTCAGTTCTATTTTCTTGTTTTCTTTCCTTTTTTTTTATTTTAGCGATTTTTAGGTGATATAATTTTGATGGTTTTTTTTTTTTTTTTTTTTTTTTTTATTTGTAAGGAATTTATAAACTATATTGATAAAAGAAAATTAATGAAAAATTGAGTATAAAGTAAAAATATCTATATAAATATTGGAAACATAAGCTCAAAATAAAAATAATAGTAAAAAGAGGGAGTATTTTTTTTTTTTTATCGTAGTTTGAAATTAATTGTTGATTTGTATATTTTTTAAATAATATTTTGATATAATATTTTTCTGAGAGAAAATAATATATTTTTATCGAGAAAACTGTATAAAATAAATAATAATATTAATTTAAATTTAAAATGGTAAAAGAACAAATCATATACTCCCTCCGTCCCATGTAATATCGTGTATTACTGTAGACACGAGAATTTATGTAAAGTATAATTAGTAAGTAATTAAGAAGTGTATTAGTAAAAATAATTATTATTTAGTAAAAATAATTATAGATTAAGATTAAAATAAGTAAATAGTTTAATTAAAATTAAGAAAATTTAAAAATTTTAAATACCATTAAAATGTATAATTATATTTTCAAAAATAGAAAGAACAAGTTATATAAGACGGACGAAAATAAAAAATAGAGACAAATGATATGGGACGAAGAGAGTATATATCTACTTGTGTTTCAAACATTGTTTAATTCAAATAAGAATTTAAAGTTTGGGTGTGCTATATTTAATATTATTATTAACAATACTAATTTATGTTAAAAGCGCACTTTTACTTTCACTCGAGAAACGCGACTTCAGTCGAACATAAATTGAAAAGCTTCCTTTCCCCCTTTTTCTAGCTTCATTTGGATCTATTTAAATATATTAATATACACACACCATAACATAATAGCCGTTTATTCTTTTATCATTTTAAACAAAAACAAATATTATATATTTGACATACTTTTTAATAAAAATATATTATCTTTTTATAAAATATCATAGTATTAAAATGCTATTTAAAATAAGAATTCAAATTAATATCAAATTGAAATTTTAAATTAAAATAATATAATATAAAAAAAATATTTGATGTGATTTTTTAAATAAAAAATTATTTTTAATAATATACTAAATAAAGATATTTAATTGAATAATTTTGAATAAAATATTTTGATGAATAAAGTAAAACTAAATGTAAATTTAAAATTTGTTTTATTGTAATTTGAAACTAATTTAAAATAACTATTAATTTGAATTTTTATTTAAATAATATTTTGATAAAAAAAATTAATATATTTTTATTGAAAATTGTAAAAAATAAATAATATTAATTTCAGTTTATTTATTTATTTATTTAAAAAAAAATAGACAAAAAAAGATACCTTATATAAACATGGTTTGCATGGGCCTTTTTGCTTTGAATGCTTTTCAATTACTTCCTGTGGAAGTACTCAAATACTTTCAAAGTAAAAATCACCTTTTGTTTTTGAACGAGTTCATTTATATTTTTAATGATTTGTAATATTTAATTATTTAATGTATATATCGTATTTCATATTTATTTATATAAAATATATTATATTTATTAATCTATATTTTTATTTATTATTTTTAGTGGCAAATTACTAAACTAATATTATAACTATTAAGGTTTTATTTGGTTTTGATCTCAAACATTATATTAAAATACGGCTTAAACAAAAAACTTAAATAAAAAAACATAAAATCAAACCAAACTAAAACAAACCAAACCCGAAAATTTTAGTATCATTCTCAAGATTGTCAAAGTTATAATTCAGTGATAATGTTGCAATGTCACCATTATCATCACAATCAACAAGCATATATTGAATTCATACTTATATGTATTTAATAATTGCACCAATATATATATACATATATATATACTCATGTTTTAAAATTTGCTGATATAAAATTTTCAATTAATAAGAATAATCAGTTGATTGAGGGGGTAACTATATGAATTAAAATAAACAAACCCAATTTTTTTATTTCTTGTTTTAAAAAGAATTCCTACCAACTAAAAGAAAAATAATGGGTGGAAAGTGGAAACCCATCTTGATCATGTCACAAATCTTAATTATTTTCCTGTTAGATTCAACTAAACTCAAGAGATTATTGATCTCTAGACCCTACTAATGATGATACTTATTAAATAATATCATATTATATGCAATCACTTAACTAAGTAATTAGTGCATCTAATTGGGTTTATTGTGATGCATTAAGCAATAATTATTGCTGTTATTGGTGATGAAAAGATGGCTTAATATAATATATATATATATATGAAAGTTAAGAATGTGTATCCATACCCAGTTATATATAATATAATATAATTATTAGTGGACAGAAATAACTTTTTCATATATTAATCAGCTTATATATTTTATTTAGTTGTTCCATCAATTAGAAGAAGAAAGATAAGAATCAAATTTAATTATTATACAGCCATCACCTTCAGCCCAATATATTAAACCCTTATTATTATTTAAAGAAGTCAATAAATAATTAGTATTAGGCATGTTTCCAAATGTTATATACTTAAAACACTTGAATTCACGAGAGGCCTAAAGGAAGGATGACATGCATGCATGCATGCATACTACACGTCCAGAAACTTCTATTAACGCCTTTAATAATTACTATAAACTACTACTCTAAATTTAATGTAAAATTTTTGACAGGTTAAGACAATATGGACATGTATACAAAAATATATATCATCACTAATACTATAAATTAAATTTATGATGTGAAAAGTTGGCAAACTTCTATTTGAACCAAAAATTGACATGTCACTCATGATGATTTCAATAATTGACATGATAAAGACTCATATATAATAATATACACGAAACTAATTAATTAATATTTAACTGAACAAACTACCTTAACCCATGACATTATGTATTGAGTTAGTCGAATTAAAAATTAAATTCAATTAAACAAATATCAATATACAATTGTAAAGTTTTTAATGTACATGAAATTTCCAAATATATATATATATATATATTTCAAAAAATATAATGATATAATTCAACAAAACCCATCAAATATATTGTTCTATAAAAAGTGTATATATATATTAGATCAAATAATAAATAAAATGAGGTATAAGAAAAATTTTAATGTGATGATATTATAGATGTTAATTGTATATATGTATATACCAATTTCAGTTCATCCCCAACAAAAAGACAACTTATAATTAAAGATAATAATGTTATATAGAGAAAGTGGAACATAGAGATGATCATGTGATTGAACACACCACTTTTTAAATTAAAGCAACTCAACACTTACAACACTTTGCAAATTAAATATGTATATTTATATGTATATAATCGTTAATGTGTTTAATTAATTAATTTTTATATTAAATTTTCATTCAATATATATATATATACAGACATATATGTATAGATTGTAGCTCTATTCGTTGGCAATGATGGATGATTACTCGAGGGAGATGGAACAAGGAATTAATGGCGGCGGCGATCCGTACAATAATTTAAAATCACGCAGCGTCTGGTTCCCGGGGCCGGTGATCGTCGGGGCGGGCCCGTCGGGGCTGGCGGCGGCGGCTTGCCTGAAATCGAAAGGGGTGCAATCGCTGGTGATCGAGAGGTCCAATTGCATAGCTTCTTTGTGGCAATTGAAGACCTACGACCGCCTGAAATTGCATCTGCCGAAGCAATTCTGCGAGCTGCCGCTGATGCCTTTTCCGGCGGATTTTCCGACGTACCCTTGCAAAGAGCAGTTCATCCAGTACTTAGAGGCGTACGCCGACAAGTTTGAGATCCGGCCGGCGTTCAATCAGCGGGTAGAGAGGGCGGAGTTCGACGGGAAGTGGTGGAGGGTGACGGCGTCGACGGCGGAGGGGGCGACGGTGGAGTACGCGTGCCGGTGGCTGATCGCGGCGACGGGGGAGAATGCGGAGGCGGTGGTGCCGGAGATTGAGGGGATGGCGGAGTTCGGGGGGCACGTGATGCACACGTGCGGGTACAAAAATGGAGGGGCGTATTCGGGGAAGAAGGTGCTGGTGGTGGGTTGTGGGAATTCGGGGATGGAGGTGTGCCTGGATCTGTGCAACCACAATGCGGCGGCGGCGCTCGTGGTCCGGGAGGCAGTGCACGTGCTGCCCAGGGAGTTCCTGGGGAGGTCCACCTTCGGGGTGTCTATGTGGTTGCTCAAGTGGCTGCCGGTCCGCCTGGTGGACCGGCTTCTGTTAGTTGCAGCACGTGTGGCGCTAGGGGATACCGCCCGGTTCGGGCTGGATCGGCCCCGGATGGGCCCGCTGGAGCTGAAGAACCGGTCGGGGAAAACTCCTGTGCTGGACGTGGGAACTCTTGAGAAAATTAGGACTGGGGATATTAAGGCATGCATTAATATAAATCAATTTTTTTTAATCTAATATTAAATAATTAATTAAAAATGCATGCAGGTATATCCCGCAATCCAACGGTTGAGAAGTGGAAGAACAGTTGAATTTGTGGATGGGAGAAGAAGGAGATTCGATGCAATAATCCTGGCAACTGGTTACAGAAGCAACGTCCCATGTTGGTTGAAGGTATATTATTCTTATTATTATTATTATTAATTTAGTATTATTATTATTATTATTATTATTATTAAATTGATACTAATATTGTTCAGGAAAGCGAATTTGGGAATGGGTGGAAAGGCAAATGCGGGGTATATGCAGTGGGGTTCACCAAACGTGGCCTTATGGGAGCTTCCATGGATGCCAACAGAATTGCAGCCGATATTATTCATCAAACCACCACTGCCACTGCCACTGCCACTGCCACTCGCAATAATAATAACAATTATAATTATAATAATCTCATCTCTGCACAATGCTCACACAATTGCATTAATACTATTGTCATATTGGTAATTATAATCACAGTAATAATTCCCTGCACTACTTAACTGAAAGGAAAAACCCTAATGTCATGAATAAGATCACATGAACACGATGCTTTGATTAAGTTCTCCATGATGCTATACATATATATATATATATGTGTGTGTGTGTGTGTGTTGTGTGTGTGCATGTTTCTAAATTGGCTATATATATATATAAACAAATGAAAATCACGAATATAATTAAATACAGCTAAAGATAGCTTTTGATGATAGTATAATTAAGGACATGGGAATCTGTATATGCACTGCACGTTGTTTTTAATTAGTTGATTTAACGTAATGAGAAAGAAAGAATTCATTGAACCCGACAAGTATATATGTTTTCTTTTCGATCTTTTTAGGGCAAAAAGGTGAATTGTAATTTTCTAAATGCCACTTAGCATCAGATGGATCGATGGAATCACACTTTTAGTAAAAGGACGCAGCAACCAATCATTGCCTTTGGAAATTAGCTCTTTTTGTTAAATTAATTGTTGCTATATATACACTATCGATTAAAATGACAAAATCTGATAGGTGGAGTGGAGGCTGATTTTGGGGACACCTGGGAGTTCAAGTCCTGGATGAGAAATCGCAACACAAAAGTAGAGAAATAATGCCGTGCGGTGAACGTGGATCGAACACGTGACCTTCAGATCTTCAGTCTGACGCTCTCCCAACTGAGCTATCCCCGCTTTTGTTATTAATTTTTGATATATATTTATATATATTTGCTAAACATATTTTGAACATTAAATTAAAGACCCTGAAACTAACTAATTAAACATCATTTCTTGTTAGGACTTTTTTTATTTCTTGATTGTAGGTTGAGCTTATTTAATTTCAAATATATATCTATATTTATATACGCAGAAACTCAAGAATTAATCTATGAAAATTTCCAATTGAGTTATATGGATTTGAAACAATTGATTGAATTAGCATACAACGTAACTGAAATGAAGTAAAAGTAACATAAATTGCAAGAAAGAATGAATGATGGTGAAGAACAATGATGAATATTTGCATACATAGAAATACAATTAAAATTAAAGGGCATTGCATTATTCATTAATTAATTCATTTCTAACTAATTAATTAATTAGTGAACAATGTCTCGCAAATCTCAGTGAAAACATCGATGATGATGGCGTGATAGGAAGGTGAATTCAACGACAAGAAACACAGCAGCAGCCTCTCCAATTCGTCGCCGGCTCCGACCATCTGCTTCTCCATTATCATTTCCACCATTGATGCCCTGAAATCGCTCCGAGGATCCACCGACCTCTTCTCCACCGCGTAGCTCTCTTTCAGGATCCCCGCCGCCGATTCCACTTCCAGACTTTTTCTACATCTCCGGCGCCGACGACGCCGCCGCCGGGAACCCGACTCGCCGTTTTTGGAGTAGTAAATCTGGTCGATCGACAATTGATGATCGGAGGTCGCTTCGAGTTTCTTCTTATTACCACCGGCGACTTTGCCCGACGTCGACGTAGCGAAGCTTCTCCGGCGAGATTTGGAAGAATTCACAGACGAAAAGGAGCGGTTTCCTCTTTCATCGATGCGTTTCATGATCTCTTCCGAGAATCTCCGGCTGGATTTCAGGCGGAAAGAGTCGCCGGCGGCGGAGTTGGAAGACGTCAGGCTGAAAAAAGTGTCGGATTCGACGGCGGCGTCGTGCCGGCGCGGCTTCTCGTCGCTGCTGCTGAACCATCCGCCCCCAGTACTGTACGATGAGGAACTGACGACATTCGAAACCCTCTTTCTCGTGTCCACAACCACCACTTTCCCTTTCCCTTTCCCCTTGTTCTTCTTCAGAGAATCCCCAGGAAATCGGCTGCTGCTCTTTCTGCAGATTCCTTTATAAGCTGCTGCTGCTGCTGTTGCAGTTGCAGTTGCAGGAGAATAATAATTATGGTAATAATTATTAGGAGCAGAGGGAGAGGGGACTACTTTTCTAGGGTTTGAGAAATTAGACGATAATGAAGAAGAGAGGTCGTTTTCATGGCGCAAGAATATCTTCTTTGAGACGACGACGGAGCTGCTGTCAGCAACGTCGCCGCGAATAAGCCTTCGGAGATGGCAAGACCCCAACGACGACGGCAGAAGCCGACACACAGCTTTCACGATTGAATTATGATCGTTATTGCCGCTGCAACTCTCCATCCAATTCATTCAGATCAGATAATAGACGATACTGATCGATCGATATACGAACGATATATATATATATATATAGATACAGCACAGACACGAAATACACACACCTGTATGTATATATATATATATATATAGCTCCGTGTGCAGCGGCGTATTCTCAGAGTCGCAGAATGTCAACAAGCTTATGTCCTTTTCAATCCCCCCATACAAATCAAACAATATATGTATATATATATATATATATGAGGCTGCAGATATATGGGGCTGACTTGAAAAATAATAATAAATTAAATTAAATTTGGGTCGGGCCGGGCCGGGCCGGGCATCTTTCAGTGAGTGAGAAGGTTCCAAAGAGAAGAGAACAGAAAGAGTAGCGTTGCAGGAATTTCAAACTCCAACTTCACCAAAAGCTACACGACATACACGTACTCTTTGGTCCCAGATTTCCATGCTATTCTTTATATTTATAGTTAAATTTTTAAAAAAATAAAGTTGTTGTCATTAAATAAATAAAAATCAATTACATTATTATTATTATTATTATTATTATTATTGTTGTTATCTCATCATCTCTACCAAATTTCAACCTCTTGCAATGTTTTTGTCTGTGTAGTTTTCACATCTGATTTTTATTTTTATTTTTATTTTTGAATCCAAAAGCTACCAAACAAAGCTCTTAAATTGTTTCACCCTTTCTTCTTGGACACACACACACACTCACAGTCACAAATGATCAGATACTATTATTTATTTTATTTTATTTTTACAGTCATTTATACATCATGGGTTTTCATGTCAGTTTTGACAAAGTCTATCTGCGACTGTGAGTTCCCATTAATACAGATTAATTGACTTATGGTGATGTGATTCTTTTTATTTCCTAGTGTGACATACAGATTTTAAATTAAATGCATATATATATTTGTCTTGTTTGTGTTGTACTTATGCAGCTCACATAACACCCAAATCCCACTCGTTTAGTAGTTAATTAATTTGTGTTTTGATGTTGCCAAGGCTTGTTTATGTGATTTCAAAGCACTATTTTTTATTATTTTGTCTTTTTAAGAATCTATGCATGTCGTCTTTTTGCTCGTAAAATTTAGTGGAATCTGTCAAGATACTTGAGGATTTGTTTTTCCCTTCCCAATTTGAATTTGAATTATTTGTTTTTGTGTGTATCTTCTTCTGCAACATATAACTTTACTAATAGGATTATGCTCCATTTACTTCCAACGTGTTATATACAATCAAATTATTATCCTTGTTGAACGTGGGTGGGTAATAATTGGACCAAGAAAATTATAGTACAATTGAATTTATTTTTTTTTCATAATGTATATACATATAAGATATGCATTGCTCACATTACAAGAATAATATCCAAACAAGAGAAAGAGACAACATGGTTGATTTGGGTTCTTTTAGAATTACTTGATACATCTAAAATCCAAAACTATGCTTATATATTTCTTTCTTTACATAAATTTTAATGGGAGTGAGTAATAGTTGATATATTTGTAACTTTATAGTACAAGAATAACAAATGAATGATACAATTATTTACTGAAATAAAAAATATTTTACTTTGATGGAGTCCAAAACATAACACACTTTTGAATTAATGAGAAAGAGATGATATACCAAGGAATGGTTTACTGAATCAACACTTCACTGATAACAAAAAAAAAAAAATACAGTCTCTGCATAATTTAAATTAATACAATATATACTACATAGATTTTTTTTACTTTTGTGTTGAGGTCAATCATAACATTACATAAGCATTAGCTGCCAATATATATATTAATATTTGCACTATAAATATACATATTTAAGTTAAACCTGGGCTCAAAATCCTCATGGGCCAATTTGAAAACTGAATTTTGTTACGAAATGTGCCCAAAAATTTATTTTTTTTACAGAAAACACAAGCCCACCATGTCAAGAAATCCCAAACTGCTCTACTCCTTATTGATGCAACTTTATGTAATGATACGACCAATAGACCATGGAATGTTCAAAACTAAACTCTGCCTCAACTGTATTAAGTGCTATGTCATCATTGCAGGAACTAACTAAATACACAAAAACAGACAAAGTTGAGAAGCTGATTCATCTTGATCTTGTGTCTGTATATATATGTGTAATAAATATTCGAAAGCTAAATCCACAAACTTAGAGGAGATTCTTTAGGGGATGCATGGATGGATGGATGTCAATGCTTAAGCCAGTAGTTCCTTAACTGCGACATGTGCAGCAATATCTCGTCACGCCCTTGATTCATGACGCTGCTCGTCATGATCCACGGGGGCGCTGTCTGGAAGAACTCGCGTATGGATGCCTGAAACTCCTGCACATTCTCCTCCGGCCTTTTCCCGCCTTTCCTCTTCTTCTTCCGTTTGTCGCATTTCGTGAATATCAACGTCATTGGTATCTGATCAAATCACAACAATTGTGTATCAAGAACCGACAAACACTGCTCTTAATATATATATATCATTCATCATGACGGAATCCACTCGGCATTACAAACCTGATTTTGTCCCAACCAGCTTGCATAATCAAGATCGATTCTTTTTACAGGGATGCTGGCGTCGATGAGGAGGAACACAGAGACCAGTGTCGGCCGGGTAAGGAAATAATCCTTGGTGAACTTTCCCCAATCTGTCCGAACCTCGTGTGGTGCTGCTGCATACCTGTTTAGTTAACCAGCAGACACATATGGTTTTTTTAAGTATCCACAACACTAAAAGGTAAACTAAAGCAAGAATTCAGCTTCAATTCCATAGAAATTATTACACCGGACATGTTAATATGCTGCAAGGAACAAATTTGGTGATGATTCATACCCATAACCAGGCAAATCTACGAGGTACCAGCTATCATTAATCCGAAAATGATTGATGCATTGGGTCTTCCCTGAGGAATTTGAGTTCTTACACAATCAATCAAACCAGAGGCAATCTGCAAATTTACAACAAGGATGGATGAAACGTATGTAATGTACCTGGCTTCTTAGAAGTGAGGGCGAGACGTTTGCGTCTGACGAGAGAATTCAGTAGCGAAGATTTCCCCACATTGGACCGCCCGACGAGGGCGAACTCCGGAGCTCCGTCGGCGGGGCAGTCCTCCGTCCTCACACTGCTTTTCACAAACTCCGCAGCCTCAACGTCCACGCCGCCGCCGGCGTATTTGCTCAGGACAATGTTGGAACCCTTCAATATTCTCGCGCTCAATGGCGCCGCTGCGTCTAATTTCAGAGACGACACGTCCGTCTCCGGCGGCAGGAAGAGCTCCTCCAGGGAGAGCGGCCGGATTTCCTTTCCCTGAACGTGGTCGTTGTCGTGGTCCTGTTCCTGCTCCTGCGCTACGGCGGTGGAGAAATGGCAGAGAGGTGAAGCGATGGATTTGGATACGAAGGCTGAGGTATATAGGAACAAATTCTGGGATTTGGGAGAGGTGAGAGAGGAAATTAAGGAATGGGAAGGCACGATTGGCAATCTATGAGTAAGCAGAAACATTATTGCTTAGCCCCACTCTGCAGTGAAGTGCAGTTCGCCCTATTTGGGGCTGCGAGGAAGGAGACGATGCCTGACTCAGAGACTGAGTAAAGGGGATTTGACGAGCAATCCCAAAATCGCATTTCCAAAGTGCATAAGTCGCATTTATTTAGTAACGACTATAGTACTGAGCATTGCTCCACAAGCCAGATGCTTTCCTTCATCCTGCAAAGATTACAATTTCATTGCCACCAAACCCTGGATGGCTAGACAGAGATGTCAAATGCGGCGGGTTGTCCCGAATCAGCCCCCGATTCGGTCTTAATGGACAAATTTGGGTCTAAAAATTTTGATTCGGAAAATTTTGAATTTTAGATCCGATTGAGTTCGGGGCGGATTACAGACCTCTCCAGACCTGAATTCGGATATTTTAACAATTATTATAATTTATTTATTTAAAAAAAATTAAATATAAAGTTTATGTTCGTATTTGTTTCTCTTACAATTTTTTTTATAATCACAATCACTACGGACTATTGTTAAACTGTAATTTTTTAAAACTATGACTCACTTTGAAGTTTTTTTTTTAGTATTGAATTATTTAAAAAGAATTATATTTTATTTTTTTCTTAAAAAAAACAGATTTGTCGAATTAGCTCCGAATCAGCGGGACGGGGCGAGTTTTGAGTTCTAACATTTTCTAGTGGGGCAGCCTACAAAATCGTACCGAACCCGCCCCATTGACATAGGTAACCCTGAAACACCATTGATACAAAACACCAACAACTTACCAGTTGTCTCTTCCAGCCATTACCAATGCATCAACAACCAAAATAGAATTTAAAAATCCATAATTAACAGTGTTCGCGCTTATTACAATATATGAAGTGAACATAATTCAATAGGTGTCTATGCAACTTGATGATTATAAATAAGTCATATTGATATAAGGAATAAAGAAATCAAAGACATTTCCAAACGATCAAAGCTAATACATATGCCAAAAATGTATCCCCTTTCGAACCTTATTTCCCCTCTGTAGGAGAAGGAACGGTGCTGAGAAGCCATATCAAAAGAACACCAATAAGGGCACCCGATAAATGTGCTATGTGATTTACATTCTGTACAGCATAGACCCCTCGAAAGTTCCCACCCAAGCTTGCCGAAGCTTGGGCTGCTTCCATGACCTGAAATGTAAAAAATGATCGTGATAAGTACAGCGACTATCCCAATCAGGTACTTTAATGCTTTACAATTGCTTCAAATGGTCGAACTCATTCTACAAACTTCAGATACTGCAGCTAACAAGATTTAAAATGTTTTTTACTACAGAATTCATTTAATCAACACCAATATAAGTCGATACATAGGTAATAAGCTACCTTTTCAACAACAAACTGCCCCAAAATAAGCACTTCAAGAATCTTTCTCCAGTCAAAGGACATCTGGGATCGAATAGGAATTCAATAAAACACTCGCATAACAGTCTCGAAAGCTTAAAATATATAGATATCCAACTTATGTGACTTTTAAAAGCTATACCTTAACAAGAACGCTAACCGCAAAGAGTCCAAATACAGCCCCAGATGCTCCAAGCGAAACTGCATTTCTAGGCAGAACTAACCAAGAAACAAGATTTGCTCCGGCACCCGTCAAAATATAAGACAGCCACAGAGCAAAGTTCCCTTCTTCTTCTTCAACGAGTTTTCCTGGATGGCAATAAGTTTTAGAAACTATCTGTTTCGAGTAACCAATAATGCAACATTTTTTAGCAGCCAAATGCACAAACTCACCAAAAATATACAAGAAAAACAGGTTGCTAGAGAGATGATTCCTACATGCAACAACTCAATCAGTACCACTCCAAAATCATCGTGCTGGCATCCTACTAGATAAGAAGAATGCTCACCAACTAAAATGGCAGAAGGTCGCGGTTATAAACTGGTACCATGCAGGCCGGTTATGGTAAAGATACAATCCCTTAATCCACGGAACCTGGAATAACAAGACATCCTTATTTAAAACAAATCACCTAACATCTGTCAATTCTGGTTTTGCTTCAAGATGTCAAGTAACCAATAAGATAACAAGTGAACAGATAACACCTAAGATGTCTTTCAAAACCTGGAATATATGATCGGCCAAATATAAACCAAGATTTATTAGTAGGATCCAAAATATGCCATTGACTCGCTTCTCAGGCTTCCTTTTCTCTTCAGGCTTCCCAATTTCCAGCTGTGATATCATGTCTAAATGCAATATCACCAAAACAGATAAATAAATTTAAATCCGCAGTGATTAAATGAAAGCTTAATGCCATAAAGTACTGTGTAAGAGTCTCCATTCAAGAAATTCTTTTTTCTTAAATTAATAAAATGAAAAATTCACACAAAATGCAGTTAACCGTTGAAACGAATTCTCAAGCTTCAAACTCATTCACACTCTAACCCAACATTTCCCGAACCAAAATTCTCACACCAACTGTTTGTGAAAATGCCCCAATCCAAAGACCTAACTATGAAGACTACCAAATCAAACAGCAATAATTCAAACATTCATAGAGTTCAAATAAACAAGGAGCGCGGGAGATTAACCTGAATTCTTGCCCATTCTGCAAAGCCATAATCTAGAGTTCGGCCTCGTCGATAATTTAAACGAAAGGGGGTCGAATACAGACCGAGTAGGAAGCAACGCCCCCGTCGCCATGGGCATGAGCTTGAAGTGAGAATCGCCATTAAAATGGATCACAGGAGGAAATAGCGTCTTCGGCTGAAGCTGAAACCGTAGCATTTCTCCGACTCCCAAGAAACGTAACCACCTGATTCTCGCGGCGAATTTTCACTAACAAAAAGGCGTCTTTCTAAAATTGGACGTAGCCCAACTACAGAACCGTTACATTAGCCCATCATTTTCAGCCCACTTACTAAATAAACAAACATCTTCAAGGATCCACAATTCAATCGAACAACAAGTGTACAGTGTACTGAAACAAAAAAACAAATAGCAGTTCACTTTCGAGCAAGACTGGTTCCCACATCATAAAAAAAAACAAATGTACTACTAACCAAGCACCATGTCTGAATCTAAGATCTCATCTCATAGATATCACATGACCAGATGGCTAGATAATCATCAAATTAATATTTAATTGATCAGCTAATGTACATAAAATATTGTATATTGATTATAACTTTTTTTTTAAAAAAAAAAATATATATTCAATACGGTAATTTTACAATATATATATATTATTGATAAATAATTCTAAAAAAATATATGTAAAACATTTTTGTCGTAGTAGTTGCTGCATTTATTGCACATGGCAAGTTCAAGGCCCACCTAATCTTGTCAATAATTCAGACCAATCTTTATACATACATACTTATATAAGCACAGTCTTGCCTGCCTCATATCATATATATGCGCCAAAAATATTAATATAATAATAATAATATTATTATTATTTTTTTTATTTATGGTCAACTATGTCACAACAAAGCAGCAGCCCATCCACCCTGGACTTATTAAAATTGCCAACTTGATTACCAATTCATGTATCAGACCAGACCAGACCAGACGCAAAGGACTAGTTTTTGGTGGAGAAGGTGTGATTTGCTCAAATTAAATTATTCATTTTGTACAGTGACATCATCATCAAGTGGTGTAATTCCCATTTGTTTAATAATTAACTATATTTTAATTATTTAAAGAGACATGATTTGATAGATATGTATATTTAAGTACATGGTCCAAGTTTATCAAAATTTTGATGAAGTTTTTCATTCTATTCAATTATTGGAGATTTCTTCCCATCGATCTATATACACTACTTGTATTAAAAAATGATAGATAGGAGATTAAGGCCGCGTTTGGTTTGTCAATAATTGACGGCAATGTCCTGAGTTGTGTGGGGCCGCTGGACAAATTATATCCAAACGGTCCCCTCGGAAATTCGATTTTCAGATGCCGCCGCTTTTAGTATGTTCCTGTACCGGCTTTTACCACTTTTTAAAAAGGTCGTATTTTTTTTGCTTTTTACTCCCTGACTAGATATGTACGGCAGTAAGTTTTTGTTTTTTATTTTTTTTCTAACAGTATAACGACAGTGACTTATAAATAATTGTAAATTCAGTCGTAATTAGGTGGCGGCGGTTGTTTTCCGAAGATGATAAACCCACACGTGATTATTTATTTATTTGCAGCTAGGATAAATAATAAAACGATAACAACTGAAATCGGGTGATCCGAATTCTAACCAAACACGACTATTGAATTAAGATGAGGTGGATGTGACTCAGGATTGAATTGATTACTCATAAATCGCATTTGTGAATTATTTGATCGACTCTTGGCAGGTCGATTCATAAATCATATGCACATATCATTCATCTTTGATAAGCTCGAAATCAACTTTTCTTTTATATAATTAATTAATTACTAGCACCATCAAGCCACGCCACGTAACCAATATAAGCATGGCCCATTAAATAAATTATTTTAATAAAAACAAAAAATAAAAAATCCACGCAGACATACGAGGCGTTATCTCAAACCAATCCAACGGCCAGCATGCATTGATCTGTAATAGTTAATATAAATAATAATATCCACGTGTCACGGGAGTTAAAACTGGCGGTCACGACACGTAACTTATCCGACAGTGCGTGCCCCAATTTGGTCAGCTGTCACATGTGGTTATCAAATGTGATTATTTTTCTGATAAGGTATCTCATGAAATTTCACTGAATTATTATTTTAAATCGCAATCAAAATTATTGCGATTGGAATTGCTGAATGAATATTATTGCAGAATGAATATTCGGGAATCTTTTGTACCTATCTATCTTATTCTTATGAATATTCAGGAATTCGGACCAAATGTAATTTGTAGTATTTTTTGTAACTCATTCATGCAATAGTCATTTGACGACAATAGGCACGTGAAATGAATGCATAGCCTAAAGTTCACTTATTACACATCAACCTTGCTTTTCAGACAAAATTACGAATCTTCCCCTACTTTTGTCCCCTTAGACAAAGTTACACATCCCTACAAAAATTGATCCGTACCATAAATAAAAAGTTACATGTCTTTTTAGAACAAACAAACAAAATAAATCCGAATAATAAGGACTTATCGGAACAAAGTACATATCTTTATTATTTGTAGCTATGTTAATAAATTAAATTTCAAATTATTCAGAAAAAGACAAAGTTATTTTTGTTGTATAATTGAATTCTCTATTACTTTTTATTGTGTAAAATTATTTTACGTGAAGACATTATTAATTTGAAGAATAAAAATTAATAATCATAAATCTGTTGGCCCCCTGGGATTCAATTATTTAAGCATATAATTATTGTCTACAAGAATTGAGAAACGTTGTAAAACATTCATGCTATGTGGTCCGTGAGACGTAACAGCTGAGCACGACACTCCATTTTAGTGAAAATAAAATAGTTGCAATACAAAATTTAAATTTATGTAGTCACGTAATCAGTGAACTAACCAATTGGTGGAAAGTGACATTCTTTGGTAATTAATTTGTTGTAAGTTCGATTTTTATTTTTATTTTATTAAACATTAGAATATTAGTTGAATGTAAGTTTAATTATAATATAAATGTAATACTTATTTATTTAAAAAAATATAATTAAAATGCATGTTTTTAATATCTTAAAAACAAACTGCAGATTTCCATCAAATATATCCAATATGAATTTTATTTTATAAAGAACAAAAATTCTAATCGATATAAAAAATAAGTATATATATATATACATTTATAAGTAATCAATATAAACTAATTTATAAAAATAAATAAATTTAAATATATAATAGATTTTTTATCCAATAAGAATATTAACAATAGATTTTTATAAATCTTATCTTTAAAAAATAATTGAAGTGAAAAAAAAATAAAAATGTCGCATTTGGATCCCATCAGTAATTTAAATTTACATAGACTAATCAGTGAACTAATTGGTGGACAGTGATATTATTTGGCAATTAATTAATTGTTAATTATTAATTACTATATATATTTCGATGTCCACGTGACGTGTTCGATTGGAGTAGATTGTTCTTTATGTCAAATTTATTTTATTTAAATTGTATGACACGAAACAACATGAGATGGGTTTTCGCTTGTTGCCTTAAAATATTTGCAATAAAAATAAATGTGACGTGTAATCCAGCTAAGTAAAAGACCATTTCAAGCATATATATAATTCATTTTATTATCAATTGTCTACAATATATATATATATATATTTATGTATAACAGCTATAAAAAAAATAATAATAAATAAATTTTATTTTAGTTATTTAATTGAATGTTTTTTAACATTATAATATTGATATATGTATTTATATTGCACCATTAATGAAGATTGGCTATGTGACAATTTTTTGTTCGTAAATTTATATATCTACTTCAGTTATTGAAAAATGTAATTTAAAAATAAATATTCCATTATAGTTGTAATATTTTATTTTGAAGTAGAACCAGGGCACGTGATGCACTCTCTCCATTATCTTTGAGACCGAACAAACGACGCCGTTTTGAATGGCCATTGGTTCCGTTTACATTTCTGGACCCTTTCTTACCGTCGGTATTCTGTAAACACTGACGCTTCCTTCGTTTAATTTTCTTCTTATATATATTCTCGTCCATTCCCCCCGGCCAACTTCACCCAAATTTGAAGAAATCTGTCGCTCCCTCTCGCCCAATTTCTATTCCTTTACGAGGGAGAAATTCTTGCGGTTCAATTTGATTTACTTTTCATAACCTCCAAAGTGACTCAATTGAGTTTACTCCGAAAAAAAGGGGCTTGAAAAGCGGACATCCTTTGCACGATTCCAACTGCCAAGGCAAGAAAAAGGTTGAGATTTATTTTGTAATCTATCCTAAAGTTGGGAATCTAGGATATTCTTGAATGGCGCTGAATCTGGAGAAGTGGAAGGCTTTTGGACCCTTCTTTTCGGTTGTCTGGAGCTTTTTGTTGGCTTCAATTTTTGTCTCGGCTGAGAGAAGATTAAAATCCGAATCTCTGTTTAACAATGGAAGCGGGATTTCATCTACTGTTTCTGATCCCGATTTGGTCACGTCCGTTCTCAATTTTTTATGGCAAGCAGACGAATCAGGCTACCAGCATGTTTGGCCGGTGAGTAACATATTTATAATCTCTCTCAATCTCGTTCTTACTTGATTCTAGCTTCATGTTTATCCAGTTTCCTTCGTTCTCGCCATTGTTTAATTTTCCTAAGGGGTTTCGTATGCTTTGTTACTCTACGAATTAAATTAGCTTTCAATGGTTATGGAACGACCGTTTTTGCCAGATGATGTCGATCCGGCCACTTATTATCAGTTTATACCATTGATGATTTTTATTTTTTATTTTATCCAGAATTGATTGTTACAGACGTGGGGGTTAGTTATGCATGCGTGCGATTGCTATAAACAGATCGTCGGTGCTAAAGAGGAAAAAGCATTTCAGAGTCATAAAGTGAATAGTTTGTTGTTGGAATTGATGGTTCCTTTTGATTTTGTCATTTTCGTGTAAAAATTCCTGTGTAGAAGTAGTGCTGCTAGAATTTTGTGCCGTGGAAAGATGTGGGACAGTGGGAGTGAGTGGTTTTTTGATATATATATATATGTGTGTATGTATATTCTTGTGGTTTGTGAATGATATGGATCTGGCTATGATCTCCAGGAAATGGAATTCAATTGGAAAATAATTGTTGGAAGCATCATTGGATTCTTTGGAGCTGCTTTTGGGAGTGTTGGTGGCGTCGGTGGTGGCGGGATATATGTTCCTATGCTCACTCTGATTATTGGGTTTGACCCAAAATCGGCAACTGCTATCTCAAAATGTAAGATGATAGATGTGTTGAAGTTTCTGCAACGAATGGATCATGGTCATGTTTGGATTTTGATTGGGCGCATTTTTTGAATTGGGCAGGTATGATCATGGGGGCTGCCGCCTCAACTGTTTACTACAATCTCAAACTGAGGCATCCAACAATGGACATGCCAATCATCGACTATGACTTGGCTGTTCTCATCCAGCCAATGCTCATGTTAGGCATTAGTCTTGGAGTTGCTTTCAATGTGGTATTTGCTGATTGGATGGTCACAGTTCTTCTAATTTTTCTCTTTTTAGGTGATAAGTTCATGAATTGATAATCTTATATTGAGCTATGTTGATAATGTCATGTTCGCCTAATGAACTGATGTGATGGTTGCAGTTACATCAACGAGGGCCTTTTTCAAAGGTGTTGAAACTTGGAAGAAAGAAACTATTTTGAAAAAGGTAAGTGCATTTCTGTCTGCTCAATAGTTTGTTAATCATCGCATTAAAGTAATCGGGATTGAACTATGCTGAAATCCAACTTTTTTACGACACCTTTTCTTGATTCAATGCTTTAATTTAGCGGTGGAGTTTGGATGTTCAACACCATTTGTAAGAAATCCCCATGGCACATTATTATTAGGTCCCGTCCCACACGATTCTATTTACTAAATAAGAACGACATTTGTGAATTTGATTCTACATGATTGATTTTTGTTAAAGCAAAATATGAAGAATATGCATTCATACGATTTGTTTCTTGCTGTAGGAGGCTGCAAGGCTATTGGAGAGGAACGGTGCGTTTATTTCAAAGCATTCATATCCCAACACATTGCCTTTTGTCCGTACAATTGAATCTAAACACTACTTTTTTTTTTGTGACAGGTAGCGGAAAAGACGAGGCAGAATACAAACTCCTTCCAGGGGAACCCAGCGGCAATACAGATGAGGAGGCTAAGAGCTCAGAAGAGCAAGAGGTGAGCGGCATTTGGAACTGGAACAGTTCTAAATTTCCATTATCTTATTACAACATTTCATGTTCTCATCTTAATCATCACAGGTCGGAATCATTGAGAACGTTTGTTGGAAGGAGTTTGGGCTTCTTTGCTTCGTCTGGGTTGCATTTCTGGCGCTGCAGCTCCTCAAGGTTTTATCCATTGCCATTTCCCTCTGCCATTCTGTCGCACTTGTTGCTGTCTCTTTATACTCTCGTTGAACGTTTGAACTTACGTCTTGCTTGCATTGAAACAGAATGCTTCCACTACATGCTCGACACTATACTGGTTGGTGAACTTGCTTCAGGTATTGCCCAGGTTTTTTTTACTTTTTACATTCCCCGGCTCAAACATCGATGGTATTTGTGTTAAGACCCTTAATGTTTTCTCCAAAGATTCCTGTTGCTGGAGGTGTGTTCGCTTATGAATCCGTTAGCCTGTACTATGGATGGCGCAGTATTCGATCAATTCAATCGAAGGGGGAAGAAGTTGGAGGTAATAATTTCAAAGTGCATCAGTTGCTTACCTACGGACTTTTTGGCGCCGTGGCTGGTATTGTCGGGGGCCTTCTTGGTCTGGGAGGTGGGTTCATCATGGGCCCACTTTTCTTGGAATTGGGCGTACCTCCTCAGGTTAGTTTTGACTCTTTGATGTGTTCTAACCGTTCATTTTCACTTAAAAAAGTCGGTGGTAGTTATAATTGTTTGATCGAACCTCTGCTCAGGTTTCCAGCGCTACTGCCACATTTGCCATGATGTTCTCATCATCGATGTCGGTGGTTGAATACTACCTTCTGAACCGTTTTCCTGTTCCTTACGGTAAGAGAAATCTCGACGACGGTTGAATGCTGAGTTTACGTCTTCATTTTGGTTGTGTGCGAATAATTTGATTTATGTTGCAGCTCTTTACCTTTTGGCTGTTGCAACGGTTGCGGCGTTTGTTGGGCAGCATGTGGTTAGAAAAATCATTATTATACTTGGACGGGCATCGATAATTATTTTCATCTTAGCGTTCACAATCTTCGTCAGCGCCATCTCGCTCGGTGAGAATCTATATCTCTGTGTCGATTATTTTCTGCGAAAATGTTCGTCATATTCTTACTTACACTTGTGCGATTATCAGGCGGGGTTGGGATTTCGAACATGATCGGAAAGATCCAACGGCATGAGTACATGGGATTCGACAACCTCTGCAAGTACGACGTGTGATGTAATCCAAATCTGGTTTTGCAAGAATTCAGACAGTTCCAGAACTTGATGCAGATAAAAGATGTTTCAGGTCTATAGGCAGAAGAGGAAGAAACGAACTATAGATTCCTTGATGGGATTCCATTTTTATGTCGAAATATTTGCTTACATACTATATTGTAGTATTATGCAAACTAATGCTTTGTGTAATATGTGGTGGTGCTCCCACATGGCTGCCACCCTCCATGCCTTTTAGGGACCACAAAATCATTCAATTTTGTGCTTTCTATTACATCTTCATTTTCAAGATACAAGTTTCCGATTTCAGGTCATAATGGAATCATGTTTTTATATGTGCAATTATTTAGTCTATTTTATATACAATAATATGTATTTAGATATATTGTTAATGGTAAATTGACAAATCAAAAGGTTGATTGACTGCAATTATTTTAGAGATATATATAATTAATAGTATAAAACTAATTTATAAAAAGAATAAAATTTTAAATATTTATAAATTTATTTAGATGAGATAGGAACAAAATACTCTCTTTCTCCCGTACCTTTTTCATTCTTAATTTTATTATTGATACCAGAAAAACATATAAATATTTTTATAAATCAATCTAATTAAAGAACTTATACATAATATAAATTAGTTATATTAATCATAAATAAAAAAAGATATATTATAAAAATTTTTATTTTTTACGAGTATTATATTTTTTATTACGATATAATTTTTAAAATATTTAAATACATATTCTAATTTTTTTTAATTATATAAAAAAATATTATAATTTACTATTATTAGTTATTTAAACATTATTATTTCAAATACTGTACTACTGTGTCAATTCGGTTTATATGTAATCTCATTTGAAACGAAACAAAAAAAATAATTGAGGTTAAAAAAAATAAAGTGGAAACTGCAAAACAAACCTATCTTGTTTTTAGTCGGATGATGTGGCGTGGATTATGCTGTAATAAATAGTACTACGCCGGTAGGTCGAGATTTTGACATTCCGGCCTTGGGAAGGCGGCCGGTTTAAAATATCCGGCCCAATTACAGCCCTATATATTCGATTATAAAATACTCTCAATGTCCGGTCAGAAAAGTATACGTATTTCTATCTTGGTAACGTTCAATTACAAAGTAATTATTTTGTTAAATACTTTTTTTTTTACAAATACTTCTATTTTAGATCACATCGTTACTTTTATACCAAAACAGCAAGAACAAAAATATCATTTTACCATTTTCATCGTAATTAAAATACTATTATTTTTTAATTTTCGCTAGAAAAATAATGGTATACTTTTAGTTTGAACAAAATAAGGAATGAGTACGTAAATAAATAGTAAATAAACCGTGGGAAGCACGGGTGAAAGACTATAAATTAAAGAAAAATTTGATGGGTTCGCATTTAATATTTATATATATATATGTACGTATAAATAATCGCTGCAAAGTCGGAAGAGAAGAGACGAAGGGATTCGAAACCCTAGACCAAGACGACGATGGTGTTCTACTTCAAGGCGCGGCCGGAGGCCGGAGATTATACCATATTCATGGGCCTTGACAAGTACGAGAATGAGGAGCTCATCAAATACGGTTTCCCCGAAGACATTTGGTACTGCTTTATTATTCTTTCCTTTTCTTAGTTTAGTTTGGTTGATAGTTGAAGCTTCATGCGAGGGAATATGAAAACGCTGTCGTTCTAGTTATTTATGTCTTAACACAATGGTGTGTGTATGTTTTGGGCGGAGAATTATTTTGGAAACTTTTAACTTTTTGAATGGACACGCCATTGCACACAATTGGTTGGTTTCTGGTACTTCTTTGGTTTGTTAATAATGTTGATGCTTGCGGTTGAGAATTCGGTGACTCATTATGTTCCTGGCTTGAGTTTCCTGTGTGCTTTATACAATTTATATTAGAATTGGACTCATTCTGACAAAGGGAAGGGTTCTAATAATGTTATTATCTCGTTAATGTTTATTTATGTTTACAAATGGACCATTTGTTTTTAAAAGTAAAAAGCAAAATTGAAGCTCAGTAAATTGGAAGTTTCTGTTGATTTAATCCAAAATTAGAACTTCTCAATGCACTCATATTCTGTTTAATGCGTTTCCAAAGCACTTGCAAAATGCAGCTTTGCATACTTCTGAAAATTGGGATTTTCATACCCCGTTAAAACTTACATTCATGTACAACAATTTTCAGGTTCCATGTGGATAAGATGTCTTCGGCCCATGTGTATCTGAGATTAAACAAGGGTCAAACAATTGATGATATACCGGAAGGTGTATTGGAAGATTGTGTGCAACTTGTTAAAGCAAATTCTATCCAAGGCTAGTGTCTGCATCCATTTATTCGTTGGTTTGAAGTTTAAGCTCGAAATTGATCTTGTACAAGCAGCATTTTCTTAATAACCTGTTTATTTTGCTTACCAGTCCAGTTGAAGGCTTCACCTTTTACCTGATTGAACATAACAATTTTGTTATGACTGCAGGCAATAAAGTAAATAATGTTGATGTTGTGTACACTCCTTGGTCAAATCTGAAGAAGACTCCTTCGATGGATGTTGGCCAAGTTGGTTTCTACAACTCAAAAATGGTGATCTTCTTTGTCTATTGGTTTTTACTCTGGATCTCCCTGAATCTTCCTTCGGTCGGTGATGAATGAATAACGATTTTCTCTGGGTGTTATCTCCATTAGGTTCGCACAACCAGAGTTGAGAAACGCATAAATGAGATAGTTAATCGCCTGAACAAGACAAAGGTGGAAAGAAAGCCAGATTTGAAAGGTTTGTATCTCAGTGAAATCATTCTGTAGGTTTGGCCAGCACCCCACCTTTTGAAGATGCTGCTCTTCTTTTTGCTTATATATTATTCCAACATTTTTAAGAAAAAATGATGCATGTAGAGTTTTGCATTGAGCATCTTGTTTTTTATGTGTTTTCATTTTCAGCTGAAAGAGAGGCAGTTAATGCTGCTGAAAGGGCAGAGAGGAAACAACATCTTCGAGAAAAAGTGAGTAACTCTGCTCTTTTGTTATCTACGACCATTTGAATATGCACATGGTGGGCAATATTGCCTTTTATTTGCTGGTCCTTAGTTTATATCTTTTGGGGTAGTAATCTCTTTATTCACATCTTTGAACAAACATCATATGAGTTAAATGACTAGGGTAAATTAAGTAAATCAGGACAACTTATGCACACGCACGGGCAAATTAAATGAACAATTGTAGATCAATGATAGTCAGGCCATATATGGAGAACCAAATTGAGGGGTGGATTGATCGATGCTGATTTGGATGAAGACAATGAATGCATTTCTGATTATCAACATGTGATATTGTTATGCAGAAACGACGGGAAGAATTAGAGAGACTGGAGAAAGAGAGACAGGCTGAGGTAAGGAGCTACAAGAATTTGATGGTAGCTGAGAAGATGACATCCAACAAGGACATTGCATCTGCCAGCAAGTCCCTGCAAGAACTCGAGGAAGATTTTATGTGAATGCCAAAAGTTCCAACAATTTGCAGAAAGTAGCAAGTGATCCATCATCTCCCAGTATTTGCACCGAACAAGAAGTCGTTGAAAGAAGATCAGGAATTTACCCGAGAGAACAGGCTGGGATGGGATCAGTGCCTAATTTGGTTGTGCTTCATTCTTAGCTTAGTGATATCTTCAACCTTGAAGCTCTTATGGTGTTAGCAAAAAATTAACACATTTTGAGAGCAAAAAGAGGAGATTTTTAGCTCACATATTGTTGATAAGCTTTTTCTGTATGTTCCCTATTTCAAGATTTACTGCTGAAAGGAAACCCTTTTGCTTACAACGTAAAATCCCTCGAGTCTCGTATGAAAACAATGAAAGTATATGCAACAACTGCACATCGCTTTTGGTTTTTTTTTTTTAAAAAATAACTGAGTGAAATGTGTAACGTAAACAAAAGAAGTTTAATATTTTTATTATTTTAGGGGTGGTTTTTGTATTTTCAGTAGAGTGAAGGGTGCAATGTGAATAATCTTTAGGAAGCTAGTATAAATATAATCTCATTGACATCGCGGGCACAATCTAGGGCATCGTCATCGCGTCATTTTGTCTTCGCAGTTGTTAATTGATGCTCTGAATATAATTTACCTTCGCAGCTCCATCCCCATCCTGGGACGAGTTTCCCAATCTCTGCTCGAAGATTTTACCTGATTATCGTTTTGTTTGCTTGCAGAAGTTCACAGATTCGTAGTTCGTTCTGTCTGTCTATCTATTTGATTTTGCGTGCATATATTGGACACAAATCTGGTGGCCTATTGTATGTTCCATTACGTTCGGTGATTCGAGAATGGCAGAGGATTGTAAAGGCCAGAAAAGCCGCAAGCGTCGCCGTTTAACGTGGGACGTTGCCCCGCCGGGGCAGCCTGAGGTGATTGTTGCAAGTTCTAGTAGATTAGGGTTGGGATATTTGTTTGGGAAGAGAGGAAATCCTGATTGTTCTTTTGGGGTTTCTTTTCCAGGCTTATCAAAGGGATGGTGAGGATATCCAGTGTAGGGCACCTCCGGCTTCAGTGCTGCGGCGATATGTTTCTCCTCCGAGGAGAGACGACGATCGCGAAGGCCATTACGTTTTCAGCCTGGGCGAGAATCTCACTCCTAGATGTAATTTAGTTTCTTTTCGAAATCGTGATTTTATTTATTTTACAGCGCATGGCCTGCAATTAATTCTTCAGATTTTTTTTCTTCTTCTGTGCCTCATTGTGAAATTTGGGAATGTTTGTTTGAAAATTGAAATTTAGATCGTCTCGGCTCCCTTGACCTACCAAGTTTCGCCTGCTTGCATGTTTAAAAGATGTGCTTTCCGTTGTTTTGAGTGTTTTTATTAGATAATGTTGCTTATGACTTGTATTTAAGGCGAGTGTTTTAACTTTAGATACGATGCTATTTGGACAGATAAAATACTTGGCAAGATGGGTGAAGGTTAGCGGTCCCGTGCCTGCTGATAAGAAAACCTTATATTTCATCATTTTGTATCAAATCAGCATGTTGCTAGTGCTGTAGGCACATTTGGTCGAGTATTGGAATGTTGGGATCGCCAAACAAGAGATTATGTAGCTATCAAAGTTGTTAGAAGCATAAGCAAGTATCGCGATGCAGCAATGATCGAGATTGATGTACTTCAGTGTCTTGCTGAACATGAAAAAGATGATTCCCAGTACGTACTTCCATTAAGCAAGTATCTAAGTCCTGTTATAATCTCAAATTTATATTGTTTCTTTTTTCTTTTTCTTTTTTTTTTCCTTTTCTGCAGTTGTGTTAAGATGCTGACTTGGTTTGATTATCGCAATCATATATGTATAGTAAGTATCTCTCTGATCATATCTCGCTAAATCGATCTCTCACTCTCAGTATATGTATATATATGTTTATTGTAACACCATCTTACTGTAGTAGAATGATAAAACCTACGACTCAGTGGTTTCATTTCTTTAAATTCTTTTTGGTTGTGTAAACATACCATTAAAAAATTGATTTAAAATTCCATATCCAGCACTCATATATGGCCCATAAATCTGCTGAAAGAAATTCAGTTGATCATTGTTTGAAGTATGCTTTATTGTAGTGGTATGAACTTTGGAGTATGGCTGTTGCAATAGGTTAGGTTGTTTGTTGATGTGAGCTTTGTTCATATTGCTCGCCTTTGACAGAGAACTTCATTTCGATGGATTTTAATGGTTTTATCAGGTATTTGAGAAGCTTGGACCAAGTTTATTTGATTTTCTAAAGAGAAATAGATACTTCCCCCTTCCTGTGGATCTTGTACGAGAGTTTGGGCGCCAGCTTTTGGAATCTGTAGCATGTCTGTATATTGGCCATGGCCTTCATATTATGTATTTATTTGGATTCTCAACCAATTACCTGCACATCTTTATTAGCCGCCTCTCATATATGTCCGGGCGCCTAACTGGTTTTCTAACAAGGGCTATTCTTGACTTTTATCATAATTCTTTGATATGTTCAACAGATATGCATGATTTGCGGTTAATCCATACAGACTTGAAGCCAGAGAACATACTTCTTGTATCTTCTGATTATGTAAAGCTCCCTTCGGGCAAGGTATTTGCCCCTAATTGGTTGGAATGCCATTTTATAATTGGGCATGTACTCGAGTCACATCTTGAAACATATTGTTTGGTTGGCGCAGAAGATGCAAGATGACATAAATTACAGGTGCTTGCCAAAGTCGAGTGCAATTAAGCTAATTGATTTCGGTAGTACTACTCATGACAGCCAGGCTCATAGTTCCATTGTTTCAACAAGACACTACCGAGCGCCCGAGATCATTCTAGGTACTAGTTTCTCTGAGATTCGCGCAGCTTTCATTCACGTTCTTTTCTTGAGATGGGATTGGTTCTCCATGAATAGCTAAATATGGACAAATATTGTGTTTCATTTTATTGATTTATCAAATACTTAGTTTGTTCTAGAATTCATTCCCTCATATATAATTGGGTTAAGACTAACAAATAACTGTGTTTGATAGACATCGTAGTGACTACTATTCTCTTGCAGCAAGACTTTGTGCCTATAAACTATCTTTTATGATCTGATTTCTCTTTATTTTACATTGAATCAGGTTTAGGATGGTCTTATCCTTGCGACCTTTGGAGTGTTGGTTGCATACTTGTAGAACTCTGCACGGTTAGAAGCACCCTCAGCATCTCTTTCCTGGCATGCCATGCTTACTATCATTATGTTTTTTTGTTCTAACGACAGGCGACCATTTTTACAGGGGGAAGCACTCTTCCAAACCCACGAGAACTTGGAGCATCTGGCTATGATGGAAAGGGTGTTGGGATCACTGCCAGAGCATATGATCCGAAAAGCAAAGTAGGCCACATCTATTCTCCTCTCCATCTGCCTCTTAAAATTTAGTGGTAAAATCTCTCCGTAATACATTACTGGTCGGTTTTACAGCAAGGGCGCCGAGAAATATTTCAGAAGGTCACGGCTGAACTGGCCTGAAGGAGCAGTTTCCAGGGAGAGCATTCGAGCAGTACGGAGGCTAGACCAATTGAAGGTCCCAAACTACAATGTTATGTTATTTTTCTCTAAGTTTTGTTATATTCTTATTTGGAGTGGTAATGCAGAATCTGGTGGCAAGGCATGTGGACTCATCGCGATCATCATTAGTTGACTTGTTGTATGGGCTGTTGAAGTTTGATCCGCGCGAACGACTGACTGCTAGACAAGCTCTCCGCCACCCCTTCTTCGATGCCCTTAGTTAATAATACCAGTTGATCTAAATTCGATTTTGTAGTGAAGTGTACTAGATAGAAACTCACTCTCATTTTAGCCCAATGGAGGATATTACTCTAGTCTCTTTGTTTTCAAGTCTGCACTAAGTACTGAATTCGAACGAATAATACATACCGAAACTAAGCTTAACCAAGTCTTATGTTACAGCAACAAACCAGTATTGGATAAGCTTAGTAATAAATTTCAGAGAAGTTTTGTACGAGAATGAAAATTGAGGGGCTATTGGTATTTTTCACTTTGACCCCTAATATTTGTCAATATTTTTTATTTCTATGTTTGTCCGATCTCATTAATTGTATTCTAATGTAAAGTAAATTAAAATAAAATAAATCTATATATTTTAAAATTAATTTTTAATAAAAAAATATATTTATATATATTTGATAAAATACAAAAACACAGTACTTCACTAAATATAAATATATATATATATATACTACTCTAGCACAGACAACGTCAGGACACTATAGACACGTACACGAGGGATGTAATTAGCTAGTGAATATAATTATTCGATAATATAAATAATTATAAATTAAGATTAAGATAACTAATTAGTATAAGATAATTAGTATAAATTAGTTATCTTAATTTTAATTTATAATTATTTATATTATAAGATAATTATTTTTACTAATACATTAGTAATTATCTATTAATTATATTTATCATAAATTCTCGTGTCTACAGTGACTTAGACATGGAGGTCGTATCTATTTTGTTATTCTTATTTTTTACAAACTAATTTTTAAATTTTTGTATATTAATTTTTAAAGTGATTTGATTAGGATAATATATTTTATATATAAAAAAACTATAATTATTATTTATTAAAAAAATATATTATTATATAATTTAATAGTATAAAATAACTCATAGATAGCCCATGTTATAAACTTGTTATATATATATATAAAAACTTACTAAATAATTAATCTAAATGATTCTACGAAGTCTCTAAAATATTAATAATAAAAAATAAACATTCTAGAAAATTAATATTATTGTTTCAGTCAATCCCATTCAACAAAATATTTGAATTAGAATAAATACGAAGCAGCACATGGTAAGGTTCATTCGTTGTAATATTTGTCTATCCAATATAAACTGGTGTTTGAATAATATATTAATTTTTTGTTAATTTTTATTACTATTATTTATACAATATATTAATATAATATTCCCTCTATTTCATAAGAGTTTCTATCACTATTTCTACTTACTGCGAAAACAAAATAAAGGTTTTTAGAGGTATAAATAGTTTATCTTGTTCCAATACTATAGTTTTATTTATCATTTTTGTCTGTCTTCTTATTTTTATAAATAATTATATCCCTATAAAACTATTTTTATTTTTTCATTATTATTCCACAATTGCCACTACTTTTACACCAATACATTTTTACCCATCGTGCCAAACACAACCCAAACTATAACTGTGAAAAAGAAAAAGGCAAACGTGATGAAGGGGATTATAGCGGAATTTCTTCAGAGGAATTGGAGGTGGTTTGCTTGAGGAAGGAGTTCAGAGTCCATATATAAACAATGAGTATGTTTTTAGGACAAGGGATGGAGATGAAAATAAATAATTAAAAGAAGGGCATTTATGGAATTTCAGGGAGCCATTTTCTCTTTAAGGTATAAAGTATTACTTGTTTCGCTGCGGGTTACAGATGAGATCATCAATTTTTTCCTCAACTGATAAACCCTAACAGCTGTTGTTTGAATTGGTATAACTCTTGCTGTCTGTACGAGCACGGGTTCGGATTGAGATCGCCAATGGCGTTCCGGTCTCGAGAAATGATGAAGAAACTTGTTAAGAAAATCGGCGGCGAGAAAACTTTGGCACCGGGAGTTAAACAAGAGTTGAAAAAATCGCTGCCTGATAGGAAGGTCGTGATGGGACGCGCTCATCGGGGTTTGTACGCTGGCCGACATATCCAGTTTGGAAATCGCGTCAGTGAGGATGGAGGAAACAAGTAAGCTGCTCTCTTACACCAACACACGTATTCTGCTTCCCTTTCTGGATTTGTTATTCTAAAATCGGTGTTTGTCCGAACTGTTCCTGTTTCTGTGTGCGCGATCCGTTCTGTTGATCATGTTTTTAGCGAGTGGTTTAGATGCGGAATTTGAATGGATATTCGATAGTCAAAACTTGGAGGTTTTTAATGTTTGATTAGGTTTACATTTTCAATGAATCTGTGGATGCTTTGAAGGTATGCAGTTTAATTTATTTAATAGAGATGAGGAGGAGGGGAGAGGTTGGTGACAGAATGTTTAAGTTTTTGTATTCGTTAAGCTGCAGAGTAGTTTCGTCTGTGGCATCTTGTCATTAGAATTTTTTTACTTCTGTTAACTGCCAAGAACTGTCAGAAACCTTCTCTGTTGCTGAGCAATTGTACGTTTTTAGAGGTTTGATTAAATTAAGAACTCCTGTGGCGCACAGCTGTTGCGAACTTATAAATTCATATGTGAATTTTTATTGTTTGGTTGTCGAGCTGTTATTGCTTTGTAGCCCATCATTACACAGATGTAGAATGTGAAACTTACTGTATTGGCAAGGGAATGTGGTGTAGAATGTGATCTGAACACATCCCTAACTGTTGTTTGTTTTTGTTCGGGTTTTGTGTTCTCTACTACTAGCAACTGACTCGATGATTGATAAAGGTTACATCTTTTATGGGACTTACTATTTGTGGCCCTGTTGTATGGCTAGAAACATGTTCTAATGTTCAAGTTGGATGTGAACAAGAGTTACTAAGTTTGCAGCACTTTGCATCTGATGTTCTGTATTATTCTGCAAATAGTAGACTTATTTTGATGGTAATGCTAGGACAAGGAGATGTTGGAAGCCAAATGTGCAGGAGAAGCGGCTCTTCAGCTATATCATGGATCGTCATATCCGTGTTAAGGTAACTACCCACGCCCTGCGCTGCATAGACAAGGCTGGTGGAATCGACGAGTACTTGCTGAAGACACCATACCATAAGATGGACACAGAAATGGGACTTTATTGGAAGACCAAGATTGAGCAGATGTATGCAGACCTCGGGGAGATGGAGGTTGTGTTCTTTTCTCCAGAGGACGAGGCCAACTTTGAGAAACAATTCGAAGAGCTCAAACTAGAAAAGAAGGCCATACGTAGGGAGACCAGGAGAAAGATGTACGGCACATCAGCCAAACAAGAGCCAGTAGCAGAAGTAGAAGATGTTGTTGGGCTAGCCGGAAGAGAAGATTCTAGACATGAAGATAGCTCTCACACCGGCTACCATGAACCTATAGTGGCAAATGCTTAAATATGGACGCGATGCATATGTGCCTTCTGCGTCGGAAAAATCAAAGATGTTTGTTATTGTTAGAAAGTCCGAAGCACAAGTTAAGTTGAGTGTTGATTCTAATTTTGTGGGTTCTGATTTTTGGTTGCTTTCTTCAGTTATATGTATGTTTTGGAATTGGACAAGTCCCTTACAGTGTTTAGGCTACAAGCTCAGTAGGGCAATACCCTTTTCTCCTAACTCCTGCTTGGCAATGAAAGAGTCATCCTTTCTATGTTTCTGTTGAATAAAGATAACCAATCTCTTGCATTTCAATAAAGCTTTGTTTATATGGTTGACTGAAAAATGCACCTACCAAACTGTTTTTACCACACAAGTTTTTACTAAAAGGTCAAGCTATTACGGATGTTCATTTATCTATGATGCTATGTTAAATGATCTATAATATTTATTTATTTATTTAGAAACAATTATGATGATTAGTTGTAATGATATATTCATGTTCAATGGTGAATGTAACTATTATCTGTTGTATACTGTGTATATGTTATGTGCTTTATCACACCACTAATCTATAAGAGAAAAGCATAGAGATCACTCCTGCAAGGAAAGATCAAAGAAAGAGTAAACAAAACGTAAGAATGGCGACAACAAATTCAACAATCCGAGGATTGGAAGATATGTTGATGCACATGTTGAGAAGATGCCACAAGACAACATATTTGAGGAGAATACATGCCCTAATGGAGAAGCTGTCACTGCTGCAAAGCAATTTCTTGGTGACAAAAATGGTGGATATCTGCGACCAAAACGGAGAGATCGAGTACGCAAGATTACTGTTCGAAAGGGTTATTAACCCCAACATTTTCTTGTACAATGCAATGCTCAGAGCATATACACACAGCCATTTGTACATACTGACCATCAACACGTATAAAAAAATGCTGAGAAGCTCTGCACCACAATTACAAGAAAAAATAATTCCTGACAGATTTACTTACCCTTTTGTTCTTCGATCCTGTGGAGGGCTTCTGAGTGTTTTGCTAGGAAAACAAGTTCATGGGCACGTCTGTAAATATGGGTTGATTGGTAATAACATTGTTGTGAATTTGTTGTTAGATATGTACGTCAAGTGCGATGGAGTTGCTGATGCCCGTAAGGTATTCGACGAAATGCCTGAAAGAGATGCCATTTCTTGGAACAGTCTTATATTTGGGCACATGAAGTTGAGCCAAGTGAAGAAAGCAAGAGCCCTGTTCGAAGCCATGCCAAATAAGACTATTGTTTCTTGGACGGCTATGATATCCGGGTACACGAAAGTCGGAAGTTTTGGGGATGCTTTGGATGTGTTCAGAAGAATGCAGATGGCGGGGGTGCAGCCGGATTGGGTCACATTGGTCGCAGTCTTGCCGGCTTGTGCTCAGTTGGGAGCGCTGGAGCTCGGAAAATGGATTCATTTTTACGCGGAAAGGAACGGGTTTATAGAAAAGATCCGCGTTTGCAATGCATTGATTGAAATGTACACGAAATGCGGCAGTATGAACCAAGCCTTGCAGATTTTTGATAGTATGGCTGAAAGGGATGTTATATCCTGGAGCAGTATGGTTGCAGGGCTAGCGCATAACGGGAGGGCGCATGAAGCGATTGCGATGTTCCACGAGATGCAGAGGGCGAAGATCGAGCCAAATGAGATCACATTCGTGGGTGTATTGTCAGCATGCGCGCACGCAGGCCTGTTGGACGAGGGGCTGAAGTATTTCGACTTGATGCAAAAGGATTACAAAGTAGAGCCTGAGATCGAGCATTATGGTTGCATGGTGGATCTCCTAGGGCGCACGGGGAACATTAGCCGTGCGGTGGAAGTGATAGGGGGCATGGAAATGGAAGCAGATTCGGCGATATGGGGTTCGGTGCTGAGCTCCTGCAGGAGTCAGCGCGACCTGAAGACGGCGGTGGTTGCAATGGAGCGTCTGTTGGAGCTGGAGCCGGAAGACACGGGGAACATGGTGCTGCTGGCGAATATATACGCCGATTTAGGGGAGTGGGAAGGGGTTTCGAGGATGAGGAAGTTGATTAGGAGCAAGAAGATGAAGAAGAGGAGACCTGGTTGTAGCTTGATTGAGGTGAATGGAGTGGTTCAAGAATTTGTGTCTGGAGATGATCCAAAAGCAGCAGCAGCAGAGGCTGTTTTGGTGCTGTTGGGTGTCCAAATGTCAACTGAATTTTGGACTGATGATGAGTTTCTTGATCAATAAATAGACATTACCACATTGTATTGGAGAAACAAAACATAAAAAAAAAAGTTGTCAGAAGTGGGATTTGAACCCACGCCCTCTTACGAGGACCAGAACTTGAGTCTGGCGCCTTAGACCACTCGGCCATCCTGACTTGTTGTATATGTTTTGTATACTAATCTACAAATACACAAATTATCATGTTACAGTTATATTTCTGCCAAGTTTTAGTCCAATGCCACAAAATTCCACTGGAAATTTTGAGGGAGAGGTTAAAGGTGCAATACAAAATACAAAAGGTGGGATACAAGCATACAACTACAACTGAACTGCTGTTGCTGCTTCTATAAATAGTAAGTATATCTGAAAATGCAGGCAGGCAGGATTTGCTTCTTGATATGGATATGATATGATGATATACTCACTCAGTCACCTTGAGGAAGTTTCAATTTCCTCTTCTGAATCAGGAACCACCAGAGCAGCAGTGTTTACATTAGGCCTCTGCCTCGATCTGTTCTTGGCACCAATCTTTTCTGGAATTGCAACTGGAACGCCATGACCAGCTAGTCTCTTACTGAAGCGCGATCCCTTAGGTTTCTTGGAATTTAATAATACCCTAGTACCTTGCTCGACGTTAACATCCTTGTCGTCATCTTTTTCCACCTCATATTCTCCATCTTTATTATCTCTTTCTTCATCGCTTTCCCAACATTCACCATCCATCAAGGTAGCATCAGAATTCGATGATGATGATGCTGATGTATTTCCCATTCTTTTTCTACGCTTGCTCTGATTCTCTGCCGGATTTTGCACTTCTTTTGTCCTCTTCTTGCTGAAGAACCCGCAAAATGTTGGAATTACGAAATAATGAGCACAAACCATAACAGAAAATTGTACGTGTGTGAAAAGATGGAAGAGTGCAACCACTTACTTTACAAATTGTATGGCTTCTTTAATGGACTTGTCATAATTATCTGCAATATAACACATACAACGTTTATAAAAAATGTAAGATGAATGAAAAAGTACATCTTTTTGATCCACATGAAAAGGGTTATTATCTATTCAAAAAATGTGGAGGGCAATAAAAATTTAAGAATCAAGGTATGGTGCACTATGAACACTAGCCTTGAACCAATGCAAAGCAGAATCAAGAAAGGACCACAGGACAAACAGAATCAGATTATGATAATGTAGGGTTGGGGCTACATTACCAAATGTATAGTCAACAGGCTTATTATAGCGGCGGCAAGATCGTGTTATTCCACAATTTCGAAAACCATTCAAAAGCATCTGCGCCCTCTGCTTCCGTTTATGTGCCCTCATTTTCTTCTGTCAATGATGATGACATTCTCCCATGAAGCAATATCAACAGATGTATGTATTATTTATAATGTAAGGGGGAAAATAACTCGTTGCTAACCTTCAATTGTTTTTCAAGAAGAGGGATGATATCAGCAGCAATGGAGTCACTGACGGCAACCTCCAATTTATCTCCACTAGATGAAAATTTATTCTACCATCCAAAAGAACAAGGGTTTAAAGAAAAATCTGATAAGTAGAAACTCAATAGTGCAAGGAAGTAAACATACCTCAATGATTTTAAATTCTTCTAGATTTGTTGCAAGGGTTTCCCACAGATAATTCATTCTTGGAAACATGGTTCTGCCTTTGACTCGTTCATTCTCAAAGCTTTTTACCTCTTTGTATAATCTATAACCAATAGTTTCACTCCCCTCAAACCTATTACAAAGACAAGACAACCAAGTTTACCAATACTGTTCTTGAATTATTATGCAATCACTATATCTTAACAGCCTACCAGAAAGAAATTTTATTTCCATCGCCTGCAAGCTTGTCCTTTCTGAAATCAGACGCTGCACTGCCATTCTTTATCGCATCATTGATATATGAGACAGCATCATATTCCTGCAAGAAACTGAACAAGTGAACCACAAGGTCCACAACCACAAAGCCTGAAGAATTGCCTGTGTTCCCTCAATTATTAGATTCACCCTAAGCCAAACTAGACAAGACTCACCAACAGAAAAAATGAACATAATGCAATGTACTTTCTCAGAAAAATAGCATCAGAACTATTAACATTTCAAAAGTTAAAAAAGATTGATTCTGTGAGCATACATCAGCTCGAACTTCACAGAGTGCTTTAAGGACAAGCAGACGACTTGTTGGATCAAGTTTCTTGTAGAGAGATATTTCGTTCCTGCTTATGCAATACAAAATTGCAAATGAGGAGAATAACAACTTAAGTTTGCCTTCATACAACGACACATTGACAAAGAACAAGAAATACTGTACCCTTTTGCTCCACTTAGAGGAAAATCCCCTTGACCAACCTGTAGAGAAAGAAAAGAGTTCAGCAGCATCTTTGAGCATGTAATAAAAATATCCCTACAAACCATAAGTTTGACGTACCCAAGGCCACCATTCTGACAGTGTCTTGCTGACTGCAATCATCCAATCATCAGGGCCCTTGAGTGATTTTCCAGATGGGAGAATTCCCTGAAATAGCTCAAATTTACAAAGCCACTTACAGAGTAAAGAAAGATGGTATGCAATTGTATAATCTCATTCCACACTATACTATATTGAATTGAAACACCAATATGATCTGGCAGTTCTTTTATGAAGAATTTACTCAGTCTACCAAATAAAGGCTGATGGCTTACGGAGGAAATTAATTGAATTGGCGCTATATCAAGATGAAAGTGAAATTTATGCACAGATAATCATTGCAGGTATACTACCATGTTTCCAAGGGAATATTTAAAGCCATATTCCCGCAATCTCATGAAATAATGAGTAGTACAGGTTTGAAAATTCAGAAGTGGAAAAGTGATCCAATTTACAAGTCTCGTTGATCTGGAGATGGAAATAAACCTTCAGAAGCGCTATATGAAGTTCAGCAAGCGTCCTATTCTGTTCAATGAGTGCAATTTCAATCTCTTCAGCAGTTATCTTCATATCACTCTCAATAACAGGTTCAAAAACCTGCAAGTGTATGTGCGGGGCATCTAAGCATGAAAGATAATACAATTACGAAGCAACATGTATATAACAGTTTTTTTTTTTTTTTTTTTTCTGTGAAACATTTCCGATTTCCGAATATAACACCGACGTAGGTCATAAACAATAACCACTATTCCGTTTATAATATCTTTATATAGTTGACGAATAACACGCTACAATTACATAGATTCGTCTAGTTTCCCGCAAATAAGTTGGTTATCGACAAAATGAACAGTCCACGGATTTAAAAACAAAGAGGCAAACCGCACGTAGAAACGAACGAATACCGAAAACTGAAAGAGAAAAAGGCGAGGAAATCAACGACTCGAAAATCTTGAAAAAATAAATAAATGAGTAGCAGTACAGTACACGAAGAAAGTTGAGAACTGAAGCCAACTCCCACCGCTGACGGAGCGATTTCTGCGCGGCCTCAACATCCTTTGACGGAGGCGATGTTACCACTACATCATCCATTTGCATATTTCCTCCGGTCGCCGCCGGCCGTCCGCGAGCTTCGGTGGTCATTGCTTGAGAAGAACCCTTGGGAAGAAACGGAGATACAAAAACAAAATGTACTGGAGTATCTGATAACTGGGTATCCAACGGGGGAAACTTTTCGAGGGTTAATTATGAAACCGCGCGGTTTCCCGCCAAGATTTACTGCCCTTTCGTTGTGGACCGCTGCAAATTTATTTTCTTTTAAGGGGCTCACGTTTGGGCCTAAAACTAAGTGGATACTGGGCCTCAACTAATAATTTTCTTATGAGATGAACAAAATTGTCAGGTTTTTAGGATTTGATCGTATTGATTTTATTTTTGTTTTTTCGAAATTTCGGATTGATATATTAAAAATCTAAATAAATCTACATTAAAATATTAATGTATTATGATAAAAATGTGTGCATGTGACATATTTTGTGTGTTCTTATTTAGAGTTTTTTTGCATGTTTACTTGTTTATATATATATATATATTATTTTTGTTAACATAGAGTTTTTTTTTTTTTTTTAGTGAACACATAATTTTAGCATGCAATTGATATGTTGATTGAAATTAATCACATCACATAAATCAATAGCATATGATATGATGTATAAATCATAAGGATTGATCTTAAGATGGTGCATTAATATAAGCCAATAGTATATGAAATACAAATTCATACATAATACTCCCTTCGTCCCAAACACCGTACAACATTTGTGTTTGGCACGAGAATTTAGGTGGGGAGTATTAAGTATGATAATTTGAGATAATTTGTATATATAAGTGATGTGATTGGAGAGAGAAATGATTATATGTTTTTTTATTTGAGGGATGTGATGGGATAAAGTGAAGTGTATATTAATATATGTATATAAATATTATTAATTATTTGTAAATTTGAAAATGTTGCAGTGAATTTGGGAGGTGTTTGGGACGGAGGGAGTACTATATATTAAGATACGAGTATAAACAAAATATATGAACTCAAATGACAATAGTCCACGTCTAGCCCGAGGGAAATATGATTCAAATGTTATCCATATTTCATAAAAAAAGCAACCCAAATTATTCACATACTAACCATTATCTAGATTTTTTAAAATTTGTATCATTAATGATTTCAAATAAACTTGGTTGTGTGTTCAAGTGAAAAAGTATATTTTCCCCCATTTTCACCTTGATATTATTATTATATTGTTAAAAAATATGTCACATTTGATCAGCTGTTGCCATGACTATTGAGCATATCAAAAACAGCAAAAGCAGCTTTTTGGAACTGATTTTTCTCCTCTTCTAAGGCAATCTTCCTTTCCAGTGCAGATTCTCTGGACTTATCCATCTCTCCGGTTATCCCCGCAGATTTTGCATCGATTTCACTGCAAATGTCACGATGAGAGCATAAATGATCAAATTTGAAGTGAGGAGGTTGGGAGAGAAATCAGAAATTAGCAGATGAACGTAGTGATGAGATGTCGAGATGGAGAGCTAACATGGGGACTCGTTGTAGCATATAAACATAGAGCTTACTTTATCATTTTAAGCATGTTGTCCATGGCGATTTGCATTTGCTGGGAGAGATCTGTTCATTGCACCAATGAAACGAGTTGTTATGGTAAACAAGTTGGTGGATATAAGCACGCGCCATAATTCATCGATTCATGGAAACTGATCTAACTTGCAAATGTTGGAAAGATTGTAAAAGCAATTGTTGAGGTTCTCTCTGTATCCAAAGATCTGCAGAGAAGTCGAATGGAGACAACCAGCAGGCGAATGCATAATCTTAATCACAATCTGATTTTATAGCAGAAACTCATCTCCAAAAAGAAGTACTTAAGTTGCATTTTGATATTTCTAGTGAACAACTATTAGAATTTGGCAAAACATTTTGTAATGTCATGCATAGCTAATTGCACTGGAGAAGATACTTAACTCGACTAAATTTTGGTAACATTTCTTCCTCTCGAGTACACAGCATTTGAAAACTGACTGAAGGAATTTGCAGGAGTTCAAAAGCAGCCTTAGAAATATCAGATCTCACCCAGCTCCAAATGGTTATATATGTACGTATGGATTCTAGACTAGCAATTGACAGAAAGTATATATTCTTCCGATTCATATCTGAGCTCCTAATCAACAACTACCAGAACAATACATGAGCATTTCGAAATCATTTGATCATTAAACATGAAAACCACATTTACGAGCTGATCAAACAATCAAACTTTTCACTGAAACTCTTAATAGTCAAGAGAATACCTAAATCTATTAACGAAAGGACTCAACGGCACAGAAACACACAAACTCCGCAAAACACAGTAATTTTCCGATAATTAGAACATAAAAACTTGATTCCATCACAACATTGATCATATCCTGCATGTAAACACCACACGAATGCTCTGTACAAGTAATGTTCACACGTTACTTCACAGAATTAGTACCGTAAACGAGTGAAGAGAGCTGAGACTCGACGACGGACGGAGGAGCGAGATCCCGCGGCGGTGACGCCATCCTTTAACCAAAACTGAAACGACCGAAGAACAATTTGATTTCAATATATATAGTCGCTGCAGATATTATATACCCGGCTCAGTTTGGGCCAAAATTTTAATGGAGAATGGGCTTCAATCAATGGGCTTCATAAAATATTACATACATAAAAAATAAAAAATAATAATAAAAATAAGCAATCCCCAATTCCAATATAAATAACAAATATTATTAAATTACCTACGTGAATGTTCATAAATAAATCATAAATATTGAATTTAATGAACATAAATAATTAATCAATTGAGGCATTTATTAAATTCAAAATTCATATCATATGCACATTATTTTCATTGAATGCACTCATTCTTTAAATGTAATACTTACTATTTTATTTTATTTTATTTATTTCGAATTCCCCTGCACATAATTACTAGCACAAATATTTCAAACTATATTACAAATAATCAAAACATACAATATAAAAAAGAAATATAAATAAAACATTTAAAAATCCATATATTTCTGACAACTCACGGGCAGCTTTATTTTATTTTATGATGACAATGCTGCGACTTTTGTAACCCCAGTTTCAATTAATTACTGATAGTCTAAATTAATTTAAATTAAACACAAATGAATTAATTTAGTTTCAAGACAATTAATGAATGTTTGAATGGCAAATTTCCATTCGTATATGCTGCAATGCATAACTCAAAATTCTAAATAATTAAAATATAAAGTACCAAAATAAATAAATATATATATATATAGAGAGAGAGGGGCACCCGGTGCATGGTCCGGGAGCAGAGGAAAACGTAAACACCAGCTGTGAAAAGTGTGGATACACACACACTGTGTACTGATGCAGTGAATAAATGAAAGCAATACAATACGTACATTGATAACAATGCCATTTGTAAAATATTGGGAGAAAGAAAGTAAATAAATAAATAATAACAGTAATAATAATGATGAGTGTGTGAGATTGTGCTCTGATTTTGATGGGGGAGAGAGAGAGAGAGATAAAGGCAGAGAGGGTCTCCATTTTTTCCCTGTGACAGACAGATACTGCTATTTGGTTTGGTTCCATTTCCTCCACACTTGAAAACTCCATTTTCTTTCTGGTTTCTGGAGGAAGAGGGAGAAGAAGAAGAAGAAGAAACAAGGTGGGTTTTTAATTTCTTTGATCTTCTTTTGCACATCCATCCCATTGATCAGTGATAAATTCAAGAAAACATTGGTTTTGGGTGTCAATCATGGACTAGTTTTTTGGGCATTTGATATAATCATCTCTATCTTCTTTTTCCTGAGATTGAATGTATTCAAGAATTACAATCAAATCAACAAGAATGGCCACGATGGGGATTTCTCTAGCTATTCACATTTCCCCCTTTTCAGTTCCTTTTAGAATGATCTTGATCAGGGGTGGGCTGTTCTTAGTAGTTACAGATTGGAAGTTGATGTTGTTTACATATATATATGGATATGTATTTATGTGACTTTGCATTCTTTTTTTAGATCATCTTCTGTTCCAATTCTTGATTTACTTTCACTAACATTCTCCACAGCATGGTTTGTTGTTTCTTGATTCTTGAAGGATAACATCATCTGTTCTGACCTTATCTTCTTGACTAGTACTTTGATCAAGTTCTTGTTGTGCATTTCACTTTAATTGAATCCCATATGAGATATATGTATCTATATATTTGTTCCAAGTTCTGGGTGTTTATTCTGAGTTCTTGATTTGGGATTCAGAGTGTTGGTGTAATAATGCTGAGGAAGAGATCAAGATCACACCAGAGAGATCATCAGCTTACAAATAACTCGATGGCCTGTGCTATACCAGCTTCCTGTTTTCATTCGGATTCGTCGAATAAGAGCCATAAAAACCTCGCATTCCTGAATGTCCCCAGCCTGTTCGTGGGATCATCGAACCGCAAGAGCCCAGACTCTGATTCGTCAAGAAGTCCAACCTCGCCGTTAGATTTTAGGATATTCTCAGGCTTCGGCAATCCATTTAGGCGTCCGGGAGCTGCATCGCCAAATGAGGGGTACCCGAAGAGCTGGGATTGCTCCAAAGTTGGCCTCAGCATTGTAGATTCTCTGGATGATGAAGATAAACAACCAGGGAATGCTGCAAGGAGATCATACGATAATAAAACGATTATCTTTGGTCGACAAATGAGTGTTAGAAGTCTAAGCCCCGGCAGCCATGCCAATTCTGTGGAGATACGAAGTTCATCTCCGGAAAAAACTCCTGTTCTTCCTAGTACCGACACTAGATCACCAGATGTCCAAATGGGAAACTCTAGTGTTGTTTTTGAGATCGGACAAGTCCCGTCTGAAATCAAGTTCGAACATTTCTCTTCATTGGATTCTGGAAGGCAAGCATCGCCATTGATGAATTCAGTTCCTAAGAACACCAAGACCCTGCTTATCCCACCTGAGCATAGATTTCTTGGAGGAAGCTTCAACGAGGGCCGTTTTGTTGGTTCTGTTACAGCAAGTGAAATCGAGCTCTCCGAGGATTATACATGTGTTAGGACACACGGTCCAAATCCAAAAGTTGTTCATATCTTCTGTGACTGCATTTTAGGATGTCAAAGTGACCAGGTAGCCAATTTAAGTGAGGATGGCTACTTACCTCCTACTGCTTCTTACCATTCCAACGATTTCTTGAAATTCTGCTACACTTGCTGCAAGAAACTGGAGGGTCAAGACATTTACATGTACAGGTTAGTCGAACTGAGTATTACTAGCACCGATAAACATACATATCGCGTACAGATGCTTTGGCATACAGCAAACTGATTACCTCATTTTTGCAGAGGCGAGAAGGCGTTCTGCAGCTATAATTGTCGCTCGCAGGAGATGGAGGTTGATGAAGCCATGGAGGAAACTGACGATAACAAAGATACTTCTGCAATCCCCTATGAAGTAAACAGATTCGGAGAATCTTCAACAAGCAACATATCTATCACTACATAAGTTGCTGCACTGCAACAATGTATCCGCTGTGCCCACGAATGGAACTCTGCAGTGTAGGTGGACGATGATGATCCGGTTCTGAATCCGATCATTTGTCCAGTTATCAAGAGCTGTTTTCTGTACCTGTTTGCAGCCTTGGATAATCACACAACCTCATGCTGGTAGACTTTCATCCCTATGTGGGTGTAGTGTGCAGTGAGTGTATGGAATAAGCTGATATTGAGTTACCCTGAACTTTTACATAGGGATAACAAGAGAATGACTTTAATTTTGGCGATGTTAAAGAAAAGGGTAGTAGCCCTTTAAAGTGGCTTCCCCACCTTTTATCATATATCTTGCTAAATATTTGAAGTCTTACATGCATAATTTCAATAATGTTGACAATGAGAAGAAGATGAAGAAAGGGGAGATACAGACTAAGACAACTCTTGATTTTATCAATAATAAAGGTCAGAGCAGAAGAAGCACATTGCAGCTTAGGTATAATGTATAACATGACCTCAAATGTGGTTCTTGCACTTCACAGAAGTTGCTTTTGGTGAATATGAGATGATGTTGAGCTGTTTGTGCGCGCCTATCTGCCGATGCCCCTTGTTTGTCGAGTGTTGTAAGACTTGCAGTTGGGGCACTTCTGGCCTAAGATATGATATTTCACTTCTGCATTGAATTCACAGTCATTGCAGAGAATCCAAACCTGGCACGTGGACATCGATATTTCACAATTTTGATATGGCAATTTAGCTCAATGAACATATAGAGAGAAAAGAGGGAAGGGGGGAGGGAGAGACCATCTTGTCTTCATAACATGATGGCATGGGCGTCTCGGCAATCTCTAAGTCGAACTTCTCCCAGTGCTTGGACATGTCACAAAATGACTTGAAGCAGATGGGGCAAGAATACCTGTTTATGGGATGACATGGATCATAAAGCGTTCGATGTGAAGCATGAAAGGTGTATAGCCAATAGGGAAATGGAGGAGTCGCTTCACTTGCCTGTTGTGCTTCTGCATCTCTTCCATGCACGTCTTGTGAATGGTATGACCACACAGCATACATACGACATTATTTGTCGAATCAAATAGATACTGCAAATCATAATGTGCACTTCGCTTCATTCTCCCCAAACTAAAAGCATTTCAGTCGAACAAAATATGTTGAGCTGCAGTTAATACCTCAAAACAGACGGGACAGTCCTGGTGCATTGCCTTCTCCACGCACGGATGGCTACTTTTGAAATGCACGGAATAGCAGCATCCTAAGTCATTTAGTGAAATAGCAGAGTTGAGATGATTGATTGGTACATTCGAACCAGGGCTTGACAAGTGCATAAACAAATTAATGGACATTGACATACCACATTTATCACAGTGGAAGAAATTCTCAGAGCCTCCAGTTCTGCCATTCACAATGCAAAAACAATACAACATGGATTTAGAATATAGATGGTAGAGAAGATGGAAATGAAAATAGTTAGCGTAAGATGGTTGTGTTATACACATTTCTTTTATATTTCAACCACTGCTGAAAAAGAGATTTCGGGCACATTAAAACTGTATTTCCATTGAGGATAACCAATCGAAGAAAGCTTGTGTTGTAACGCCATGAGAAAGGGAGAAAGGTTACTCTACCTACAGATGCCACAGCCATCACAATGATACTGCTCCTTAGATATCTGTGAAATAAGAGGTAGAATTGCATCACTCATCTGTCATGTACACTGTTTGAAATGTGTAATAAAACGTTCTTCTTCGACCGTTGTTTGGAACTACATATCATGCAATGAAACATGCAAACAGGGTATACTTGATACTCACGTCATCGTCAAAAAACTTGCAGATTTCACAGTAGTATTTCCCCATGCATACACCACAATTAATGCAGATTTGTTGAACCTGCCAAAGGAACCAGCATCGGAATTGAGAGGGGGGCAGGGGAAGTATAAAAAACAATGATAGACTGAATAACCTCCCAAAGGATCATTCTTGAATTTTTATTTTTTTATTTTCCACAAAGATGTATGGCCGTGTGTTTTTGCTTGTTTTAAATAGTGATTTGTTGCCATGTTTACTGATAAAGAGTAGTATACTTTCATTGAAAATATAAATGATGAATAGTAAAAGATAGGAAATAAAACACAAAAGAACAAAGCTGATTGTTGTTGCACATAATTCAAAAAAGAGTAATTTTATGTAACTCCTTTTATCTGAAACAACAGTATGGAAAAAGACACAAGTAAACAAATATGTGCATGTACAAACATAATATACCAACCTTTTGTTCAGTGCCACAGAGTGAGCATATAACCTGCAAAATAATAACACGCTGTTTTTTTATAGTGAACTAAACGAAGACACAATAATTATGAGTATCAGAATTGGAAGACACAAATAGAACAAGATCCAAGTAAAAGCATACCTTCTCAATCAGATGGCGAGGGATATCATGCCTGAGCTTTTGATCAATCCGTATATGGTTCTGTTGCGAAAAACAAGTTGATGCTGTGTTATAGTTCAAGAACCTTGAGTCTCAACAAATGTTAACATATAGAAAGAGAACGGGATTAATTAAACTGTTCTCCTTTCTTCTTATTTTTGTTTTTAAAAATATCTTTTGGATCTAAGATTGCTTGGATCTACATGTAACATTGACACAATATGCCATTTTGCAGTGCTTTGTTAGCCTTAACATGCTAACTACCTTTGCCTCATTATGACAGTGACGACAATCAAATATTTCATTGCAACAAGGAGCTCTGATTCGGCATCTCCGACGGTAATGAGAGCACCTGCTAGTGAAGCCTCAAACATGAGCAACAGATCATGAAATGATTCATACTTCAAAGTTAATGCATAATGCTAGAAATCCATACCCGAATTTCATGCATCCTTTATCTTGTTTTTCAGTGCCAGTAATTTTGTCCACGCACACAGATTCTTCGGCTGGAACGAGATCTTCATGAGAAGGTTCCAAGTGTGACTCACCACCCATGATGCTGTTTCCAATCTGATTATCTTCAGCTAACGTGTTTGCAGTTATCTTTGGCCCGAAAACAACATTTCAGAATGATTAACACTCACATACCCCACTGCATGAAGTAAGAAACGAATATCTAACAGCTAGGAAATGGGAAAAAAACACACAGAAATTTAGGCCAAACCTATTCACACGCTGAATCTAGTCGCCTTCGAACAGGAACACCTCAAAATAGTATCTATTGTGCCAGATTTCGGTGACCAAATCAGACAGCCAAAAATCCAATCGAACTAGACTTGAACAGCTCCACTTACAGAAACTCCAAGGAACAAAACTCATCAAAACAAGTGCACCTGCAACATAGGCATCTAACTATGTTAGAACAATCTAACTGCAAGCTTCAAGCAGAATAAGATAACCATGGCACAACACTTTATTCTTGAAGTCCATATCCATCTGAAAGGAATTCCATTGATGAGATGCTTAACCTATATTCGAAGAAAGAGCAAAGAATCCAGAAGGCCAATAAGTTATGTAAGCAAAGTTGCATGAGTGGTTGAAGCAATGAGTTCAGATCCTTGACAAGACCAGCCCCAATCCAGCTTTTCCACAATTTATCTTCATTCCCTCATAAACTAAACAGAGGAGCCACAGATGCTTTTCCCCTGTCAAAAAGCCTAGTTGTAAGAACATTGGTTTAGTACTTTTTCTTTTTCCCAAAATAAAAGAACTTTCTAGCATGCATCAAACTTTGACCTTGCTGTTCCAATTATTCCACAGAGCAGCAGTCTCAACGCTAAAACTGCCCAACAAATGAAAAATGTAGCATCCAATAATAAAATGTAATAGTTAACCAAACCTAATCGTTAGCTTAATAGGTAAACTCTGTTAAAAATCCACCCTGTGCGAGTATCTAGCTACTAGATAAGAGATTGACTCTCACAATATAAATGACAATAGCAGGAAGCATTTCCCTATCAACCTTAACCAACTCCAGCAACTACTCAAGATTAAATCCGGTATATAAATCAAGAACAACAAACACTCGATTGCGGATTTGTGGCGAGGATTAGGAAAACTAAATTAAGGATTATAAGCCATCTGATGCTCCATGCAATTTCAAGATCAGCAATCTGATATAATCAATTCTGATTCGCACGATGACTGCGGAGTTTTCCAAATCCGACAAGGTAAAACAAAACTAAAAAAGGAGTTGATAACTTGCTAACCGACATTTCCCAATACGACAAGAAACAAAATTGTCGTCTAGCCACATAAAACCAACCAATGCAAAGAGCACTTGGTATTGGCACTTGTAGAAATTTTAGTTAACAAAAGAGTTTCATCTTTATTCCCCAAATGATCCTATTGGCACTACTGCTAGTAAGATAGCGATCCAGGCAAGCGTGAAAAAGAGAAGGGGGAACAAGCAAGCTCAAGAATCAAAGCGGGGCAGGATTGAAGAGCCACAAAGTAAAAGCATTACAAACAAAGATTGGAAATTTCAAAATCATGTAACTCACCAAGGGAAAGACCACAATGGCTTTATATCAGAAAATAAAATTTAAAAATTACAAACTACAATATATTGCAGTATAATTAACCAACACTTAATGATGGGTGCCATCCAATGGAGGATCACAATTAATAGTTCAAAATCATGAACGGATGTAGGAGAGTTACAAATACACATTCATGCATAGGAAGAAAGATAAAACACAAAAACCTGCCTTCAAGAAAATCAAAAGAATATGAGTATTGTAATGAAACACCAGCTCCACAACAAAATGAAGTTCGGTTACCCAATCCAAGACCCTGAAAAAAATCAGATGCATCGACTAAGATTTCCAACTTTATCTAGACTCTTATAAGATTATTCCACTATCACAATTTAATTTTTAGCAAAGCTCCCAAACCTAAAAAATGCTTCTCAAATCCCACGTCACACACACTAACAAATATATAAATAATCAGTAAATAAATATTAATCACAAAGCAGGAAAAGAAAAAAAAAAAATCAGAATGACAAACTTTGGATCGCAATATCTTTCCGATCAACCCGTGCAGTTCGGCGTTAAACTATCACACCCAAATCGCCACCAGCAGGCACAGAAAATGAGATAGAGAGGGAGAAAGAAATACATTCACAGATGCAATTACACAATGCACAGAAAGACGGTTGCAATTATAGATATATATTTCTAAATTCTGAAGTAGACAACAAATGGCGACAATTCTTAAACAACAATGTCAGTGCTTCTTACACATGGGAACAAAAACACAACAACCACGTTAATAGAATTGAAAATGGCTTGAATGTGTAATTCGCAGCTAGAAATACAATCAAAACCGTCTCGATATTTCCAATGGCGTCCGGTTTTCCATCCCAGGTTTTGGAAATATCTGAAACAGAAGTAATGGCGAAGATCTTCGATGACAGCAGCTGCCGACAGCGACAGCTGGAAATCCCCAAAATACCCCTAACAGTCCAATCCAAATTTCCGGGCGCCACGTTATCAACCACCATCCTTGATTTTTGATCCAACGGTTCATACGAAGAGAGTACAAGAATTTTGTAGGCGTGCGACGTAGTATAAAATTCCTCTTCATTTGGGCCGATTCACAATACATGTGATCTACAGTATTTGGGCCTATACACATGATCCGGCCCATTTCCAACAATATTATATTAATATATTTATATTTCTTGGGAGCTCCAGGGAGTCCAACACCAGCGGGAGGCATGCGCGCATCTGGAGTCGGAGTACCAGGAGCTCCTAAGAACAATTCCAACTCATCACCATCATCGTCTTCCTCGTCATCTCCTTCACTCTACCTGATGATCTTTGCAAATTTGCAATCCTCAAGAACGGAAGGCCACTGCAGATTGCAGTGCAGATCATCTTAACTCAGGAGAAAGGCTTGATGTTCTCCTGCAGGAAGGAACTTCTCGAAGAAGACAATGGCTGCAGCAATCCATTGCTCGATGATTCCTCCAAGCTTCTGATATCATGCTGCAACCGCGTCGCCTGAGAAATTGCATGCTCGAGAACCACCGGATCGTCAGGCAGATTCTGCACCAGGTTAAGCAGAATCTGCCGGTAAACTTGAGCCGACCACAATGGCCGGGCGATCTGCCGGTTTCTACAAAAAATGGCGATCTTGATCACATGCTTACAAATGTTTCCGGCCATCGACCATGAACAGTCGCAGAAGCCGAACTCGGAGCCAGGATTCCATACGGTGTAGGCCGTGCTACCATCCGCCGGAGAAACAACTCTCGCAACCTGCAGATTCTCCTCGTCCAGCAGGACGTCGATATCCGATATGTGCATTGCTTGATGCCATGGATTAGTTAAGCTGAACCTATCCCTCAGGTTTTCGAAACACCCCGTCTCAGACGTGTATTGGTCGAACCAGCAGAAGGAATGAAACTGCGTCGTCAATGAATGCACCAAGAAATCGACTCTCTGATTCGAATACGCAGGCAACGAGCTAAGAACCCGGGATTTCAATCGTAAGTGATAGGATTCGATTGAAGCATACGGTTCTTGGCTCGCCGCCGGGAGAGTCCTGACACAGTTGATCCAAAATTCTGCTAGACAGTATAAAAACATCAAAATGTTGACCGCGTCTTCCAAATAAGCGCCAAAGAAAGATCAAAGCATACCCATTTTCGGCAACCATTTAGATCTAAAAAGTTCGATGAATGAGGACTGGTCGATGTATATTTGCATGAACTCTTCGAAAGCCTCATTGCTCGACCCGTTCCTCGTGCAGTAGAGAATTCTGCCGAGGTGCCTAAACATCTCTCTTTGCACCTCAAAATTGTCGCAAAGTTTTAATATAGCTTTAAGCCAGCCACGGCGAACGTGCCAGAGGCATATCAAAACCCGGCACTGGAAAGCTTCTCTGAGAAGATGAAACACAGTGAGACAGACACAAAGCTACAGATGATCGTCATTGTACGATGATGGCTTACCGAATCAACGAAGCCTCAAGAAGGGGGTCGTCCATTAGAATCGCATTAGGCCTCCACCTCGTGTCCTTGCCGCGTATCTTTTCAAGAAGTGCCGGCATCCATTTACGAAGAATTTGACTCAAGGACGAAGAAGTTATTATCCAGGCGACAGGAATCGCATTCTGCGACAAGTCAAACGCCAGTAGGGAGCATAGAGTATACTGCAGAAAGAATGAATTCCAAGTCGAAAACACAGTCAAGAAACATCAGATTCACTCAAATCTCGATCAAGAAAAAGCCAACCGGGAGAAAACCTTAAGCTTCTTAGTGCTAGTCGCCGAGTGAAAAGCTATGGCTCCGCTGTGCCCATACCCAAGCATCTGCTGCAGCTGCCAATCCGTCTGTATCCCTAACACGAAAGGGTCAGAACCAGAGATCTCCTGGAAGTAAAACACATGCTTCTGGTGCCGATGCGCCCACATCTTAACACTGCAGAGGTCGTTCGAGTGCAGTTCATGGGAGGAGTTCCTTATAATCCTTTCCATGTTGCGCACGTCGTTGCGAGTAAGGAAATCATCGCGGCTGTGAGGCCCTCCGTGCCTCTGCACTTCTTCCATGTGATGCTGGACTATGGCATCTAAAGATATCCCGACGTGTAGCATGGACATCACCTTCTGGCGCAGCTCCTCGGATAGCCGAGGCGCATACATAGCTCTCGTCCCCACAGCTTCCTGATCACGAATTCCATGGCAAGGAGCTCCCGTCTTGTCGACGTGACTCCTCTGATTGTAGATGATGAGTGCGAGCAATGGTCGAGTGTACAGTCGCTTCACTGTGAAGTGACAAAGACATCCCCTCATCATATGCCGTCTCCCCGGCCGACTCCCCTTGCCGGTGGCAGGTTTACTGCTCGAGATTTCGCCGATTTGTGGTTCGACGTCGCGGTAATCTTCAGGACCATATGAGCACCAATACCTAAACATGTAAGCATTCAACAACAACAGCGACAAGTGGTTTTCATTTTCAGCTATTTTCTTCCATTTTCGTTCTAACTGAATTGGAATGCAATTCATCATCATACAGTTCATAGGATGAAGGAATTATATCGAATTGAACACAAACTTACTGCGATTGACATACAGTGTATACTCAAGGTATCCATCCACTCTAGGTCTGTTGAGACTCCCCTCTGCTCTCTTCCGCCTTGATTCGACGCGGAAGCTAGCAGGGCACTCGGCATTGCTGGACTCGCCTTTCACAAAATCATCCACTCTCGAGAAAGGAATAAGGGCAATGTCGTCGCCTCCTTGCCGCCCGCCGTCAACCTTAACCCAATTTATATGAACTGCGGAGAATTCGGCGTATGGAGGGTCCTGCACTGGAAGGTTTAGTATGTCCTCCATTCTCGCCACCTGACCACATTGAAATAGAATCAAAGCTTCAGCAACTGCCATAGATACATACAAATTCTATATCACATCGAATTAAAATCAGAAGAGAGGAGGAACGATCAAAGATTTGTACCTTTGGTTCGTGACCCTTCATTCTTCCTCCCTTCTTCGCAGTTACGAATTATCTATATTATCCCTTTCTTCGAGAATGAAGAAGAAATCCTTTTAGCAGCAGAGCAGACCCACAAGCGAATAATTGAAAAGCAATTAAAAAACCAGAGGAATTATTATGTGGAACAGCCAAGCATCGAAAAAGGAAAAGCCAGTACAAACAAGAAATGTTGCTATATTAATTGCGCAGGATTACGGGGTTTTGCTTTTGCCCTCTTCTTCCCTCTTCTCTTTCGCTCAGAAACAACATAAATATATATACGTATATATGTATAAATATGCGTTCCTCTCGTCAGCAGCGTCGATGGTATATAAATATATAATTTATTTATTTTTTCTTGTTTTTATTCTAGTTAATTCATTATTTTACCTCAGAATAAATGATTATGGGGGGCTACCGGAATGTCATTTTCGTGACTATATATTGAATAAGTGATGGGGATTCAAATGCATTATTCTTCCTTGGTAGATCAACAAAAAGGGTTTTTGTTCTGCAAAAGTAAAGAATAAACTCTGCTTTTAGTCTGTCGATACTTTGATATAAAGAGGAAGCTCTGGGCTGTCTTATTACATCATAAAGAATTATCTAAGCTGTGTCACATTATTCATCACTGCTGTAAAACGGTGATATGTTGCAGCATCAGTTAATTCTATAAATCTTGCAGAAGTTGGTGCAATTCTCAAAGCATCTCTCCACTCTTGAGCCATCTGAAAAATTTTAAAAAAAAAAACTTCAATAATCCAACCAGAAACAAACTAGTAAACTCATTGGACGGATACCGTATGTGTCTCGAAGACAAAGCCCCAGCGAGCATCCAGCCTCGCAAGATTGCTGATAATCCATGGCAGTGCGAGGAAGACAAGGGACGACACAACTGTAAAAGCAGGCAAATCTCCCGGATCCTGTCTCGGCGCTCCTCAAGAAGCACTCGTTGTAGCATCCTCCCCAGCATGTGTATCGCTGTGCACTCGCACCATTTGGCAGCATCGTCGAAAAGGCCAGTAAGAAAACAACAAGACAGCCAATCTTTCCCTCCATAGGCTTATACACAACAAAGGGTCAGCTGATAACAGAAACAGATGTGTGTGTAAAATGAATGAGAGGTTTTTAAGGATTTTGTCAAAAAGCCATGCACCAAATCTAATTACACAATAATCCCATGCATTTATTTAGTGGTTAGGGTGTCAGAAACATTAATAAGGCCCTTTCATTAATACGCTGTCATCTTAAATGTTGTGTGGATATACTAGCATTAACATTGAAATGGCATTTTCTCTTGTAATATATCAAGTCTAGATAAGGGGATATATAAATAAATGCATCCATGATGAAATATATCAAGAAGCTAGAGATAATAAAAATCAAAAAAATTTAAACAACTCGAAGATTAAGGACTTTTGCGTACCTTCATCATGCTCGTGTAATCCCAAGAAGTCCGCCATAGCTCGTAGTGTATGTTAGCAAAACGGCACAGGAAATATGGATAGGTCAATAGGATAGTAATTAGCAATGATCAATCTTGGCTGATAATACCTCAGGATTTTAGGATCCGAGATTCCCATATAGTAAAGCCAATGAATCTTTCAATAGAGAAACAAAATTGGCAGGGCAAAATATAAATAAGATTGTATAATAGATTTTGTCAATTTATGAAATCCTACAAAACTTTTTGAGTGAAAGAACTGTAAACCACAGGGAATACAACCCCTAACAGCTTATGCTCCGATATTGGAGGCCTTGTTCAGAATAACACCTTCATACTTCACTTGGAACCACTTCATTGCATCTTCCTTGGTCACCCTGTGCTGGATTCCCACGCGAGATTTGCACCTCCTACGGCGGCCAACACGATAACCCGGACGTTCCAGTACAACGTAGAAGTCCATACCATAGATACCAGTTGATGGGTCATACCTGGAAACCATTATTAAATTAGCACATGGTTCAGTTCAGTAAAATATTGTGAAAGTGAGAACATAAACAATGTGTTGCGTGTTCTCATTATTACGAACAACAAAACATTGTGCCAAATTTTATCCATGATACATATATATATATATATATATTGCATAAAGTACAATAGCTGGTAAATCGTTATCCAATAACACTCTTTTGTAAGTCGACACATTCTAAACATATTCTAATTTATACCATAATTTTGGTGGGCATGTAAAAGATAGAGATCCAAGTTAGAATTAAACTTACTTTATTCCAAGATCAATATGCTCCTGAATACCAAAACCAAAACAACCAGTGTCGCTGAAATTCCGTCTCAATAGTTCATATTCCTTCACCTTCAAGCCACTCTCAAGGAGTTGCATGGCCTTTTCACCTCTAACAGTGACATAGCAGGCAATTTTTTCATTACGCCTGATACCAAAGGACCGCACAGTATATCTAGCTGTAACAATGAGAGAAAGATCTCAATTTCGAGTATATATGAGAACTTTACACTTCTACTATGATTCTATGTAAATTAAATCATTGAGAATATATTCATAATTATTTTCCAAATATAGTAAACATGTTGAATCCTTTAATAAATCTGATCCAGAAAAAGTAAAGAGTTAAAAGCTTTATGAAAATATTAAGTCCCTCAGTGCATTACGATTTATGATAAAGCTCATAGTGATCACTTCAATTGCAGTATGGTGTTTACATTAATCCTAATTTAAAGGCAAAGCCAAGCGCAACAGTATCAGAAATCACAGCATGCATATGTATAAAATAGTTCAACCAACTGGAAAATCAGTTCGTTAAGTTGCGTTTGATAGACCTCAGATGGAAAATATCATCACCATATACAAACCAGGTATATCAATTAAAATTAATGTCTTCTACTTTCGCAGTGAACAAATCACAAATATTCAGCAGCAAAAATAAACAAAATACTAATAATAAAATCAGTTCTCAAATGTACCTTTGGAGAAAACTGGTGTTTGCCCACTGAGTTGCTCCAGCACCTGCCGAACACGATGGCATTAATATCGCTGCAATCCTTTCAAAACTGAAGGCGGAAACATACCGATTGAGAACAAAATTACCTTAGCAGCTCTAGTGAGACGATCTCCACTTTCACCGACGGATATGTTGAGCACAAGCTTCTGCACCTTGATCTCTCTCATGGGATTCGATAATTTCTTCTCCGAGGCCTATATTTTTAAAAAACACAAACTTAGCACCGCCATCCACGCGTTATGAGCAATTCATTGCATAAATTCGATGGCAAGCGTAGCAATTCGAGGAATAAACACAAACCATGACGATGGTAGACGGCGAATGGCGCGGCAGCAGGAGGACGACTAACAGGCTATCAACAACGCAATTTGCAATTATAAGTGGAAATGGCAGATTAGGGTTTCTCGGCGTTAAAATGTCAACAATGCCCCTGTAATATCAACACATGCACATATTAACACTAAAAAATAACGATATAAAATTAATATGTAAAAAATAAAATAGAATAATTATGGAAAATTTATTAAAATCGTTGGATGAAAAAAAGTTAATACTATAGTATAAAAAAAATAGCCATAAAATAATTACTCCATCTGTTATTAAAATATATATTCCAATATTTAGATATAAATTCTAATAAAAATAGGTAATAATTTTTATTTTTTATTTTTAATAAAAAAAATGTTTAAATATATTATCATGATATTTGTATTGAATATTGATCCTGAGTAGACTATGATGTCCAGATTCTAGTTATACAATTAGGTTCAATTGGATATTTATCTAAGAATACACTCTAACTATTGCAAATTTTTATAACGTGTTTTTATTTGTAAAATTTTAATTCTGAATTTTATTTTAAATAATAAAATTATAAGTTAAAATAATTGTTTGATGTGATATAAATACGTGTTAACGTAATATTTAAAATATAAAAATAAATTTTAGTATAATATAATAAATTAAAAATAAATATTTAATTTGATAATTGGAAAAAAAAAATTGAGAATAGTAAAACAATGTTAAAAAAACATAAGTAAACACACCGACTGTTAAAAATAAAATAAAAATGAAAGGAGTGAAATATTAAAATTAGGTCATTTGAGGGGCTACGGTGCAATTTACTAACTTGGCAACGTCATCATCCAGGCCACAAACCTAAATCTGGAAAATTAGCTAAGAAGACGTAATTTATTACCGCATATACTATTATTAGGAAGTGGTAAACCAACAATAATTCCACATCTATTTGTGGAATATGTCGATTTTCTTCTACCCTGCCGTGACCGCAGGAACAGTTGTCTATTGCCTCCATCGATCAGTCGTCTTCTCAATTTTCAAGAGGGCGTCGATTCTTGCGGTTTCTTCATCGCCAGGAACAACTGCTCCCGCGTGCCTCAACGCGTAAGCCTTTTCTCTTCCCCTTTTTTAATTTGCATTCTTCGGAATGTCATCGTTCTCTTCGACTTTGCCCGTGTTTTCATCGTGAATCTCGTTGTTTTCGATTATTACCTGTTTGTTGATTTTGATTTGAGATCAGCGTTCTACATTTGAATTCTGCTATTATCTGGCTGGCTCTATCTGGATCTCACCTTATTGCTGGTATGGAGCTTGCATGTGTGTATTCTAGGTGTTTGTCTATATGCCTGGATTTGGTAACCGAATTAAATCTTCACCTGGATTAACAAATTTGTAGTTTAATCGAGAAGCTCCTGGATGATTTAAGATCATCTACATCTAGAATTGCTGGTTAAGGTTATTTGTTATCAATTACTGTATGTTGTGGTTACTTTACTTGCATCTCTGTTCATTTTCATGGAATTAATGGCAGCTGCCTTGTTGTTTCTGTGATGTTTGTAAAACTGCCTTGAATTGATATAGTCTTCACATGAATGTGAAAGTATGAACATATATGATGCTTGCCTTGTTGACTCACAGCCATGAAGACGGGAGCATCATCTTTAAATCCTTATGCTGCCTCATATGTTCCTCTTTTCAAAAGAGGAGCTGCTGCTGCTGTTGGTACCAAAGATTTCAGTAAGTCGAGGCTCCTCAACAATGTAAGCGATGTTGTTTGGTATGGACATCAGCCGGATTACGCCTCCGGGAATGGTGATTTCACTAAAAGAAATGACCACCATGCCGATGAATTCTATGCTTCTCCATCACACCATCCGATGATGATGATGAACGATAATCAAGAGTTTATGGACTTAGCCTACCTTCAAATGACTTTCCCATGTGTTTCCAAGGAGTCACTTTCTGATGTCTATTTCGCCAATGGATGCGATCTGGATGCTTCCATCGACATGCTGGATCTACTCGAGGTAATCTTCGAAACATTCATCACTCATTCTGCAATTATGATGGATCTAATCATCTAAAACAATGCAGACTTACTCTGATGATCATCCATCATACAAGCTTCCAGACACTTTAGACATTGGAGATGTGCCGGACTCTTTCGAGGCTCCCAGTCAATCGCCGGCGCAAGAACAATGGAGCACGCCGTTGTTGGCAAAAGCAAAAACTTCTACACCAGGTTCATCATCCATTCTGTCTTCTCTCAGCTGATGGTTCATGATCAGATTCAGACATCTTGAGCTTGCAGTTGATGGTAGAATGTGTGTAGTGAAATGGGAAATCTTGTTTAATTCTAGTTTTGCCTTTGTTATATGCATCGTATGGCTTTTGGTCAATTGAGCTAGTTTTGTACTTCCATGGCTGCTCTTCTCTATTGTCTTCCTGCAGATTGACATATTTTGATGTCGCAAGAAAGATATCAATTTGTCGATCTTTATTCAAGAAAATGACAGTTTATAATTGATTTCTATCACTAATTCAACATAAGATGCATATCAATGCAAATAAATACAAATACTATAATGAAAGTGTTACAAATAAAATATTCAAAGAAATTAGAAAATATTGAATAAAAAAATATTATCGACACAACTGAAAGACTATTTTGTAATTTAAATTTCAGGTGTAACTTTACACCCAAATTTCAATTTGTACTATTTAAATTTTGTTTTTATATTTTTCTAAAAATATATTATTATATATTATTTTAATATCAAATTCAAATCATTTTTTTTTTTATTTTGAACTGATAAAAAAACCAACTCTTAATTTAAACAGCATTTTAATGGGACAATATTTTATAAATAAATAAAATAACAAACAAACCCATAAATAAAGATTACTCCGCCAAAAGAGTGCTGGTTAGGGTTTAGGGTTTAGCCATAGCACCGACCATCTTGCCCTTTATTGGTTGAGTTTCTTACTCCGGCGGTGGTTGGTCTGCGAATGGGCAATTTGTTCCGATTGGTGGATTACAGAGAATTAACAAATGATAACTTCTTTCAGAGAAGTCTACTCGGTTGCCTCGCCGAGGCTGGCTTTGTACTGTGATGCAGTTTGAATCAGTTCATCGGCTGATTTTTTTGGGTTATCGCCCAATCCTGGGATGTCTCAGAAATTATATTGTTGCGCCTTCTCATCTCTATCCACTAGGAAAAAGTTATCTTTCATGTCCAGCCTAAATACCATCTCTACCTCTTGTTTAGCTGTTGTGGACACTGATTTTTCATCGGACGACAGTGCCGCGGCGCCTGAGTCGATCAATTACAGTGAGTTGCAGCAGAGAATGCAGAGTCATGCGAACTCTGGAAGCATTAGCAAGGCGCTCGAGGTTCTGAATTTCGTGAAGGAAAATGTGCCGGGGAAACCGTCGGTGTACGATTATAATGCGCTGCTCCGATGCTATTTTCGGTCGACAGGTGTGGCTGTTGGTGAGGTGCTTGAGGTTTATGCTGGGATGAAGAAATTTGGACCGAATCCGAATTTATTAACTTATAACACGATTTTACATGGAATGGTTTTTATCGAGAGGTTAGAAAATGCTGTTTTGATTCTAAAGGAAATGATTTCCAGTGGGTTTCTGCCTTCCTACACAATTTTATTGAAGTTGCTCAAGAAGCTGCTGAAATTAGGACGTGTAGTGGAAGCTGATTGGGTGCTTGAAATTATGTGGAGTCTAAATTGCAACCCAAGCCAGCATTGTTTAAGTGCCTTGATTCAAAGTCTTTGTAAAGCAGGTATGGTCCAAAGAGCATACTCTGTGTTCTCAGCAATTTCAGGGAAGGGATACTTCTGTGGAGGGTTGCTTTACAACCCTATATTGTGGGCTTTATGCAAATCTGAGCAGGTATATGCAGCCTTGTCGTTTTTTGGTTTTCTAGAGAAGAAGGGTTATGGGCACTCGGTTTACTCCTATGCTTCTTTGGCTTATGGCTTCAGTAAGGGAAGGTTATGGGATGAAGCTTTTTGTTGTTTAGGTAAAATTGGAAGTACTGGTTGTAAGCCTAATCTGGTAACTTACACTGTTGTTATTAAGTTTCTATGTGATGATGGGAAAGTGGACGAGGCACTGAGCCTTTTGGGCCAGATGGAAGAGGAAGGATGCAAAGCTGATTTGGTTCTGTATAATATAATTCTTCGTGGACTTTGTCATGAAGGTAAGGTGAGCGAAATTGTTTATCTACTTCGAGTTATGGATCAAAAGGGCTTGTCACCAGACAAGTATACTCATGCTGCATTGGCTGGAGGCATGCTGAAAAGCGGCAGGGTGGATGTTTGTTGTGAGCTGTTTCTTTCAAGGAGTTACTCTGTAGATGATGTTGTTTATAATATATATTTGCATTCCATGTGCCTAAGTGGCAGGTCGAGAGAAGCTTTGTGTGCAATGCTGAGAATGACGGATAAGGGTTTGAGACCTAATAATGTATCATATAACATTATTCTGAAAGGATTGTGCATGGAGAAAGACATGGATAAAGCTCTGAAATTCTTAGTCGGTTTCACTTGGCCTAACAATGGGCCTGATTTGATCTCCTTCAATACAATTTTGTCAGCTGCCTGTAAACTGGGTAATTCATCAATAATTCAGCAGATTATGTTGCAGATGGAAGATAAAAGTGTTCAGTTTGATGTTGTAAGTTTCACATGTTTGATTCAGTATTATTGTTCGATAGGAAAGATCCGAGACTGCTTGAAGCTCGTACATTTCATGATGAATACTGGTCCACGGCCTAATACAATTGCTTTTAATACCCTCCTTGCTGGACTCTGCAAGAATAAACTACTTGGAGTGGCAGAAAAAGTTTTCTACACTTTTGTAGGCATTGGAGTTTTACCTGACACAACTACATATAATATCATGATTCGGGCTTCCATAAAAGAAGGAAATGATTCGCTGCTCTATGAGCTTTCAAGGGACATGAATATCCGGAAATTGAAGCCAGATATTGGGATCTTCGGTTGTTTTATTTATAGCCTTTGTAAAAGAGGCAAGATATCAGTTGCTATTCGCCTTCGAAACCAATTTCAGGAGAATGGAATTCCTCTTAATATATTTGTTTACAACACAATAATGAAAGCAATGTTCCTAAGAGGAATGTTTTGGGAAATCCTCTCTCTATTGAAAGACATGGCTATGGATGGCTGTGAGCCAAATGAAGGTTCTTTTGACATGCTGAGACAAGCGAAGATGAATGGTTGGATGAGGAGTTTCCCTAGAGCAGTTCGAATTCTAGAGTTTGTCATGTGTGGCTACTCGTCCAGATATTCAAGTACACACAGAATGGTTGATGAAGCTGCATTTCAATTGAAAAAAAACAAAGAAGGGAATGTCGGATGAAGCTGGATATTATGACACCTAGTTGTAATGAAAAATTCAGATTCTCTCCTTGAGAATATGTTTCAGCAGGATTTGCTGGCCATTCAAGCTTGCTGAGGGTCACAAACATCGTGATGAAATATGCTTGCGTTCATGAGCTGAGATCCAGACATGAGGATGCAATCCCTATTCTTATTTCCCCTGCAAGTTGCGCATCATGTTCATGTGAGTCAAGCTTACAGTTTGATCATTATTTACATTCCTTATGATTGGAAAGGAGTGAATGGCATTTTTTTGGCAGTTATAAAGATTTCCTGTTAAAAGTTTCACCAAGGGGATGAGTGTAATTCAAATAGAAACTCTGTAGATGCATCACAAAATAATGTCTTTAGGCAAACACATTCACATCTATAATATTATCAATTGCATGGAGTTCTTAACAACTCATTATCAATGGTGCAGTAACAGTCAACTGATAGGATAAACAGTATGACATCGAAGATAGCAGCCTATAAGTGTAAGCAACACACTATAATCATGTATCTCTTAGGCATTCTTGCATCAGTCAGTCTCTTGTACTCCCATGTCGTAGATGCCTCCAGCTTTCCAGTTTCGGGTATGTCATTGATTGGAATCACTCAATTTTCATTTCTAAATAACATCTTTACTGAGAGTGGGCCACTTGGTGGCAGTGAGGTGGTTGTCCACACACTGCTCCATATGTCCGCTCCAGTAGTTTGCATTCATTCCTCCTCTCTGCAATTTTTAAACTCATGAGTTATTTTTCGTATAAAAAGATTCATGTGTAGTTTGATTCAAATGTTTCTGAATATTCCGCACATAGGTGCACAGTAGTGATGTCTTTCATGCCTTCTTGATTCAGAATTATGAAACCCAGATAATGGGAGTTGTTGCTGTACTCATCAATCTTACGTAATATTTTTGTCTGGATAGTTGCATGGAGCCCTGCGTAAATGAGCCATTATTCAGTTGTATTGTACTGCAATCACTAGTGGATATTTTGTGAAGTAGGGAGTGATATATATGTAATATATATCTTCATGAGTAACCTTCTATACTCAACATCTACTGTCCAACTGCTAATACAGATGCAGATGCAGCTTGATTCTGAGCCATTTGACCGAAGGCCTTCCTGCTTGCAATCACCCAAACCATGATCTGTTATGACAACTTTCACTCCATTGTGGGAGCAGTAGTAGCTGCTGGTACACCTAACCTTAAGAAGAAACAGTGTTAAGTTTTGCACTAGATGATGGTGATGATGATGATGATGATAAATTAACAGCATGGTTATGATCAAGATATTTGCGTGTCTATATATACCTGATAGCAAGCGCCGCAACCCACTCCATCTCGATAGAGGTCTGATGCTGCAGCTACATTTCCATCATTAATTGTTGCCCTGAAAGTTCCATAGCCACATCTCCCGGCTGCAGGTTTGTTTTTTTTTTTTTTTATGCAATCAAAACATGTTAGCATGTTTTGGATTTGTTGAGATGGATGAGTAGGAGTCTGGTTTGATTTCAAGTGGATAGTCTAATATTAACTAAAGAATATTTGTATAATCTAAGTTTTATGCCTGCCACTGTTCGTGAAAATTGTTAATATCTTACTTTCTGTTCCCTTTTCATCAGAATTCAAGTAATGAGAAGCCCTTGAAAGAATGAAAGGCCTGCGTTTAGTAGCCTTTTTATCCTTCGAGTAATAAGCAGCATATCCTGAGCTCTCCACCAAGATAAAACCTGCAATCATAAGAAGATGGAAGAAAGTTTGGAAATGAGCCATTGTGGTAAAGAGAAAGTTTTATATGCACAAACACAGTTGAACTCTGGTATATATGAGTGAACCACGCGAGCTGGTTAGATGCGTGGCGAAGGCATGGGCGGGACCATGTCAAGCTGGTAAAAAAAATCTACCTCCTTGAGAACTACATTTCCTACACAACGAATCCTGCTACAGTTTTCATCTCTACACATTTTGCACCTCCCGCCAACTCAGGTAAACGTTAAGTTCCATTTCTTAGTGGAATCCAAAACTATTAATGCCCAATTGAGAGTGTATGCATTTTCTACAGTTGAACATTTAGGTACCAAGGATTTTGCTGCAATCATTAGGAATTACGTTAGGGGCATTGATTGACAAGAATAGCATGATGCATCTTGATTTTGTAACATGTACATAGTTATTGCAGCAGATGCCTATGCTGTTATTCATATGTATTGCTTGATGTCTTTTCATGGTAGATGAACAAAATGGCAAAACAAAGTTGAAGATTTTGACTCTGTTGTTGGTGGTATCTAACCTAATGAGAATTGGGAATAAATAAGTATATGAAAGAAATGTGTGTATGTGTACTTGTATTATGTAGAGATCTATTTCAGTTGTTGCCTATTGGAATGGGTTTCTGCCACGTGTCCTGTCCTGAAACGTAATTGTAGGGATCAGATAAAACATCAATTTTGCAAGTGTCAGATCAATCATGGTTGAAGAAACTAAGAAAAACAGATTAAGAAAAGCCAATAATATCAGCAGATTATTATGCCTCTAGATATATCACAAACAGGTGGTAAAACAGATGGATTAGTATGGTAGAGAAGGACACACAAGGTGGTTGTTTCTGCAAGATTCTATTTTTAATCCGATCCATTCCCTAATCACGGCTGCCGCCATCTCGAGCCGCCTCTGATTGGAGGACCTGGCGGCTGCACCCATCTTGGTGGGGCACCGGGTGGTACACTTGGGGACTTCTGGGCTGCCATGGCAGCCATTTGCCGATTAGTTGGGCGAGCAGGCACTTGTAGCCGATGGGCGGATCCATGATCTGCCGGGATGCGCTGGCTGTGTGATTGCTGGGAGGCTTCAGCTCCCGGCGGCCTCCACTCCGGAATATCATCGTCATCGTCATCAATCCAAGGTTCGAAGCCAAGATTCCTGTCGTCTACCAAACTACTGCCCTGCCCGTATTTCTTAATGAGTTCTCTCACTTGATCTACCGGGCGATGATTTATTTTCGCACTAGGGTGTAAGTTATGCGGAGATGTTCTAGGAATGGATGGGTTCACCTCGCCAGAGAAGTTATACTCGGGCAAGTCATCGTCATCTTTCGTGGCCTGGGTGGCGACTCCGGGACCAAACCCGGGTGGGATATCGTCGTCATCATCATCCTCGGCCTCTTCTCTCAGTTTCTCTACCTTCTGTTGCTGAGGCTTGTTTGCCACTGGAGGCGAAGTTCTGGAGACAGTATTTGAGTCGGTATTAGACAATTCTTGAACCCTCTTCATAGTGGTTGGATGCTTTTTCGAGCTTTGTTTGTGGTGAGATGGCGAATGAGGCGACTTCGTTTTGCTGCTTGTATGAGCTCTTCTCCACACAACTACGCCAATTAGGTAGATTTTCTCCATGGATCCGTCGGTCTTGGGGCTCGACTTATGCATTTGCTTGTCTAAAATCTCGGTTATTCTGGAAGTAGGAGGGCAGAGGTAAAGCTCGATGCCACGGGAGGGTTCGGCGTATCCCAACCTTTGATCTGAAGAATATGCTTCAATAACCTGTTTTATGCCAAGAGATGTTTAAAAAGTACATAAATAAATACATGACCAAAATCAAGATTTAGAAAGAAGAGTGTTGGCTACTACCTCAGAAAGGTTACTGCGCTCATTGTTGGACTGATGCTGATGCTTCAACACAAATTGGAGAACCTGCAGAAAAAAGATAAACCCTTTATTATTATTAACTAATCCGACAAACCACAATGGAATGAGTTCTAAATCTATAGACGATTTAAGGTTTCCAAGAATAGTTTTTCAATTACATTCGATAAGATAAAAAAACAATACAAATCAAGATTGAGTAATTTCACCCTCACCCCATAAGGCCCTCAATAGAAGTATACATATTACGTATGTCCTTCGGTAGCCATATTTGATTCTTGATTAACAGATTTAGATTTTATGTAGTAACCCTAACGATGCAAGAAGATTCTTGGAAGTATTTGTCCAATTACCAATTTCTTGCCCAAAACAGTGTGTGCTCAGAACCACACAATCCATTTAAATAATAAAAAACACTTACACTATTGTGGGATAAGCAACAATTGGATCGTTACAGCAATTAAACATTTAGATTGGAATTTTCCCAAATGCTTTAGCATTTTTATTCAAGTACAAAATAATAATAATAATAACAACGATAACAGAACTGTGTCCCCTTTTATCATTACTACTGCAATTTCATGTGACAATTGTTCATTTTCATGGCAAGTTTCCCTTTCGAGATAATCCTGAAACCATTATTCAGAAGTAGAATGCAGGAACTTAAATGCAAAATTTTCTTCCTTAAAATTGTCGAAAAATTCAAGTGAGGCCCAGCCATTGTGTACATCCACAGCAATGTTGAACAAAAACAAATGCTATAAAACATGGCCTGTGACAGGCTGCATTGCCTTCTTTGCAGGTAGAAAGCCAAAGGCCAGTAAAAGTGGAAAAATTCAGTTACAAGGTAAAGGAGAAGGCCATGATATACCATGACTGCACGAGTTCGAGACATTGGGAGTTCTTGAAGAAATTTTTCAAATGCCTCAAGTCTAACTCTCCCCTTAACCTCAAGAGTACTGGGCCACTCCTTTGTTGATGTCTTTTCACCACTGCAGAAAGATTAAAGAGATTCGGTCACACACAGCTTAGCAAGCATAAATGCTACATTCAGTGCCACATGAGACGAGATATTGTAAGTAGACAAACAAAACAGCAAAAATAAGATATGACTTGAGTTTTACAAGCAGGCAATTTACATGATACGATGTCTTTCTGACAAACAAAAGCTCTATGCATGCAATAATTCTATATAAGCTATCAGAAGTTTGAAGCGGACACATTTCTTGGTAATCTGTCAAGCAGCCAAGAGAACAGCAAAGCACCAACGGAGCAAATCATCTTATTGAGGAAGCTACAATATAAACTAACATATTCCAAATTTATGATTTAAAGCACAAACCTTTGAAATATACCACCAACTGCAATTGTGGTCAATGTATTCAGCTTAAGGACACCATCCCAGATATATCCAACCTTTGGAATGTCACTAGGAAGATGTTTCAACTTTTTACCACTTGGTGATGTTGCACTAACTTCACGTTTCTTGACATTACCAGAAACCTTTCTGGAAGAAACATTTTTAGGCGAGTTTGAAGCATGATCAACAACTTGAGAGTTGGAAAGAAGTTTTGAGCTTTCCTCAAGTGATGGAGTGGGTGTTTTCTGTCCAGCATGCTTCAAAGCGTCAAAAGGAGGTTCAGTATGAAGAGACTCCATAAATTCATCTAATGAAACAATTGGAGGAAGAAATTCTGCATCCTTCAATTCATCCACCATCGTCTCTTGCATTAGGTCAGTCCCAGTGGTTGGAATAATCACACTACCAGTAAGATTCGGGTCTTCTGAATGACTCTCTTGGCCAGCAAGTCTCTCTTTCTCTTTAAGGCTTCCCTCAGAAGGAGAAAGAGCTTCAGACTCCTTTTGGGGTTGAGATTGCATTGACATAGAAGCCCCACCAGAAACATCTGCACCAATGCCATCATCACCATGCTCAACTTCTACTTGAAATTCACCTTTGTGTGTTTTTCTAACCAGACGCCTTATATCAACCTCAGTGTCAGGCAAAACTACCATTTGTGCCAGTTCTTCTGCTTTGGCCATACGCCACTCTGATAACTCCTTCGAAGCAAGCTCTTCAGCTGACATTGAGCACAATCTCTCAGGTGATATTTCACCAGACATGACCCTTGCTCGGAGCTCAGGATTGTTCCGATCTTTAAGGTTGAACAAAAGAGACCTGCCCTTCTCTCTATATTTTTTGTTGACATCACCAAATAGCTTAAAGAGTTCAGCTTCAATTTGAAAGGCCAAGTACTCTGGTGTCATTGCATCCTCAACTCCATGTTCCAGGCCTTCCTCTTTCGTTGACAACAGATTTTTTTCATTTTGTTCGTCCTCACCACCTCCCATTTGAACATCAAAATCAAATGCCCAAGAAAGCCCATGTCCCTGCAAAAGATCATCTTTAACAAAGAAATCATCACCAAATGGCCCATCCTCGTCAGGTAAACCAGAACTATACTGGAACTCCGGGAAGGACGGTCCATTAATCCCACTGCTTCCACAAGGAGATAGTTCAGTAGGAAAAATCTGTTCCCTACCAGTTTTTCCAGGTGAAATTGTATCTTTTAGAGGATACACTTCGTTCAAACTAGAAGCAGGAACATGAATACCAAAGGTGGAATTGGATTCAGAAACCTGTGCTGCATCACTTTTGTTTTTCGCAGTATCTGAAACATTGTCCTGGTTATTACACGCCATGGCCAATGCACCAGCTAGAGACTCCCTCATTTTGGACCTTACACCTTCCATCGACTCAGAGCGCCCCTTGGATGTTGATGTTGATTCAAGTGCACCAGTTTGCTTTTTAGCAGGTCCGCGGGGCACTCCAGATTTACCAGAGACGGAATCATTTCTCATCATTTTCTTATTTGGTGAAGGTTGCGAGGGTGGGCTGGGACCAAACTTGGACTGCACTGACAAAGTAGTCTTTTGAGGTGCTTGTGGCTGCAGAACCCCAAGTGAATTAGCATCAGTTTGAATGTTCCCCGGTTTCTTATTAGGCAAATGTGACTGCTGAGGAACAGAACTCTGTGGAAGAGGTCCCACATCAGCCTTCCTTTTAACTGGTAACGGCAAATTTCCTCCAGACATATTGTTGGGTATACTCGAATCTTCGCAGGTTAGTTGATCAGGCATCCAGATTGAGCTCAAACCCATACTGCCACTTGAAGGATTGTCGTGCCCCATCCCGTTGTTTGGTACCATGGTGAACTCGGGGTTACTATAGAGAGGTTCTCTTTGCTCTGTTGACTCATAGATATTATGTGATACATGATTTCTTTTCCCATGCATCTCTGATGCAGCCATATCCATAGAATTGGAACCATGCTCCATCTGAACTACATGCCTATCTGAGATGGGGTAGTGTGAAACCAGGTTATTCGACATAATCTCCCTAAAACAGAGAACACTATAAAGGGTACACTTATGTATAGTAAATATTCAGGCCATCCAAAAGTACCTGCAAATATAATAAATCTTGTTATGGTACATTTTATTTCACAAAATCAGTCACAAACATACTTGGATTTACCCAAACCGTTTACTCGGGCTTAATGAAACAAAGCAGCCATTTTATGCTCAGCTGAAATCCAAAATTTTAATATAAATAACATCAATTTTATGAAATTGCTCCAGATTATGGTGAAAAGGCAAATAATAATAATATAAATAATTGAACTATAGTTCGATAACAATTTATAGGGAAAATAAGCATAGCATATAAAAAGCAGGCAATACATATGATCCAGTCAAAGTTTATCTCAGTAGAGAGATTGTGCAGCACATATGCATGTAACTTAGAACAGAACCCACCCGCGGAGAGAGTCAAGAAAATAAGATGTCTTCCAAAAGACCGGGGTCAACATAGATATAGACAAGTAGGTTGAAATACCCATATTTTTCACAATGGATGTAACTTGAAAATCAGTTCAGTCAATGAGCTACAGCCAGCAGACAGTCGCATCAATATATAATCTCAAAACTTGAACAAAGCAAATAAGTTTTGTTATATTTTAGTGTACATGTACAGAGAAAGGCGAGGATATGAAACTACTAAAAATTGAAGCATATTAATGACGAGAAGTAGTTAGAGATAACAATAAGATATCGGTTAACTACTAAACCAATTTAAGTGTTAAAAGACAATCCACAAGCTCATAAATCAAGCAAAACCACAAACATATTTTCAAAAGCAATTTGAAATTTGCAGGGCAAGAACACCCAAGCCTTTTTCTGCTTTACATTTCTCATATATATATACACACGCAATTGCAACTATGTGCACAAACCTAGCTGAATTGCAAGTTGAGAAACCAGATTAAATGAAGTCGACCCACGGAGCAAACAGCAAGGAAAAGAAATCCAGCAATAGATATTAATTCCGGTAACATCACAACCTATTATTTACCAAATCAAACTGAACAAGCGAAGAAACAAGATCACTAATCTTACCCACACATCTAGAAGAAAATCTAGATGGATCTGTCATTTAACAAAAAAAAAAAAAAAAACGTATACATACACGCACAAGCCCGCATATATACAAAGGGCAGTATCCGATCAAAAAAATAAAGGGCAGTATATTAAATAGCACATCTTACCTAAAGGAGGCTGAGAAATCAGCAAGTGCTAGGAAGCGAAAGCAGGACGAGAGAAAAAGAGGCACCAGCCAGAAACCCTAAATCGATAAGCATTTGATACTGGCAGGCAGGAGATAAACTCGAGGATATAAACAAGTGAGAGTCACACGCTCGGCACGTGTCATATTTAGGGTTGACACGTTATCTATTTTACCTGTAAATGTAATCCTGTGGTTGGTTTCCCCCACGAATCCCTTTTTTCTCTTATTTGTCGTTTATTAGGCTATAGGACATTTATTCAGTTTTAATTCGTTATAATAATTTTACTTCAATTACTCTATTTATTCAGCTTTAATTTATTATAGTAATTCGCTATAGTAATTTTACTTTAATTGTATTATATTTTTCACTATTATTTTTTAAATATTTAATTTTTTTATTATATTAAACAATTTTTTATTTTTATAATTTAACATAAATTTTTTTTATTATTTTAAACAATTTTTTTATTTTTATAATTTAACATAAAATTTTTAAAAATTTTAAAAAAATAGAAATTAAATGTAAAAGTCAAATTTATAATTTTAAAAATTTTAAAAATTAAAAAATAATAATAATAAAACAATGCTAAAATAATGCTATTTTTTAGCATTGCTATAATACAACACCAAAATTGGCGTTGCACTGTAGCAACTTCCACTAATAAGCCAACCCAGCACTGAATTGGAGAGGCTCTTACAGAAAAAGATAGTATAAATTAAAGTGATTAAAATAGCTACGACCTATATTTACTGATAGATTAAACTATTTTAAGTATATTCACAGCACAGCACAGCACACAATAAATAAGAAATACAAATTGAAGCTGATGCAAACTCCTCAACACTTTTCTGCTGACATTCATACTCATACACACATACATCAAACATCGCCTAAAATTTGCGGTCACATACAAAACAAAACAAAACATCAGCACTTGACAGTTGAGATGGTTCTTTATGGTAAGGTTATTATAAATGGCAACACAAGAACACAGCCAAGCTACAGCATAAAAGCTTATCCCCAAGTCGAACAAACTGCTTCGACATTTTCATCATCTTCTTCTTCGCGGCAGTTTAGGAAAGGGTGCTGTTTCTGAGATTGGCGGTTGCTTCGGTCAGAGAGCTCAGCACTGTTTCCCCAACCTCAGCTTTGCACAGCGGACATGTAGCGTTGATCTTCAGCCATTTATCCACACAGTCCTTGTGGAAGAAATGGGCGCACGGCAATTCTCTGAGCTCGTCATTGTGGGCGTACTTGGCTAAACATATACAGCAAACCTGTGTACAGGAGGGCAGTTAGGATGTATGTTACATTGTGGGGCATATTCGATATAAGGGCCTCAAAATGTAAGAAAATGATGAGGGTTGATTACTATGGTAAAGGTTTTTTTAGATCAGAAACTGAGCAATCAAATATGGATGCAAAGATTCACTCCCAGGAATCCCAATTTCAAGTGAAGACATAAAACAATAGTGTGTAATGTGTATTCGAAAAACATTACAGAAGAAGAGCTGGCTTCTAGCTAGGAAAGTGAGGGTGCATCTACCTATAGTTATGCAAGTTTAGTAGCTGAAAATTCGAAACTTTCCATTTTATATTTGTACTAGGATAATTGCAAGAGTTCAAGAAAATGGCATTTTAAGTTAATAGCTAAAGGATTAGACTGACTGATAAATCAAAAGGAATTGTCATATGAAAGAAACTCAGATAGCACAAGGAAACAAATTAAACGAATCTTACTGCATCTTCTCCAGATAATACGCGCTCTTTTTCTGTCCCGGCGCCCACTATTCCACCTTCACCTGCAGTTGAGCTATGGTCCTTACTACCACTGCTCTTATTTTTCTTCACTTTAAATTTATAAGTTGGCAGAGAATTAATCGAATCTTGACTAGCTCCTCTATTGAGAGAGAAATCTTCTCTGAAGCCCAGAATGTTAATGATACACGGGAGGCAACAGCAGATTGTAGCACACAAAATAAAAGGCATTGCGTATCCGATACAGCTGAAGGTGAGAAACACTATACACAACCTGAAAGTGAAGAAATTGGAAAAAAATAATGAGGTTCTTATGTCAGAATAATGAATACATGTTTCAGCATAGCCGGTTATATATTCTTGCAAGACCTGTATAGATTGGGAGCTTCAGAAGATGAAGAGTGCCCGCCAAAAATCCACACATTACCAACCACAAACCAAACAGCAAAGAAACAATCCAAAGCTGTCTTGAAGTATTCAACAAGTACCTTTAGCCTGCATACAACCAGAGTATTAGTTACCAAAAATGTACTCTGAAAGCTTCGATTTTCATCATTTTTGCCATTCAAGATACAAATCAATCTACACCAACAACCAGAAAAACAAAATTTGCGAAGTGCAAGACGGGAGCAAAAATTGCCACTGCATCAAGATTAGTCACAGTTAACTGCACACGAACATACAGTACAAGGCACATTGAAATATGAAAAATGACTACCAAAGATCAAATAATTTGGTCATACCTTGGATTTGGTAATCCATTGCTTAGGGTACCTCTAGTTGTTGTACCACTTGTCCATCGATCTTCCACATCTGTGGATCTTCTAGTCAAAGGAATGGAAGAGTTATTGCCTGGAGATGGATCCTGGTTATGCTGCGATGAATCTTGTTCAGAACTCTGGTTTCGATATTTGAACCGCCAGTACAGAAGGGGAAGAATTGCCAAACAACCAGATGCATAACCAACGATCCACGCTCTCAGAGGAGCACGTGGCTTTTCATTTTTCGACAAAGACAATACAACAGCAGCAGCAACTATTTGGCTAACTGTCAGCAGCAGCTCAACAGATATCCATAATCCAGAATTCAAAGGGCTTCTTCGATGGGCTCTAGTATTTCCTCTTCGAAGTAGCGATGAATTCCTTGAGTTTGATCCACTAGCTGAAAATTGCTGAGGCTGATAAGCAGGAGCCACGGAACTAGTAGATGGTTGGTCCTCAACTCTCTGACGTTCCGATGAAGTGGTTAATCTCTCATGAGATGGACTAGAAGAAGAAGCATCACTACTGCTTGTAATGTCAATGATATGATCATTATCACTACGATTCTCTGTTCGCTCCATTAACAAAGGGCTCTTGTTTGCGTGATTCTTATGGAGAGACCTCAGCAACTGAAAAGCCATCCAAGTCCACCAACTCCACGCTGCCCAAAGAAAACATGGGATAACAGGCTCCTAAAAAGTTTCGAATCCCTTTGCTCTGGATGTGGAAGAAGTAATGGCTAACATAATATTACCACTCAAAAGCTCAAGGATTCCAATTCTCCACTATCTCCTTCTATCTGTTCAAATATCCAAAACACAGATATTAGAAGCTAAAACTCATTCAATCATTCCACTTCACATTCGAAGAATTATGCCAAAGCTCATTTCACAAGAATAAACTAATCCAAAATTATAGAACAACATTTAGCACACTCTCCACTGAAATAACAATCCTCAAACCATCCTGACATAAACCCGCAGAAGCCTCACACAAAATTATCAATTACCAACTCAATTTCAAAATAAACGCAACTGGACACAATTACATGAGCTTAAATTGAGGAAGATTGGAAAATCTGCAGTGCTGGATGAATTCAACTCCCCAACTACTCCCCGCCCCCAAAAGCAGTAGTTTACAAAACCCTTCTTATCACTAGATCGTTGACCTCTTCCCAAATCAGACGAGAGAGAACAATTACTAACCCGAATGAATAACACAGATTGAAAATCAAAATCGAAACCGCAAATTGCACACCAAAAAAAAAAATGAAAAACCAAAAAGAATCCACTAATCAAAGCAATTCGCTAATAGAATAATATCTACAAACAATTGTATATTCACAGACAACCCATAGAATCTATAGACAAAAAGATGTGATTACCGACCAGAGCCAACAATAAAACGGATACGATGCTCAATGGAAAATCAGATTGAACGTTTGAGTGTCCGAGAAACACAGCTTGATTCTCACCGAATCGTTTGGGCTGATGCCACTGTTGGCGTTGGCTTTCTACTTTTCGTAGTAAAATGATTATTGTATTATTAATAATATTATATTAATATATATATATATATTATTTTATCTATTCTTCTATCATTCACTTCTTGCTGATGTCGCACTTTGATCCATTCGACATGAACACGCTTTTGGACAGACCGCGCTTTTTCAGCATAACAACAATAATAATAATGATAAGATCCGAAATATTAAATGCAATAAATAGATAAGAATTCAAAGGACAGTTTTTCCTATCTTTAAAAAAAAAAATATGTATATATATATATACATACAGCCAAAAAGACAACATTGGATAAAGTAAAGTAAATTTGACTGAATTGCTGTCCAAGAAATCCGAAAAAAAGGTTCAAATTTAAAATTGACATATTCATCCATTCCAATAAGTCAATAAATTGATGACGACAATACAACAAAAGAAAATTTTGAATGACAGAACGTCAAATTCAGTTATGAGGAGAATCTTTTCAAGTAGCTACAAAAGCCAGCGAGTAGTTAGCTGCTTAATACAGTAATTTCAACATCAAATGTAATGTTTTTTTTTTTTTTTTTTTTTTTTTTTTTTTTTTTTTTATGTAAATAAGCAGTTGAATATGATCATATCATATCATATCAAATCACTCGCATCATTCTTGCCTTTACACTTAGCCATTACACAGCCACAATCTGGAAGCACCAGAACCGATTACAGAAACTACAACAATGGTTGGTTGGTTGGTTGAGGTGAGGTGGGCTTGCAAGACGAAAAAATGAGAATGCCGGTGGCGCTGTCGACTAGTTCTTGATATCTACCTGTTCAGGTGCCGCAAGGGTTGAGGAGGATGAGTAGTTAGTTGCAGCAGTAAGCAAAATATAGGTACGTCGTCAGGGTGAGTTGGTTGGTTCTAGAAGAGAGTTTGGACAGGTTTGGCTGAACGGAGAGTCGAGACACACATGAACTGCCAAAACAAGGTTGATTGATATAAGCCACAAGATGCCATGAATTACAGAAATGGATCTATTTGTTCTTGTCTGAGTGACTTACCTTAGATTGCTTGTATTTTTCTCGAATGGCATTCAGCATGCACCGGTTGACGTTCAATTGCAGGTCTTGCAATTCAAAAACTGCATTTTTCAGCTCTGGTGATTTGTACCTTGTGTAGTGCTCCAGAGTTGGATTCTGCAGAGAGTTAGCAGGTAATTTTTTATCATTTCAACTTGAAAATGGAGGATCGATGGAGGAAGGGGATAAGAAAACTAACCCATGGATGATCTGACTGATCAAGTGTCCATCTGGCGAGAAATACAGCAGAGGCAGCAATGAGTGATGGAAGATACTTGAGGAAGTTGTAGTCAATTAAAGTTAGTTCTGCTAAATAGTTCGCCAAGAACTCCAGCTCGACGGAAGGAGCCTGGAAATGGAGAAGTGCATCTAATCAGGGAGACTCTCAGTCGTATTAAAGATAAACATACAGACACTACTGCTGGTACCTTATAAGAAACTTGTGCAGCTTGAATGAACCTCCTATAAATACCAATCAGTGTTAAAAAGAGTGTGACTTTAAGTAGAAGATTGCACACTTTGAATACAATGGTTACCTGAGGAATTTCTTTGTTGTGGGAACAGATAACTGGAAAGCAAGATAGTTCAGAACTCGGCTTTCCATGTCTACTACCTGTCATGTGTAAGAAATTAGAAAGCAGAATTTGCAGTAAAATTGTCGAAACAATAAAAGCAAAATGAAATCTCATGTTTTATAATATGCAAACAGGCAAACCTCTTCTTTTGTGTAGGTATTGTCTGTGATAAAGCAAAACTCTTCCACTCGAGGTGCACAAATTTCTTCGTATTTCCTTCAGAAATAAACAAGTTGAGTAAAACCAATATTTACTTATGGCTAAAACAAGGATGACTGCATGATCTAAAACCAAAAGCTTTTTACGGCTATCCTAGGGGGGTCGACAAATTGATGGCTGAATGTTTCTAACTTTTGTGAAACATAGCTTGAAAGGGTAATCAAAGTAGTAGCACAAACAAAAGAACTATTAACTTACGCCGAAATGAGCATGCAGGTTACTCCAAGAAGTTGCAACTTTTGCTTCTCAATATAATTCTCAGATAGGAATCTGTCTATAAGATTTACAGTCAGGTAAAGTGTATCAGGTACCAGTCTATATTCTTCAGAAACCTGAAACACAACAGATAATGATGGACATGAATCCACGCACCAAATAAAGAATATGAAAACTTGAAGCAATATATGGAAGTAACAACATTGAATAATTTGAATAAGAGTCTAAAAGATATTAGTTAAGTGAGCAAACCTCCACAAGCCAATCAACAAGAATGCCCCGCATGCCTTGATTGATATCTCGCTGCAATTTTTCCATATAACCAGCCAAGGGCCTACGGTCCACCTGACCGAAGACCAAAATTTCATCCAAGTTAACATGGGAAATATAATATCATGAAGAAGAGAGTTCTTCTAGTAATCCAGAGAAACAATAGAGAATTGTGTAGAATTCTGCACAATAAAAGGATTTTAGGCTCCAAAGAAAAGCTTGATTTTAAAAATTCACGACACATTTTAGCAATAAGAACATTTTGAATTTCAACTCATAGCTGAAACAAGATAGTCAGTGAAATATATCCCTTACTCAAGTTGTGGGAGCCTGACAAACCTGTCTAGTATACAAATTAGAAAATATATCAGCCGCATACAGGCTACACATCAGTGGATCCATGTGTTTGGAGTCTATGTCAATAACACTCCCATCGTCTGAGCTCTCCTGTTGCATGCAAAGCTCACTGCCTTCTGCATGATCAGGAAAAAAAGAAGGATAAATATGGAGGAAAACCCTTTAAATGTAACAGTAAACCATGTACTTTCACAAATTTAAGGCTGTTGTAGCTTTCCAGAAACCCAGTTGATGATAGAACCCAAACAAGTACATGTATTTTTAACTCTTTATAGGAAAACTGTATTGAACAATAAGATACATGAACTAACAAAGAAATTAAAAATCTTACTTTTGTGAAAAAGCTCGACACAAGAAATTTACCTCTACTAGATGGACTTATCTGTGAAACATTTTGACTGGAATCAATCATCTTACAAACTACACTTAATGTGTTTGCTTTGATAGATTCAATTGGATTAGATATCTGGCTCAATGTTGATCCAGTTTCTAGCTTTTCCTTCTCTGCTACTTTGATGTTTTCATCCACAATGTTTTCCCTCCCATTTCCTGGATCCTTTGGAGGTGTCACATGTACCTGCTTTTGTGTAGTGTTCTTTTTCTCCTGCCTGCTAGGCTGACAATCAACAACGTTTGCAAACAAAGTTTAGAATAAATTCAAGGAAATAAGTATAAACTTTTATTACTTCACAAGTGCGCGGACAAAATTGCAAGGCTTGATAATGCAATTAGAGATGCAGAAAGCCATGCTTGAAACTGCTGGTAATGATCCTACCTGCCCTTTAGTTGCACTGATGCTTCTGTACAGATCTCCGCATGTGATGTTAGTGACATCCTTAAGGACAGCCCTTTTCTTTTGTGGAGGACAAGCAGCTGAGGACATTGCTGGTTTGTTGCTGCTCGATGCTGCTGATCTTTTTGAGTTTGCTCGCGAAACAGGCTTATTATCTTGTTTTGCTGAAGGATGTAGAGGCGGCAATCCCCCGGACAAGCCCAAAGCTTTTGCACGGGATCGCGTGATCCGTGAACTGTGATCCCGGACATTTGAGGATTTATTCTCATCATTGACCACAGACTGCTTCATGGGATGACAACTTGTAGAACCCAACGAGTATGCCTTCAGAAACGCTGTATGAAGCACAAAGAAATGTTACAGCAAATCCACTGTCACAGTGTAAGGTATATGATACACATAAACAGAGAGAAAGAATACGCATTGTTTTCAAAGATAATCCTAGAATTTCAAACAGGTGAAAGGGGGAAACCTCAACAAGTTAAAATGCTGCATACTCTTACTGTGTAATGACAAAAAAAGATTATCGTGATGAAGTCACTACTTTATGAAGATAGTGGTGAAATAAACACTATACATCTTTATCGGACAACCCACTGTACCGTGATGTGAAAAGGGGCATTTTGACTATGAGTAAGAGTTTAAACCTGAGATTCATTCAAAAAATTTACCATCTATCAGTGAGTCGTGTGTGTGAGTGTTTCCGTTCTTTTTTATTCAACAGCAGCAGCAAGAACAAGACAGAATTGACAATGTGTCAACAAAATGTCAAAAACCGAGCTGCCATAGATCACAAAGCTCACAAATCACACCGAACAGCCTCGGCTCGCCCAGATCTAGCCAAAAGGTTTGAATAAATTCCAAACCGAGGTTCAAAAACCTCCAAAAAAAATGATTAAACTCGAATAAAATTTTCAAAACATCGTCCAGCCTCGAAGAAAAACCACATCTACAGCAGAACAGCTAAGGAAAAAAATAAATAAAAATGAAAAACAATAATCCTCAATATCAGCACAATCAATCATCCTCATTGCCAAAAAAAAAAATAAGCAAATTACCGAAAATGATATGATCGCACTGAGCTCCCAAAGCAGCTCTGTGTCCCTTATCTACACAGATCGGTCCTCCAGGACCCAATAAAATGCATTTAAACACAAAAACATGGCTCTATTGGGGCTCAGAGTAAGTGAAGAAATGTTGAAAAGCGAAAGGAGGAAATCACACTGAGCGACTCAGTCTATATATATATATAGAGATAGATATAGAGAGAGAGTAGAGTGAGAGAGGAGCGTTTGTGAGAGCGGGCTCGCCACAGTTCAAATACAGAATTCTAAAAATAAATATTTTCTATCTCCACTCTCATTTCACTGTATCCACTCCCAAAATTTATTTTATATATAAAAAAATATATTTATGTTGTGATAACCATTCATTATGGATGTCGTTTTGAAATTTTTGTAACGAATACCTTTTTAATACTACCACATTATTACTATCCTTTTGTAAGATAAATAGAAAAGAATGTAATTTATTTATTTTTTGAACATTAATTTAAAATGGCAGTTATATTAGATCCATTTTTTGCTCAACATTTGTGACAGATTTGAAAATTTCTTACCATTGTTCCAGATTTTTCAGTTCAAAATTATTTGAATAAATTGAGTTATTGTAGTTAATTAGGCCTTCAACTTTGTTTGGATACATATTAAATTAATAATAATAATAATAATATTTTATGGTCTATGGATTTAAATTTATGTAACTAATTATGACCTTTCCAAAGTGATTAAAATTTTATTACTAACCTTAGGTACTCAATCGACCATTTCATAACAAATTACGATGATGAATCTTGCCACTAATTTTTTATTTTTAAAATTAAATGGATTATATTTGGATAAAATGATACTATATTTGTTCCATGAAATCATATTTTTTTTAGTTGGCTCATTAAATTAATTATATTTTTATATATGGCAATGATTAATAAATAATTGTTTAAATTAAGAATTTAACTATAATTTATTACATTGCTAATATTCTTAGTTTTAAGGTTTGTTTGATTGGAGTTTTCAGTAATAAAATTTTAAATTAAAATAATTATTTGATATGTGATATGGATAAATGTTAATGTTTTAATATTAAATTAATTTATTAATATAATATAAAAATAAAAGTAGGTGGTTCATTTAATATTTTATAATGAAGAAATTAGTGAATAATGAGATTTAAGGATGGATTTTATTTTATTTTTTTATTGTTTTTTAGAATTGTATTGATGTACTATTAAAATATTTAATTTTATTTTTTTTTTTTAAGAACAATTCTAGTATTTTTATTAATATATTTGTCAATATGGATAAACCCAAAATTTATCTATCAAATTTAATTTAGTGTGAAGAAAATAGTAAAAATACTTTTATGTTTGTATTGCATTTTTTCTATTTTTTTTTAAGTATGGTAATTTTTAATAAGCTATTTTGAATTTAAATGAATTGTAAACGTATAATTTAAAATACATTTAAAAAAAGCAATGTAAAATACATCTTTATATTTTTTTGAAAAGACAAACAAGAAAAATATTTTATTTTATTTTAAAAAATCCTACCCTAATGATTGTATTTATTAAGTGATTAGATATGATAGAATCAATACCGTTAGTTTAAATTGCGCATACTAGATGAACGGTTCAAATTAAATATTAGATTGTATATTTTAAATGGATAGACTTATATTACACTAAGTATAGCCTACACAATATGGACCATTTCATATATAATAGCACGTTCTATGCATGTTTTGGATCTATAGGTAAAAATTTAAATATGCATGTTTTGGATCTATAGGTAAAAATTTAAATATTATATTTGTTACTAATGAAATTTAGAATTAAGTTAAAAAGAAAATGAGCCTACAATTGAGTTGGTCGAACTGATCGAGGGGCATTGCAGGAAAATCATGTGAAATAGATGTATTTTTAAGGAAACAGTAGGTCGGAAAGTCCGCCGGTTGGAAGGTCCGCAGGTCGGAAGGTCCTTAGATCGGAAAGTCCGCAGGTCGAAAGGTCCGTAGATCGGAAAGTCCGCAGGTCGGAAGGTCCGCAAGTCGGATGGTCCGTAGATCGGAAAGTCGACAGGTCGGAAAGTCCGCAGGTCGGAAAGTCCGCAGGTCAGTTGGTCAGTGAGTCGGACGATGTACAAGTCGGATGGTCTGTAAGTCGGGAGGTTTGCGGCTGGACCAATAAATCGGGTGGTTTGCAAGTCAGGAGGTTTGCGGCTGGACCAACATGGCGTAAGGTCTGCGGTCGGTCCAAAAAGACGGAAGGCTTGCGGTTGGACCAACAGAGTGGAAGGCCTGCGGTCGGTCCAAGAAGTCGGAAGATTCGTGGTTGGATAGGCAAATCGGTTAGTGTGGAAGTCGGATACTGTTGAGGGCGAGTGAGAGTAATAGTTTGGTCGGATGAGGGCACTTGTCAGCAGAAGAAGAGTTAGCAGACGGTTGAAAAAAGGCGTTATAGCCGTTCGGGTGACGGTTCCAGTACCATTTCTGAAGACTATTTAAGGATTGAGACCGGCAACTGACAGAGGATCTTCAATCATCTTCAAAACACATCAAAGTCAAGAGATTTGGGGAATTTAAATTTCCAGTATTTTAATTTTCAATTAATTTTTTATACCGTACAGTGTTTAGAGAATAGCTAAATATATCAAATTCGAAGATAATTTCCTATTTTCGAATTTTACTTTTTATTGTTAAAAAAATACATCAACAATATTTATATATAAAATCATTTTTAATTAAGTAAAAAGATTAATTATGGTGTCAAATTACTAAGTTAGAGTTAAAAAAAATGTAAAGCAAAAATCAATGCCATTACTTTTTATTTTTATATAAGTACCATATGCTTTCACTTACTAAAAAATTTACCAAATAAACCAATCTAGATATAAATAATTAAAACTTAATTAAAAAATTACCATAGGGAATTCATATTTAGGTATCGATTTATTTTAGGTGTATTAACATCACATATTTAAATTTATAATACTAATATAATAATATTATTATTACTTAAATGATAAATAATATCATTTGAAGTAAATTGCAGATAATGGTAGCTCACTATAACAGTAAATAATTGGTAATAAAGAATTTTAGCTACATTAATTAATTATTTAAAAGCCACGATCCATGTTATTTGGTATCTATTTAAATTATTGCATTAAGTACGAATATAGGAAATGACAATTAATATGGTGAAATAACTCCAATAAAGATGACTATATGCATAATTAAATTATTGAAATTTATTCCAATGGTTTGCATATATATATATATATATATATATGGTGGGATTTGATATACATTAATCTATTTTTGTTTAAGTACAAAATAAAATAAGATGAATTAAGTCAAATTTATAGGACATAGAAATTACTATATAATGTTTTACATGTTTCTTGGAATATTTAAAATAGTGTGTAAAATATTATATAGTAATTTCTCAAAATATAAAATGTTTGTTTTGTTGTTTGAAATATTTTTTTTTATGTGGAAGTATACCAAACTCAAAGAAAAAATTGTTTCACCTATATCATTTATTAAAATATAAATAATAATTGGTAAGTGAAAAAATATTTTCTTCTCTCAACAAAATCTTCAATATATATAATACTCTTGGCTAATTTTAGTCCACCTTTATAAATTTACAAATAAATTAAGCTAAACTAATGAATACCATATATATATATATTCTATTTGTTAAAAAAAATAATATTCATTCAACAAAATATTATATTTTTTTATTCAGATAATATTTTGATATAATATTTTATGAATAAAAATAATATATATTTTTAGAATCATTTCAAGTTAATAATATTAATTCTAATTTAAAATAATAAAAGAATACTGCATATTGTATGTGTTGTCTCAATAATATTTCTTTTCTTGTCCAAATGTGTCCCTAAATAATAGAGTATAAATTTCAATAAAAATATAGGAATATATATATATATATATGTATATATAAATAAATAAAATAAAGAACGAAGGAGCATTTATTATATTATTAATAAAAAAATAAATTTATTGCATTACTGTAGTTGTGCCCTAATTATGAACATCCGCCGTTCCGCCCTCGCGCTAGCGCCGGCGGTGGCTCGCCGGCGGCTGCCTACGCAATTGGATTTCTCGATTCCAATCCCACCCATCGTGAAGCAAAACACTCCACAATCTCCGGTACCGCCCCCTCGAAGTCAATATTCTGCCCTGGAAATATACCGCATTTCGGAATTGCTTCGTGATCCGGAGCTCCGACCAGGTAGGGATCTCGAAGAGGCACTGACTGCGGCCAGAATCAATCCATCACCAAATTTGTTGCTCGAAGTTTTTGAACATTTTGATTCTACCCCACAACCCTTGTTCACTCTCTTCAATTGGGCGCAGAAGCACCCAGACTACCCATTCTCGATTGCCGTTTTCAATGCCATGGTTAATTCTCTTGGCAGGGCTCGGGAGTTCGACTCCGCTTGGTGCTTGATCTTGGATCTTATTGGAGGAGACCCAAGCAAGAGGCCCGATTCTGATACATTTATAATAATGATCAGGAGGTATGCACGCGCAGGTATTATTTCTTAACTTATTGGAGTTTTTATGTGTTAATCTGTACGGAATGGTCTTCCTATCTCCCCATGCTTAGGAAAAAACATTGAGCTGTTCTTGCTTATTTTACGATATCTTTTAATCCTTCATATTTTTTATTCTGTTTTTTTTTTTTTTTTTTTGTCTGTTTTCTTAATTATAACTGTGAAACCAGGTCTTCCCTTTGCAGCCATTCGAAGTTTCGAATATGCATTAAGTTTGGACTTCTTGCATGATTCAGGGGTAGAAAATAATCTGTTTGAAATTCTGTTAGATTCCTTATGCAAGGAAGGGCATGTGAAGATAGCCTCACGGTATTTTGATAAGCACAGGGAAAATAATCCAAACTGGTTACCATCAATTAGGGTTTATAATGTTCTACTGAATGGGTGGTTCCGATCACGAAAGCTGAAACGTGCTGATCGGCTTTGGGAGCAGATGAAAAAGGAGGATATTGTGAGACCAACTGTTGTAACTTATGGGACCCTTGTGGAAGGATTGTGTCGAATGGGGAGATCTGATGAGGCAATGAAGTTAGTTGATGAAATGAAGAAGGAAGGAGTTGAACCCAATGCTATTGTGTATAATGCAATAATAGATGCCTTGGGAGAAGCTGGCAGGTTTAAGGAGGCGCTGGGTATGCTGGAAAGGTTTTCAATCTTGGAAAATGGTCCTGGTATATCCACTTACAATTCACTGGTGAAAGGGTTCTGTAAGGCAGGGGAGCCAGCGGAGGCTTGCAAGATCCTGAGAATAATGATGGATAACAGATGCATGCCGACTCCTACAACTTATAGTTATTTCTTCAAGTACTTTTCGAAGGCAGGGATGGCTGGGGCGGGCTTAAACCTTTATACCAAAATGATCAATTCTGGGTACGAACCAGACCGGGTTGTGTATCATCAGCTGGTGAAAATGTTGTGCAAGGAGGGGAAGCTGGACCTGGTGACACAGGTCATACAGGAGATGAGAGCTCGGGGATTTGATTTCGACCTGGCTGTGAGCACAATGCTGATCCACCTGCTATGGAAAATGTCTAGGTATGATGAGGCTGTTTTTGAGTTCCAGGACATGTTTCGTAGAGGAATTGTGCCTCAGCAGCTCACGTATCAGAGAATGACTGAGGATTTGGAGAAGCGGGGAAGGGCCGAAACTGCACAAAAGCTTCATGATCTGATGGCATCAGTCCCTCACTCAACAAATCTGCCCAATACGTACAAACAATTTAGATATTCCACACACGAAAGGAAAACCCGTATATTACAGAGAGCCGAGGCAATGTCTGATATCTTGAAGAGGTGTAAGAATCCAAGGGAGCTTGCCAAACATGGGAATCAATCGGAAAACACTCTGATCACCACTGCCCAGAAGTTAATGGATAATATCCAGAAAAAGGCCAACTTGAGGTCCAGTTAAAAGCATTGTTCGGCTAACTTTGAACCATCCAAACCCTTTGGTGCCTTGGAGAAATCCATCAAACTTTAGTTGCCTGAGATGTAATTATATTAATTGCAATGAAGAATTAGGATGTGCACTGTGAAACTGGCTCAGTCTGGTGTCTGGTGGAAGCTGGAGCAAAAACTCTCTATGTGTTTATCTAAGCTTTCCTACCAACTGCGGCTTTTAATGATCAACAAGAAGCTCGATTTGCCAGGAATCAAATATGACTATCCAATCTGGACAGGTCAGGATTTTGTTGCAACAATATTTTACTCAATTAGATTGTCATAACTCAACCATATTCTTCAAATATAAATCTACATATGCATATATTTGTTGCTCTGATTCTGTGCTGTATTCAAAGTTAATGATGGTCATATTATATATATATATAAATATTATATATTAGTGGTGTATCAGCCTACTAGCACTGCACTTTATTTTTGGATTAGTTAAAGATAATATATGATTTCATCATTGAGGTGTTTACCACTAATTATTGTTGTTGGGGTCATGGGGCTTGTCAATATAATTGAATCGCATCCACAGTCCATAAATAATTGAATCATGACAATCAGAATATTGCTTGTTTATTAAATTTTAAAATGATAACTTCTGCCACTTCTGATGTGACCCAAACGCCCCCCCCCCCCCCCCCCCCCCAAAAAAAAAAAGGAAAAAAGAAGAAACTAATAAGTGTTTTTCTGAATTATGCATTGTATATGCCACTTCAAATCATGCTAATAATTTAACAAATTATTTAATCTTCAATATGGTGGGCTTAACAAATGTATTTAATTTGGTAATAGTCATCACTGACATCAATCTATCACTCACGCTAGAAGCATGAAAGTCATTCATGAGTCGTAATTTTCAATAATCAATTCTGTATTTATAGCAGCAGCTAGATTAAGCCTAAACATTAGCTCTATAAAATCTCAGTAAACCTGTCAAGTTTGCAATGGGTTGTTGATATATATATCCATATTTTCATATTATTGACATTATTTCCTCCCAGGTTAGTCGATCCATGTAGGTGTACTAGGCACTTGCCAAACCTAGTATCTGATTTGAGTCCAATCTTTTAATATCTCTAAGTATTCGTACAAGATGGGATCACTTGATTTATATTTGTCCTTTATGCATGTCTGCATGCCATTGGCTGCGATTTTAAATAAATAAACAATGAAACTCTAATTCGAACTCCAGTTTAAAAGACATAGTAATATTAGTTTATATAATATACTAATACAGTGCCATGTTATAACAGGACAAATAGTGAAATGTGGTGTGCTTTTCCCACAGCTATACAAAGAATCTTTTGAATTGGGAATAATTTTTCTATAAATAAAATGGATTATATCATCCCTTGTTTTGTAGCTATTTCGAAATTCATGGCTAAAACTTCTTGTCAATGATTAAAATTCAGATTATATTGCACATCTTCCAAAAAGTCAAAGGTGGAAGCTTTCTCGGTGATTTTTGATCAAAATTGGTGCCATGAAATGATTGAGAGAGGTCCTTGGATTAATTTTTTCTTCTTGAAAAAGTTATCAGTCCAAACTGAAAAGATTCTTCTATTCACAGGTGGAAAGGCTTCACGGTTATATATATATATATATATATATATTAATGGTCTCTCCCCACTCCCCCTTTCTTCTTGTTGTCCATAGCGAAAGCTAAAAACCTCGCCCCATTTCTGTATGTTTTGTAATTATTCCCACTGTGATGGTTGGTATTGCAAATGTTTACAATGTCGTCTTTATTTCAGGTGACAGCCATTTAAGTAATATCGCTATCTCTGCATATGGCTCTCGCTCAAAGCAACAATAAGAATAACAAACCTAGTGTTCGTTCCATTAATGGCGATGTCGATGCTGCTGTTGAAAAGCCCACAACTTTTCATGATTTTCTTGGCAACAAGAGCCAACAGTTTGCTGGGGCTTCCTGTCCTCCGCCGGCCGCCACTGATTTGGGTTCCGGTAAGAAGAAATTGATGCATCAACACCACAACCCTCACTTTTGTATTGTTATTATTTTTTGCTGGAAATTGGGTGAATATGATTATGAATACATGCCTCTTGAGCATTCCAATTTATACATCACTCCTTTTGGTGGTTCCATTGATTTTTCAAAGTAATATCCAGATGAAGCCATTGGCAATTTCTTGTTTATGTAGTTACTATTGCTTTATTTATTTGAGGAATAAGGTTTGATAATTCTTCACTAATTGTCTGTGTGTGTTAGAACAAAACACTGGCAGACGTTTGGGAGGGATCCCAATTCAGGGATCAAGGGGAGACATAACAGGGCCAGAAAGCAGTAGCAGATTCTCCCAAGGAACTAAGCGATACCACTCGGAGTCTGTTATGATGTCTGCAGGAGACAAATTGCATGTACGTTATCTGTTTCTACTCATCTATCTGCACATTGTTTGATGTTCTGAGTTTGTCCTAATCTCTTAATTCCATTCAATGTCTCAGCTGTTTCGTTCTTCAGGGGAGCAATCTAATCGGCCACATGATGAGGAAGCTGCCTTGTGGCTGCATCAAATGATCAGACCAGTTTTAGCTTCTTCTTTCAAACCACAGCCTTCCCCGACATCCATGAATCAAAGTTCTGTGCAGCACATCAGTCATGTCGCGCCTTGTGTCTACCAAAGGACATCAAATATGGTTGGTCCTTCCGCTGTGTCTCAGGCAGCTGCTGATGAAGGATCAAAGACTGGCGTTAAAGGGTCCGGAGTTTTGAGCACGAGCAATGCAGCTGGAGGTGCAGTTCTCGGGAGACAACTAGCAGGGGTCCTCATCCCCACCGGAAAGCCGGAATCATCATCTGCTGCACTGAGGTTTATGTTTGTTTATTCACAACCAAGATTTCATTTCATTTCATGTTTTACTAATGCTTGATTAATTAGCCAGCGATTTGATGACAGCAGTAAGGGTGGAACAGAATCCGCTGCCGGCTGTAGCCAGATGACTATATTTTACAATGGTCAAGCGCATGTTTTCGACAGTGTCCATCCCACTAAGGTGTGGTTTTTATGTACAGAATTAATGGTGAAACACTAAATAGTAAAGATTTTATTTTGCAATTAGTCCTTGGATGATACGAAGAGCAAATTCATGTGGCTGTTCTTGATACAATCTTTTGAGATTTTTCCCAATCCACAGGCAGATGCAATAATGGCCTTAGCCGGATCAAATGGAGGATGCTGGTCTACAAGCTATGCTTCTTCTCTGCAGCTGGATGTCCCTCCACCAAAAACGGCGCCGCCGCTTGAGAGGTACGGATAACAAAGGGTGATCTTAAAATCCTTGCACTCACACACACATATAACACATCCGTTAGAAAGAACAGACACCATTGGTGATTTCTTGAAAGAATTGGAGATTAACTTCATATGAATGGATAGATTTGGACATGTGATCATATGGGCCTATTTGGGGAATTTTGTGGTTTAATGGGCTGGAATCTTGGGCCATTTTTCTGGGCTTGTAGAGGGGATTTGGGTTTCTTGTGTGTGTTTACTCTTTTTAATTACAACCAAGAAATAGAGGTATGAAACGAGGGCAGTAAAAAGCCAAGAAACATGCTGAATGGAAAAAGTAAAGTTTTGTTTTATTAATTTTTCCCTACCTCAAAAAGTGAGTTGAGTTGAGGTGAGATGATGAGGTAGGTGCAAACAAAAATTGAATTTTGTTGAACAAGAAAATACTAGAACAAAGAAAAAGAGGAGAAAACAAAAGGGAAAGGAGAAACAGTAGTAAAAATATGTTGGCTGTAAAATACTTAGATCACTTAATTTGTTATTTGTCCATCCTGAAAAAAGTAGACATTCCATCTCTGTCCTCCTCATTAACCCCATCTCTTCTTTTAAAAAAACAATACTTATTAGTAGCTCTGCAGGGAGTTGTATGAACTTATACAGAAAAGGAAATTAAAGCATATAATATGTATACAAATATATGCATGTGTGTGTGGGGATTCAAAGCAAAATGAAGAAGCATTGGGAAAAGGGAAAGGGCTGGGGATTGAGGGATCCATTTTGTATTTGCTGAACTTTACAGATTGATTGATGATCATCTTTTTTCTAATCTAACTTTTCATCTCTTTCATGTTATATATATTATAATAATAATAATAATAATTATTATTATTGCAAGTGTATTTAAATTCTTGAATGTGTAATCTTCAAACATTCTTTCATTCCAAATGTTTTAAAGAAAAGTGCAATATTTGAATTGTTTTATTAGATTTTGTGGGTCTTTGCTGTTCATCTTTACAATAATGGTATCAAAGTTCGAAATTGCTATGCATTCATTCAAGTTCATGAGATTTTTTTAATCTTCCTTCCCACTTCCCAGCTTCTTTGCTTGCTCCCTTTTTGATCATCATCTCCCTCTCTGCACTACTGTTTGAAAAGTTTTTTTTTTTTTTTCCTTGTAGATAAATTAATCCATTTTGTGTTTAGAAAACCATTCAAAACAGAAAATGAGTGAGTCAATTTGAATTGAAAGAGCAGTGACCATTGTCAAGACAGATTATAGGTCCCATGTGTCTAGTACCTTATTGTAACGTAAAATTACACATTACAGATTTCATTGCTTCTGTCTTCCCTCTCCCCTCTCTCTCTCTCTCTATATATATATATATATATTGATACATACATATGTCCTGACAAGGCAATGTTATTGGGAAAAAGATATCTGGATGAGAATAAGATCAAAAAAGGAAAAGGAAAGAAGAATATATATAAGGGAAAAAGTGGTTCAAGTTCATGAGTGATGATGGATTTATTTTTTTAATTTGAACTGATGAGCATATATTATATTTAATCCAAATTGATTATTAACACACCTTTTGTCAGGGAGTTTTGAACGTGAGAGACAGGTTTTATGATAAATAACAAGTTAAATCTGATAGGATTAGTCCACTGGAATTATATTTCTCATAATAGTTTGTCATCATCTCCATCAGATTTTCAAGAGAGAGAGAGAGAGAGAGATTGGGGCATTCGTACATATGATATACATAATGTATGTATGTATATAAATTGGAAATAGCTAGATCTCGTAATTCCAAGCAATTTTCTTTGGTTAAAGACATATAAGATTGATCAGGAATAAAGCTTACAACCCGTACAGCTACAGCCTATATACATTAGTGTTAGACTGTGCTTGAATTAAATTAAATTAAATTAAAGCTCCTGAATGCACACATACACATACACATACACACACATTTAATTATTATTATTATTATTATTATTATATATTATACTCCAATAGGGTGGCATTACATTACATTGTGCATGAAGAAATTAGAAAGTGAGAATGTGAAAGCACTGCTGCACTCTGCTAGACTCAAAGAATATGCCCTAATCAATATATATATTATATATTCTTTGAACTCCCTTCTACTCAATGTCTTGGAAAATATATATACACATTAATTGATATGTGGAGATGATGATTCCTTTCTTCATTCCTTGCATTGGTATGTAATGTAATCTATTATTATTATCATTAATATGTTGATGATGACATGTCACACACACACACATAAAGAGATATATATATATATATATATAATGTTAAAAGAAGAATTGAATTGAAGAAGTAACCCATTCCAATCAATGTACCAAATGCAAATGAAAATGCAGCATTTTGACACCACGCAGACAATTGCATGCAGCAGGTATCTCTCTCTCTCTCTCTCTCTCTCTCTATATATATATATATATTTATATATATTGCCTTCACTGTTTGAATGCTGGTGCAGCAGTGAACTGTCAACCCAATTCTCACTGAGTTATTAATAGTATTATTATTCAAAGAATACTGCTCATCACAAATTTATGCAATAATAATAATATTATATATACAAATAGTCTCTGTTGTTTAATTTTCTCATTCTGCTTGCATCGATTGCATGCATGCATGCACACGTCTATATATATATATTATATATGTATATAAGAGAGAGAGAGAGAGAGAGAGAGGGTAAGAACAAAACACATGTAATATTCGAGAAGGCTTCAGACTCTTTTTATACATAAACATATATGTGTATATATATATATATATTGTCAGATTGAAGTGCAATAGCTGAATTGGGCATAGTTACGTATGGTAATGCAATACGTTTGAATTCCAATTAGGATTTGTAATATGTACTTCTTTTATTGTTTTTTTTTCTGAAATATTTGAACCGAATCTTTGATGTAAGAAAATGAAAATCTGGATGGAGGAAAAAAACAGTATCGTAACCACCAATCACAACCCGACACGTGTCCATGGAACCGCAGCACCGGAAGCTCGTTGGGCCCGCTTAGTAAAATCACGCTCCAGCTGGAGCGTACAACATTGAAGAGCACATCGTACAACTCTCAAAGCCCGCGCTGCGTCAATAACAAACGGCGTGAGTAGACGGCGTCAGGTGTCTTTATAAATACCATTACCAGACGTCAGACTCGATCTCTGATTCTCTCCCCTTGTCTTCTTCGTTCCTCATCGTTGCTTCCGAACACACACACCGCACGGGGAGAGCCTTCTTCCTCGTTCACCCCCCCCCCCTCCCCATACATCAATTTCTTTCCTACTTCTACTTGCTCAACTGAAACCATCGACCATTCCTCAGTATATATATATATATATATATATCCCATTTTTGAAGAAAATAAGGAACATTAATCAACCCTTGCCTGAACGATTTTCTGCATGCAGAGAGACAAAGAAGAACATCATCTTTAGCACCCATTCAGAGATTCGATTTGATCATTCTTTGCCCTGGTTTGTATTTCTCCCAAAACTTCATTAAATCTTATTTTTGTTTAATTCGCAGTTTATTTATTTAGGATTCTCATAATCTCATTAGTACCTTTTCAGAATTGATCAGTTTCTGACATGATTTAGGGCTTCAAAATGTAGATAAGCTGATTGTGAAGGGATAACGACGACGACTTAGGTAAGTCACTATCAGTTGTAATGAACAGTACGGATTAGTTCCCATATTATCTTGTCGGGATAAGGATTCCCCCAGTGCTTTTCACAGCTCGACAATGTTTTAATTCTGTTTCTATTCCGACTCGGAAGTTCATATCAAAAATGTTTCATGTGTGTGTGAAATTTGAAATAAGGAGAGGGAAAAGCTGAGTTAGGACAGAGCACAGAGGTTGCGGCAGCAGAGTAGCCTGTAGTATTAAAAACCGTGTCGGGAAAATTGGCACTGAAATCATGTCTTGATTCGCTCTTTATTACTTACGATACGTAGTACATAATTGAGGCCTGGGAATTCTGCATTTATATTTATATTTATATTTATATTTATATTTCACACCTACTAGATTGTTCTTCCTTTAAATTTGTTTGATTCCGCCAAGGCCCCTTTACATGGCCTTCTTTCTTTACTTTTCCATCTTTTGCCCTCTCTCACTCTTTATTGATTGCATTGTGATTTCTGTGCATTCCTATTTCCTAATCCCAAGCTAGGCTACGAGTGAGTGAGTGATTGTTCTTTACATCATTTATTTATCGTTTGAAAATTTCATGAAAATGGGGGTAATTAATTTCTGTGTGAATGGTTTTTAATGGTAATAATTACTACAATCTCAATTTCAATTCCATTCCGTAATTGGCGAGATTTTCAAATTTCGAATTAAGAAGAAGAAAGAGAAGATGTTCTTGTGCTTAAAAACTTTACCCATTGCAGAGTAGAAAAGATAAAGGATTTCGAAATCAAGAAGATCAGATCAGATCAGGAGGAAAAAGATGTTGACGTGCATTACGTGCTCAAAGCAAAAAACAGAGGACGATGAAGACGATGGTGCCTCGCGTGGGACTCCCAGTACTAAAGATGCAGTCAAAAGTCTGACTACACAGGTTCTACTTCTGCCAAATCTTCATATATATATATTACATGGTTTAAATAATATGAAGTAGTAATTTCTGCTTTATGACTGCCTGTCTGTTTGATCTCTCACCTGTGCTATGCTACATTTGCTCTGTTTTCTTGTTGCTTTAGTTTAATTTATTTATTAATGGTTGGGGTCCAGTCTCACCTCATGAGTTCCCTTTTTGTGGGGTAGATGTGAATCTTGATGTCCGTGTTGGGTTCTGGATTCGATTATCTTGTTTATACGAGTTGTGTGGTCTTTTGTCGTTTGTTAGGGATTGGGATATGGAATGGAATACCTTATTCTCCACAAAGCAACCTCCCTTCTTTTTGTATTTGTTTATGTTGTTTCTCTCCACTCCTTCTCTTGTGCAAAGCCATAGGAAACAGTTGAGTGTGGGGGCAAAATAAAGACAAGTACTTAAATTGAAGGTGGACATGGCCACGCCCACACCTTGGATCATGTGTCCAAATCTTGGTCCCAATATGTTTGGTCCTTTTCTTGCTTCCTTCCTTCATCACTTCTCTCCCTTTTCCAGTTTGCCATATGATGTGTTCATGATTTCAAGAAAGAGAAAAAAGAACACAGGAGAAAATGAAATCCCTACCCCCCTCCCAGGTCCTGTCCAATATTACTATATTTGACACAAAGGGACACTTGATTAAGGCTGCATTATGAATAACCATAATAATAATAATAATCATAATTCATATCTCATGTATGTGTCTTCTTGATGGGGTCTTCTTTTTTTTTTTAATTAGTTTTGCTGTTGAGGAGGCATGAGTTGTTTATTTATGTGTTGTTATAGATAGATAGATCATTAAGGCCCCACTGCAGCAAGTGGCTATGAGATAAAGAAACCTTCTTGCCTAGTTAGTTTTATTTATGCAAATTATTATTATTATTATTTTTTCTCTTCTTTTTAGAAGAATATATATGTCTAAGATGGGAAGCTTGATTGCATGGGGATCGGTGAAGGGCTCACAATTATGGTTATGAAAAAGCAAAAACATGGCCCATATAAATCAATTAACATCAAACTTTAAGCTTAATCATTAATCATAATTGTAGTGAACTTGAGATTGAAATAGGAGATTCATTGATTCATTCAATCTGAAGTAAATAAGATGATGTTTGGCCCTATGTATGTATAATTTGGTGAATGATCTTGTTTGATTTGTGAGACACTCTTTGTTGTATTCTTTAATGAACAACATGAAGGTGTTTGGGGCATGAGAAAAGACAACACTTGCATGTGTGGAAAATGGCACATCCTTGAAATGGTCCCACATTTGAATTCCTGTCCAGTTCTCACTAAACTCACCAAATGGAAGTAGGTGGCCCTAAACAGTACCATTTCAGGCCAAGTAAATAGGATTGACTAACTGCATTTCAGATGCTTTTCAATGCACCACCAGTAATTTACACACCCCTTTTCTGTTCTTTTTTTTTTTACTGCAAACTGCAGCATGAGTGAATAATGGAGACCTCAGTCTATTTAATAATACTTACAAAAAAAGTCAACTGCATTATTCATCTATGAATTCTGATTTCATCTGGCTGCAGCAGCAACAACTAATATTTGAGGTTAATGGGATGATGGTCTTTTTGGTTTTGGATGAAATTAGGAATGAGTGATTGCATTGAACAGCTTTTAATGTTTCTAACAACTGGCATTTGAAAAGTGTTGTTCTTGCACATTTGCGGCTGGTTGTCTGAGCCACAGAGTGATAGGGGAGGGGGGCAAGGCAAACAAGATGTGACCTAACTCTATTACATGTTTGTTACCTTAATTTGTTCTTCTCTTGTCCTTAGATCCATAGTTTTAACAAGATGAATATTGTTGGACATAAATGTGTAACATCAGCATCTACGTCTACACCAACATTGTTTGATCCCTCTCTCTCCTATATCGGACAGATCAATTTGTTCACTGCAACCATTTTCTTTAATTTTTTAAGTTTTGTTCTTTAGCTTCTGAATCTGAAACAAGATGGTTCTCAGTTTCTGCCATGGCTTTATATCAATAGTTCAAAAGTTATGTCCTTTAAATCTTTCCAGTTGATCAAACTTGAAAACCATCTATGTAAAAATGATTCGTAATTGCATCTTTCTATTTGCTTTTCAAGATAATTAAATGTCTCTTCTTTATTCAGCCTGATCATCATCGAAAGAACTTGTTTTTATTTCCATAAGCAGATAAAGGATATGGCGTTGAAAGTCTCGGGAGGTCATAAAGACAAGCCTGGACAGGCAGAAGGAGGCTTCAAGAAAGGTCCAAAATCATTTCCGGAGTTCGACACAATTTCAGAAGGGATTCCATATTTGCAGCCTGGAAGCTCGAGTTCTACGCCGGCTTGGGATTATACAAGAACCAGGAATCCAACTACTCGAACCCCTGGCGAAGTGACGCTTGAGGAAGATGAATCCAAAGAGTGGACAGCACAAGTCGAGCCGGGAGTTCAAATTACTTTTGTGTCCCTCCCTCGGGGAGGAAATGATCTTAAGAGAATTCGTTTCAGGTTACATTTTGATTCGATATGCATATGATTTCACAGATTTATGTTATTAAATACTAATTGACTAATCGTGTATTTGAAGCCGCGAGATGTTCAACAAATGGGAAGCTCAGAGATGGTGGGGTGAGAATTATGACCGGATCATGGAGCTCTATAATGTGCAGAAATTCAGCCAGCAAGCTCTCAACACGCCGGGGAGATCCGAGGATGGAGTATGCATTATCTCGTTCTTTCTTTCTAGTATTATCGCAAAAAATATTTCGTCGTAATATAACATGGTGTTTTGCTAGCAGAGAGACTCAACTTACTCGAGGCTCGGTTCTGTCATGGAAAGCCCTCGGATAACACCGTCGCTCAACCGGGAATGGACTCCGAGATACAATTCCGGAGGTAAACATTGACATGCTTAATAATGTCATCAATCCGAGTTTGTTAAAATGTGCTGCTACACTTGGTGCTAGAAAATGTACAAAGCGGGAGCCAGCAGCATTACGGGGCGGGGGGGTCGAGCGGGGGGAGGGGGGAGATGTCGTCGATGGAAGCATCTCGGACGACGACAGATTCGAGAGACGAGGCGTCAGTTTCTATTAGCAATGCGAGTGATGTTGAGTCAGAGTGGATCGAAGAAGATGAGCCGGGCGTTTATATTACCATTCGACAACTCGCCGACGGGACTCGAGAGCTTCGCCGAGTGAGATTCAGGTGACTAAAAACCACTCATATTTCATACTGTTGGTTCTGAAACTCTTAAATATATTATGGTTTATTTTGCGTTGCAGTCGGGAAAGATTTGGAGAGATGCATGCAAAGCTGTGGTGGGAAACTAACAGAGACAGAATACAATCCCAATACCTTAGCTAGCTATAGTTAGTTTAATCAATCGACTTCAAATTTCATTTCATTTTTATGATCATCCATGAATTGCTTATTTCTTTCCAAGGTGGTGAGATGTATTCACAATTTATTTATTTTATTTAAAATATTATTATATCAAATATTTGTGAGTTCAATGAGAAATGACCGAGTATGAGCATGAAAAAGTATACAGCCAACTTTCTTGATTACAGTATAATTTTGCATACGAATCATCAAACATATACAAATAAGGTTCATTACTATCTGAGATTTCGACACATGCAAGCATTCACAAGTACAACATAATAGACCAAAAATCCCACAAGTCTATATCATATACTATTAAACAGCATAGAGCATAGACACGCACCACGCAAACAGCACAGCACCGTAATAACCGGATTATTTGTCGTCCACAACACGACTAGGTATTATTATTAGTTCTATATATCATCAACCTGCCACTTTCCTGGTATAAGCTCTTCTAGGAAGAACTTCTGTGGATCCTCCATGCCAGCCTCCAGCCTTCATAGGTGGAGGAGGAGCCGCGCAAGGTTTTGCCTGCAACTTACCCGATCCCATTCTCATGCTTCCCAACTTCTCAGCTGCATCAGATACTCCATGTGTTGTTTTCCCAAAGTTACCAGCTGTCGTCACATAAAATACAATTGAAACCTTAGCAAAATTACAACAGCAGCTAATAAGATGTGAATGATATTCTAAACATATGGAAGATGTGCTTACATGGGCCATTCATTCCTGGCGGCCTATACTTTGGCTGTTGCTTGGCGGGGGCCTTCAGATTCTTGTCGTTTTTAGGCATATCCTACAGTTGGTAAATAAGGATAAAAGTGAAGTGGATTAGGAAAGAATAAAATAACAATCTTTTTATAGACAAATGAAAAGGCATAAGATACTAATTAAGGCAAAAATGCTCTTCCAACTGACCTGATTATTCAAGTCCAGCTTCCTTTGTGCACCTGTGTCAGTGAATAAAACCGAGTAAATGTGTGACGCATTTAACCATCCATAACATATAAACCAGAGGGGTATTCAAATTTATCCATATGCACCGAATGTAAATCTTAATGACAACTAAATACCTGCAGCTGTGGCATGGGGCTGTGGTTTGCCAGAAGAAAAGGTGTTTGGAGGCTTTAGGTTTGACACACTGCCTGGGTATCTACGACCATTGTTTTGTTCCCAACTCCCTCTGGTTCCCACTGGCAGAACACAAAGTTAATTAATAATCCATTTACCTTTTACATCTTGTTCGGTTTAGAAACATGTATAGTAGTTTTGATCACAGAAAACTAACCAGAAGGAGGTGTTCTTGCATTAGTAGCTTTAAATCGTAAAGATGGTGGAACATAGAAGCAGCTCTGAAACATTGTAGGTAAACTCTTAATCATGAGAGTATTGAAGTAAAATTTTCTCGTATAATATTGGGCATGTATACATATATATAGCACAAGACTTTTAATCTAGAATAGGCACCTGGAAGAAAGGATGCTGAAGAGCCTCCAAGGCTGTTGGCCTCTTGCATGGATTCCACGAACACAGGGACTTTAACAAGGCGAAGTAGAGAAGGAAGAAATTAGATTGACTGAAAGGAAGTAATTACACAACAAATAAATGAAAAACAAAGATGTGAAGAGACAGAATCAAAGTTGCATCCCCACTTACTGTAATAAGATTGACTGCATCCTTGCTAACACCAGGTATTAACACAGAAAGATGAACCCCAGGAACCTGCCGTGTTCAAACAATTATTAAAAAAACATGAAAATATATATATATATGTATGTATTGGGAAAAAATTAAGATTCCTAGTTCAACCAGTCTCGCTTATATGTATTGGTAAAAAATTAAGATTCCTAGTTCAGCCAGTCTCGCTTCCACATGCAAAGCAAAATTAAGAGACTTACTACTGCTGACACTCAGAACTTGAAATCAAAATGAACACTCACTTGCGGGAATTGGTAATTCATGACACTAGCAAGTTGAAGACCCTCAGACCATTCACTCTTGGTTGGGTTGCCTAACACAGAGCATATCTTGTAAATCTCATCAGGCTCGCTACATACACAAACAAAAAGCAGCACATCAATCATAACCGTATTGAAATGAAAAGTTAAACAAGCAGTAAGAGGGTATGGAATAAATTCACAGACCAAAAGCCCTGAAATTAAGGTAAACTAACATGGCTAGAAATAAATTCAGGTAGGTGTGTTTGCGGGTGTCAGCAAAAATATAAACTTCAATCTTCAATATTCATACCTTAAACCAGGAAATAGAGGTTGAAGTGTGAACAGTTCAGCCATTATTGCACCCATTGCCCACATATCTGTCAGAAAGGAATTTGTATCATCTCAGGCAAAAAAATTCTGAAATCAATTAAGGGCTGAGATATTTTCCACATTTACTCACCAACAGGGGGGCCATATGTTGGGGACTGAAGCAGAACTTCTGGGGCCCGATACCTACAATAGTAAGCATTGTGAGAAATTGATACCCGTAAAAAAAAAAAAAAAAAATTGTAGTTTAATAGAAGGCGAGAAATAACTGCCCACCAGCGGGTTGAGACATATTCAGTAAATGGAGGTTGGGAATTGATCTCACGAGCAAGACCAAAATCAGCAATTTTTATCGTATCCTTTGAGACTAGCAAGTTCTCTGTTACATTCATCCGAAGAACACAAGGAAAGCAGATAAAAAACAAGTGAAAATAAGGGCAATACATCTAGACTTCAAAACTAGACAGGAAATGAAACTGCAAAAACATAAATATAACCTGGCTTGAGGTCACGATGGAAGTATCCACGTTGATGCATGTATGCAAGACCCTGAAACACTTGAAAGCACCAATTTCTTACTTCAGCTTCAGAGATATGCTTTCCCCTGTCCTTCATAAGCTGATACAGATTGCACTCCTGAAAATTTAACATAGCTCATAAAAGTATGTAGATGAACAATCTTCAGCGAATAACACAATACATTCGCTAGATATACTTACCATGTATTCAAACACGAAGTAGAGGACATCATTTTCCCTGATAACTTCCTTTAGCTTAACTATGTTTGGATGGTTCATTTTCCTAAGCGACTGTCAAGAACAAGCAGGTCATTTTTATATTTCGCAAGAGATGGAAATCATTAAATAAAGAAGATGGGTATCACCTTCACTTCCCTGAGCCTAATGCATTCTTCCCATGAGTAATATTTTTTCTTCATTTTCTTGATTGCAACCTAAAAAGACAACCATGAGGTTATAAAGTATCAAACTATGTGCATTTTCCACTTCACGTGTTAAGAGACAGTTTATTTAAATCAAAAGGAAATTCTGAACAGCTATGGACCTACCACTTCACCAGACTGCTTGCTTATAGCTCGCCAGACACTTCCAAAAGTGCCATTACCAACCTCTCGGATAACCTTGTACCTGCGTCGACCAGCTGATGTAATCCAACAGCGAAAGGAATAGCATTTATTAAATAAATAAATAAATGTGCATTGTCGAACCTTTCCATTCTTCTTGCAATACCAACGATCTGAATCACCACTTATTGCAAAAGAGACAAAAAAGGGGACCGAAACTTTTTATTCTCTAAATGCCTTGAGAAGAGAGTAAACAAAAAGACTGACTATTTTGCGACCATTAATCTTCCTAGTGCATTTCAATGCAAGCAAAACCAATGGTATAATGGCGCATGTGCTTCACAGCCTTATTCATATAGTACATCAAATCATAGGCTTCGAAATTGAGATAAGCAGAAGAAATTTGGGCCTTAGAACATTTCAACATTGGTCCATTATTGGCTGAGGAAGCAGTCAGCAATGCTCTCAGACACCATTCTTCATCCAGAGATACTGAGACCGACAAGATCTCCAACAATTCCACAACTATCAAATGGACATCGGGGAGGAAAGAAATAAAGAGAAAATACAGCACACCAATCTAACACTTAAATACACAGTAAAGTTCCTTTGAATGCTTGCAGCTTCAGTCCTGGTGCAGAAAAGGAATAGCAAGTCCTATCAGTGTCAATGTTAACTAAAATGATAATATTATAAATTGAGTCAACTTAAAAATAAGAACAACGAAGTACCTTAGAAATTTTCAAAGGGTCTCAAAATGCATGTTGCCTCAACAATGCACCATCAGAAATAGAGAAGTGCACAAAAAGATTAATAGTGCCACCAGGTAAACAGCTTTACAAACTTCCAAACATATATATATCATGCAACTCGCTCATAGAAGTGCACTAGAGATTCAACATCTATTTAGTAGTGGGATGCAATCGGCCTCCAGATCTGATCACTCGCAACAAATTTTTCACTAAGTGCAATTGACAAAAGTAACAAGAAAATCTCCAAGGATGAGAAATCGCCAATCAAGAACTTCCTGGAACGAGAGAACCCGATGTTGGTAGCAATCTGACCAAAGGCAAAACTGCTCCATGTCCTAGATAATGTTAATCTTTTCAAATAGGAACTGAAAACAACCTGAAGACACATACAAAAACATTAAAGTGAGATACCCATTATAGAAACAAAATGAAGACAATACAAAATTTTAACAGGAGGTAGGGAAATCAAACCCTCACGTCATAATGCATGCTAACAAGGTAAGAATGAATGAGAGATAAGAAACTAAATACCCCCTCCGTCCCAAACAAGGTGCAACATTTACTTTTGGCACGAATTTTTAGGTGGGTAGTGTTAAGTAGGATAATTTAGAAATGAGGTGATTTGATGGAGTGAGAAATATATATTTTATTTTTTTATTTGGATGATGTGAGGGGATAAAGTGTGGGATAGAGATTAAGTATAATTAATTATTTCCTATTTTGGAAATGTTGCAGGGTGTTTGAGACATACAAAAAAAAAATGTTGCAGGGTGTTTGAAATGTTGCAGGGTGTTTGGGACGGAGGGAGTATAATCTATTTTTTTTTTGTTAATAAAACCCTCTTTACTGCTACTCTCTGTAGAATAAATGATGGGATTTTTCATGATGGGAAATGTATTAATATAGCTTCAAAAGCATCAAACAACTCGCAACAAGGAGAATAGTGTTCAAAGTTTAGTACTAGGATAACAAAAAAATAAGAACTTCAAGAAGCCAAAACTTGATTCAAACTAAACAGATATCAGATTATAGCACATTAATGAAAATTTTGATCAGAACTCTAAACATAACACAGAACCTGATAATTTCTGAAATGCTTAGCACCGCGTAAGACTAGAGAAAACATTATCATCTCAATAAGATTTACTTGCCTTAAAACAAAAATAAATAAATAAATTTACAAACAAAACAGCTTGGCGTGAAACAAGAACCCAATCCACATTCTTGGACCACTTGCAACAGAGAACAGGGTTCTTGGGTTGTTTTTTTTTTTTTTTTTTTTAAAAAAAGGCTTTACTGGGATCCTCTCTCCACCAGTCAGTTATGTCATGCCGAAACAACTGGGAAATTCTTAAAAATACATCCATATACACTGATATTCTCTATATTGCTGTATTGTAAAAAACTCTGATCGGGTGCTAGTTTCTTTTTTGCAGCACATCTCTATACAACAAAACAAAAAATGCACGCACAGATCTGGTACGCAAAATAGAAAACCTCCAGTCAAACAATTTCGATACGTTTCAACCGTAAGAGGAAACGTAAGACCTATACCCTAATCCAATCCATCCATCATCCTAACTCAAAAAGAAAATGAAGACCCTGGAAAGACAAAAGGAAAACCGATAAATTACCGAAACGAATTTCGAACTCAATAATACCGCAAATCAACAAGTTTAACCAAAGATAATAAGATCCGAAAAATAAAACGACTAGAAATAGAAAGAAGGTAAAACAAACGTTGACGACATATACACCGGTAATCTAAAACGAATAAACTCATCCAAGATTCACAAAAATTAATCCGAAACCGCCATAAAAAATCGAAGGCAGCTGTCCAGAAACACCAAATTTATCCAATATTCTTGATTACCGATCCAAAACCGCCACCAATCGAACACAGATCTCATCACACACATCCAAACAAACAACGAAAACCACACACGTATCATACAAGACGGAAGAACGAAAATAATTCATTACAAAACATTGTAGAATTACCGGAAGAACAAACGGCATAACCTAAGGAGAATAAACCCAGCGATGCCACTATTCCTTTCTCTGATTCCCTCCACTTTGATGAAAATTATGATGATTGTCTAGGGTTCGCAGCCACCGCAAAAATGTATCGGAGATATTATATATAATGGAATTCTATGATGACGATGTTGATGGTGGTGGTAGCGGTAGCGGTAGCGGTGGTTTTATATATATATAAAAAATATAATATTTTTATTTATATTATATTTTCACGCTGGGAATACGAATAAGTCATTCCTTTGTAAGCAAGAAAAAAATAAAAAATATATAAAGCTGAAAATTGCTTTTACAAATTCGGTAAATATGTACTCCTACTATTTCTTTTTCAGCATTTTTACTCTGGAATAATTTATTTATTTATTTATTTTTAAAAATATTGGTTAGGTTTTGACAAGTAATCCACTTATTGCAAACATTGATGCACTGTATAAAACAGTGTCACTAATCTAGCGAGGATTTTTTTTTTTATTATTTTTTTAATATACGGATTATTGGATTTTACAGTAATGTCATATTTATAATAATTATTTTTATTGTAAATTAGGGTAATAAATTCTAAGATCAGCAGTAACCTACAAAATTAAATCCTATTTAATAACTCTAATGGTACGTCTGGCAGTGTATACTATTTTTCTATTAATTCATTTCATATGGTTTTAAAATATGCTTAATTAAAAATTATTTATTACTATCTAAAGTAAATAACAAGTCACGTATGCTTTAAATAAATCGATAATATAATGAATAATTGAATATTTATTCATCTGTTCATAAAAGTCAGTAGAGACACCAAACTACACCAACACATAAATGACCAAAATGAAGCAACTGGAAAAATTGAAGTATGGTATTTATTGCTAAATTAACCAAATATACATTTACTTTTTCTTTATTTTTATTTTTATTTTTTATTTTTTTATGAATATAAAAGAAGCATCCCATGTGCCCACCATGACCAAACCATGTTGTGTTTAATAATAAATAAATAAATAAATAATGATAGAAAAATGGTCCCCGGAAAATAAGACAAGACACCTAACGCAGCAATAAAATTCCGATCACGGTGATAATTGATAAAATATTTTTTTTATTTTTCAGGATAATGTATTTGTTTTAAATGATAATGTAATGTATGAAAGTATGTATGGTCATGAAGTTAGGTCATGAGAGAAGGGAGATGGGTCATGGCCAATGGGTGGCATCCATTACATTTCATGTGTATATCGTAGGACTATTATCTTATCCCTTTGTTTATTTTTGGAATTTACTTTTGGTCGTTCTAGGGCACCAACGCCAATATTCCAAGAACTTGCTATAAGTGGGAAGACACGTGTCGGTGTGAAGTGGTGCCACGTCATCAGAGTGGGCGGCGCCAGGTTGGATGACCTAAATTAATTACATTTGCATCTCCGCCCGCCGCACGAATTATTATTATTCACTCATTCGCAGCAGCACTTTCTTCTTTTTTTTTTTTTTTTGGTAAATTGAAAAATATAAATTGGACCGAATCCAAATCATTACGGGTCCGGGCCGGGCCGGGAGTAGGTTATGCTCTTTGTTTTTGGCCACTTGCAGATTTCGACTTGGAAACACGTAGCGAGTGTTGAACCTCAACAACCATATGGCGGAGCGGAAAAGATCATCATGATCAAAAGGCGATACTGGAATCGAGGATATGGTGAGTTATTGGAATATTTCAGTGCATTCCTCTCCACTCTTTTAGTTGAATTTGCTTTATGCGATCGCCAGTGGTGTGATTTGATAGCCTGAATCTCGTTTTTCGGATGTTCATGAGAGAACACGCCTGCTGCTTCTTTGATTGATTTTCATTTTTGCTTGATTCTGATAAGGTATAACGAGTTCATATTGTGATGTATTATCGCCTGTGCATTTTTCTTCCGATAGATTTCTCTAAATAATCGTGAAGCCCATAACAGGTATTTGTATATGCATCAAATTCAAATTATTGAGGACGATAGAGCACGCCAAATAAGTAATGCAAGTTTCGGATATTAACAGTCTCCGTGAAAGAACAGAACACATCGAATGCATTATAGACAACAAGCAGTATTGAAGCAATCTACTTAAAAGTAATAGGCAAACTGATAATTGCCCCCTGCGCCATAATACATGATAATGAAATTTGTCTTAAAAAAGCATAGATATAGCTATTAGCTACGGATGCCATTGTTGTTAGATCATAAAACATGGACAAAGCTAAAAATCCTTGAAGATAATGGAGCATCCTGTAGCTCAGATTGACTTGATATGAACCTCCTGAGGGAGAAGATGATACTTGATGTTGAGATTTTCGAAGATCTTCTTCAATTCCAAGAGCAGTTCTGTTATTCTGGTGTTCCTGTCTGCATAGTTTTGATGGTTGATAGTGTGTTGAACACATAAAGCCATCTTTAGTTTATCCAGATTTTCAATCTCCTTCACTATAACTGAATGCTTAGGATTCCAATATTTTGGCTTACTCTCAATGTACCTATATTCAAGAAGAAACTTTGTTGTCATTCATTTGGACAAGGTGTACATAAAAAAAATGCAATAGTTTGAGATTCATACGTTTGTATAGCTTTCTTGAGTGCAATTATCGTATCCATTGGTGTTGAGGCATCTATATTGAAATTGACTGAATCTCCCATTTCTGGGCTTCTGTAGAAGTTGCTGATTGGCTTTAAGATCAATACTGAATTAGGATAGTAGATTTTCTCGTTGTCATATCGAAGGAATACTGTCGACAGTATGTTCATCTCTTCCACTATTAGCTGGTAAAACAACAACCAAGGTGATCACAATAAAAAATTGCTGAAATTATGAACTTGCTGACTCTATGATATGATGTGATGATAATCAGGAGGGGTTACCTGGACGCCGTCAATCACACAACGATCTCCTATGTCGAAAGGATGCATCACGAAGACAAAGACAATGGACTCAAACACAGTCTTGCACATGTTCTGGAATGTGAATCCCAGGAGAAGCAACTGAGTAAGGATGAAGGCTATAATTTTGGTGGAAGCAACTCCCATGACCATGAGCGTTTCTACTACAATGATCACACTGACAATGGCACTGGCTAGTTTGTGAAGCTGCTGCACTGCTGTCTTTGTGTCGTTTAAGGAATGCGCTAAGGATTTTCGCTCGTAATAAGCTCGAACCTACGATTCACCAGAGTTACAAGGCTATTCAATCTGTCATCAGATGACTCAAGACACTTTGGAATCAATAAACACTTACCACCCAATTTCTGAAAACGGATTTGGTGATCTTTCCGGTCTCCAGAGCACCCTCAAAGAGCGGAAATATTGTATGAATCTCCACTCTCTTCAAGAATCTCATCAGATCTTCTTCCTCAATGTACCTACAGAGCAGAGCCAGCAAAAGTAAGTTTCCATTTTTCATGTACATTTGTAAAGGAACCCCAAATTTGCTTTTCTATTAATTTCATTCCAAGTTCTGTACCAAACATATTAAGCATTTTAGTTAATTGTCTTTCATCTATTGCTGCAGATGAATTAACTCAAAGCTCCAACAAAATTTGAGGCATCGAGGGGGAAGCTTCTGTGAGTAAAATTGTAGTAGCATTAATTTCTACAGCTCTAGTGGCATTTAGACACGTGTGTCAATGTGGTAATGGATTCCTTTGTGAGAAATTAAAATTATATGGACCATATATAATGTGCATGTATGAAGCTAGTGGCTATCTTGTCTTTCTAATCGAGGAAATTTTCAGGGGACAAACGTAGTACGACAAGGTGGTGGGTTGACTCATCAGGTGTTTCTTGACGTCATGTTCATATCAGCGAATAGTCAATGCTTTTATTCTTATTGTGTAGGGTGGCTTTTATGACTTTAAGTGACCTGTACGGAACAGGAATAATTACGCACGATGTGTAATGAAACAGCATGTAGTGGGTGGGACAAAGTGCGCATGCAGAAATTTATGAAATGAGGTTTATATGGAATGTATGTTCAATTGGGAGCTGTGGGTATACCTTAATTATACTCTAAAGTGACTGGTGCAATCATTGTGTTTTCTTGATTTATTAGTAAAATGAATAGTGCCGGCATTATTAACCTAGCATCCTATGTAAACTTAAATAATGACATGTCTGTATGCATGCATATATTAGATTATAATTATAATAAATAATTAATGCAATAATAATAATAATAATAATAATAATAATTACTTGGCGCCTGGTTTGGCCACGTTCTTGAAGATCCTCTTGGCGCAGTTCCTGGCTTCCCATTCGCTACTGATTTCCGACTCCTCCGTCCGGCCAAATTCGTCCACCGTCCTTGAGATCGTCGTCAAGCCGAACGATCTCACGTAGCTCACAAGTCGCTTCACCGTCCACGCCGACGCCGTGCTCTGCATGCTCAGCTTCCTCAGTTTCTCGATGTCGATTTTGCGCGTCGCCGATCGCTTTGACAAGGATAAAACCCTAGATTGCCTCAACTTCGCCGGGAGCGATTTCGATGCCCCTAGGTTCCGCGAGTGCGCCTCCTCGTACGCCGCGTCGTCCATCGGCGGACCTGACAGTGTCTCGAGGACGTAGTGGTGGAACACGCTCTCCTTCATCCGGTCGAAGTATGTCGCGACGTGGAAAGAGGATGCCAGGACTTTGACGAGCACGATTTTGATCAGCCAGATTGTTGCGCCGATTTGGACCGCAATTAGGGCGTGGAACACCTTCCTGATCAAGGAGTTGTTCTTGTGGAGTTTGGCGTTGAAGATGAAGATCCAGGCGACGAGGACGAGCCCTAGCCACACGCAGTTCTGGATGCTCTTGCGGAGGCCATAGACGAAGTACAGAACCTTCTCTCGGAGCATGAAGTTTCGTTCGATGACGAAAGTAGCGATTTTAATGATCCAGCCCGAGACGAGCCGGCCGCTGAAAATCACGAGGATCATGAGACACCATCGCCATAGCTGGAGTCCACACTTGAGCTGGTGCTTCAGCGACGAAATCGTCATCGAGCAGATCAAGCTTGTGGTAATCATCAGAAATAGGATCCACTCGATCAAAATCCTCCACCGGATTCTGGTACCTTTTTTCTTCCCGCGTTTCTCATTCTCGTCGTAGTCCCCAAATTCCTCCTCATCCTCACTTTTCTCATCTTCATCTTCGCTACTGCAGGGGACGCTTTCGATTTCATTGGATTCAGGCACGGATTTGTGGTTAGCAGCAGCTGGAAGGGAGAACTCCACGAACCGAGACTTTGGTTTCGAGAAGCTCAAACGACGTAGCCTCGAGACATTTGAAGAAGGCTGCTTATTGGTTTGATCTTGTGATGATTCAAGTGAGCTATGTGTTTTGTGGTTTTGTATATCATCCATGAACACAATGACATGATCAATGGCCATATCCATCTCCTTCCTAACCTACCATGCTGCTTGTTTCTACACTGGCTTAATTTTCTTACTCCTCACAGATACCTACAAATGCTACAGCAAGCTCGCATGGCATATATAGAAGAGCACTACAGGCAGGGCAAAAATGGAAGATCAGATTGGATCAATATCATCCAGAATTAGTGTACTGCATGCAGCACAGGCACAAAACACAGTACCAGTGATTAAGATTTAAGCCTAGTGGGCTACAGTAGCAAGCACGTGGATCAAAACTCAATGGACAATGGAAAGAGGTAAAAAGTGAAAAAGCTTTTGTGGGGTTCGACAATTGTTTTCAAAGCTTCAGAGTCAATGATGGAGGAAAGAAAGCCTAACAGCAGTTTCAGTAGTGCGCAGGTGATAATCGACATCCATTCATCATCACTATCATTCCTTGATCACCTGTTTAACATGAAATTTCTGATACTTATGTTTCTTGGCTGGTAGTATAGATCAATTTGTTTTTCCACCAATTCTTATACCTGAAACCCCAATCTTTTATGCAACATATAATAGTTCCATTGAGATGTGTACACCTTCACTTCTTTCTACTGCTTGTAGTATTCATATATAATGAATAATATTGCCAAGAATTACTTCAACGAAAACTGATGGCATCTGACTTTCTTCTCAATATCATCTAGAATTTTGCTTGGAGGATGAATACCACAGTTTCCTCTGGCAGATCAACAGCTTCTCTGTCTCCACGCCGAACTCCGTGTCTTCCTTTCGGCAACTCCATCTTGTCCCCTTCGCAATGGTTGCAACCGCGTCCACAAAGTAGCTGGATTCCCGGATGATTGCGTACCCATTAGGCCTGAGAATACGGTCCATCTCCAGCACAATATGCTTCATTTCACACCTGCAGGGAGAAGTTCAAGTGAGAACTGAAGCAAGACAACATAGTGTTGAAGTGATGGCTACAATGAAGCTGCTGCTGCTGCCTACCGGTGGCTTTCAGCTGTGAAAAGCCCGTCAAGATGGAGGAGATCGTATGTTCGAGGATATGTCGAGAAAGCCTCACACCTAGCAAGATTATATACACATCGGTCATCACACAATCAAAATGGTAATGAAATATACAATGGTTTCCATCTTATGAGTTTCGTTTGATGTTTTGATGCTTCTTACCAATCCTGAAAGGTTCCGATGAGCCCTCTATCGTACACCACAGCAAGTGTGTTTGGAGCATATGACGAAACAACATTCATCACCCACAGGGGATCATCGATCAAAGCTGCAGCAAATCCTCCGTACAGAGTGTTCATATCCATGACATTTCTAATCTTATTCGTTCCTAGAGCTGGGAGTACCTTCTTGTAGTGCTTAACCCTCCTCTTCCACTTACTGTCGTCATGCTTGAAAGTTCCAGCATTGCCGTGAGAATAAGCGACACGTTCAGGCGCAGCATGCAGTCGTTCAGGCCATTTCGGGAGAGACTTCAATGCCACTTTTTTAAAACTCGGATTAGGGGGAACAAGACAGGCCCGAATTGGAGTGTACCATCCAGAATCAGGCTCGGCGCCATCATCACATTTTGGGGGATAATTATCCGGGGCCTCGAACTTCTTGTAGCAGGTATTAGAAGAAGATTTTTGCCAAACAGCAATGTCATCTTTCTTATTATACAATTTGAAGCACATTGATGTCAGCAGTTCTTGCAGTTTCTCATAGTTCAATTTCTGCTCTTCAATGGTTGTGTTCCATCCCTTCCACCGATTCTCATAGTTTACAGGAGGGCCCGACAGCACCCAAAACCCCCCCGGCCGGAGAATTCGACTCACCTCTAAAAGGTAAACCCCCCCTGAAAACAAAACAAGTGCACTGATCAAACTAACATAGATTATTACATTGCAGCTACATGATGACGATCATATACGTTGGAGAAAGTCGAAGTTACCGAATTCAGTCCATGGAATGAGGCAGCGCGAGCAGTGCGCGATGTCGAAGGAGTTGGAAGGAAAGGGAAGTCTCTGCGTTGAAATGATGCCAAGAATCGCAGGAATCCCGCGCTCCAGGGCGAATTGAACTTGAGCTTGATGATTATCCCTCGGAGCAAGAGAGACTGTAAGAATCCCTCGATCCAGTAGGTCGCCTCCCCAGCTCGCAACCTAAACAGATATGGAGCAAGAAAATGTTACAGAACATTGCAGCATGAATTGAAGCATGTAAGAAACGTCGACTCACCCCACATCCGGTGTCAATGGCAGTCCTTATCGTGCCATCTTTCATTCCCGGGATCAAATCCTGCATCAGGTCGACGTAATGGCTGACGCCGTCTGGGAACATAGTGCCGCCTCCAGGGAAGATGAACTTGTCCCCTTCTTTCTTCAGCCAATGTTGATTCGACTTCTGTTTGTTGATCCAATCGTAGGGAACGTTCCTGAGCACACAGACAACAAGTCATATGTTGCTGCAACATGTGAAAAACAGAGCTCTGTTTTTTGAAGACAAGAATTCTGTCCATACCTGTACCAACATTCGTCTTTGCTCTTCGGCCATCTGATCGGTTCCTTGTAGCCATCGGGAGGGGGGACTAAGCATTCTTTCTTTTCGAACACCGGAGGGCAGTGGCGCTCCATGTAAGAAAGCCTATGAGCACTGAACTTCTTCCACCTCTGCAGCAATGAAAATAGCGTCGTCGCGTTATTTTTATTACATCGCACAACCTTAAAGCGCGACATAAGTTGCAGAGGATCGATTCGATCACCTTAGGATCGGTGCATGGAGTGTGATCCTGAAACTCCGGTCCGCATTCGGGGAAGTTCACAGCCTTGATTTGCAGGGGTCTTACAATGTTTGGCTTTGAAGTTTCGACAGCTTTCGCATTGTCCCGAGCTACATATTTGTCCTTCTCAGAACAAAAGATTGCACCAAGATAGAAAGAGAATCCACACAAGACAAAGAACATTATGGCCATAGGTATTCCTCTGGAACTCTTATCCACTTGCAAGAAAGTTTTGCCATTGTTCTTCATCATGCTGACCTTCCCCTAAAAAGCTGCAAGAAATGAATACGAAATCAAGATTCTAGTATTTTTACCAATCAACACTGATATGGGAAAATAATTCTAGCAATCAAGAACTTGTTGCTGTGTGTGTGTCCCCATGCCCTTAAATTATCACATGATATATCATTATTGGGACCAACTGTTAATGAAGTTCAGCAGTCTTGATAGAGGGCCCTCCCTCCAACACAACACAATGTAAGGAAATATGAAAAACCAACTGAAACAGCAGTTCAAGAACAGTATACTATGCAAATTACAAAACCCAAAATCTAAAAAAGAAAATAACTTCAATAAAAACAAACCCTTCAAGAAATGAGATGTCAAGATTTGATGACCCACATTAATTCGAATGCAAGAAATGGATTAAAAAATAGAGGGCAAGGGCCAAGTAAGTACCTTGAGCAGAGATACGCAGTTGGAGTGCAAACTAAGCATCCATCCAAAGGAATGTCTAGATTGAAGAACTCGAGAAAAGTAGTTATCAGTAGTACATTAATGAAGTCTCGATTTTTTCAAAGATCCCAAACAAGACCCACAGAGATGAGATAGATGTTGAGGCAACCTGCAACTCAACAGAAGACAGAAGAGTGAGAGTCCCTCTGCAAACACAGACACATTCTCTGAACACAGTGCATGAATTGAAAGAGAGAGAGAGAGAGAGAGAGGGAACCCTACCAAAAGATGAGTATGAATGAAGATAACCTAACCCCTCTGCCTAAATGCCCCACATTTGCTTCAACATTTCACTTCTTATAACTGCCCTGCCCTATCCTCTCGTGCATTCTTGATAGTTGTCTTCTTGTGGGCTAAGGCTAAATTTCACGGCGGGAATTTCGATTTGGTGAAGATGACGATTTGAGAATTTTACCAATCTTTTCCAAGAATAGGTAAATGAGTGAAATCAGCTAGGGTTGGTTTCTGTTGGATTCCCCAAAATGTTAAGAGGAACAGAAAGGGCCTGCAGGGACTTTGGGATTCCTCGTTTAGGCTTCCATTCTCTTTCCCAATTTTAACTTCAAACATTTGTGAAATCGATGGAGATTTCTTCTTTGTTTTTTTCACTGTTGAGAATTGCAGACAGAGGGAGTAGTCGGCCCAGTCAAAACTCGCCACGTGCCTGTTCGTCATTCGCACGTGAAGACAGGTCTGTACAGTCGCCTAAGTCAAACGCTAGGGAAATCTAGGCCGTTGATTTAACCACCATCGCCATTGGCTAACGGTCTGGATTGACCTGGGACTAATGCATGTCTATACAGTTATACAGTCATTACTGATTCCTAAACGAAACAAACAACAAATTAAACGAATTTAATTTTATTGGCAAACGGCTTTGACGGTGCTACACCTGAATATTTAAATGCAGCGTACAATTTAATAATTATATTTCCTTACAATTTCACGTGGCTTTTAATTTCATTTGATTCATGAAGCTCTGACACTACCCATTATTCTATCTTTTCTTCAATTTATGAAAGAAAGAAATATATTATAAATATAGGATGGAAGTCAATGAAATTAAATAAAGATTCATTCTGTTGACTGTTTACATGCTTTCTTATATATTGGAAACTTATAATCATTCTGTTTTAGGGGGAAAAAATAAAATTGTCCAACACTAAATTTGCAAAGTTGTCATAAATAAAACAATTAGAGTTGAGATCTACATAAAAAAAAATCCTGTCACGAGCTGATCGGTTAATATTTTAATAATCTGGAACAAATTAAAGTTAGACAAAACGGGAAATACATTTATTCAATTTGTAATATATAAATACATAAAAGCCCAACATGGTTTTGTTTCAGCCCAATTTCTTTATTCAATATCTTCACTAAGCCCAATTTCATGCGGTTTGGTATGCACGCGTGCGACACGTGTTGTTTATGGCAACGGTCAGAATTTACAACAAAAAGACTATTTACTTAGTGGGCCGGGCCTCTAAAATCATAAGTAAAAACTTGTTGGGCCGTGATCCAATTACTTAGTGACAAGGAGTGACGCAATGGAATAATCGTAAAAGTAAGCCCATACAATACAAGGAAAGTCGTGTTTCTTTTATATCCTTCTGTTACGTATTAAAACACGCTATCCTTATATTAGTTTGCATGAAGCGTGTATCCATCAAGAATTGTTGTTATCATTATTACACAAACAAGTGCAATTGTAATTATATCGAAAGCAACAGCATATTGAATTCAGACCCTTGCACTAAAAATCAATAGATAAATAACCTATTCCGTAAGGAATTACCTAATGGCGGCGTAGGAATACACTCGGGACCGTAAAGTCATATGTTTAAATCTCCGACGCTTTCAAATTTTGTTTGTCAACATAGTTCGCTTAGTGTGAGCCAGACTTAATTTGCTGGCTATTATATTCGGCTAGAGATTTATCCAATGCGTAATAACAGCTGTGAATTCTCATAACTTGGGGTGAAGGCAATGAATACATACTATTATTTGTAGTAAATAATTTTTGGTAGCAACACTAATCCTTTCTAACCTAAATCAAGATTTGTGGCATAACTTGCAGGACAAATTCAATCAAACCATGCTCTGTTGTTTTTTCCCTTTTCAGGAATTGTTTCATAGTGTGACCATGAAACCAATTGTGTGTAACATCTTCTAAAGAATCTATCTGTTACCAATTTTGATGCTTTTGGGGATATGCTGCTCAGCTCAGCTGTCTTATTTTCCACATGCTGTCATACATATACATATACACATATATATATATATATGTCTTCTTCTCCATGTTAAGACAATGCTAAGCTGCTCTTTGCTAGCATTTTGTTTACTACTGGTGATGGGGAACTGTCTTAAGAACAGCACTGCTTCGAGGAACAAGCCGTTGCCTATCGACACCATTTTCATGCTCCCCTCTCCGTTGCCTGCTTGGCCATCCGGTTTGTACAACTTCATCATATTGTCTATTATCTCATCCCCGACTAAATTATGCTATGTCGAAAATCCAGGTAGTGACTTCGCCAGAGGAGTGGTTGATCTTGGAGGGCTTCAAATTCGAAAGGTAGCATCTTTCCAGAAAATTTGGACAGTTTATGAGGGTGGACCAGACAACCTCGGCGCAACCATCTTTGAACCTGAACCTTCATCCATTCCAGATGGATTCTCCATGCTCGGTAGCTACGCCCAACCCAACAACCGCCCACAATTCGGTTGGGTTTTGGTGGGAAAAACTGATGCCGGCGATCAATCAGGCGACATTCTAAAGCAGCCAATAGATTACACTCTTGTTTGGAACTACAGCAATACTAAATGCCTCAAAACCAATAGCTCCACAGACACCGCCTACTTTTGGCTCCCGACTCCACCCGATGGCTACAAATCCATAGGCTATATCATCACAACATCACCAGACAAGCCATCCCTAGACAAGATTCGATGCATTCGCTCAGACTTTACAGACGAATTAGAAACAGATTCATGGATATGGGCACAAGGCAAGGATCAAGAAAGCGTTGATGGACTGAATATATACAGTTCAAGACCAAAGAATCGAGGGGCCAATGCACTATCTGTTGCTGCAGGCACATTCATCCTCCAAAATGGTAACAACTCTTCCCAATTACCTTTATCCTGCTTACAGAACAAGAACTTAACCTCAACCACCATGCCTAACCTAAGCCAAATCAAAGCACTCTTCCAAACATACTCTCCATACATTTACTTCCACCCTAAAGAGAACTACCTTCCCTCCTCAGTCAATTGGTACTTCAGCAATGGCGCTCTACTGTACAAGAAAGGGGAAGAGTCCAATCCAACTGCTATAGAGCAGGACGGCTCAAACCTCCCACAAGGAGGAGCAAATGATGGTCTCTATTGGCTAGACCTACCAATTGATGAACAAGCAAAGGAAAAAGTAAAGAGAGGAGACCTGAAGAGTGCAGAGGTTTATCTTCACGCCAAATCAATGCTTGGAGGAACCTTCACCGACATCCAGGTGTGGACATTTTACCCATTCAATGGACCTGCAACAGCAAAATTAGGGTTAATCGAGGAAATACCATTGGGGAAAATCGGCGAACACGTGGGGGACTGGGAGCACTTTACCTTGAGAATCAGCAATTTCGACGGCATTCTCGATAGGGTATACTTCGCACAGCACAGCGGAGGCCAGTGGATGGATTCCTGCTCCATCGAATTCCAGAATGGCAACAAATTCGTGATGTATTCATCGTTGAATGGGCACGCGAGCTATCCGAAGGCAGGGGTAGTTCTGCAGGGGACGGGAGCTGTCGGGATAAGGAACGATACGGCCAAAAGTGATATGGTGGTGGATTGTGGGGCGGCGTTTTCGGTAGTAGCGGCGGAGACGGTGGAGGAGCCGCCGTGGTTGAACTATTTCCGGGAATGGGGGCCGGCGAGAAGCTACAAGATTGCGGAAGAAGTAGAAAAAGTGAAGAAACTGTTGCCGGGAAAACTGAAATCTGCCTTTGAGAAATTGGTGAATTCATTGCCCAAAGAGGTGTACGGACAAGTTGGGCCCACTGGGCCCAAACTCAAAGAGAATTGGGCCGGTGACGAAAAATAAGTAAATAAATCATTTAAAGTGTGTAATACGTATCACAAGTAGCAGACAGCTTGTATAAATATAAAAGTTCGAAATATATATATTTATTCCACATTCACAGCGAGAAGAAGATTACAGAGAGCATCAACCGTAACTGCCGATTTGTTAAGCTATCATTTCAGGTGATGGGTTTGAAGGTAATGGCGATAATTTCTGCGTATAATCTACCTTATTTAATCATTCTTCGTCTATGTTCGTAAATCTTACCGAATCTTTTGTAGTTTCGCATGCGATGCGAATGCTTCTTCATGCACAATTTTGATCTGAGTGCATGTATTTGACCATTTGTAATATTACTATTGTTCGTGGGATTTGACATTGTCAGATTGATTTTGTACGGTTTTGGTGGAAAGGATCGATGGAATAGGAAAATTCGAAGTCTATTGTTTGATCTGTTGCTTGTGTAGTTTGATCTGTTGCTTGTGTACATACAGATTCGTCCAATCCGACATTGCTATTTGGTTCTACCCTGATAGATCTGCAATATATACACATACTTGTGTGCGATTGCGTTTCTTCGTATTTCAATACAATAACAATATCTCTTGGCAGGATCATGCTCTTATTCCTTCATTTCCCTTCTATTACTGAATTGATACCATGAATTTTTGCATCGGTGCAGGAGGAATTCGAGGAGTATGCTGCAAAGGCGAAGACCTTGCCTGAAAACACTTCCAATGAAAATATGCTAATTCTGTATGGGCTTTACAAGCAAGCCACTGTTGGAAATGTCACTACTTGTAAGTGCATATATATAATTGTGTATGTTGTATGCATATATGTATTGTATTACAAGCTTTGTGTTGAATTTCAGCTCGTCCGGGAATGCTGAACATGAAAGATAGGGCTAAGTGGGATGCATGGAAGGCCAATGAAGGTTCATACATGATGTTTGATTTCACTAGTTAAACCCAATCTCTACATATGCTAACATTCATGTATTTCCAATTGTTGCAGGGAAATCTTCTGAGGCAGCAATGGCAGACTACATCACAAAGGTAAAGCAGTTGCTTGAAGAAGCTTCGATGAGTTGATTGTCTTGTTCAAATGCTCGTTTCGTTTCAATTGTTTGTGTTTTTCCAATACTCTTGATTGAATTAGTTTAATGTTGGGTAGTAATGCAGTATGAAATCACACTGCAGAAACAATAACAATATGCTTCTAATAAACATCTTGGTGAGCATGAAAAATTCTGTTGATGATCAACATTTGTCCATCTGCTGCTTCTACTAATTATCTTGGATCTGATTGAATCATTCACTGTTTCGTCTAAGAAATGTAGCTAAGATTGAACAAAGGGAAACCTAGACGACACATAATACTGATCCCTTGCACGGGATGCGCCATCTTTGGCCAGACTTCCCTCCAGGTCTCCGATAATTCTCGCCAGCCATATCTCTAAACTTCTCTGGATTTCTTTCAAGTTGTTTCTTGCAGAGTCTAGAAGTCTTTTAGTGCCCGGTTTCGCCTCAGCCTGTAATGCCATCATCTTATCATTAACTTCTGATGCACGCTGCTGCAGCCGGAATGCCTCGAGCAAGAACTCAGTTTGTCGTTGCATTTGAAACTCCGAGCTGACAGTGGCCTCATTCGAATCGCTTACCTTCTGCAGTAAACATGAGGTTAGTATTTGATTATGGAAATGGGGTTTTAAGCTATAAGTTTTCGTTACCATTCGATCGCAGAGGTTGCCTATCTTCCCTGCCAATCCCTGATATCTCTTGGCCTGTTTATGCATTTGCAATTGAACCTCGGATAGCTCCTCCGAATCCCCGAATCTTTCGAGATTCAGCAGCTCTTGCTCCAGCTTTGTTAGTTTAGACAAAACTCCATTAGAGACACCATCATCTTGCCAAGGGGATTCCCTTCTGAAACAACAAAATTATTACAGCCATAGATATAATATAGCATCATAGTTTTCTTGAAATTTCTTACAGTGACAGAGCAGTAGCATTACCTAGATACAAAATGCTTTAAATGTGAAATGGATTCATGGTGTTGTTGAGACGGCAAATCCTGGATGGATAAGAGACAATTGGACATGAAGAAGAAACTGTCGGATAATCAAACTTGACAGGAGACACGATACATCACATGGCCTTAAACAGATTAGTCTTATTCTCAAATTTGAAGGCATTATTTGCTTTGGCTTGTCTTCAGAGGTCAGATCCCATCAAAGAAACCAAACATTCAGGAAGAAGACAAACCAGGATATGTACAGATGATAAGAAAAGTTGAATCAGAATATCGAAAAACAAAAACCCAATCAAGAAAGCAAAACAAGTGCAGCCAAAACATACTTGTTAAGGTGATTGATGGCTGCTGACACCTCTGCATATGTTGCAACTACTCTTATGCTTAAAGATATTGATTTCATGATTTTACACAACATAACTTAACCCATCTACATATATATCTATACAGGAAAAAGAAAAAAAAAAATTATTACATCCTGACACCATCTATCAAAGAATTCCCTCACCACCAAGGAATCCATTCATCCGTTAGACAGTATACCTATATGAACTAATTTAATAATACAAAAAATAGAAGAACTAAATGAACAAAACCCATGATAACAAATGTAAAAGAAAGATGAATTTAAAAATTTTTAGTCCCAAAAGTACCACCTACCTGCCAAGACTGGGCTTTAGCAGACCATAAGTTTGAAGCAGAAGCAGAAGCAGAATTCAAGAAGTCATCAGGATCAAAGACAGTTCCAGAAGCAGAAACATCAGGACCATCTTCAACCCTCAATTCATCCATCATTAATCCTGTATTCCCATAACTCCTCATCCTCAATCCAGCAGTACCATTACCATAGCTGCTCATGAAGTTAATCATTTCATCCCTTTCACTAATCTCCCTCTTCAAATCCGCAACATTGGCCCTCAGCTCACCTTCCAGTCTCTCAAAGTCCTCTACTTTACCCTTCAAATATGATATTTCTTGGGCCCCCTCATCGATCTGCTGCAACAGCCTCTTCTCTTCTTGCTGCCAAGAATGCCTATGGCTTGCAAATATCTCTGCCACTCTCGCATTTGCTTTCGAGTCCTCTTTCCTCCTCCATCGAAGCTGCTGGAGCTGCTCCAATGCTTCGGTCAGCTTAAAGGTCAGAGCTTTGTTCCTGCTTTGCAGAGATGACACTAATGGGATCGCATTTTGGGGGAGAAACCCAAGAAACACTGTGAAACTTAGCCCCAAGTATAACGACAAGACCTCCTCCACATATTGCTCATCATGTTTCTCATTTGGGTTTACCTCTTCTTGCCCTTCTTCTTCCTCTTCTTCTTGATGTCGGGCTGCCATGTCTCTCTCTCTCTCTCTCTCTCTATTATGAACTTGGTGTCTTTTCTCGACCCCTTTTTTTAAACTGTGACTGCCTTTTAGGTTTCTGGGTGGAGACCTGTGAAGTGATCTGTTTTTTGTTGGGAGTAAAAGTGATGGAGGGGTGGGTCAGAATGAAAGTGACGCCAAGTTGAGGGAGTAAAGCAAAAATAAAAAAGGTTCTATTTGCAATGTAATGTAATGAAAATGATCGAAACCTTCCACTTGTTTGGCTCGGTTCCATTAATTACTACTATTACAAACTACACCAGTGCAGGCAGGCTGCAGCAGCCTCCTCGTCAGAGGGGTAGTTCAGCCATTAAATAAAAATGGGGATTCACACAATGCCTCCAGTCCCTCCTTCGCTGCAACGAAAATTGCATAAGACAAACTTTTAGTTGGAGTCTGTCTTCTTCCTCTATTACAAGAAGATGTCTGAATTTGTGCTCCACCATTGCAGCCTTCTATCTTGCTGCCAGACTACACTCACAAATATATATATATTATATAGAGATTTTGTTTTGTATTGTTAGTGTCTGCTCTGAATACAGAAGAGAAGAAGAAGAAGAAACGATGAAGTTCTCCTTTTGATGGTGAATTCAAAGATTCGATCCCAGAAACTCTAAACTGCAAAAACACCCTTTGAGAAGAAAGCTGCAGTGGAAAGATCGACGAGATTTGTGCTATAAAAATACATCCACTTGCCATCTCTGTATTTACTTTAAATTTGATTTTAATTTTATATTTAATTAACAGGGAGTACTATTATATAAGAAAAAATCTATGGAGTATTATTATTTTTTTAAATATAAATTAAAAAAAAAAAAAACAAAAAACAAAAGAAAGGCTTTTGTGAAGTGTACACGACGATGTCGACACTGAGGATACGTGGATGCTTTTATTCACAACCAAATTTTTACCTGTACATGTATATAAATGGAATGGAATGAAAGGATCATTCATGCACAAACACAATACAATTCTCAATTTCTCTGTGCCTCTTCATTCATATTAATACTATCCTACTTAATAATATAATATAATATATAAAGGTACACATTATATATATATACACTCACGCAACACACATATATATATATATTTACTTATATATATTATATACAATATATAAAATAGTGGTCAACAGATAATTAATATTTGTATTGGCTAATCTTATAATAATATTACAACACGTTATATTATATATTTTAATTTCAGTAAGGTAATATTTCATATTTTATCTGTTTATTATGACTAACCTTGCCAAACATGAATTTCTCCCTCTCATTGTTTATGGCCAAAATTATATGGCATGGACTCGCGATGTTAAAATGCATCTGGCATCAATGGACTTGGAAAATACCATTGCCCGGGATAAAAACTCCCTGAGCCAAGATCGTGCAAAGGCTATGATCTTTTTTTGCCATCACATCGATGAGGCACTGAAAATGGAATATGTCACGCTGGAATCCCCACTCGAATTGTGGGAGAGATTGAAAGAAAGATATGATCATTTGAGGCTGATATTATTGCCAAGGGCACGAAGCGAATGGCAAAGCCTACGGCTTCAGGACTTTAAAATAGTCCAAGAATATAATTCTGCTATGTTTAAAATAACATCACAGCTGTGCCACTGTGACGAAAATGTATCTGAATCTGATATGATGGAGAAAATTTTTTCCACTTTTCATGCCTTTAACATGGTTTTGCAGCAGCAGTATCGCGAAAGAGGCTTCCAGATTATGAGCTGATCACCTGGCTTTTGCTGGCCGAACAAAACAATGAATTGCTGTAAAAAAATCACGAATCTCGGCCGACAAGTGCAAATTCATTTCCAGAGGCAAATGCAATACATCCGGCAAATCCGGTGCGTGGTCGTGGGCAAGTCAGAAATCAGCGAATTGATCGCGATCAAAATCAGAATCGCGGACGGGGCCGGGCAAACACATACAGTCATAATAATTATCAAAACAGGCCCCGATATTTGCCAAATCGGCGTTACAATGACAGAAGTCCGTACAGACCTCAACAAAGGATCAACACCGGGAGAAACAGAAATAATGACGAGGAATGCACCCGTTGTGGAATCAAAGGCCATTGGGCCCATGTTTGTCGTACAACCAGTCACTTGGCTGAACTGTATCGGGCCTCAAAAGAAAGACAGAGAAGAATTGCCCCCGAAACAAATCACGCTGCCCACGATGACACATTTGACGATGTGATGAATGAAAATATCACGCACCTGGATGCTGATGATTTGCTTGACATAGCTGATGATGTTAAATGATAAAATGATCTTGTATCTCTTTTGTTATTTTGATGTTTTCTGCCCTTTTTGTATTACCCCCTATAATATAAGTCTATTTTGATTATGTTACTAATACATGTCTTTCATTATTTTTACCTTCTTGCAAAGATATGGATGCCAAATATTTTGGAGCCGATGACAACATCTGCCTTATCGACAGTGCTACGACTCACAGCATTTTGAAAAACAAAAGTTATTTCTCCCATCTTAATATGGGAAAGACCACAATTGTTACTATCAGTGGTGCATCGAAAATGATTGAAGGCTCAGGAAAAGCTATTGTATATCTCCCAAAAGGGACAAAAATGGCAATTGAAAATGTCTTGTTCTCGAGCAAAGCTCGAAGGAATTTACTGAGCTTCAGTGATATTCGAAAAAATGGGTATCACATTGAAACATTGAATGAGGCAGAAAATGAATATCTTCTGATAACTTAGGTTGTGAATGGCAAAAGAATTGTGAAAGAAAAATTGCTATCTTTTTTTTCCGGCTTATATTACTCAAAAATCAGTGTCATTGAAACATATCACCTAGTAGACCAAATGGCTACTAGCGAATTTAAAACTTGGCATGATCGACTTGGGCATCATGACAATGTAATGCTAAGGTGAATTGTTGAAAATTCAAATGGTCACTCATTGAAAAAGAAAAATATTTTGAGTTCGAATGAATTTGCTTGTGATGCCTGTTCCCAAGGGAAGTTAATAATTAGGCCATCTCCAACAAAGGTTGGATTTGAATCCCCAGCTTTTCTGGAAAGAATTCAGGGTGATATTTGTGGACCAATAGATCCACCATGTGGACCTTTCAAGTACTTTATGGTACTAATTGACGCGTCAACGCGATGGTCACACGTATGTCTGTTATCTACTCGCAATCTAGCTTTTGCTAGACTACTTGCACAAATAATAAAATTGCGAGCACAATTTCCAGATCACCCGATAAAGAAAATACGTTTAGATAATGCTGGGGAGTACTCATCACATACATTTGATGATTACTGCATGTCAATTGGGATTACTGTGGAACACCCTATTCCCCATGTACATACGCAAAATGGTCTGGCTGAATCCCTTAATCAAAAGATTGCAATTAATTGCTAGACCATTGTTAATGAGATCTAAACTCCCAGTATCATGTTGGGGACATGCTATATTGCATGCAGCAACCCTCGTGAAAATAAGGCCGACAAGTTATCACTGTTATACCCTACTCAATTGGTTTCTGGAAAAATACCAAATATATCTCACCTGCGAATATTTGAGTGTGCTGTTTATGTGCCAATTGCACCACCTCAACGCACGAAAATGGGACCTCAAAGAAGGTTGGGTATATATGTCGGGTATGAATCACCCTCGATCGCAAAATATCTTGAACCAACAACGGGTGATTTATTTACTGCAAGGTTTGCAGACTGTCATTTTGATGAATCTCATTTCCCGACATTAGGGGGAGACAATAATCAACTGAAAAAAGAAATTTCGTGGAAAACACCACTTGAATTTGATCATCGTATGAAACATAGTGAACTTGAAGTTCAAAGAATTGTGCATTTGCAGAAAATTGCAAATCAATTGCCTGATGCTTTTAATGATGCTGCTAGAGTTACAAAATTATATATTGCAGCAGCAAATGCACCGGTTAAAATAATATCCCAGAAGGGAAAGTGCCGAGTGCTAATGAGCATACTGTCCGCGTAAAACGTGGCAGACCGTTGGGTTCCAAAGACAAGAATCCACGAAAGAAGAAAATTGTAAATACTGGTGAAGAAATCAACAATAATTAGATACCCAAAAAAGTCAGTACAACCCCTGAAGAGGTTGATACTAAAAATTCTGATGAAGTTATTGAAACTTCCGTTAACTATACCACCAGTGGAAAATATTGGAACAGAAAGAAAACAAATATTGATAATGCATTTGCATATTATGTAGCACTCGATATAATGAAAGATGACGAGGATTATGAACCAAAATCAGTTGATAAATGTCGGCAATGAGATGACTGGGCAAAGTGGAAAGACGCAATTAAGTCTGAACTTGACTCATTGAAAAAACGGCAAGTATTCGGCTCTATAGTCCAAACACCGGAAAATGTGAAACCTGTTGGTTACAGATGGGTGTTTGTGAGAAAAAGAAATGAAAATAATGATATCACAAGATATGAAGCAAGGCTTGTAGCCAGGGTTTTTCCCAGAGACCGGGTATTGATTTTGAAGAAACATATTCGCCGGTCATGGATGGGATAACATTCAGGTGTCTGGTGAGCCTAGCAGTACACAGTAATCTTGATATGCGATTAATGGATGTGGTTACTGTCTATCTTTACGGCTCTTTAGACAATGACGTCTATATGAAAATCCCAGAAGGGATCAACATACATGAATCATTTAAATCAAAGCCAAAAGAATCATATTCCATCAAATTGCTAAAATCTTTGTATGGGCTCAAGCAATCAGGCCGAATGTGGTACAATCGTCTCAGCGAAAGCTTAACCAAAAAGGTTATATAAATGACCCTATCTGTCCATGTGTTTTTATAAAGAAAAATGGGTCTGAATTTGTAAGCATCGTTGTATATGTCGATGATCTCAATTTGATTGGAACTCCTGATGAAATTCAGAAAGCTGTTTAATATCTGAGTTTAAGATCAAAGATTTTGGGAAAAACTAAGTTTTGCCTTGGTCTGCAAATTGAGCATTTGGAAAGTGAAATATTTATCCACCAATCAAATTATACCAAAAAGGGTACTAAAACAGTTCATGATGGATAAATGACATCCGCTAAGTACCCCAATGATCGTCAGAGCACTCGATCCAGCAAAGGATCCATTTAGACCAAAAGAGGAAAACGAAGAAACATTTGGCCCAGAAATGCCATATATGAGTGCTATAGGCGCATTGATGTATCTTGCTAACAACATCCGACCTGATATATCATTTGCTGTAAATTTATTGGCAAGATTCAGTTCATCGCCTACTCGACGACATTGGAACAGGATTAAGCACATTTTTCGCTATCTCCAAGGAACAATTGATCTCGGGTTATCTTACTCGAAAGATTCTCGACATGAATTAATTGGATTTGCCGATGCAGGATATTTATCGGATCCTCATAAAGCCAAGTCACAAACTGGCTATATATTTACTTGTGGCGAAACAGTGATCTCTTGGAGATCAATGAAACAAACTTTAACTGCCACATCTTCAAATCATGCTGAAATATTGGCAATACATGAAGCTAGTCGAGAATGTGTTTGGTTGAGGTCAATGACTCAACATATTCCGAAAAATTGCGGGTTAATACCTGACGATAAAATTCCCCCAACTACCTTGTATGAAGATAATACAACTTGTATAGCGCAATTAAAAGGGGTTACATTAAAGGAGATAGAACGAAACATATTTCACCAAAATTCTTTTTTACTCATGATCTACAACAAAATGGTGAAATCAATGTGCAACAAATTCGATCAGATAATAATTTGGCGGATATATTAACCAAGACATTGCCGACGGCAACATTTGAAAAACTAGTGAAGAAGATTGAGATGCGCCGGTTAAGAGATCTCAAATAATGCTCAAATCAGGGGGAGCAAATCGATACAAGAATGTTGTACTCTTTTTCCTTCACTAGGATTTTTTGTCCCACATGGTTTTTTTCTAGTAAGATTTTAACGAGGCACATTCTTCGTACAAAAGCATCCAAGGGGAGTGTTGTGAAGTGTACACGACGATGTCGACACGGAGGATACATGGATGCTTTTATTCACAACCAAACTTTTACATGTACATGTATATAAATGGAATGGAATGAAAGGATCGTTCATGCACAAACACAATACAATTCTCAATCTCTCTCTCTGCCTCTTCATTCATATTAATATTATTCTACTTAATAATATAATATAATATAATATATAAAGGTACACATTATATATATATACACTCACGCAGCACACATATATATATTTTTTCTTATATATATTATATACAATATATAAAATAGTGGTTAGCGATAAAGATAATTAATATTTCTATTAGCTAATCTTATAATAATATTACAACAACTTCAGCTTTTTGAGATTAATTGATTTTTTTTTTTTTTTATATTAACGAAGAATTGTATAAAAAATAGAAAATATATTATTTTAAATTAATTTTTTTTTTAATTTTATAATAAGTATTTGAATGTTATCTTTTTACTTTTTAATTTTTATAAAAAGAATTTATATTGTTTATTATTATTTTTGGAAATTATAATTGAAAATTGTGTTAAAAACATAGTGAATGATTCTCCAAAAATTTTGCATGTGATGAAATGTTGCAATTGAAATTTATACACAATGTGTGGAATTTGACTTTTGATTTTATTATTTTAATTTTTTTTAAATATTAAATTAGATATTTATTATATTAAATTAAAATTAAATTTTACATTTAAAATATTAAGTCAATATATATTTAAATCATATTTAATATTTATTTCAATTCAAAAATTTATTATTCAAAACCAATATCTCACAAATAAAAATATGTAAATCAAATATTTTTATTATATTTTAAGATTTTAAAAGTCTTAGAAAACTTTTATTAATTTTACATTAAAAAAATGTATTAAAATTATACTTTATTGTTGTACTTATTAGTTTATTATTTTTAATTTTTTTCGATCACAAGTTGGCTTCTTTAGGGTTTGTTAGTTTGTAGAATTTTACCAAAATTTTACTATTCATTCAAAATTTTCCCTAAAAAAATATCAAATTATACACCTATTTTTCATTTTTTATATTATACTAAAAATCAATTTTACATTCAAAACATCACATCAACACCTATTTATATCATATCATACAACTATTCAAATTAAAAAATTTTACTATTTAAATCTCAACTCAAAATCCAAACCCCCAAACAAACACACCCTAAATCATTTTTCTGGGGCTATGGATTTTCAAACTTTATAATTGTTGATGGTGTGTGTTTCTAACCAAAAAATTTTACATATTTTTCACAAAATTAAAGAGAATCTCTTCACATCAGCACACTCTAATGTTTTTAATTTTTTTTTTTTAAAATTCATGTTGAATACTTCATAAAATTTTTAAATGTTTTTAAAATCGGAGAATATTCAGTTTAGATTTAAACTTTGTAAAATTTAATGTTACAATAGAAATTTTATATTATATAAATTTAAGTAAAAATAAATATTTATCATTGGAATATTAAGGTACTGCTGTATATATTAGAGGAAAATAGTTAGGATCCTAATTTGAAATTACTGAGCTGTTAATTTTAAGAATTTTCTTTTATTAATAAATCATTTATAATTTTTTTAAAATTTTTTATTATTAATTATAGTCTTACAATTCATATAGAACAAGTAAGTGCAGATCTTGAATTTTAACCGCAATTGCCTCAAACTTGTTCCCCAAGAAATAATTAAAACACATAATACAGCTAATTTAGTACCAATTCGAAATTCCGATACAGCCCTCCTGGTGCGAACATTCAACGAATTTGCAGAGGGTAAAAATGGAAATCCAAACGTTCAAAATGTTCTAGCGTCCCCTGCACTATTGCGCTGCACGCCGCCTTATATTACCGGCAATATTACGTGAATGCCCTTCCCTATAAATAGCTGTTCGTAGTTCGTGGAGAAACATACAGCAGCTACTTGTTTCCAAAGCTTTCTCTCCAAACTTCTGGTAACCGTCAATTTCGTTGGTGGATTTCGATTCCTTTGGTTTAATTTTGATCTTAGGGGGATCGAGATGATGAGCCGGAGCGCGACGAGGCATCTTGCGCGGTCGGTGCTTGCGCATGCGGGGCCGCGTTACTTTTCGACTGCCATAGCACGCGGCGGCGCTGCTGCTGGAACTGATGCAGCAGTGCTTGGGAGCCAAGTGCGCGGTGGCGCTGCAGGAATTTTATTTGGATCGGGAAATGGTGCGGAAAAGGTAACGGCGAAGTGGATGAGGCTCGCGATCCCGAGTTCGCGGAGTGCTAGTACATTAGCTTTGGGAGATAAGAAGGAGGAGGAGGAAAAGAAGGTTCACGGTGGATCTGATGATAACGCCGCCGCTAGTAGCGGTGGAGGAAACAATGGGAAAGCGATTGCGAGTTACTGGGGAATTGAATCTGCGAAGATTGTGAAAGAGGATGGCACGGAATGGAAGTGGAGCTGCTTTAGGGTAAGAGAAGTGTAGTTCATGAAAATTTATATTATTATTAATTTTTCACATAATCTTGGAGAATCTATGTTTATTTTGTTTGTGTTTAAATTAATGGATAAATGAAGCCATGGGAGACGTACAAGGCTGATCTGTCTATAGATCTGAAGAAACATCACGCGCCGGAAACGTTCTTGGACAAGGTGGCCTATTGGACCGTCAAATCTCTCAGGGTTCCGACTGATGTATTCTTTCAGGTACCTTATCACCGTCTTATTCTTATTAAGCAAGAAATTTAAGTAATCCACACTTTTTAGGAAAATGACGACATTAATTGGCCTCCAAAAAGTTATGATGTGTTTCTTTCTCGTTCCTATTTTATTGGAGCTTGCTATGCTAGTGGTTAATTAATTGGACCTGTTGATCCATAGTTACGAAGGTGTGCTGAATTGTGCTTGATCTGAAAATGACATGAATTTTGCTTCAACAGCGACGCTATGGATGCCGAGCGATGATGCTGGAAACTGTGGCGGCCGTACCGGGAATGGTAGGCGGTATGCTGCTTCACTGCAAGTCCCTGCGTCGATTTGAGCACAGCGGAGGCTGGATCAAAGCTCTCCTTGAAGAAGCAGAGAACGAGAGGATGCATCTGATGACCTTCATGGAGGTCTCTCAGCCGAGGTGGTACGAGCGCGCCTTAGTCTTCGCCGTTCAGGGCGTCTTCTTCAACGCCTATTTCCTGACCTATCTCATCTCGCCCAAACTGGCGCACCGTATTGTGGGCTACTTGGAAGAAGAAGCCATCCACTCGTACACTGAGTTTCTGAAAGAGCTTGACAAGGGCACCATTGAAAACGTTCCAGCTCCAGCTATTGCACTTGATTACTGGCGCCTCCCCCCAAATTCGACTCTCCGTGATGTAGTCATGGTAGTCAGGGCAGATGAGGCTCATCACCGTGATGTCAATCACTTCGCATCCGTAAGTGATCCGTGATCTACGCTGCTGCCTTTTTTAATTGTTTTTCAACTGATTAGATTAAAACATACATGTTTTTGTGGTGCAGGATGTTCATTTCCAGGGGCGCCAACTGAACGAAGCTCCAGCCCCAATTGGGTATCACTGAATCAGCAGAGAGGTCTGATCAATATGCACATGCCCACATCTACGATAAATCTACAATATCTTATGTAATTACAGTTTGTAGTTTGAGGGATCGAAAGTATTGTGGTGTTTGTTATCAAATCAACAAATAATCAAGAATTCATTGGCTATTTATGATCTCTGTTGGATCTATATACTAACTTGTGCTTGCAAAAATGGTTTGATTCGCAGGATCAAATCCTGCTATAGTTTGAGGGGAAATTTCTATGCAACCATTATCCATATCTGAAGAAGCTTTCTAGCAGCCTCCAAAAGTGTGTTTACTTGTAAGGAAGCTGCTCTTCATTACTATATAGTAGTCTGTGAATCAGAATTTGCTTGCTAACTTCCCCTTAACCTAGTAATTCTTGATAAAGGATCCATGACTAAAAAATAAAGGGAATATTCCCAGAAGTTTGGATAGTTTTTTAAGTAAATACAAGTGATAGGGTGCTAATGAAGACACTTGAATCATGATGGATTTAAAACGGGGCAAGTTTCCTGTCATCAAGAAAAATCCATCAGGCGTGGCCCAGAATTTTAGCAAACTCAAATACAAGAAAATAAGCATCAACAGAGGGATTACACCAAATCTTTGCTGTAAGACTCTGACAGGATGAGAACTACCTATCCAGTAATGGTATATGCACAATGTTATTGCTATGATTCTGCTACAGTAATCCACCATAACTGCATAGAACTATATGTAGCTAAAGATCTGTGAGATGGCCATCTACGGGAAACAGTGGTAACAGAGGAAGATCATTATAGCCAGCACCAGGGCTCCCGATTGTCGACCCTCTTCAGACATCACCCAATGCAGCAGAAAGAAGCCCAATGCTAACATGCATCCCCATCCAAGCTCTTCCCCATCACATTTCACAGAAGCCAAATATGCACCTGCTAAGTATACCATCAGTATCAGCACGAGGGGGCCGAGAAGCATGGTGGTGACTGTGTACGTGACAAGGATTAAAGCAAGAGGCATCACGATAGCATGGCTTGTGGAATACACTGCCAACAGCACCAGAACCGGTATGAACACAAGGCACGTGAAGACTGCGTTCTCTCCCTCCGAGATTAGGGGAAGATTCAGAGTCGTTAGTGAGGCGGCGCTCCCGCGAAGGAGGAGGCCTAATCCCACCACTAGAAGAAGTGGGATGATCGGAGATGGAGATGTCGATGATGATGATGATGATGACATATCAGAAGAATATTGCTTATAGCTCCGATCTGCAGTGCTCATGATGAACTTTTCAAGTTTTCTAGATTGTTTTGTGCAGACTAGATTCAAGAAATGCACGTATAAATAGGGGAAGAAGCATATATGTGACTGCAGAAAGAACCAAGTTTTGTGTTTTGAGTTTTGACCCTTAATTCCGCTAATTGTTTTGTATTTCAGGGTTTAAAGAAAGAGGCCAATTTGAAGCATTAGACGCCAAGATTCCTTCGTATATATCTGTCAAGAATCCAACTGGGATGCTTCATTTTGCTTCTTTGTAAGCAATTTCAGTTCAAGTTCGAGGCTCTTGTGTCAACATTAATGCTTGTCACACTCAAATCTATTTGTTTAACCAAATCCCTACCTTACTTTGATTCAAATTGTTGGAAGATATCAATAGCCCTTCATTTCTAAATAAGTTTTTTAATGTGGGATGAATTTCCTCTTCTTTGTTTTGTTTGTCTTCATTATTCTTCCCCTGAAATTTGGTCAATATTCAGTAACTCAGCATCTATTGATGAAAAGTGTCTGACCGACCTTCGAAATCCCACCTCCCTCCCAGAAAGAATATCCGTTTCCGGACGCCGCCGTCATGGGCTGTTCCACCTGCAACTCCTCCTCCTCCTACCTTCGTCAGCCTTCTCTACCTGTCTGCCGGGGAATATCCTCCGCCCGCTCCGTCACTCTCTTCTTCACCGGCCATTCCTTTCACCGCTGCAAACGGCTGAGTCTTCACGCTCAAGCACATAAACCCGATCTCTTCTTCCACTCCACGCCGCCCTTCCACAACAACCACGGCGGTGGCGACCGAGGTATTGGCGGCGGCGGAGGAGGCGGCGGTGGGGATGATGGTAGCAGTAATTTCTTCAATTTCAATTACAACCAAATCTTCTTTCTGCCCTATCAGTTGGAGTTCACCAAAGGAAGAGAGTCGTATGTTTTCGCCCTACCCAAACAACTCTACCCATTATTCGTTTCTGTCTCCGCTTCCTTAGGTTACCTCCTCCTTTCCTCCGCCGAGGCGCGAGCTAGAACTGATGATTTTTCGAGGAACAAGGAGGAAGTCGTCTTCGAAATTAGGGGAGGAAGAAGAGTTGAGTTGGTTCCGGATTACTCCAAGGATGAATTTATCGTTCCTGAAAGCATGTGGTCGTGGCTGTCCAAAGGTGGAAAATCCAAATCCATGTTGAATTTGGGGGACATTTGGATGAAATGCAGGGAGTTGGCGACTGGTTTGCTTCTTCCAGAGGGGTTTCCCGATTCAGTTACAAGTGACTATTTGGAATACTCTATTTGGAGAGGGGTTCAGGGTGTTGCAGCACAGATTAGTGGCGTGCTTGCAACTCAGGTACTGTAAATTTTTTATATGTTTTGTGCATTCATAGGAACTTCATTAAGAAATCTCTTTCATGCTAGTGTAATTTGCGCACTCTCTGATGTACAAAGCCCAAGAATCATATTGTCTCGTATCTTGAGGAGATATGGGGAGTTTTTGATAGTCTCTTAGCTGATGGTGTAGGTGAATATAATGTTACTGATCTCCAATGTGTAGGCTTTGCTTTATGCTGTTGGATTGGGGAAGGGGGCGATCCCAACAGCTGCAGCTGTGAATTGGGTCCTGAAGGATGGGATTGGGTATCTCAGCAAGATAATGCTATCCAAGTATGGCAGACATTTTGACGTGAATCCAAAGGGTTGGAGGCTATTCGCTGATTTTCTGGAAAATGCTGCCTTTGGATTGGAAATCTTAACCCCTGCATTTCCACATCTTTTTGTTCAGATCGGTGCCGTTGCTGGTGCTGGAAGATCTGCTGCTGCATTAATTCAGGTAAACTTAGAAAACTGGACCTGAATGCACTTTGTTATCAGTAAGCTTTCTACCATTGTTGTATGCTTGTGCAATGGATAAAGTTCTGTTTACACATCTTCTTGTTTGACAGGCAGCTACGAGGAGTTGTTTCTATGCTGGGTTTGCTGCTCAGAGGAACTTTGCTGAGGTAATATCTCTTTAGCCACTTCTGGAATCAGAGTTGAAAACTTGTGTTTTGTTTTTCATCTCGTTGGATTCGTCTGTTGCAGGTGATTGCTAAGGGTGAAGCTCAAGGAATGGTGAGCAAATCCATTGGAATTGTGCTCGGCATAGCAATAGCTAACTGCGTGCAATCTTCTACGCCTCTTGCCCTTGCTTCTTTTGGATTCATAACTTGGATTCACATGTTCTGCAATCTGAAATCATACCAATCAATTCAGATCAGGACTTTGAATCCATACCGTGCAAGTATTTCCTTCTCTGCTTTCATACTTCCATTATGTTAATGCATTGCAGCACCTTTCTCTGCATTAAAACTATCAACATTCTTTTCCAATAAGGAGATTGTACTTTTTTTTTGTGTGAATGCATTCTCTGTTGCCACTCTAGAAGCTACTCTTCTTTAAATTTCTGGAATATTCAACAGGCTTGGTCTTCAGTCAGTATCTGCTCAGCGGCCTTATCCCTTCCATTAAAGAGGTCAATGATGCGGAGCCACTATTTCCAGCATTTCCACATCTGACTGTGAAGCCAACATTAGAAGTAGGCCATTTTGAATCCAGCATATACTTATTACTGCTAATATAGTTTTTTATCATTAGGTCCATAACAGTTTTGTTTGTGGCATTTTTCCATATCCAGGAGCAGGTTGATGTACTATCAACTGATGCGAAAGATGCCGCTTCTGATATTGATCGTCGCTTAGAGATGGGTTCCAAACTTTCTCAAATTGCAAACAGGAGAGATGATGCTGTTTCCCTATTTGATTTATACCGGGGTGAAGGCTACATATTGACAGAGCTTGATGGAAAATATTGTGTCAGTGTTCATCTTCCATTTAACAACTATTTGTTTAGGATAGAAAAATCATAAGTACTAAACACGAAACCAACATTCTTGATGTTAGCAGGTTGTCCTGAAAGAAAACTCATCTCCACAAGACATGCTGAAGTCAGTATTCCAGGTCTGTTATTTGTATTGGTTGGAGAAAAATGCCGGAATCAAAGCCAGCTCCACATGTGAAGACTGCAAGCCTGGTGGAAAGCTTCAAATCTCCTTGGAGTACGCACACATGGAATTCAACCATGCCAAGAGTGATGGTGAGGCTGCAGGCTGGGTCGTTGATGGTCTCATTGCAAGACCTTTACCCAATCGAATTCGTATAGGAGACGAAACTACATCCTCTGCTACTACAAGCTGACTTCCAAACACCTGTGTTCCATGCAAATATATTCCTCCTCGGATTCTTCTTTACATAAGAATGACTAACTGTTGCAGTGCACAGGAAAGAGTTCATTGAAAGTTGGAACTGCTTGAATGCTCAAGTTTGGCATTGTTAGGCATGAGACTTTGACAGGTATCTTTATATAACTATATGTACATTATATGTGTGATATATTTGAAACGAGGAATGGGCACTTGACATGTGTTTATTACTTTATTAGGACAGAGATCCTAATTTAAAAGGATCTGAATTTCAAGCATAGCAATGATAAGGATGGTTTACGTCTAGTCCTTAATGAACCTGATCCGGATCCCACCACTTTGTGAACATATTTTCTCATGCCGCAACTCACAGGCACACTACAACTCTGGAAAAGTTTTGCTCTTTCATATATCTTTGAATATCAGTGTTAATATCTAATCCAGGACTCCTTCGATTAGATTAGGTGAAGATAGTACGCGGCAACTCTAGATGGTGACTGATAATTCAAGACAACTATCACTACTCCGACATTTATTAGCACCCCCACACGCATGAAAACTTCTAGGTTTTAGGCATTTGCCTTTATCAAGGAATGGATAGGTCTTCTTGCATGAGTATCATGAGGGTTCTAGTTCTTTCTTTATGTAGCATACCGTAACATTGTTGCCTCTCGGATTGAAAGACAGTCTTTTAACTTGCCAAACCTTGCCTAACTTCTTTACAGGGCAACACACTGGAGTGGTTCGGATATCCTCCTTCCTAAGTTTGGGGAACATGGATGGACATACATAGGGACCCCAGCAGAGTTAGGAGGTATCCCTTGAAGACAAGATGGTATGATTTTTTTTTTTCAACCATGTGGCTATAATCTGTAGAAACACAGATGGACAGAGAGAGATATTACTACAATTTCTTTCTGGAATAATGTTAGTTGTTATAGCAAATAGTTGGAAGATATTCCTCTCTGGGCGTTCCTGTCAAAATTTATGGCGCCCTTATCCCTTATCCCCTTTCCAAAATGGTTCTTGTTTTGTGGGGCATTTTTTTTGTCCATATGGCTGAGTCATGAGTAAGAAGAGGACCACAACCCCAAGGAAAAAGAAGTTGGTGATAGTTTTTTGTGAGATTTTCAGTCCAGGGTAGTTATTATTAGCATCTGTGTATTGAGAACCACTAGGTAATTTCAGGAAATTTAATTTGTGTGCATTATTGGTGAGTGAGTGAGAGTGATTGATCATCACATTCGTGCCTGCCTGCATTCACTAATCATCTCTTTCATCTTTCCAAAATTCGGGGCCAACTTGTGGTTTGCACACAACCCTCCCGCCCATCCAAACAGGATTATAGCTACGATTTGGCGAGGCAGTCCGAGGTATGTCAAATGGGGTGGGTTAGCCCCAGATCCGTTCTTAATGGTGCGGGTTCGAATTTAAAAATATGTTTTGGAACGGGTTGTGAATTTTAAGTTTTAAATTCGGCCGGATTCGAAATAGGAACATAATATTTTAATAATTATTAGAATTAATATATATATATATATTTATATAAAAAAATTTAAATATAATATGGAACTCTAATTTCTAAATTTAAATTTGTCTTTTTCCTTGGTTAATATTTTTTACAATTGGGATTACTATTTTCGCTGCCACCGATCGCTATCGGTTTTTTTTTTAAAAAAAAAAATTGGGATTGCCTAATTGGCACAGAAGCCGAAGGGTTTGGGACGGAGCGGATCCTGAGGCTGAGCTGAGGCCTAATATTTATAGCGGGCGGGTCTCGAGCCTGCCGAACCCATTCCGAACCTACTTGTTGACAACCCTAGTAGTCCATAACTATATAAAATAAATAGTGAATGTGATTTATTAATGTCATTTTCTTAACGGTTAGATCTCAAAACCTACTAATTACCTCCAACTCTTCTCTCACAATATAAATGGTGGAATTGTTTTGTGAATCAAGCATTGGACTTGAATACCAATAGAGTGATCTAATCCGTCAGTAATGGAATCTTCTTCCTGTTCCCTGTCATCCTCTTTCATTCCCAAATTCTCAGTAATCACCACAAAAACCCCATTATTACTTCCCCCTTTCTTCACCATTTCTTCTGTCAAAACTGACGACCGCCCGGAGCTCGCTGCAAGAACTCAATCTCAGCCCTTGATCAAGAGATCCGCCACCGTCCCCGCCGCCGCCGCCGCCCCGCCTTCATCGACCATCCCGCCGCCGCTGCCGGCCACCATTTTAAACGCATTCGACAGCTTTATCAACTGCTTCATCGACCCTCCCCGGAAGTCCTCCGTCGACCCGAGGTATGTCCTGTCCGACAACTGGGCTCCGGTGGACGAGCTGCCTCCCACCGAATGCCAAGTCCTGGAAGGCTCTCTGCCGCCGTGCCTCGACGGCGCGTACATCCGCAACGGCCCTAACCCTCAGTTCCTCCCCCGAGGTCCGTACCATCTCTTCGACGGCGACGGCATGGTCCACGCGATTAGGATTTCCAGAGGGAAGGCTACGCTCTGCAGCCGCTACGTGAAGACGTATAAATACAAAATCGAGCGGGAAAGAGGCTTCCCCGTCGTCCCCAACGTCTTCTCCGGCTTTAATGGCATCTCCGCCATGGTGGCGCGCGGCGCCGTCGCCGCCGCCCGAATTATCGCCGGCCAATTCAATCCGACCAATGGCTTTGGCTTGGCGAACACTAGTCTGGCTCTGATTGGCGGACGCCTCTACGCTTTAGGCGAATCCGATCTTCCTTACGCCATTAAAGTAGATCGAAACGGCGACGTTCAGACCCTCGGCCGCCATGATTTCAACGGAAAGCTCGCGATCAGCATGACGGCGCACCCTAAACTCGACCCCGAAACCGGCGAAACCTTCGCCTTCCGGTACGGTCCGGTGCCTCCGTTCCTCAATTTTTTCAGAGTGAACGCCGACGGAGAGAAACTGCCTGATGTTCCGGTTTTCTCCATGACGAGCCCTAGTTTTCTCCACGATTTCGCCATTACCAAAAAATACGCAATTTTCAACGAAATTCAGATCGGCATGAATCCGATCCAGATGGTGTCCGGCGGATCTCCGGTGGCGGCGAACCCTGGGAAAGTTCCCAGGATCGGAATTCTACCTCGGTACGCTAAGGACGAGTCCGAAATGCGGTGGTTTGAGGTGCCGGGGTTCAACATGATCCACGCAATCAACGCCTGGGATGAAGACGACGGAGACACGGTGGTGCTGGTGGCGCCGAACATCCTGTCGGTGGAGCACACTCTGGAGAGGATGGATCTGATTCACGCGTCTGTTGAGAAAGTGAAAATCGACGTGAAGTCCGGCACGGTTTCCCGGCAGCCGATCTCCGCCATGAATTTGGACTTCGGAGTTATGAATCCTCAGTTCGTCGGGAGGAAGAACAAGTGCGTATTGCATCGATTTAATTTTAATTTTAATTTTCTTTTTATTATTATTATAATTTAATAATTTACTTATTTTAGGTTTAACGTTAAAGAGCTAAAGAATATCAAGATTTTTAGTCCTTTGTGTGGTTCACACAATACGAATCCACATTAGCTAAATTATTAAATTTGATGAAAACAAATATATCACTATTTGTTTACAAACCTTTTGTTATTATTGATTTCAAATCTCAACCCCTTTTACTTAAAATTATAATTAATATCCTTGGAGGAAATGTTAAATCTATAATATTTTTGCATATTAATTATATATATATTTTAAAATAACATTATTTCCAATCAAACTATATATAAGGTGTCAAACCCCTTTTATATTGAAAATTAATATTAATACTTAATTCTTTTTTATTAAAACAACAAAAATAGTATTGCCACATAAGAAAGTTGTGGTCCTGGATTATTTTAGCAACCTTTTATCTTAAATTAAAATCCCTTTCAAGAAAAAAAAAAAAAGGGGTGTTGGGGCAGTTTGATTAATTATATTTAAAAAAAGTAAATATAATAAATGTATAAATCAATAATTTTTTTTGTAATTTTTAAAAGTAAATCCAAGTGCTATTAAATAACATAAGATGAACGATTTTCATTTTTAATTAATTAAATTTGCAGGTATATATATGCCGGAGTTGGCGATCCATGGCCAAACGTTTCAGGCGTGGTCAAGCTGGACATCTCCGTATCTGGCCGCGACTGTATATCGGCGACTAGAATGTTCGGCTCCGGTTGCTTTTCCGGCGAGCCATTTTTCGTGCCGAGCAACAACGCCTGCGACGAGGACGATGGATATATTGTTACGTACGTGCACAACGAGAATACAGGGGAGTCGAAATTCCTAGTGATGGATGCTAAGTCCCCGAATCTCGAGACGGTGGCTGCTGTCCGGCTGCCCCGCCGCGTCCCCTACGGCTTCCACGGCCTCTTCGTCGGAGAAGCCGACCTCGACAAATTCTAATTACCGGTACATATATATGTATACTCGTAATAAAACTATTGTATATAATACAGTTATTTGATCCAATTAGCATATATATATATTACATATTTCTACGTAATAAAATATATATTGTATTATAAATATATATATATATATATATTAATTGGGTCAAATAAAATAGACTTATTTTTCAATGGGCATTGTAATTAATTTAATTTCAAACGATTTTTGTGCTCATTCAATAGTTATGTGTGTACTTATTGCAACATAAGTGATGACATGAAATAGCGATATGCAATGCGATGGTGGGATTTTAGGTACTTTTGTTATTTGTTTGGTAGGCCTAAAATTAATTAATTAAATTAAATTAAATTGAATTAGATATTGAGCTCTATGCCAACAAAACTTTATTAAAAAAATAAAAATAAAACTATCTGGAATCTATAAATTAAATATGATGCTTTTAGGTGGATACTAAATTATATTACAAGCATATCTTATTCCTCCATTTAAAATTTAGTCAAATTAGTGACTCGTTTAATAGCATAAACATCATCAAACCACATACTTCCTCTTACACTAAAATAAACACATATATAATTTCATCATTAACAAATGTTTGTGGGCTTTATTGAACAAATTCTGATTGTTCTTTTAGAAATAAATAAATTGATTGTCTCTATCCAACACAAGCATCATATGAATTAATACATTGCAAGTGATAGGGCATGTTTATCATGAACATAGTAACATTTTCTAACATCAAATTGACATTGGTATTGATGTTGAATTCTTTGTCTGCTTCATATTTAACTCTTATTCCATGACAAAATGTCAATTGTTTGTGTCGAATAATAGTATTATTATTTATAATAATAGAAGATAAGTTGAAAACATTTTCTTGAAATGAATTCGGATAAAGATAATAATAATAAAAAAAAAAGGTTTATTGCGGATGCCTTGCTTCTATCCAATATTCATCAACCTTTTCAACTTTTCTTTAGGGTGTGTTTGGTCGAATTTGGGATTTTGGATTGATATTTGAATAGTAAGATATTTGAATTTGAATACTTGTATAATATAATATAAATAAGTATTGACACAGTATTTTGAGTGTAAAATTAATTTTAAATATACTATAAAAAAATAAAAAATAGGCGTTTTGATTTTATATTTTTTTTGAGAAAAATTTTATGTCAACAGTACAAATCTCCACAAATCCTTCGAACAAATTCACCCTGAATTTAAGAGTGTGTTTATTTAGAGGCTTGGACTTTGAGTTAAAATTTTAATAATTAGGATTAATGTTATATTTTGAATATAAATTAATTTTTAGTGTAATATAAAAAAATATATATAAAACATGTATTTAATTTAGTATTTTTGAGGAAAAAAATAAATTAATAGATACTAAAATTTTGGAAAAATCCCCAAACAAACACCCTTAATTTAATAAATCTTTACAATGTAACCTCACACATTTAAAAAAATACTAAAAATTAAAATTAAACCTAAAAGATAAATTGTGAGTACAGCCTTGAATAAGAATGTTTAATTATTTAGGCGACGGCGGCGCCGCCGCAGGGACGAAGATTCCATGGAATCCGTAAGGAACTCTGCGGGGAAGCTTGACTGCTGCAACGATTTCCAGATTCGGAGATTTCGCATCCATTACTATAAATTTTGATTCTCCGCTGTTCTCGTCATGTACGTACGTAACTAAATAACCGTCATCCTCAGCCGCCGCCGGATTCTCAGCGTCCTTCGCCACGAAAAACGGCTCGCCGCCGTAACAGCCGGGGCCGAACAGGCGCTTCGCCGCCGTGCAGTCGCCGCCGGCGGAATCGTCCTGCCGTGATAGGTCCAACTTAACGATGCCGGCGATCTTCGGCATCGGATCGCCGATTCCTCCGTATACGTACCTGTTCTTTTTCGCGACGTACGCCGGATTTATAACGCCGAAGTCGATATTCGCGGCGGAGATCGGCCGCCGGAAAATGATCTTCTTCTTCTTCAGATCGATTTTGATCATTTCCATGGATGAATGCACCAAATCCAGGCGTTCCAGGACGTTCTCCACCTGCAGTACGTTCGTCGCCACCAGCACGACGGCGTCGCCGCCGTCTTCCTCCCACGCATTCACGGCGTGCATCATGTTGAACTCCGGCACGTCGACCCACCACATCTCGCCGTCGTCCTCAGCTCTCCGATGAATTATCCCTAATTTCGTAACTTTCGCCCTATCAATCACCACCGGCGGCCGCCCCCGGAGAACCTCCGTCGGTTTAATCACAATCTGCGTGTCGGGAAAAATAGCGAAGTTTTTCGAAACGGCGAAGTCGTGAACCAGCGCCGCCTGGTTCAGCGACGTAATCGGAACTTCCGGCGACTTCACCCCGTCGGCGCTGATCCTAAAATACGCCAAGAACGGCGCCCTGATGCTATGCCGGAAAGCAAAAGCCTCGCCGGAGTCGCCGTCGACCTTCGGATGCGCCGTCATGCTCATAAACTCCTCGCCGAACGTCTCCTCCCGTCCGAGGGTAACCAAATCTCCGGCGGGAGTCAATTTCACGGCGTAAGGAAGATCAGACTCGCCGAGAGCATAAAGTTTCCGGCCAATCAGAGCCAAGCTGGTGTTAGCCACGCCGACGCCGCGGCGGGGGTCGTACTGTCTGGTGACGACGCGCGCAAACGTGATTGCGCAACGCGCCAGCGACGGCAGCAGGCCGCTGAAAGCGGAGAAGACGTTGAGAATCACCGGCGATCCATTCTCCCTTTCCAAATCAAATTTATACGTCTTCACGAACCTGCTGCATAATGTGGCTTCGCCGCCGGCGACGGTGATTGCGTGCAGCATCCCGTCGCCGTCGAAGAGGTGGTACGGCCCGCGCTGAATGAACTGCGGATTCGGTCCGTTACGGATGTAAGAGCCGTTAAGCGCCGCCGGAAGGGAGCCTTCAATTTCCGGGCACGGAGTCGGCGGAAGCTCGCCCACCGGAGCAAAGTTTCCGGCAAGGACGTGTTTGGGATCGAAAGAAATCCGGAGAGGAGGATCAACAAAATTGCAGACAAGTTCGTCCAATAATTTAAAAACAGTAGGCAGAAAAGGCCTCCTTTTTTCCCCCAAATCAAAATCTTGAACTGAATTCTTCTCTTTGTGTGGAATTCTTCTCCGTTGGAGAAATGGCGGAATCGAAACCCCTTTGGATGTCCTAACAGTGGGGACGATGACAAGTGATGATTGATGAGTTTCTTCATCCTCAGTGGTGGTGACAGATGAAGCTTTGAACTGAGGAATTATTGGCAATGGCGAAGAAGACGATGAGGAAGAAGAAGAAGAAGAAGAAGTGAAGACTACTGATTGGTTCTTCAAACAGTATTTTGGAAGGAAAGCAGAAGTTAAGACACTACTCATTGTCACTCACAGCTGCTGAAACTTAATCAAATTTGTTGGAGATAATACATATATATATATATATAAGTGTACGGAAGTTTTAGAGCAAGGATGTGAATTAAAATATTAATTTAATAATTAATTAATAGACAGAAGATATTTTAAGAACGAACACCCAAAGCAAACCCAATTAAATATACCTTCTAAGCCACTCAATTTGTGATTTATATATATTTGTTTTAAGTGTGATTTTGGTCTATCTAATTAATTAATTAATTTTTTTTTAAAAAATATTAAATTAAATTATATATTTTAATTTTAACTATTATTTAATTTAATTTTTTACTGTTATTCACAAACTCCAAATATAAATACAAACTTTAATAGACCCTTATGATCACTTTCAGGAAAAAATAAAAATAAACACAAAATGTTCTTTTATTTTTACAAAATATTATATTTTTAATAAAAATATATTATTTTATTATATAAATTATTTAAAAAAATAAAATAAATATTTTAATAGCATTCCCCCCCCCCCCCCCCCCCCCCCCAATAATCTAGAACAAAAATCCCAAAATTTCTGAACACTCAAACCAACCAAATATCCTACCTTTCACTCCATAATTGTGGGGTTTTGATTTTTAGTTTTAAATAATCTAAATATATTTATTGATATGATATTTTAAAAATAAAATTAATTTTTAATATATTATAATAAATATATAATTTAATAGTTTTAAGAAGAAAAGACTTTGGTTTACGTTTCAACAATATAAGTATTACTTGGGAAAAAAAAAAAAAAAGATATTTTTTTTTATAAGAATTTCTAAAAATAGAGAGAAACCTGAAGAAAACTATAGTAAAGTGAGTCATTTTCGTGAAACTAATTCTTAGGATAATTCGGTATTCCTCCTGATTAATCACAGAATTAATATCCACTAAAAAATAAATAAATAAATTATAATACGCTGAATTGTAAGTGACACGATTTATAGTGACAGCGAAAAAAGAGATGACAGCATATAGGCCCCCAAGACAAACTCCTATTTCAAACGTGCAAGAAAGTGTTGCCCAATACCATTACTCACCAACAAAATATATAATACTATTTCTATTAATTTTAAATATTTCAAAAAAGGAAAAATAATAATAATAACTTGTTTATATTTGTATTTTTATACTCCATAATTTATTACATTATTTTATAAGAAAATTATTAATTTTGGACTATTGTAGAATGAGTACGTACGGTACTACAACCTCACATTTCATTACACTTGGAAATAATTCATTAATAGTAAAATTCACATGCTCATACTGTTACAATTATTTCTCAATTTGATTTTGATTTTGATTTTTTTAAATATACAAATTTATAATTTATTATAAATATCTATATATAATTAATTAATCAAAACCGGTTTTGAACCTGATCCCAGTGGTTCGTTAGTGATCTCATTAAATATATATATATATATATATATAATTTAATTTTATTATCATGTTAGGAATTAGGACCGACAATCTTTTTTCCTTTTTTGGGGAAGACATTTTAGTGGCTATTATTGAATGAGCAGACACAAATATCATCACCTAAAACTGTTACAATGCAAAAATAAAAGAATAAATAAATAAATAAATTAAAAACTGTTACAATACATGCATGCATGCATGCTTAATTGGAATTTTATTTTATTTTATTTTCATAAAATACTCAAAATTAATTATAATGGTCTAAATCTCGAAATATTTTTTGACTTCTTTTTTAACTTTTTTAAAATTACATCTTCCAACAATTTAGATTCTAAGTGTTTGAATATATATGCTAACACTAAGAAAGTTTAATTTATTTGAAATATATCCATCGCATTAATCCCAAACATGAGCCTATTATTGTTATCAAATAAATAAACTAAAAGAAGCTGATAAAGAAGAATTCAATTAGCTGTTTGTATTCAAGGTAAAACTGACATTAGTTGTTTATACATAAAATGATTATTAAGGATATTGATATGTTATTTTTTTAAAATATTTAATTTTGTTCATTTTGATTTAAAATTTATGAAAATATTTGTTATTAATTATTGAAAATTATAAAAACATTTATTTTTAATTTTTATTTTTATTATTTAGATTTGAGAAAATTATTTTTATTAGAAAATAATAATAATTTGTTATTGAAATTATGTAAAATATAAATCTTTTGTATATATTTTTTTATTATGTTAATTATTGTTTTAATATATAAAAATAAATTAATAATCATTGTTTTTTTTATTTAGTTTTAAAAATTTATATATTTTACAAATAAAATAATTTATATGTAATAATTAATAATAGTAATTATTTTAAATTTTAAAAATAAAAATATAATTTAATAAATTAAATATATTAAAAATAATTAATAAATACTGCTATAAAAATATATTTATATGTATAAAATAAATAATTAAATTTTAAGGGTAAATAAAGAATAATTAAAATTAAAATGAAAAAGTTCTTCCGAAATGCAAGGTAGATCGGCTTTTCAGAAATTAGTTTTTCTGTCCAAAAAGCTCTTTGAAAAAACTAATTTACCAAATATGTAAATTAATTTTTTGATTGATTAAACAGCTAAAAGCTAAAAAGTGTTCAATAAACTAAAAGATGTTCAAAAAGTTAGTTACAATTGTATATCTCTATCTCTCTCATAATTAAGTAATTAAATATATGAAATTTTATTATTTATGAATTATGTATATTGAAATATATTTTATTATTTTTTAATCAAATATTACATCATATTCTCAAACAATTCTCATTCCAAATCAATTCAAATAATAATAAAAATAAAAAATAAAAAATCTAAACTTCAAAATAAATTGAAATTCCATCCAAACACTCAACGATTTTTAAATAATAATAAAAAAGTGATAAATTTCATATGAATAGTTAAAAACAAACCTTTTTGAGTTCTTAGACAATTACAAATTTGTTTTTTTCTGTTTTTGTTTTTCACTAATGATGCAACTTCACATTTTTCTTAAAAAATATACCAATGTTGCATATAAAACATATTATATCAAAAATATTTCAAAATAAAAAAATCACAAAGTGAACAAAAATATATATATATATATATTATATCATATTGATTTTCTGTACAATTAAATATTATATCCAATAATTTCTTTTTATAAAGAATATCAAAATTAAACTTAAAAAAATGTACAAAATGTTCTCATTAATTAATTGTTGTTGATATTTTCTATTTAATTTTTTTTTAAAAAATTATTATTTTCGTCAGTTATAAGGTAATCATTTATTTATTTTGGTGTGGAGTTGTGTTTTATTTTTTTCATTAAAACAAAATTTTAAGTCTTGCCAGTAACCAAACACGACGTAAGCTTTTGAATAGCATAGGAATCATTTTGCATAAAGAGAAAAAAGTGTTTTTATATTTTGATATTATTTCATTTGATAATGACTTTGCTCCATGGCTTTTCACACAAATATCTTTGCAACATATTTTCTGTTATTTAGTTATTTGTTAATTTGTTTGTTCATTGGATCAATAATTTAATACTCCTAAAAAATTTGTGGTTGAGCTTATACATATCAATCTATTATTATTTTACTTTACCTAATAATTTGTTCCATATCGTCGCTTTAAGTTGTCTAATAATATGTAAAAATAAATTAATATAAATATGTACAATAATTTGAATATATGTACTTTTTTTTTTTTGTAATACATATATATAAATTAATAGTACATATAATATTATATTTATAACTTATATAAAAATAAAAAATATTTTAATATTAGTATAATATTTCCACTACTATAATATAAAAGAATAATTTGAATGAAACTTGAAATTTCTTGGAACAACAGTCTACGCCTCAAGTAACCTCCCACACGTGGTTTTCCTAATGTGCACTTCCTTAGAAATTTCTTAGGTTCGGCTGGAGGTTTACCCAGTGTTCACTTTGGATAGCGGCTACAATTCCCACGTCATAAAAAAACATATATATATATATATATATATATATCAAGACAGCAGAATGTATTCCCTCCTCTCAAACTCCCACGTAATAACAACTCAAAAAAGAATGTTAGATATGTAACTAATTACACCACCTCTTCTTCTTCTTCCATGTGTATCCATTCCGTCGATGTCGATGTCGCCGTCGACCTGTCAAATGTTTAAGCTAATCGATATCCTTTCGAGCAGAGGTGGATGATCCCGCAAAAATATTTCCGATCTGGTAAGAAATCTTGTTGAAAGGCAAATCCCGGGGTGATTCCGACAGTGGCGAGCTTCCCAGGCTCACCTGGTTCTCTCTATGGGATGCCCATGTCACCATATATAGCCCACCTATAATTAGACACCCTCCCAGAATACTGCCACAATGCAGTTAGTTTATCAATATATGAGGTTTATAATAAGTAGTCGATGATGCCATGTCAGAAAAAAAAAAAAAAAAAAAAAAAAAAAAAAAAATAAAGACTACCGGCATTGCATAGGTAGAAATACAACCTTCCCAAATAAACCGGGCTTCCGAGGAAAATTCTTGAGAGGAGTGCCGATGCAGCAGGTTGGAGTGGATTATAAAGTGCAACTAGTGAGGGGCCGAGGATCTTGTTCGACCATGTCAAAAGTCCATAGTTGAGGGCTGATGCTATGACTCCCTATAAAAGAGTCGAGACATATGTAATTAGACAAAGGATGTTACGATGTAAATTGTCTGTCACAAGGATGTAAGGGTGAAGAGACTTACAGCATAGCATACGGCAAACACCTCCGATTTTGTCAGATTCCAGTCCATGGGATCGCTCGTCATAAAGAATGATGTCAGTACCATGAACAGGGCGCCGAAGGAGTATGAAAAGGCGGTCACGGATATACTCGCCGGATATTTAGCTAAAACGGGAGCCTGAAACATCAAGAAGTGAACAATTTGAGAACAAACAAAAAGTGGAAAAATCACAATAAATCAAGGATTATCACACACATAATTAAATGTGACCGAATAAACAAAGTTTCGTAAGTCGAAATAAAAATCAAGAGGTGCTGTCCTGCATCATCTTAGAGTGTAATATATTGCAAGTTAAAATTAGATTCACATAAAATAAGATGGCGTAAAGAATGATATCGGGCACCTGAATGGCCAGGTAAGTTGCCATGCACATGCAGTTCCCAATCAAGCATAAAACCCCGAGGCGCCAGTTATCGAAGCCCAAGTCGAGTAAGCTAGACATTAACCAACCGGAAGGCTCCGGCTGACCCTTGGCACTGATCTCATTGTTTGCTGAAAACTCTGATTCCTTGTAGCCAAACACAGCCGGACCTCGGAATGTAGCCATTAAAATGGCACCAGAAACACAGAGAAGGGTGCCACCCAACTTTGATTGACCTTCAGCTTTTCGTAAATTCAAAGTTTCTGTACTGCACATAAAACCGCAACATTAAGAAAAATCAAAACAACAGTATTATGCAATGGCAGAAAAAGATGTGTGTGTGTGTGTGTGTGAGAGAGAGAGAGAGAGAGAGAGAGAGAGTTTAGACAGACCCCATAAACACAGCCAATATGAATGTAAAAACGGGGATCGAAGGCTGTATGGCAGCAGCATAAGTTGGATTTGTGTAGCCGAGGCCGAGAAGGAATAGAAGTTGGTTTCCAAAAATACTGATTCCATAAGAACAACGCCAAACAAACAGATTTAGAGGAATGGAACAGCTCATGAAGTAAGAGGTAAAAGATATACAATATAATTGGAGATTCGACATTTACCCTGTTAAACCAAGAAAGAAGAAGGCAATCACAAGTCGTCTATTCAGTGGTGGTCTTTGCCTTCTGCAAAACAGAATATGCAAATCAAAATATCCCCTTCATTTAGTCGTGTCAAGATTATCCCAAATCAAAAAACCATGATCATCCTTGTCTAGTTCTTACAGGTTTTACAGACATACATAAATTTTCCTCCGCACAAGCAAAGAATCACTAAATATATCGAATGCTACGAAAAGCATTTCTATTTCCTACATTACTGCAGATTTAGCAATACAAAGTTGGAACTTGCAGAAACTCGTTGAGAAATTTAAAAAATTAATTTATCATTATTATTATTAGTCTGCTATTGATCTTGTATCTCTCTGACAGTATAAAAACTTCAAACCTTCAGCAAACAAATCCAATAATCGTTCACAACACATCAAGCTTCTCCACCCTAGATCTGTTGTAAGAAGTGAATCTTTTTCTTTTCATAACTTCCAATTTCAACAAATAAGCAATTCGAAAATTTCCTAAATTCTCACTAGCCATTTCCAACCTAAACGTAAGGGAATTTTAAGACAGTGTTAAGACGGGATCCGGTTCCAACCTAAAACCAATTGGTTGTAAGTGGATAATGGATAAACACAAGAAAAACACTGGCGATCAAATACCAACCACACGCATACCAATCTGGAAATCCGACATTAAATATTCTCACCAAAGGCAACCAGAAAACGACATCAAGAGCGGATAAGATAATACTAACTTCTCACGAACGTAGGCGACGGGGGCGAGAATTGCGAGCGCGAGAAGATCCCTGAAGACGCAGAAAACCAGCTGATTGACCCCCACATTGAGCGCAATTTTGGTGATGACGTGGTAACCGCCATTGAACACCTGCACGGCCGCCATCGCCATGTGCGCCCTCCGCACATCCCCGCCATTCCCGATCGCAGTCGCCATTCCCGCCGTCATCGCACGCATTCCAAACTACAAATCGATCGATCAATTAGGTCGACGCGAATTGGGAAAACGTCTTGGCTGAGCGAGGACTGAAAATTCAGGTACGCGAATGCGATGGCTGCTTCGCGCTCACGCCAGTAAATCTAGAAAGGGTTTTTGAGATTTACAGAGCATAAAAGTCAGAGACAAACAGACAGTGATGAACTGATAATCATAATAATGATCAGTGATGACTGACACTACAAGGAAAGTTACATACATAATAATGGGCTTCTTAAAGCTCAATAGTAACTTTGTCTTTATTCTACTCAGGCCCATTAAAATTTGAAAAAATTAAATTGGGCCCAACCATAATATATTCATCGGCCCAATTTAATCTCGTACGGAAAACAATAGCACTAAAAGCAAAGGGAAAGGAATATTAGAATATAGAATGATACAGAATACAAGTGTGTATTTTTTTTATTCCATAATTAGGAAAAATTAAAAATAAATTAAAGTATGTCTTTAACACGTAAGATTCTGTAATCAGATAATGAGAATCAAAATTGAAAAGATTCAGTTGGTAGTATTGTAATCTCATTCAAAATTGAAGATTCGATTATTATTCCAACAAACAAACCCTCTAATTAGAGATTGCGTATTGAAACCACAAATCACGTGACACTCGTTCAATTAAAAAGAATAAATATTTTATTAAATAAAATTAGAAAAGTAAAAAAAATAGTTTGGGATATTTGTGAAAAAAAAAGAAAAAAAGAAAAAAAAAGAGAATAATAATGATACGTAATTGTTGTAGTGACAATTGTGAATAATGAGTAATAATTAAATATAATTTTTTAAAATCAAAATTAGATAAATTTGATGTAACATTTAAAAATGAATGTAATTTTTCAATGGATGAACACAAAAATAAATAAATATAAAGTTTATAACATCTATATTATATGCCATAAAATAAAAATGAAGAATAAAAATGATTTAGCTTCAGATTTATAACTAACCAATACTTAATACTATTTTGATTGAATTCTATACTCATATTTTATACTTAAGCCTGATGTATTTCATACTAAATTTAATATTCCTTTACTCCCGGAACTAAATATCCATTTGCCTTTTGCACCTAATTTTATAAATATTAGTATTATATTGGGATATAGTAGGAATAAAGTAGATGATATTTGTGTAATATATTGTAAGTTGTAAGGGTATTTGTAATGTTAGGTAGATAATACAGTTACTATAAAAGAAAATAGATACTTTGTTATGGTACGGACTAAAATGGAAAAATTGATACTTTGTTATGGGATGGGACGGAAGGAGTATGTTAAATTAAAGTGAACAATCTATAAAAAAATTGTATATTGTTGATAAAATATCAAACCTGCTTTTTCTTTAAATAGCCTTTTTTTTTTTTGTTTATTTACTAGCTATGTTTAATTATTATATATATATATATATATTTTGAATCAATTTTTACATATCTACAATATAAAGTTTTTTTTTTTTTTTTTCCAAATAATTAAAACTCTAATACTAAAGTTGAGTTGTGTTAGGTATGGGTTTCGGATGTTTGGTTTTTATTTTTATTTTAAGTAAAATAGTTATTTGATTTAGTTTTACAAGAAAAAAGGATATTTTTATTAAAAAATCTGAAGAATTTATTATTATTTTTTTTATTAAGCATAATAGAAAACAAAATCAGACAAAAAGTTTTGGTGGTAAAAAAAATAAAAAATAAATAAAATCTTAGAATAAATCTCACTTCTAACATTTATTATCTAGTTTAATCCAATTACTATTACACCTAAAAATTAATAAAATGAAAAATTTATGAATAGTAAAATAAAAATGCATTACCCTTTAATAAAACAAAACAAAACAATAAAGTGTAAGTAAGTTAATTAATTTGAAGAGGGATAGGGTTTGTTTGGTTTTTATTTGAAAATGTTTTTTTTTTTAAATAAAAAATTTAAATAATATTTTAATACGTGTTTTATGAAAAGCAATAGTATATTTTTATTGAAAATAATATGAATTAAATAATATTCATTTGTATTTAAAACACAAATAAATTAAAATACACTCATAGTTAGCAAAAACAGTCACATTAAATTCCATACATCGATAATTTTGTAAAAATTAATTAATAAATCAAAAGTTGGACAAAATCTTATATGCGCACATAAAGATTGCATTCTAGAAAAGTAAAAGACAGTAAATTGAATGAAACAAACTTGAGTATAGCTATATAAGCTAGCTATGGATTTAATTTGTTAATATACATTCAAAAATTACTTTTGACACTATCCGATCAAAAAATTAAATTAAATAAAATTGACAATAATATTTTATGTGGTTATCATTTCTCAAAATTTCTAAACATTTTAAACTTTCATGCAATATATATATATATATAAATCAATTACGATAATAATAATGGATGCCTTTTTAGCCTTTAATCTTAGGTTTCATCTAATTTTGGTGTTTGTCTTCTCCAATTATTCATAGTTTTTGATACGCCTAGATATATTTTTAGTCCTCTTGCTAATAATAATAATAGGATTTTTTTTTTAAAAAAAAAAAATTATTTAAATAAATTAAAACATCCTTAATTAATTACTACACATTCCTGTTATAAATTCATGAGAAATTAAATTAAATTAAATGACAAGTAGATAGTGGAATTTGAACTAACTAATAGTCATAATCATAGTAATAGTATTAGTACCCGAAACTACTAATTTCCATGCTCATGGTATTAGTACAACCTATAATAATTACTATTCTAAATCATTATCTATCATAATTATATATAATACTCCATTCGTCCACAAAATAATGTCCTATTTTTTTATTTGGAACGTTAAAAAATTATTGTCCTCTTTCTATTTTTATACATAGAATTTACCCTTTTACCCTTACTTTATTTATCTTTATATATATATATATACAAGATAAATGGCTATTTTGCCAATTTACAACCAAAAAATTAATTACCTAAAAAAACATATAAATATCACTTAGAACATTATAAAATATATATATATATATACATATTGTGACATTATGTTATAAATCCAATCAACTTTTGAATAGAATGATTGGTAATTGACTCAAGTGATAAATTAATAAATAATATGTATTTTTCAGTTTATTTTTTTTAGGTGAGTTGATCGTTAATTTAACATAATATGTGTTATACGAGATTATATTTAATATATATATTGTCTGTTGTAATATCATGTGATGTCTGCTAGTGTATCTTGAACTGCTAATATTATGTTAAATTTTAAAATTTTAATACAATAACAGCCGACAAAATAAGTATTAGTGGGATGTAATCAAATTTCATAACCACATTCAGTGATCGTATAAACAACATAAACCTGCAGGCGTGATTAATGTGGGGTACATTCATAAAATCTATCTCTATATTATTTTTGCCTACATTAAATTTAAATTTAATTTATGCACCTATATATATAGTGTCGAATCATATCATCATTGAACTCAATTAAGATTCTCACAATTAAAATCGACGACACAGATTGTTCAATTTGTCGTGACTTTGATATGATTAAATAATCAGGTAAAATATATAATTATAGGATGTGTTTCTTTTTTATAAGTTTGGAAAAAAAATTAGTTTAGATTTAGTATGAAAATAATGTTTGATGAGATTTTTTTGTAAAAAAAAAAATATATATTTTTTTCGAAAAACACAGAGTCCAAATAGCAAAATCCTGTGAAACTCGGCTAAAAAAAATACCCATAATCTACTCATGTATTTGTTTCTTTTTTTTATTTTTTTTATTTTTATAGATTGAATAATATTGACGACAAGAATGACAAATATAGGGTTTTTAGGGCATACGTGTCAATTGTCGTACCATCATTCATTTCATTTCTTTCCCGTATTCCACCAATTTAGGACACGTGTCGTCATACATTGATTTAAGACTTTTAATTTCATGTTCCATTTTTTATTTTTCATTTAATTTGTCACACACACACACACACACATATATATATATATATATAGTCATATAGATTATAAGAGTGTGTCTTGAGCGTGTTTGGATTTATTATTATTATTTGGATTTTAAAGATTTTTTTTTTTAAAAAAAAAGAAGAAAATGATTTAATTTGAAAAGAGAATTGTGTGTGATAGTCTTCGAATGAATGATTAGATATGATATTTAATTTAAAATAAATTAAAAATGTGTGTTGAATTATTAATTTTTTACAACTATGTTTCAATAACCTGTACATAATTATTTTGTAGTGAATTTCTTAACTATTATAAAGTGATTAACATAAGATAATTTTATTTACAATAGAAAATATAATATTTATTTATTTAGGAGGGGTATAGACTTATAAATATATAAGAAATTGTATATGAGATTTATAATATATATATATATATATTGAGAAATGTATTAGATGATAATTTTTAATTATGAGAAAAATTTTCCAAGGTAAGTATAGAAAATTTTGAGATGTCAAGCTAACAGAGTTTTTATATATGTGTATCAAATTAAATATCCAAATGTATCCTTATTAATTCAAACATGCATTTTAGTGCGCAGGTACAAATCCAGCTTCTGGGGTGTGACATATGTAGTAATAATATAAATAAATAAATATGTATATATATATATACACAAAGTTGAGATAAGATAGCTACTTTAATTAATTAATTAACTATTAAAACCATAATCGTAACGCATAATTATTAATATTATTATGATTTGTTTAATTAATTATGGAGTTCATGAAGACGTAAATAATAGTAATAAAAATAAAATAAAATGTAGATGAATGATGATGAAATAAAGTGAATGTCCACTATGACTATTCCAATGTAAGAAATGTTAATTGGATATATATCAACTCTACCCTTCGATCCCTTGATGCAAACTACTCATAAACAATTACATTTTCTCACACTTCCAATTGTTTTTTTTTTTAAATTTTTAATATATATATATATATGTAATAAAATAAAATTGTGGTGTGCTATTGTCACGCCACTTGCAAAAACACAACATGCATGCATGCATGCATGCATGTGTCCATTTTATAGTATATTTGTACATTTTAATGTGTGTGTGTTTCACTATTTTTATTCTTATATGTTCTTCGAAAAAAATACTTTCTCATCATGTAAATTTTTATTAAAATACTTGGGTATAAATTTCAATAAAAATGAGTAATAATTGTATTAATTTCTTTTTTTTAAAAAAATTTATTTTACATAGTAAAAGGGTATAAAAAAATAATTCTTCTTGTGTTTCAATTCAAAGGAGTCTTCTAGGGTTTTATAGTATTAAGAAATAATAATATTTTATTAGTGAGTAAAAATATGTAAAAATTTTTGATATTTTTGCCCATTAATTTTATATACAATAATTATATATGTAATCTTATATTTGTAATTTAATGTATGATTAATTTTTCTAAAAAGAATATGTAGAAGAAGAAGCATGATGTTCTTGAGGCATCAATATTAGTATAATTAGAAATAGAAGACAACAAAATTCTGAGTTCGTAAAATTTGAACACAATTAACTATATATGAATTGTATTTTCTTGTTTTAATTATCAAATATGGAATATATATATATATATACATGGGTCTATTATTTTTCCTTATATATATATATATATATAGAATAGTTTGATCTAATATTTTGTAGGAATTAATTATATATTTTTTATTAAAAAAATATGAAAAATAAATAGTAAAAGTACAAAAAAGAAAACACATACAAAGCCATTAGTTGAACTTGGCACAGCTCATAATGCACAATCCAACCTAGGGATATTTTAAAAATAAAAATAAAAAACTTAACTTACAACTTGTTTTTGATATATATTATACTATTTTTAATTTTATTTTTTATTTTGGATAAAATCATACTATTTTTACTTCCATAAAATATTCAAAAAATTGCTTTAAAAAAATATCACAAATTTTTAAAATACTTTTACAATTATTATTAATAACTAAGCATCAAAATCTCACTATTTCTAATATACTAAAAGAAAGGTTTGTTTATCATTTTAATGTGATATTTTGTCAAAAAAAAAATAATACTCCCTCCGTCCTAATACAATAGTCTTGTTTACCATTTTTGTCCGTCTCAAAACAATAGTCTCATTTCCATAAATAACCATATCACCATAAAACTATCTCAACTTTTTCATTATTATTACACAATTGTCACTACTTTTTACACTAATATACTCAAAGGACAAAAAAGTCATTTATTCTCACTTTTTACCAACTACCAATATAATATCAATATTTTTTTAATCTCGTACCTAATACAATAAAACTATACTTTTGGGAGGAGGGAGTATAAGTTTATCAAAATTTATACCGTTAAATATTGTTAATTTGTCTTTGAAACAAGAGAAAAAAAGCATACACAAATGAAACCCTTACCCATTTATTATTATTATTATTATTATTATTATGAAAATATGCAATAAAAATTTTAAAACAACTAAACGATGTAATAATGTAAATGGATCAAGAAAGCGGTTCTTAAAATTTTCTTAATTTTAAATAAATAATACTCCCTCCGTCCATTTACACATATTTTTAGGCAATTAGGGTTTTGGTTATAAAATGACAAATTTGCCCTTAATCTTGTGTATAGAAAATGAAAAAGTAAATAAAGTAAAGGTAAAAGAGTAAATTGTGTGTATAAAAATAGAAAGAGGACAATAATTGTTGAACATTCCAAATAGGAAAGTAGGACGTTAGTTTGTGGACGGAGGGAATATCTATCTATTTATTTATTTATTTATATCCGGCAACATATTACACAATCTTACCCCTTTTTTGAAAGTCGATTTATATATTTTACAGGTTATCATCAAGTGACAATAATTAGGCCAAAAATAAACACACTATAGAGCATATTAAAGAACTAAAGTCATCAAGTGATTTATTTAAATATATAAATATGTTTATATATTTATATTTTGTGTAACTGATTAAACAATGCACGAGATAATGTAGGGACAGCCAACACACCCCTCCACATATAAATAATAATTATATATTGATAATAATTTTTACAATTTTTTACACATAAAACCGAAATACTATTTTATTTTTATTTTATTTAAATTTTTGCTAAAATAAAGTTCCACCAATGAATTCCTCGGCACCAATACAAAACAACAAGTGCTTTCCATGTGTTGTCTTTGTAACTCCATTACATCTATCTCCAACTCACTAAACGACAAAAATGCTTTTCGTATTTTCCAATTTACCCCCTACACTTTCCACAATTCCCACATCCCCACCCCTACTTAATTTACAGTAAAATTTAGTAGCAAAGTGTGGGAATTAATTAATTGTAGCATAGCCTATAGCATCTCAGCATATAGTAGGGGGAATCAATTATAGTAATAATTAAATAAATCTTATAGTATTAATTGACTAAATTAATAAAGAGATATATTTAATTAATAAATCCAATTAATTTAGTAAATATTCTTTTGTTAAAGGAACGTCGGCCGGAAAAAAATTAGATGCTTAGATGCTATGGGCTATGTGTAGTATTTCAAAAATAGATTTCCTAAAGAACATATTTTATTTAACAAAATATAAAATAAAATAAAATCAGTAAAGAATATGTTAAAAGGTGAAAGTAATTATTGGAAGAATATAATAAAGTATGTGTTTAAAAATGTAATTTAACAAACAAGTTGATATTACGAGGATTACCAAAAGCAGTTTTATTTACTGCATTAATTAATATTCTTTCAGAAGCACCGGGAGCCCGAATCCCGAACGAATCCAAACCACCTACGTGGGGTCCTTGCGGTGTAGATTCACGTTGGCGCTGCAGTCCAGGTGTAAAGCAAGTGAAATACAACCGGGTCCACCAACACCCGATGTATGCCATCAAACCTCTGAGTGCTCTGAAAAACCCATTTACTTGGAATTTATTAATTAAAAAAAATAAGATATGCTGGAATTGGAATCCATTGATGGCTTCTTCCTTTAATCATTTATGTCTGAGAGATGAGATGAGATGAGATGAGATTATTTAAAAAAATAAATTTGAAAAAAGAATGGTGAGGAATATTATCAAGGGGTGGACAGGGGGACTTTGTATTTTAGCTTTAGCATCTCTAAAAATAAAAAATCATTTAATTCTATTTCAAACATACCAAGATAATATTGCCACATGCAAATATGTAAGGTCAAATCTGATTTTTTTCCAAGATACGAATGTTGAACATTGAAAGCTACATTGAAAAAAATAAAAAAAAAATAAAGGAATGGGAACCTCCTCTGCGTTGTATGATAATTTTCACTAATTAATTCATGCCCAAATCTCATTATATTTTGTGTGAAATGGGCATCACATCAATACTTCTTCCACTTTAATCCCACATATATATATATATATGTATGTATGATTTTCTACTCGATTATAGTACAAAGATTAGTTCTTGATTTTATTTATATATATGTATGGTTACATATATCTTTTATTTAATTTACATAGTATATTATAAAATGCAGCCCATGCATCTTTCATTTTCGTTATGATTGGCCTTAGATGGAAACGAAGCATCACCCAAAGATTTTCATAGTTCTAGTTTATTTATTTATTTGTGTTTCCAGCTGGTGCTGTATGAGTATGACAAAGTGTGTTAAACTGACATGCATATAATGTAAGAATCCATTTGCAGAAAAACCGTCTAATGAAATAATAATAATAATAAAAGGCCTTTCAAATAAAATAAAATAGTTAAAAGTGAAAGGTGGGGAGCACTATCATTGTCTATCTAAAAAATATAAAATTAAATACTAATAATAATAATGAAACTAATTAGGACTGATCAAATTCACCTGTCTGCTGCAGAAATTTTAATTTAGTTAACAAAGATTCAATTTTTTTTTCTTACAATATACATATATAATTAGTAGATAATTCAGATTATATTAAATAACTGTGTAAAATTTGTGGGGATCCCACCATAGAATTCTCTTCAGGACTCTCGTCCCCTCTCGTTATATATATATATATAAACACTACCCACTGCTTCATTTATTTGTATCCATAACTTGCAATAATTAAATCAAAGAAAAATAAAATAAAATTATATAAATAACAAACGACAGAAAATAATTCCGTCGTTTTAATTATCCAGTCAGATAGAATTCAGCCATGCCTGGAGCTCTGTGTGCTGCTGTTGCTCCTAAACAAGACACCATTGATCCCCACGACACCAACGCCCGATCCTTTCTTCAAACACCTTCATTCTCCGTCACATTAAAGGTACCAAATTGATCGATCAATCCATTTCTTGTCTGTATCTGTTCTAATGTAATGTTCTTGCATGGCAGTTTGAAGAAGTTGTCTACAAGGTCAGCAATGGCGGCGGCGGATCGCCGGAGAAGACGATCCTCACCGGAATAACAGGCATGGTGTCGCCGGGGGAAATCCTGGCGATGCTCGGCCCGTCGGGAAGCGGGAAGACGACACTCCTGACGGCGCTGGGTGGCCGCCTGACGTCATCCGGCCGCCTGTCGGGGAAGATCACCTACAATGGCGACCCATTTTCCGGCGCCGTCAAACGGCGGACCGGGTTCGTCCCTCAGGACGACGTCCTCTACCCGCACCTCACCGTCTTCGAAACTCTCCTCTTCACTGCACTTCTCAGGCTCCCTAACACTCTCTCGAAAGACGACAAAACGCAGCACGTGCAGCACGTGATCGACGAGCTGGGCCTGGCCAAGTGCAAGAACAGCATGATCGGCGGCCCACTTTTCCGGGGGATTTCCGGCGGGGAGAAAAAGAGAGTCACCATAGGTCAAGAAATGCTCATTAACCCTACCCTGCTTCTGCTCGACGAGCCGACTTCAGGGCTCGACTCGACCACGGCTCAGCGGATCTTAACCACGGTTAAGAAGCTGGCTCGCGCCGGCCGGACCGTGGTCACCACCATCCACCAGCCGTCGAGCCGGCTTTACCACATGTTCGATAAGGTAGTTCTGCTGTCGGAAGGGTCCCCTATATACTACGGCTCGGCTTCAGCCGCCATGGATTACTTCTCCTCCCTCGGCTTCTCGGCTTCCATCACTGTCAATCCTGCGGATCTCCTGCTCGATCTCGCCAATGGTACTTTTTCACTTCATCATCAATCATCATCGTACACTTTATGGCCCACTTAATTGAATTCAGGTTAATTATTTTGTCAGGAATCGGACCTGATTTCCAGCACCACGACGACAACAACAATTTGCAGCAAGATCCAAAGTTGGTTAGGGAAATTCTCATCTCTGCATACGAGAAGAACATATCGACAAGGCTTAAATCTGAATTAAATTACACAAAGGAAGCATCATCTACAGCTACAAGTGAGTCTTTTAATTGTCTAACTAAGTCATGTGATCGTCTTCTTCTAACAAAGAATGATCTCATTTAGGACATGGTGGCGGTGGTGGTGGTGTAAGAGTTATTAGATCACAAAAATGGTGCACAACATGGTGGTACCAATTCAAGATCCTCCTTTTACGCGGCCTAAGGGAGCGTCGATTCGAGGCCTTCAACCGCCTCCGGATCTTCCAAGTCATAAGCGTCGCGATCCTCGGCGGCCTCCTATGGTGGCGCACTCCTTCTTCCCACATCGACGATCGCGTAATCAATCAATCATTCGAATGTCCTAACGCAAGAAATTCTTACAAAAAATGATCCAAACAACTAACTAACTAAGGTTCTAACACCTGCAGATCGCAATGCTGTTCTTCTTCTCAGTGTTCTGGGGATTCTACCCACTCTACAACGCTGTCTTCACCTTCCCTCAAGAAAGAAGGATGCTGATCAAGGAAAGATCGTCGGGAATGTACCGGCTCTCCTCGTACTTCCTGGCTCGGACAGTCGGTGATCTCCCATTAGAGCTCGCACTTCCGACAGCCTTCACCTTCATCTTCTACTGGATGGGCGGGCTCAAGCCCGACCCGGTTTCCTTCATCCTCTCCCTCCTCGTGGTCCTGATGAGCGTCCTGGTGTCGCAGGGCCTCGGCCTGGCCTTCGGCGCCATACTAATGGACGTCAAACAGGCTGCCACGCTGGCATCCGTCACGACAATGGTGTTCCTTATTGCAGGCGGATATTATGTCCGCCAGATTCCTCCATTTATCGCCTGGCTCAAGTACCTCAGCTACAGCTACTATTGCTACCGCCTGCTCCTCGGAATTCAGTACAGGGACAACGATTTCTATCCCTGTCGGGAAGAACAGCACCTGCGTTGTCCCGTCGCCGACTACCCTCCGATCAAAGCCGTCGGCCTCGACCGCCATTGGGTAGACGTCGCCGCCATGGCTCTCATGCTCGTCGGATACCGCTTTCTTGCGTACTTAGCGCTGCACCGCGTTCGGTGATGTCATTAATTACGTATTATATAGTTGTTCTTGTAGTAATAGATTGATCATTATTGGCGGAGCCGATTCGACGAACTCAATAAACTAGAACTTGTTCGTTGTTACTACTTGTATTAATTTTGTAATAATAATGAACGTGAACTTCTTTGTCCAAATATGAATCTCATCATTAAGATCGTACGATATTGAATGGAAGCCCCAATGTAATTATAGATATAGATTTAGTACAGAGTAATGATTAGAAAAGTGGCGTCGTCTTCTCGCACTATGAAGGTGAAAAGGACAACCATATATATGTACCATCTATCTATCAACTTCTTCCTTTTTTCTCTTTTGTGTTCTTGAATTACATTTCTCTAGTGTTTGTGCAATGGACTAAGGACCAACCAATTAAGGCAGCTGAGCTCAGCTCATTGATCAAAATAGAAAGTGGAAAATGGGTTTTTTTCTTACCACTTTTTATTCCAATTGACTTGTGTATGCGTACGCGTATGCGTATTCTATTGTATTGTATTGTATGTACGAACTCCTCCTCGAAATTGTAAATGGTCATCCAACTCCGGATCCGGATTCGGGGTTAGACCGATTCATTTTGTTGCTCCAAACCCGAACCCGAAAGCAAAGATACGCAACGTCGTGGGCCTATGCGGAGTTTCCCTCATCTTTCTTCTTGCGGTTCCAGGCTCCACCGCACATAGATCAACGGCTCAGATTCTCCGATGATTTTCGGGTTGTTTCGCCGGAGATGATTGCTCGTTCCGGCCCAAACTCAGCTAGGATCGCACTACTTCTGAATCTATACGGTTGAATTGGTTTACTTCTGCGATTTGTTAGGTTTCGGCAATTTCTATGGCTTCTGACGACGAAGACGAAAACCTCGCCCACTTCCTTGAATCGGAAGTCCTCTCTGAGTTATCCGATCAGGTATGCATAGCTTGTTGGTTCTTGGAGATGTAAAATTTGTCGATTCAAATATGCTCTGTCGGTGATGTTATGGGATTGATGGTTTAAAATTGAACTTTTATGATCTTCTGTTTTGTTTTGATAATTTAGGGTTCAGAGTGTTGATCGAAACTGCCAGTTTTTATTTTTATTTTAGCTGTTCATTGTTAAAAATCGCAACAGTCGGTGGTGTTTCTAAATTTGTTAGCTTTATTCCGTCGGCATATCACTATTATTGAGGAGTTTTACCCTTTTGTTTTGTATGCAGCCGTTTGGTTATGAAAATTCACTGATGGAAGTTTTTTTGCAGGAAAACTTGGAAAGAGTGGAAACAGATAACGAGATTGAGGAGGTGAGATGCGGGAAGAGATTATTCATTGATGAGAGTGAGCTTAGTGAACAAGAAGAGAAAGAAAAACAAGAAGCAAAGAAAATTAGAGTTGATGATGGTGAGATTAGTGATGAAGGATTATCTAGGGCAGTAAGATCTTCGTCTTCGACATCTTTGTCATCTCTTGATGAGGAAGCTGAAGCTGAAGTTGAAGATGCATCATCAACTCCCCCAAAAGCTGAAACTGTGATAGGCAACAACGGCAATGATGGAAGAGTCGATACTGAAAGTAGACAGATGCCTAAGAGGATTGAGACAGGGATTTTCAGTCAGATCCCTCCCGAATTGCTGTTTCACATCCTCAAATTTCTCTCTTCTGAGGTATCTAGATATGTTGCATATTCTTATAGTTGCTTATATTTGGTTTGTGTATGCAGAAGAGGGCTATATCTTTTGCTGACTTATTATTTACCTATACAGCTTATTCTCTTGTGGTAATTGCTGTGCAGGATCTTGTTTCATGTTTGTTAGTGTGCAAATTTCTAAATTTCGCTGCTGCAGATGAATCCTTGTGGCGTCGCCTGTTAGTATTCTTTCCTTTTTCTGGTTTTATCCCCTCCCATCCCTCTCCCCAACTCATACAACTTAAGACAATAGTAAATAAATAGAAGATAAAAAGTAAGCAAAAGAAAGAAAAGATACTTGTACTCTTGTTCGTGCCCTACGGCATGTAAATGTATCACTCTAGTCTTGATATCTCATACACCAAAGCTCTAAGTGATGAAAAGGAACTTCTTCATTCTTTTTATTTTTGTTTATGCGCATTGCATATGGATTTATATTGTTAGTGGTTCTTGTAGATATTGCATGCGTTGGGGTCTATTGCCTCCTAAAAAGCCTCGGGAATGTGCTTGGAAGAAGCTTTACATCCAGGTAGTATTGATTTCTAACCTTAACTTTTCTCAGATTTGAGGATATGATGTGATAATGCTTAATCTTGTCGGAGCCCTTGTTCTGTTTGTTTTATTTAAGAAAGAAATCTAGCTTCAGGTTTGTGTATGCTATTGCAGGGATTTTTTGCTTCACTAGATTATCTTAAGAATGATTATTGGCTTTTGTTGTGTTGTTTCGTTTACAGCGTGATAAAGAAGATATGGTGGAGTTTGCGCGAAATTGCCCATCTGAATTCAAGCAATATTACATTCAAATGCAGGTAGCAAAGAGAAGCCAAGCACCTAATCTTTCTCAGGTAAAAAGAAACTACCTTTTCAATAAGGCTTTTAACCTGACGAATGCAAAATCCAATTTCTATTAATTGATTGATAATAATATATAGAATATGTTAGCATCAAATCTTGAGTGACAACTATTTAATTAGCTACACAAAAAAGGTCCATGAGCTTAACCCTCATAATTTATAGACTGCCTATACTGCCTATCTTATTAGAAGTGTATTGTAAACTTTCCAGCTTGATTTAAGTAGTCTTATAAATTTTACGAGTCCAAAATGGAAGAACTGACCAACTTAGCAACTCACTAATTGATGTTTAGGTAAATGATGATCGAGTAATTCTTGACAAGACTCTTGCTGATCAAGTCTCTATGTGGAAGAGTAGCAGAGGTCTGCCTGATAATGTGATAGTCAATCACGCATGTTCTGGGGAAAGTTGCACATACTATCGAATTGGGGATGTGTTTGTTTGTGAAAAGACTGGAAACGTGCACGGTGAGAAAGGATTCGATCTTTTTGAGGAGGACATGAAGTGATCTTCACGGTTCTATAATATACATATTAATATAACTTTTCCTTGTGTTTGTTCAGTTTGTGACGACACGTGCAAGGAAATTATCATGGACCCTACAAATGAACTCTTGGTCTGCACCATCTCGGGGCGCTGTTTCGACAGATTACTCTCACCAGCAGAAGAAGTTGATACAGTAAAACATTTTCTTTTCAATTCCTACCTGTTTTTGTTTTCCCAATCGAATCACAAAATCTGAGTGGGTTATGAACTCAGGAACAGCAGCAAGGTGGAGTTGGCGACGAGGCAGAACCGTTCATGGGATCTGGACGCTTCGGTATTGTCTTGTTGTTTTCGAAACATTCATTCATACGTCTTTCTGTGTATTGTATTGTATTGATCGTGGATTTTGATTTATGAATGAATCAGCAAGGGCTTATCTTCTTGGATACAATTGTGAAGATGAGAAAGAGCTGGAAGCTGCTCTGAGGTTTTGCTGAGCTGCTACTACACGCCATAGCCATAGGGACTTTGAAACTTTTTGGGGTTTAGAATGTTTTATATATTTAATCAGTTCAGTTGGCTCTGTCTGTAGTGTTGGTGTTGCCCTTATTTTGGAACAAGCCGTGGCTGCTCCTATAAATGATCCCAAAACGTCTGTAATAAATTTTTTTCTTAGGCTCATATGACTGGAAATTGCAACCAGGGGCCCGGCCGGAGTCTGGCTAGGATCACGAATCGGTACTAGGTTTGGTTCGATTAATTTATTATATTTATATTTAGTTTAGTTGGGATTTGTCGGGAACTTGCAGCCGCTACGAAAGTGCACATTTTTTGTTGAACCTAATATTCTCCCGACAAAACAAATTTTACTAGACGAACCATCATGATGCTTTTTTAGGTACTCCCAATTTTGGTCTGTCTTATGAGTTTAGTTAAACCACTGTACAAACATGTTTCATGTTCTTTTGTTTATGACATTATATCATAGCAAAGACAATGATATTTGGCTGATACAATTTATTACGGACCTCAAAATAATTTAGCTTATCTTTTCCTGAACTTCAAGTCAACATAGGATACTTTTGTTGGGTTACTTCTACAAAAACTCTTGTATCTGTAGAGGAGGATGATCTTCAGATTTATCCCGGGGAGGTATTGGTTTCCACCCGGGTTTTTCGTCCCAATACATGTCGTAGTATATGTGACTGAGACTACGAGGTCTGTTTTGCAGACAACACCAAATGCCTGTATACTTGTTCACGCGATTCCTGAACCTTTTTTCCTTAGCCTGATCATACAAACAATCACTCAACGATATATGTGAGAAGTTCGACAGTGGTTGAGAATGACTTGCCTTGTCGATGAATCCTGAAAATGCGTCTTGCATTGTCAAGAACTGAATCACTTTGACGTCCTTGAAGGATGAAAATATGGCCTTTAACTGAAGCATAACACAAAATGAACAATAGGATCTATCCAAACTTTGCAATGTTACATGTAATTAAAATTCAATATGTAAAACCCCTGTCTGATTTTGATGGAAAGCATGTAGGAAAGAAACAACAGATATAACGACTTAAATAAATGTTACCTCTTCCTCTGTACGTTGCTTAGGGACCTTGAGCAATCCCCATCTATTTGTTCTATTTGAAATTTCACAACCATGTGAACCTTCTTCACAAAGCTGCACATCAACCCATGATTTTTTCACCTGAAATTAGAAAGGGAGATGTTAACCGCAGTAAAAAGATAATCTACAGCTTTGTTCTAAGTGAATTCGAAAACTAGACCTGGTGAGGCACAGAAGGATTGTCAAAGAAAGAATACTCCCTGAAGCTAATTTCTGGCCCGAAGTCGGCCTCTGGTAATTTCTTTAACATCAGATGCACCTGTATGTAAGCATCATAGTAAGGTGGAAAAAGGCAAGAAATTGTATCTAAATAAAAACTAAAAGACATACTCCTGTTAATAAATTAGGAACATGTAAGTTGGCAATAATCTTGCTATTATATTAAAGATTGTGCTATTGTAAGTTCCAAGAGAATCAATGAATACCTCAAAGACATGATCCATAGGACAGATAAAAGGTTGTCTAGTCAAGCTTGCTGGCAGAACCCCTGGATGTCCAAACCAAAGCCGATCGAAGCTGCACCATAGTGGAGGCATGACCTAAAATCACAAAACAAGATCACAACATGAGCTCTACAGAGAGTGGAGGAAGTGATAACACTTTTAAAGTTGAATTTACAAAGATGATTGCTATTTCATTTTTCATCCTAAATGTCCAAAGAGAAACCACCATCGAAGTAAAAAGAATCTGGACTAAAGGATGTTAAAATGCCAAAGATCATGTCCTACCAATACACGATTCAACATTGTTGCAATTGCAAGCGCCGTCCTTATCTGTTTAATCTGAAAGTCATTGTTCATAGTTAGCTAAAACAAATGGTTGGATCATAATTCTCACTAACAAAATTATCTATTCAGCACACATACTTGGTGATTGACAAGATTGAAATGTGATTCAAGAGTATGTTCTCCAACCAATAACAAGCTCCTTGGAATGTCAGGTTTAAATGTCAGGAAACCTCCTGCATAAAATTATCAACAGTAATTGACGAGATCAAAGGGAGAGACACTTCAATGCATGCTAATAAGAATCAACGACTATTGCAAGCCATACAATTATTTCCGGCATTATCAAATTAAGATATTCTTAGAATGTAGAAAATTTTGGAACAATATGAACCTGGTGCATCATAATATTCAGGTGGATCATGAAATAGCATGGCTTCACGCATACGATGTCTCTTTCCTGCAGAACCAGCAAACTGGAATGTGGTGTGCACAACATATGGCTCCAACCTGAGTTGCTTGTAGGCGGCCTGCAAAGAAATGCAAGAGTTAATAATGCTTTTATTTTTCGATATTTAGGCCCCCCTTTTCTTAATCAGGAGACTTATATCAGTAATAACCAAACAACCTGCACAAAGTAGGTATGTCCACTACAGAAGATGCTCACTGGGAGAAGACCTAGTTTAAGGTTTCCATCATAAGCATATGCTAGACCACTGTCTTCATCAACAGGTGGACCCAGCCGCCTCTTAACAAGCAAATTGAAGGCATCTTGATCCCATATACTTGCATTGGCCAGAAGCCATTCCCTCCATTCTTTTACTAATTTGATTGAGGACTCAGTTGGCCTCCAGTGAAAAATTCCAATATTGTAAGCTTCTCCAACTGTTCATGTACCAGAATATTAAGGGTACCAAACATGTTCAACAGCGCTAAGTAGGCATGTGTAAATCATCTACATATAAAACAAATACATGAACAAAGAATACATTGTTATTTGTTACAGAGTTGAGGCATTTCTTATCAAATAGAAAGCACAACAGAAGTAATAGAGATAGTTCAATCGATCGTCATTAAAAATATCTACACTGCTTCTATCATAGAACTTAAACACATAATGGAATTCTTTGATTGAAGTTTACCTAGTGCCCAGTTATCCAACTGCTCGCCAGTTACCGTAGGCGAAATTTGATCAGTAGATACCAGCACATCAGCTTCAGGATATCGTGCAAGATAAGGCAGGGGGTTCTGATGTTAAGAAAGGAAGTGTAGAAAGGGAGAGATCACACTTTAAAGATTGAAACATTCCAAAGCTGTTAATAAATAGGCCATGAAATTTTTCAATAGGGGAAACACATGAAAGAGTATACATGTGCAACAAATCTCAGGAACACATTTATGCAGAAGCATATTTTTCATAAATATGATTAAAGCAGCAGTGAATATTGTGACAGATAAAGAAAGCGAGCTGCAAAACTGCAGTATATCTCTTTCTCTATAAAACACCATTTATTGCAATCCAATGATGTTTACAAGTAGAATTAAGAATCGACTGAACTTGTGAATCAACACATGGGCTTATATATGTTGAAAATTGTATTTAATCATGGAAAAATTACCTTTAACCAAACCGTATCGGTGTCGCACATTAATATCTCAAACCCAAATTGCAGGAAAGAATCTAGAAGAGATATTTTATCTCGTCCGAGCTTGTTAAATGTCGCAGAGCCCCAACCAACACCTGTTGTATTTATGTAGCTACCCATATCAAAAACTGGAACACCTTTCCAATAAAGAGCTTCCAGCAGTGTTGTGTCCATTGCACCTGTGAATAAAGATCCTCATTGACTACAAGACAGCTAACCAGAACAACAAAAGATTCATGGAGTTCTCACCAACAATAAGGTTATGAATTCCCATATCAGTCAAGTGTTTAGCCCAATTCAGAATGAAATCCATAAAGGCAAAGTTCCCAAACGTCAGAATGATGACATTGTCCTTCACTCTTTCTTGAACCAATTCCTTCCTCAGTTTAAAGGTCTCCAATGGTGGCATTTTTGAACCAGGAGGGACCTTCCAAACAGGTGCCAAATTCTTATTTTCCTGTTGAGAGGCTGCATTTTCTAGTTTATCTGCTATTTTTTTAGAAGAATTGGATGATCTACCCAGTGATGGAGAATAAACTTCAACAGTACACAAGAGATCAAATAAAATTAAGGTTAAGGAAATAAAATATCAATATCCACCATAAAAAAAATGCATTCATTGTGTCCAATCAAGCCATTGAATAAATAAATAAAAATGTCAGTGTAAGGACAGAACATACACATAGAACAGAGATGGATTCTAAGGTTATCCTCGTATCAATATGAAAACTAATCCTTCATGACAGTGAAAAAGAATGCAATTGATAGTCATAGTTTCTATAATGAAATATTTACAAAGCAGAACTGATACCAGAGCTAAAATTCATAGGCTGCATTGGTTGGTGCTAAAAAGTTAGCATTTTACAGTAAACCAATGACATTTCTGGACATTGAAGCAGAAATTGTTAAGTTAAAATTCATTCAAACAAGCAAAATACAACCAAATTAAATCACAAGCCACCAAGATAGATGCAGATAAACAACGAAAGTTGCACACCAAACAACACACGAAACTACCCACATTTAAACACAGTTTATCATTCAAAAAATAAAAATCCACTCACTAATTGCAGTATCGTCACCGGAAATACCTGAAGTAGAGAATCTAAAAGACGAAACGACGCGATTCGAGCGAGCGATGACGTCGGGAAATACGTACAGAGACGACAAAACCATTCCGATCATCAGAACGGCGTAGATCGTCAAGAATAACGGCCTGTAATTCGGAAACTCCTTCAACGTACTACTCAACGCCATAGCTACTGTTGAAGCAATAAGCGTGCTTGAAAGAATCAAAACTGCCAATTACTTCATAATCATCAGCACTTCCTCACTACAACTCATTCCACCTTCAATCACGGCAGTTTCCGGCGCCAATCGAACTGAAAATCACACAAAAATTTCAACCGGAGCTTCAAAATACGGTCATGCATTCGCATCAAAAAGCTTCGAAGGATCAATCAGAAATTGGAATGCAGAAAGAAAGAAGAGAAACTTTTTAGCAGTAACAGCTGCAGATTTTTTCATTTATTATTTTTCTCATAAGCAGTCAAATTTAATTGACTATTTTACCTTCCGGATTGTATTATTATTTAAAAAAAAAAAAAAAAAAAAGACAACCAATATTTAATGCTACATTCTATATTAAACACTGTGAAATCATTCCTTCCTATCTTTATTATTAAAATAATTTATTTAGCAAACTCTATTACAGTAATATTATTTCTTTTCTTGAGGGATTATGGCAATATCTTTAATGAAATACTATTAGACATTCATTAGATTGTGTCTCTGGTTATGTTAATTTCTGCACACGAACATAATTATTGTATTAAGTTTTAATGTGTGTAAATTTGTATTTAACAATACAGACCATTTGATCCAATTTCAAATAAATTAAACTAGCCCAATTGTTAAAAGTTTAGGCCCATTTTTTAGAAATGTTGGGCCCAATTCCGGCCCACATTTGGTTGTCTAAGTTCAATGGCCTATAAGTGTATTAAAGAATGTCCATTTAATTAAATATAAATGTATTTAATAGGCAACGTATTAATTAATTTGGATTTGAAATCAAATTAGAATAAATTAAATGTTATAGTGAATTAATTTAATTTATAAATTATATATATATGCAATTATAGCATCTGTATATCTACGCATTGAGATTTGAGACTAGAAATATAATCCTACTTATATATATAATATATAATAATAAAATGAGTTGACATACAATATTTTATTTATTTGCCCCCAGACTTAATTAATGTAAATACTAATACTAGCAGCTGGTTTTAATAAAATAAAATATAATATAATATGTTGACTTATAAATAATAATATAACAAGTGGTGACAAGTGATGGATGAATGATTATTCATTTTGAGGCCAACTGGCTCTAATTACTACATTTTGACTTATCCTCCAAATATTTATTTATAAATAATACTAGTAGCTCGTAGTAACTGCTGTGCAATTTATTTATTTTTTAATTATTATTATTATCCACGTCAGCCGGATGTACGTATCATATGTATGTTCGTACGTACGAATTAAGAATTATGATTAAATTAAGGATGGGACAAAGCACGTGTTTGCAGTTGTATGGCTTTTGACGTCCATATATATTTAATTAATTTTTTACTGGACGACTACTTGCATGTAAATAAATGTAAATTAAAATAAATATTAATTTAATTAGTGCAATGAAATGCTTAGACGTTTAGTTTAGTTTAGTTTTTTTTTTACGAGTTTTATCGTTTATTTTTACTATTTAAATTAATATATTTTTTTAAAAAAATGTCAAATTAAATAATTAATTTTTTTATATTATAAAATTTTAATTTATTTTCAAAATGTCAGTAAAATTCATATAATGTCTGCGCTACATACATAATATATATGTGTATATATATATATATATATTCCATTTCAATTTGGGTGTACAATAATATTTTAGGATATTATTGTTTTTGGTGTCAAACTCTTGTTATATTAATAATAATATAGTAATATATATATATACAGCTTTTAAAAAAAATATATTGTAAAGTATGTATTTTTAATTAATTTTTCATTATTAGAAGAATATTATTATCTTCATATGAGATAATTATGGGTATATTTCTTTTGGTTGAGTTTCAAAAAATTTGGTTTGAATTTGATATTAAAATAATGTTTGATGGAATATTAGTGTAAATTTAAAATAATTTTTTAAATATAAAAATAAAATATTAAAAAAAAGAAAAAAAGTAATATTATGATAAATCTATTAATTTAATTTTTTTTATAAAATAACAGGATAAATAGAAAAAATAGTAATAAAATTGATTATTATTAATTAAAATAAAAGTAATGAAAATATAATTATATAAAATTTTAAATATTAAATAAATTCAACGAAATAATATATTTTGTTTAAAACTGATATATAGTTTGACAAACTTATAAAGTATAGTAAACTTACAAGTTTTATACAAGAATTTACTCAACTCAGCGTCATCTGGCGCTGTAGTCCAGGGAGCTGCAAAGTAGGTGGGGGAACAGCGATGCCTTATCTGTAAAGACGAGGTTAATGACTTGGAATGAAAGTGATTGCTTCCATTAATTATTATTATTATTATTATTATTATTATTATTATTATTAAACCCACAAACAATTTCTGTATATGTGTACATGCAAGATAAAAATAAAATAAGAACAAACATTAAAAATGGGGTTAGCAAAAAGAAATAATACTAAATGCGTATTTAGGTGAGGGCTAAGGAAAGTGCATAAATAGACACATACATATATAAAAGAAATCAAATCAAAATGAAAGACCTTGTTTATTTTATTTTTTATTTAAATAGTGGCTTATATGTTTGATATTTTATAATATCATAATAATAATAATATATTCTTTTAAATATCACGATAATTGAAGAATAAAAAAAATTAAAATAATATATCCCCACACACATAGGAGCATATTATGGCAAAAACTTCGTAAATTTTACTATGTAGATTCTATATTTATAAAATAAAAAGTTATAAAATTATAAATTTAAATATTATTTAAATACATAAATTTCAAATAAAATCTTTCAGATCTAACCAAAAAAATAAATAAATAAATAAATAAACACTATAGTGGACATGTAAATGAAAAAACAGGTGGTGCGAGACTGCGAGTAACATGAGGACATATATATAAATAAATAAATAAATAAATAAATAAATAAAAGTTGTAAGTTATTCTAATAATTAGGGGTTAGATTCGTTAACTATCATCCTCAGCGTCAATCATAAAGTGCCAATATAAATATACATATAAATAAAATAAAATAAAATAATAACCCTAGTGGCTGCCACCCCACCACTTGCAGTTGCATGCAATATAAATTAATTAGTAGTATTATATTGTAAATTAAATATTTGCATGAATGGTCCTTCACCTATATTTATATTTATATTTATATTTATGTATAACCTCTTCATTTTTGTACTATATAATATTATTTCCATAATAGTCATAATCAACGTGTTTATCTTATTATTTTAGATTATTCATAACTAATATATATTTATTTACTAATTTAGTCAATATAATCCCTATATAAATGATAAAATACAATTACATTCAAGCTAAAAATACAAATATATTACTCCCTCTGTCCCGGAAAAAATGAACCTTTTCGTTAAAGATACGGTATTTTAGGTAATATAAATTAGTAAGTTATTAATAATATGTTGTGATATTATTTTATTATTTTTAATATAAATAATATTGTTGGTATTTTAAATATTTTTAAGATCATATTCCAATAAAATATATACAATGTGAATATTATTTTGTAGATATTAAATTTTATATAATACGAATAAATAAAAAAATACCATTTATTTATTGAAAAGAGAAATAGAAATAAAAAAATTTAAATATAGATAAAAATATTTATTTATTTTATATTTGCTAATATAAGATAAGAATTTATTAAAAATAAAAATAAATTATTTTTTAAAAGACGGACAAAAAAGAAAAAAATGATCTTATGTTGTGAGACGAAGAAAATATTTATTTTCAAAAATATTTTAATTAATCAATTTTTAAATATTATATATCATATAAAATATTAATATTCTTTAAATCTAAAACAAAATTCAAGGGGTGCATGAAACGTTACTGAGGGAATATGCACTAAATTTGTACACTTACAATAATATTTTATTCGTCTCAATTTCAAAGTATTTTTTTTATTTTAGAAAAAATAATAAATATTAATATCAAAATACTCTTAAATTTTACTTAAATTATAAACATACTATTACACGTACAATTAATTTGTACATAAAAGTCAAAGGTTAAAAATGTCAATAGCTCTTATTCATTTCCACTTACTAATATCCGTCTCAATACAATAATCTTGTTTACTATTTTCTTCAAAACAATAGTCTTATTTTCATAAATAATTATATCACTATATATTTTTATTTTTTCATTATTATTACACAATTGTCACTGTATTTTACACAGACAAAAATGTCTACTTTTTATCCACTATCAATATACTATCAATATTCTTTAAATTGCGTGCCCAACACAACCAAAATTATTGTTTCGGAACGAAGAGAATTATTTTTTAATCTAATACTAAATCTTAGACCGTTTTGATACGAAACATAGTGAATATATAATATTAAAAAATTTTATTTTATTTTTTATTTAAAAACCATATTTAAAATATTTCTTATTTGAAAAAATAAAAAATGTTTGTATAGTGGCTACCTACAGTTGCCAATGATTAATTGAAACGTCATGATTGCAAATCGGAGCGTGTGATGATTTTTTCATGCACTAACGAAAAAAGATTGACGACATCATTTTGAAGATCATATTTGATCATGTTTATTTCAAACTTAATTTTCTAATGTATAATTATTACATATATATATATATATATTTTTAATAATCAAGACAAATATTTATTTATTCAAATATTTCTCTAGGGAAAATTGAAAACTTGAGTTACAAATTGGCGAGCCATAAAATTTTGTTACTATATTCGATAGTGTGATACCACATACTTGATTAATTAACAGTGTGATACCATATCTTGTAAAGAATGGCTTGGTGATGTAGGAGTTGGACTTGTGACTATGAGGTCATGGGTTCAAACCCCCTACGCCGAATTTTTGAGCTCGAACTCGGTAAATCGACGAGTCAAATTGTTTGTAATTTGTTTAACTACTGTAAATTCTCACATTATTCAAAAATAAATAAATAGTATGACCACATAATAGAAATTATTTCTAAGTAGTTGAAGGCATTAATTAGTGTACATTCTAAGAGTGTATTTGTTTAATATTTTTCAGCAAATAGTTTTTTTATATAATAATATCATCTAAAAGTACAATATATATACATATATATAATAAAAATCAGTAAAAATAAAAAAATATTTTCTATAATACTGTTATAATTCATTGTATTTTTTTTTTTTAAAAAAAAATAGAAAGCTAAAACAATAAACACTATAAAAGCACTCATTACTCACACCACTTTCTTAAAAAAAAAAAAGTAAGTAAAGAAATAAAAGCAGGCCATGTGTACGGACACAACCAAATTGGGACGATACAATAATCCTGGCCGTACAATAAATGCCCTCCTTAGTCTCTATTTATTTTAAAAGTTATTATGTTTTCTACATAAAAATCTACTTTATTAAAGTACTTTCGAAAATTTAACACAAGTCCATATTTTTTTTCAAAAAACATTGTATAAATAATTTTTATCTTATAAAATATTATACTAAATATTCATTTATATTATTATTTTAAGAAATTAAAAAAAACCTGTATGTAAACAAAACCCTTATATTTAGAACGTGGTAGAAGGAAGATAATAAGACACAAGGGGTTGACAAAATGTAGCACGACAATTAATGTTAAAAGGTGCTAATAATGAATATGAATTAATAATAGGACCCCAACTGCAATATAAATGGAATTAATGGACCTACGGAAACACAACTTGCATCCATCCAATTCAATTCAATTCAATTCAACACACAAAAAACTTATTTATATATATTCTTAGGTCTTCTTGCAAGTGTGTAGTGTAGTATAGTGTAGAAACCGTGTGCATTATTATTATTATTATTATTATTATTATTATTATTATTATTTGATAAATATTATTCAATAAATGCATTTCTGAAGTGAATATACTATTTCAACATTCAACCAATTCTCTCTATAATCAGTAATGTAATACATATCATCAAATTCATTGATTGATGGATTGAAGGGCAACACTTTATTACACTAGCCATGCATGTCCCCATAAACTAAACTATAAATTTTACATTTTTAAATACTTATGTCCCTACTTTTATTTATTTATTTATTTATTTATACATCTAACTTACAAATGTTGACCCCACCCCCACTTCTAATCGCCAAATCTGTAAAGAAACTAATGGCCATAATGAGTATAATTCATCAACTTGTCTGAGGTTACCATCTGTTTTCAATTCAAGTTAGTGGTTAATTTTTAAATTTGTCCCTAAAAAAAAAAAGAAAGATTTTCTTCATTTCCTTTTTGATTTCGACAAATATCTGATTTAAGAATTACCACAGAATAATTAATTAAATAAATAAAACTATATTTATAATCTCATTTCAAGAACGCTGCCTAAATTGTCGACTACATGCTTACTTACACGTGTGTATCGCCCGCTTCTATTTATTTATAATTAAATATTTTAATGTGTTATGTAGTTCAAATTTTCTTGAATTAATTAATTAGTGGGCACTAAGTTATATTGAGTTAATTAGAAAAAAGGAACTTGTTTGCAAATAAGCAATTTTAAATTTTCCAATGTATATAACAGGGTATTCCACATTTCTTGGTTGGGAGAAATTCTTATATTCCTATGCATAACTTAACATGAAACATATTAATCTAGACCACACGTAATATCATGAATATAATAATAAAAAGGAATTTATTTAAATAATTGATTAAATTATCCTTGACTTACATGTATATAATATTTGGTCCAAAATGTGTTGGATGCCAAAGACTGCAGCAGATTAAAAGCCTTGCCTTAATTGGATTGGACGACTGAAGAGAAGAAGACAGCTAATGAGATATATCAGCACCAGAAATTAGTTATGTCATACAAATTCCATTGAAATGAACCTAAATTAAATGAATCAAGATTAAGAAAATTTTTCCGAAAAATTAAAATTAATTTGCGGACAAATTATATTGAGTAGCTAAGCAATGATATATTGATGACAAACTCCTCCTCCTGTTCCATTAGGCAGCGCCACGTGTAAATGAAGAAGCACTGACCGTACATGCCATACCTAAATTAATGAAATACTCCATTTATTTTTACTTTTACCTATTACCAATATAGTATCAATATTTTTTAAATCTCGTCTCTAATATAATAAAATTACACTTTTGAGACAGAGGAAGTATAAAATAAATAAGGTTGTAAATCATTTACTACCGGACCAAGTCAGTATGGTGCCGTTTTGACTGAATTAATATAGATATTATATGAGTGACCGATATATATTTATATATTTTTCAATATATATTATATTATTCCCACCGTCCCATAAACAAGTGCTGATTGTGTCCTACACTGTATTTAAGGAATATTGATATTATATTGGTAGTGGATAAAGAGTATGGATAAAAAAAAATTTTGTCTTGTGAGTGTATTATTATAAAAAGTAGTGGCAATTATGTAATACAAATAAAAAAATAAGGATAATTTTATAGTGACATAGCTATTTATGAAAATAAAACTATTATTTTGGGACGGATATAAATAGTAAACAAAATTATTATATTGGGACGGATGAAGTATAAGATAATATAAACTGAGTTAAATATATATTATTCACCCCTATAGCATATTCTGAAATCCGATCATACTGAATCGATCGGACCAATTTATACATGTCCAATAAATAAATACCACAACACAAAAAAGAAATTAATTTTTAAAACATACCAAGAAAGTGAATAGTCTCATGAGCTAACCAATCTTGTGGCGTGCAGTGCTACAGATGTAAATATAATTAGTTACCCAAATTAAATATAATTACCCACCTGATTACTCATGATCTCAGAGCATCAACAAATACACAATAAACAATATATCAAGTGGTTAAAAAAACAATTATCAATTAAACTACTCCCAAAAACAGTATTACTATTAGGGATGTTAAAATTCATCCCCTCTAACCCAAAATTTTTTCCCAAAATCACACAGTTGACACATTCTTGTTGTCTGTCTGAGCCAAAAAAGGGGGGCTTCCTCGCAGCTCATATATATATATATATATATCTCCCAAGTAGCTAGGGTAGGGTAGGGTAGGGGTCAAAGAAAAAAAAAAATAAACAAAAAACACTCCCCAACCCCACACGCCCTTTTGCTTTAGTGTTGATCTCAAAGATGATCCTTTTTACGTGTCCTTCTCACAAGCCCTACCCATCTGTATACATACACGTATATACATATACATATACACATATGTATGATAAGAAAGATACAGAGACAAAAATGGCTCTTACCCCATGAGCTGGAGAGGAGATTCCGTGTGTGGGATTCGAGCTGTAACTGAATTGAAAGGGTGGCCCTTCTTCTTCCTGCACCTGCACCTATATATACCCCTTCAGCTCCACTTCGTACTCTGCACCAAAAAAAGAAACACACACACGAACGAACACTAAAAGCTCAGTGTTGGCAGTAGAGATAAAAAAGAATGGAATTCTTTACCACTTTGTACTTGTTGTTGCTGTCTTCATCAGCAGCAGCTTTAGTTTTGTCGTTCTTCTTCCAAAAATTCTTCATGTCTTTGAGAGAAGCTAAGTTGCCACTGCCACCGGGGTCGATGGGCTGGCCTTATATTGGTGAAACCTTTCAGTTGTACTCTCAGAATCCCAACACTTTCTTTGCTGCCAAAGTCAAGAAGTGAGTATTATACTTACTTACATATATATATATATATATATATGATTCATTCTCAGTTTCTGATTAGTAATCTACTACAGGTATGGTTCGATATTCAAGAGTCATGTATTGGGATGCCGATGTGTAATGATTTCGAGCCCAGAGGCAGCCAAGGTTGTCCTGGTGTCGAAAGCACATCTCTTCAAGCCCACATTTCCTGCAAGCAAAGAGAGGATGTTGGGGAAACAAGCAATATTCTTCCACCAAGGTGAATACCATGCCAAGCTTAGAAAACTGGTCCTCAGAGCATTCATGCCTGAAGCTATCAAGAGCTTCATGGCAGACATTGAATCCATAGCCGTCACCTCGCTCCAATCCTGGGAAGAAAAAGACTTCATTACTACCTTCCAAGAAATGAAAACAGTGAGTCAAACAAGCATTTTTATTTATAGGGAGATTCCTGGCTGCTGCAGGGGAATAACAAACCAACCAACCAACTAACTAATCAAACCTCCTGAGTTGCTCCTTTTTACTTGTTACTTTCTCATCTTTAATTCTGGATGACCAACCAGATTCAATCTGGATTCTTTCTTGCAGTATGCTTTTAATGTGGCATTGCTCTCCATATTCGGCAAAGATGAATTCCTGTACAGAGAAGACCTCAAGAGGTGTTACTACATTCTTGAAAAGGGATACAATTCAATGCCAATCAATCTCCCTGGAACACTTTTTCACAAAGCAATGAAGGCCAGGAAGGAGCTCGCACAAATCTTGGCTAAAATCCTATCCCTCAGAAGACAAAGACAAAGGGATCAAGCTCACAGTGATCTTCTTGGATCATTCATGGAAGACTCTGAAGATCTCACTGACGAGCAAATTGCAGACAACATTATTGGTGTAATCTTTGCTGCCCGTGACACTACAGCTAGTATCCTTACCTGGATCCTCAAGTACCTTGCAGAGAATCCAACTGTTCTCCACTCAGTCACTGTAAGATCCTATGCTCTATTCAACCCCAAAAACAAACAAAAATTTATATATTTAATATTCCTGAAAATAATTATAGTTTTGTTTCATATGACAGGAAGAACAAGAGGCAATAATGAAGCGTAAAGAAGAGAAAGGTTTGAGTTGGGCAGATACTAAAACGATGCCAATTACAAGTAGGGTTATCCAAGAAACACTAAGAGTTGCTTCTATCTTATCTTTCACTTTCAGAGAGGCTGTTGAAGATGTTGAGTTTAACGGTGAGTTTTTTACAATCAAATTGATCCAACAATAACATGATCGAATGATCCTTTTTATTTACTGAGTCTGCGTCTCTGAGTGTTTGATGAAATTGATCATCAGGGTATCTGATCCCAAAAGGATGGAAGGTATTACCACTCTTCAGAAATATCCACCACAGCCCAGAAAACTTCCCAGAGCCTGAGAAGTTTGATCCTTCAAGATTCGAGGTAAATAAAATATTTATATATACATGTATATAATATCCTAGCTAGCTAGCTAGCTAGAAGATCTCTCCAAGATCAACAAATAATTGATATGAATTTATGTGACAGTTTACTCCTAAGCCCAACACATTCATGCCATTTGGAAATGGGACCCATTCATGTCCTGGGAATGAGTTAGCGAAGCTTGAGATCTTGATTCTCTTACATCATTTGACTACAAAGTACAGGTCAGTCAGTCAGTCCGTCCTTATGAATTTTCTTGTTTCTTATCTAACCCCTTACCCCCCAAGGAATTGGAATTGTGAACGTGATCATCCTAAAAATAGCACGAGCATGATCCATTCATTCATTCACTCATTCTTCTATTCTGATGAGTTTTTATTGTTTTATTTGGTCCAGGTGGTCCACGATGACCCCACAAAATGGAATCCAGTATGGACCCTTTCCCCTTCCCCAAAATGGCTTGCCTATTAAACTCTCCCCCAAGGCCAAAGCCGAAGCCAAGGCATAAAAAAGCCCAAATGTACAGGACAAAGACTCCAACTATTGTATGTATGTATAGGAGAAGTTAGTTGTGTGTCTTTGTGTACATCATCAAGACTGGGACTGGGACTGGGAGAGAAACAAATAAAGGAATATCACATCACATCAAGACCCCACAATCACCAGAAGAAGATTTCTGGTTGCATGCAGAGTAAGGGTAAGGATAAAGCAGCAGCCTGCCAACAAGTTTCCTTTCCCTAAACACCACACATAAACACCACATCATTCTAAGATGCAATTCATTGAGTTGATAAACTTTTGAGGATAGGAGGACTAGCAGCAGCAGCAGCAGTAGTAGCACGTAGTTAGCCAAATTCTTTTTATTTATTCCTTATCATTTCTCTTACTTATATGTTTGTGCCGAGTGTGTATGTAAAAAAGTCCGCAAGGCAATCAATGAAAGACAGAAAGGCTGATTATACACACAAACAAACGTACGTAACTATTTGCAGATATACATACATAACTATACCCTCTGTCAAGTCATGGTTGAATACACACACAAACAATTCAATGAATTCAACAACTGTCCAAAGCCACGACTTTCTGAATTCAACAACTGTCCGTACATGGATGGAAACATCAACATATCGCCACATTTGTCATTGTCAACCATCATAAACACGAGACACGACCAAACTCCATTTTTTAAAATTTCTTTTCAAACTTTCTTCTTTTTCTCGTTTTTGGTCTCGTTTGAAGGCTTTTCAAACTTATTATTATTAGAAAATGACGGTTCTTATATAATCTTTCCCCCCAGTCATCATCGGCAGGCAAAAATTAACACGGAATATCTCACTATCTTATTTATGAAGAATGCTTATAATTTTTTTCTTATTTTTCAAAAATATTGTTTTCAAAATTTAGACTATAAATGAATACATGTTCCAGTCAAATTAAGTGGGTTGAGTCACTATAAGTATTACCAGACCGGAAAAATGGTCTATATATCTTAAAGTACTTTCTATGCCTATTATGACCTTTAATTCTCTCTCATTCTTGATCGGACAGCACACTTATCTTTTATAAACAAACAATATTAATAATAAAAATTTTAATTGTAATATTTCTAGACTAAACATGTTAACTAAAAAAGCAAATAATTAAATTAATTAATCCCTTATAGTTAGTAAACATGCCTAATAATATATATTAAATCACAATAGATATAGATATGATTGATATTTGAGGCAGGCAGGCAAGCAGGCATGCCTAAATATAGGCAAATTGCAGCCATAGGAATGAAACAACTTCATTCCCTGCCTGGAATAAAAACAGATGGATAATCAATCATATTCCTTTCACAAAAACTTGCCGGAATACCAACACGTGTAGTTATATTATAAAAAAAAAAAAAAAGAAAAAAAAAAGGAAGACTATAACAAGATTTTATATTTCAATTCAGCCGTTCATTGGATACTGACTGAATTGAATTCATCACGTCAACTTTGGCACCTATGACACAGATAAACCCCAACAACAAGAATCAAATAAAAATGTGATGAGATTGAGAAAAAGAGGACAGGCCAAGTCATCTGGGAGTGGAAAGCAGAAAGCCACTAATTACCAAGAAATCCTGCTAGCATAGCAGAAAGGGGCTGGCCAGATGCTCATCATATGAAGATGATAATAGAACCAAGGAAAGGAACAGACAAAGAGGATGGCATCTCCCTACTTCTTGTTTTCAAGGGTGGCTCAAAGGAGGAAGATACAGTAATATAATGTTCTATACTTCTCTATAACAACCACAGAATGACACAATATATATATATAACAACAGCTTTTTTGTGATTTGATGATCTAGGGATATGATTTTGGATTTTATTTTCTTGCCAAGACATATGTCCATTGTAGTATGTCTGTATGTATGTATGTATGTATGTATGTAAAGGAGTCAGAAAAGTGACTAAAGATCCAACTTGACCAAATCCTACATCATAATCTTTAATATACTCAAATATTTCTACAGCAAAGAACCAAGCCAACCTTGAAGGGTGGCATTCTTGGATGTAGTTTGATGGTTTTAGTAGTACTAAAATATTCCAGAAGTTTAAACTCCTCCATTAAATTAAACGAATCTCTACCAACAAATCATTTGTAATATTCTCATTCGCATAAAGCAAGTTCTTTGCAACTGCTATAACAATCATCTAAGACTTAACAATATCAAGTTGAGGCAATATATACATCTTTCCAAACCAAAAGTAGATGTTCAAACAATCAAAACGATAATGCAAATATACATATTTTCCGTAAAATTCAGATTTGTAGTAAAATCAAACAGGATTAATAACTGAATATTAAAAGGACTGCAATACATTCACCAGAAAGAAAAATTCCCCTGCTCTGCTGCAGTCAAACCATTACATATAAAAGTATTTATCTAACTTCAACAAAAATCTCACCTCATCTGCATAGGAATTTAACTTAAGAAGGAGCGAGACTTGCGATACAGCGCCGAGAAAAACTGAAAAGACGCGGGAAAACATGTAGGAGAGACGACCGCACTCTTAAATAAGTTGGGCTGATCGGCCCACGTATCGGCCCAATATATTTAGAGAATAAAAATTGAGGAATATATATTATTGAATTAAATAATTAAACCCAATTGATTAATTGATCCTCCATATAATAGCATTCTTGTATAATGTACAAGATATTTCATATTTATTTATTATGTAAAATATCATGAGTTAAATTAAACTATGCATAAAATATTTTTATATTAAATAGTTTTTAATAAAATAAATAAAAATAAATTGTTACAATAAAATAAATATCAATTATTTATTTATTTATATAAAAAAAATTAAAATATTTTTCTTTTTTTTTATATAAATTAACATAATTAACTTAGCATTTTGTGAAACACAAGAAGAAGTATTATATAATTCACCTTCTCAAAATTTAACATATTTTGCGAAACATATGCACATTTCTCCATCTAAATATATATAAATTTAAAATATTTCAATACGCAGTAAATTTATTTTGTAATCAAATATATTCTTGCATATCTTAAAAATCATACATCATTTCAAAATAATAATAATAATAATAAATAAATAAATAAAATAAATCAAGGTTTTATTAGATGATTACATATCCGATAGGTGATGCATCTCAAGGTCTTATTTATCTAAGCAAGTCTTTAAGTAGGTTAGGATTCTGACCTAATGGTGTCACTCCCGTATGTCTTACCAGTGCATCTTTTTCCAATGCTTCCTTCAAATTTGATCCCTTGTTAAATTGCTGTGCCGAGTGTTCAACTCCATTCGACGAATAGCCATTTCTGCCAAATGCACTTGGCATCGAATTGTTATTGCCATCACTCGGGGCATTTAGAGGCATGTCTGCAAAGAGGGGCATAAAATCCGATGTTCCAGCTGCACTGGCAGGGGCATTGTCTTGTGTGAGATCAAGAAGACCTTCAAATTGCTTGAAAGGATCCACAGTGGCGGCAGCAACAGAAGGTTCGCTCATGTCCAGTAAATCTGGAGGTGGTCGGGATGGATTTTCTGCAGCAGTCCGGGATGCACGAGCTTTACCAGAATTCTGATATTTTGAGGATACCTTCTGGTTAGAAGAAAGCTGTCTATCCTCCGGTTTAGATGCATCCCCAAAAATCCAAGCAGCCAGTCTTCGCTTTTCAGGTGAAATCTTGGTCCCTGGCTTTCCTGAATTGTAAGATGCATCCCTTGCTATGGAGTCAGAAAGACTGACTGGATTGCTCTGAGTTGGCTCATGCTGAATATTCACAGTGTCGGTACTTGAAGTAGATGGTCCAGGAGATGAGTAAGTAGGCCTGCCCCATTTTCTTTGAACCCCGTCAAGTCGGAGCTTGAGTTCTGTTGAACCAGCACCAGAAGCAGATGCAATTGCTGGAGAAGGTTGGTGGATATCTGCAGCGTATGGTAACTCAGAGACGGGAACAAGCTCGGTTGAGGGTGTTCCATTAGGTGCCACTGAAGGCTTGGGTAGCTCGTAGGCCTCAAACCTTAGAGCAGGTGATGTTGTAGATTCTTGATCTTCAAGAATCTTGCTTATGATCGGTAACCCAGATCGCTCATTCTCGGGGATGTATGGCTGAGCACCATTCTCCAATGCTTGTTGAACATAAACATCGAGAAAGGAAAGATTCTTGTCGAGCTACAAACAAAACATGAAGATATTAGCTATGTCAATCTTAAGTCCTAACACATGGAACTAGTTGTTTCTTGAACTCTAAAATGGCTGAAGAAAATATTTATAACTGACAAAGAAGTACTTCACCAGGCCTACTACTTAAATTTCTAGAGTAAATGACAAAATATGAACCAAAAGTTTTCTATAAAATTAGATATAATAGGCAATACAATTCTTGGCCTAAATCAAATAATAGGCAAGCCAAAAGGTATGGAGCATTGTCCAACAGATTTTAACAGAAGGATATGAAATATTAATGCTTAAAGTATAAGATCTTCCCATAACCACACATGCAAGAAAAGAAAAAACTAAGCAGCACCTCATATTAAATATGTGTAGTTAGCTATTCCAAAATTAATATCCATATGTTGGATGTCAAGCAAGCAAATGAGTCGATCCATTCCAGTGCTACATTGTAAGCGTAATGAACTCCATCATTCTGGTGGAAACTATTACCTCAATGTCATCACATGAAGAATCCATCGGCATTATTGTTTTGACAGCTTGGGCATCTAAACAGAGCACTGCTTTAAGCTCATAGGCATGCTGCTGCAGGATTGTTGAATGGGATGCCAACATATCTTCAATCAATGATTTACACTGTTAACAAACAAGATATTACAAGTAGGCAACAGTAGGTGGGACCTCAAATGAAAATTGTAAGGTACTTAGCAAACTTCAGTAAAAATGTGTGGAAGAAGTAGCAAGGAGTTATTTCGTCCACAACCTACATATTAATTACTTTTTGATAACTTCCTGCACCCAAATGTGCATATCAAACTTCTTTAAACTAAAGTGTCGTGACAACGAGGTTAAGAACACAACTTACATAACACTTGACCTCTATGCAGTTTATATTTGAACATATCATTTCGGCATGTCAATGTGATATCATGGCAGGAAAAGCATTTCCAAAGTGCAAATTATCGGGCAGGATGGTGAAATATAAGGGAAAATGATTTCAAAGGGTAGTTTAAAGATGGGGTTATGTTTAGGTAAAGACAATATTGGCACCAAGAAACACCAGCATATAACTTCTAATATATCTGCATATTATATTAAACTTCAACCGCCATCTAAAACAGCAAAGTACAACACGAGTATGCAGAGAATGATCGATTTAAATGCTGATGGATATCTTAGTTACCATTCATAATACTAACATCATACCTCAGGTAGCATATCCACTGCTCTCCCAGCTGCAATTTCAAATGAATATATCTTCAAAAGTGCTGTTGCTACAAAGGCCTTCAAAATAAGAAGAAGAAGTTAACAGACAAGAAGGACAAAAAAAAAACAGAGAGCGAGACTGCAGTAACAATAACAATTTATAATCTAGAGCAAGGAAAAAAATATTACATGCAGAACAATGGGCTCACTAGAAAAGAAACAGTAATCGTGTGGAAATATCAATTAATAGCTAATAATTTTCCTCAGATGGGTGGATTATTAATTGAAAAGAATTATGATTATCAAACAAAACACTTCTTCCATTTGAGTTTCAAATGAGGCACATGCTTTCCTGTGGAATTAAAGTAATCAAAAACCTTTCACTAATCTAATTGTAGCATTCTAATTAGAATCTCTTTCTTTAATCTGGCTGAAACTTTGTAAAAAGATAAACAATCGATTCTCACTTTTATAAATAATATGTTCTCCCACAATGATGTTAATGGTTCAAGTACAGTTATATGAAAGGGATTCTAAACCACATATTTTGAAATAACAAACTCCAATACAAAATTTTGATCAATGACTAATTAATCACATAAACTTCAAAAGTTGGCTACTAACATGGAATAAAGTTGCAGTATATTAGTATGAACAAGTCATGGAATTGGAGCATTCATTCTACTCTTAAAATTAATAATATGGATTAATCATATCTATAAAATTAGTAGCACTAAAAAACCAAAAAATATATAATTAATAACTATATATATGTGCAGAATAATTTACAGCACATAAGAGCAAGGATGTTTGCCATGTGAAGCATAATTGCACAAACACTAGGACGCTATATACCTACTTTTACGACGTCATCTGATGCATTTGCCTCTGCAACATCACACAATTTTCCAGTAATATATGAGGCGGAATACTTCCCATCTGCAGTCCCATATTCCCCCAACACCCAACAGATCAACTACAAGATAAGAAGGCACAGTGCAAGAACAAGAAACATATGAGAGACTTATGGAGAGAGAATCTATAAAGGAGAACAAAAAGTATAATTCTGACAGCAATAGAAAGATGAAGCATACTTGAAGAAACGCTGATGGAACTATCGGTTCTCCCATAATTTGAAGATATGACTCCACCTTCAACCCACAGAACATTCCAAATTCATGTCAGTGTCAAATAGAGCAAAAACATGCACTAACAGCTTCCATCATTCTTATTACAAACGTTATGCCCCCCTATCCTACTGAAAAATAGACATATTAAAGGTGAAGGTAACCAAATCTCAAGTTAATCACTAGAAACGATTGCAAGAGCACACAATGGATCCAGAAGATGAAAAAGAGTATCTAATGACTTGGAGTGAAAAGAACTATACAGGTCAGAACAAACTTGTAAACAAAAAAATACATACAGCAAAAGATCTAAGCAGGCTATTGGCAGCATTGTCATCCTCTCCAAATCCCTCAGCAATCAGCCGCATCAAGTTATGAGCAACTTTAGCATTCACAAGGTCCCCTGCATGCTCAAATACTTTATTCATGGTCTGACAAACAAAACATGGGAGAAAAAGAAAATGATCAAACTCCTTAGATATTAGTCTCACAATAAAAATCACTATAGAGTAATATCAAGAAGCTAACCAGAATAAACCATTGGTGGCTTGGAGCAAATTGTTCTGCAAGTTCAACACATCTAGATGCTATTTCTGCTTTATAATGAGTATCACTGATGTTTATCATGTACTCAATCATTCGCTCCACAATTACTTCCACATTTGATGACTTCGTCATTTTATAGAGCAATTCAAATGTCTTGCGTTTCAGGGTATCATCTGGGTCCTTAATCATGAAACATGCCGATCTACGCTTATTACAATGATAGCAAGCATAATCATAACATACATAAATATATGTAATAAAAATCACATTGTCAAATAGCATGAACCTAATGGTCCCATACATTCCATATCATAATCAGTAACATCAATTCAGAACACATTTATAAAAATAAATCAAAACATCTCACCTCTAGACAATCAATGACGGCCAATTGGTGCTGTTCAGCTATTTCTGGACCTATCTTTATCAGACGACTAAGAGCATCAATACCAAGATACTTCATATTGTGGCTCTCACTCTGCCCACATGATGTAAACTAGCATTAAAATCGGCAAACAGAAATTTGAATATTAAAAAGAAATAACACCAGGTTGAAGAAATGCAGACTTTAAAAAATTTTGAAATGGCCTCAGCAACAGCTTCAAGCAGCTTTGGGTTGGGGTGTAACGACGAAACACAGCAGATGCATTCATAAAGAATGGCATTCCCAATGTTACTTGTTGAATCAATTTCTCTCATGATGTCACCCACTGTAGTGTACATTTGCTCGCTCGCCTTTTTGTCACCACTACCCAGTAGGGAAAGAATTTTCAACAGCTTGATCTATTAACGCAGGAAAATAAACTATATAAAAACAGATATGTACTACATAGAAATCTCAACAACTTATCTATTAACATAAGAAAATTAAGTATGTAAAGCAAAAATAAATAATATGCAGGATAACAATTTCAAAAGGCTGATATGTACTACAAAGCAATCTCAAAATTTCTCACAGAAAGGGTGTATCATCTAATCTATCAGTCACTGAGAACCACACTTATCTCTTACCAACAAATGCATTATACCACAAGTGTTGGGGGGTCTAGAGGAAGGATTCTACCAATTACTTAGTAGCAATCATAAAGTCAAGAGAACTAAGCTTAGGTTCCACATGTTAACAAACTACAATGAATGAATCTAATGAGTAATGACAAAAATAATAATAGCAAGACCAGAACCCAGTCTTACTCCTTATTATGATCTTGCCCAATAGTAACAACATGAAAGGGAAAAAAAAAAAAAAAAAGAAGGAAGAATTGTCACGAAAACAGCCATGGTTACCTGAATGAATGGAGCAGGCATTTGGCGATAATCGTAACTCTTTGGTAGTTTGCGTTCAACCACTTGCTTAAGAATATTAACAAGACTAACCACCAGATCCTTATATACATCAGGTTCAGCCAGAATAAGGTCAAAAAGGGGGCAAAGTGCTGCTCCCATGACACCAGGATCGTTATCAGAAAGCCTCTGCACCAAAAGCATGTGCTAAATGATAAAAAATAAAATTAATAGTTTAGGAATGAATAAATTTCCAACATTAGTATAATATCAATACAGATATCGACTCCAAACATGAATTTATCACTCATACAGCCAAAATCATCTCTAAACACCTCTTCTATGATTAAAATGAATACAAGGAAAGCACCAACTTTTCAGTAATTATTCGACTATTTTCCTATCTTTAACATTAGATGGCCTTTTTTACTTCACATTTACATAAGGCTTTCAAACATCAAATATGCAACATTCACTCTCAATCAAGGTGAGACTTGAATTCGAAATGGTTAATAACTTGCTTCCAATAATCAAGTCAATTCACTATTTGTTGATTTGTGTTCTGTTCCATTATCTGCCTGTGCAGTTGCAAAATCCACACAATTTCCACAGATAATTATATGAATAAAAAATAAAACAGACTTCCAATTTTTTCTGTTAGAGAAATCCAATCCCATTTCCTATGTTCAAGAATCAGGTGGCACACGCCATCACCAATTTCTTGAAGAGAAAAGGAATTTTTCAAATGTCTCTAAACATGGATAAACCCAAAGAGTCATGCGCAAATGTAGAATAATCACCCTCCGAAAATTTGAAATGAGGTGGGATACGGACCCTGGGGACTTCTGATGAAATCGATGCAACGCCATCACAGCTTTCTTCCGCACTGCCTCCATCTGATGACCCAATAGCTCCACAACCTGCGGTAAAATTGCTGGGATCGTCTCCTCATTAATCAATTTGCACGCTGCATTCAGCGCCGCGCAAACCGCCAAATAGTTATCGCTCTTCAAATCCTTCTGTATTGTGTTCACGATCAAAATTATCAGATCGTGATCCTCATTCAAAAACAAAGTCACCGCCAAGTAGCCAGTTCTCTTCAGCAGTAAATTCTCATCATGGGTCATCTTGACGGCATGGATGTACCCAAAGGAGGCGTCATGGCCAAGCATCTCGACGTAGAGGAGACGGATTATGTACTCCCTGAGCTTGAGCTTAGTCGTATTCGGATTAGATAGCCTCGATTTCAGAGTCTCGATCTCGCGTAACACAATGCGGTCCTCCTCCGCCTTGGATCGAGCCTCGCCGATAGACTTGATGAGGTCTAGGAACTCCTTCGACTGCCCGAATGCCCCCTGGGATCCCATCGCAAACTCCCTACCGATTGTTTTTAGCTGCTCCATAATAGTCTAACGATCCACAATACGGAGAAGATTATGCTTAACCTGGGTTTAGGGCTTTGCAATGGGTTTAGCTGCCCGAATGCCCCCTGGAGAAATGTGCAAGCGCAGAAGTCAAGAACGAAACCCGAGAGTTGCAATGTTCGCGATGAATCTGCAAGTATGGAGAAATCCGTCTGTCGTTTGTAACTGTTTCCAGACAGAGTCGCGTGAGGGTCCAAGACTAGGAAGACGACAATTGCTTCGAAGAAAAGACAATGGTTTAGGTACAACTACAAATAATGCGAAGTGTACTTTCACAATTTAATTAAATACAAATATTAAATTCCTTTTCCTGCATTTTCTTCACTTCGCGGTGGACTGCAAGTCCATCCTTAAGCTCCCTTTACAGGATTATTAATCATGAGTAAATAAAATTATTTATAATACATTAGAATAAAAAATTTAACATAAAATATTTACCAAGTTGGGAATTAATTTTGAACAGTAACAATCTACATGCATATTACTTAAAAATGAAAATTAGGTGTGGAACTTAATATCATGTAAACTAGACTCTACAAAGTAAATTACATAAAGTACGGAATTATGAAAGAACATTTTTGGTTCATATATTAGTCAATAGACAAATAAGAAAATATGAGTAGATTTTGAATTCAAAACGATCACAAATTCGCCTACCACATCTATTTCTCGCTCTTCTTGTTAAGAACATTGAGAATAGATTGTGCAGTGCAATAAGCAATGGCCTGGATAGTAACCATGGGGTTGACACCCAATGCACTCGGAAAAACACTCGAATCGGCAACGTAAAGCCCCTCGACTTCCCACGTCTCGCCCGTTGGCGCCACCGCCGAGTGCTTCGGGTCCGTCCCCATCCTGCAGCTCCCCATCTGATGCGCCGAACATATCGGACTCGACAACTTCTCCAGCGCCCTCGACATTTCCTCCTCCAAGAACCTCTCCAACTCCTCGGCGCTCGCCTCCTTCACCTTCAGCACCCGACCTTTCTTATGATGAGTTCCAATTTCGTCCGCGCCGGCAGCTGCTAGTATCCGCAGGACTCTCTCTAACCCTCCTCTTAAATTGTCTTCGTCGCATTTTGCCATTTTGTAACTAATGTTCGTCGGCGAAGTCACCACGCCGCTGCCTTTGTCCCTCGCCAGCGCAAAGATGTGTGCCGTGCGCGAGAATTTGAGCATCCGTTGCCTCATGTCCGCGCCCGATTGCCAAGGCATCAATGCGGAGAACATCCCCGGATGCAAAGCCGGCGTCTGAATTATCGTGTCGTAGGTTGACGATTCCGTGACTTTCGACATCGCCGTCATTATCCCTCCCTCGTAGCTCTTCTTCTCGCTCTCCGGCCATTCGCCGTCGGGAAAGTATCCCCACCCCATCACCACTGGATGCAGATGCAAGTTCTTCCCTATACTTGCATTCCTTAAACCGCTTCTTGTTAACAACGGCGGCGTGCAAATTGCACCGCACGCCACCACCGTCACTCTGGCATCCACGACTGCAGTTCGACGGACTCCGTCGTAGTCGTCGAACACGAATGACGCTCCGATAGCCTTTCTCCGGCTGCAACTTCCCCTGTTTTGCTGTGTGATGACTTCTACGGCTTCGCATTCGGGGAGGACTATTCCGTTGCCCAATTCGACCATATCCATGAGCCACGTCTCCGATACATCTTTTTTACTCCCGTCTTTACACCCCATGCAGCACGAGCCGCAGTAGTGATTCGATGGCGCATTGCGCGGGATCGTATCCGTAGGGAACCCCAAACGCTCGCTGCCTCGCCGCAAAACCATGTTATTGAATCCTTCGTTATCGATCTTCGACTGCACTCCCATTCTCCCGCACACGACGTCCATCGCATGCTCGTAGCCGCGGCTACGAAAGAAATGCAGCCCATGGTTCTCGCTCCAGTCTCTTACAACATGCGGAGGGGTCCGAATTGACGCCGACCAGTTGATCTTCGATCCGCCTCCGACCGTCGATCCTGCAAGAAGCAGGACATCCATATTGTCTGTCCCCATAATCCCATGTCCTAAGTACATTCGATCCATGGCTTCCCCTTCCAAAAGGGACAGCTGACTCCTTGCAAAATAGCTCCCTTTCTCTAAAACAAGAACTTTGTATCCGGCCTTAGCAAGAACTCCGGCAACGACACCGCCTCCGGAGCCGGAGCCGACGATCAAGGCATCGCATTTGATGATGAAGGAGGGGTTCAGACAATTGGTTATGTTCTTGGTCGAATGTTGCGGGGTCGAGGCAGGGAAGCCTAAGCTTTGTAATCTTTTAACAGACTCTTCTTTCGATCGATGGCTTAATCGAACAATGCCTTTTTCTAAAGGTCCAAACTTTTCTGCATTGTCTGGTTTTGGCCTGCGATAATCTATGGCTGCCCATGTATCATTCTCTTGTTTCTCATTCACCTACAAGATTTGTCTTTTAATTAATTATTTTCATGTAAAAAGAAATCAGAGATATGAAAGCTGGAATCTTGAAAGTAAGATTCTAGACCGAGGAAAATTTAATACGATAACATACATAATATAAGTTGGTCCCATTTCATAAATAAGATGGGGCCAAGTTCCCAAGTTGCCTACAGCAATGGCCAACTAAGGGTTCTGATTAGCTCCAGGACAACATTAAATTCTAACAAGTAATAAATCAGAAGAGCATAAGTTAAAATGCCAAAAATGTGTAGTCCTTTAGGTTGTTGGTAATAATGGTGTTTTCCTGTGACAACTGCCCAAGTGGTTTGTTTCTCAGAAGTAAAGCAATATTATTCACATCAATATTATCATTTAATTTGGCATTGCATGTGGTGTGGATCATCATCTTCTTCTTCTTCAGATTTTATTTTTTCCTTCTCCAATTAAAAACAAAAGATTAATTAGTTTAGCAGGAGGCAGATCAGTACCTGAGTGAAGAAGAGGAGAAGGATGAAGATCTTGAGAGCAGTGAAGAGTATTCTTAAGAGGTAGAAATTGCTTTCAGACCATGAGTGCAGTACAGCTTCCCTTTGTTGAAGTGAAAGCTCTGAAAATCTCTTGAAATATGGAAACTGAGGAGAGATGCTTCTTCTCCCACAGAGTATGAAGGTCCCTATCCATGTCGACAGCAGCCACACTGCAAGTTTACTCAGGTATAGCTTCGGATGCTCTAATTTTTCTTCAAGCAACACAGCAAGCTGCAACACAGTTAACCACAATAATTAATAAATTGCTTGGGGCTTCTGAAATCCCTAATATGTATCTCCATTGTGCATATAAATTAAATAAATGAGAAAGAGAAGTAATCAGTTAGGTTATTTACATGGTGAGGAGTGCCTGCCATGGAAGCTGAGGTTTGGTAGAAGTGAGTGATAATGGAGGAAAGAGGATGAGAGTGGTTAGAGGAAGAAGAAGGAGGGTTTATGGAAGGCAAGAATGCGTCGCATAGGGCAGAAAGAACCTCCATTTGGCTACCAGACCACCTGCTTTTCTTCTTCTTCATCTTCTTCTTCTTCTTCCTTCTGGGAGCAGCAGTACTGTAAAATATAAATATATATAAATGTTGAGTATGAATGCAGGTAGCTGGAGAAGCTTAACATGTATATATATAAGTGAAGAATGCAATATATAAATTATAATTAATTATAAATTATATATATATATATATAATAGTGGTTCTGCTGCTGGTTTTACAAATCCAGATGTCCTACCGTACACAGTTGCTCTCCACCTCCACTTTATGACGTGTTCAAATCGCGGGTGGGTAATAAGGTGACAAGTCAGCAGGTTTTGCCATTTCTGAGTACGCATCCCCACCTTGTTAGTGGCCGATGAAATATTTTATGGACAAAAAAAACAGGCCTGGAAAAGAAACCAGACGAGTTCTATGTCTGTAGGTGGCGAACCTTCTACAATTATTACTATTATTTTAATTATTTAATTATAGCTAGCTAATTTATTTATTATACTTAAAATAATCACGCAGGTGCTTGCATGGGCATGGAGCCCGAGCCTAGGTAGGTTGGTTGACAGTGCACATGCAACCTTTAACTCCTTTATTATTATACCATCGTGCTAAGGAAATTGCTATAGCTATTTTTGAACTAATATCCCAGAACCTAAAATGTGGCTAATTTTGAGGTTTGACATGCTTGAGAGTTGGATGAACATCACAATCCAATTTCTATAATTGATCTATAATTGAATTTTGTTGGTTAAACATCATCTATGTCATGTCCACAACCCACTCTGATGTACCTTCTTACTTACTACCTACCAATGCTCATAAAGATCATCAACTAAAATTCCCATAATAGGGCACCACAACAAACTTATATTATTAATAAAGCAGCTTTAATTAATTAAAGTAGATGAGAAGATAACAATAACAAAAAGAAGAAATTATTATTCTTAATTAATTAACATATATAAATCTGCTGCTCAACTGTCTCTGCTCGTATGAACTAACACGTATGTCTACTTCTCTGCTCATTTCACTAACCACGTCCACAAATACAATCCTACCTATAATTTTCAGCACTTGAATCATCAATCAATCGCTCATGCATTGTCTGAATGTATTGTGTTATAAATAATATACTAAAGGAAGATTATTATGCATGTGTTGAGGATGCAAAACCTTAATTAAAACCGCCTTCGGAGGTTGTATCGCTTAGTGCACGAACTGGTAGCCGATGAATTATCGTTGAATTCCTCCGGCAATAAATAATCTGGATCCTCCAACAAATTGACTTCTTCCGGAAGCTCGGTGTCGACCCACTGAGACCAATTAACATCACTATCATCTGTCTCCATGTCCCATGATATTAGTCCTTTGTTCCCTTGAATGGAGCTGACCTTGTCCATTAGGGTCAGTAGCATTTTGTGGTTCAGCATTTCATAGTCTCTGCATTATTATGTTGCAAAAATCCACCGTTTAGGAAATAGGATACATGTCTTGCAAGAAACAAAATCAATGTTGTAGATGTAATAAGTATGAGTTGATCATAATTAATTTCTACCTGTAGGTGATGATGGAATATATGTATTGGGTCGATGCTAGAAGTGCGAAAATAGACCTAATGATATGAATCAGCCACCGTTGCTGTTCTGCATCATTTGCTATGCCCCGCAGTATGGCTATCTCGATTGAGAATGCAAAACAGAGACCTTCATAGGAAAAAATAAAGTTGAGACAAACAAATGTAGGGATTTATTGAGGTTGCAAATGAAGTATTTTCTTTACCTAGATAGAGTCTATGCCTCACATTGTATGCCTGCCTTACACTTGTCAGCATGTAGACGACGAAAATTGCAAGCGAGTATGTGAGGAAAGCCATAAGGGCACGTGATTCAAAGAACATGGCGCTGTGCAGGGCGAACAGCTTGTCCAGGGCTACGAACATTCTTGCTTGCTTCGATTCAAATTCTTCCTGTGTAATAAGAATCAGGTACAAACTGTGATCAGTGCCATTGAGGAATTAGACCCTAGTTGGAGGTTTAAGGGAAAATATAATTAGTGACCTGAGCTGCTAGTATAAGTTTCGAATTTTCCACAAGATGATCATGGGACTGGTGGAGTTGCTTCTGTCTTTCCAGTAGCTCCTCCTGCTGCTTTTGCCCAAACTCAGCCAACCTCTGTAGATTCAGCCTGTGAACTCATACTGATTAAGATTAAGATACATTCAAGAGAATAATGTGTGTCCTAAGAGAATCATAAAATCAATAAAGTTTAATTACCTGCTCTCTTCAAGGGCTTGGGACTGAAATCTGGTAAGAAACTGGATTCCATCGAGAGCCATCGATTGCCCATCTAGAAGCTCTTTTTGTTTATCTAAGGATGTCCCAGCCAGATTCCCGATATCATCTGCCTTACTCTGCAATGTGTTCATCTTGGAGAACATTGTATCTCCAACCTTGGTGATCTCCTTCTCTATTTCAGCTGCTTCATTTCTCAAGTTAACAATTTCTCCTCCCAAGTTATCATAGGACTCCCGAATCATTGCCATTCCTTCTTCCAAGTTCGCCTTCATTTTCGTTTGGCCTTCATGTAACTCAAGTTGAGATGCTGCTATACCCTTGGACTGCTCGTAAACTGATTCTGAATACTTCAGCACTGAATTGACATGATCCTCGACTATCTTCGAAGTCTCTGCAACTTGCTGTGTTTTCATGTCTATTGAAGACAAAGAGTCATGCATCTGCTTAGAATTTTGCAGCAATAGCTCCCCATGTTCTTCTATCCTTGATAACTTTACTTCAGCGTACTCGGCAGTGCTCTTTAAATCATTCACTAATCTCTCAGTCTGATGCTTGAATGCTTCGTTTCTACAAAAGTTTTGAAAAGACATTAAGATAAATAGCATTTTCTAACAGCAAGAAATGGCAATAAACAAATATAAGCTTTTTGGAACAAGCTGCCTTACTGTAGTTGATGACAGAGAGAGTTCGTCTCAAGAAAGTATTCCAGATAAATTTTGTGAGCATCTGCGTCAAGCTTCATTAGACATTTCTTCATGGAAGATTTGGCATCGCAGTATGGGAGAGGAGATCGGCCAGTGTGGCGTTGAAAACAGTCGCTGAGATGCCAAGCAAATCTAGACCGTAATTCTTCATCAGCAAGGGTCTTTGAGCATCCTTGGAAAACATTTTGGTAGGCAGATTGCCAACAGGAATTTGGTGCGAGCATTTTGTTCTTAGCATTCTCGACGACCTGGAGACCTCTCCGATCATTCAGAGACTCAATGGAAAATTCAGAAACCACCTTGTTCCCTGAGAGTTTGTTGCTGTCTGAATGAACCTCCTGATTGGAAAAGAAAGACCAGCTCCATGACAGGGGAGTTTGAGAAAGCAACGTTAAAATTAGCAGAAAATGGTGAGGAAAGAAACGATCCATTTAAACTTCAATTCCTTCCTGCAACTGCAATATATTAATCAACCTTAGTAGATGTTTATTTCATCCATAGCGTAGATATTAAATCACATGACAAGAAGAACGTAGGAGAATTAAGCGTACGAGGCGATAGTGATAAATATTAAATTAGGGGAGAATAGAACCAACCTTATTAGCAGAAATCTAAAAACACAACAAAATTGCAGTATTCCATTGGAGAAGACAACTTCACATTTAAGTTTTAGACTAAGATGAAATTTACACCAACAGAGTGCCTGTAATTCATTCAAAACCTAATTTCTTCCAAGTTTGTTCTTTCCTGCCCATTTCGTTAAGCTGATATATTGATTTAGAATCTCGGGATACCAGCAGAAGAAGAATTCAATACTTTCTAATAATCCAAGCACGAAAGTAAGAACACGCAATTCTCACAACAGGATCTCGAAAACAAGAAATTTCCCTAATTATCACCCACGCATGAATATACTACGAACTACACACACAAATTTCAAAGCATCCGGAGCAGAGAAGTAGTGCCTAAGAAAGTCTCTTCAAAAACTACTGAATAAAAATAATAACAAATGGTAACAAAATTCAAAACCAGAGTAATGAAGTGGAAGAACAACTCACCAGAGGAAACCCGCCGTTGCAGCGAATTGAAGAGATTCAAAGAACCGCCGGCCAAACGCTGTGCATGTTCATTGTTTATTTATATACAAATACAGCTCACCCCGGGAAGCGTCCATTCGAAGAGTCGTTTTGACAGTTACATCTCGGGCAGGGTCGGTTAAGACTTCAGACCCGACCCGTTTAAGGAAATAACATGATTTCGATGCGTTGCACTCGTTCTTTCCTCTTCGCACTAAATAAGGAAAGTCAAGATTATGTCACATTAACTGAATCGAAAACAAAATACAGTAAGGGTGTGTTTGTTTTAGGGTTTTGATTTTGAGTTGGGATTTGAATAGTAAAAATTTTGAATTTGAATAGTTGTATGATGATATAAATAGGTGTTGATGTGATGTTTTGAATGTAAAATTGATTTTTACTATAATATAAAAAATGGAAAATAGATGTTTGATTCGATGTTTTTGGGGGGAAAAAATTGGATGAATAGTAAAACTCCAAACAAATCCCTCAAACAAACACACCATAAAACTATTTCTTGATTAGTTTCCATAATTTACATGTCACTAACATGGAAATAATTTATTTTTTTAAAAAAAAACAAATAGACCCAAATTATTATTGCTATTGAGGCTCGACCAAATAAAAAAGAAAGTACAAAATAAATCCTCATATAAAAAATATATTCCCTCCGTCTACAAATTAATATCCTATTTTTCTAGCTGGGACACTCAATAACTATTGTCCTATTTCTGTTTTTTTTTTAAACACACAGTTTACATTTTTACCCTCTATTCATTTATTACTTTTAATCTCGACCGTACAATTAAGGGCAAATTTGTCGATTCATAACAAAAAGACAATCACCTAAAAAACCGTGCAAATATACTTTAGGACAATAGAAATTGGACGGAGGGGATATATATTAATATCGCACTCAATCGCAAATTATGTGTCAAACAAATTATGGTTGTGTTTTTTTAAATTTTACACATCTTTTTACTATTAATATTTTTTTTTCTCCAAAAATATCACTCAAACAATTATTTTTCTTTAAATGTATTTTATATTCAAAATATCACAATATCTTTTTTGTTAAATAACTATTCAAATTGAACTTTTTAATATTTAAAATTTCAAATCCAAAAATTTTACTAAAATCCACACCATCACAATCATTTCTTGTTGGACTTGTGACTGATATTTTGATAGAGAAAGAAGCTTGAATAGTGTATAATTTATTAATTTCTTGATATAATTAAAGTATTATATTTTATAAAAATAATTAATATGAAAATTATAAAAATAATATAATAATATATTTATATTTTAAACTTTGTAATTTTTTATTATATAATTATATCTAATTTAAAATATATGAATTTATTTGTTTAGGATTTTAATTTACATAATTGTTTTAGGTAAGGTATTTGTATCATTAAAACCCATTTTTATCTAATACATCAATACTTTTTATAATTTATATTTATTTATATTAATTCAAACATTTGTTTACTTACTTATCAAATTTATTATTTTATTTAACTTTTATATTGTAACTATTATTATTTATAATTTTTACAAAATAAATCATTAATAAATAGTATATATTTAAATAAAATTAATATTGTTGAATAAAAGTGATTTTTTAATAAACAATAGAAGAAAATATATTAAGAATGAATAAATATAAATAGGCAGTTCAGGAAATGTTGATTTTTTAAAACTATAATAGAAATCGTCGAAATTGAAATAATGATTTGAAATGTTCGACTTTGGTTCAAACTTTTGATAAACCAAAATAGACATATTTCAATCCTCTAAATATAATGTTTATATTCTAATATAAATATATAGAATGAAATATGTGTTTTCTTGTCTATTGAACTATAATGTAATATATAATTTGTATATTAATAAAATATATTCAACACAATATAAATAAAATTTTAAAGTATCTAATAATATTAATTAACAAAAAGTAATCTATAAGAAATACTCCCTAATCTATAAGAAATACTCCCTCCGTCTCATGTAATATGGGTGTATTACCGTAGACACGAGAATTTAAGTAAAGTAAATAATTATAAAAATAATTATAGATTAAGATTAAGATAAATAAATAGTTTAATTAAAATTAAGAAAATTATAAAATTTAAAATATAATTATATTTTCAAAAATAGAAAGGACAAGTTACGTGGGACAGACAAAAATAGAAAATAAGGACAAACTATATGAAACGGAGGGAGTAGCAATGTTAAAATATATATAATATTATATACTTAGGAATACATAAAACTGTAATAATATAAGTATACCATATCTTTAAGAAGTTTAAAAAATAATTGGGGCGAACAATATTGGAAGCATAATAATTTAATATTATTTTCATATATTTAAAAAAATATTATAAAACGATTGATGCAAAGTGAGTTGATGGGATGTGATGTATAGAACAATCTCCTTCGAATACCAACAATGGATCAACTTCCGAATTTTCTATCAAAAACTTATTTAAACTAAAGAAAATCGATATGGATAAAGGGTTGAGAGCTTCACTCAATATTATTTTTTTTAAAGTATGATCTTAAAATCACTCATCACCGATCTTCAACTCTATAAATCACTCAAATTCCTAAAATAAAAGATTTCATATTAATTCCTCTTTGCACTGAAATGAAAGGAATGAGTTTTGATGTTTTGATCTTTTCTCAAATATATCCTTTATCTTATATATATAATATTAAATAATTTTGTTAATTTTATATTATATTAAAATTAATTTAAATTTAAAATATCATATTAATATTTATATATATTACATCAAATAATTATTTTTTTTTAAAAAATTACTATTAAAAAATTAAAACAAAAAACACCAACCTCAAACAATCGCACATATATTTATAAATACTTAAAACTAAATATGTAAACAATATATTTTAAATTTACAAATATTTTAATTTATATTATACAAATATAAAAATAAGTGTGGCTAACGCATGGAGCATTTGATTCGACGACCTCATCTCATCTGATCTGAGTAAGACTAATGTGAAGGCAATAATTTCGTTCTCACTATGGAAGTCAAGAAACGATAAAAGCGTGCCAGCTTTATAATTGTGTGCAAAAACCAAAATACGATTTTATATTGCAATTCGTAGTCCACCATCAACCGACACGTGGCGACATCAGCTGCGTCCATTCCAGCTATAAATATGCCCCTCAAACCCTTTCTCTGCAGGCGCAATCGATAGCGGTGGTGATGGTGCTCCCCCTCGGATCTATGGCGGAGGATCGTGAATTAATTTTGCCGAGGCCTCTAATTCGCTTGGTGCAGGTCGGGAACTCTCTTCGCCGATGTGAGTTAAGCATACTCTGCGGATCGTACGCGGTACGGAGGTTTGCGAGTATGCGTGACGGTGTGTTCATAATTTGATGTCGCCGGTTCTTTTTGTCTGGCGAAGATCAGGTTCCCGCCTTGCATCAATTGAATCGGAGACCGTGGTGATTCTGATGTCTGTTATGCGGTGGCGTTAATCGAAAAGATGGATCTACTGTTTTCTGTTTTTGCAGGGGTGTTAATTTGCCGCCTTGAGATGGGGAATTTACGGATCTGAGTATGACTCTGTCAGCGCCTGATAATATGAATGATTCCTATTTACTTCATTCGCCAACTATCGATTTATCAGTTGTTTCTCGCATCCTCTCTTTTCTATCTTACACGAGTATCTCATCTTAATGTTACGAATAATTTTTCAGACGTTAGGAAAGTTATATCGGCTAAATTGCTTCGACGTTAATTGTTGATTGGCTTCACCATGTTATTATACCTACTGTCTTGGAAACTGAGAGACTCTCACGAGATCTTGATGTGTTTTATGTTACGTGGATGATTGGGAGAACTTGGAGATTTATATAGATTTCGTTTTTATTAATTTGTAAGTGTCGAGTCTAGTTTGGTGGTGTGGTTCCCGTTTGTGCAGGAGATCCATTATTCTTGTAATCCAACAATAAACAATTTTCTTTTTCCTGTGGTGTTAGATTGAAGTTTACAGTTTTCCTTTGACAAACATGTGTTTCTTTTACTCTAATCTCATGTCTTATTTCCTATCTCGCTTTGTTTTACTTATATTCAGATGGAGTCATGGGAGCATATCTATCTTGCTCCCTTCAAATGAATATTTGGTAATATGTGGCATAAGTATTTGCTTTTATTCTCATATTTGTCACATAATTTACTTTCTTGACGTCTAAATGGTAAGTTGATATTTTCTCTTGGAATCGGTCGGGTTAGTTGCTTCTATATGCTTATCAATCTACAGATGGCTACTTCTGTTTGGTTCGAGAGATATTCTTTTAAATTCCATTACTTTTTTTATTATTAATAGTGTTTAGAATGACGACAATTTTGCAATCAATATCTTGAAAAAAAGTTCAATTCATAGCACGTGTCATTTTGCTCGAATATCAGAAATTAATTGAGGGATTTGGGTTTAAAACCCATAGATCAGAATATGGTAACTGCATCCGTCTTACGTGGCACACTTTGTGATTTAATGTAAAAAAGCAGTGTATTGTATTGTCTTGAAGATGGCCTAGACAGTTGTCGATAAATTATTTTGTTTAGAAAGTGGTGTAAAGAAATCCCAGCCAGTTCCTGCCAACCTATGTGTGTCTAGTGAGCTGCATAAAGCACGAACTTGTTCTTTTACGTGTTTTATTACTCTCAAGCCATTCATCTTCAACGTCAAGCTCTTGTTATTTATCAGGTGGAACCTCCCGACCATAGCAGATACTTGTCTTTTTATTGTTTCCATCAAATCTGCAGGCATTGCGGAATGATGCAGCATACAGACAAGAATGTATGGTGCTATGTGGTCCTGTTATCGTAAATGAAGGTGAAAGGAAGGTATAAATGGTCCTGCTACGATAAGTGACAGAGAAAATGAGGTAACAATGGTAGGTGTGTTTCATATAACCCTGAAAGTGACTGTTGATGCAATTATAACTCATGAAAAATAAGTGAGAGTTTTTCACTCCACAAATTTCCAATATAATAGGTCCGGTCGTTGCCTTGATGCAATCACTTATATACAGTGAGAGCATACTTGTAAATGTTACTATTGTAACAAAAATATCACATGATGCGTTTGATTTGCCTGCTAGTGAGTTGGCTTTGGGTGTATATGATATGCCAGCATTGAAGAAGGTTGCCGACTATATGGAGAACCTGCAGTGGGTTTGTTGTTACTAAAAGAGAATGTGTGTAATTGTCAGCTGCTATATCTAGGATGAAATTGTGAGTCTACCCCTCCGCCGGGTGTTTGTATCAACCTCATTTTGTGTCGTCAAAGAGACTTAACACTTTTTCATCTTTGCAGGCCGGGAATATTAGAGGAAACTTCAATTCCAATGGTGGAAAAGGTGCTGACCGATGATCGGAAGCGTTGGGAGGTTATGACAATGGTAAGATATACAGGAGGACTTTTCGGGTAATTAACCAAATTTTTGGGCAGTGCTTTCACTGGAACTGAACGTGAGGCTACTTACAGGTACTATTTGATATCTTTGGTGATGTTTTGGAACTGATGCTGAATCATCACCTCTGGATTTCATCTGTTCGGCCATGGTTTATTTTTTAGGGAACAGTTGTTCTCTTGGTCTTTTGTTTCAATGTAAATTTGAGTTGTGTTGTGATGGGGGAGATTAAATGATTTTTTGTGTATGGTATGGAAACATAAATATAAAAAATACTTTATTACTTTAGGTTGAATACTTTAAGTTGAATATTTATTTTTTTGATTTTTTATAATGAATATTTTAAGTTTTTTTTTTTTTTAATAAATAATTGTATTGACTGTAAAATATTGATACATGTTATTAATAATAAAAATTTGATGCAAAATTTCTAAGAAAACAATATTTATCTCATGAAACAACTAATAGTCTTGCATGTTATTGCAATTTCAAAGAAATTTCAAATATGAACAGTGTAAATTACTACTGGAATTACAATATAAATATTCTTGCATTGTGTTAGAATAGGATAGTTTGTACCAGACAATAATATATATACCTATATAAATTACCATTGTTGGAACAACATTTGTTAAATTTATGTATTTTTTGTATTTTTTAATAATGACTCTTGACAATTGTTTAACTATATGTTACCCTGCACTAAAATCGGATTATGCAATTATTTCTCACCCTTAATTAATTTAAACAAAAAAAAATAATAAAAAAAATAAAGTTCAACATTAGAGGGAAGAAGAAAGCAAGACATCATTCACTCTATTATGCAATGAATCCTCAATTTTCCATCATTATAACTTTATAAGGAAGGAAATGACATGAATATATATTGTCTACCAAAGAAAATATATCTACCAATGTTTTAACATCACCAAAAACTAATGCAAAAAGCCTAGTTTACAAAAATTTTGAAAATGGGATCATCAGACCCTCCCAAGTTGGGAATCATTTTCTTACCTTAGAGAATCACAGTACTCCGGGAATTCACACCGGCAAGGCCCTCGCCGCACCTGAAAAACAGTCTCAATAAAGAAAACTTAGGAAAATTTCGAAAAGCCTAAACTAGCCAGGGAAAGTGAAAAATGATGCATAAGTTCGATCTATGGTCTGAAAATCCTCATAAACTGAAGGATCATCAGTGTAGTGAAAGAAAAGTTTTTGGATGCTTCGATATCTTGTCAAAAAAGCTATGCTTTAGAAGTCGGATGACTACATAATTGTATATGAAACCAAGATGATCAAATCGGGTAGTAGCTAAAAACAACACATACCTTTCGTATTGTAAAGGACACCCTCCTTGAACTCCTGCGGATCAAACTGTCATTCACTTTGTCCACCTACATCAAAAACACTCACAAACCATCATCCAAAAATTCAAACTCTTGAAATAGTTGCAAGATGTTCGTACAAGTATCTGGAGCAGGACCTTCAAGAAAATATAGACAGAATGTAGTATGCCTTGAAATTTTCATTTCATTATTGACATAAAATTTGGTTCATTGTATAAAAGTGACATCAAGCTGCACCAATGGTGATTGGAAAGTCTTGTGAATTGTACCTTGTGATGTGGAATGTAGTGATGCCAAGCATATCGAGCCTCCCCAGATAACAATAGCAGTGATCTAGGTGGAAGATAAATAGCTTTCCTTACGAAACTTGAATTGTTTTCATCAGCCAGTTTCTCTACATCAGAACTTTGGGTAGGTTGATCCTGCCAAACACCAGCAGCATACTTTCTGAATTCCATGATGCAAGGGCCGGCTAGCGAAAGGCTGAAAATTAACCTCTCAAATGCTGAATGGGTGTCTATATGTGGGGACAAACCCACACCGGGTGGGTACTCATTAACCTGTTGTTTTGATATATAAAGACAATACCAGTTAACTATTACACCTCAAAACATCCACCAGAATCGACAAGGAAATAAGTTCTAGAGAGCAGAAAATAATAAAATATGGTAAAAATTAGGTAAATCCTGCAGTTTCATAGCAAATACACTTACAGTTAGCTGATCCAGAGAAGTATCGGCGTCCTGATGGAGAAATGGAAACGACCTGATCCTTTCAAGTATTGGGGACATAAAGGATGGGAGCTCGCCCAGGTTATGATTTGTGTTAACATTCCTTATCTGGAATATGGGATAAAAGAGAAGGGTAAAGTAATCAAATAATATGACCATGAATCGACACTTTCTATAGGCTCAATATTCAAAGTGTAACATAAAACCTAAATTTATCTTCTTTCACATCTTATAGTGTATGAGTGGGGAATATGGGGAATGGTCATAACTCAAAGAATCATCCTAGTTACATTTCTTTACATCAACTCAAGCAAGTTAAAATGTTTCATCTCGAATACTTGACACTTGAAAATGGAGTGAAATATGAAAAGTAGTAAAAACGAATATTTAGTTCTTGTGTTTAAAATGGATTGGATGCAACTCAAAGAAAGCAAGGATAAAGATAATGAAAGAACCAACTGCCTGCTTGGCAAACCCGTCAGACTTACATCATAGCAAAACTCATATCCATAATGTTGAACTCTTCTTTTGGCAAGGTGTTTCCATGGCCTACTATCAACTGCATCGAGTAATTCCTGAAAATGAAGGATCAAAGCTTGCAGAGTGAAGCATGAACACTTGCTAGTTGCTAAGAATAAGTGAAAAAAGAATTGACAAGGTGTCAACACATTACTCCAAGATGTGATTCTTAACTTGCTCTTCTGTGTTTGTAACGAAGTCATGAAATAAATAAAGTCCAGGAATGTCCATGTCCGAAGCCGAAGTTGATACTGGCACTGAAGCAATGGAATTGACCTGAAAAGATGGTAATATCAATAAACAAAACATTGCTACTTGACCTAATCAATAAGCATTTTTCTGACTTCTTGTCAAAACTGGAAAATCAGTTAAATTAGGTGGTAGGACTTAAAAATTCAACTGAGGATCAGCAACCATAGCTCATGCTGAAAAGAAAATTAATTTAGGAGACTTTAGTGATGGTGATAATCAACTTCACATGATACCTTAGTATCGACTGTTTGGACAGAGTAGCGAATGTGCAGGTATCGCCCTCCAAAACTACGACATGGATTTCCATTCAATGCCTTCATTGCTGCTTGTGAACTACTGATATCATTATACGAAATTATAACTCGAGTGCCGCTCTCATCGGCCGGGTAGATTCCCTTGACCTCTCCATATGCACCAAAAACAGAGGCTATTTGATCATATGAAAGTCCAACTGCTGGTCCACAGTTGGCCACAAAAAGGTGAGGACTGTGTCTCACAATCCCGTCCTTGGGACGTGTAAATCTTGGCAAAGCCATCAGTTTCACTCTGCAACATCACCAAAAAAATATTACTTGTAGAAACCCAATCTGCAAAATCATTACTTTGATTATGCAAACGAGTGCTCAGTTCATCAATTTGATTTCTTACAGCGTAATAGCCACCACGATCAACATTCCATAACAAGTATCCATAATCCATTACGAAGTTAAAAAGCTATGAGGAAACAATGATCTGAGGAAGTGCCCAAATTCTAGGGTTCTAAAACTTACTTCATCAATTCATAACAATCAAGAGCTACAATAAGAAATCGAATCAAATAGAATGAATAAAACATACCCTAATAACTAGAAACTCTAACAGCATTCACCACATACAAACAGTGACGGAACTGCTAGGGGCGTCGCCGGCGAGATCTGCAATCTGCTTTCCTTAGTCTGGTAAGGATCAAGGAAGGTTTTTCTTGACTTAATGTCGCGTTTCCAAACCGTTATTTTTCTTGACCTAATGTCGCGTTTCCAAAATCCTAATAACGATTTTCCTTTTGGAACGTATAAAAGCTATTAACCAGCTGTTTGGCTGTTTCCCTATTTTTCCGGAGACGGCGTCGTTTCAGAAGAAACTGTAATTATAGGCCCGAATGAATATTGATCTACAGTTTAACTGTAATATAAAAGATCATCGTTTTATCTGAGATGATTTTACTGTTGGATCAACGTCAAAGATGTTGGTAACATTATATACATACAGATAGGAGATTTGGAGTATATCAGGGAGAGTTTGGACAAGATATGCTCTGAGAAGCTTCTCTCCCGATACACCATACTCGGTTTCTGCTAGGCGTCGCACTTGCCAAACCGATCTTGGTTTGTTCATCATGGCATTCAACATCAGAAGCCTCTGTCTCGCTGGAATTGGTGAAGGAGTTTTGATTTATACAATTTTTCTGATAAATGAGGGAGTGACGAACTCGATCAATTACTGGACTATCTGATATTCCAGGAATTCTGGCTCCAACGAGATGCGAGATTGCTGCAGAAGAATTTGGACTGCTCATTAAGTCCTCTTGCAGAATGTCTCCGATTCGTGAGAGAATGCTGAATGCCAAATTAGCTAGAACTCGGGAGTACGCTTCGATTATCGCTTGTCCAACGTCCTACGTGCGGAAAGTTCAAGGAATCAACAATAGTTGGGAGTGAATTGAGGTATTTATAAAACATCGTCGTTTACCTTCCCGTATTGGACTTTTGTTGCCTCAAGGAACGTCGGAGGAAGATTTGGATACTTACTCCTAAGCTGCTGCAGCAGTGCTTCCGCTTGGTTCACTAACTCTCTGGTTTTATCCATCTCAGAAATTGGATCTTTCATGAAGGACCATGACGTCCGAACAGGTGACTTTCCGTTCCCTTGTTCCGTGATGCTCTCTTTCCACACCGATATAGCTGAGTCTAATTTATTGATAGTTTCGAGAACATTGTGTTCGGATTTCAAGTTTAGGCAGTTGATCATTTCCTCTGCAGGCATCGATTCTGAGCTCAACATCCTGTGGAGCTCCTCCCCGAGGGCTGCCTTACCAGACTGCAAAAACAAACAGCAAATAATGTGAGCATCTTTAATAATAACAATGCATTTCTGCGAATAGCTAAAATTGTTGTGACCTTTGGAAGGATATCTTTGATGGTGGTAGGAATCGGCATTTCGGCCAAGACGCTTTCATTGATGGCTTTGACAGCTTTGAAAACTTGATATATCAATTTACCGTGATGCAGTAACCGTTTTCTCTCCATGTCTGAGAGGCCAGATCTAGGTACACATGGAGAAGGAAGCCACCATCGTTTGCTCTCTCCTGCGCTCCTGCTCCGCCCTTCTGCTCGGCTCCCCACTTCCGAGTACCAGAATTCGGTGCCAACCATTGAATCGAGTGCTTCCTATGAGTTCACAAAATCAGTTTAAGTAATCTGCTGAAAAGTTAAAATCAATTCCAGAGCGAAGAGGCCACCTACAATTAGCATGGAATCCAACTTCCGCAGCGCTGGAAGATTCATTTGGACGTCAGCACGAACTCTTGGAACCATTATCTATTCCAAATCAGAGTGAAGCCTAAGAATCACTACTACTGAAATTTTGAAGGATTGGAAGTAAGGATTATGGAGCACGTACCTCCATCGAACGCCCTTTAGTACCGGTTTGTTTTGCAGGAACTAACTCAACCATATGTTCAGTCGGCGAAAGCAGCCAATCCATTTCTCTTCGCCACTGTCTCTTTCTCTCCTCCGGCAATGGCTCCAGCTTCCACAGCTCTCCAAAAACAGAAGCTGCTGAATTTGTTATGGCATTGGACAAAGCTAATGCAGTGGAAATCCCTTTAGCACCTCCAGTGATATCCTCTCCAAGCAACAAGTTGGCGAATTTTTCCCTCATTGCTTCAACTTCCGGAGGGTGGCTGGTGCAGCCGAGTTGTTTTTCTTTTTCTGCTGAGGTTGCTGAGCTGTTATATTCGTCTCGAGACGTGTCCTCTTTCTTCATTGTCATCCAGATAGATGAGAATGACCCAAATGCATTGGTACTGGAAGAACAGGTGGAATCATCGTCATCGAAGGAATCAGTGATGCAACCGTCTCCTCTGCTCGTCCCGCTTTCGTTCTCGAAGGAATTGCTGTTGTGAATGCACGTCTCCAGGCCACTGTACGTCATTATTCCTGAAAGCAGATGGTTTTCGAGTTAGTGTTCTTGAAGATGATCCTGGCTGCAAAAAGGAAACAAAAACAGGTACCATATTCCTACTCAACATTTATCATTTTGTCCTAATTACTACAACCTTATTAGATCCACAGGCACACACTAGTTTTCGTAAGATTCCACTTGTTCTGAGCAAAAGAGAATCTAAATTAGCTAGAAATGCATAGCATGTTAATTATTCAGTAGATGGCCTCAAGCGTAGGGTATACCATAAAATATAGGGCAATGCTTTTGCAAGCTTTAATCCTGTCCTCTGTAAGAATCAGAAAAACAACCTTAATCTAGTGGAAGAAAGCCAAAGGGAAAACAACTCAAGGGTGTTCACTACACCTACCACTATTTGTTTATTTAGCTGCCAACTGAAAGTCAATTTGAAGTAGAGCATGGAAAGTAGAAAGTGGTTTCAGTGATTTATGGATATAAAAATTCTATAAAGGTATATATCCAAACAAAACTATACAATTTAAAAAAGGGAAATAGCATAGGACAGTGACTTTCATGTCTCCACTAAAATTTTAAATAAAAGATACTGCTAAGAAAAAGGTCTACATATAAATATACAAATAGCAATCATACATCAAGCCATGGCCATACAAGCCCATGTCATGAACTCCATTATTAGACTGGCATTCTGCTATGTCTAAACCCAAATTTAAAAAACTTCAAACATCATTAAAGAAAGAAGGGAAAATGACAAAATAACAAAACAAGAAACCCCAAGAAAATGAAATGCAGGAGTAGCAAGTTTTCGAGGGGAAAAGGACAAACTAAAGGCTTGAAACACTGTAATAAGTGGTGAATGGAGAAAGAGTGTATTGGGTAGTAAAGGCAGATTGAATATTGTAAGAAGAGGCAAGAAACTACTCCTTACAGAGTGACATAAATGTCTGTAAATGGGAGTCACCCCACATGGTCTAAAGCATGAAGTGAAGGTACACCTTTGTGTTTAATCAAAAACAATAGATAGAACCAACCATTAACATCTTTCTTGGCAAGAACCATCTTGGTCTTATTCTTGATAGAAATTTACACCACAAAACTCAGAATAACTCATGGGACTGAAGCTACAAACAACAGCTTTCATAAAGAAGCCATGTGGTAGGGTAATCAATTAGGCTTATCACCGACGAATATCTATCAAATTGTAAGCATTCAATGGCTTCTTACATGCCACTTTAATTCAAAATTGAAGTAAAGCAATGGCCCACCCTTTGTAATAAAACCCCTTTACACAAAACATGTGCGTTTAAAATCAGTTGCTCATAAAAGTAGCCATATAAACGAAGGGTACCTATATCTGGTGAGTCATTTTTTAGTAAAAAAATGCATAGGGAATAAAAGACACAGAAATTTTAACAGTGAAAATGACGTAAAAAAAATTAAAAACTTACTTTCTTGTTCATCAAAGTCAATGCTGGTTTCCCTCGTGTCTCTAGTCCAGCAAGGGAGTTTCTTCCCCATGATCATTCCTGTGCTGCTCATGTGAAGAAATTGAAAGAGAAAACTCTTCAGCAATCAAGAAAACACAAAATGGCACCATAATTGGAAGGTAATGCAGTGATTGTATTTTTATTCACTTTCAAGACTAGCTTGTGAATTAGGACAGGGAATAGTCATTCTGCCATAGATTACGGGACAGGGGCCACAATTGATTAGAATCTTTATAAGCCAATCTTTCTGCTGATATATATATATATACAGTAGCAAAATACTAATCAAGATTGCCATAAATGGATGAAGAAAAGTGAAAAGATTGAAACTTGAAATGAGAAAATATATGGAAATGCCGGATTTTGCGGTGGTAGATTAGAAAAAAAAACAAAAAACAAAAATTTAAAAGAATCTTTGACGTTGTGAAGCAGAGTTTTGTTCTTCCATTCTTTTTGTTTTCAGATGAGAGAGTCTTGTTATTTGTCATCTTCTGAATAGAACAGCCATCTTTTACTATGCACGAGAAATTAGTTGCTAGTGTAAAACAATAAATAATATATATATATATCTACATTACTTACCCACAGAGAAAACGCGAAGGGGGAACAAGAACTACTGCGTTTTTGTACCCTGAGAAGAACAGAGGTAAGGATTCTTGCTTATCAAAACCTTGGAATTTCAGGGGAAAAGGAAATGGAAATGTGAGATCAAGAATGTGAGAGAGGGTAAGAAACAGATGAATGGAGGAAGAAAGATCACAAAATATTAATAGTGGGAGCAATGTGGTTTTTGCATCAGAAGCTAAAGACAGGAAATGGAGAGAAGAGAGAGACAGGATTAGCGAAATAGGAGTGAGATGGAGACACAGAGAGTAATGGTGGGAAAGCTGTAAGGAAAAGTGGCTAATTCCAGATTTTAGGAGTGTTTGTCCAAACAAGTAAATGGGGTTTCTTTTAAACACCTAAAAAGCATACGATTATGCCTAATCACTGGAAAAAGGATTAAATTGAGTTGGTATTATCATCATTACATATTTACATTTACTGCTAGAGCTACATAGATTGGAGTTAACTATTTTCCCTCTAATTGTGGGTCTTACTGCTTTGAGCTGTTAATAATTTGAATGTGATAAAGAGCTAATTTAGGAGCCTCTTAATAATAGTTGCCTAAATCTATATCCACTGCTTTGATCAATTTTAAAATTTTGAATTGATTTAGTGTAGCCAAACGTCTAGGAAACTAGCAGTAGCTCATACTATTATTGATATACCTTTTCTAGTTTGATTAGTTTTTATGAAATATTAAATGACTCAACTCAACATTTATGAAATTAATTTATGACATTTTGTTTTTGTGGATGTGATTGTGCCCCATTATTCCAATTGTGAGAAATGTTCAAAGGTTTCTTCATTTTTATTGAATTTCTTGTCTCAATAAATAGTGCAATGATGGATGAATCAAATTTGGAGCCTTGTAATAATATCTATCAAGAACTTTCTAAAAAGGTGCGACTGTAGGACCAAACCATGAGATCGTATTAGTAAAAGGGCTTTCTGTAAAAACGACTTTTTGATCTGCTACATTCTGAATTTGCAAAAATACAACTCCTTCGGTCCCACTCCTTATGTTCACCTATTAATTATATTAATTAGTTATTTTAATTTATAATTATTTATTTTTCACTGATATATTTTTAATTACTTACTAATTATACTCTTCATAAATTCTCGTGTATATAGTAAAACATACTAAATATCCGATAGCGAGCGAATAGCAATGATGCTTATAATTGAATATATTTTTATTCTTTTCCTTTTTGACCAAACGAATGTTGGGATTTGGGGTAAAATATTTTAGCATTTTACCAAATTATTCTTGATTTGATTATAGCTAGACGCTGGTTAACTGACTGTTTGTGTGGGGGGTGGGTGGGTAGGAGAGGCATAAAGATATGTCCATAAAAAGTCATGAATCAAAAATTGAGTCTTTTTAAGTGAGGATACTAATTTAAACAATTTTTTGTTTTAAGTATGATATATATATATATATAGCCCCATAATCATACTATATTGAAATGTTACTGCATTTTAAATCCTGGATGGATATATAACAGCATCCCCAAGGTGTCTCATCTCCAGAGTCACCTAATAAATAATCATAAAAATATTGAACATACAGAAAATTTGAATTTTTGTTTTCATGTCTCATCACCACTGCTTTCAATAACAACAAGAGGGTTCTTGCATTTCAACTTCCTAACAGGCCTGTTTGCAACAGAACTACTGTCCTGCTCCTCACCTGAAAAGCCTTCTTCAACCTGATTGTTGTTGGCCTCATAATCATTCATTTCCTTAAGAATTTCCTCCCCATATTTCTCAGCTTTCAACTTCCCGATGATTCTCTCCAACTGAAACAACGGAATAAATGCACAATTAGATTTAATGTTGGTGCTTTCCTAATGTAAGAGATCACAAAGTATAAAGAGCTTTAGCCATATGGCAAGACAATGCCTGCGGTTTCGACCTAAACAAAGTATGAAAATATGTCTATAGTGACTGCAGTGCAGTCGGCATTTAGCATTATTGAGCAGCATGATGGTAGAAATCAAGCAATGATCACAATACACAACAAAAACTGTACCTCTTCCATGGATTTTGGCTTTTCTGCACTCAGTGCACTAATTTGCTGGGTGGATAATATTGAGTGAGGAAAAATCCCCCCATCGCGGGATGCAAGTTCCTTCCGCAGTTTGTCAAGCATGAATTCCAAACCGCTAGATCTGAGGCGCTTTCGAGTCTTTGAATTAGTTGTATTATTTTTCTGGCCACAAAGAACTTCAAGTTTAACCGCCTTCTTCCCTGCAAGCGACGAAATGACAATTGGCAACCACAACATTTTTATAAAAAAAATAGATTAAAGGTGTCTTCTAGGTTCGCTTGTGCCCAAGGTTAATGCACTGCAGAAAATAAATGCAGTGTCTTTAGTGTAAAGGAGTGTGGGTTTCAATTTGGTAATGAAGACATATGTCAAAGATTTTAAAGATTACAGTCAAGCATCAGAAAATCACAGGCAAGTAATATGTAGGTGGAAGATTTTAGTTATTGCCAAGGCGTAAATGGTTGTCGTAATAAACAGGTATCTACTAGTTCCACTGATTACAGATTTTAATAGCTGAAAAGATGAAGATCCAGAAGATTTGAACTAAAGAGTTTCAAGCATTCAATCGGCAAACTCACCGTACAATACTTGCTTTGCGAGAGGACCTGTTGTCACATAAGCATTTGTAGCATAAGCAGTATGCTGGAATTCTTCTTTCTGCACAAGAGGCGCAAGGCATCATGCACTAATAAAATATAAAGGGCATATATGCAAATACTTGTGCTCTGACAGACTATTGGCTGTCCTGAATCGTAGATAGAATACCACTGTCAGACAATAAGTCGAATGTGTATCATGATGTTTATTAAGATATCCAGAAGGGAATTGGTGCAAACAAACAAGGTAGCCACTATATAAAAGAAGAAAACAAGTAATTGCTGAAATTTCAAAGACGAACCAGAATGCGATCCACCACAAGCTGTACAACAATAAGTTCCAAATCCTCCTTTTTAAGCTCAGGGTCTGTGCATTCAAGAAATCTATGATTAAAAAGAGAGCAGTGCAGACGGGGTTTTCCAAATCCTCCTTTTTCTAGACATCACCCCACAGAAGTTGGACATTCAAAGGAAAGAAAGATGCATGGATGATGATGTTTTGCAGATTTGAAACAAAACAACAACCAAAACTAGATGTGAGAAATAAGCACATATGACATCTCTTAACTGTGAGAACAAAATAGTTTCAAAATCTTGTAAGAATCCATCTGATTTGAAGAAATTGAAGATCAATAACAACTTTGAATTTATATATATATACAGCTCTGAAATCAGATAGTTGAATATTGCTGTGTAAACAGCTATGATTACTTTTTTGTATTGCAAAATTTCCTAAGGCACAAAAAAAAGGTATACACCGACACAAATAACACAGAATTTGCATTGCTAGCACAATTTATTTCGGAATGGTAGAGGAGACATTTAAAGGGAATGGCATAGCATATCAAAAGTTTTGAGCAGGAACACTCACCCACACCCTTGTTCCTGACCTTTAACTTGTCAACTAACTGCAACATCGTTACTCTTTGGTCATTTTCTTGAATTTCTAGCAGCAACGATACAATGGATTTCGCATGAGCTGCATTAAGATAATCAGAACATTATTTCAATCCCATCTACGCCAACACTACATAACTCCATGATATGCATACAACAAGAAACAAAACCTCAAAAACTACAGGACTACTGCACCAATCAAATGCTAAAAGAGAGAAGGTGATGCAGGTACTGGTGCAACTTCAAACAAATAATAATGTTTCATTTTCCAATAGGATTATCAATTGGTTCCCACATGGCTGTGCTCAATCACTCTCTTGGCTTTTTGGTAATGAAGTCAGGTTCCCTATATTCTACAAATATGTCCCAGTTTAGAAATTCTTCCTACATAATATATAACCCTTTTTTTGAGTAAATTGTACTTAAACGTACCAGATACATCCAATTCCTTGATCTCATTGTAGGAGGCACAGTTATCACACATCCCTAAAAAACAAGGAATACAAGCTTAGTTAGGCTTTGAAGAAGAAGTTATAAGATACAAGTAGTATCCAGTAACAAGTTGTACCATTGCAATCTTGTAGAGGTTCAGCAAAATGCCTAAAGAAAGCTGCTCTCCGGCATTTCTTTTTAGACTAAATCAAAGAGTGAAAACTAGTCAACATTAGTGACATATGCTCATTTGTACATAAAATTTATTATTATAGAAAATAAACACAGAAATCCATGCATATATATACACACGGCATACCAGGCAATACTGCACAATGTCATAAAGATTTTGCAACCCTGAATTTTCATAGAAGACCATTGAGCTCTGCAGAAAAAATAAAAAATAAACTATTGACAACAGAGGTAGCAAATAATGGAAACAAATGAAAAATAGAAATTAATAATTAACCAGCTAATTACCTGTCTAGTAACATCAGCTGGTCTAAAGAATAGCAAGCATTCAGAAGGAAGCCCATCTCTTCCAGCTCGTCCACTCTCCTAAAAAATGAGAGATTACAACAAGACTTACAAATGAAAGAGTATTCTGCTTAGGAAACAACAAACCTGGTAATATGTTTCCATTGATTTGCTTAGACTGTGGTGAACAACAAACCTGACTACAACCAATAATCATTATCACTCATAATAATGCATCTATGAAAATCCAACACATCCAGACATTCTTAGATCGATGAAATTATGCCCATGAGGAACTTTAACACAACAAACTCAATTAATTTAATATTTTTTTCAATAGATAATGGACTGTTTTTTTACCTAGAACTATCAAGAAACTTTCATATCAATAGGAGTAAGACTCTTGAGCTCTGAGATATGAACAGTTTCTTTCTTTCCAATTTAATCGATAAAAAGCCAAATTCAAGAAATCTTTTATGTGTGTTTCTTTTGGTGTCACTGAAAGGACATATTCAGGAACCACAGTGTTTATTTACTGGTACATAACATAACAGAAGTTATGTTTCCAAAGCATAGTATCAGAACAAAGTGACTGAAAGTTACCATCTGGCTTGTTGATCCCCATTCCAAATGCCACCTGCAGCAGAATAAGCTTCTCTCATGACAACTTGAATTCATTACATTCAAGTACCAAATTCTCTAAAGCATACCGTGCCAACAATGACTTGCAATTGGCCATTACTCCACCTACAAGGCTACAATATATCAAACATTTGATAACACTCACAAATTGATATGTATCATTGTATTGTATTTAAAATAATCACTCTTGCCAAATGCTGCTAATCATCAATCTCCACAAAACAGTTAACTATCCCAAAAACGTAGAACACTGTAATACGATAATATGCGTGTGCGCATCTAAATAGTATCATAATATATCCATACAAGATGATATATACTTTATTAAGCTTGAGAAACCTTAGTGTACTGCACATATAATACATAACACAATGAATCAATGACTAAGATAAAGCAATGTAATGTCCAAAAGCAAAGGTATATTTCAATCCAACTCACTCAATAAAATATCCTTATAAGAGACTCTAAACTCTAAACACTAAAGGGGGTCATTCATTCTCAACATCAGATTAGTACGTAGCCACTCCTAGTTTGACCTCTTAAAATATTAAGATTAGATTCTTAACTTGTATTCCCAATTGAACTATCAAATGTCTTCAATGTGAGACTACAAACGTGTTCATAATTCGAGAGTTCAAAGACCTAGCAGCTGAGTCGGTCCTCTTGCAATCAATAGGACTGCCATGTATGTTATCGCATGTATAAAGTCTTAAAATATCTTTTCGCATGAAGAAAACAAATTGCAAACTTGTACCTCGTATGAACTTTCTCGCGTGCATGGGTGTGCATATCTGCATGATAAAAATCAGCTGAAATTCCTCTGTCTCGCAATTCTTTTGCAACCTACAATTATTTGGTTTATCTACAATCAATGGGGCATAAATCAAGAGCCAACTAACCTTGCAAAGCCATACAAAAATAACGCCATGAATCTGTCAAACTCAACCCAAATTGTTGGGCATGTTTTGAAAGTCTTAAAGCATGAAACTTAAATATAGTCCATGCAGAGCTATGCGAACACTTTCAATTCAAGCCCCTCTATCCCACACAAATCTTTGTTCTTTGGAAAAAGATGATGATGAAGCTTCTTAGCAAGGTGAGTCGAGAGAATAAAAGATTCAGACAAGGCCATTATTGGGCAACAAGAGAATATATACCTGTTCACATTCTTTTCTAGAAAAGCAATATAGTATCCCAGATTCATTGTTTGGATATGATGTTTGTATGTATTCAGCTATTCCATCAATTACTGTCTTTCCAACGGAAGATTTTTCACGTACCTACATATTTCATTACATCAGGGCTAGGCAGAATTTTGTTAATAAAAATAGAAAGGAAATAGAGATAACTATACCATGTAAAAGAGATTGGGTCTGTTTACAGAGGTGACAAATTTCACACATCTTGGAATGCGAAGCATATCCATCAGATCATCCTGCACTTTCTTTGTAGCAGTGGCCTATAACAGAAAATTGTGAGAAATTGATGAGATTAATGTGATACATAACTATATACAGAAAGAGTCATAACGTACTCGATCAAAGTGAGGTGGGCTAAACAGATAAGATGAACTGAATAACAAAATGACATACAGTTAATGCAACCACTGGCACACCAGGAAACTGTGTTTTTAAGATACCAAGGTTTCGGTAGTCTGGACGAAAATCATGGCCCCACTGACTGCAACAATGTGCCTCCTGGAAATTAGTTAAAAATATATGAAAGAAGTTAATACCATCTTGTAGATATTTGATGAAATCATAACAACTCAACATTAACGGAGACCGTGAAATGGCACAAAGTGATACATCCACCTCAACGTGGATTAAAATTGAAGGGAAGGGAAAGAAAAGAAAAATCAAAAGCTACAACTCAGTATGTAGAATCATTTGGTGGAATAGACACAGCATATTTCACAATTTTAGCCACCCCGAGCTCCAATCTAGCATGGGTGCACAAACCAAAAGCAACAACCAAAAAGGGAATGATAAAGTATGCACTTCGAACCACATGAAAGTAGTGTGAGAAACCAAAAGTCCAAATAAAATGCCTCCATCACTCACATCAATAGAAATCAAAGAGAGACGGCCAGCGTGATGGCATTTTTCCAATTTTGACATAAATCTCTTGCTCTTTGATATCTTTTCTGGTGTGACGTATAATATTTTTAAATCTCCTTCCCCCTTTTCCAAACCTTTGTATATGAACTTCTCATCGTCCTTGTTTGTTGTTGATGTCAACATGAATGCTCTGATACCTAAAGCAGCCAAACCCATAACCTGAACAAATTAGTCACAATCAGGATTTGACTACATCATCACTAACAAAAATTGGTATTTATCCAACAATAACCTGATCCTGAATAAGGGATAGCAAAGGACTAATAACTAGAGCTACGCCGTTTTTAAGGAGGGCAGGAAGTTGATAACACAGGCTCTTGCCTCCTCCGGCAGCCATAATTACTAAAACATCCCTCCCTGCCAAGATTGCATTTATGATCTGTTCAGAGGAAACAGATACTACAATGATCATACAAAGTAAAAACATAGCCTTAATGAATTTAAATTATCCAAATGACTGCAAAAAAAAGTGCATATGCTTAGGTTAGTTAGTTAGGTTCAGCTGACTAACCTCTCTCTGATTTGCACGATATGAAGATATGCCGAAAACATTAAACCTAACATCATCTGCTTCTGAGTCCCATTCAAAGGATCCTGTCCAATCCTCCATGGAAACAGAAGCTTCCCCTTCTTCTTGGCTTCTAGAAGATTCATCATGTTCGAGGAGTGCCTTGAGCTCCGACTGCCTCGCGTATAGCTTCTCTTGCTGATCAAGCAGCGTCTTTATTTGCTCTGTTGACAGAAACAACAAATGAAATCATTAGGAAATAATGTAAAATACAGCTATTGAACTTGAAGAGCTTCGAAATGTATCAGCATTTCCCCTAAGCACTAAACGCAGATTTCTGAGGAACATTTCACAAAGTTTCAACACTGTGAAGAAAGATGAGGAAAAATCAGAAAAGGAAAATAAAATACCTTGAACATCCTGAAGCTCCATTTCAACGCCGAGAAGCTGCGTCAAAATTTCTTCCGTTCTCCCCATGCTTCCTTCCGATGTCGAGAATGGCAAAACCAGCGGAGAACGGGAGAAGGGGAATCACGCACTCGTACCTATACCTCCCTCTGTCAAAAATTTGTAGCACTGAAAATCGAAATGGGCCTTAAAAGAAGATTGGATATTGCGCCTTAGCAAATGGGCTTAAAAGCCCAAATAATTGGGAGCAATAACAGGTTAACAATATCCAATTATATAAGAATGGGCTTAATATCAAACCATGCCCAAGAACAACGATTGTACTGTCAACCGCTTTCTTGATATTTTGTGGTATTTTTAAAAATTATTATATTTAAATAATACTCATACTAAATATTAGAAAATAAAATAAATTGAATGTATTAATAATTGTATTATATTTATAAATAAAAAAAATTTTAAATTTGTGAGTTAAAGAGTGTATTAGAAATTTTTATTCTAAATAGAATTTTTTTTTTTTTTTTTATAGATGTGAACAGACTTATTATTGTTTGAGTTTTTAGTTTAATTTTGAACATGTAAATTTTAATTTTAATAATTATTTAATATGATAGAAATAAATATAAATAATCATATTTTTGATATAATATATATATATAAAGTATTTAGTTTAATAAAATAAAATAAAAATAATTAAACATGGAAAAATTCCTAAAAATACTCAAACAAACACAACAAATATTTGTTTCTATTTTGGGTCATGTTTATCCACCTCCTTCCTTCCCATCTTTTCCTCTTGCGTGCTTCACGATGTAATAACTAATTATTGGAGTAAGGTCTGTTGCAATACTCCTGATGCAGGAGAAGAAGACTGCCTTCCTTCAACTTGCCTCATTTAGAAAGTTATTGCACTGTTTAGCAAAAGCACCATGTCCGTGTATGTATATTTATAGCCTTATTTACTAGAGCCTTATCTGTATGTGTAGTCTTGCCATCTTGTCTGTGGGGTAGAAAAAAAGGGTTGTTTAGGTTTGTTAATTTAATTTTTTTTTTACATAATTTTATATATATATATATATATTTTTTATTATCCATAAAAATTAATAATCTCTCCGTCCATAAGTAAATATCCACTTGCTTTGAAATATAAATGACTAAAATAATCTTATTAATATGTGTTGTAAAGGTAATTAATATATTTTAAGTTGTAAAGGTATTTGTAATGTTAGGGGATAGTACAGTTACTAAAAAAGAAATTAATAGAATGACTAAAATGAAAAAATAGATACTTTGTTATGGGACGGACAGAGTATTCAATATCAAATACTTCCTCCTTCCCGCAAGAAAAGCACCGTTTGTTTTTTGCACATATATTTTTCAATATTAGTATTATATTAGTTTGTAGTAAAAAAGACGAAAATGCTATGATTGTATTTATATAATATATTGTAAATTGTAATGGTATTTATTATGTTATATATATATATAGTACAATTACCTTATTGGACGGATAAAAATATAAAATAATATCATTCTTGTGAGACTGATGGAATATTATTTTTTATATTACCATCCATTCTTTATAACCCCAAATTAAAAATATAAATAAACCCAACCCAACCAAATTCATATAATTAAATAATTGGTGTGGGCCATAAAATGGAAAAGCAAAATCTTGGATTTTACTTTGCAAGTTGCAGCATGGCCACTGCAAAAATATAAATAAATAAGATAATACAACATTAATTTGGACCACACACCACATCCACATGTATATATGCATTCATATGACCGTTTCATCTGTCATTGTCTCCTTCTACAATCTACACATACATACATACATACATACATACATAATTATAATTAAATAATCCATATACTTTTAATACATTGAATTGGGCGAATAAATTCATTCAACATACAGCTTCTTATAGGTTATAAATTACATGTATATATATATATTTATTTAACTAAAATATTAATCAATTATAATTAAAAATAAAAATAAAATAGAATATAGAGAAGGTATAGAGTATTGAGGTGAAGTAAATGAGTTGTGGGCCACACGTGACGGCCCTTATTAAATAACCAAAGGCCACGAATCTCGGAACACGACAAAAAAACCTTTTTCGCTACCTTACACGTGTCAACCATTTAGCTTTCCTTATCCTTTTTCCCATTGATTATAATAGCTAACCACATGTATTAAATATCTAAACTTTTTATGTATTTAATAAAATCATTATTAGCTAAATTTAATTAAAAAAATATTATAATGCCCAAAAACTCAGAAAACATATCCTTGATTTTTATTTATTTGTGGTCACACCCCAATTTTATTTTCAAAAGTTTTTTCTCTGTTGCATTAATTGCGGGCGGCTCCTCTTGACTTTTTTAATACTGGATTGCAATTCTAAAGGTTTGAAGCGGGGATAAAATAATAATAGCAAAAATATTAGGGGGGGCTATGCAAATGCAAGTTGTTAATAGCGTGTGAGCTGCAAAATGCGACTTTTAAGCATGGATCTTCCAAGACATTTTTGGCTCGTACATCTTTTTACATTTATTATTCTGAGCGGATCTACCCATTTGTCCCACAATTTAATGCTCAAGAGTCTGAGCCAACTGTATCTGTTCATATCTATTTTTTCTGCAATTACCATATTGTCCCAACGCTATCGTTTATCTTTCTCTTAGGATGTGTTTGGTATATAAAAATGAGATCAGATAAATAAAAATTATTTCTCTTATTTATTTGAGTTAGAAAAATGAAACTTGAGAAATATATCATTTTTATTTCTCTATTTTCATTTCTCTTCTATATGCACGAAAGAAATGACAGTATATATATTTTTATTTTTTTAAATCTTTTTTGTATTATCTAATTTATATATATATATTAATATATTATTTTAATTTTACAAAAATTAAATTAAATTTATCGTTAAAATATTTAAGTTTTACGATTTTTTAAGAAATTATACTAAAATATAAAACATCTTATATAATTTATAATTTTTTTTTTAAAAAAAAGGTCATCAAAAATACTTTTCATGAATTTTCATTCTTTAAAACTTTTTTTATTCGGTTAATCATTTATTCTTGATCCATTCGTGTATAACTGCATTTTTTTATATATTTCTTAATTGAATTCTTTATTTTAACAAACAAGAGAATTAATTGTCATTCTCTACTCAATTTCATTTATCTCCAATTTCATTCTCTATTTTAATTTGTCTGCAATTTCATTCTTAGCACCAAACGACACCTTATATTAGTTGGGATGGGCGCAGATGTCTCGTGGGCAAAATGGGAAAAGGCAAATGTATGTGGAGTTGGTGCAAGGATTTGTTTGGCTGAAATTTCATATATATATTACACACACTATTGAAAAGCACATACTGTCAATATATATTTTTAACTAACAAAACACATATTCATTAAGTTATAAGTGATGACAATTATATTATATATATATATATATATTTTATGACGCGAGAATCCGTAACTGCTACTTGAAAGTACATAGTGAATAAATTTTCCGCAGAACCTAATACTCTAGTATATATTTTTGTTTTATTAACATATGATATATACTGAATTAATAATTGTATGTACGGTATAAACTATGGTTAATATATTGATGGTTCATTTGTTGTATTTGTATACAGTATATAATGTCATCAAATGTAAGGTGATCACATTATTGAATATTTTTATTAAAAGAGTTTATACAAAGCCTATATTTTAAATGAAACGAAATAGGTCAACTTTTTGGTTAGTAAACGCTGACTTTACTCACTTCGGCAATTTGGCGTTTTCAGTGGCCATATTAATTTGCATGTAAATGAATAAAATTCTTTTAGGGGGGCTAACTTGATATTTCTGTAATACGAGGGGCTGTTGAAAAATATATGTTTTCATATTTAATTAATTCCACAAAAGTATATGAAATTAGTTCTCAGCCCCAACTGTAGCTTTAAAGAATCTGAGAAGCCATGGATTCCCACTCTCTTCCTCACGTTTCCAATGAGCAATTCCACCGCCATAGCTCTCTATACAGGTTCTGCTGCCACCACCGCCACCGCCGCCGCAGATTCTAAATATAGAACTCTGAAGCGCTGCCAGTGCATTCACCCAGACTGCCATGGTTTGCTCCCCGGACTCCCCGAGGAAATAGCGCAGCTCTGCCTGTCTCTAGTTCCGGCTTCCACTCTATTCGCCGTCTGCCATTCATGGCGCCGCCTCATCTACTCGCCGGAGTTTCCGCCATTTCTGTCGATCTACGCTCTCTTCCTTCCGGGGGAAACTCTACCAGATCTCTCGAATTCGATCCAATTCTCGTCCTTCGATCCAATTTCTCATAAATGGGAACCGCTTCCGAATCCGCCGTCGGATCCTCCTCTCTGCCTCCTCTACCGACATCCTTCCTTCATATCGCGCAAGTTGCCGATCCAATCGGTGACAGTTTCCGGTAATCTCGTTCTGCTTGCAGCCACCGCCGATCAGTTCATCCCCGCCCTATCCAGACCGTTGATTTTCAATTCTCTATTGCAGAAGTGGACCTACGGTCCAGATTTCTCCGCGCCGCGCCGATGGTGCGCCGCCGGCGCTTCCGGCGGAGCACTGTACATAGCGAGCGGAATCGGCTCTCAGTACGACAACGACGTCGCAAGGTCGGTTGAAAAGTGGAACCCTAACAACAACACTGCTCAATCTCACCACCGGAAATGGCGATGGGAGAAAAAAGCGAGGCTAAGAGATGCGAAATTCAGCCGCGAAGCGATCGAGGCGGTCGGATGGAAGGGGAAACTGTGTATGGTGAACGTGAAAGGCGACGCCGCCAAGGAAGGAGCAATCTACGACGTCGAGCGCGACGTGTGGGAGGATATGCCGGAGGGTATGCTGGCCGGTTGGAGAGGTCCGGCGGCGGCGATGGAGGAGGATACAATATACGTGGTGGACGAATCCAGAGGCTCGCTGAAGAAATACGATCACGTGAGGGACACGTGGGTGGAAGTATTGGAGAACGAGATACTTAAAGGTGCGCAGCAGGCTGCGGCCGGCGGCGGAAGACTGTGCGTATTGTGTGCCGACGGCGTCCATATCGCGGTGGTGGATGTGGCGGCGGAAGATCCTCCGGCGAGGTTGTGGACGGTGGAATCGCCGCCGGGGGTTCAGGCGGTGGGGATTCACATACTCCCCAGATTAAGCCGCCCCAAATTTTAATTAATTAATTTACTCTCATTTCCGGTTACTATATATAAATATTTTTATATTTCGTAAAAGTACAATTTTGTTTCATCACTATTCTTTATTTGATATATATTTGCGTGTGTATGATTGCCTGTTTGTTTGTTTGTTTTATTTTATTTTAATTTTTATTAGTTTATGCTTCATAGGAGTTAAAAGCCAGTAGGTTTTGGAGAGTTCTGATCTCCAGATTCATAAAAATAAAATAAAATAATACAAAGGTTCATGCATTAACAAAATAAAATAACATAAAAAGAAAACCAGGGTTTAGTTAGTTTATCATATCACTACTAATTTTCTGAAAATTTATATATATATATATATATTTCATTTTATTATTTTTTTTCTGATTGATATATAAGAGTGAACTATATTAATATTTATTTATAGATTTATATTTTTATCTAACATTGCTTTCAATAATAATATAAAAATGGGGCTAATTTTATTGACAGATGATTAACAGTGTTTCTGTCCAACTTGTTATTCTGGACTTGCATAAAATGGTTTTCTGTACTGTATATTTTGCTTTGTATCCTAATCATTTTAAGAGTTTATCAGTGCTGTTATTTCCACAGAAAAAGAAAAAAAGAACAAATTTTAAACATAACTGTCCATCAGGTAGCTTATTTCTGTTCAGCAAAATCATTCATATGACCACAAACCAGGTTGTAATGATAACATAGCTGTTTCTTGACATGTGAGAATCATGTGACAAATTCTTAGTCAAGTTGGAATATCGTCTCTCTTCTTTCTCATACATAGATCATAAGTACTTGTATATATACATACATCATAACTACTTATATGTATATATATACCCTCTTTACTATAATAAAGTATTTAATTTTTAATTTTAGTATGTCTATAATAAAATATTTATTTATTTTTAGTAACTGTACTCTGCATTATGTACCTAACGTTACAAATATTCATGCAACTTATAAATCTTTATATCATATATATATATACTAATAAGGTATTTTAGTCATTTCTACTTTATTCCTACTATAATATTGATATTTCTAAACATGCCTACAGAAAACAAATAAATATTTACTTATAGGACTGAGGAGTATATAGATTTTTGTTTACATAACCAGTGTTCATTCATTTAATATTATTTTTTTTTAAAAAAAAAACAGTATATCAAATATACATACATATATATATATTTTTACAAAAATATTAAAATCATATACTACCTTTGTTTAGGAAGAAAAGAGATTTTATTTTTTGCACGTAGAATTTTTTAATATAATATTATATTGATTTATAATAAAAAAAGACAAAAATGTTTATATAAAATTATATGATATAAAAATAAAGATATTTGTGTAATATATTGAAAATTGCACGATTATGTTAGATAAATATATAATTACTAAATAAAAAAAAATGATATAATTATTTAAGGACAAAACATAAATAAAAAATATAATTACTAAATAAAAATGTTGATATGACATAAATGAAAAATGCAGGGAGAGAGTATTAAATAAAATTTCAAAAATCTTAAAAAAATCTCTTGGCACCAACAACATGTAAGTATTAAGGGCATCTCAAATGGGGTTGCATTTTTGTACACAACCTCATAGATGGAGTTAATGCCGTCTAATCCAGCGCCAATCTTAGCTTATTTTTTTTTTAAATTTTTTTGTATATTATTTTTTTATTAATTTTTTTTTAAAAAATAATATTAATTGTAGAGATATTTGAATAATATTTTTTTTTTAAAAAAAAATAGAATTATAAGATAGAATAAAATTAAAGCTGGATAAACAGAAATTCTGTGTTAGAGATGACATAAGTAAGAGTAACAGAAATGGAAAAGGAGGGAAGTGGAATAAATTCACACATATACCAAAAATCCCACATCGATTGGCACGTGAGTGGCGTCGGTCGTATGTGCGGAATGTCGCGTTCACACGTGCCATCCATCTTCTCCCTAATTGGTTTACCTCTTCCTTTAGTCCAACTGTATACTTGTGTTTTTATTCGGACCTCTGCTACACTTTCTCCCTTCCTCGTTTTCTCACTTCTCTCTCTCTCTCTAAACCTCTGAAGCCCAGCGCCCCACTCCATTTCCATTCTCCTCTGCGCGCGCAAGGGTACATGCATAGATATGTGCAATTGCTTAGGGAAAAAGAGGGTGGGTTGGGGCCTTTAATTTTTTGCTGCCATTACACAGCTCTACAGCCCAGTTGTCAATTTCGGTGCGTACGTTCCTTGTTACTTATTCTTTTGAAGCTGAGATTAAGCTGCACGGATCAAATCTTCGGCTGGGGCTGCTGCCATTAGGTATTTCATTTGTTTATTGCTAATATTATTGTTTTGGTTGGGTTAGTGAAAATCGAGATTGGCCACATTCTTCGTTTGATCGTCTTGTGGCTGGATAGTAGGCTAGAACTATTGGATACTTTAGAGACTGGCGAATTTAGATATGGCTGATGGGAAGAATGATCGATGTTTTTACCTGTGCTTTGAGTGCTCTGTGGTTAGATGTGGCTTTTGGTTGTGCAGCTATTAATTGTAATATCGGGGAAGTATTGATGCAATTAAACTGGCTTGGGGAAGCAACCGTAGGTTGAGTAGTTAATCATCAAGGGGTTTGTTCTTGTGTAACTTGGTGCCTCCTTTCGCTAGCTGTAATTTGTTGCTGCTAGTTCTAGTACTGCTATATGTTTGTTTAGAGATGAGGGGCCTGGTCGAGGGGGTGGGGGAACTACGCTATGAACAGTGACATGTGCTGACTCTGGTGATGAGTGCTAATTTATGCGATGCTATTTTCATGACAGTTCATGTGACCAATTTAATTTGTATGGTATTTGTTTTTCTCTCTGCATAAATGATCAAATAACAAATTAAACTTATTTTGCAGGTGCTACTTTCTCTGATTCTTTCAGGGGCATCTCTATGTCACACAAAAATCTATTGTGTCTGTTGCATGAATGTACTGATTCACACTTCTGATGATTTGCATTGATCTTATTATGCTTGACTTGAGTCACAATGGGCAGCCTCACTGTGACTTTGCAACACTGGCTTTTATGCATCCTATTGATTCACACACTAGCAAATGGGAACGAAGCTCTTAGTCCTGATGGTATGCTGCCTTTTAAATTCAATTTCTGTTGGTACATCACAGTCACTAAATATAATAGCTTACAAGGAAAGAGCACTCTAATGGTTTAAGGGATTCAATTAGTTATTTGTAAATATAATCTAAGTAAAGCTATAGATGTGAGTCTGCATCTCATCTCAAAATGCTATATTGACAAAACCTTGCTGTGAATAAATTTTGATTGATTATTTTGTAGCCCTGTGACTTTTTGAGAGGTCAGATTCTGCTATTGAGAATGATATGTCTAATCTATTCAAGATTGGAAAAAGAAGGCCAAATTAATATGTTGTACATGTTTTTAAAGAGTTCTTATTCTTCCTCTTGATCTGCAGGTCAAGCCCTTGTGAATTTTAGGACTGCCATCATAAACTCAGATAATGTTCTTCTTCAGTGGAGACCAGAGGATGCAGATCCATGTGGATGGAAAGGGGTGACATGTGATATCAAGTCAAAAAGAGTGACAGCCCTGTAAGTTCTCAGATTCTTCAGTTGTCTTATTGTTGTCCACGAAATGTCCTTTCATGAGACAATTTTATACTTTTGTACTATATTTTCTGTTGAGAAAAACATCACTCATATCGGAGTTATCATCAATCTTTCTAGTTGTTGGGTCATTAGTTATTTTGATCACATGTATATCTTTATTATATGGCGGTGCGTGAATCCCACTTCAAGGTTGTTGTTTGTTTCATTTGTGATTTTCACCATCACCCTTTTTCTGATTGCTAAACTCCAGGCTCGATGCTTTGAGTATATGAAAGTGGATATGAAATTCATTGTAATTTTACCTAGGGATGATTAGTATTCCTTGGCTGCAGGAGCCTTCCGAACCACAAGTTGAGTGGACCTATATCATCTGATATTGGAAAGCTAGAAAATCTGCAATATCTGTATGTGCCCATTGCTGTTGCTGCTATCTCTTTTCAAATTCTGAAATCTTAACTGTATTTACTGATAAAGAGTTTAACTATTGTGTTAGTGCTCTTCATGATAACAATTTCTATGGGGAAATCCCTCCAGAAATCGGGAACTGTACACAGTTACAATCATTGTAAGTTAGTATCATGCTCTGTGAAGATCTGTATCAATTCTCAATGCTCACAAGCTTATTTTTTCTAATTTAAAATTCTGCTGATATGATTTTAAATGGTTTGATTTTGTCTATGAGGTGTTTATGTTCATTGTAAACCATCTTTTCTTTTATGTGACAAGAATTAATGCATTTTCTATGGAGCAGAATAAACTTTTATTTTTTAAACTTGTTTACTTGCCTTGCAATGTGGCAAATTATAGTGATTATATGTTAGCACACAATTTTTACTACTTACTGCAAAAATTTTGCATCTGCATCATTGTTTACTCAATGTTTCTGTTGCTGTTGCTGTTAGTGGTGATATCATTAGTATTATTCTTTATATATGCGTATGATGTTCTTTTAGCATCAATCGTGATTTCATATTTTTATTTCACACAGATTTTTGCAGGGAAACTACTTAAGTGGATTGATTCCAAGCGAATTGGGAAAACTTTCTCAGCTGGAAAATCTGTGAGTAAATATATTCATAGCTTTACTTGAATTACCGAGTCTCATCTCTATTTTGGAGTCATATTGTGGTTGAGATCCTCATTGGGGCAAAATATTTGTTTCCCAATTGTTTAGTGCACAAGAAAAAGATTTTTAGCTATTATTTCTCTACTACTCCCAAAAGAACGGACTATATATATGCTACATGAAAAGCTTCAGTACTGCCCCACTAGTAAGATCTGAAACTGGATTTAACATTATAGAACCTTTGCACTTCTAAGAAAGCTTGATAGCTTGTTTAAAAGAATCTATATCCATTATGTGTATAATATCACAAAGAAATTTGTATTATGCAGTCCATGATTCATATGGTATTTTTTTGAACTAATGTTTGATAATATTCTGTTGTAATTCTGATAAGAAGTGTTATAAATTCATTTTTAACTAACTCTCTTTTTATGTAATAGGATCCAGTGATTATCTTCAATTTATCTTATTTGATGGTTTTGTATTTTAGACTCTTCAATCCACATTAAGTGAAATATTGAATCCTCTCTAAGTTCACATATTATCCTGCTCTAAATTTTTCAGAGATCTTTCAAGCAACTCCCTCAGTGGAAGCATTCCTGCTTCACTTGGAAAATTGAGCAAGCTTTCAAGTTTGTGAGTGATACAATTAATTGTAAGTTGCATAATCGTGCAATTTTTTGTTTCCCCTAATCAAGTGCCTTTATTGATGTTTGAAGAAATGTATCAACAAATTTTCTGGTGGGACCTATACCAGCTGATGGTGTACTTGCCAACTTCCAAAATGATTCGTAAGTGATCTATTCTGTTAATTGCTTATGTCTTCGGTGGGTCTGAAGTTCTTTCTGGTTTTAATTTTTTATTCTTTTCCCATTTTTTAATGCTGTGGCTATGAACTAGTTGCATCCATTTACTTATGGAGAAATTATTTTAGTTGTTTTTACAGTGAGAATAATTGAAATTATTTTAGTTGTTTTTACAGTGAGAAATCTATTCTGTTAATTGCTTATGTCTTCGGTGGGTCTGAAGTTCTTTCTGGTTTTAATTTTTTTTTTCTTTTCCCTTTTTTTAAGCTGTGGCTATGAACTAGTTGCATCCATTTACTTATGGAGAAATTATTTTAGTTGTTTTTACAGTGAGAATAATTGGAACTTGGAGACCATGTAGAAAACCTGAACAGAAAGTATGGGTGTGATATTGTGATTTCAATAGTGATAGAAAATTGGAGCAGAGCCCAATTTTATGCATTATTCACTCCATTATGTTTTGTATATGTTCCTTTGTCTATCCTGAAAGAATCTGTTAGATTTTCATTCTGTAAACTTCTCATGTGAGAAGTTTACAAAACAGCAAAAACCCACACAACCAAAATTTATATTTGTATGAGATCAGGGAATTTTGGGGGGTTTTGATTGCCCATCGAATAACTTGCAGCATCCTCTGCAGAAATTGCCTATGCTCATTCTTGGGATTGCTATATGTGTGTGTATTTCGAAAGGAACCTCTTTGGTGTCTTGCAGGGTTTTGCCATTGTTATCTTACATTGGGTTTGTTGTGCTCCATGCTCCTCTTAGCAGTTTTGTTGGCAACCGGGAATTATGTGGCAAGCAACTACAGGTTTGCACGAGCAACAGTAGTGGTTCACCGCCAAATTCCCAGACTATAAATCCAGGTAAAGCATTTCATTCTTATTCATATGGCCTTATATAAATCAGTTTAATCACATTGAGGATTTTACTAAGCTAAAAAGTAAGGAGAATTTGATTTAATCTGTTGCCTTAATTAAATCTAACAAATTTATTTTTGGCTGTATGAATTTATCTAATCAACTTCTGTAATCTTCTTATTTCATCCTCTCCAATACACCATTGTCTTGGTGGTTTTTTTCAGCCCTAGCTCAGTCCAAGAAGAAATACTCAGAGAAGCTTCTTGTAAGTACAGTAGCCACTGTGGGTGCTTTGCTTCTGGTTGCTCTCATGTGTTTTTGGGGATGTTACCTGTATAAGAGGCTTGGTAAAAATGATGGAAAAGGTCTTGCAGCTGATGTTAGTGGAGGTGGGATTCTGATGCAAATGCATGAAAAATCATATTTGCTGTTTCTTCATTCTCTCTCTCTATATATTTTCTGGGGGAAATGTTTTGAGTTTTTTCCTTTACCATTTTCTTATGAAATTATTGAACCTGATTTTACTTTTTGATTTTGCTTTAGGAGCTTCGATTGTAATATTTCATGGAGACCTGCCTTACTCTTCAAAGGATATCATAAAGAAATTGGAGAATTTGAATGAAGAGCATGTAATTGGAGTGGGGGGTTTTGGAACAGTGTACAAACTTGCAATGGATGATGGCAATATATTTGCCTTGAAAAGAATTATGAAAGTAAATGAGGGGTTTGATCGCTGTTTTGAAAGGGAGCTTGAAATTCTTGGAAGCATAAAACACAGATATCTGGTGAACCTTCGAGGATATTGCAATGCTCCTACGTCCAAGTTGTTACTATATGATTTTCTAGCAGGAGGCAGTGTCGATGAAGCTCTTCACGGTTTGGAATCCTTTCCTTATTTTAATATTTACCTTTTTGTACCTATTGAACTGTATATATTTGTATATAAGTTTTATAACGATCAATGTAGCTTGTATTTCTCACATCTCTTTTCAGAAGTTTCAGAGTAGCATTGGGGATGGATGGCTAGGAGGGATTTCGATAACCTATAGATTTTGACCTTCGATTGCTCAACATTTTTCATATTCATTAGTACATTACCTTCTTAATAACCTTTGAAATCTATTTGATGTGAATGTGTTGGCACTATAGAATTTTCCAAGAGTTTATTTTTTCCATGTTTAAATAGTTTGTCCAAACATCTTCGGACACGAAGTACTAGTTAAGCAGCTTTATGGTTTCTAAATGCTGAGTCTTAAGACAGTATACTTCCAAACATCATGAATGTTCCACACTTGTTTTGTCTTTAATATTAGGATATTTTGTGATTGAAAATTTTTAAGATTCTTTTGGTATGTGATCAATTTGTGCTAGGATCACAACTTTTATTGTGCAATATGATTATACCTTTTATATTGCAGAGAGAGGCGAGCAACTAGATTGGGAGGCTCGATTAAATATTCTACTGGGGGCTGCGAAGGGGATTGCCTATCTGCATCATGATTGTTCCCCTCGAATTATTCACCGTGACATTAAAGCAAGCAACATTTTGCTTGATGGAAATTTGGATGCACGGGTGTCTGATTTCGGATTGGCTAAATTGTTAGAGGATGAGGAATCCCACATCACAACAATAGTTGCTGGAACATTTGGATATCTAGCTCCTGGTAATGACTGTTTTATCTTGTAATTTTCTAATTAGGGACTAAGTTCTCATATATTCAGAGTTTAGCCAGGTTGATGTCCATTGGAGCTTGATCAAGGTTGAGGTCAAGAACATGTGTTGGTCTTGATTAACTAAATTCTGTAATATTTTTCATACCCTGAGTAGTTGTGGTAAAATCCTTACGTATTTGAGTCCTTATAGGTCAATGGGGCCATGAGAGAAACAAACATTTGTTTCACCAAAATCACTTTCTAGTCGACTTTTAGTATATTGGGTTGAAGTGAATCAATGAATGAACCATTAGTCCCATACATCTTTCCGCGTAACTTTTGTGTGAATTAAATTTTATCTCCGGGATTCTCCTTCCTCCAATATTTAATATTTCCTGGTTTCTTTGGTGTCATAACCCCGTATTTGGCAGAGTATATGCTGAGTGGAAGAGCTACGGCAAAGACTGATGTTTATAGTTTTGGAGTTCTGGTGCTTGAAATTGTGAGTGGAAAGCGGCCTACTGATGCATCCTTCATTGAGAAGGGCCTCAACATTGTTGGATGGGTAAGATTTCCTTCTTCTAACACTGTATGAGCTCTGAGTGTCTGTCTTCTATAAATTTGTCCTAAAATTAATATTCGCATCACCACGGCTGACACGTGTATTATTCCCATGACAGTTGAACTATCTGGTCTCGGAAACCAGGCAACGAGAAATAGTTGATCCCCACTGTGAAGGAGTGGAGACAGAAAGCCTTGATTCTGTACTGTCTATAGCCATCCAATGTGTTTCTTCGGGCCCTGAGGATCGTCCCACAATGCATAGGATTGTTCAAATACTTGAGTCTGAGGTCACAACCCCATGCCCTAGTGACTTCTACGATTCAAGCTCAGATTGAGAGGGCCTATTAATCGTTGAACCATGGGATGCCCATCAGCCGAATCGACAGTAGCACAGGGTCTAGGGGCCTTAATCTATTCCAGGCTTTAATTTGTTCATCTTTTCTGAAGAATGTATGGAATTCGACATATATCCTCGCAATTGATCCCTTCTCAAAATAAGGCTGCATCCATCCTCTCCTCCTCCATTGGCTCTTCTGCTGCATCAGGTTTTACTTTCTCTTTCTCTTTTTCGATTCAAATATACATATACATATATATGTGTGTGCGTGATACTTTCTTCGGTTTCAGTAGAAGATACAATTCCATAGGAAACAATATGAAAGTGGTATATACTCATTCTGGTAATTCCTTGAACCATCTATCTATCAATCTGCATATAATGATGTTTAAGTTGATGATTAATTGGCTACTTCCATTCTTGTATGATAGATACAAAGATCACAGATTACTTTTCATAGACTACTACACCAATTTTCATAAATCGTATTATACTACTACTATACAATATACATGTTGGTTTTCTTAAATAGAAGTCTCATTTACTTATTCATATTCACTAATTTGGAACACCAAATTTTGTAGTTGAAACTCCTTAGGGTTCTCTCATAGAATCAATAAATGAATGAATGGGTTCAGGTTCAGGTTCTTTCAGTAGGTGGGTAAGTTTGTTTGTCTGCTCTGTGAGTGGTCTGCTCTAAAAAATGTTATTCATTTTATGTTGGGGGTTGGTAATAGTCACAATCATCTTTGCTTAAATAATGTCAATTTACTTGCTCTAATTCTTAATTTCCAAACTGTAATTTATGACTAGTATTTATTAATCTGTTGAGATATAAATAATACCACCAGTCCATTTAAGTTGTCCCCAGAGTTAGCTGCCTGCCCACAGTTTCCACTCTACACTACAATAAATATTAACCAATCAATTATTAGGAGCATAGTCAAATGCATTTTTGTTTTTATATGCTCCCCACTCATCAAGTGGCAGACAGATTGGATTTAAATCTCTATTTAGGGGTGAATACCAATAATATTATAAAATTCAAACCTCTAATCAAATTGAGTAATAAAATATTAATTATGAAATATATTGCTTAAAATTTATTTATTTATATATTATTTTATTTTATTTGCAGTATTTTAGTTTGACGGATTGGATTTTGAGTTGGGATTTGAACAGTAAGAATTTTGAATTTGAATAGTTGTATGATGTGATATAAATAGGTGTTGATGCGATATTAAAATTGATTTTTAGTATAATATAAAAAATAAAAATTAAGTGTTTAATTTGATGTTTTTGGAGGGGAGAGAGAGAAATTGGATGAATAGTGTAAATTCAATCCAATGTCCAAACAAACACACCCTAGATATACTATTCATCAATATAATTATATTTAATAATATTATATTAAATATATATATATTTTTTAAAATCATAATCAAAATTTGACAATTTTTTTTTTGGTCTAAACAAAGCAATTATTATATGTCAAACAAAGACATTCCAAGTTCTTGAGGTACAGCTTATTGGAACCATTAGATAACTTTTATAGGGACATTAATATCAACCTAATTATGCTGAATTTAATTTAATCCAACTCAAAAAGGGCAGCTTTCTCCTAACATAAACAAATTTTAGTTTAAACATATCCATCCAATCCACACGACATTGTCGCTTTACAAGTCAAATAATATAGTGTTTGTTTGGAGGTTTGGATTTTGAGTTAGAATTTGAATAGTAAAAATTTTAAATTTGAATAGTTGTACGATGTGATATAAATAGGTGTTGATGTGATATTTTGAATGTAAAATTGATTTTTAATATAATATAAAAAATAAAAAATAGGTGTTTGATTTGATGTTTTTGAGCTAAATTCAATTCAATCCCCCAAACAAACACACCCTTACTATAATTACGTTTACAACTTAATTTGAGTTAAATTTAATATAAATAGATATTAATACAATATTTTAAGTACAAATTTGATTTAATATCTTTTTAAAAATAAGGAACAATAAAAATTTTGGAGAAAAAATAGTTTTTTTTTTTTTTTTTTTTTTAACAATCACACAAATAATTTGTCTAAAAAATTTACACCAACATTAATTAGTATTTATTTTTTTATACATTGTTGAATATATAAAAATTATTTTATTTTATTGCAGTATCACATCAACTAATTTTAACTATACATTTTCTTAATAATTGTTGAACTAAAATGAGGGAAATCGAAGTGAGTGGATTTGTCCAGAATGTTGAAAATGAATTTTTTTTTTTTTTATAAAATATAAAAAATTATGTAAAAAATATTAAAATAATAAATATGTATAATATATTAATATTTTTAGACTAACGAATGAAAGAAAAAAAAAATGATACAAAGAACAAACATTGCACTCTCGGTCTAACTAGGACATTATTGTCGCGGCGGCTATTCCTACAGTTACGACTGTACAGTTCGTACGGTTGGGCGCCGGCCCTAGCTTAGGCCGGGCTGGCCGGCTCGGTCCTGGGTGGGTGGACGAAGCGTTTACTTGCATAGTAATTATTTTATTTAAAAAATATAAAACCTTCAAGATTGACACGTCATACTTTGGATATGGTTAAATCACAACTAGATCTGAGTCATTCATCTTTTGTGGGCCCACCTATTGTTATTGGTTGTGATATTTTAATAATTAATTAATGTATATAATTATATTTATTTTAGAAACCTAAAATGGACCTGACTGGTTTTTTCTTTCATAGTATAGAGATAGCTATAAGCTCGCTTTGTCTATATATCTCACTCTGGTTTGTGCTGTGTATCTCCGCGTTCGATTTGAATTGCTGTTGATTATCTCTTTGGTGAATCACTCGGTGTTTTTTTTATTTTTCTAGCTTATGTTGGAGGAATTGGATTGAGGAGACGGTCCGGCGAGCTCTCGCGGTAAGTTGTCGTTCTAGTTTGTTGATTTTGTGGTTTCTGGATATGTTTTTATATATTTTTGGTAGTTGATTGTGGTTTGATTGGTGTGGATCTAATATAAGTTAGTAGGAATTGAGTGTTTATGTGGTTTTGTATATATATATTTTTATATTGGATTGAAACAGTAGCGTAGCGTAGCGTAGCGTAGATGGAAATGCTTTCGCCTAGGGTTTTAATGGAAATAAGGATGTCACCATGAGTTTGGAATGGAGAAGGATCCGATAGCCTTTTATTTTTAACCGATAATTTTGATTGGTTTTTACAGTTCTCGTTTCTAGAATCCTGTTCTCTGGTCAAAAATCTTAGGTTTTCTTCCTTTGAAGGTGGTCAAAAATCATTCGTTGATTTTGATGAACGGAACAAATCCACGAATTCGAGTCTAGGTCGCATTTTTGTCGCTATCCGTTTTTCATTACTGCCTCACCCCCTGCAGCTTGGGCTCCAAGCCACACCATCACGGTATACACACGCTACTGTATAAACCTTTGCAGCTCTCCGTTTACCAAAGGAGGCGATCCATTTGCAGATTTGCATAAATCAGAACTTATTAAATTGCCCTCTGCAGCCGGCCTGTACTATATAGATATGCTTGGAAGCGTGTCATGTTGTAGATAGTGTCGATGCGTGACCGGCACTTTTGCCATATTGTTGACTCTACCCTACACATAGTCTCCACTGCATAATCTTCATCAATCCAGAGAAGAGAGTATAACATCTTCAAAAATGTGAAAAGCGAAATTTGGTCAATGAACAGTTGTTTGATGAAATCATAATGCTACGTTTTACAATGAAGTGGTCGCTCTTTTTCCCCACAACTTTTTATCGCAATAAGCTCATGAATGGGCATCATACTCATTATTCACGCCACTTGGGAGAAAGGGATGGGTAGTGGAGCTTTTGAAAATGAAAAAATGATTTCTAGAAACACGTGAAAACAGATATTGAAGGTTTTTCGTTTTTCTCTCCATCGACTTTTTTAAGTGGATTAGCAAACCATATAAGTGAAGCATAAGTGTTCTTGGATATTAAACTGTTGACAATGACAGCTCATTGACATTGTTCTTGTCTTCTACTTTGAGATTCAGCAACTGTTCTACCTTTTCATATCGCAAGTAATGCTATAATAGTTGATTTACATCTTTTATGATGGCATTAGAATCTAAATTTAGAGTTCTGCTTATGTGACTTGACTTGCTATTGTTTGGTTATGCCATAGATATTTGAAATCTCTCTTTTTTATGTTTCAGGCTACTGAAAATGAATTGTGTTATGAGATCTGACGTTGATTTCATCACTAATCTGCCCAACAACATCATCGACAATATTCTTGGATGCTTGCCTCTAAGAGATGTGGTGAGGACAAGTATTTTATCCAGAGAATGGAGGTACAAATGGGCTTCTTGTCCAGAAATTGTGTTCGATTTTTGGTTTGATCAAATGTTTCTGGGAGGTCACAAACTCGAGCCTCTTGTTTACCAAATCCTAAAGTTTCACCAGGGTCCATTGCTAAGGTTTGCCCTTCAAGTCCCTGATCTGAAAAGCAGTCCCGACATTGATCAATGGATTCATCTTCTACCAAACAACACTGTCCAAGACCTGACCCTCCATGTATCCCGGGGGGAGACACATAAGTTGACTCCTTGTCTCTTTACTTTCCAACATCTGAGAAATTTGAAACTCTACAACTGCTTATTTGATCCTCCACCCGGGTTCAAGGGATTTAGCAAGCTCGAGAACCTTCAGCTGCAAAATGTCGACCTTGTGCCTGAATCATTTATAAAGTTCATTGCTTTGTGCCCGGCCCTTGAAAAGCTCCGGATGATTCATTGCACCAGCTTTGATTCCCTAGAAATCACTGGCCCCAATTTAAAAAGTCTTGAGTTTCATGGGATACTCAAGTTTATTTCGTTCGCAAACTGCCCTGTCTTATCCGATGTTAAATTAACATTCTCATCCATGGATTTCAAGAGAGGAAACGGTTTCTCCCTCGATCTGGTAAAATCCCTGAGTTGTCTCCCTGCCCTAGAAGACTTGCACTTGCAAGCTTATGCATTGGAGGTAAAAAGAAATTTGGATTCTAAAACTTACATTATCCTTATGTACTGTGAATTTAAATAATTACCGTCTTTGAATAATAACCTGTGCTTTCGGAATCTTTGCAGGACCTTGTAGAGCATGGTGCCCCCAATCCATTACCCGTCTCCTTGACAACGCTGAAAAATCTTCACCTTTCTGACATGTATTTCGAGAAAATTGACGAGGCCTCCTGCGCAATTTGCTTCATCAGAAGCTCACCAAATCTGCAGAGGCTTAATATCACGGTAAGCTTCTAACCTTGTTTGGAATTCTTTCCAAAGCATTGATAGAACACCTAAACTAATGGTCTTGTGTATTTATTTCTCCAGGCCTTCACCTTTGATGTGGTAGACTCTGTTGCAGACTTCCTCAGATCACAACAGAGCTCTGAATCTTTGTCTCAGCTGAAAACAGTGAAGATGCAATTATTCTCAGGGATCGAGGCCGAAATGGAATTTGTGAAATACTTGTTGGCATCAGCTACTGCACTCGAGGAATTGGCTATTACGCCTCATGCCAGCAGCATCGCAGATGGAGGCGAGTCTATATTGAATGAGCTCAAACAATACCCTCGAGCTTCTCCAAGCGCAGAGATTATTAGCTGGGAGAAAATTCGCAGATAAGTAGATGTATTTTGGGTCATTTTGCAGTTACCTTGTTGTAGATGTTGTTTCTGAGCAGGTTTTTAGATATATTTCGAAATGTGGACAGTTTATGTATATGTAATGCAGGTGTATCTCTATCTCTGTTTTGTGCATTCAGCAGTATTTTTATATATATATATATCATATAAAATATTTATTTTTATTGTGTAGAATCGAAATTCGAAATAACAGCTCATAATCTTTCTTCAATTGATATGAACTCCAATTTATTTCCCCTTGCAATCACACCCTGTATGTGTTTTTCTTTCAACAATCATACAAAATATTCAAATATTTGTGATCCACTAGTACCAAACCTTGTGGGTTTGCAATTGAAAGCAAATGTGTAGTAGATATAGAAGGAAGGAGGGCAGATAATTTATTTATCTAAAACACAAATGATTCTCTCTCTATTCTTAATTGATATGTCGATAGGAAAACATTGAATCCTCTGTTACATCAAACAGAATTGCACTAAAAGATTTCTCAGTTGCCTTCATATTTTGGGTCAGCCATCACAAAATGATAAGCAATCACCAGCACAAATATGAAAATACCGAGAAAGTTGGCGAAGAAACCCAAGTCCTGATCGTCAATCATCTGTTACAAACAGTTACCAAACATAATCAGCATCAGCATAGTAGATTTTATTAACATCATGATCAAAAGAGTTTACAATCTTTGCAATAATACAGAGGAAGTTCCAACACCACTATAAACCACACTGTTGATCACACATTCATTCATTCATTCATCCATCCATCTAATTTTACATTAGTAGCCAAATTTCTATGCTTTGAATCAATGGAAAGAGAATTGCAAGTAGATAAAAAGAAGAAAACAATTTCTAGTTGAATATAATCTCACATTTTCTGGGAAGGCAACTTACTAATATCCCCTCCTTTCCACTCCGCCTTATGAATTACCAAATAGCTCACTTGTAACTTAACCATATTTTAAAAGTATAAATATATCAACTATAAACTTCATCCTAATCTGAAAAAAAAAGGCTCCACCATTGTTGTTAACAGACCAGTCAAATCCAAACAATCAAAGCCAGCAAGCAGTTGGCTTGCTATGTGATCAAAATCCTTGATATGCATTATAGATATGCACAATGTTTCATCTTTATATGAAGACTTAATAAATAAAAATTTTCGGGTGTGTTTCACCTTTTGCTTTCCATATCAATCAATGGAAGATATTAGACTCCAATTTAACAAGATACCAAGGATGAAAATTTGAGTAGGGCGCGGACAATAATGTGAGATCGATAGAATTCAACCAAATAATGTGTAATCGAGAGATTTAAGCAAAGTTATACTGCAAACTAGTAAAAAAATTGACAAGTAATTCACCGAGTCAGAAACGAAATACCGGTATCGGTACGTAACCACAAACCAGATCACGAAGTGAACAAATTGCCTCGATTTCATATTCAAACAACCGACAGATCGAGAATTATATCCCAATATTTCACAAGTACATCAATTTAGGTTTCATTAACAGATCACGAAACAGCCAACAGAAGCGAAAGCACGTATAAAAACACAACATCAAACTCTGAATATAGGAAAAGGAAATTTGAAAACAACAATTCAAGCATCTTACCTTGAAATCGAAGTAGGTGAATTGCAGAATCGCCCGCGTCGCTTCAGTTCCGACCAAAAGACCTGCAGGCTGCAATCCAAGGCCGCTGAATGCGGCCATTATTAAATAGCTCACACATTTCATACCCCACTGTTCTCAGGTCGAGACGAAAGTGGACAAAGGCCCATCAAAAGACGGCCCAAAAGGAGGCCCAACCAGTCAATGACAGAACCAAAAAAAGGACCCGCCCCATTTAGGAGGCTTGGTCCATCACGGAAGGTCCATTCGAAAATAGAGATGACAATTCAGCTCGGCCCGATTTTAAAGCGGGCCGGTCAGACACAGCCTATTTTTATTAAATTATATTTTTTTTTAATTTTTTTTATTTCAAATTAATTTAATAAAAAATGTAGTCAACTCACAACCAAATATAAGAATTTTAATATCAAACCTTTTTGGGCCCATTTTTAAAAGCCCAAGCAACAACTTTTTCATGTCAGATCAGATTTTCGATACACGGCTATTTTTGGCGGCTCTGTTTGAAAGTCGAGAATATACTTCGGAAAGGGAAGCAACAATTTTTATAACAGAAGATGTAATAAATTCTGCTGGATCTCAACTTATTCGTGTAAACTTCCACATCAAATAACATCCCAATAATTAAAAAATCACAGTAAATAAACAACCAATACAAGAAAAAACTAATATCTAGGCAAATCATATGCCTTTTTATAACTTAACCTTAGCTAAGGCAGACCCATAGAATGAATAAAATTCTATGGCTCAACATCAAATTCAGCCCCAATGGGGAGATGATCGCTAGGATGGACATAATTGGGCAATCCACCACTCACCTCAGGGGATTCCAAGCCCGGAAGCTGAAGATAACTAACCGGTTTTATGTCTCCAGATGGGGAGAAGAAGATATAGTCGAGGGTACCGGTGAAGCCAGGCGTGCAGTTTGTGAACTCAGGTTCTCCCCCGATGAGCTTATAGACACTCGACAATGGCGTTGGAAGATCTTCTGTTGCTTCTGGCTCGGTTGAACTGGTGCCTGAGACAATGTATTGATACACCTGAAACAGTTGGGCATATTTGCAGTAGTCAATTTTCAAGAAACAATGGAGGATGTAGTAATATGTGATCATTAAATGAGTACTGACCTTATCTCCAGGAACTGAATTGAAGTCGCCAGCAACAATTATTGGAGGTGAGCAATCGAATTTTTCTGACACTAGGTCCTTGAATTTGTCTAGACGAGAAAGCAAGTATTTAGCCTGTGCTATTTTTACATCAATCCACTCGGGATCCCTACAGCAGATTTGGGGTTCATAATGGTGAGGTTAATCTCCATGAAAAGAAAATTTGGGCAAGATTAAGGAGCTTACCAGTATAGATGAGTGTTTGCAATAATAACATGATGACAAGAAGGGTCTCTGAGTCTAAAGGCAGCCATAATTCCTACACAGTCACGCTTCAATCTCACAAGAGGATCATTTGGATCTCCACGTTCTGCTTGATCGCATTTCGGGTCTACACCTGCCATATTTTTTTTCATCTTATCATTCCGAATATAATTATTATAAAGCAAGGGCAGACTAACCGGAATTATCATTATTTCCATTAACAAGTAACTTCTCATGGGTATCTGTGGATGCACTTTTCCCATCTTTTACAATGTCCACCAGATCATTGTAGTCTATTGTCTCTTCTAAGACCAACTCTGCACTGACAAAAGCGTTTGGATCAATGGATTAAAAATTTTACTTTATGCTAAAGACTTGACTTTGATGAATGCAAGAATTCCAAGAAAATGAAAATGCTAACTCGTATCGCCTACTAAATAGTTTTACATTGGTATAAATATTTACAAGTCATTCTTCATCAAACATTTGACAAATTTCAAATTACCAATCAATGTCAAGGTAAGTACACTCTCTAGATATGAATATCATATTTTAAACAGGGAATAAAACATACTTGTTCTGTTTATAGAAGATTGCGCATCCATCTTGTTTTTTACCACTTCTTTGAACGTAGATACTTGCATAGCCAAGTTGCTCCATGTTCTTTTTATAGAAATAATCAAACTCATCTACTTCCTGGTATCCACCAATAGCATTCAAAGGTATGAGGGATTGCAGAGATGAGGAAAACGACAAAAACAAGATCCAACTTCTTTTATACAAGGGGGAAAAAATAATAATAAAAAAGTGATAAAGACACCTGCAGACAAAGAAAATCAGCCTCCAGGCCCTTAAGAACATTTAGAATGGCCTGCGATCGAGCCTTCCACCTATTTATAGATTTATTAGATACAAGAAAAGAATATAATAAATAAATAACTTAACTAAGTATAGCATTACCGACTCTCTAAACATTTATTGGAGCACATACCTGAGACAGCGTGAAGGGGAGTGTGGAAAGTAGGAGCTTTTTACGTATACCTGGAAAGATGGCATATACAGTAAGCTTATGAAAAAAGACCACCAATTTACTCCAGCATGATTTGCAAGATGCAAAAGGCCAAAAGCAATGAAGGAAACACAAAGTTAATTTCAAGAAAACGGCGCTTTCTCATTGAAACTTTGAATATTAAGTGATGCACAGAAGTCACAAACAACAAACATTGCAATGCAAAGACTAGATGACAGTTCAATGGGATCTTGACGAATGAATATGTTGCCAATTTGAATTACCTGGGCCAATATATTGTAGGATACCAGGCTGAATTTGAAGCCTGTAATACAGTACAAGAGATAAGTCAGGTGTGAGAAATTTCCATAAGCTATAAACTACATTCAATATCTGGTTCCCAAAATAAGAACACTAGCAAAAAAAGAAAAAGAAAAAAAAGGTAATAATAAATGCCATTGCAGAGATACAGGAGAAATAGTATTAATGTACATACCCGCAGGTTTAATGATAGAAGTGACTTCCCTCTGCTCAACCGGAACAAATTTTGGACACAATGGTCCGGGAGTTGTACTCATCTTGCAGCAACAAGCTACTCTGCAATTCAACAGAATTTTCAAGTAAAAATCACCTTTACAAAGAATAAGATAAAAAAATAAGTCGATTATGTTTCTCAATGAACACGTAGAAGAAATATTTTGATAATAATCTCCATTAAAACACGTGAAACCTTCGATTAAACGCCACTACATACTTACGAAAACAACAATATCACTTCAAAAATTTCTTCCAAACTTCCAAACTCAAAATCCATTCATAACATTCTAAATCCACACAAAACATGCCATCTCGAATTTGCAATAAGAATCGTAACCAAGCATTCAACAATCAATGTGTACAGATACATAATACGCAGGCGCAGCCATAGATCACCTCAATCTAGGAACTAGGAAGGAGCACCTTAGCATCGCCCTGCTTACTCCAGAGCTGTTTCCAGAACACCGAAGCAACGGCAGTCCGCGGTCAGCCGCACCACAATACTATTGGGATCAGGCACGTGAGCCTCACGTGCACCCTGCTAGCAAACCCACACCAACGTATTGGGCCAAAAGTTTGGGCCGTTTTACTTTGGGCCTCAATCTGTCCAATCCGATTGGCCTGTTTGCCTAATTCGCAGAACATGGCGCACGTGACAAGAAAATGACACGTGTGAAATAGAACATGGTTTGGAATCTTTTCTTTCTTGTTCCTTTTCATGGTGGACCTCTCTCACTACCTTTAACCTTTCCCTTCTGGAATCAACTTTGAAAGTTGGGCTGTGAATTTCTTCCCACCATTTTCGAAAGGGAAAGATGATTAAGACATGCAGAGGCTTCTATTTTCATTCTAATCTAATTTCTCTGACAACCACAAAACTGATCTTCGGGATAAGCTTAACTTAAGCTCAAGAACCAGTCCCTTTCTTCATGACTGTATGAAAATGAAAGCTCCAGGAATCATTTAATTCGAATTTTCTATCGAAATTACGCTTTTTAATAGAGGACAAAAAGGCGTGCAAGGGAATGCGATTTATAAATTCTAATAAAATGTATAAAAGTGGAAGACAAATGACATTACAGCCGCCGCCATTGATGCACACTGCAACCTGCACTGCACTGTCCACTACCCCTCTGTCTCTAATTAAACAATCCACCGCCACTCTACGCGTCGTTCTATTCCCTCGCTTTTTCCTGCATTAGGATTGGGTTTGATTCGGATCAAAATTAGGGTTTTAAATCAGGTAAATTTTGGTAAAAAAATTGAGTCTTGATCAGATACCACAATCAAGGGCAAAATGAATTACTGCCTTGCGATTCACGGGAAATAAGAAATTAGCATTTCTTTTCCATTCCATCTGTCTTTCACATTGCCATTAAATGCAGTGCGTGTCAATCGATAAGATTCGGTGACGCTTTTTGCCCTTTTCAGTCTGGCTGGCATTCTTTTGGGTCTATGGAAGTCGGGTCGGGTTCCCCACCCGGAAACCCGTTTAGGGTAATATGTGAAACACCAGAAAAGACCAGAGCTTGAAAGGGACAATTTTTTACTCAAGAATTTGTGTCGGTCGCTTCTTGGGTTCTCTGCCACTGTTCGTAAATATTAGTATAAAACAAATCGAAACCATTTGTTCGAAAAGCTGTTATTGTAGTTACCATTCCTTTTTCTTTTTTCTTTCCCACTGCTTTGCTTTCTGCTTCTTCCTTTTCCTCGTTTCGATTCTTGCCTTTTCTTTTCTCTTCTGATGGATCTTGGTTTCGTCTCCAATACAAAGTTCTGAACTGGGATTCGCGATTCTTGAATACAAGGTGCCATCTTGATGACGATTCCACATTTCCTGCCTGCGTTTTTATTGTCGTTCTTAATTAGTTTCAGTGAATTTGGTGTAAATGCTTTTGAGGTTTCTGTTATGATTGCGCAATAATTACATGAATGAGTTTTGATGGTCTGTTTATTTTCTTGTGCCATAATAGTGGAAATAATCAACTTGGAGTATATTGGGGATTGCATTTATTTTTTCTTCATCTTTCTTGATTGATGTTCAAGTGGTGAATTTTTAACCTGAAATATGGACAGAATAATGAGTGGAATGTTAAGATATTGGTTGCAAATTCTGGCATTTTTGCTTCTTGTGCTGACAACTGAAAGCTTATTTGCAAATATTACTTATCTTCAGAGTGCTGTGGCAAAAGGGGCAGGTAATTAATCGATTTATAACACAATCCATCAAATCCAATTACATGTATGGAATTGGTTGTTTTTACTACTTTGTAATGAAATTTTATACAAACTGAATTTTTTAAAAGTTTTTTATTATTTTTGTGTCTGAATCTTTCTAGTTTGTCTGGATGGGAGTCCTCCTGCATATCACTTCGACCGGGGATTCGGCACCGGAATTAACAGTTGGTTGATTCAGCTTGAGGTTGTGGTTATGGATTTTTGTCATCTGTCCTAATGTTAAGAACATCTGTCGTGCTTTGTAATGTTGTCTGAATTTATATTGATGTATATTTAGGGTGGGGGGTGGTGCAATAATGCGACGACTTGCCTTGCTCGTAGGAACACCCGGTTAGGTTCCTCCAAGCTGATGATTAAAAGCCTCGCTTTTTCGGGGATTTTGAACAACAGAGCGAGGTTCAATCCTGGTACTCCTCGCATTCGAATTTGTCTGGGTGGATTTCATGGTTTTGGATGAAGGTTTGTTGTTGTATGATGATTGTTGTCTTGATCAGATTTCTATAATTGGAATCGAGTGAAAATTGGATACTGCGATGGCTCTTCATTTACTGGCGACGTTGAGGCAGTAGATCCTGTAAGCGATTTTAAAATGGATCCTTGCAGATTGTTTCCGAATATAGAAATTTATTTGAAGTAGTACTAATGTGTGTGTTTGTCTGAATATTATCAGCGAACGAGACTTTATTACCGGGGGGCGAGAATTTTTCTTGCCGTCGTGGAGGACTTGTTGGCGAAAGGAATGAAGAATGCTGAGAATGTAAGAGATCTTTTGAAGATATTAATGTGAATCCTCCGGTTATTGCAATTATAGTTGTTGATAATTAAGCTCATGTTCAGGCGATTCTGTCCGGATGCTCGGCTGGTGGGCTAGCGGCAATTCTTCATTGTGACGGCTTCAAAGCACTCCTTCCTATGGGTGCAAAAGTGAAGTGCTTTTCAGATGGCGGCTATTTTATCAACGCGTAAGTTTCATTTCATCCGGACATATGCTTATGTAATAAGAGGAGATATGAGGTCTATAGAATCGTTGTTGTTTGAACAGGAAGGATGTTTCTGGAGCGCCGCGTATAGAAGATTACTTCGACGATATTGTCACAACTCATGTATTGAAATCCTTTTCGTGTTATTTCTAATGATCGAGTAGAAAAATAAACTTATAAGTCTTTCTGTTTCAGGGATCGGCGAAGAATTTGCCCATATCGTGTACCTCAAGGATGAAGCCGAGTCTGGTAAGAACCGGACACTTTTCAAAACTAGACAACATATGCTCTGCTTTTCTGATGAGGCTGTTGTGTTTGCAAAAAATTCAGTGTTTTTTCCCGCAATATGTTGTGAAAGATGTCCGGATGCCCCTTTTCATCATAAACGCTGCCTACGATTCATGGCAGGTGAGCGCATAATAAGATGTTTGTCGATGCTGAGGTTTTTGATTAGTTGTCTGAATCCTTTACATGTCCTGTGCCAACCAGATAAAGAACGTTTTGGCTCCTACTCGATCTGATCCGACCGGAGTATGGAACTACTGCAAAAACGATATCCACAAATGCTCGGCGAACCAGCTCCAAATCATGCAAGGTATATATCTATATATACATGTATCGATATACACTTACACCTCATCGATTTATTACAAGAATCTCGATTTTGTGTTTTGATCTTAGGATTTCGATTAGAATTCATTCGAGCATTGACGGGATTAGGCCCTTCGACGTCGAGGGGATACTTCATTAATTCTTGCTATGCACACTGCCAAACTGAAATGCAGGAAACTTGGTTCGCCATTGATTCTCCTAAGCTAAACAATAAGGTGTGTTGTTATCAATTCAAGACACGATTTGTTTTCTTTCCATTGAAACAGATTAAGATTGATTTTTTGTCATGTCCAGACAATTGCAGTAGCAGTTGGAGACTGGTTTTACGACAGGAGTTCATTTCAGAGGGGAGACTGTCCGTACCCTTGCGATAAAACCTGCCACAACCGTGTCTTCGAGCCACACGGCCGTGTTGATACCCTTACATACACTTAGTATATATATATATATATATACACACATATAGAAAATAATAATAATTTAACACAGAATTACCGTAAGGGATTATTATAGTCATTCATTTCCCCAAAATATAGAAATTAAATAAAGATACGATAGAATAAAAAGAAATTGATTTTTCATTGTAGTAAATAATGGAAAATAATATTCATCTCAATATTATATAGTGAAGTGATCATCCTACTGTATCAATTATTGGGTTCAATTAAATAATAAATACGTTAGTTTGCTGAGATTATATCTAGCAAGCAGTTCTGCAATGGATATTTATTTGTGGTGTCTATTGCCTGCTCCGTACATCGATCCATGAACCAGTCACCAACGGTCCTTCCCATAGACTGTAAAACAAATAATAATAATAATAATAAAATAAATGAATTCTAATGTGAGAATTATATGTGACATATGTAAAAAGCATATAAATTAAATAAATAAATAAATTTAGGTACCTTTCCATTTAAGAGAGGGGAAGTGCTCCAGAGACGGTCTGTCTGCATCATGCCATGGATGTAACACGAGTGGAGGAACGTTCCCTTTGTGGGACTCGTCAGACTTTTATTCAGTGTGTATATTGAAGTAGCCCCGTATTCTGCAAAATTAAATAAAATTGAATTGATTTTTAGGTATTTATATAATTTTATTTAATTATTTTATTTGATTTTAGTACTAACGTCTCATGGCTTGCAGTTGAGACGTGGTGCAGGATTTGGTGTTGTTGAGGCACTGGTCCCAGCTGGTTCGCTGGCCAATCACAGGAGGCGGGGGAACGACGTCGTTTTTAATCTACACGAGATTGAAATTGATTAATTCAGCGATGTACCGCCTATTTTTATTTATTTATTTACTACTATTATTATTATAAAAGTAATTACCTTCCACGAATCAAACATTGATTCGATAATGAATAGTGGTGTCTGCATTGCTCCAACTATGTTCTCGGGAAATAAACACTGCATGGTGTAAATTTTAATATTTAATTGAACGAATATGAAATAAAAAGATTTTAACCTTTCAGTATATATATATATTTTAAATATAGAATTAAATATGTATGTATAATGTATTCTCGTGTCACTCACCCAGTGGGGATTGATTCTAGACGTACACGATGCAGGCAAAACTTTGGATAATTTCTGTCCATAAAAATCACAAATCAAATCCAACACATGTTTTTTTTTTTTTTTTGTAATAATAATAATTAAAAATTCATTAAGTTCATTAGCGCAGGTATATTAATATACATGAAAATCCACGACATCTGCAAAGCGTTGCTCTCTTTGGATGGCTCCTGGAAGATATTTTCTGCAGAAAATTAAATCATATGTGAATTTCAAGGTAATTAATTATAGAGAATTACGATAATTATATAGAATAAAAGAACTGTAATAATGTTACCCCGAGATAAAGAAGCCTGACTCGGAAAGACACTTGACACGCGTGGCACTGGGCAGCATGCTCCGGACATTGTCACAATGTAATACGGCTGTCAGCCCTCCGGCCGACCCGCCGGACAACATGACCTACATGTATTAATTAAAATGTACATTTACATATATAACTATATTTAATTTAATTTAAATTTAGATTATTATTATTATTATTGATTGATTAAATTGTATGTACATTCTGGGCTTTGTTCATTCCTTTGCTGAGCAAATCGTCCATGACAGCTTTGAAAACCCTGGCTCCCCTAAGTGTCAGATTGTTCTTCTGCAACAAACATCAATTAATTAAATGATATAAAATAATATTCAAGATGGGAAATTCATTAACTTAATTAATAGAGACAAGAACTTGAACAGGTGGATGCACTCACTGGATCCACGGATTCAACATCACTCATAAATGAGGACCCATCACAGTACCCAACATAAACCCTATTCCAGTTGTAGAAATCTGCAACTTATAACAACCAATTATAATTTTCTTTCAATTTACGAGATAATAATTATAATTACAAAGAAATAAATATATATATATATATATATGTATATGACCTGGATTGACGTTAGGTTTTTCACTAAGTAGGCCTCCAAAGTAGGTTTTGTTAGCCATTTGGTATGAGCTCCCATACCTTTGTGTAGCCCTAGTGATGCAGTCTGTTTCATTTCCACACCATCCCCCGCCCTAATTATATATAAATAAATATTATAAATTAATAATTATATACTATTAATGAAAAAAATATAAATAAATTAAAATATAATCTGACCTCAATGTAAATCAGCCAGCTGTCGGCGCCGGTGCCATTTCCGGGGGCATAATAATAAGCAGGTGGGCTTCCATCCAAGCAAACTTCACCACACAGTTAATTTTTAAAATTTAATTGCAGGTAATTAATTAATTAATTTATTAATGCAATGTGAATTGACGAACCTGCCCCTTGGGACACAGCAGTGTGGAGATATGTGATGTTGACGAAGAGAGCTTCAGCATTCAGCACAAGAAGGAAACAAGCCATTAGGTTTACATGAAAATGAAACCAGCGGCCACCTCCTGCCATGGCTTGTTTACCTTCCTGAGTTCACCTGCATTTTATCGTTAAAAAAAAAAACCTTAAAGGAGTCGAAAAGGACATAATAGTAATAGCACAATATAATATAGTAATACCTTAGGGCGAACCCAAACGTGAATACGATGGGATGGATCACTTCTTGACGGGGCTGAAATGAACATTCAGCATTCAGCTGCTTATTCTTTATATGGTCCGTCTCCTCCATTCTTACAATTAATTTCAGCCATTCAATTGTCGGATTTCTTTTCTGGTCTCCCGCCAACTTCGCTGCTTTTGTTGTCTTTTTCTTCTCATCGTCCTCCATTTTCTTCTAAGGTAGTTAGTTTGTTACTGAAAAATTGTAAATTAATAAAATAATTAAAATAGTAGCAATATAACGCTATAAATGTATAAATCAGTACTTGTACAAGATTTTTATACTATCACTACCGAATAATTAAATTTTAATAAAGACGCAAAAAATTATTTTGATAAATGTTGGCATTTGTATCTAGGAATTATTTGGGCTTTTGAGTCTCAACCATATTGGTTACAAGATAAATGGGCTGAATATCGGCCCGATTGTATATGTCCGGAGGTGTCTGTTTCTGCAGAAATGGCGAAGAACGCTTCCCGACCAAGTTTCAATTTTGAACCCCAAAATACTGCCACATTTCACGCTCCCCGCAGCGCCCCGCTCCCTGTTACTACCCCCCCACCCCACCCCCCATGCCTGCAATCATTTACTTTTCGAGCTGGTACAGTTAGCTTCGAAATGCAAATGATATTTATATCGAACTCCGCCGGATCTGAATGTTCGTGAATGTGTAATCTCAGACTTCCACTATATTTATATCTATTCTGGGAGCCAGATTTGTGCAATTGATTTGAATCATGAATGAGTGAAGAGTTATGGGTTTGAACAGTAGCAAGCACAGTGCTCCTGGCCCCTCATCCTCGTCGTTGTCGTCGTCGTCGTCGTCTTCTGCGACGGCAGTACGGCGGAGCCGATCCAGCAGAACCAGAGCTCTGAAACCGTCGTGTCTCCGATCTCATCGCTTTGATTGCGATGAATCTCAGGTGATTAATTATTTTTTTTTAATTTTTAATCTTTGTGAAGATCTGATTCGGCTTTGGGCTTTTTTGTTGGTGATATATTACCTTTCTGTGTCGGTGCTGAAGGTTGTAATTTATTTGCTTAATTTTTGGCTGAAGATTCCTGAAAAAGATGATTGTAGCTATGGTTAATTCTGCTCGTTTTGCCATTTGTTGGATTGATGCTGCAATGCTTGCGATTCTCTTTACTTCCATTTCCAGTTATTACTGCATCTTCGAGTTACAGATTTTTGACATATTTAGATCTCCGATTGCCCGAATGAAGAGAATGGCAAGTCAGTCTCTTGTCAAGTCTCATCCGAATGTTACGGGACGGATGAAGATGAGCCGACTGATCTCCATGATTGGGACGAATCGAATGGAGTCTCTGAACAGGGCAATACTTCCATGTCTATGCCGCAGCCATCAAACCCTCCCAGTCGTCTTGTTTCTCGCTTCAGTTTCTACCCTGGAAACTTAAGCTTCCGCCTCGCCAGATCAAGCAGCTCGGCAGCTGCAAGATCTTATCAGTCCGGCGGCGTCGCTGCCGGAAACGAAGATGGAGAGTGTGTGGGTTCTTCTAGAAGTGACAGACTACGAGGTTGTGAATTTTTACCTTCTTGCTTCTCCAACAGATCTCCCAGAATGCAAGATGAGAATGGCAGGTCTAATCCAAGTCTGGACGACGGCTGCTTGAGGAATAGGGATGGTTCGAGAGTAGAATGCAATCCAAATTTATTTTCGCCTGAGAATCATATGAACTCCGACAGCATCAGGCATGCTGAAAGACGGTTCTCTACTCGCGAACCTGCAGAACGGAACGTCCGGTTTAGTAGAACTTTGAGTGTCGGCAGGCTTCGAGACAGGGTTCTCCGCAGAGCATCTGCTGCCGATTTGGACTTGTACCATTTCCCACAAAGCCGAGAAGAAAGACTCGCACGACACCGACGTGGTTTAGGCCATACTGAAGTAGAGGCGACGCCTGATGATAGTAATGATATTAGCAACATCGGTCAGCAAACATCCTTGGACAATGTAGTACCGTCTACTTTCTCTAACGGTTTTCATGACAGTCCGCGTGTTAGAGAGACGAGGTACCGTGATCTCCTGGAGCACAGGTCTAATTTCCTCGAGCGTAGAAGACGAATAAGATCTCAGGTATACTTCCCATATTCATGCAGGCTCACTCCGCCAGAATTTGATCAAAATAAGGCTGAGGATTCGTAATCTTTTGTCAGGTTCGAGCGCTTCAGCGACTGGGAAGTCGGTTTGAGAATATGTCCGGTCACGAGAGGTCTTGCATCTTATCTGGCCAGCACCGAGGCGGTCATTGCTCATGTTGCCTTTCTGCTCGGGAGGGCAACTCGAATGATGACGCCAATGCTCGGGCCAGTATATCAAGAATCGTGATGCTAGCCGAGGCTCTATTTGAGGTACCAGTATTTCTTGATCGAAGAATGCATGCACACATGCCTATCGTAATGATATGTTAATCGTTCGTCGTTTTAGGTTCTAGATGAAATCCATCAGCAATCTGTTGTGCTATCATCCAGCCCTTCGGTATCTCCCATCGGATCAGTCCCGGCGCCTAACGAAGTGGTGGAGTCCTTGCCTCTGAAAACGTTCAATAAACTGAAAAGGAAGCCGTGCGAAGATGCTGCACAGTGAGTATAACTGATCATCTCCACTTGGGATTCGTTTAGTGTTCTTACCATTGTTGGATCGTTTCATTTACTACTTTACTTCTTCACAGATGTTACATATGCCTTGTTGAGTACGAGGATGGAGACAGCATGCGGGTGCTGCCCTGCCGGCATGAATTTCACCGAGATTGCGTTGATAAATGGCTGAAAGAAATTCACAGGTGTTTTCTGAGACGAACATTTTGAAAGCTGCATTTTACGAAATTTTAACGAAGCTAATGACTTTCTCTTTTCTCAGGGTATGCCCGCTTTGCAGAGGCGATATTTGTCGCGTCGATTCGATCCCTTCCAGGAGCTGATGATGGGGCCTTAATATTTACTTGCCTCAATGGAATAGCTTCTGGAATTTCATGGCTGCCGGCATCTGTCTGTTGTTCTGTTATATTCATTTCGGCTTCATAAAACAAGTCATACTTACTTTGATCTATACATATACATATCTATTTATTGCCTGAAATGGTACAGATTGGGGGGGTGGGAAGGCTTATTACATTTATGAGTTCTTGCTGTTCTGCTGTCGTGAATTTTTATTTATGACTGCTGTAAAATCCTGGGTTTCTTTACAGTGTTGCCTTTGATCTCTTTTCTTCGATATTTTCTGACATAATTTGACGGATTTGAGAAACTATAACAATCACGTTTTCTTGGAAAAATGAATGAAAGTGATTGGAAGAAAAGAATATGTTTTCCCGTAAAGATTTGGGTTGCAGTTGGGAGGCAGGAGAGGACAGCGCCGTGGAAAAAAATGAGTTCTTTATTTGACCTACGAAGGCAAAAAAGTGTGACTCTGTTCTTGTCAGAGGAAGTGCCGATACTGCCCTCGCCTCACCAAATTGATGAAAAAGGGGATTCATAGAAATCTGCGGGTGGTTGAGCGAGCGGAGAGATGCAGCGAAGATGAACACCAACGCCGATTCCATTAACCAGTGTTTCGCAGCCGTTTCTGGAGATCTGGATTCTCAACAATCCCCGCCGCCGCCGTTGTCCGCCCAGTTTCAACTCCAGCGCCGCCCCCGCGGCTTTGCAACCACTAATTCAAGCAGTAACAACGCCGCTGCTGCTCTCACTTCCGGTTCAATGAGAAGCAGGAAGGAGAGGGAAAAGGAGAAGGAGCGGACGAAGCTTCGAGAGCGCCACCGTAGAGCTATTACTAGTAGAATGCTAGCCGGTCTCCGACAATACGGAAACTTCCCCCTTCCTGCGCGCGCCGATATGAATGATGTCATCGCGGCTCTCGCTCGGGAAGCAGGTTGGACTGTGGAGTCTGATGGAACCACCTACAAACAATCATCCACTCCCCCGAGGCAGCCGCAACCGCAGCCGCCTCGCACTGCTCACCTCAGTTCCATTCAACAGAACAATTGTAATGTTTCTAATATGGTGGTGAGTATGTTTAAGAAAAAAATTCCGCCTATGTATGTATGTGTTCGTAATTACTGGCTACTTTTCTTGTTCTAGACTACTTTCGGAAATACGAAGCATTGGATTATGGTTGTGGTGGTGGTTGTTAATATAGGATTTCCTAAGACAATCTGTATTTGGGGGTTAGTTAAACTGAGCTAGCGGTATTATGATCCAATTTATGGGTGGAAGTATCTTTGAGGTATTTAACCAAATGAGCTTTCCTACTTAGTTTCTGTTAATGTGATCAGGTTCGATCAGTTGAAAGCCCACTGTACTCTAGTTCTTTAAAAAATTGCTCGTTGAGGTCATCAGCTGACTGTCAACCTTCAGCTCTGAGGCTTGATGAGGATTTGTCTCCAGCATCACTTGATTCTGTTGCTGCAGACAGAAATGGAAAGCTGGAAAAATATTCGAGTGTGAATGCATTAAATTCTCCTGAATGCTTAAAGTCAGTTCAGGTAAAATTCAAGTTCTTTATCCTGGTAATCTACTGTTGTCATGTGGAAACTCATGCGAGTTTCTCTTTATACATACAGAAAAAAAAAAAAAAGAAAAAAAAAAAGAGGATTGTTAGCATTAAAATCATCACAAAATCTGTCGTTAAACTGCATCTGAAAATCTTCATAGAAAGATTCAATCACAGTAAAATAGTGTATGTTTCATGCTTGCATTCAATTCAGTGAAGTTGGAACTTTGAATGCTCAATAATTATTGCTTAGTGTCAGCAAAAAGACACTAGACGTATTGGGCTTAATTGGGTGCAGAGCATTTATTGTACACAATTTTTTCTCATATAGATAAGAGAACTTATAACAAGAAATATGCACAAGTTCTAAGACCTTTAGTATTTGGGCTTAGCCCATTGGTAGTATGTGTACATGCCTTTGTACCCTACTCATGTAACTTAGTAAATATAATTATTTCCCTACTCCATGGAATTGATGTAATGAGAAGGTCCACAATTATGTATTGATTCTTTAACCTGCTGCATGGATGTGTTGATATCTACATAATTTTCAACTCTCTGCATTGTTTATCTCTACAGCTTAGGCATGATGGTGGCTTGAGTTCCTATGTCCCTGTGTACGCAAGGCTTGCGGTTAGAGATTAATCCATGCAGCTTCTGTATTAAAATGCTGTCTTGATTATCCTTGCTTGTTTGCTCCTCGGCAAGTGTTCTGTCATCTGTGACTGTTCCAAATGCTTAATTCTGGCAGGTTGGTTTGATGAACAATTATAGCCAGTTGATGGATCTGGATGGTATTAAAGAAGAACTACAACATCTGAAGTCTTTGCATGTCGATGGTGTTGTTGTAGATTGTTGGTGGGGCATGATCGAAGCATGTACACCAAAGAAATATGAATGGACAGGATACAGGGAACTTTTTGACATTATTCAAGAGTTTGGGATGAAACTTCAAGTAATATGACTTTCAAATTTTGTGTTTATTAACTTATTTTCTACATGTGATTGTCCATTCCATGAGGGATTGCATCATTCCCAAAAGTTAATGCTTTTCTGTTTAAGGGGTCTGTAATTTTGCTTCAAAGAAGTATTATTATTTATTTTATTGGTGAGAGTTTTTCAGTCTCCTTTTTCTGTAGGTGGTAATGGCTTTTCATGAATACAGAGGCCATGATTCTAATGGCACATTCATATCCCTACCCCAGTGGGTTTTAGAGATTGGGAAAAGCAATCAAGATATATTCTTTACAGATCATGAAGGTGGAAGAAATATTGAGTGCCTTTCATGGGGCATTGACAAAGAACGTGTACTAAGAGGAAGAACTGGCATAGAGGTAATTATTTCTTTTGCAGATCCGGCTGTAAGGCGAGTACAACAATTCTATATAAGCTTCTACAAAATATATGTTCCAAAATTTCAGGTATATTTTGACTTCATAAGAAGCTTCCGAACTGAGTTTGATGATTTGTTCACTGGCGGAGTCATTTCTGCTATTGAAATTGGATTGGGACCTTGTGGCGAGCTAAGATATCCTTCTTTTTCAGATAGGATGGGCTGGAGATATCCTGGTATTGGTGAGTTTCAGGTATCCGGTCAATCTTTTTATCTTGTTTCTCTCACTTACTGTTTTCATCAAGTGACATGGTATACAATTCTATACAAGAATAACAATTTTTGTTCATGAGTTTGGTGTAATGTAACGAATTTGATCTCATTAGCATGGTGGAAAAATGTTTCCTAATTTTTACACATCTGGTTTTACATCATTAAGGTACTTGAATTGTTCAAATGTATATTGTTATCTACAATGTTATCAGAGCTCATTGCTTGGAGTATGAACTTGTATCATGACGATATGCAACTTTCATATGCATGATTATGCAATTGCTTGCTTTTCATCCTGAAAGTTGGACCTGTATATGTTATAATCCACTTTCATATTGGTACAGTGTTATGACAAATATTTGATGCGAAATCTTGAAAAAGCTGCAAAACTCTGTGGACATCCCATTTGGGCCAGGGGACCTGATAATGCTGGCTATTATAATGCTAAACCATCTGAAACTGGATTCTTCAGCGAACATGGTGATTACGAAAGCTACTACGGACGCTTCTTCCTGCATTGGTATGCTCAAGTCTTGATCGACCATGCCGACAATGTTCTCTCTCTTGCAAGTCTTGCACTTGAGGAAACACAGATTGTTGTTCAGGTGCTACTGCTTCACACACCCTTGGTCCTTTCTCCTTATGTTTTCACTAAATATCCACCAGCTTATGATTGTCGTGGTGTTGGAAGGGAAGTAATAAACTTGCAATGTAGATTCCAGCTGTTTACTGGTGGTACAAGACGACGAGCCATGCCGCAGAGCTCACCGCTGGCTATTATAACCCTTGTAATCAGGATGGATATTCCTGGTTGTTTCAAGTGCTGAAAAAACATGCTGTGACCATTAAGTTCGACTTTTCAGGGTATCAGCCAGTGCATCAGGATGCCGATGAGGCATTGTCGGATCCTGATGCTCTGAACTGGCAGGTTAGTCTGACTGAATATATCGCTTGAGTTCGTCTTTCTGATTTACCTTTTACCATTTTTGGGAATGGGGTAGTGAGATTCCCTCCATAAACTTAAATTCTGCAGGTTCTTAACTCAGCCTGGGATCAAGGCCTTAGCGTCGCTGGTCAAAATGTGTACTCATGCAGCTGTGATAGTGAAGGATTTGTGAAGCTAGTCGAGACAGCAAGACCAAAAAACCATCCCGACGGCAAGCACTTCGCCTTCTTTGTGCTTCAACAGCCTGCATTTATTGAAAGAAGCATTGGCTTCTCAGAGATGGATGGCTTTATTAAAAGCATGCACGGTGAGCCGAATCCATCATACCATACATACTAGAAACCCCATTTCTACGTCTTTTTTTTTTTGTTACTTTGGTATTCTCACTCTGTTTATTTTCAATGCAGGAAAGGAGATGTAGGTTACTGAAAATTCAAATGTTTGTATTATATATCACAATATTTGATCTCAAGTGTGAATTCTTTGGGAGAAATTTGAGTTTGTTTATATTATACTATGTAGCAAATGGAATTTATATCACAGTAAATTATTGCTTCTATGCCATTGCCACGGTTTGCGCCATTAATTCAATGAGCCACTGTTACACCGATATCTCAGAAAATTTGAATTCTCAACAATCCTCGCTGCCCTCTGGAGAATTTCAACCCCAGCGCAGCCACATGGCTTTTCAGTACTAATTATAGCAGTAGCAAATGCTCCAACCAGCAGCGCTTCTGGTTCGATGGGACTCTGGGAGAGGGAAAGGAGAAGCGGACGAAGCTTCGAGAAGACATGTGTGTTCTGTGTTTGTACTATCAGTATGTAGATCTTTGATTGAGAAGCTTCAGAGCTAATATGCCATATGCTTGCAGTCATTGTCCTTATTAGTTTTCTATTTATATTTTTGAGTTGAAAGTAACTTTAAATGATATTTGTAGTCTCGATTTTTACATTGCTGCTTCTCTGATAGCTACCTTGGAGGAATGAGGAAGATTTCTATCAGTGATCCAAACTCTGATATATATATATATATTTGGGACTTTTCCTACAGATGACATAAACAAGAAGGTTCTCCTTTCAAGTTCTTCATGATGTATGGAGAATTGCTGGATACATGGACCAGGCATTGAGGTACAACAATCTATTCTGTTTTATATTTAGTTTCATATTGATAATATTCCTACCAAATTTACTGATAGGTAAAATTTTCTTATTAATGTGGTTCGAGCTGTGGATATGGTATATGAGGTTTTAATCGAAACACGTGTACGACAAAGGGATAAAATGATTTGCTTTCAAAAAATCAGTCTACTGCCACTTTTGTGTCAGCTTTCTTGAAAGTCTAAAGAATACAAAGAAGCTGCATTTTAATTGACCTTAAAAGTAGCCAATTGACTTGGATAAGGGTCACAAAATTCTTTGTATTTTCATATTCTTTATGACTACATTGGACAAAGGCACTATGGTTAGCATTTCTCACATGGCACAATATCATTTGTGCAAAAAGAAAATGTATATCCTCTTGTGTTATGTGCATTTGTTGTTGTGTGTTTGCTTGGGGGTTTGGATTTTGAGTTGGGATTTGAATAGTAAAAATTTTGAATTTAAATAGTTGTATGATGTGATATAAATAGGTGTTGATGTGATGTTTTGAATGTAAAATTGATTTTTAGTATAATATAAAAAATGAAAAATAGGTGTTTGATTTGATATTTTTTGGGGGAAAAAAATGAATGAATAATATAAATCCAATCCAATCCCCCCAAACAAACACACTTTATGATCCATGAAATTGACATATTGCTTTCCTTATTTGACTGGTGGAACGTTGGAACGGGTTGGTTGATTATTTTTAGTTGGTGGGCTCACCCACACGCGTGCATGTACTAAACAATACAGCAATCAAAAGTTTAGTCTTCCATAGTAGCCAATTTTTGTGTACATTAACTAAATAGGCCAGGTTGTATGCATATGTAGCCATCCCATATTTGTATGAATGACTAGCTAACTTGTCTATTCACAAGTATATGTATATATGAGACTGCTGATAAAATATTCCATTGCTTGGTATATCTCATTCAAATTCCAAGATGGGTATTTTCTTTTCTTTTCTTTTTACCCCCTAAAGCTACCCCAATATACACACTGTTAGATGATTTTTGTCATAGTGGGGCTTATGTGATGTCACAACATCCATTTTTCTTCAAAATTTTGATCTGACTGATACATTGAATTTTGACGTGTTAGGGAAGCCCTTGTGATTATAATATAAACTAATTCCCATATCAACCACAGGGAGGAAAAACGAAGAGTAGTAAGATATTAGCATACATTCTATTTGAGGAATAATGTCGTATTTTGATCTTAGATATGGCTTTCTATTGGCAATCAACATTGTGAAGGCACAAGTGGCCTTGCCATGGGAATGGGATCCATTTGACTTGGCAAGTGATTTCACTTGGTCGAAATTTTGGCTGCTCTTTGTTATTTTTTCAATTTTCTCATTTGTTTCGATTAGAATTCCACTGTCCCCTCTCAACACTATGAGCTATGTTCGTATTCAAGTTAAGAACTTCTCTTCATCGTTCATGATTTCTTTCTTTACTCTACTCTTCACCCCACAGACTCTCTTTTGGTACATTTATCCCTTGTTTATGTTGCTCCTTCTGTGCAGCACTTGTCTTGGGAATGTATTTAGGAGTTTTAAATATTGGGTGCAAGCTATGCTTTCTATAGTGCCTGATTTGAACATATTTGTAACTGCAACAAATGGCATTGGTAGTGAAGAAGACGATGAGGGACCAAATCTTGAAGAGGGTAGAGGGCAAGTTTAATGTTGAGTGAACTAAAAAAAGTCGAGCTTTTTTTGTTATATCGTAGTTTATATTTTCGTAGTTAATATGTTTGTACCTATTTTGAGTTAGCTAAGATGTTGAGCTTTAAGAAGCAATGGTGGAAGCATCCTTGTATTAGGAAACTTTGAATCATTCACTATGTAATGTAATAAACACATGTTTACTTAATGCTCAGACCTCTGACCTCTATGTTTTAACCTTGAGTGACTTCATATCATGAGTTCTTGATTTAATCTCTATTTCTTCTTGTATTTATTTTGCATAAATTGGAACATTATGGAATCCCATTTGTGGTGGGAGACATGGATACAATCACTCTGCCAAATTAAATCTTCTTGGACAACACTGAAATTCATTTGCATAATCCATTATTCGTTAAACGTTGTTTTGTTGTTGATACAGATAAGTGGATATGCAGAGTCAAAATCATATACAAAAGGTAAGTATTGTACAATTAAATCTGAATATAATTACAATTGGGTGTGTTTTTTTCTTAAAACAAATGCACACAATTTAAAATATATATATATATATATTAAACATATTTATAATTTTTATACTTATTTACATATTTTTCAATATTTTATATAAAAAGATGTTTTTTTTAAAATAATTACAAAATAAATACATCCTATTAATATATTAAACATATTAATAAATTAAAAATCATTTTTGTTCCCATTCAATATCAAAATTATCAATTTTGATCCCATTCAAAAATTGATACAGCGGTGTTGGCTTGAACACGGCCGTGTTGGATGACTCAAAAAGTGACTGGGCGTTCCAGTCCAGACAGACAACACGGCCGTGTTCCTACTGTTCGTTCTCTAGGGTTGTGCGGGCCGTACAACCCTAGGGAGGCAAGCTGACCGACGGCGACCCCCTTGCCTGGCCTAAGAGAGTCAACAACTGCTAACCGTACAACCCTAGGGAGGCAAGCTGACCGACGGCGACCCCCTTGCCTGGCCTAAGAGAGTCAACAACTGCTAACCCGTGTTCTGAATACAGCGATGTTCATGACCATGTTATCAAGACAACCATGTTCTGCCCATGTTCAACGCAACCGTCATGTTCACCCTATGTTTTCAATATAATCATATTGTAGGTCATGTTTATTATTTTTTTCAATTTTTGGTTAAAATTTATAATTTAACAAATTTTAATATTTTTAAAATATATAAAAATAATAATATATTAATATATATATTTTTAATAATACTTCCTCCGTTCCACGTTGGATATCAGGGTCATTGTAGACACGAAAATTTAAGATAAGTATTAAATTAAAAAATAGTGTGTAATTATTTTCCAAAAGAAAAAAAGAAAAAAAAAGAAAAGTGACATGGGACGTGGTACGGATATAAACGGCAATGTGGACATGGTAAGTGGGACGGAGGAAGTATTATTAAAAAATATATATTAATATATTATTATTTTTATATATTTTAAAAATTTTAAAAATTGATTATTTTTTATATTATAAAATAATTGTAAAAGATATTTTTGTTAAATTATAAATATATAAATCAAAGAATTTTAACCAAAAAGTGAAAATAATAATAAATATAACATACAATATGATTATATTGAAAACATGGTCACATGACCTAGAACATGCTGTGTGTTGAGAACATGAACATGAACATGACTTAGAACATAGCTTTGTTGAGAATATGAACAATAACATAACCTAGAATATGGTTGTGTTGATAACTGGGCAAGAATATGACTGTGATTAGAACACAGACAAGAACACCACTGTGTTTAGAAGTGTAGGGTAATCAACACCGCCAGTGTTTGCTGTCTGGGACGCTTTTGAGACTAAAATTAATAAATTTTCATTTGAGTGAGACTAAAATTGATAATTTTTTCTAGTGGAACCAAAATTAATAATTTTCATATTGAATGGAACCAAAAATAATTTTTACTCTATTTTTTTTTTTTTTTTTTTTTTTACAACTGTAATCACATTGTATCTTTGTATTTATTATTTTTTTAATTTATCAATTTTTTAGACGTGGAGTACAACGAAATTATTAATATATTACTGTTTCTTCAACTATCATCACTCCTAATTGTTCAAAGAGACAGTCATGTTGTCCGTAAGAATAACATGGTGATGTAGGGTTTAGATTTGTTATCGTGAGGTGACGCTATTCGTCTTTGATGTTCTATACTATTAAAAATTAAATACACGTAACTTGTTTAGATTGTGTTTGTTTTGTTAACTATTTATGAAGTTTAGTTATTAGATTTGCTATTATTTTTAAAAAATCTTACTCCATTAAAGTCCTTTTTCCGATATATCTATGCCACGTGTCAAAAAGGGTGTGTCCAGTTACTATCATTATCCCTTTTGTTATTTAAGATAATAATAATAATAAAAGGATAATAGTAATAATTCTGGTCCTCGTGTTCCAAGCCAATCACAGACCACAAAAGACAGCGTACAACTCGAGCAGCGGAAGGTGCAAGTCGTTGCATCAGCAGGGTAGGGTCTTCATCCCCCTTTCTTGCGGGCATTTGACACTGAAGCCATCCTGTTTGCATGAAATCCGAGCAGATCCCACCTCGAAATCATCCCAATTTGGGAAACTTCGCGCATATGCCGGTTTGCATTTCTGTAGTTTCTTCCACTCTCAGTCGTCATAATCCTTATTAAGTAGCAATTCATGGAGTTAGTTTGCTCAAACTATGTATATCTTACTGCTTCGCCGTCGCTGCCGCCGGTGAACAGTCATCCAAAACCTCATCGAGGTTCTACAAAATTGAATCGTAGGCATTCATTTAGAAATAACAACACAAGAATTAAGGCTCAAAAAAGCGAGTCGTTGGCTCAAGTGGAAAAGCCCCTGAGTGGAATCGGCGGTAGCAGCGCCTTGGAGCAGCTTGATATCGAACGCGGCATTTGTGTTCCATTTCGGAAGTATACCCCTGAATCCGTATGTGAGATAACTTATGCCAATTTTTTATTTGGCGTTTTTTTCTTCTCTATTTGTTTGCAGCGCACATGAGGAAGTTTGCAGTCAGATCGTAAGTGATAGACGGATAGACCGATTAATTTGAGCCCATCGAAACAGATTTTTACTACTTATGAGAAATAGTACTTGCAAAATTGATACTTAGAATCAATTTTTAAGATTGTTTGGAGCCTAATTAGTGAGGTGAGGTGATTACATATATTCATTTGGTTTGATGTTATGTAGCCTGTCCATATTAATAATAAAATAAGGTCTTAAACCTACTGTTGAATACTTAAAGGCAGTAAAATTTTGTTTGAATTCATTTATGTCCCTTTGCCATACATTTAGCTTTTATTTTCTCAAAATCAAATAATGCTTTTGCGCTTTGATAAGTGGGTTGTGTTGATTTATGATTGTATTTTGAATTAGTTAAAAAGGAATTTGCTGAAGTCTGATTGAAATTAATTGTTCGTTCGTTCAACTCTAGCTGAAAGTTGCTGTTATTTTCTCCACATATGCAGTATGGTCTTTGTTATGTGTGATGTCCGTCATCAATCATATATACTGATGCTGGATTGTAATATAGTTTCTTAAAGTTTTAGTTGATTGTATGTGTTAAAGAGAAAAGTAGGAACTTTGGCAGATTCTGAAATTTCATATACTGGGGAGCACCAGAAAGCTTGTAAACACTTTTACAAATATTATCCTGAATTTACATTTACATGTTGCATTGATTTTGATGTAATTTAAAACCTTTGTGTTGTGCTTATAGTGTTTTTTATTTTATTTTTGGTGTACTTATGTAGGTGAGGAATAATGTTCTTTCATCAAGAGGTGCAATATTGTCATTAATGGGCAGAGGAGTAAAAATTGTATGGAGTTTAGGACTCTATTGGTCGGGATTCGTATATGATTATTTTGTGGGCCGTGATGAAGAAGTTGTTCCTTTCCGTGCACGCCAGCTGAGGAATCTCCTCTGTGACTTGGGCCCTTCTTTCGTCAAAGCTGGACAGGTTTTTGCATTCTCTCTCTTCCATAAGCTTTTGGGGTTCATCACCAAGGGTCACCACAATTATTTCTTTTCCCCTTTTCCTTTAGTGTCGCTAGAATATTACCTAGAATTTAGGTGCAGTGTGTACTATGTCATCTCTCTTTCTGGGTGTGAGATGCAGTGTGTACTATATCCATTGCTTTTGATATTTTCATACCGCCTTATTCTTTTTATTTAGTCTTGAATATTATCGTGTTTATCTGAGTTGTTCTTCTATGATTTTTGATGCCTTATTTGGAAACTTACGTATCATTTGCTTTCTCTATTTGACTATTGGTCTGTCCCTGTTTTATATAAGGTGCTTGCAAATAGACCTGATATTATTAGAGAGGACTACATGAATGAACTCTGCATCCTCCAAGATGATGTTCCTCCCTTTCCCAATCAGGTATCTGGCTGTCTTTTTAATGATTATATATATTACCTATATTATTTTTAATTGAACAACCAACCTTAGACTGGTGTAGGTAGCCTTTAAAATCATAGAAGAGGAATTAGGGCAGCCTCTTGAAGCTGTTTTTAGCAGAATTTCATCAGAGACAATTGCTGCAGCAAGTTTGGGTCAAGTGTATCGTGCTACACTACGTTCATCAGGAGAGGATGTTGCTATTAAGGTTCCAAAATTTACTCCAGTTAACCAAGTTTTATTTTGTTTGAATGTGGTTTTCTAGAAATGACTTCGTTCTAGATTAGCACAGGTGCTTACTGGTACTTTTTCCTTAATGGATGCATGTGGAATAATATGGTGCTATATTTCTCTATCATTCTATTATGTCATAAATATGAAGAAAAAACTTGTTTAGATTATATTTGATATTAAGTAATTTCCTGTTTTAAATATGGTAAAACTGCAGCTTACTGAATACCGAGACAGATTCAGGTTCATGGAATGATTGGTGCTTTATTTTTCTATGTTGTTAGCCATAAAATCTGGTTTCCCGTTATTTGTTTGTTTGGAATATTATCTCTCCAAGCTTGTAAATGTTGCTTTTCCATGTTCTATCTATTGATGAAATGCAACTAAGTTGGATCTCCATTATGGTTTTGCAGGTTCAAAGGCCTGGGATAGAACCAATCATCTATAGAGATCTTTTTCTTTTCCGTACTTTAGCTTCTTTCTTGAATGGCATCAGCCTCCAAAAACTAGGTTGTAATGCTGAGCTTATAGTTGATGAATTTGGCGAGAAGCTATTGGAGGAGCTTGATTATACCTTGGTATACCTACTGTCTACTTAAATTTTGCAGAAATCAAGATCATTGCCTTGTCTCTCTAAAAGCATGCCATATGTGCTAACACGCCCCGACATATGTTCACTAGCTTAGTTCACTTCTATTTACAATCATAGCTCGAAATATTTTGGGATATTTGTATTCCTTTTATAACAATTGAATGCCTTTTTCTTTTATCCCTATTCTCTCACACTCTTTCTTATTCTTTCCCCTTCTAAATTAGTTCATAAGCTGCTTTGTTGGATCAAGGACCACAATGCACTGTTATGACATTGGAAGTTTATATTTATTTGATGGAAATATAATCAGAAAATCATTTATTAATTTGTTTGTTTGTTTGCTAGGAAGCTCGTAACATTGAAGATTTTCTTGAAAACTTCAAGAATGACCCTACAGTAAAAATTCCACGTGTCCACAAACATCTTTCGGGTCCTCATGTGCTAGTGATGGAGTGGATAGATGGAATTCGATGTACAGACCCTCAGGTTTGAATGATAAAAACAAATTTTAGATGGTAACTAATAGGTGTGCTCTTGACCATTGCCCCCCTTCAATGTAGGCTATCAAGACTGCAGGAATCGACATTGATGGCTTTCTGACTGTTGGGGTGAGTGCTGCCTTGCGACAGCTGCTGGAGTTTGGGCTATTTCATGGGGATCCACACCCTGGAAATATCTTTGCCATGCGTGATGGGCGTATTGCATATGTGGATTTTGGAAATGTGGCTGTTCTTAGTCAGGTAATTAAAGATTAACAATATTTCATTATAGATGGATTTTGGAAATGTGGCTGTTAACCATTTCTCTCTTGATCTCTTCTTGTTCAGCAAAATAAACAAATTCTTATAGATGCTGTTGTTCATGCTGTAAATGAAGATTACAGTGAGATGGCAAATGATTTTACTAGGCTTGGTTTTCTAGCCAGTGGAACCGACGTCACCCCAATAATTCCTGCTCTGGAAGCAATATGGCAAAACTCTGTGGGAAAGGGGCTTTCTGACTTCAATTTCAGAAGTGTTACAGGTGCTCTTTATTCATCTAACTACTGCACACATCAAGAACATACATACATTTAACAGTCAATTCTATCTCGAGTTTTAGATATTCTATCAGAGTAAATGATCTTTCATTTAAATGGATTCTTTAATTACTCCTAGAGTTTCTTTTCATTGTTCAGCTAATGTTTTGCAGGAAAATTTAATCAGTTAGTTTACAATTATCCAATCCGCATTCCAGAGAGGTTCTCTCTTGTTATTCGATCATTATTGACACAAGAGGGCATTTGCTTAACCCTGAAGCCCGATTTCAAATTTCTTGAGGTTCATCTCATTCTCTAATCTAGTACTTATCATACTTCCTTTCTTCATTTATATGCATGATTGAAGAGCTACATCATCAATTTAACGATTTAAGAATTAAGACAGTATAAGATCCAGACCCAGTTCACCATCATTTCATGATACCACCGATCAAAATACTCAAACATCTCTAATCTAATTTAATTTTTAGTTCTCAGCTAAAGAAATGTGCATGCATACGATACAGAACCACTTTTTCATGAATGCAATCTAATGAAGTTTCGTGCATATTCATCTAAGAATAATCAGCTTCCTTCACTCGATGATGGAAAGATTGAACTCAACCGTGTGAAACATCCAATATCATTTTCCCGGTCTGATTACATCAATTTAGTTTCTTCTTTGTATAATTTATTCATTTGATATCATTGGAGCAGGTTGCCTATCCTTATGTGGCAAAGCGTCTACTCACAGATCCTAATCCTGCTTTACGTGAACGACTAATTCAGGTTGATTATTATCTATGTTGTATAAACTATGATCCCCTGTTTATCGGATTTTCCTATTTTATACAGCAGCCATATCAAACATTTGCATCTGGCTTAACTATGAAATGTTTCATCAGGTTTTATTTAAAGATGGGCTTTTCCAGTGGAAACGACTTGAAAACCTAATCGTTCTGGCAAAGGAAAATGTGGCAAGGATGAGCAGCAATCCCGCCTTGCAGAAAAACCAAATGTTCGTACCTCATATATCGACTTTACCTCTTTTCCCCCTGAAATTTATCTTCATCAGCTCTTTGTCTCCCATGCCAGGCAAAGGACCATGGACCGGAAAATCGCACAAAAATTGGACCTGACAGACACAATCAAGGATGGAGCTCGTCTATTCCTGATCGATGAAGGCATTCGTAGGCAGCTCATTCTTGCTCTCACCGAGGATTCCAAGCTCCATGTTCAAGAGGTTTGTAAAGATTCTGCAGACAATGCAAAGAAACTTAAAACTACCAAATCTGACTACACTACTAATGCATTTTTACAGCTCGTAGATGTATACCGACTGCTCGAAGACCAAATAGACTTACCTTCCATGGCTTTACAAGTAGCACAAGGTAAACCTCACACGACGTCAAATTCAATCCTCGAACATTCTTACCTGCTCGATCTAATAGCTAACTGGTTCTCTATGTTCCTCTCTCAGATCTTCCTTCGGTTGCTCGAGACGTAATGCTTTCTTGGACTGCCTCTGTGTTGTCTGATAGATAGATAGATATAGATATAGATATAGATAAAGCTCAGTCCTCTGCCATGGCTGCTGCAATCAAAACATTCAATATTGCTCTTCTTCACCTACAGAAAGGAATTGAAGGAAGACTTTTTAATTTTTTCATACTGTAGATGGAAATTCAATTTTTCTTTGGGATATATGTATGTGTATAATAGGCAAACCGCAATTTTATACAAATATAATCTGAAATTTTCAGTATATGAATTTATTATTTGAACTCCCTCTAAGCTGGATGATTTGTTGGCCCAATGATTGGTAGTTCCTAATTACGTACTACTGAAAAAGTCTTATCACGTTATAAGTTGAACTACTTTCTAGAATCTATAAAAAAAAAATATTCCCTCCGACCTTCAAAATATAGTCTTATTGATGATATTACATAGATAGTTGGTAAAAAATAAAAATAAAAAATAATTTTTTGTTTTATTAATATATTAGTGTAAAAAACAGTGACAATTATGTAATAACACCTGAGATAGTATTATATTTATTTATAAAATGAAACTATAGTAAACAAGACCATCGTCATATTTATATATTTTCTATTTTTTGTTTTATTAATATATTAGTGTAAAAAACAGTGACAATTATGTAATAACACCTGAGATAGTATTATATTTATTTATAAAATGAAACTATAGTAAACAAGACCATCGTCATATTTATATATTTTCTATTTTTTGTTTTATTAATATATTAGTGTAAAAAACAGTGACAATTATGTAATAACACCTGAGATAGTATTATATTTATTTATAAAATGAAACTATAGTAAACAAGACCATCGTCATATTTATATATTTTCTACTTTTTCTAAATTCTGCATCATTATATTTATTTATTTGCAAATAATAATACTAATAATAAGGTTAAGTGGGTGGACTGGGTGAGACAGACCCGGCGAAATTCGGGTCGGGATATGACCCGTGTGGCGAACAGTCTATTATCCCTGTGCATTATTTAATTTAATTTATTACGATAATATTAATTCATTTTATTTTTTCAGTTTATAAAAGAACGAGGCCGTCCGCTGTTTATCAAAATCGAAACCCTCGTCTTCCCCCACGCTCCCACACCACACACGAATAAATTACTCTTCAAGAAAGGAGTGAGGGGAATTCTCTTCCCAAGATCCTTTTATTGCTGGTAATCTTTTCCTTCGTTGCATTTGTATTGATTAACGTTTGTTTTCATTTGCGTTTTATTTTTCTTTGATTTTTCGGTTTTCGTTTGTGAAGAATCATAGCGTCGTCATCGTGGGTGCGTGTTCGGATCCGCATTATGTTCAATCGTCGCAACATTGACGGGGGGAAAGGTATTTAACGTTTTCTATTGGGTTTTTGGGTTCTTGGATTGTCTGGGTTGTGGATGCTATTCTCTCTTGTTCGCATCATCTTTTTTTCTCCCCCTTCGTGTTAATTTTCAAGGTATTGCTAGAATTTGGAAACGGCTTTAACTTTATGGTTTTTGATTCTTTTTTTGATGTTGGTAGGGTTTGCCGCTTGATTTCATAGTTTAGACCGAGTGATGAAAATCACTGGTGAAGTTTCCCAGATGGCAGTTTGCAATTATAAATTAGTCTCAAGAATTGGGGTCGCATTCAAGTGAGTGGAATTTGGTGTAAGATTATTGAATATGTCTCAGCAGTCATCACGCCTTAATCGGTTGCTTACATTGCTGGACAGTATCCTTGCGGAGTGTTTATGAACAAATTCAAATTAGCAGTTTTATTACTCCTGTTGTACATACGTTATCACTTTCTTTAAGTTTCATTCACATTTCTATGGTTATGGGTCTGACTGATGATGGATTGCGAGTTTTTCCTTTAACAAATTCTAAGCGGGTTCAACCCAAGCAACAAGGTTCTCTGCAGCACGGCAGATAGGGGATATTGCCAAATCACATCCGCAGGACTTAAATGCTCTTTTAAGTAAGGTGTGAGTTTCTACAACTGAATTTCTTCAATGCGGGTATTTTTCCTTTATTAAATTCTGTTTACTAGTGAATTGCAGCTCAAATTGTTCCGAAAATTGTTTGAATGGTTGCTCTGTGTATGCCAGTTAGTCGCTGACGTACCATACTGGTTGCTAAAAGTCTATAATTGTGGTGAAGGAAGTACTTTATTTTTTTGCCACTCAATATGTCATAATTGGGATCTTAGCCAGCACATACACGTGACGCTTTCATAAGTGAAAACTTTTACGAAATAAATGTTTGGATAATACCAGGTTGATTTATAAATTGTCTATTTCATATCCTCACTTTATGCCCGTTAGAAGACTGTTGAATTTTTAGTACATTAAATAGCTTACACCTTATTAAGATAATGACCCATGAATAGTGCTCTTCCTGGTAGTTTGAAGTAAGAACTCGTGTGACCTTGTTTTATGTTGGTGAATCTATGATGTTCCACAGAAAATTAAGCACTATTCTTATTGTAGTCTTTTTTGAGTAGTGATTTGATTGAAGGATGCCTGTATTCTTCCCAAATTTTAGCTGCAGAGATTGCCATTAGTTACTCTTGTTACCATTTGGTGCAATGTTGTATCTAGCGTGTTCATTAAGTCTGACATTGTTTTCTTTGAATAGAAATTTTGATTAGTGTCATTTACCAATTTTGTAGATTATAATCTGCATCGATCCGTATCATATTTCCGCTGATCAGTTAAAGTTCTCCTTTTTTTTTTTTTTTTCTTAATTTGTATTTATGTGATATTCATGTTTTTTTGTTTAACTTTTGACTGTATCATTCTACTGTTTTCTACTGTGTTCCCGCTTCCAGCTTAAGCTTCACTCTTATCAATGAAAACTACAGGTTTCACAGTATCTACATAGTAAAAAGTGGGATACCAGGGTAGCGGCAGCTCGAGCTGTTGGATCTATTGCTGAGAATGTGAAACATGTGACTTTGACTGAACTTGCTGCCTCTGTTGATGCAAAATTGTCAGAAGCTGGGATATCTGCCACCTTTGATGATGTGGCAACTTGGCAAAAAAACCATTCGAAAATTGGAGCAGGCACTTCTTTCAGAAGGTCTTATTTCTTGTTGTAATTGTTGTTCCATTATGGTGATTGCATGGAAACTTTATTCAGTCTGTATTGTTTTGTTGCACTTCATTTTTTTTTTTTAATAATGAATAGTTTGTTACTGCAGTTTCGATCTAAATAAGGTGTTGGAGTTTGGAGCTTTGGTAGGATCTGGGGGTCAGGTACTTCACCATCAATTTCCTTATATATGTGGATGCTGTATGTCTCCAATCCTAATGGTTCTGTTCATGTGTCCTTTTATCAAATTCATGTGTTTCTTCATTTTTGTTTATTAGTATGCCATTCAAATGAATCTCGTTTCGATAAACAGATCCATATTGCAAGTTTGTTATTATGTATGAATTGATTCGTTCACCTCATTTGATATTTTACATCAAATGGATATCCAAAAATCCTTGTTTGTAATCGTTTGGTTTACTCTAACTATGATACTATCTCTCTGGCATTTAATAGTGTTTTGACCCCATGTTTATGGGGTTGTATGAGCCAGAGTGATCCCACTCAGATATGCCTGATGAAATTTACTTATTTCTTTGAGGTGGATTTTAATTATTTTAAGGAAATAGGGAATTTGGCTGTATTACAGCTATCAGTTTATTTTAAATGGTCTGACTTACAGGAGTACGATATTGCAACTGACAATTTCAAGAATCCCAAAGAACGATTGGCTCGGCAGAAACAAAATCTTAAGCATCGATTAGGTCAGTGTTACATTGTTCTGTCTTTCTTAGTTAACTAATAATTGCACACCTCTTTATGGCATACGCTATACACAGTTATTAAGAAATTACATTTGGATCTCTGATGTAAACTGTTATCTCGATTATGCATGTAAATGTTATAATGTCTTAGGTCACTTAGAAACCTTAAGTCTTTCTTTTTGAACCAGTATTACCTTTCTAACTCCCCAAACATCTTCACACCTAAGAACTTAAATTTAATCTAGTATTGAATTTTGCGATAGTCCACCTCATTGGTCATAACCATGTCTTTGTAAGTAAAAAATGATCTGCCAACCACCTTATGGAAAATTTATGTTTTGTAGGGTTGTGATAGAGTTAATGTATTCTTGTTGGTCCACATATAACAAAATTTTGGCTCTGCACTCCTTTAAGTGGACAAATCCAATGCATGTATTAACTATTATGAAGTGTTGGACATTGGATGCTTACAGTGTCCAATGGTAGATAGGTTGAGATTAAATTAATTTAGACTGGGCATCCTTAGATTAGAACTCATTTGTTACTTTTTTTTTCAGGTTTAGACGTGTATGAGCAGTTCATGGATGTCAATGATATGATAAAAGATGAAGACCTTATTGTGCAAAAATACATTTATTCTGGGAATGGAATAGGGGCTCAGTATTACTCTTCACAGCCATCACGGAATATCCAGCAGTTTGTCACAAGCATGGTGCCTGCCTCCAGGTCTAGAAGACCCAGTGCAAGGGAGCTCAATCTCTTGAAACGGAAAGCCAAAAATAACTCAAAAGAGCAATCTAAAGGGTGGCCAAGAGATGGAGATACAGAGAGCACGCAATCACATGATATGGTGTCCCCAAAAAACATACCTGTGGACTCATCAAAATCTTGTAAGGTGAATGAGGAACTCACTTTTAGAAACATCTCAGATACCTTGGTAGATTATTTGCCTTAATTTGCTTCTGAATTGTTATTCCTCTCACTTTGGTTCCTAGGGATTTTGTTATTTTCAAAGTATCACCATCACTAATACTTGTGCTAGTCTTGTTCTTTTTCTATTAATTTTTGTGCTGAAAGGTCTTTCGCTTTGTAGTCACTCTTGCTGAAGATGCTTTTATTTAACCATTTGAATTCCTTCCTGGCGACCTCAAACAATTGTTTCAATCCTCTCATTTAATTATATATATATATAACAATTCTGAGTCACATATACACAACTGAAGTCCTGTCAACGTTTTCCACTAACATTTTCTCTTTTAAACAGTCTTGTTTAACACAATTTATTTTGTACCCTTTAACTGCAATCCACTAAAGTAGTATTTGATGCAGCAACTTACAGATATTGTTTCTGATGATGAGGGTTTTGACAATTATGGAGATGGCTTTTGGCCTTTCCAAAGTTATGTCGAGCAACTTCTCATCGATATGTTTGACCCTGGTAAGTTTCAATGTTTGCGGTGTTAAATGTTTTGATACCATGCATGACAATACCTTGTGGTCATGTTTCTTCAGTTTGGGAGGTTCGCCATGGCAGTATCATGGCACTCAGAGAGATATTAACATATCAAGGAGCTAGTGCTGGAATTCTTTTGCCTGATGTTCAAAATCCTGACATGTCATCTGCTCCTTTGAAACATAAAGATAGTGAATCTATAATGAAAAGAGAGAGGGAGATTGATTTGAACCTGCAAGTTCCCCTGGATGAACCAGAACCAATTATAAAGAGGCCAAAAATCGAAGATGCATCAATTTCAACAAGCGACTTTGGAGGCACTTGCGAAGGAGGGCAGAATCCTCTCGCACATACAAATGGTAAAAATGAAGGTGTTAAGATGGAGTGTTATTCTGGCATTTACGGTACTTCCAGTCCCATTGACAATGTTATGGTGACGAAGGATAACTCTGAGGATAAAGGATCTTTGGAGCCATTGAATGCATTAAAAAGTCTTCCCAAAAACTCCGAGCTCGTGAGTTTAGTGGAAGGAGCAAGAAATTCTTGGTGCAGGAACTGTGAATTTCTGCAAGATTGTGCAATTCGCTTCTTATGTGTCTTGTCACTTGATCGGTATGTTTTTTAAATAACTGAACATACAAATTCAATTCTGAAGCCATAAAAGGAAATTTGAAACAAGTATATGGAAGCCTCCAATTATGACGCAATATCTTATGCTGCACAATTTCTAAATTTTGCAAATTCTTTTTGGTGCATCATTGCTTCTCTTAGTTGGCTACCCATTGACATTTCGATCTGTACTACTGCAATGTGTGAAGTAGTTAGAAGAGGATTGTATACTTTTGTATTTGGAAAGATATCTAAATCTGATATACTTTACAGGTTTGGAGACTACGTATCGGATCAAGTTGTTGCACCAGTGAGGGAAACCTGTGCTCAAGCTTTAGGTGCTGTGCTCAAGTACATGCATCCAGCATTTGTTCATGAGACGTTGAACATTTTGTTGCAGATGCAGGTAAATAATGATTAATAGTTTCCTTGGTTTGTGGCACTAACTCTTTGTTCTTTCACTGCTGCAACATCCTTTTAATGATTTCTTTGCTTCTTTCAGCGTAGACCAGAGTGGGAAATTCGCCATGGGAGTCTTTTGGGCATCAAATATTTGGTTGCAGTGCGACAGGTATATTCCTTTTCTTTGGATACATTTTTAGGCTCGATGTGACTACCCTTACATTAGTGCTATATTCATTATAATTCGTTAATTTTATCTAGATATAAGTTTTAACAGAATAGCGTTCAAGTACTCTTTCTTTGATGATGTGGTACAACGAAACTATTGAAAAGATAAATGAGGAGTTGGTAAGTAACTCGAGTGCGACGAAGATCTGCCTATGAGAACAGATGTTATTGGGACAAGCAAAAATCATAGATGGTAGCAAGTAAGATTTCAGTTGTGAAAAAACCTTAATAGGTGATGCTACAGTTAAGTTTGTAAACAGAGAATAGAATGTATTAGCTGCAATAAAGATAGAGAATATTAAATCATTCCTCAATTGCCACGTTGTTAACTTGTTTTTAAAAGAAGCAGGCATATAACAAATTAACAATACACTTCTTCAAGTTTCATTAGCTGCAATTATCATTGAGGAAATTAATAAGAACTTACCAGCTATATGTGCTAATGAATGGTGCCACTTTGTTCTTATTACACCTTTTGATATAGGCAGATACACATGCACTTATGTCTTGATTTTTATGTTCTAGTTCACATTTATAACTCTTATATCTTCAATAAATTACTTGTATCAACAATATCTTACACAATGTCGTTTAATTAAGCCCGCCATTTCATTATTTTAATGTCACTATCATTCTCGTGCTCATTCCAGGAGATGATTCACGACTTGCTTGGCTCTGTTCTTCCTGCTTGTAAATTTGGGCTTGAAGATCCTGATGATGATGTGAGAGCAGTTGCGGCAGAGGCCTTGATACCTACTTCATCGGCCATTGTTTCCCTCAATGGTCCAATTCTGCACTCCATTATTATGCTCCTGTGGGACATTTTGCTTGACCTGGATGATTTGAGTCCTTCCACTAGCAGGTGCAAACAATCATATCACCATTTAAGTCTATTATTTGGTTCAAACATTTTACATGCTTAATCCATATCTACTATGCTAAATTTTGCTGTAGTTTTTGTTAGCTATGATGATGTGTAAGCCCAAGATCTTGAATAATGCAGTTCATATTGAATATTTTCATCATTTCTCTCTAATGTACAGGTTTATCAAATTGTTTTTGATATTTGTCTAATGATATTGCAGTGTAATGAATCTGTTAGCAGAAATTTATTCCCAGGAACAGATGATTCCAAAAACTTTTGGTACTTTGGGCTCTACTGAGAAACCAGAGCTTGACCTTAATGAAATTGGTGTCACCGATGATCTTGAAGAAGGATTAGGTTCTTTGGAAAACCCTTATATGCTGTCGACACTGGCCCCGAGGTTATGGCCCTTTATGAGACACAGTATCTCCTCTGTCCGCCTATCCGCAATTCGCACCTTGGTACTTTATTTACCCATGTTTGAGTTTCTCCATACCTAAAATAATGGGCTATATGAACATTAAATGGACGTTATCTTCTGTGCAGGAACGCTTGCTTGAAGCTGGTTACAGAAAGAGCATCTCTGACAAGTCCAACACATTCTGGCCCTCTTTTATAGTTGGTGACACCCTAAGAATTGTGTTCCAGAACTTACTGCTTGAATCAAATGATGAGATTCTGCAGTGCTCAGAGAGGGTTTGGAATCTACTGTTGAAAGTATGTATATGTTCCTGTTTAATTTTGCATCTTCAAACAACTCTGTTCCAGTAAATTTTTTTTTTTATTTTTTCTATTTTTTTTTTTGTCAGTTTGTTTTATGGTATGAATTATGGCATGAATTTGTGTTCATTAAATTAATACATGACATATAAGTAAATTGTTGACCCTCTACCCCTGGATTAGGATGAGTTGTACTTGACAAATAAATTAAGCGAGCCAAATTTGGTATCACACCATAATTCCCTCTATTTAATATGTTCATTAGTGTATGTTTAAATGTTTAAAAGTCTATGTCAAGAAATGCTAGTATGTTTGTCTTTGAGTCTCTGATCGATGCAACTTCAAGCCTGTTTTAAAATTTTAAGCTCTCTTTATTTATGTTTTCAATTTTATTTTTGCACTATTCATCAAAAGCAATTCACTATTTAAAACGTCATATCCAATACCTATTTGCATCTGATCAAATACTATGTTATATTCAACTTTTTACTATTCCCATAACAATCCAAAGCATCAAAGTGTTTCTAAACATACCTATAGTGTGTGTGTTCCTTTCTTTCTTTCTTTTATTTTTTTGAGTTTTTTCAAGGATCCGAGGACATGAGTAACCTATTATTCAACTTTATCTATGAATTGCTCATTGCTACATTATTTTCAAATATTTCTGTTCATCCATTTTTATAACACTTTAATACCTATTGCAATGTAAATAAATAAATAAATTATGTGCTTTTTGTTTGTATTTGTATATCCAGAGGCTGTCTGCCAGAAGTAACCTATCTTTTAGTTATTCCTTTATTGAATGTCTTTGTGAATTTTCATTTGTACTTTAATTGTTTCCACAAAGCTTTTGTTCTTGAGAATGTTGTAGGTGAACTGAATGAGACTGTACAGAGCTTTCTTTGTCTCATTTCTTTCTAATTTTTCTTACTCTGGTGCTAACTTATTAAATGTTTAGTGCCAGGTTGAAGACTTAGAAAATGCTGCCAAATTATACTTCTCTTCATGGATTGAGCTTGGAACCACTCCCTATGGTTCTCCACTGGATGCTACCAAAATGTTTTGGCCTGTAGCCTTGCCACGTAAAAGCCATGTCAAAGCTGCAGCTAAAATGAGAGCTGCCATGCTGGAAAGTGAATATTACAAAAATAAGGCCTTGGAATCTACAGAAAGCATGATGGGGGAGCAAAATGGAGATGCTTCTGCCAGCTCGACAAAGATAATTGTTGGTTCTGATACGGATATCTCAGTAACTTATACAAGAGTTGTTACAGCAACAGCTTTGGGCTTAATGGCTTCCAAGTTGAATGGTCAATCATTACAGTATGTGGTTGATCCATTGTGGAAAGGATTGACTTCTTTGTCCGGAGTTCAGAGACAGGTAATTTTGTAATAATGAGACGAGTTTTACATGGTTTATTTATTTCTAGGCTATCTGGGGGATATTTTGAACCTTTTTATTTATTTATTTTTTATTTTTTTATTTTTGCATTTGGTTGATATTTCCAGGTGGTTTCATTGGTTCTCATATCATGGTTTAAAGCATTGAGTGGATTTTCAAAGTCAGATGAAGCAATTATTGGCACTTCAAGTGACTTTAGGCTGTGTTTGTTAGATTTATTAGCTTGCACCAATCCTGCATTTCCCACGAAGGATTCTCTTCTACCTTATACTGAATTGTCTAGAACGTATAGTAAGATGCGGAATGAGGCCAATCAACTGTATAGATCTGTTGAAACATCTGGACTGTACAATGATTTCTTGTCATCATCTAATGTGGACATGGAGAGTCTGAGTGCAGATGATGCTATTAATTTTGCATCACAGCTTTCATTTTCAAGTAATGGGTCTTCTCGGCAAGAATCTGATGGAGGGAACCTATTTGATGAATTAGAGTCTCTGAAGCAAAAGCTTCTAACCACTGCTGGCTATCTTAAATGCGTTCAGGTACATTTTAGCTGCAACAGTACAACCACCGTATGCAATTGAGGACTCGTAATTGGTTATAATAGACTATTGTATTATCAATCTTCAAATTACTTGAGTGTTCTTTATAAATTATATCATATTGGAACTTTTCTTACGCATTTTTATAATTATTTCTCTTTGGTTTCAGAACAACATGCATCTTACTGTCTCATCTTTATTGGCTGGTGCTGTTGTATGGATGTCAGATCTCCCAGCAAAGCTTAATCCAATTATTTTGCCTATTATGTCTTCCATCAAACGAGAACAGGTTTGTACATTTTTCTTGTGAAACACCCAAGATAATTCTTAAGATTGTGATTCTATCTTGCCTGTAGGAGGAGATATTGCAAAATAAAGCTGCCGAGTCTCTTGCTGAGCTCATCCATCATTGCATTGAACGCAAACCTGGTCCAAATGATAAGCTAATAAAAAATCTTTGTACTTTAGCTTGCATGGACCCTCATGAGACACCCAAGGCCGTGGCCCTAAGTTCTGTTGAGATAATTGAAGACCAAGACCTTCTATCATTTGGAAGTAGCAGTAGTGGCAGACAAAAATCGAAAGTTAATATGTTTACTTCTGGTGAAGATAGATCGAAGGTCGAAGGTTTTGTCAGCAGACGTGGGTCTGAACTTGCGTTGAAATATTTATGCATGAAGTTTGGTAGTTCTCTGTTTGACAGGCTTCCTAAGATTTGGCACTGCCTCATCGAGGTTATTAAGCCTTGTGAGATTGAGGGCATAACACCAGAAGTTGAAAAGTTGATTGATCAATCTATTGGTCTCATCAGCGATCCCCAGATTTTAATAAACAATATTCAAGTAAGCACGGAAGTTTATGCATCCATTGTTCTGGCCTTATAGAATATACTGTAAAAGATGTGTGTCTTCCCCAAATTTCCAATGTTTTCATGACAACAATACTTTATAGGCTCTCATAGTGGCAATTACTTCACACTGGCATCAATTTGTAGATATCCTATACCTTATTTTTGTGGCATAACCTAATTATCTTGTGTACATTTGTTTTATTTTTCTGGTCATCTGAAGGGAGAATGGCCAAATGATTTGTGCTGTTCCATATTTGTGCAGGTGGTGCGTTCCATTGCTCCTTTCTTGGATTTCACACTGAGGCACAAGCTGCTTACACTTTTGCCCTGCATTTTCCGATGTGTTAGACATTCTCATATTGCTGTCAGACTGGCTGCATCACGTTGTATCACAGCAATGGCTAAGTCAATGACTATGGATGTTATGGGCCCCCTTATTGAGAATGTTGTTCCTATGCTAGGTGACATGGTATCTGTGCATGCCAGACAAGGAGCTGGCATGCTTGTAAGTTTACTCGTTCAAGGATTGGGTTTGGAACTTGTCCCATATGCTCCTCTGTTGGTTGTTCCCCTATTGAGGTGCATGAGTGACTGTAATCCATCTGTCAGACAGAGTGTGACACATAGTTTTGCCGCACTTGTTCCTCTTCTTCCACTAGCACGAGGTATCGCCCCACCTGTTGGCATTACTGACCGTTTGTCTAGAAATAAAGAAGATGCAATGTTTCTTGAGCAACTAGTGGACAACTCTCACATTGATGATTACAGGCTTGCCTTTGAACTAAAAGTTACCTTGAGGAGGTATTTCTCTGTTCCTTTCCTTGTATGTGAGTAATGGATAATCCTCGTTACCATCTTTCTGAAGCATGATTAGTTTTTTTTTTTTTTTTTTGTCATATTCATTTTTATCTCCAGTCTATTTATAGTTATATACCATAACTTCAATCCATATCCAAACTTGTTTTTTTTTTTGTTTGTTTGATTGGTTCTGGAATGTCGAAACAGTACCATTATGCACAGCCATTGTATTCACCTCGATGTTTACCAGCCTTCCTATTGTATGTTATGTTGATGATTTATTTATTTATTTATTTTTCCTCTTGTACTTTCAGATATCAACAGGAAGGTATAAACTGGCTAGCTTTTTTGAAGCGGTTTAACCTTCATGGCATATTATGTGATGATATGGGCCTTGGTAAGACTCTTCAATCATCTGCAATTGTGGCATCCAATATAGCAGAGCACATTGCTGCAAATGGCAGTGAGGAGTTGCCACCTTCATTAATTATATGCCCATCAACCCTTGTTGGACACTGGGTCTATGAGATAGAGAAATTTATTGACCCTTCACTTTTGTCTACACTTCAATACATTGGTTCTAATCAAGAGCGAACCTCTTTGCGTTTGCAATTTAACAAGCATAAAGCAATTGTAACTTCATATGATGTTGTCCGCAAAGATATAGAATATCTCGGACAGCTTTTCTGGGATTACTGTATTCTGGATGAAGGACACATTATAAAGAACTCGAAGTCGAAAGTCACATGTGCTGTGAAACAACTCAAGGCTAAACACCGCCTCATCTTGAGTGGAACACCGATCCAGGTTTGTCATGAAAATAAAATTTTATTTGCAAACCTAGATTTACAATATTGGCTAACAAATCTGTCTATTTCCAGAACAATGTGTTGGACCTGTGGTCTCTTTTTGACTTCCTTATGCCTGGATTTCTTGGAACAGAGAGACAGGTAAGTAATGTTTACATGCTTCTTTTTGTTAAAAATATAATTAGAAGGTAATCTTAAATGCATAATCCCAGATAATTGAATGAAATGATTAGAACATATCAAGTAATGAAATGATTAGAACATATAATTAAAGGTTAATTCATGTGATATGGATGGTTGATGGATTTTCATTACTTTGAAATAGCCGGATACAAAACACTTGGAAACAAGGCATTCTATTGTATGTTGCTCCTTGCATATCATTCTATTGTGTGTAGTTCATCAAATGAGAAATATGGATTCATAATCATACCCCTATTGAAGTAGGAAATTGGCATGTATGAGATTTTATCTGTGAGTGTTTGTTGTCTGAAACTCATAAGGTTGGTGACATTTTCCTGGTCCTTCAAACAGTTTCAAGCTTCTTATGGGAAACCTCTGTTAGCAGCACGTGACCCTAAATGTTCAGCAAAAGATGCCGAAGCTGGGGTGCTAGCAATGGAAGCATTGCACAAGCAAGTGAGTGAATCTGATTACTCTTACAGCTTTTGCAACTGTGTAACAATATCAGTTTACATTTTTTGTTTTGCTCTGGCTGATGGAAATTTCCTCTGATAGGTTATGCCTTTCCTCTTACGTCGAACAAAAGATGAAGTTTTATCTGATCTGCCCGAGAAAATCATTCAGGACAGATATTGTGACTTGAGCCCGATTCAGTTAAAATTATATGAACAGTTTTCTGGTTCACATGTAAAAGAAGAAATCTCAGATATGGTTAAGCAAAACGATGAGTCTGGACCGGCACCCAAAGCTTCTACTCATGTTTTCCAGGTATGCCATTTGGTTGTTATAACCCTGTTTTGTTTTCATTAACACTTCGGCTCTGATCGCATTTTCTTACTGTTTCAGGCACTTCAGTACTTGCTAAAACTTTGTAGTCATCCAAGACTGGTTATTGGTGAAAGAAGTCCAGATTCATTATTACCTACACTAGCAGAATTTTTGCCGACAAATCCTGATATCAGTTCTGAGCTACGTAAAATACATCATTCGCCTAAACTTGTTGCACTTCAGGAGATAATGGAGGAGTGTGGTATAGGTGTAGATGCATCGAGTTCTGAAAGCACGGTTGCTGTTGGACAGCATAGAGTTCTGATATTTGCACAACATAAGGTATTGGCTACTGTTTCTTCTTTACTTCATATCTTCCTCCATATTATTTTTCTCCTTGCACTAATCAATTCTGTCTTGCAGGCATTCTTGGACATCATCGAGAAGGACCTGTTTCAGGCTCATATGAAAAAGTGAGTTGGGGCACTTCAAGACACTTGAGTCTGTTTAATAGCTCATTGTTCTGCACTTCATGTTTGTGTATCTATTCTAGTTTCTAACAATTGATGCTATATTTAATTGCTTATTGCCTCTTTTAAAGCAGCGTTACGTACTTGCGGTTAGATGGGTCAGTTGAACCCGAAAAGCGGTTTGAAATTGTCAAAGCTTTCAACTCGGACCCTACGATTGATGCTCTGCTGCTCACAACACACGGTAGTATAAGTATCATTTTATGCTTGCGAAACTCAATGAAACAAGGCAAATGTATTTGACATGATTTATATGCTACTTGCAGTTGGTGGCCTAGGTTTGAACTTAACATCGGCTGATACCCTTGTTTTTATGGAGCATGATTGGAATCCCATGAGAGATCATCAGGTAGGAAAGAATAACACTGACAGGCCGTCATTGTTGGAAATCTTGATTACCATTCTTGGAATTTATTTACCAACATTGTCTTTTGTTACACCGACAGGCCATGGACAGAGCACACAGGCTAGGTCAGCGCAAGGTTGTCAATGTCCATCGTCTGATCATGAGAGGCACCCTGGAGGAGAAAGTGATGAGCCTGCAAAAGTTCAAAGTTTCAGTCGCTAATGCTGTCATCAACGCGGATAATGCCAGCATGACTACAATGAATACTGACCAGTTGCTTGATCTGTTTACTTCTGCCGAAGGCAAACAGGTATAGATTTCCACTGCCGATTCTTTGGCAATAACTTTTTCAATGTTTGATCTCACATATTGTTGTTTCTGATTAGTTTTCTTATTATTATTCAGGTATCAAAAACTTCAAAATCTTCACAGGGAGATCCGGATGCAAAACTACCTGTCAAGGGCAAGGGTCTCAAAGCCATTCTTGGGGGACTAGAGGAACTTTGGGATCAGTCGCAGTACACTGAAGAATACAACTTGAATCAATTCTTGGCAAAGCTAAACGGCTGAATCAATCGGCACGCAGGTTTCTTTCGAGCCCTTTTGATTTGCTGCCGGGAAGCACACGATTATATCCATCCATCCCTGGGATCACACGGCAGTGGATGAACCATCCAAAGTGTATATTCTTTGTGGGTGCAGCAGCTCCAATTTTGACAGTTTTAACTGTAGCTGCCTTCTCTTTATTGCTCTCATTTCATATATTAACTGCTCCATTTTTTTAGCAGTACAGTTTGTGCATGAATTGCGCTCGCAGGAAAGCCGGCAAACCGTAGTTGTTTGGTCTGGGCAAGTCAATGCAGTGGCAGCAGATATATCTATATCTATATATATAGCTCCACCTCCAAGGGAAAGCAGGTATAGACAACAATCTGTAAATTTTGGATGCTGTACATACTTTCAGACATTCTTGATTTACAGTCCAGTCCAATATTGATCATCCCTTCAGCCTATGTCTGTGTGTGATTCCTCTCTTTATTGGGCCATTCTAAATAAGTGTAACCAACTACCCTTGGATATTAATACCGATCAACGTCGATCGTTGGATCAATCATCGATACACTTAGCCACAGAGGCGAGGCATGGTCCAGGACCTGAGAGTGGAATTCCTTGCAACTCCGGAGGGCCCGGCTGACGTGTACCTTTTCCAATCGTCGATCGCCATTTGAATATCGTGGATCTTGTTGTCCAATCCGATGCAGCAATTGGCGTGCATCGTCACCACCAAATCGAGATCCTTGCTGGGCTCGCAGAACCCCCCGAAATAAGCTGTGTCTAGGAACCTCATTTTGAGCCCTAATTCTTCGACGTAGGGGTTGAGTTTGATGTAGTTGAGGACGTCCTGGTCGTGCTTTCCTGGGTAATAATCCTTTCCTGCGTGCCAGTATCTGTAGAATTCGATTGTCCGGTTGCTGGATTTAACGTAGTTAAATCCCCCGTTGGGCGAATTCTCGGGATCCGTTGAGTTGTACCAGTAATGGTCGCAGGCAATCTGGAAGTCGCCTTCCGGGAAGAATCTCTCGAATGGATTCCTCAGCCACAGCACGTCTGCATCCTGAAAGACAGAGATAGCAGCCATGGCAGCATACTTAAAATTAAATCGATCAATCACCATGGGATTATATTTTTACGTACGGTGAAGACGAAGTCGAAGCCTAATTGGAGAACGGTGCGGAGGAAGTCGATCCGTCTCCACATCATCTTCAGGTAGTCCTCGGACATGAAGTATGCTTCGCCGGAGAAGTTGACGCCGGCGGTGGTGAGTGCGTAGCAGTGCAGGTGTGCGTCCAAGCAGCGAGAATACGCCGTCTGGTCCAGCGCGCCGACTACCACGTGTTTCAGCAGGTCCTGAGTCTGATTTCCGATCGTGAAGCTTTGCAAGAAGAGGTCGAAGATGGAATCCGGCTCCGTCCACGCTGCGTTCAGCGTTGTGATGATCACCGTTTTGCCGTCCGTCATTGCTGCCTCCCTCAGTACGTTCTTCAACACCTTGTCTTCAGCCACACCCTAGTCAACAAAATTAGCAAAAATTTAAATTAAAATAATGCAATTATTCGAGTCGTGCGGAATTAAGGAAATTAGAAGGCAAATATATTAAAATCAGTATTCGTTGGAGAGAGGAAGAATAAGTGGTGATGAATGAATTGCTTGCTGTTCCAGAGATGGAAAGCGTTGTCTAATTTGACATTAGTGCAAATTTAATGGAATTTAATTTGGATCCGAGGACAGGTACTTCAATTAGTAAGAATATTAACAAATTGTAATGTACACCACACCACAAATCCACAATAATGTTAACTTGCAAATGAATGTGGTGTGGAAGAAAAAAGTTTTCATCTCTCACAAACACATTCATACATAAAAAAAAAAAAAAGGTCTGAAGAATAATCAACAGGCAATGTGAAAATTGAATGGATACATCTATAATGCTATAGACTATGAGGTTGATTTATGAATAATATAAGGTTACTAGAAATTTTGTGTGCATGGTTGGACTTTTCAATGCCAATACGCCAATACTTGTTGTGGAAAGCTGTTAGAGGAGAGTCTGAAACTGCTAAACTTTTTCCTTGTTTTGGATTTATCCTACGGAGACGACATCGCTATAATTCAAGCTCACCAGATGCTACCTCATTGATTAGAAAACCATATGCTTAGATATCAAATTAGATCACAGTATCAATATAGATTTCACCTAAAAGTAATCTGCCTACGAAGGAGGATGAAGAGGTCTAACCTGCAGGTGAAGTGGTGGAGAAGAAACACTCGCATCGCAAGCAGGAGAACTCAGTCCTCCTCTGTTCCCCAACGTGAACAGATTTGCAGAAGAGGACTGAAAGAGATGCGCAGAATACGAGGACTGATTCAGAACCAAACAGGTTACAGCAACCGCCGCCAATAGCAACGCTATTTTTCCAACTACTCCAGAGTAACTGCGGCCGTGGTTGCTCGGCTTTCCGCCGCCGGTCTTAAACCAGCTGCCGTCTTCTTCAACCGCGCCTTCGATACGCAGCGAAGAAGAATGATCCATCTTCTCTCTTCCTTATTCTGCAGATAACTGAATGCATGTTATATGTAGAATTATTGATACTTTATTCAGAGTATCAAAGTCAATTCGATAGTGACATTATTAGCATTAATTGTAGCTAATTTTTCTCAATTCCAGTTATTTTATTTAATTTTATATTTCGATTAGTTGACAAAAAGATAAAATATCTTATAATTATATTAGAATCACCATTGTTATTATTATAATTATATTAAATTAATGTTTGCGGTGACACAAGGATACAACTCTTAGTTTTATTTTTATTTTTTGATACCTTACTCTTATTTTTATTTGATTCAGTGTGAGTAGGACAGTACTAACATCAATGAGTCATTTTATTGCAGGGTTAGGAATTTGCTTTCAATTGGTGTCCATTACATACAGATACAGTCGTTTTCTTCATGTTGGTAAAATCGTGCTTTCAGTTCCCGTTTTCATAGTAGCGATTTTTTTGTTATGAGTAGAGTGCTTTACCGACATTTGCCAAGTCATATCAGCATACTACCGCCAATTATTTAATTGTACTTTCCAAATTATTAGTGAGCACAGTAGTTGAAATTTTTGACAATTTTTAAAGATATATATTTAACAAAATATTTTATATACCAAAAATTAATGTGATAATTTTTTATTCTTTTAAAATTTACCAGGAATACATTTTTTTTAAAAAAGTATATTTAAACTCTTATATAGTTTGGGAGCCCATAAAGGATTAAATATCTTAGGGTTTATTTAGATAGGAGTTTTTTAAAATTTTTGGAAATTTAAAAATTTGAAAATAAAAAGTAAAAAATTATTATTTAATTTGATGTTTTGTACATAGAAGTGTTTTTATTTTTATTTTTTAGTTTTAATTATTTTTAATATAAAAATTTATACTGATAATACACAAATAAATTTATATTAAATTATTAAATTTTTAAATAAATAGAATATATAAGAAATGTATATTATAAAGATATATTTATATATTATAGTGTATATTTTTAATATTAATAAAAAAAAAGTGCATCAAAAAATCATTGTTGTAAGTAATAGAAATTGCATTGTCGGTTTAGGGGTTACTGAAAACTTCTGAACATATGAGAGGATTGACTCTGAAAATTTGATCAGAGATGACTCAACAGAAATTTTCACAGTTGCGCGTGGTCAGCAGGCCAGGAGACTTCCAGCCGCAGCCGGAGCCGGCGTCGGCGCCGGCTCTTGTGGTGGTCGCCAGCCTGAAATGTTCTAATTCTTCTTATTATACACCAATTGTCTCGTATCTATGGTAATTCTCTTCACATGTACTTTTAAATTACGCCAAAACTTTACAGGAACCCTAATTAGGGTTTGAGTGCTGAATCTTTGGGAGACGATAATGGAAGAAGGAGATAAGCTTCAATTGGATCGAATTCATGCCAACACGTGCAGTCCAAATCTGATAAAGCTATCCTGCTGTCTTTAACTTGTTCCATGCAATCATGCACCACTGACTGTACCGGATGTTTCTGTGTGTTTTCTTTCATCCACTTGCAAGTGAAGAGCTACACGACAGGGCAGATCCATGAAAGGCACCTCAGTTTCTTCACAGAAATTGGGAAACCAAAAAGGGGTCAAGATCATCATCATCATCATCCTCAAGAACATATCTTTAGGTACTGTGATCTTGTCTAACTCCACTGGGTAGTTACTACGCTATATTGAAAATGCACAATAACATACGTTATGAACACTAGAATTTATGACAAATGGGGTAATTTTGGCTTTCTGTATCATGTTTAGACATACAAAAAATATACAGGACATTGTCATTGATGAAGACCTTATGGAAACATTGTTACATTAGTTATTCTTGTTTTAAGTGGGCAATATGAAGATCATAGTGTTAATGAGCTTGTGAAGCAATCCCTTCCTTCTCCGATGTCTTTAGATCCATCGTCTGCGGCTCCGGGAGCTCTGAGCTCCTTGGAACCACCTATCCCAGCCAACCTCAGCAGGGCCTCTGGTCCTGCACAAATTACCATTCCTGTTTCATCTGAGCTTTTCATTTTTGAGCATATTGATTAGGGATGAGTTGGGGTTGTAAATCTTACTCAGGAAGCAGAGCGTCTGGAACAGATTCAATGCTTGAGATTAACCTAAAAGAGTGAAGATTGAATTTCATTTTATACTCTCTCTTGTTTCAATGTCTGAAACTTGCAAGATGACTACAGGCTATAGCAAAAAGTTCAAGAACAGTCCTTTTAGCAAACAAACCAAACCAGTCATTGAATGATATATTCTTGAAATCTAGATTGCTTATATTGCATTTTTTATAAATGGAAGAAAGAAGAATCTTTGGACTGATCTGCTGCTAAACCTTACAGGAGGCTCACTAGATCATCCAAAATATGGTATTTAGGTGGCAACACAAAAGGGGCTTACTCTTGGCAGACAGTAGAGACTCCAGCAACAGTGTCAAGCTCGTCCAACTCATCCTGCACAACAAACAGCAATCGCCTTAAAGTCAGCGGGCAGAGAGATGATGAAATCGTTGCTGTGGTGTTTTGCAAAATAGCAATCAGATCAAGATAAGCAGACCTGAATGATCTGGATCTGTTGATTGAGGTGAGAAATGGCAGCAGCCATTCGATGCTTGCCCATGAGGGGTGTGAGCATTGCTGCTGATGAAGACGACGGAGAAGGGGTGTGAGCGTTGCCCTGTTCCGCCGCTTGCGGCGGAGATGGCTCCATCAGCTCAGCTCAGCTCAGCTCCTGGCCGATCAAGTGACGCGGGGAGCTTGTGAAGATCAAGACAGGAATAGGAAGGAAGGAAGGAAGGAAGGTGGGCAGTTGGTAGAAAAGGAAGTTAATGGAAATGGAAATGGGAAGTGAAGTGACAGACGACATGGGAATGCGGTCAAAAGTATTGATGTGGTAAGAATGTGACATGTCGGGGAATAAGGACAATTGTGTCCACTAATCAATAGGGAAGGAGGGGATAGGGCGAATGCTAGGGGCAGAATGGTCAATTCAGAGTAAGGCCGTGGAAGAAAAATCTCAGTAAGGCCGTACGTGGGTGCTCCCGTGGGCCGTGACTCCATGGAGCCCAACGCCGGGAATTTTCAATTTTGCAATTTTTAATATTGTGATTGCAATTGATTTTTTCTTGGGCCTCATCCAATGTCGATTGCTACGGCGAAATCCCTCGCCAGAGAGCTGTTTATTCATTTCCGGTCCAGGCCGCCGGACCAAAGGAGATTCTGCCGGAAAATTTCCGTTTCCGCAGCGGCTAAGGCTGGGTACAGACCTCTTAGAAGCAGAGGGAAAGGTGGGAATGAAAGAATCGATAGGGAGAAGCAGAAAGAGAAAGCGGAATTATTGAAGAGGCGAACCAGGTCTGAGAGGGAGGTAGACGAAGAGATTTTCTTGAAGCAGTATGGAAATGACAATTCAGCTCATATCCCCGTCTTGCTCGGCGAAGTGCTCGACGTTTTTGCTTCGGTGCACCTCGAATCTTTCGTCGATTGTACTCTCGGCGCCGGCGGCCACTCCGCAGCGGTTGGTAAATTTAGGGCAATTTGATTCCTCGTTTATGTGATTTTGGATTCAATCTTTCATGTTCTGTATGCTTTCGGTGTTCACATGATTTGGAAAGGGTTTAGGTTTCGCCATTTTGCTTCGAATAGTATTAATTTGAGAAGGTTAATACTTGGGGCTACATTCTGTTGATTGATGATGCTTGTTCTTCATTGAAACTGATCAATTTTGTCTGAGGATCTCTTAAAATTTCCTTGATGCAAATGCAGATTATTCAGGCCCATCCGGAATTGGAAGTTTATGTTGGCCTTGATGTTGACCCTGTTGCTCATAAGTTCGCCGAAGCTCAAATAAACGCTGTACTGCAGAAGGATCCTTGTCAAAATACAGCAGACTTGCAAGTGCATACCCTCTTGGGGAACTTCAAAAGCATTAAGACTGTTCTTCATGGAATTGATGGAAGGCATAAAGCTTCCGGAGTAAAAGGGATTTTGATGGATTTGGGAGTATCGTCTATGCAGGTTTGCTGAAGTTTCTAGTATAAGTGCCCCTATAACTTATCAGCTGCTTTTACATTCCTTTACAATTCAAATGATTGCTTAGCAATACATATGTAAGTTTTGATCATATGCCTTATGATTGATTATGGCTTCAATACATGTTACTGGAATATCAAGGGAACTGATCAATTACTTTGTCTAAATTTGTTTTAGAATTGTGGGAAAGAGGTTGTGCTCTAAGTTTTATATTGATTGTGAGAATTTTATTCGATTGCACTTTGTAGGTAAACAGACCTGAAAGAGGATTTAGTGTGCTCTATGATGGACCTCTGGATATGAGGATGAATCCCCAGGTAATATAAACGGCGAACCTCTGGTAACTCTTAGCACCAGTTTATTATTGATCAAATTTTCTACATTCTTTGTTGAGTTTTTGTTGTAAATGAAATAGCAAGACCTTTTTTAGGGTGGAATGTTTGTAGCTAACTTGTCGGGCAGTGGAATGGCAGGCTAGTCTGAAGGCTGAAGATATTCTAAACCTATGGCCAGATGATGAAGTTGGGCGAATTTTACGGGACTACGGTGAAGAGACAAATTGGTTGTCCCTACAGAGGAAAATTGTCAAGGCTCGGTTAACAGGTGGACTGCATTCTACACAAGAACTGGTTGATCTCATTAAAGGCTCAACTTCTTGGACAAGAGGTTAAGTTTGTCAAAATTTCGAGTCTAAACTAACATGTTTGTTATCAAATGTTAAGAAATTCAGTCTGACTGGTACTTTCTATAAACAGGAGGGAGGCAAGGCTGGATCAAGACTGCAACACGGGTTTTTCAAGCTTTGCGAATAGCTGTCAACGATGAACTTAACACACTCAAGGATTCAATCCATTCATGCTTCCACTCCCTTGCTTCTGGAGGAAGGCTTGCTGTAATATCTTTCCATAGTTTGGAAGACAGAATCGTGAAGCAGACATTTCTGGACATTGTGAACTCCGGGGATGATACAAATAGCCAAGATCCAAATTCAAATAATTCTGCAAAACCCGACGCCTGTAAGGAAAAAGAAGCATGGATAAAGCAGATTGTGTGTGGCCCTAATGGAAACATCCTGACAAAGAGACCGATAACACCATCAGAATCGGAAGAGAGATTGAACGTTCGTAGCCGGAGTGCGAAACTAAGAGTAATTGAAAAGATCTAAGATAGTTTTGTTCATTTTTTAGTTATTTTGAGGGAACTTTACAGTGTTAATTAGTCTTGTTGCATGTGCTGTCCCACATAATAATTTCTTCTGAAGAATAAATTTAGACAAATATTTGATGCAATAAATTTTAGAAAAACATTACTGATGAATAGTATAAAAAATTTATAAACATATCAGGATAATTAGCCTACAACCCCTGTTAAAGTATCTGTTCAATTTAAAAACTGGAATTTAAAAGTAACATCAAAGTTAAGAAGGTATATACTCAAGCAAGATTCTTGATGGAATGTTCATCAGCATCATTTTCGCGAATATCTGATGATTCTTCTAAGAAATCAGCACGAATGTTATCGGCTAGCATCAGGGCCACCAGCCACATGAGGCAAGAATTCAACGACAAGAAAGCGCCACCACCTATAAGGCCAGTTTTGGCCGTGGGACATTCTGTTTTCATGTTACGATAAATATTGTGGACATGATGCATATGTTCGGTGAGTGTAGGCCATAACAGCATCGCCAGCGCCAATCCAGTTGTGCCCCTTAAAACAATCAACCACCGAACACATAAGACTACAAATTCAAAGGCTCGAAATATGCAAAATGTATATATATATATGTATATACTCACAAGGCAATGTTGAAGAAGACAAGAAAGGCTTTGTTCCCGAACAATGCCCCCTGTGGAATCGATTTTTTCTTGTATGGATAAAACAAAGAGCAGAAGCCAACAAGAGATGAGGCTCCAAGGAATGCAATCGACAAATATCCCAACAAGACTGTTCGATCGAATGGGTATTTACATATGACAACATCCTTCCTAGTTATCATTGTCCCAGAAGCAGGCTGCAAAATCCAGGTATATAATATATATACATTTCAACACAAACTTTGGTTTAAACATCTATTATCAAACATGCAATGTTTCTACATGATATTAGCAAGAAACGACAGCACACACTGATGCATACAGCAATTGCAAATTCATCGATCTTGGCTGTCTACCATTGATAAGAAAATAATATGAGGAATTACTTTCAGTGAAATTTATTTACTTCATGGAGCTTATTGCAATAAATACCACAAAGAAGAACTAATTGCTGTAAATAAGTACAGGAATTTGATAGATCGTAAAACCAATACCTTTTTGTTTTCCGCTATAACACCTAACATGAACGACAGTACGCCTAGGGTTCCAACGATGATAGCCATTTGTTTAACCGTCATCGCCATGGCTTCTGGAGTTCTTCACAAAATTCACGCACGAAAGGAAATTAGCAACAACCGCGGATTTTCAAAACGTGAGAATTCACCCTTCCCCAATGACGCAAACTGAAAGTGAGGATTATTCTTCTATTGGGCAACTGCAGGCTTTTGGGTGTCAATATATATATATATATACACGCATATATACATATATATATATATATATACATGGAGATTTGATTGCTGATTGGAGGTTCATCCACATCCGTGTAAATCGAGATTATAACTGAATATAACAAACTTGAATGTATGCGTATATATATTATTTTAATAATTCAAAATTTATTATCAATTTAAAAATATATTTAAACAACCCACAAATTCAATCTTATCTAAAATATAATATATATATATATATATATTTATAATTGGCAAGTTGTGTAGTGTATGTATTTGACAAAGACTTCGTCTTCTTGCTAACCTACAAAAGAGGGATCTTTTTCCTTTTTATTAAATTTCCCTTTTGTGCGTTGAATCATTGGTTTGTCTATGGGCCTATTGAATGTCATGTGTAGAAGACGACATTAGCTACTAAACTTTTCTACACCCATTTATTATTCTGCTACGAACACTATCATAGAGAATTCGGTGAAGCTCAGCTGGAACACATCATCATCTCATCTGTCTAGTCTAGAATATGATCATGGCCTGAGATTGATTGCCCACCATTAAATAATATCCTTTTATTACTATAGTATTTCTGAAATTGACTTACTTGCAGGAAGAAGAAAGCTTCAGAGGCCCTGTCCTGACATCATCATCATCATGAAATCATACACCACCTACAACTCCTTTGTGGATCTTTTTTGGTTCTCCCAATACAAGGTTTCCTTGCTTCTGTAATGAATTTGCCTTGATTTTGAGAAGTGCCCTCTTTCCACTGAGCAAAAAAGATCAAAATCTTGGAGGCTATAGGCTGCAGAGGTTGTCTGTCTTCTTGATGGATCTTTTGGGCAAGAATCATCATCATCATCATCATGGGATGACAACCACAATTCTTGGGCTGTTCTTGATCTTGGTCTTGAATATGAACTGTGACTGTGTGTATGGTATTGGGGCCAATTGGGGAACACAAGCATGGCATCCTCTTCCCCCTTCAACTGTAGTCAATATGCTGAGAGAGAATGGAATCCAGAAGGTCAAACTATTCGACGCCGAGGCGAGGGTCCTCAACTCCTTCAGTGGCTCAGGGATTCAGTTGATGGTTGGCATCCCAAATGAGTTGCTGTCCACTCTTGCTGGGAGTTCTGCTGCTGCTGACAGATGGGTTCAGCTCAATGTTTCTCAACATGTTCCATCTGTCGACATCAGGTGAGTTCTGTTGAATCAGCAGCTGATTTTGTTTGTGTGTGTATTTGTAGCATCAATCAAGGAATCTTGATTTGTCTGTAGCTTTTGTCATCTCCCTCACAAGGTATGTTGCAGTTGGGAATGAGCCCCTGTTGTCTTCCTTCAATGGAACCTATCAGAACACAACATTTCCAGCACTTGAGAATATACAGGCAGCACTCATGAGAGCAGGTCTGGGGAATCAGATCAAAGCCACAATACCTCTCAATGCAGATGTGTACCAGAGTTTGACGTCACAGCCATCCACCGGAGACTTCAAGCCAGAAATCCATGACCTAATGCTGCAGATTGTTAATTTCTTGAGCATCAACGGTGCACCATTTACTGCCAATATATACCCTTTCATCAGCCTCTTCAAAGATCCCAATTTCCCCGTGGACTATGCTTTCTTCGACGGGTACTCATCTCCCATCGAGGACAATGGGAGGACTTACACCAATGTTTTTGATGCAAACTTTGACACACTGGTTTGGGCACTGCAGAAGAATGGATATGGGAACCTGCCAATCATAGTTGGAGAAATCGGGTGGCCTACTGATGGTGATCGCAATGCGAATATAGGAAATGCACAAAGATTCAATCAAGGGTTCATGTCACATTTGAATAAGGGCACTCCCATGAGACCCGGCCCTATGGACGTGTACCTGTTCAGCCTTGTCGATGAGGATGCCAAGAGTATCCAACCGGGCAACTTCGAGCGCCACTGGGGATTGTTTTACTATGATGGCACTCCCAAGTATAATCTCAGCCTTGGTTCAAACTCAGGTGGGCTTGTACAGGCCAGGAATGTTCGGTATCTCCCAAGGCGATGGTGTGTCACACCATCCTCCATGAATTTTCAGGATCCTCAAGTGGCTCCTAGTGTCAGTTATGCGTGTGATCACGGTGATTGCACAAGTCTTGGATATGGCACATCATGTGGGAACCTGGATGCACAGGGAAACATTTCATACGCATTCAATAATTACTACCAGATAAACAATCAGCAGGAGAATGCCTGTAAGTTTCCTGATAACCTGTCAGTGATCACAACAACAGATCCATCGGTAGGAACCTGCAAATTCAACATCATGATTCAGACACAGAGTCAATTGAGTGGTGGATTCTTGTTGAAGCCTCTTGATCTCCTGCTTCAGATCCCTGTGCTTTTATTGGCCCTTGTGTGGTTGTGTGGGTGTGGATTGACATGCTAGTTTATGTTTTTTCAATGTACATACATACATCTTCTGGTCAGTGTTCTTATATGACCTTGTTCAGTTAAAGATTCAATATGGATTGAAGTACAGAAGCTTGAAAATAAATCATAGCAATCAGGAAGATGGACGAACTGATCATTGCATGATATTGCACTAATTCAAATCTAAATCCAAAGCCTAAGCCAGAATAAGTCATCTATACTTAGGATCAATAGCATCTCTTCAATGCCCAATCGTTTCATTGGTCAAATGTAGTGAAGCAAACATGTTAAAATTTAAGAAAGACTTTGCTAGCAGCACAGTAAACTGCAAATAAATTTAAGAAACTAAGGTTGTGGCTAAAATTACAGAAAACCATACATGTTAATTCACGGTTGGGAAGACCACTCTCATCATTGGTGGCTACCCTGTTATTAAGAGTCTGAGGTTCAAGAAGAAACTCTGCATTGTGATGATATACATACACATATTGCTAGAACCATTTTTAAATCTTGAGCTTGCTTCATGTGTAATCAGAACACAGTGAGAGGTGTTATTCGACCACTTTCTCCCAATGCATATATCAAGGATTTGGGGACAAGCTCGAGCCATGCTTCCAAAGGTGAACTTTTGATCTTATATCAGCCTAAAAAATCAATAAGAGAAGGAGACTTGCAGAATCAATTTAGGAAATTCGTAGTGAATCTAAAACACATCTTATCAGCAGATTTTTCAGAAAATATCATCTGTAAAGGAAAAGATCTATATGATAAGATCAGCAAAGCAATTGGCATAACAAATTAAGTTACCTGCCTGACGGGTTCTGGTACCCGAAACCTGCAACACAGCTTCACAATTTTGATGGCGCTGGCAAGGGATATACGATGTCCAACTGATATAAATATTGGCTTCAGGGCATCTTTAGTTGACAGCATTGCCTGTATCCAACTTAATAATTTCAAGCATTACATTGGGTTTTTCTTTGAATGAATAAAGTGCTGGAAAAGTAACTTATACAAACTCATAATTTGACAAGGGTTACTCACTGCTCCTAGGGTGGACCCAGAATCACCAATCAATGGGAAGATTCCACCGGATGTATTTTGATTGACTTCAAGAAGTTGTCTCACTCTAGATTGTGTAAGGCCATCTACATGGTGCAACTGACAAAATATCATCTTAGAGACGCAAAGCTAAAAACTTGAAAACTCAAGTCCAATATAATACCATGTAGACTTAGACACAAAGAAGCTTACATTCTTTCCTATCCCAATTGTGGGAATATTAGCCAGAACACCAAGATGACAAGCCAATCCAAAGCCTGCACATCCTTCCACCAATTTTCATTAACCGAGGAGCAGCGTAATCACACCAGCAGCAAGAATGAAGACCAACAGATATTGATTAGGTATATAATCCAATAGGCAGAGAAACAAAAAAGTAAAGGCACACATGCAAAACAGATTCTGGATGTGAACCATTTTGACAGCTATAATCAGATAATTTACAAGAGGAGACTGCTCCATAGAGATGGCCAGGCTGATAACAGATCACTTGGACCTCTGAAGTTGTCGACCTAGAAATTATAACTAAATAGAGAAGCAAGCAAAAGTTCCAAACATTTCCCAATATGGAGGCGAAGTGCCCTTCATCCTCAAGGAACTAGTGATAAATACAGCTGTATCCAATTTCAAGGATGAATAGAGAGAGTGCATATAGGTATATGTATAGGCTATGCATTATTGAAAAATGGCTCACCTCGAGGATGAAGCAGTCCATTGCCATCAACCATCACTACCTGCCAAGATCCATGAGTTCCGTGATCTTCAATCATAAAATGAGTATACAAACTCCAAAACCAAGATCACTAAACACTGCAGATCACACATATAACTTAGATATTATATTGCAAATTCACATTACATCTACATACCAATTAATATTTGCATTATCCCTTTCCCTTTTCCTTTCATTATGATAGGCTAATTGGTTACCTGGGGATAAAATGAGCACGCTTCCTTCTTCATTTTTTCTAAAAGTTCAAGAAGACATGGGGCCTGGAAATACAAGACATTATTGAGCTTCAGCATTTGCAACAAATCCACAATCAAATCCTTATCATATCAATTGTTCTTCAGAAAAGTTGTTCACACCAAAACGAAGCACAACCAGAAGGAAAGATGAAGATCAAAACGCACCATTTCGATCATATCAATAAACCTTGACACAGAAAATAAAATGCACCAAAATCAATGACCCTAGCTCCACAATTCGTACCTGTTCTCCATTACCAAATCAACCAATCCCTAAATTATAAAAATAAATAAATATACCTCTCTGAATGCCAGAAAGCCAGCAACATAAGGAATATCCATCCTAACAATGGCGAAATCTTCGTGTACAACTTCCATAGCAGGAAATTCTAAAACCACGAGGCTGGCACATGCAATCGACGGATCATTCTTGCAGAAACTTAAGTCAACTCCACCGATGTACTTGAGTTCTTCAACGCTACAGGAATCTTGATTCCCTTCTACAACGCCCGAGCCCTGCCCTTCCATTGCTGGTACTTTCCAGTCGAATTCATCCTCAGTGATCAGACACTCCTTCAGCGAATCCTGAACCCTGCTTTGACGATGAAATCCCTAGACCATAATTCTTGATACAACACCACTGGCAACGAACCAAAAAATTAAAAATAAAAAACGAAACTTGCACTTACTCAATCCATTCGTTCAAACGCTGGGGAGTGCAGCACATTTCTGAAGTAGATGATTCTCGTTCAAAATTCATCGGAACAAATTCAACCTTCTGAACATAACATTACAATCTCATCATCAGATTCCATTCATGATTTCTTCCAAATGATCAGATAATTTTTGTTCAACAGGTTAATTTCACTCTTCCCTCTATTGTATCCATAAATTGCACTTTAACCCTTCAGAATAATGAAAATATGAAACGTACCCATCCAGTCACGAATATTAAATTTTTAACCTCACACTTTATGTGCAACACAAAAGAATATAAGATATAGATTACATAACTACAACAGATTCAGAAGCAGCCTTGTCTGAAAAGCTTAAAGCTTTCTAACCTAACCCCTTTACATGCCCAACACAAGTTAGGTTTTTTCAACAAGAAATAGCAGCAAGAACAAAATATGTAATGAAGTCCTTCCTAAATTGCACTTTTCAATATATGGGTGTGTGTCTGTGCGTCTAAAATTGATACCACTGTCTTCCATAACTTCAGTTCACAGCTTCAATGGCAGCCAGAGTTATGAATCTCATTAAATCCAAGCCATTCAATAATCAAAGCTGTAACACTCTGATCAAGCCATTCTCTTGGTATAATGAATTAATTAATTCTGAAGTGATTCACAAGCAGCCATGGCAAGGCTGAATCAATCAGCTGCATGGACATTATCTGATATCTTCAATGGATTGTAGATACTCTTCTTGACAATGGCCTCCCAACTAAACCACCATATAATATGTGCACATGCATCTACACACACACAAACACATATGTCCAGCTGAAAGGAAAATTGCAGACTTAGTCTTCGTTAGATAACTATAAATCAATAATATTAACAAATGAATCAGAATCTGATCGATACGATACGATAAAACACGGAATTGTGACTGTCTCCCTTAAGCTGTGTTCATGAAGCTAGCCAGATGATGATATTATTATCATTATCATTAGTTTGGATGGGATATTATTTTAGCCAAGCCAACAAGAAAGATTATGTTTAATCCTTCGGGACAACTGTATGATTTTAAACAAATATATATTATCTGAGGGAAGATTTCTTCGGGGATTGAACTTACGTTGACAGCAACAGAACAATGATCGATAAGCTATATTTGCTCCTCAAATTAAAGAAAGTGTTCAATTTTATTTGGGATAATTACTTTTCAAAGATAGTCTCTGTGTTCACATTATACATATTTAACTACTATAACGATGATATATATATATATACAGACATATATGTGGATATTATTTGATCTCTGATTAAACTACAATGAAGTGTATGACAAGAAGGCTGCAAGCAGCTCCACTAATCATGTTTTCAGAACAAAACAAATAAATAAATAAATAAAAACAGAAATATGTATCTTTTGAACTTTTAACATAACAAAGCAGATATCAAAATTGAGATTGGAGATTGCCCTTATTAGATAACTTTAACTGGTTTTAATGGTATGAACTGTGCTTTCCAGGCAGTCCTCATTCAAGGTATGGGAATTTAAATTGTGATGTTTGCTGTAATAACCTTTCTGGTGCATTTTTAACAAAGCTTGACATGGTTTCTGATCTTTCATCTATGCAAGTTGGGGAACGTGGAATCATTGATATGGGATATATATCATCAAGATTTTTAAAAAAATTGCCAGAAATTTTGAAGTGTATGACAAGCTAAGGAGGAAGATAGAGATGGATAGCTACTCTTTCAGTGTACTATTCTCAAAAGCTTGACATGGTGTCTGAATTTTCATCTATGCTCATTGTTGCACGATTATAACGGCTCCACTTTCTCATAATATATCGCAAGAATACAAATTGCTCCAGCAAATGTATTGGGATCTCACTGACAATGTCAAAATGACACGAAAAGTGGATAGAAAAAGAATTAGTTATTTAACTTCCTGCGAGAAAAAACACAACAGTTCTTCAGTTTATGTCTTTTTGTGATCTGAATTCTTGTGTTTAGTCTTCTGCACATTTTCTAAAGAGGGATTCTTTGATCATCTAAGATATGTGAAAATATATGAAAGTCTCAGTTTTTCTCAGAATCAGAATACAAATGAAGCTGAAATAATGGCTGCAGGACACACAATTAAATTACTACAAAACCAAACAAATCATGTAATCGTGTGTGTGTATTTCAAAATAAAAATAAAATCACGTTGACAGGTTAGGTGAATGATATGTCTGAGTTTGGACTTGATCAGAAACACACCTCATGTTTCAATCTTAATTAGGTAAAATAATTAAATTAAAACTATCATGCGTGCAACTTGAACATGACAGTGTCTGAAATATATATATATATATATATAATTAATGACTTTGTTTAAACATCGAAACAGTCATAAAAAAACATTAGAGTAATATTGACACAACTGAGAGAGAAAGAGCATTGCCTGGCTAGGTTTACAATGTCAAGTGAGGTCACAAGATTCAAGATTTACCGAAACCTTCTAGAAATATTAAAGAATTATACTAATTGCACTAATTAATTATTTTTACAGTTGTAGCAAAGGAATAATAGATTTCATCATCTTTCAAATTGGTCACATTAGGGGACAATTATTAAAGACTTTTCAATATATATATAGTAGTGTCATGTATCTTGTATCTTAAGACCCATAGTAGGTAAGAGCTGAGGAGATTAAAAAAATAATTAAATAAATAAATAAACGTGTATATAAATAATCACATCCCTCATGCCCTATCTTCTCATTTATATATATATATTCCAAGAAAATTTTTATTGCCAAGAGCAAGACAAATACAATATCCTTGGCAAAAAAATCTTTCTGCAAAATATTTTTTCTGGTTACCCTTCTTTTTTACAATGAATCCATCCACTTTGCTAGATCTTTCTACTTTTAAGGTTTTCAATTCTTGATCATTCCAGTAAAACAAGTTTTCTCAGCTATTTTCTTGTAGGAGAATTAATCCAGCTACTGCAAACCCTAGCTAGGTGAAGAAAGTAAGACACTAACTTGATGTATTTGTCTTTTCTTTTCCCATTCTTGCATGCAAACCTTGTAAGAAAAGAACCATGGACAGGGTTCCCCCCCCCCCCCCCTTTTTATCCTTGGTTTCTTCAAAAAATTTCTTCTAGTTGCTTGTACAGTTGAGATAGCTAACTAGGGTTTTATTGGTCTAGAAAAGAAGGCCAAAGTAGAACAAGAAACCATGGAAGGGGGTGGAGAAGTAAAGGAAGAGAAACTCCCACCGGGATTCCGATTTCACCCCACAGATGAAGAACTCATCACATGTTATCTGATTACCAAGATTTCAGATCCAGGTTTCACAGGAAGAGCTATTGGAGACGTTGATCTCAATAAGTGTGAGCCATGGGATCTTCCAGGTATATATGTGCATTAGTTACTTCAAGAATCCAACTTCATTAATTGCATTTATATTTATATATATATTATATACACAAGAAAGGGATACTCTTTGCTCCAAAAATAATGCCTCAAAAGAACACAAATGGAGGCAAAATTTTAGGGTTTTGAGTATCAAAAGAGTAGATGTTGACAGAACTAAAAACCCTAAATCTCTCAACCAATTTTAGGGTTTCTGAGGAAACTCAGATGACCTCTATTGCTAATTCATGTGAAAACAAGATAATTTCCAAATTCCAATTATTAATCACACACATGCTTTGATTTTCTAGCAATATTTGTTGATGCATATGTACCCATTTAGCAAAAGCAAAAATGGGAGAGAAAGAATGGTACTTCTTCAGCCTCAGGGACCGGAAATACCCGACTGGAGTGAGGACAAACCGTGCGACGAACACCGGATACTGGAAGACCACCGGAAAAGACAAGGAGATATACAATACCAACACATCTGAGCTGGTGGGAATGAAGAAAACCCTAGTTTTCTACAGGGGGAGAGCTCCCAGAGGAGAGAAAACCAATTGGGTCATGCATGAGTATCGCATTCACTCTAAATCTGCCTATAGAACTGCCAAGGTACATATACATATACATATATGTATATATATATATATATCTTGTTTACACGCACGCATATTGATCATTCAGGTATGCACACAATGTCGATCTTCTTAAGTATGTCCTTTGTTGTTTCTTAAATTCTGGCATTTTTTATTCAGTGAACATAGATCGGGTAAAATGTTGAAATATGAACATTTCAAATCAAGTGGGAGTGGAAAACCTAATTATTGGCTAATGTTATTTAATAGGGTTTTCTCTCTGAGATCGCCCTGTTCAATGGTTTACGGTTAATTTATATTACAGAACTCAAATCTACTATGATTTTGGAGTATATATATATGTATGTGTGTACATATATACATAAAAGCGTGTACAGTGAATCTGGCAATCTACTTTAATAAGAAACCAGATTGTTCTCAACCAATATTGAGACCAATTATTTCCAAGAAAGCATTTTTGCATTACTTCTGAAGTGAATCTCCAGCTTTCTTGCTAGAATTATTAAAGACCACTAATGTTATCTTATAAAATTGGTACAAAATTTTATATATTAGCAAAATGTTAGGGGCGGAGGCTGTATAATATTATGATAATTTACTATTTATAGCTTTTATAATTCATCATCATCATCAAGATTATTATTATTATTATTATTATTAAGGATGGACTGATCCTACTTATGATATGATTGTACTAAATTTAAATGATGCAGCAGGATGAATGGGTAGTGTGTCGAATCTTCCAGAAGAGTGCTGCAGGGAAGAAATACCCTTCAAACCACTCATCTAGGGGAGCAATCAATCCCTACACTTACAATCTTGAAATGGCCACAAACCCTAATAATTCAATCCCAATCCCAATCCCAATTCCAATCCCACCACAGATGCAGCAGCAGCTTCAACCTGATCACACCTTCCAAATCCCTGGAAGACCCTACATGACTCCTGCTGAATTTCAAGAATTCAACAAGGTTTTCCGGGCTGCCGGTACAGCCGCCATGCTCAATTTGCCAATCCCACAGCAAGCCAACTATGGCCCCGCCATGGCGGCCGGATTGGGACCGGGAGCTGGTTGTTTCACTATATCTGGCCTGAACTTGAACCTCGGTGGCAGCGCCGCACACAGTCAGCAGGTCATGAGACCAGTAGTGCCACCGGGACCAGGTATGAGCCAACAAGACATGGCTGCTGCTGCAACTATGGTGAATGATGGTGCTGCAATGGTTGGAGAGCATCATCAGAGTGGGAGCTATGGTGGGGAGATGAGCAATGGCAGCAGCATGAATAACAGATTTATGGGCATAGATCAATGTGGTGATTTGGATAACTACTGGCCTTACTGATTGATCCCAATGCAAGAGACATCTGTAAGGACTAGAGGACAAGAAATTTAACTAGTTTGATTATATTAATTAATTAAGAAATGTCTTGTTTTTCTTACCTTTATCTAAATGGTGTAAGAGACCACGTCTTATATAGTCTGTTTGTTGTTGAATCCAACTTTGTCTGCAAGAACAGTAATCTCGAATAAAACAATACACGTACATTGAGGATGGTGCACGACACACCCCGTCAAACTCGCAGAATGCTGAGTTGGGCGTATTTTAGGGCATGTTTCTTTTGATAAATTTGAAGAAAATTTAGTTTTAATTTGATATTGAAATAATATGTGATAAAATATTTTGTGAGAAAAAAAAAAAAATTCACATAATCTAAATAATAAAAATGGTTTGATGGTAAAAGAAACAAACCCTTGATATGTTGCTATGTTTTTATGTGATAATAAAGCTGATCAACATGAAATCATGGGCCTAACAGAAGCGATATATTTTTGTTGCTTTTCTCATTGATACTCGCTGATCTGCAGAAGAACCTACTAAATAGGAGAACCATCATGCAACAAAAATGCAAAGCACAACAATAGAATTCAATAAATCAAGTTTAACAACTGAAGTAAAATTCATAAAAAAATAAAATAAAATAAAACTATATGTCCGGTTTCATCCATAACTGAATCAACTTAGAGTTTGAATCGTGGGCTTGTAAGGTTCAGGCTGTAAAACAGAGTTGATGATACAAAAGATTACACAGACAACATAGAATACTTTCACTAGAACATCCTGAAAAATTACAACTATCTATCCCCCATTCTACGTTCTATATATGATATAGAAGTGCAAAGAAACATAGGGATGGATACTGTACTTTAACTAGCAAAAACTCCAAAAGCTCCGAGCACACAGGAATCGAAACAACAGTAACCTGTGAAGAGCGACAAATAAGAATGGAAATATTGAGTCAGATAAATCAATATGTAACAGTTTCAAATATGCAGATTATCGGGGTGGACAATTCCAGCCACCTCTGAATAGCTAAGGGGAGCCATTTCGGCAGCACTCCAAAACCGTACAATTAAACATGGTGCCGCCAGTGCATGCATTGATTTGTAATTGATGTGCACATTTGTTGTACATGGGGACATGCACATGTTCTTGTCATCAAATGCATCTACCAAAGGTTTTAAACCGCACCTTGTCCCAAAATGAGGGTGGAACTTTTGTCGGATTTACTTGTCTGGATGTACCCTCTTTTTCCGGCGAGAATGGGTTGCATTGCCACTTCGACTGGGCTTTTTGGCTTTCTTACTACATTACACACAAAAAAAGCTTTACCTGAAGGTCTCTATTTAATATAATAAGAATCAATACATACGCACCAAAACTAAATAAATTTAAATATACTGACACCCTAAAATATATAAAAAAAATTAAGCCGACCAGATTACAGATTACTAACCCAAAAGCGGCTGAACACATTTTCAACAGGAAAATGATAGGCAAAGCCAGTATGGCAGAGGCCTACAACACAAAGATCAGTTAAGGTGTAAAACAGCAGTTAATTTTCCATTTCCTTATGAAATTTTAGAGGCACACCAAGAGAACATTACAAGAACTTACTGAAAACCAAACCAGCTCTTTTGTGGCAAGAGGCTTTGTAAGCTCATGACTCTTCAGTTTCTCATGAACTTTGTCTTGAACCTTCAGAAATAAGAGAGTAGTAATCTATAATCAACTCGATCAATATGGTTTAATACAAATATTCAAGTCATTCTACAACCCCTTGATGTATTCATTTGATATTTTATCATTGCTGCTTAATGATTAAGAACATTTCAATCCCGTCTTTCTATGGTATATTTATCTTTAGTTCTTTACAGGTATAATTTTAAAGTATTGTAATGTATTTTGTAAAATGAGCAGTCTAGAGACTACCCATTTTAAAGTGTCTTGCATGAGCTTTATAACAATATCTGACCACAGTAAACAATATCATTGTTTGTGTATCCAGTGCTCCGTATCTACCCCCTTGGCACACCTATGACACATCTAGCACTCTCTAGCACATCTAGCTACCTATCATTGTTTGTACCTCATAATGACTGGTTCAACTGAGTTCTCACTTCTCATTGAATTTCACTTATCAGATAAACATGCACTAAAAAAATATAACTAGCATACCTGGTTATGATATACTGTTGCCGACTCGAGAAATTTTCCAGAAACATGGACCACCTGCTGGGTGTAGGGCTTCAAGGTAGTGCGTATTTTATCAACATGGGGTCTTGCAGCAGCAGCAACCTGGTCTATATATGGCCTGCTTTGTTTCCTCAATTCCTTGAAGGTTCAAGGTCCAATTTTAGCTTGTACACAAGATGAAAGTGTTGAAGAAATAGGATTGACTGTCACAACTCTCACCTGAATATATGGATCAGCTACTTTGCGCACTTTAATGATGTGTGGTTTTATAGCATCCTTGGACACTTCATAAAACTCAACAGTTTTCGTAGTCAGTGTTTGCACATGAGGTTCAACATTTGTGGCTATCACTACCCACTGTTCCTTAATGGCAGGTACCCATTTCTTCAAACATGGCATTAATTAACATAGCACAAATTAGAGGAGGCATGATAGGCAAAGGACAAGTGATGAAGTGAACACAAATTTTGTAATACAGGCACATCAATGCCATAATATATCAAATATGCAAGCCTCATACTTCGTTTCCAAATCAATTTAGTCCTACAACAAACTAACCAAAGGCCACCCAAAAACAAAACACAGAAGTGAAGGCTGAATTAACAACAGAACGAAAAGTAGACCAATCAGACAGTACATTATAAGCCTGCTCAGGTAATCAAAGAAACCAAGTATCATGAATCACAATAATCAGTTTTGCTATGCATGGCTCACTTACAGTTTTAACTGTTTCCATATGCGGTGCAGCCCACTCTTCCGCTTGGGCCTTCTTTTCAATAGCCTAATACATAAAAAAGTACTTACTCATCTGCAAACACATAAATAATATCCAAAAAGATTCAGCAGTGAATTAAACACTTGCCTTATGTTTCAATGTTTCCAGAGCAGGTTTTCCATGAGCTTGCCAATTTTCATCTAACAGTGACTAGAAATACAAAAAGGCATCAGTATATAACTAACAGAAGTAAGACACAGAAGCTTACATGAGATAAAATGTAGATATACCCGATATTTATTATAATGTACAGCCAGCCAAGGTGGAAGCCAAGCACCATGAACCTGATCAAACAATATCACAAAATGAGAATCTAGACATTCTAAATTACGGAAGTAACTTCTATGTTAAGCAGAAATATATATAGAGAGAAAAAGAGAGAGAGAGAATCAACAAGATAGCAATGGACTGTAGAAAGCATAAAAATACAGTACGGTATCGTATGACATTATACCTCTGTCAACTCTTTAACTTTGGATGTTGCTTCCAACTTTGCTTTCATCATTTCTTCCTGGCAGAATCACATTAAGAAAGATTGGACAAGCTTTCAAGTCAAAGAAAACATGAACTCAACAAGTGTCTGAATTGTTATAACATACCTCAGCAATGTGAAGAGCTCGTTCAGTTTTTCGCAACTTAGCTTTTTGGTCATCAATAATCTTTTGAAGCTGGACCAGGAAAAGAGCAAACAATAAAAACTAGTGAATAAAAAATTATAATCTTCACTGGAAATATTACCAGCGAAGCAAAAGGAATCACTGCAGAGATTCATCAATGGTAGAAATCCTTTGTGAGTTTTCACACTGTGACAATTAGATATTAGATGAAACAACAGGAAACTTCACATGGATGAGTGACTTACACTCTCGAGTTTAGAATCCACATCTGATGACTTCTTTTCAGCTTCAGCCACCCGAACTTCCAATTGTTCTTTTTCCTTGTATTTAAGGTTAGCTTCTTCTCTAAGTTTTTCCACTAGCAGTTCCAATTCACTAGCTCTTGCATGTGCCTTCCCTACTTGTTCAGCAGCATCCTTTTTGCCTTTTTTCTACAGAATATACAGTTGAAATTTCTTTAGTAAATTCCAAGGGACTTATCATTTTGTATACTGGAAATACATCATACATTAATAAAAGAAATATATACTTTCAAGAGCCTAAAATACTCACTTGTAGTGCTGCAATTTCACTCTCCAAAGATGCAATGTTTTCTAATCTTTCTGCAATTATCTTCTCCTTAGCAACAATAACCTCATCTTTACCTTTTGCTTCTTTGGTTTTCTGATCAACAAGGGATTCTTGAAAAACCAAAAATGTATGAGATCTAGAGAAGCCCATTGAAGTGAAAGAAAGAAACTAAAACATTCTCCAGAGTAACATTGAGCAGACATTTCAAGTAAAAACATTTGCACATTTTGCACAAGATCTGCAGAAGCAGAATCCAAATTTAATAAATTACATTCAAATAATTTCAAACTTGAGATGAGAATGGATAATCATTAATTATCAGTCCATTAAGACACAAAGAAAGAAGGAGATGCTTCTAGTAATTTCGCAAAAACTCTGCAGGAGAGTAATGCAGGAAAGACACAAAGTGATTATTCGGAAAGTGTCCTTTGCAACCTAATGTCAATAATTCTTCTTCAAAACCATTAGTTTCTATAACTTCATTCTTCACCTCACAACAAACATATTCTCCCAATGCAGCTTCATAGCAAATATTCCCAATGTTCAATGGTGACCGCACCAAGTTCAAACTATTTTCACTTTTCAGTATGTTTCCACGCACGCTAAATTCCTCCTCGTTTTAGAAATAGGAAAGGGAGACACGAATGTAACATATTGTAAAGAAAAAAATTCCATTCCTAGTACATTACATTCAAAATCAACTTAATCGACCAAGAAGCCAGAAGATGCAGATCGCAATTTCAGATCCCTACCCTCTCACATTAGCCTGGGCTCTGCTCCTGAAGTTAGCAAATCAATTTCCCTTTTTTCGATACATTTCCAGGCGTGAATAACTTGTAGATCTAATTTACTTCTTAGCACAATATGCTCTTTCTCCGCCATAGAACAAATAAAAAAAATCAACAGAAAAGCAATTTCGGCAAAAACTAGGAACTTCCAAAGTAATTTTCATCCAATTTGTTCAATCCTGAAACAAATAATAGAACTTTGACCCAACTAACCAAGAGCAACGATCTTGGAATTGAGCTTCTCTATCACAGACCCATCGAGATCCCCCGATCTTGAAACCTTGACTTCACCATCGTCATCCGAGATTGAGGCATCAGCCTCGACTCTGATGTTGGTAAGAGTTAGCGAAAGAAACACCACGAACACAAGGAGCTTCCACGCCGCCATAAAGCCACTATCGGAGGCTCCGGCGCAGCAATCTACTGGTTTCCGATGTCAATTCTCCCCAAGATAATTACCTCCGCAGTGAATCGTGCACAGTTCCGAAGCCCACGTTACGCACGAGAGGTGTCGAACATAGGTTTATAGATATCCTCCCCTGCGCAATTCACTGCGTCCAAAAAAATACGGTAATACCCTCGCGTGACGAATTCGATGAATGGCACATCGGTCATTTCACTCATGGTGAAAACGAAGAGTTGAGTATTCCAACGTGCCGAGATAAAGATCCAATTATATTTAATTAATATTTTAATGGCTGGAGCTTGCTTGACATTCGCATCCTTATGCCCTCGAATCCGACGGTGCAGATCGTACCAACCAAAATCCCAATCCATCCAGCGGTTGTAAGAAACGTACGACAATGGAAGCGCTAGGTACAATACTCTTTTAATTTCCCATGTAGCGGGATCAATAGCGACGGTATACCTAATTAATAAACAGCGACTTAAAAGCCCGAAAATAATTATTGGACAAAACGGGTGACGGGTGACCGGTGACCGGTGATAGGTGACCGCCTATAGCAACTTTTCAATTAAAAATAAAAATTCTTTTTTTATTTTTTTATTTTAATTTTGTTTAATCTTCTGGTAGTCCTATATTCAACATTGAAAATTCCATTCAAAATACGACTTTGAAAGTTCGTAAAGTATAAATTTATAACGCAGCCTTTTTATAAAATAAATAAATAAATACAGTGATTACAAATATAATTATATTATTTTTTTATTGATATTATTTATTAAATGCTATAATATTTTGAAAAAGAGTATTAGATGATACAATCGTGTTTTTAAAAACTATAAAAGATTTAATAATATAAAGCAGTGAACAAAATAATAATAATAATAATAATAATAATAATAATAATACCAACAACAGTGAGATGGTTTCATGGTGATGAGAATTGTAAGATAGTATTGGTATAGATTTTGAGTAATAATGATTAAATATTAATTGCAGATTTGCAGTTGTGAAAAAAGATATAAGCAAAAGGCTGTATTTGGTTTAAATCCTTTCTACTACCAAATATATATTTATTTAGGTTGGATATTGATTTTAATGAATATAGTATTCTTTTGTTTTAAAATAAGATTATAAATTAATATAATAAAAGACTAAAATACCTATATATATAGTACAAATTAATAGAAATAACAAGGACAAAATTATTTAGTTTTTTCTTTTTTGTTACCAAATATTACATAGGTGTTCAATCTTTTAATATTATAAAAATATTTTAAGACTAGGGTGTTTGGTTGTAAATTTTTTCATGTATTTTTATTATTCTAAAATTTTTTATCTAATTAAGATACAAACAAAGTTTTGTTTGAAATGAAATTTTTAAGGAAATAGTAAGTACATAATGAAAGATGGCAGAATAACACATTGTTTGTTTTGCATTATAAATTTATGACGTGAAAACAGTATACCCACAATCTTACGGTCACGTAAATCTTACGTAATCAGCAATCTCTTATAGAATATAAAACATTTTTTTTTACACAATACAATGGGTATTGATATAATTATCAATTAAAATTTACTATTTCCTCGTTCAGCCAATCAACATTTAATTATTACAACAAATAATGCTACTTTATTACATTCTCCCTTCGGATATTTTTATATATAATTAAATTTTTAAAAATACACCTTTACATTTCTAATAATTACAACAATAAATTTTAGTGGCCATTTTCCAACCACTATAGCTACGCTAGCTAACCTACCCAATCTATCTCTTATAAATCCTAGAAAAATAAATTAAGAAATAAACAGACATTAATTGCTATATAAATATAATTATAACACTTACCATGAATATAGTATCTAATTTCCATAAACTGGCCGGAAATTCCATAAATAAAATAATTGACCGTTGGACGTGGCAGTTAGGGCTAACGCGCGACTAGGAATGCAATGCAGCAGTCTGTGTAATAGTAATAATACTAATCAATCTAGCCAAGGGAAAGAAGGATACGGTACCGACCAAGATCATCCAACAAACCAAAGCAAAGTCCAAGATTCGGAAGACGACGTCGTACCGGAGCCCACCCACCCGCCCAACCGATCCTTTTTCCTATTGGGAGGACCGCCCGCCGTTCCCATGCCTCAGTCTTCGCCACGCCACTCTCGTGTCTTCTCTTGGCACTCTCTCCGCCTCTTTCTTCACGCAATTCTCCAGGTAACTTTCGATCGCCGCCTTTGCAGAGGTCCCTTTTCTTTTGTACAACAGAGGAAATGGAAAATGATTCGGTTTGTGGCTGCGGATAGGTTGCTTGATTGTGGATATTTATTCCTGCGTTGTGATTGAGTTAAATTTTGTTGTTTTTCTGTGTACTTTGATTGGTTTTCAAATTTTTTGGACGTACGGGGAGTGGATGGATAGACGTCGAGTCTGTGCTACCTACAGCTCGTAGACTGGGTTGGATTGAGGGCTAAGTAACTTGTGGTGGTTGTTGTTCTCTTCGTTTTGTTTAGTGGAAGAGCAAAGTTAAGGGTTTCTAATGAGTTGATCACAGATTCTTTGTCATTTGTGGGTTTATGGACTGGCAAAGAGGGCATTCATTGTTAGGAAAGGAATTTAGTGGTGCTTTGTTGTTGGGTTGAAAGTGATGACCTGAATTCAGGCCTTAACTATTCGTCAAGCTTTTCTTTTTTAACATATAGGGTAAAACATGTGGAGATGTAATCTAAATTCATTGATTAATTATGCTCTTTGTTTGGCGCCAACACTGCAAGAAAGATGTATTTCATTCTGCTACTCTGTTTTCTGTTCTGTTCCTCACATATTTTCAACTTTTCTTAAAACTTGTTCTTATCTTTCTAAATGAATCGTTTTCTCTTCATCCTTATGGGATGCCACTTTTTAGGCTGATATGTATTTGTAATATGTGACTTCAGTATATTCTGAGTACACGGCTTGTGAGAAAGCTTCTTGGAATGGGATCAGGAAGCATCTACAAAAGGCGCATGAAAGTTTTCACACTGGCTGTTGTAATCTACCTCGATTATAAGGTTACTATGGTTCTTGATGGCTGTGAATTGATGATTGACATGTTAGGAGACCACAATATGTTTTTTTTTTCTTTTAAGCCTGTAAATTTATTCCCACAGGCAGTGCAACAGAGAGAAAAATGGACAAAAGTGGCAAAGAGAACTGAACTATGGAATAGAGCTCATGAACGCAATGCCAGACGTGTTCTAAGGTTGATTGTGAAGCTAGAAGGGTTGTGGGTGAAGCTAGGACAGTACCTATCCACACGTGCTGATGTCCTCCCCCCTGCTTATATACGCCTTCTAAAGCAGCTACAGGATTCTCTTCCTCCTCGCCCCTTGGAAGAGGTAACTCAATAATGTTTCAGCATGTTGAGAAGGCTTAATTTAAAGTTTTGTGGTTCAACTGTCAGTGGAGAAATTTAGATTTTGTCATCCCTCTTCTAAATGGGGAAAACTATAAACGAATATGAGAGGAATATTCACCATCCTCAATATATATATTCCAAGATGTCTGTAATCAAATGTACTTTAATCTGTCAACAGTCAGTTATCATATACCTAATTTTGCAATTGGTATTCTAAGGACAAAACCATGTGAACATTCTAAATATACATGTGATTAGCCATAATAAATAAATCAAAATGTTACGACCTATGAATATATACTAATATTTTTGTTTGAGGGTGATTTTATCATTTTCATTTAGCATGAACTTTTTTGTACCTCTTGGGTTTTCAGTATTGATGAAAATGAACATTTTGCTTAATAAAACACAAGTTCAGATATTTTGTTTCATGTAGGCGGATGGAGTTTAGAAATTGATGTAGGTAAAAGATATTTGTTCAATCAGGTAGGTTGAAAGCTAGGTTATGCATACACCTGTTATCTGAATAATTGAAAAGTAAAAAATACTTCTGTAATTACCACCGTATGTCTAGTTATAATGGAACACATTTTTTCTACTTCCCCGGGAACCATGAAAATAAGCCATCTATGCAAAAAGCATATTCTTTTATGTATTTAGTTTCCTGCAACAATTAATGAGTTCAAGTTGTTCATATTATGACCTAATGAGCTGCATGTCACAGGTTTGCCAAACTATCAACAAAGAATTGGGGAAATCAATGGACGATCTTTTCTTGAGCTTTGATAATATACCACTGGCAACGGCATCAGTAAGATCTCTTATCATGGAGCTATTGTAATGGGGAAATGGAAGCATGACTTGACTTCCATGCTTTTTTTTTTTTTTTAATCACATATGATTCCTTAAGTACTGGAATCAATATGAACCAGTCAAATGATAATCCAAATACATTAATTTTTCTTTCTACAATGAACCCATAATTTCTCAAGGACTTGTTTGGATGATACATTTTCAACCCAAGATTCACTGTGATATTTTATTGTTGCCACTTTTGATACAGACTTCAAACGGTGCTTTGAACAACCCAGGCAGTCAACAATTAAAAGTGTTCAATTTCTCAAGTTTAATAGTAGAGATACCATTTTCGTTAGAACCTATTCTTTTATTTTGTTGGCAAGCAACATTGAAGAAACAAATTAATTCATTTTTAAAGATAACAAACCAATTATTGCTCTGGAACTATTCATATCATCCTCCATTGAGCACAAATACTGGAATACTCTTTCCCCTCCTCTTTTGCACAAGGTGTGGGTATACAAAGCAATATGTGTGAGTTCAATGTTCCCCTCCATATTTATGCAGATAGCTCAAGTTCATCGGGCAACACTACGAGATGGACAAGAAGTTGTTGTTAAAGTTCAACACGAGGGCATAAAAGAGATCATTTTGGAGGTGGTTTTTGGCATTTATTTCCTGAGTTCTTGAAATTGATTTTTGGTTGTGATTCTTGCAATTATATCATTCTTATGAATTCTTCTAATGATTCTACCATATATCCTTTTTTGGCACACAATAAGAGCTTGTATTCTCAAATTCTATCCAAGGGGTTTGCTTTAATCGCGGAAATTCCATTTTCTCTACAATTAATATATTTCTAGAAGTGATAAAAATAGTAAAATCTTCTTCACAGGATCTCAGAAATGCCAAATCAATAGTTGATTGGATTGCCTGGGCGGAACCTCAATATGACTTCAACCCCATGATAGACGAATGGTGCAAAGAAGCACCTAGGGAACTTGATTTCAACAATGAGGCTGGTATGCTTTTGATGATTAGTTTAATTTGTTTGTAATTTGTATTTTCCGCATCCTTTATGTCTTAAAGATTTTTGTCTTGGTTTCTGTAGAAAATACACGGAAAGTTTCTAGGAACCTTGGGTGCAATACTAATTCCAACAATAACAACATAAATCAAGTGGACGTCTTAATTCCAGAAGTTATTATGGTATTATTCTTTTTGAAGGTGTATTTAGTAACACATTTCTGTCTTTATTTAAGATATAATTATATGCCCTGTATCACATCCAAAGCCATATATGAGACTTCATGGGATAAGACTATATCTTGTAGCTGACGTATGGATCTATGGAATTTCTCAAGATTTTCATTCTCTTATTCCCTTTCATAACAAGTGTGTAAACACCAGCTACTTCCTAGTATCCTCATTACCATGTCATGCCCCCAATCTCACTATTTCTGCCTGTGGTGGCCTTTTTCTCAATGCTAACAGAAGAAACAAAGACTAAAAAAATGCATTTAATGAATCCAACTTCATACAGAAGAGTTTATTTGCATGACAAAGATTTTATTTCAACTGATTGTATTATACTCCCTGTTTTAACTTTCCTTAATTACACTATTATCTTTTTGCTGTCTATGTTAATTTTGCAGTCAACCGAGAAAGTTCTTGTTTTAGAATATATGGATGGAGTCAGAATAAATGACTCTGAAGCACTGCAAGCGCTGGGTGTTGACAAACAAAAACTTGTTGTGGAAATTACACGTGCATATGCACACCAAATTTATGTTGATGGGTTCTTCAACGGAGATCCTCACCCCGGTACTCTCTTTTATTCAGACAGCTTGATTTCATGTTATTGCAGTTAGCCAGTTACTCAGCAAGAAATTTCTGTTACTTTCTATTCTATTCATTTTAATGAAGGCAATTTCCTCGTGAGCAAGGCTCCTCCACATCGTCCGATTTTGCTTGACTTTGGACTCACTAAAGAGCTTTCATCTTCTATGAAACATGCTTTAGCAAAAATGTTTCTAGCATCTGCTGAGGTTTGTAGACTTCTCCTTATATATTGTTAGTTACAGTAATTGAATCTTAGCATATGGTATGGCCAACTAGGAAAAACCAAGATTGGTTGCAAAATTGATTACCTGCACACGGCATTAAAATTTTATTTTATTTTCCCCATAAACCTGAAGCCTTTTGGCGCCGTGCATGCAATACTCAAGACCCTATTTTTATTGTATCCTGAAGCTTACACCAACATCGTTCCATTGATAGAAACCTGCTGCCCCTTGACTTTCAGAGCCATAGCACTTAAAATCTCCGTATGGGACACATCTTGATGAACCCAGTCAATTTGCTTTGACACTTGCTCTTATTCTTAACTTAGAGGCTTTTTAAATTTATGTTTGAGCATAGTGCTCAAGTGAATAAGTCTGTGTCTATGCATGCTTTCAAGCTGACTGTTTTATTTTATAATTTTATCAAATGTCTCACACGTAATCTAACAATATCAGTGGACTTGTTTCGTGTCCTTCTTTAGGCTCAGAAGTTTTGGCCAACAAATTGACTGTTTTAGCACAGTGGTTTTTATGTTCATTTATTTGTAGAGAAGTGAAATGCTACTTCTTGCAGGGCGATCATGTGGCGCTTTTGTCTTCCTTCACAGAGATGGGACTTAAGCTGCGCCTGGACCTTCCTGAGCAAGTGATGGAAATATCAAGTATGTTCTTCCGCAATTCCACACCAGCAAATGAAGCTAGTGTAAGCATATATTAATTTATGTTTGGAAAAATGTGCCTTTTTCTTTTATACATTTAACTAATACCACTATTTGCTAAAGAAAAACATGAAAGCTTTTGCTGAACAAAGGACAAAAAACCTGAAGGCTCTTCAAGAGAAGATGAAGTTAAATGAAAAAGAAGCAAAACGCTTTAACCCTGTAAGTAAATGATTTCTTCCAGTATTATTATCTACCAATTAGTTTCTTCATGTAGTTATCTGTAACACATAATATGGCACACTAAGTGCTGGTGTAGTCCCTTGAAGTGCCATTCTCATACTGTTCTCATTGATGGGGCCAGTAAGTGCCTTCAACACAAGCCCAAATTGTGCCATTCTTTAATGAAGATGTTCATTTGTTTAGCATCTTTTATTAATACCTATTTTTACTTCTTCCTATTTGTAAGTGATACGTCAAATATTTCTTCCAGGTTGATGCTTTTCCAGGCGATATCATTATATTCAGTAGAGTCATTAATCTTCTGAGAGGTATCTAATAAATCTGTAAGGATGCATCACTTTATTTTTTATGCTTAATTTCCCAACTAACAACATAGAATGCAGGCCTTTCTTCATCCATGGATATACGTATAGTTTACCTGGATATTATGAGACCATTTGCCGAATCTGTTCTACAATGGTAAGATCTGATTTCCGTTTTTCCATACCTGTAAGAATTCTTGTTTGTTAATCTGCTAAATCATGTTTCAGCAATGTTAACAAAGGACCAGCATTTAATGCAAACTGGATCCATGACACACCCGTCCTTTCTAATGTTGAAAATAAGTTGCGGAAGCTCCTAATTGATCTAGGTCATGCTGATAAAGTACTTGGAATCCAGGTATACATCCTCTACTTGCAGTAGAGTTATAATATAAGGTTTGCAGTTCCAGTAGTCGCAAGGTGCTGCCAGATTTAGTCTATGTTTGCAAACACAAACAAGAAGTACTGCCAGATTTAGACAGTTCAGTTAGGTTTTTTGTCCCAAATAATCCAAAACACAACCAAGCAAATCTTAGTTTCAAAATTCATCTAAAAAATAATCATGCATCCTTGATAGTAATCAGGCTAATTGAGAATTCTTTTCCTCTTACTTGCTGCATCAAAAACCAAAGTCAACCTTTATCAGATTATATTTAATCCCTGTCCTTCATTTCTATGGAAAGGCCACCCAACTTTTTTCAATGTACAAATGGTTGTGGCTAGTTTTACCAATCTAGTCTTATTTCTCTGATTTCATTAGGTGTGTGCTTACAAAGATGGAGAAGTTATTATTGACACTGCTGCTGGGATACTTGGAAGATATGATCCTAGACCAGTTCAGCCTGATAGTTTATTCCCCTCATTTTCTGTATCAAAAGGAATTACTGCAGGAATGGTTCATTGGTTGGTCGATAAAGGGTATGAAAATTTTGTAGTGCTTCCTTTTCTTATTATCGGCTTTCAGATGTGCAAGCTCTATAAATGATAACATGGATTTGAAGTAATCCCAGAATAAACAGTTTCAAATTAAGCATAACTTCTTTCTACCAATTTGAAATGTTAAAATAGCTCTTGAAAACGAAACTATTTATATGTTTTAGGTCAGCAACTGGGATTTGTTCTCTCCCATCTAATACTTAACTTTTTTTGGGGGGGTGGGGGGTAGTTTTAGTTTGCTCCCAAATATGCTAAATGCAATTTTAAATAGATTCTTTTCACACTTACTCTATTTGTTATATTTGATCCTTGCGAGTTACTCCACTGTATGGAGCTTAATGATTATTGTCTTGTGTACTTTATCACAGGAAGCTGAAACTCGATGACAATGTTAAAGATATATGGCCTGAATTTGGATCAAACGGGAAAGATCAAATAAAGGTATTATTTTACTTCTGACTTGATTCTTGATAAAAGCCAGAGAAGAGGCAATTGTAGTGACCAGTGGCTGTCGATATAGTTGTTAATCGAGCAGATGAAACTTTAGCTGCATCTTCCTTAACCTTGTGTAATACCTGGACAACTATTTAAGTGTTCTAGTTTAATGCACAACAAATTCCTAAATCATTTTAATGCTTATTCTACTCAGGTTCATCACATACTTAATCACACATCCGGTTTGCACAATGCTCTGGCCGATCTCACACGTGACAACCCTCTGCTCATGACTAACTGGGATGAGTGCTTAAACTGCATTGTCGAAGCAGCTCCAGAGACTGAACCTGGAAGCAAGCAGCTTTACCACTATCTATCTTTTGGCTGGTTATGTGGCGGCATTATTGAGGTATGTTAGATCTTTCTTCGTCTGACTACAGAATTGGTTAAAACCTTTCGAACTTTTTCTTATAATGTTTTGAAGATAGAGCAATGTATAAGATAGTTAATATGTATATCTAGTTCAGTGTAATTCTGAATCTGTGGATGGTCTTACCTGAGAAATAACAGAAGCAACAGATTGTCTTCATACACCAAATTCTCTAACAGTACCTAATCCTTGCAAGAAATAAACTTTGTTTAATGTCATTGCATACCAAGCTATGAACTAATTCCAGATATTCAGCACTAATTATCTTATCTATGCACAGCACGCGTCCCGGAAGAAGTTCCAGGATATTCTCGAACAAGCTTTCATTCACCCTCTGAAAATAGACGGCGAGCTATACATTGGAATTCCTCCGGGTAATTGTTTTAGCCCCTGTTTATCAGCTTGAGTTAATCAGTCCATTTATCGAAATAAATTCTTTTCAGAAGCTCTGAATATGAGCAGGAAAAGCAACATGGAATTAGCATCTTCTTTAAACAGCCTGACCTTACTTGATCACATAAATTTTGTCTTCCAGGAGTGGAATCTCGACTTGCTACGCTCACATCCGACATGGATGACATCAAGAAATTCTCCGAGATAAGCAGCCGTCCGGATCTCCCATCCACCTTCCGGTTTCAGCTCCAAGACATTTACCAGATGGCCACTACCCTTCCTGCATTATTCAACACACTCCATGCTCGTCGCGCCATTGTACCTGCAGCTAACCTCCACTGTTCAGCTCGAGCTCTTGCTCGCTATTATGCAGCTCTTGTGGATAGAGGCACCCTCCCCCCACCTCATTCCTCCCCGACCCAACCCCCACTAGGAAGCCACCCCCACATCCCGAAATTTCCTTCACCTGAGGCCACCAAGAAACAGAAACCTTTCAAGCTTGCACATATCAGAGAGACTTTCAAGAGCGACAAACCCCGGAAAAAGGATAAAGGAAATAGCTACACAAGTGTTCCTGCAGACGAAGATGCCCCCAGCAGCGCCAGTGCCGAGACTGGATCCAGCAACGAGGCGAACACAGGCAAGCTTTTCTTGAACAGCCAAATTCATGATGCATTCATGGGAGTCGGAGAGTACGAGAATCTAGCGCTTCCAGGGGAGCAGTTCGGGCTGGGGTTCAAGAGATCCTACTCGGAGGATGGCAAGTTGATTGGTTTTGGACATTCCGGCATGGGCGGGTCGACCGGATACTGCGACATGGAGCACAGATTCTCCATTGCTGTGACTCTGAACAAGATGAACTTTGGAGGTGTGACTGCAAAGGTTATGCAGTTGGTCTGCTCGGAGCTCAACATTCCATTGCCTGCTGACTTTTACAGGTTTACAGAGAGGCTAAGTGGTGATGATTCAAATATAGCTACGCCTTTGATAAACTAATTTACTGATAATACAAATAAATAATTATAATATTGTCTTCTTCTTTTTATTTTTGAACAATACAGTTCTGTGAGGACGACGAACTGATCATATATGTATATATCATACATTTACAGCAGTAGTAACTATCGAATATGACGGATATATATATACATAGTCATGAATTTTGTATTATCATTTTATTTTTTAATTATATTTATAGTAAATTTGGTTTTTCTTATTTATATTTTAATGATAGATTTAGCTATTATTTTTATACATAATTTTTAATAAAAATATATTATATTTTTAACAAAATATCACATCAAAATTATTTAAATAAAATTCAAAGAATTTTTTTAGATGAGCTAATGTTGGTAATAAAAAAAATAGTAAATATTTTTATTGTATAATTTTTTATAATTTGTTGCACACAAGGGACGGTTGGCTTGGGCTGGGCGCCGGGCGTATCAGTTTTCGGTATGTTACAAATAGTATCAGAGCCGACCTTGATGTTGGTGAAGAACGAAGCAGACGAGTGAACAGTTCTCCAAGGGAGGGCATGCTGATGGCATGTCAAAGAAGAGCATATCTTAGCTAGGCTGAACATTCCAGAGGGAGTGCTCCTTGAGACGGAGCATGTTCGACTATGCCGGTACGCCATAGTGGGCAAGCTTTGTTCGTGAGGGCGGAACTACGTTAAGGACGATTCTCAGGCAAAAAAATGTAAAAGCCGCAACATAGGTGTCCCGGATAGTGTATGAAGACGAGCAGCGGAGTGAGCAAGTTGTAGGTCGGCTATGGAAAGATCTTGCTGGCGCTTGATGAACACCAAAGGGTCAATGCAGTGATGCCTGGAGGTATGCCGAGTGTGCAAGAAACAACTTCGGTGCACTCAGGTGGTGTCGCCCGAGGACGTTTGCGACTTGGAATAGGGGAGAGTGTCACGAACTGACATTTTTGCCCTAAGTTCTCGGCCATTACGGTCAATCAACGGCGTATGTATTGATGTAGGTACTTGTTTATATGATATATCCAGTCTTGTTACACACAAATGACGGTTGGCTGGCTTGAGTAATAATATTTTATATTGAATATTGATTTTTTTTTGTGTTCACTCTCTCGAGTTCACCCAACTGCATAAAGTATAAAATAAAAATAAATAAATAGATAAAAATTCAAACTCAAACTAACTTAAACTTACTTAATGGAACTTTATTCTGACAATAAAATTTTCTTTGATATTCTCACATAATTTATTTTTCGCATCACTTGGACGAAATTAAGATCCTTAATAAGGATTTCAAGAGTGAAAGAAAATTATGCCGATGAAAATAAGGAATTGAGTATCAATATTGTATAGATGGGTGGGGGTAACGCTTTGGACCATTTTAGATGTAAATTTACAATGATATCGAGGCATATCCCTTATAAATTAATAATATAAAGTGAAAGGTATGAGAATATATAATTTTTTTTATTTTTTTATTTTTTTATTGTGAATCTATATATTGTCAATTAGTAGCAAATATATTACAATTATTTGTTAAATTTAAGGGTGAAATTAATCAATGGGGAGCAATCCTTAAAGCATTAATAAAAACTGAACTAACATAAAAATAAAATAAAATTATGTATTAGAAAATATAAATAAATTTTTTTCATAATAATGAATGAAATTAATATAACTTATTTAATCATTAAATTTAAAATATTATAATACTCATTAATGAAAGGTACATGAAAATTTAAATAAGTATTTAAAAAGAAAATTTGTAAATTTTATAAAATTATATAAAATAAAATACAAACAAAATATTATTTGACATTGTAAAAATAGAAACTATAAATGGATATTATCTTAAATACAAAGTACAACTTTGCCTAAATAAAAGAACCAAGTCTGATTTAATTTAGAATATGAGTATAATGTTTTGACGAGACAAAAAATCAAAAAAAAAAAAATAATAATAAAAATTTCTAACTTTACCCATTAATAAGATCTCTAGGGGCAATTTTTTAGGAATGAGTATCCAATTTTTTCGTTGAATTAGATAAAAATATTAATAAATTAACAATATCCGACAAATAATAAATAAATAAATAAACAAGTTTATCTAATAGTGTTTAAACACATACAAATATATATTATCTAAAACGCAATATCTACGAATATCAATATAATAATTAATATATTTTAAAAAAATCCAAACTCTAACAAAATTGCAATCCAATATAATAAATCCAAAAAAAAAACCGAACTAAAATTTAAAATTCAGTTTAGTTAGATCGGATATTTTGGGATACTTTAAATCAAATCCCTAGTTATCAAGCGCGTGTTTACCTTATATATATATGTATATATATATATATGTGCGTGCTGTTTACTTTGATAGAGCTTATGGTAATAATAAGCACAGCAATGGCGATGGCGACGGTAATAGTAACGGAATCTTTCATTGCTTACTAACCTTTTTTTTTTCCATCTGTAAACCTCCATGGATTCTGCAAGTTTCCTCCAAGTTCTGTGATCAAGAACATTCAAGAAATCATCCATCTGCTGCATCATCAATGGCCAAGGGGACTTCTTCTCTGCTTCCTTCAGAACCCGTTCCGCCGCCGACGCCGATATTGAGATTCGATCAGCCTGCGACGAATTATGTTGAGCCGTATATGCTAACCTTCGGTGCCATCAAGACCATATGGAGTATTGACAATGACATATTTGATCGATCAAGAACGATGGACTTACCTGAAGATACAATGATCTTCGACATCGATTCAGGTGAGAAAGACCCTTTATTCTGCTCTTACCTCGCCAACGATATTTTCAGGAATTTACAGTCGGAGGAGGACAAGAACAGGCCACGGGCAGATTACATCGAGAATGTGCAGAAACTCATCAGTCACCAAGAACGCGTGCATTGCATTGATTGGCTGTTTTCTGCGGTTGAGGGGCTCTGTCTTTCCTCGGATACGTTGCATCTGAGCATCCACTGTTTGGACCGTTTCTTGTCTGGCGTCAAGGTTGATAAGAAGAACCTGTTTCTTTCTGGGCTGACTTGCTTGATGATAGCGTCGAAGTTCATAGAGTTGAAAACTCGCTTCAAAATCGAAGCTTATGCTGATCCTACCAACAACATCTTTTTCAAAGAGGACCTTATTCGAATGGAGGGAACTATTTTGACTAACCTGGATTACAATGTGGCGAACTCCACGGCTAAGAGCTTTCTGGGCAGGTACGTGCGCGCAGCCAAAGCTGGAAAAAGTAAACCTTTGCCTAATTTGGAGAGCATGGCTTGCTACCTCGCTGACCTTTCGCTGCTGTCGTATGCCATGCTTCCATATAAGCCATCAATGGTGGCTGCTTCGTGTGTTTTCTTAGCTCAGTATATTCTTTGCCCATGCAAGTGGCCATGGAGCGCGACACTAAGGCACTACACATCGTATAAGCCTTCAGATCTAACCAAATGTGTAGTTGAGCTGCATGCATTCTGCTCAGAGATTCAGCTTACTCGCGTGCCTAATGCCAGAATCAAATACAGCCACCAGATGTACGGAGGGGTAGGATCGACAACTATTCCAACACTCATACCCTATGAACTATTCAAGGATAACTACTTTTAGAGATCACAGATGGTTAGGTTTCAAGAATGCAATTAAGTGTAATATAGGCATTAGCTTTCGATGTCAGACAAGTTTTGGTAGCTTTTTGCATTCCTAAACAGCTGTTTTTGAGTTTGGAACTAGACAGGTTTTTTATGTTTTCTCTTTTCTCATAATGTCTTACCTTAAACAGAACAAATTGGTGTACCACCTGATATCATGTCTATGTGGTATTCCAAGACAGAAAAAATAAAAAATAAATAAAAAGTAGCCCAGAGAATTGATTAAACGAAACTAACATCAAACTTTTCTATTTCAAAAACTGTGTTGTATGAAAAGAAATAGTAGCAACAAGTAACAGTCATGGTTATTTTCAATCTGATTCTCTACTTAGCATAGAAGCTATCAACACAATATTAACATGGCGTAGAGACAGGTGATTATTGATCATACGATTTCAGAAATGAAAGAACATGAAGTTGTTGAATCTAACAGCAACCTGAAGGATCGCAACTTTTTTTATACATGCCACTGATTGTGGCAGGGTGCACCAACATCCAATTTCCAATTTCACAGTGCAGCCTCTTGTTCGTTCTCCAGCATACTGTAATATCCAGTCAATCCTGAAATTGGTGTTGGATTAGAGGTTTTATGAACAAAGAACCAACTAAAGATGCCATTTGCTATTAAAATTTTGGTATAATCTTACCTAGTTGTTAACGGGTGCCAGAGCGGCGCCTTGGAGTGCTGTGGTGAACAAATTAGGAGAATGTGAGGGATAACAGAAAGGAATTCATGTTTAAGCACTGCATGCCTGAATAAAATGGTTATGCAACAGTCTTTCATCTGCACCAACTTCATGCCCATAGGAATCGATAGTCATTAATAGTAACAATGCGTCTAGATTGCCGACAGGTATATTGCTTTAGGTGAAAAAAGTGGAAAGTTTGATGATGCTAGTGCTGCATAACAAATTTCAACATATTGCAAGCCTATTTAGCAGACAGGACAAAGTTTGATTTATATGCCATTCGCATTTATTTTCATCTTCGGAAACATTAATTTGACAATGAATATTACAACGTGCAGAAATAAGGACAGATGCTGTTATGAAACCTAAGCAGTCACAAGTCAACTGTCAAGCCATACCAATAGAATAACTGCTCAAAAATTAATTCGAACTAACCACTTCTGGCTGTGGCATCCATTTCTGTAGTGAATTTACTATATTCATACAATCTATATAGTTAGTTGTTTTTCCTGCCACAAAACTAGTTCACTTTTGAATACATAATTTGGTGTAAGAAAATGGCAATCTAACCCATAACGATATGTATGAACGCAAATCATAAGCTACATGTGCAGCATTGAGATGCTACATCCATTCTTTTCCTCCATTTGGTGAATTCTATATTCCATGCCTGATAAAAACAAGTTCATTCACCCACCATACAAATTTGTAATCAAGGTTGAAATTTTAATTAACCCAAGACCTAGAATAATCAGATAGGGTTCAACTCTTTGCAAGGAGATGAGTTTATAAATGTAGTTCTGCTAAAGTGAGTCAACTAACCTGTATTGCGAGGCTCTTCCCCTTGAAGCTCTCATGGCATTTACAAAGTCATCATCGGCCTCATCAACTCTATAATCAGCATATTCAACTGATGACAAAGAACCCTCACTGGAGTTTGAGGTATCAAAACTTAGACGGCCATTTCCTCTTCCAGAAGTGCTACCTCTTAATCTTCTCCTATTTCTGGACATCCTAATCTTTTTGAAAATCTGATATAGTATGCAAGAAGTCCACCAATTCCTCCCATTCCCAGGGAAATCATGGAACTCATCTCCAGAGTTGTCATCCGCATATTCTATCACATAATCGCCTAGAACCACACCATTTCGAACTTCTGAATGGATAGTGCTTAAAACATCTATAATTTCTGAGGACTGTTGAAAATCTTCCCAATCAAGCTGGCGAGCAGGGTCAACCTTTGAGGGGCAAGCATGAGGATGCTCTACTCGTGCATGAGCTTTGAGCTCCAGGTATGTGCCAGTAAATGGACACTTTTCTTCTTCACAGCATCGTTTCTTCTGATTCAAATGCATACGAACTTTATCAACAACTAACCATCCAGTAACTTCTCCTCTACACAAGGGGCATTGAGGTTTCCTATCAGATTCTGAAACCAAAGATTCTGCATTTTCCACAGAAGTTGATAATTTTGTACCAAAAGACATTCCATTTGCTTGTTTGAATCGGTCAAGACAGTTGGAATGCAAATGGCCTGTATCACATACAAAGGACCTACATCCTTTCTCAAATGACGAGCACTGGAGAAGGACAGCATTGTGAGGAAAGTCCAAACATATAGGACATGTGAAATCATCCCAATTGGTATACAGCTGAATCTCCTCCATTAGAGTTACACTGGGTTTATTGTCGTCACCCAACATAAATCTCAGAGATAGACACTGAAAATCAAGATTTTTTATAAAGATTAGAGCAAGTCCTCCAACACTTTGGTTTATAAAGTGAAATAAGACAACTAAACACAAGTTTCCTATAGACAGTGTTACATATAGCACATATTAACTCTGCATTTACTACTTCATTAAAGCAATGCTGTGATTTTCCATTCCACTATTCCTAAATATCAAAGAACCATGCAAATAGCTCAAGCATGAAGTAGAGGAGACATCAGAAAGTCTCTTCCATATAAATATTTCCCAAGCAATCGATCATATACTCACTCAATGTAGGGCATCACATACAGAATCTGTCGACAAAGTGAGTGAATTATCATCAAGCATATAACTTAATCCAAAAAACGTAGAAACCACCTATCCTCCTCTCTCAATTCAATGTTTTCAAATTTCCAGTAACAATTATAAGAGGAAAATAATGTAAATCATTTGAAATCTATTCATGACTCGGCGTGCAAAAGAATTCCTCATTATTCTTTGTTCCCTCGGCCATGAATTGGCTTCATTAGTATCCCCAAAATTACTCTTGCCGTTCCAGTAAATACTAAGCATACAAGCTAATGATTCACATAAATACATTTCACCACGAGCTCCAAACACAGTCCATAAATTGAAACATCAAATCGCAATCACTCAAAGTACACATAGGAAAACAAACAATTGACCTAAAACGCCTACGGCAAAAAAACAAAAACATTCCAATCCAGTGTTACCCTAAAGTCAACCGATCCATTCGATATGCAACCGGCAGAGGGAGAAGGAAACAAGTCGAACCTGAGGGAATTTTGAGGTGGATCGCGGTAAAGTGTTCTCCGACAATGAGGGATCTGTTCAAGTTCGATGGTGAAGAACAGGAAATTTGGCCTCTTCCTTCTGTAATATTTATATACTATCGTATATGAATGTAGGTAATTTATACAATCAAATATTCTTTTTACTATTTACATATAAAATAAATACGATTATATACTTCAATTATATTTTAAAATTTAAAATTTAAATATTTTTAATTTTAATTAAATTTATTTTAATTTTAATTTATAATTATTTTTTAAATTTATAATTACTTTTTATTGAATAATAATTATTTTTACCTAAATTTCTGTATCTACTCGCTCATCTTATATAAAACGGATGGAGTATTATTTTAATTTACTATAAAATTTCAGAACAGTTTTAAAGAAGTATTTATTTTCCATATTGCTTTTAAATATTAAATTTTATATAATATACTAGTAATATATATAGATTAAATATAAAAGGAAAAATTGTATTAATTATATAAAAGATAATATTTTATATTAAATTATTATATTTTTTAATAAATAAAGTATGTATGTGATATATTATATTAATATGTGTATATAATATATTTTTTTAATACAATTCAAAGGGAACAAATACTATTAATTGTTTTTGTTGTGATTTGAAATTATTTTGAAATGTGATACTTTAATTTTTTTTTAATAATATTTTGATTAAATGTTTTGTGATATAAAATAATGTATTTTTATTAAAAATCGTGTTGATTTTGGTTCAAATGTTAAAATAAACAAATTGCATATAAATTAAAATTTTTGTTTGGTTTGCATTTTGGTTTGAAGGATAAAATTTTGATATGAGGTATATGAAATTAAATAGGTAATATAAAAATAATAAATGTATATAATATATTAATTTTTTTAAAAAAAAATATGTCGAAAAAAATTTACAGAAGAAATAAACTCTGATTATTTAGTACTATTAAAAATGTTTTTACTTTGCAGGTATTCATCATGTATTACCATTATTAATCATTCTCTTATATGTTATATCAAATAATATCAACATATAATTAATGTAAAATTAGTATTTTATCAATCATTAATATATAATTTACTATTAACTTTATTATTTAATTATGTGTATTTTAGGTCAAATTAATAATCTCATATAATTTTATAATTCATTAAAATAATACATGTATTATATTCTTGTCCTACAAAGTAATATTATATAAAAATAATATATTTTTACATTCCTATTCTTTCAATTATTAAATAATTAGCCTCGTATCTAATTAATTTATACTCCTTAAATTATTATATCTAAACAAAAGATTTCATCTTTGTGAGGGAGTATTATCCTTTTATTTATTTATTTATTTTTATTTAAAGTGTTTTTGTTTGATGTGAAAGTATTTTCTTTTATTAAGTAATTACGACTTTTGTAAAAAATATATATATTCCATCCGTCCGTCCGCCTCTAAAGATTTTTTTTTTTTTTTTTGCATCTTTGTATTTAACATTAAAAATATTCTTATATTTGTATAGTTTTTTTTCTTAATTTGTACACGTTTTTTATATAATAATTAATATTCAAAAATCAATACTCAGAAAATAAATGAGACCCTTATTTTTATAATATAGGAATTAATATCACTAGTTGATCCTTATATTAATAAGTCATCCCTTAAATGATGAGAAAAGTTATTACTCCCTCCATCACAGATACCGTGTCTGCTATACCGTTGACACGGTATTTTAGGAGGGGTGTAATTAGTGATAATTAAGAATGTATTAACGAAAATAATTATTCTATAATATAAATAATTATAAATTAAGATTAAGATAACTAATTAGTTTAATTAAAATTAAAAAAAAATAAAATTAAAAAATTTAAAATGAGATTAAAGTGTGTAATCATTTTCCAAAAAAGGAAAGTGATATGGGACAGAAACTGCAACGTGGACATGGTATATGGGACGGAGGAAGTATTATTATACCAATATATTGTAGGTGCAATGTAGACCATACAAATAGCACTGTTTTATTGAATCAAATATATTGAGATGGTCAATGAATACATTATACATGTCTGATTGCGACAGCCACAAATGAACTTGGAATAATAATATTATTAAACGAAGACGGTCTAAAAATTATTATTATTATTTGTTTCAAAAAGTTATATAACACAACACGTATCATATTCTAAAAAAAATTTCAATATTGTTTTTTTTTTTTTTTTTCCTATAAATTTTTGTAATATTTGCATGGATGCACGTCACAATGAAAAATAAGTATATGTATATATGTGGAAAAAAAAAGAAATATTTTGTAAAAAAAAAAAATAATTTATTTTTTCAAAAATATACAATTCAAATAGTAAATAGTAAGATTAGGGAGTTTAGACAAAAATACACACATTATGCAACAATACATACATACATATATATATATATATTTAAAATTTAGGGAGTTTGGTTCAAACTCTTGACGTTACATTTTTAAATAATTTAATGATTTCTTACTATTATCACATGCATCTCAACAATACTATAATGATATATATATGATTAATTAACATTAAATCATAAAAAATATATCAAGTATTTTCATATTGTCATTATTCTTCCTAATCCATGGGATATGAATGTACAGAGTCAATTTTAATAATATATATATATATATATTTATATTTAAAATTGATCTTATCAAGATTGAATCCAAACCCTAAAGTAGATTGCTGTCGTCCTTCCTTTAATTCAGCTTTAATCAATAAATGAATAATATATATTCCTTGAAAAAAAAATTAAGTGAAATACCAAAAGAGAATAAGATTCCAATTTAATTTTAATTTTGTTTACTTTATTTTTCACTTTTTAATTTATTTACTATAAAAACATATATATATATATATTAAATATTATATCCAACCATTAGTTTACTTAAAAATTAAAATATAAATAAAAAATAAAAACAAAACAAAGAACTCTGTGTAATAGATGAAACTTATTGCATATCTGAAAATTTATTAATTCATATAAAAATCTTCCACCCTTATAATAAATATTGTTTAAGTTGAGTGTATGTCTGTCTGTGGCATTAATTAATTTATTAATTTAGGTATAGTTTATTAAGGCCATCCATTTTGTTCCCACTTCTTTAATTGACAACCCTTCCTTCATTTTTCTGAGAAAGGAAATTATGCCCCACAATTATTGGATTTCATTTTTCTGATTCTTTCCTAATTGACAAAGCTAATAAATATATATATATATATATATATAATAAAAATAATCAGTCATATCTATTTATTGTAAAAGGTGCACGTTGATCCAAATGTTTTCTACAAGAAGAAATTATCATTTTAATTAAAAAAAAAAAAGAGGATAAATACACATTCTCTACGGTCTACGTGCTGAAAAAGTATAATAAAAATTAGTGTTCTTCTTCTTCAACGTGCAAATCTGCGGAGGTTTATAAATTAAAGATACACTCACTCGCGAAACTCTATACCTCTCTCTCTCTCTCTCTCTCTCTCTCTGTGCTGTGAACTGCAGTTTCGTGAGGCTTTCGAGGAGATTTGATTGCTCCTAATTGCGAGAGTTAGCATGGGAAGCAAGGCCATAAGTCTCGACGACATTAAGAACGAAGCTGTTGATTTGGTCAGTATGATTGATTCTGTGTTTATTTAATTTGTTGATTTCCAGTAAACGAAGATGATTGATTGCATCTCTTATATGTAATTAATTTAATTGTCAGATAATTCACAGCCTAAATGATCTCACTTAATTATAGATTCAGATACACAAACATATAGTATTTATATATGATTATTCATACAGACTTTCCACATACTCAGGAAGCTATCTTTCAATTTTAGGTAATTTTTCTCTTTATATAAATAACTATTCTACGTCGGAAATATAATGATTGTTCATCAGCCACACAAAGCTTTTCGATTCGTGCACAGATAGCAGATTATACATATATATATGTGTGTATCGATATGTGTATGTAATATATGTATATATAGATATATGTGTGTGTGGAACTGTGGAAGTGCATGGGTAGAGCTCATCGTTTTGATTACCACTTAATCATCTGAACTTCTTCTTCTTCGTTGCTTATATATGATCAATTAATGGTTTGTGTGTGTATATATATATTTGCGGAAATACATCCAGTTTTCTAAAATTTATCTTTAATTTGGACGATAATTTTAGGCCTTCTGTTCCTGACAACTTATTATTAGAAAAGGAAAAGAAGAAATAATAATCATAATTATAATAATAATAATAATAATAAAGAATAATTTGTAACTCACACAGATTGCGCTTAAATCGGAAGCAAGACGCTAGGCGAGGGCACGTGTCCGTCACGTGGGAAATCTTTGGCTATGTTTGGGCCCCACACACACTTTCTCAAACATTTGCTAATCAGTCCTTTTATTTGATCTTATTACAAATTTTCTCTAGTGTTCCTCTCTGTATTTGTGCATATTGCAATAAAATTCTACTTCACATACATCATCATCATCGTTTGTGGATTATATATATTATTATATTAATCCAACTCCTTTGTGCTGATCGTCCTTACTGTTTGAAATTTATGTAAATTTCAGGAAAAAGCACCTGTAGAAGAAGTGTTTGAGCAGCTAAAATGTACGAGAGATGGACTTACATCAGAGGAAGGAGAGAGCAGGCTCCAAATATTCGGTCTCAACAAATTGGAGGAGAAAAAGGTCTCTCAACTTTTTCTTCTTCTTCCTTTCTCCACCTGCATGGAACCAGTAATCATGTATGGTTGGTGGTACCTATACAGGAGAGCAAGATCCTCAAGTTTCTAGGGTTCATGTGGAACCCCTTATCATGGGTTATGGAGGCTGCTGCATTGATGGCAATCGTCCTTGCCAATGGCGATCACAGGCCCCCTGATTGGCAGGATTTCGTCGGCATTATCGCCCTCCTCTTTATCAACTCCACAATCAGCTTCATTGAGGAAAACAATGCCGGCAATGCTGCTGCAGCTCTCATGGCTGGACTTGCTCCCAAAACCAAGGTCCTAACTTCATCACACAATCACCATTCTTATTACTTAACGATGACTGTGTTCGGTAGTAATTAGCATTTCACATTGCAGGTTCTGAGGGATGGCCGTTGGACCGAGCAAGATGCGTCGATTCTTGTCCCGGGAGACATCATAAGCATAAAGCTAGGAGACATCATCCCTGCTGATGCTCGGCTCCTCGACGGCGATCCGCTGAAAGTCGACCAATCCGCCTTAACAGGGGAGTCTCTTCCAGTTACCAAGAACCCGTCCGACGAAGTCTTCTCTGGCTCGACGTGCAAGCAGGGCGAGATCGAGGCTGTTGTAATTGCAACAGGCGTGCACACCTTCTTCGGCAAGGCAGCTCATCTGGTGGACAGCACCAATCAGGTTGGACACTTTCAGAAGGTCCTCACAGCCATCGGGAACTTCTGCATTTGCTCCATCTTCATCGGGATAATCATCGAGATCCTTGTCATGTACCCGATACAACACAGGAAGTACCGGGATGGCATCGATAACTTGCTTGTTCTTCTGATCGGAGGCATCCCAATTGCCATGCCGACGGTCTTGTCTGTTACTATGGCCATTGGATCCCACCGGCTTTCGAAGCAGGGGGCGATCACAAAAAGGATGACCGCCATAGAGGAAATGGCGGGCATGGATGTCCTCTGCAGCGACAAGACGGGGACTCTTACTTTAAACAAACTGACCGTAGATAAAGGCCTCATAGAAGTTTTCGACAAGGGATTGGATAAAGAGCAGGTGATCTTGCTTGCTGCCAGGGCTTCAAGAACCGAAAATCAGGATGCAATCGATGCAGCCATTGTTGGGATGCTTGCTGACCCGATGGAGGTACACAATCATCACAATTTGATCGACAGCTCTACCACTTCTACGGCAAGATTCGATTAACCGAGCAACTATTCTGTTTGATAGGCAAGAGCTGGGATAAGAGAGGTGCATTTCCTGCCGTTCAACCCCGTTGACAAGAGGACGGCGCTAACTTACATAGATTCCTACGGGAATTGGCATCGAGCTAGCAAAGGTGCACCCGAGCAGGTATAGATAAAGGTCACAACTTTACTCTTTTTTGACCGTGACGATGATGATGATGTTTCCTGTGATCAGATACTGAACCTGTGCAATAGCAAGGAAGATGTTAGAAGGAGAGTTCATGGAGTAATCGACAATTTCGCCGAACGGGGCCTTCGTTCTTTAGCAGTTGCAATACAGGTTTTGCGTACATACATATTTATATGTGTTCCTCCAAAATTTCTTCTCACAGTCATGTTTATTACCTGTGCAGGAAGTCCCTGAGAAATCGAAAGATAGCCCCGGGAAACCATGGCAGCTTGTTGGCTTGCTACCTTTGTTTGATCCGCCGAGGCATGACAGTGCAGACACGATTAAAAAGGCATTGAATCTCGGCGTAAACGTGAAGATGATCACAGGTTCAAGCCTCTTTACCCTTTAGCGCATTTTGTAATCGATCGGCGGACAGTTCTAAACTTGTTTCCTTGATCAGGTGACCAGCTCGCCATAGGCAAGGAAACGGGCCGTAGACTCGGAATGGGAACAAACATGTACCCATCTTCAGCGTTGCTAGGCCAAGACAAGGATGCGGCTCTAGGTGGGCTTCCAGTGGATGAGCTGATCGAGAAGGCTGATGGCTTCGCCGGTGTATTTCCCGGTCAGTTTACACAATCTGTATTCTCTTTCTGAATGTGACTTAGATAACACTTTGACGGTTGATATTCCATTACGCATCGCAGAGCACAAGTACGAAATCGTGAAGAGACTGCAAGAAAGGAAGCACATCTGTGGTATGACTGGCGACGGTGTCAATGATGCTCCGGCTTTAAAGAAGGCAGATATTGGCATTGCTGTTGCTGATGCAACCGATGCTGCCAGAAGCGCATCCGACATTGTGTTGACTGAACCGGGGCTGAGTGTCATCATCAGCGCCGTGCTTACCAGCAGGGCTATTTTCCAGAGAATGAAAAATTACACTGTGAGTGATAAATATAGCAATGTGAATGAAATTCTGTCCTCTCAATAAAGCTTAACTTATTCTGAACTCTCAGAGCTTACAGTTTATTCCGTTTTCTCTTTTCTGTTCAGATATATGCTGTCTCGATCACCATCCGTATTGTGGTGAGTATTCATCGAACCCTTCAAAGCTCGTCGAATAATGAAAAATGCATATCAACATTCTTATGTGCTGTTGCAGTTTGGCTTCATGCTCATTGCTTTAATATGGAAATTCGACTTTGCGCCTTTCATGGTTCTAATCATCGCCATCCTCAACGATGGTGAGATATTATTACTAGAAGAAACATAATAAGCTGTTTTCAGTAATACCATAGTAGATAAATTCATAAACTGAACTTGGCATACATACCGTATACCTTCAGGAACCATCATGACAATTTCGAAAGATCGGGTGAAGCCATCTCCTGTCCCGGATAGCTGGAAACTGAAGGAAATTTTTGCCACGGGGATTGTGTTGGGAGGGTACTTGGCACTAGGCACAGTGCTGTTCTTTTGGGCAGTGAACGACACCGACTTCTTCTCGGTAGGCAACAAACAGAACAGATCTCCAACATTTCCATTCAATGAATTTCAACACAAGTGTTTCTAAACTCCATTCTGGTGTGCGGCAGGACAAGTTCGGAGTAAGGTCATTGAGAGAAAGCCCGCGAGAAATAATGGCAGCATTATACCTGCAAGTGAGCATTGTGAGCCAAGCCCTCATTTTTGTGACGCGATCGCGCAGCTGGTCTTACACCGAACGCCCCGGAATGATGCTACTGAGTGCTTTCCTGATAGCCCAGCTGGTAAATGAGATCAAATTTCTACGTAGTTCTGGAAACATATAACATAATGAATCATCTGAAACATACATGTTTGAATAAACAACACAGGTTGCCACTCTGATAGCTGTGTATGCCAATTGGAACTTTGCAAAGATCAAAGGATGTGGGTGGGGGTGGGCAGGTGTCATCTGGCTATACAGCCTGGTGACATACTTCCCACTCGACATCCTCAAATTCTGCATTCGATACGTCCTCAGTGGGAAAGCATGGGACAATCTACTGGAGAACAAAGTACATCATCATCATCATTATCATTATCCACTCCCCTGTTTCATTCATCACTGTCTCGATTCAGACAAGATAACTAACAGTAAAACAATACCTCTTTTTGCTTGGTTTGGCTTCCAGACTGCTTTCACTACAAAGTCCAACTATGGGAAGGAAGAACGTGAAGCTCAGTGGGCGACGGCTCAGCGGACGCTGCACGGGCTTCATCCTCCGGAGAGTTCGGGGATGTTCAACGAGAAGAGCAGCTACAGGGAGCTGTCGGAAATCGCGGAACAGGCAAAACGGCGGGCGGAGGTGGCGAGGCTGAGAGAGCTGCATACTCTGAAGGGGCATGTTGAGTCTGTTGTGAAGCTTAAGGGCTTGGACATCGACACTATCCAGCAGCACTACACTGTCTGAAAGCAAAGTAATGCTATTAATTTACCAAACTATTTATTTATTTGCTCGTATACTACTATGGTAGTTTGTGAGGAGTTCTTCTTCATGTAATAGCTGTCGTTGAAACTTAACTGACCTTCTAGAAGGAAACGAAGTTAAAATCTCCATATGTTAATGTTATGCACGTATCGTACCTGGATGGGATGACTGAAATTTGAGGCCCGAATTGGACTTGATAACTGGATCCTTGTTTGACACGTGGCGAGATTCTGTCCATGGATTTGAATTACAGTGGGCCCATCTGCGCTACATGAAATTTGGAGGTGATTGTTGAAGAAGCTCTCTGTGAAAATGGCGAGTTTGGCCGCTTGTTCAACTGCAAAGGCATTTGCTGAATTCCCCGCCCCGTTTTCTTTCTCGGCAAGGAGATTTTCTAATGAAGTTTATCTACCGTGCAACCGTCGATCCAGCGCTGCGATGCGTATCTGCGGAGCGTTGTCGGTGTCGGCGGCGCCGGCGCCGGCGAAGCCGGACGATCTGGTGGACAGACTCGTGTCCATGGTGAGTTCTATATAGTGTTTCCTCGAGTAGATGATGCGATGATAATTGTTCAATCGTAAATCTTAGTATCGCTAGTTCCTGAATCGATTAGAAATAGGATAAGAAGCGAATTCGATAATTGCTGTTACCTCTGCCTTCTTTCGAAACCCTAAATTCGCGCAATTTTGAACCTACTCTGCATAAAAATCTCCTGCGCTTTTCACAATCCTTTCGCCATCTCCTTGCTTCTCCGCTGTGTTTTTGTAGCTTTGATGATTACGATAGCCAGAAGCGAACCAAAACTGAGATTTCCTGCTTACATAGGTCGTGCAAACAGATAGAGGGGTTCTACTAAGCAAGGATGAGCATCAAAAGGTTGCGGAAGTGGCTAATGAACTGCAGAGCTTCTGTGTTGCAGAGCCAGTGAAGTGCCCTCTCATATTTGGAGGTGAACTGAAGAACATTCCACCAGCTATTCTCTCATTCTAGATCCTCCAATTCTCACAAATAAAAACTATTTGATCCAACTAAACCCCGTCGTCTGCGCGCAGAGTGGGACGTGCTGTATTGTTCAAACCCGACGTCGCCGGGCGGCGAATACCGGAGTGCATTAGGTCGAGTTTTTTTCAAAACCAAGGATATGAAACAGGTTGTGGAAGCTCCTGATACTGTCAACAATTGTGTAACCTTCTCTCTTATGGGCTTTGTAGATGGTGAAGTTTCATTGAAGGGTTAGTTATATGCTCCTCCTTTCCTTCATAGCCATTGTGAAAAGAGCTCGATCATCATCCAATGTCGCTTGCAGGAAAACTGAGGGCTTTGGATGAAGAATGGATCCAAGTAGTGTTCGAGCCACCCGAGCTCAAGGTTGGAGGACTGGAGTTCACATACGGTGGCCAGAGCGAAGTGAAACTTCGAATCACATATATAGATGAGAAGATCCGGCTCGGATTAGGTTCCAGAGGCTCCCTCTTTGTCTTCCAGCGGCGCAAACCATCGATTTGAGTATTACATACTTCCTCGGAAGACAAACTCATAGTGTATCCGCGTAAATGTATGTATGTTCTTGTAAGATCTTGTTGCTTCTTGAAAGAGATGGTGTTATTATCTTCAATCTGCTATGCTAAAGGCCGGAACTTTCTGAATCCCGGCGTGTGCCATGGCCTTCCTCAGGGCTGCAGCGTGATCCCATTTCTCTGCCTCGGCGTATATGCTGGACAGCAGCACGTATCGCCCGCAATGCCTTGGCTGCAGCTCGAGTAGCCGGTGGCCTACTTCGTTTCCCAAGTTGACATCTTTGTGAACTCGGCAAGCCCCCAAAAGGGCACCAAGAACAGATGCATCAGCCTCAAATGGCATGCTTGTCACAAATTTGTAGGCCTCTTTTAACAGACCACTTCTGCCTAGAAGATCCACCACGCATCCATAATGTTCCATCTTCGGCGTAATGCCAAAGTCACGCGACATTGTTTGGAACAGCTCCATGCCCGTGGCCACTAGTCTTGCTCGGGAACATGCTGATAGAACTCCCACGAAAGTAACCTCGTTTGGATGCAACGATGTAGTCTTCATCCTGTTGAACATTTGTAGAGCTTCACTTTCTCTCCCATTCAATGCCAATGAACATATCATGGCATTCCAAGTGCAAACTTCTTTCACAGTCATGAGATCGAATACTTTGAATGCGCAGCTCAAGCAGCCCATCTTCCCATAGAATGTTATCAGCGCTGTTCCCACAAAGACACCAATTTCGTTGTTTCTAATCACGTATCCATGAATTTGCTTCCCTTGACACAGTGCAGATCCGTCATCCGAATTCGCACAGCACGACAGGATGCAAACGAAGGTAGCTTCGCTCGGCCTTAACCTTCCATGGATTGCATCCTCATCAACCATCATTTTGGCGAAGAAAGAAACAGCTTCTGTAAAGCATCCTCTCTGCATATAACCAGCGATCACACTCGTCCACGAATAAACATCTCGTTTAGGCATGTTGAAGAAAGTCGAAACAGCCTTAGACATGTGGCCATTCCTCGCCAAACCATCAAGCAATGCATTATACGAAACAATACACGGTTGAGGAATTTCGTCGAACACCTTGCGTGCACTCCTCATGTCGCCAACATGTGAGTAAGCAGAGACGAAGGAAGTCCTGACGAAGGGGTCGTTGAACAGCCCTCGCCTAACACACTGCGAATTAAACGCGGAACAGAGAGTTAAGGCATTGAGAGAAGCAGTAGCTTTAAGAAGAGAAGGGAAAGTGTAGCTATTGGGAGGAGACTGATGGCGAAGCATCTGGACTAAGAGGAGGAGAGAGATGCGAGGGCTGGAGAAGCAGAGGTAACTTCTGATGAGAGCGTTGTAGAGAAGTGTGTTGATCCATTGATCTGTTATGAGGAGATGGCCATTGGTGATCATCAAGGACTGCGTCTGCTTCACCAGCCTCGACCGCTTGCTGAAACGTTGAAGAAGGTGAAGCATAAGCTCCGGCGAACGTATCCGTACCTTCTTCCACATACCGCCGATTTAGTTGCAGTCTCCTCCTCAACCTGTAAAACACTGCAGGACAAAACAGGAGCCACAAATAAACAAGACAAATTAATTATTTATAGCCTTGCACAAAATTCACACTATTTTGAATATAAGATTTCACACAATTTTATAAAATTACTATGAGATTTGTTCAATTTAATCTATAAATAATTAATTTAGAAAATTATGCACAATGTAAATTTTGTGCAATTTTATCTCATTTTTCATCAGTGTAAACAAGAAGGAAGAAAGTGAACTACTTTGGGCTAATTTCAAGGCCAAAGATGAAAGGGCCCAAAGACAAAGAAGTATACGATAATGCAAAAAAGTGGAATACATCTATCTATAGTCCATGGCTGATGGTACAAGACTGATGGTACAAGACAGGGCCTAATATATATATGTATTGGCTTATTTATGTCATCAACAGATGATGTTAAACTCAAGCGCACATATGCTAGAACAATCAGAAGAGACATGGCCTCATTCAGTTGCTGTTAGAGAGAAGAGACTTTCTGTTAGCAAGTAGCTGGGGATCGTCCTGTTCAGGCAAGGGCTCTAATTTTCCGGGGTGACGATAAACCCGACTCAAGAGGGACGGGAGTAGGGCGGGGGAGCTTCTCGCCTCGGAGGATGCTTCCGCCTGTTCGGATGCTTCCAACCATTCCAAGCACTTTCCTAACCTCGTTTGCGAGTGCAATAACATAGTCGTCTTCATGACCTGTTCATGTTGCCTTAAACTGTTGAATCTTGGTTACTTATAATATCCAATTAACGGTTGTCGTAAATGGGAGGGAAAGAATGTATACCAAGATCAAACAAAGCCTTTTCCATCGAGAATAGGTAATCCCTGTTGTTTCCACAGGGACCATAAGCTGAAGCAATTTGCCTGGCCATGTCCTCCCAAGGGGCAGGTCCTAGATAGTATTTGTTTGATATCTTGTCCGGGGTAGACGTAAATCTGGCAATTTTTGGACACAAGCAAACATTAACAGTTGAGATCGATTGCTAGATTGGGACTATTGATAAAAGGAGTTACACTTAACAGCAAAGAGGGGTAATACTCACACGATCATATCGGTTGAAAAGGGCTGCTCAGAATCACCCTCCTGCATTAAAAATCAACAACATTACACCAAATTAAGATAAAATAAACTAACCCCTTCATCATCTAAAGATCAGAAGCAGAAAATGTTGAAGGAAAAAGACAACGCACAACTCACCTTAAAAAACTCTACCACTGTCTTTTGATCATACTCGCATTCTCTTCTCTCCAGATACTAACACACAGCATTTAACTAAGAATCAGATCGATTCATGCGGCCTTATAATAGAAGAAAGACACGTGCATTGAGTTGAATATATGTTAAATTAATATATTGAGTACCTCCATTGCTGCCTTTTCTTTTTCTGGCCCTCCACGCACACAATAAGCAGTGCCCCACTGATAACAGAAATTAAGGTAAGTTCTCAAAGAGGAAAGTGACCTTAAACAAAACGGTGTAGGCAAGGTATGGCATAAAGTTAAGGTTTGATATCACAACCAAAACTTTTCATCCTTTGGGGAACACAAACAATTGATGTTAAAATGATGACTTGCATATGTGAAAATTATTGATATTGAATAAATAATCATTAGAGAAATCAGGATCTTTGAACTCACGCAGACAGCTCCTTCATATTTTTCCAAGGTGCAAGTCCTGGCAGGGTGTTCAGGCGTGCCTCTGTGATCAATGCAAGCTGAAATACATCAGAGTAGTTGCAATCATTTATCATATCCATAATAAATTTTCTTTAAGTTGGAAAATGAAAGAAGATGCATAATTACCACTAATAGGATAGAATTCCCCAATATTAGCTACAAATTACAATTAGCACAGCGAAGAACACCAGCAGATAGGGTTTCTATAAGACTACAATCAATCACATGGATCACACGATGCTCGCATAAAAACGAAATTAACAACAGTCCACAATAGATACGCTGATCCGAAAAAAAATCGCCTCGATAAATCTTGAGCAATTAATATGTTCAAGGCATACCTAAATCGAAGACACGCCTATAGTCCTTAATAAATCCGACTACTTTCTCATCGGCTTCAAATCCAGGGTTCCACACCAATGAACCGTAGCCGAAAACCCAGAACACCATCTTCTATTCACTTCGTGCTCAAATGATCAGAAATCTGCTAAAAAATAAAAATCAACGTATGAAAATCAATCAATCAGTCTCGAATGATCCAAAAAACCACAAATGCACAAAGAATAACACCTACAGTTCCGGATACAAAAGGCAACGAATTCACTCCAGTAGAAGCTCGAGAGAAATGCGATCTCGAGCAACAGAGATGCCGAGGAGTAGAGAGGGATCGCACGCACGAATTGATCTTGTCTAAACACGAATCTCTCTCTCTCTCTCCTTCTGCTGCCGAAATCGTGCGGTGGTTCTGCGCGGGGGACGATTCGGCGGCTAGAAGCATGCGGTGTATTTATAGCAGATCTCGGGAACCCTTTTGTCCGTACATGATCGATGATGATGATGATGATGACCCATCATCCATATAATAATAGTAATATGCGATTCAAAGGCACCCATGAGTCCTATTCAAGTCACGTGACGTGACAATATTTCAATATCGTCCTTTTTACTTTTTTATTATTTTTTTAATGTCAAATAATGAATCAGTCATTCATCGTGGCATCGACTCTGTATGCACTATGCTATCTATTATCAGTGTAAAAAACTCAACTAACTGCCATATTCAATGAATCTGGACAACTAAAATAATCTGGATTCATTTACATACCAGAATTCAAAATGTGTCTGTAACACAAAAAATGTAAACTAAAAACTAACAACAAACACACAGACAGGCAGGCAGTTCAGAGGTGGGATTTACAGGAAGAAGAAGAAGAAGAAGAAGAAGAAGCCCAATATATCTATATAGAATAACTAAAGCCTAATAAATAAAAGGGGCAGCTTGAATTCAGCTCAGCCGCCGGTGCTGGATTGTGCAGATGGCGATCGCTCAAGTCTTCCTGCAAGAATGAAAATCAGATAAGAATGAGATACATATACATACATATACATACACACACAAACGTACATTGCATCCTCTGCAAGCTCCCTCAGCTTGTTCAAAAATGGCAGCACAACTTTACTCAGATCCGGTCGATCCTTCCTCCTCAGTTCCGCGCACTTGAGCGCTAACTTCGCCAGCTCCGTCGCCTCCTCCGCCGGCCACTCCGCCACCGCCGGATCCAGCATCTCCGCAAACGTCCCTTCCTCCAGAGCTCTATCCACATGATGAGTCAGCCCCATCGGCGGCTTCCCCGTCAAGATCTGCAAGAATATCACCCCTAAAGAATATATGTCCGATTTCACTCCCAGCATCCCTGTCTGCTGATACTCCGGATCGATGTAACAGAACGTCCCCGCAGTCGCCGTCATTCGGTACTGAGTAACATTGTCCGCCACCGACGGCGGGACCAGCCGCGCCAGCCCGACGTCGCCGATCTTGCTGACAAAGTTCCGGTCGAGAAGAATATTGGCCGGTTTCAGATCGCGGTGGACCAGAGGCTCCGGTTTGGTCTGGTGTAAGAAGAGCAGGCCTGTCGCAATCTCGGCCGCGATTGTAAACCTTGTCTGCCACGACAATGGCGGCGTGCTGCCACGCTGGAACAGACGATCCTCCAAGCTTCCGTTGGACATGTATTCGTACACTAAGCAACCGTACTCCGGACAGGCTCCTAGAAGTAACACCATGTTCGGATGCCGGATGCAGCTCAAAATTTCGACCTCTTGATTGAACTGTGATCGGCCATGAGTGGCATCGGGACGTAGAACTTTAACGGCGCAGGGAGTGTGGTCTAAATAACATTTGTACACAGGGCCATAGCCGCCTTCTCCGATCTTTCTAGATTTTGAGAAATACTCAGTAGCAACTTCGATCTCTTCAATGGTGTATTTCCTGTACCTGCACTCTGGTGCGCTTCTCTCCTCTGCTTCTTTGAGTGCCGCCATTTCTGAGTTGATTCTCTTCTGAGCTTCCAGCTCGGCGATTCTTTGAGATGCTTCGGAGTGATCCATAACCGGCATAGACCTCGACTTATGTTTCTCCTCACCTTCTTCTGCAATCTGCGCCTCCTCTATCCTTTTCTGCTCTTCCATTTTCCATCGCTGGAGTTCCTTCGCCTGAAATGTCGAAACATCAGAATCTGTAGGCGAAAATGATTTAGGTCAAAAGGTGAATAGAACCTTCTCTTTCGCTGTGAGGGCTTCCTTGCACGCGTTGCTGTACATATCCATGGTTTGCTTGAGCTCCATCTTTAGCCTCCGCATCTCTGCTTCAACATCCTCCTGAATTGGGACAATTTTTAAGCATGATTGAGGAGTTTGATATGGAGTGTGCGCGCTATACTTACCATTGTTTGTCCGGAAGAGAATGACATGTCATTCTCGCCCGACAGGGGAGACAAAATGTCCATTGACTTTCGCCCAATGTCAACGGATTTGCGACCGTACTGCCACGAGTCAAATCCTTGATAATCCATGTCGGAGAATCCAGAAAGCCTGGGAGGGGTGATGCAGCCACCGGAAAGACGAGGAGGGGTGATGCCACCATCAAAGCTGTCATTTATTGTAGGGAACACATCGAAACTTCTTCTTGAGCTGACAAAGGATATGTCCATTTCTGGCTCGGAGAGTTCGTATGCCTTTCCATTGGGAGCCCTCCGATGAGTAAAAGGAGACCTATTTATGTAAGAAAAAAAAAAATGATGTCTTCATGCTGAAATATCCATCCAGATTAATAATGTATATCGATTCATCTTCTTACATACTTGATCCCTGCATCACTCGCTCTCATGCCCGAAGGTATTTCTGATCCGGGCCTCGACCCAGAGACTGAATCTGTTCAGAAGAAATACAAACATTAGTTTCTTGAAAATTTTGAGGAAAAATACATAAGATGGATGCAAGAAAGTGACAACAACTAACTTCTAGAATTGTTGCTGTAGGGCACCGGTGGTGTATCCTGTCCGGCATTACTTCGAGTGTTGGTTTGACTCATTATCAGCTGGCTACGAAGTGGGCTAACAAACGATGGTGCAGATCGAGTGGCAGCTCGTGTGGATGAGATCTTGCCTTTGTAGATGACATAGACAGTGCAATAATCAGGGACACCCTTCAACAGGTTTCCGGGAATGTCCTTGCCTTTAAATCTGTTTGTTTACATTTGACTACTCCATTTTCAGACATTGCAGATAACTCTATGATTTGCTGCATATCGAGGAAAATGTAAAGAAGACATGAATGACCTGAAGAAACTAGCTTTTGCACCCGCGCCCACGACCATGATATCGATTCCTGTTCGCTTCACAAAGTCAATAACGGCTCTCGATACATCTGTATCATCCAGCACAACATTATGGCATTGTATCTGAGAACGAAATTAGCCACATTGTAAAAACAGCTGAGAACAGAACAAATTGGTTCATATACATGTAGAAAGAACAAGACATGAATACTCACATCTTTTCGCGTACAGAAGACGCGGAAAGGGAGGAACAATTCCTTCAATTGGGGGTCACCTGCAACATCCACACTACTGTCTGAAATCTGGCTAGGCCCTGCAACAAAAATCGATCAAACTCCATTACATGTGAAAAGATATTTTCCTATCATAAGTGGAAACAGGAAGACATTATTAGTACAAGGGCTGGAAGATGAATTGGGAGGAGCAGACAATCCTGTTTCTGATTTATTCCTGACATGAATCAAGACGACGGTTTGGCCTTTGCTGAGAAGATTATCGACAGCCCATTTTAGGGCAATCTGGCTGCCCTTATCCTTATCTATTGCAACAGCAACCAATCTAGGGATTTGAGGCCCTCTATCTCCACCAGGGCTCATTGCAGGAGACCACATTTTCAAATCCTTCTTAAATGTTCTGGTCTTTATTGTCTAGATAATCCAGAAGTTCTTGAGGCTTTGCGACAATAAACTGTATGCTATTGTGGACACAAGAACTTCCAGACATTTACGAAAACAAATTAGCTTCAATCCGGGATTCAGACATGAAAATTAATAAATTTTTTTGTGATTGTGTCATGCAGAAACCCCTACGTCTCTCACAGACACCACGATCTGTCCCGTCAATTTTTCCTGTGGATGATGGATCTGGAGATTTCTATATTTGGTGGGTCTTGTTTTCTTGGCAATTGTTGCCTATGATGTTCTGCCAATCACAGTATAGTGCATTATGGTAATAAGCTCCTAAATTTGTGCCAATGCATGCAAGAAATTAATTAAAACCATGAATTTATACACGTACTCCATAACCAACAATCTAAGGTTACTATAATTGTAATAAGTATGCATTTGCACAGTCGTCAGAATGAAATAATACCTTGAAACTCATACTGTGCCCGACTGTTTATGGAGGCTCCCGACATTGATGAAACCCTGGATTCTTGCGAAGAAGAATATGAGTAATCTCCTCCCTAAATGATACTCCTTCTAAGAATTTAAATGAATAATATTAAATAGAATAATCTGATAATTATGATAAAGCATGGTGTATGATTAAATATAATGTTACGTTAGAAATGTTTAAAGTATTTGGCACCAAAAATAAAAATATTATGTGGAAGTATTATTTTATTAGTCAGAAAAAAGATATCAAATTGTTTTAATTATATATATAATAATATATTTGTAATTTATGGTACAAATTTTAAAATTATTTTAGTATTTTTTTATCGACCGTGATTAAAGTACTAACGAAATCAAATTAGTACAGTATTGATTTCATCAAATTAACAAGTCAATATAAAATAGATAATGTATTGCATTAACTTAGCATTTTATTCCAACACAACAAATAGTACATGCTAACAAATAGTATACGTTACCGATTACTATAATACAAAATAAATATTGAAATAGAGGAAATATAATACTCTCTCTTGGAAGTAATAATAGTGTACACGTATATAAAAGTTTTTAATATTTTTATTATTTATATGTATAAAATAATTATATATATATTAATATATTTATAATTGAAATAAAAATTAAAAAAATAAAATAATATTAATTATTATATTTAAATAAAAAATAATTTATTTGAATTTGAATCCAAACGGAAGGAATGATTAATAGAAAAAACGGTAGCCCCACAAATACAATCCTCACCGCCCCCACAATTTCGTCCCTTCCTTTCTTCTTTGTATCCTTGCCTCCTTTCCTTCTTCTACGTTGCGCCGCTGGCTTTCTCCCGAAGACGAAGTCCGCCGCCGCCAGCTGAAACATCTTGTGAGTTTGTTGTCTTCTTCTTCTTCTTTTTTTTTTTTTTTTAATCTTTCTTCTTCTTTCCTTCTGATTCTTCCTCTGCTCCGGTGATTCCACCGTATATCAAGGAAATCGAGAGTTCCTAGCATACCTACCTGTTCTCCGGATACTTTTCCAAGGAATCAGCCAAAAACGAAACCTGCTGTTGCAAATCACTCCCTGTTTCGAACCATGGTGGAGAAGTCTAGTTGTACAGTTTATATTGGTATGCATATTCCATCCCTTCGTATTCCGTTTGTCACTTGTATTTCGTCTAGCTTTCGCTTTTAATTGCTTCAGTCAGGTCCTTTATTTTACCAATCTATAAATTTAATATGGAAGATTCATCCTTGAGTTGCCATTCCGAAATTTGTACGCTTTGTTGGGACCCTAATTTAGGTTATAAATTAGTTTATATTTAAATTGGATTGGAAAAGCTGCATCGAAAGGGAGTGATTGGTTTTTTAAAATTTATATTCATATCTCCTAAAGAAATAAAAAATGTTAACATTTTATGGGGGACGAGGGAGTATATTATAGGAAGGTTCTTATAGATTTTTGGTTGGGTTGGGAATAGTAAAAAGCATAATAGAAAACAGGCCTTCGATATGAATTGGATGCTATGTTTTGAACTAAAAATAGGTTTTGGAATTATATATATTAAATGAAAGATATGTTTTTAATGTGATGCTTTTTAGTGAGAAATTTTTGGTGAATAGTGTAAAGAACAAGTTTAAAAACATAAGTGAACTGCAACCAGGTCATCGATGCTTTTTTTGATTGTTTAGGTTTGCTTGAATGTCCGGTTTACAGGAAATGTGGACGAGAGAGTGATGGATAGAGTGTTGTATGACATTCTCATTCAAGCAGGGCCTGTGGTCGACTTGTATGTACCTCGAGACAAGGAGACCGATAAACCTAGAGGATATGCTTTTGCAGAGTACGAATCGGAAGAGATTGCCGAATATGCTGTCAAGCTCTTTTCTGGGCTCGTAACACTTTACAAAAGGACGCTAAAATTTGCTGTAAGTCATGCTATGAAGGTTTAGTTTCTTTGTTTAGAACTTGACGTCCAATCGATGAATCTGATATGGTTATTTTCTTGAAATTTTAGTGGATTCTGAAGGAACACTGTTTAGGAGCTTTTTTCTTTGTCGATAATGTCTTTTGTAGTCTGTCGATTAAACTTGATGAATCATGTAAACAGATCTCTGGGCAAGACAAAGCCCCTACCGCTACCCCGACAAGTGGTTCTCCTCCTATCAGAATAAATTTTCCTCAAGGTGAGGAATGCTTTTCGTTTTCGAGTATTCAATCATTAGTTTTCTGTTGTAAATCTTCAACGTATCTAGATAGAGACTATATTTGGTATTTTATGAAATGCTGTCTCTTCTGCCAGTTTCTCCCAATGCATCTTCTTCGCGCCAGCACAGATCACAACATGATAGCTCCGATTACAACTACAGTCGAAGAGCATTTGGGGGAGCACTGGATGGCATCAACCGCACAAGATCAGGGCGGTAGCCGGGAAACAAATGATTCAGGTAATGATTATCCATCCTTGTTACTGATATTCCATCTGTAGTGTAGACAGAGTAGAGAGAGAGAACTTCTGGTACACAATGTAGGCAGTGTCCATAAGTGTAGCAAAGCACCTAGAGATTGTAGTACATATCGGGTTAGAGCTGTTGTCGCTGCGCCGTGCCCGTGGTTTATTTCTGGAGAGTGGCACCACAATATTGTATTACTCTTGAAGTGTAATTTTGCAGTGTACTGTTTCAATTCCGGTTGCCATTATGGTTCTAATGAAATATCTACAAATTTGCACTAAGCAACATTCGATCAGCATGCTCCAACTTCCGTAATTTGATTTTGTCAGCCGTGGCGTCATCATCTTTGTTGTATCGTTCGATCAGAGCTGAGTAGCAGCTCGGGTGGATGTGATCTTGCCTTTGTTGATGACATACACAGTGCAATAATCAGGGACACCTTTCAACAGGCTTCCGGGAATGTCCTTGTCTTTGAATCTGTTTGTTTACATGACTACTCCCATTCAGACATTGCAGTTAACTCTATCTGCTGCATATTGAGAAAAATGTAAGGAGACATCAATGACCTGAAGAAACTAGCTTTTGCACCCGCGCCTACGACCAAAATATCGATTACTGTTCTCTTCACAAAGTCAGTAACGGCTCTTGATACATCTGTATCATCCAGCACAACATTATGGCATTGTATCTGAGAATGAAACTAGCCACGTTGTAAAACAGCTGAGAACATATTGGGTTATATACATGTGGAACGAACAAAACTTGAATACTCACATCATTGCGCAAACAGAAGATGCGGAAAGGAAGGAAAAATTCCTTCAGTCGGCGGTCACCTGCAACATCCACACTGCTATCTGAAATTTGGCCAGGCCCTGCACCAAAAATCGAACCAAAACCAATGTTTATGCATCATGTGAAATTGATCAAACTCCATTACATGTAAAAGACATTAGTACAGGGGCTGGAAGATGAATTAGGAACAGAGAATCCTGTTTCTGATTTATTCCTGACATGGATCAAAAGAACTTCCTGGCCTTTGCTGAGAAGATTATCGACAGCCCATTTTAGGGCAATGTGGCTGCCCTTACCCTTGTCTATTGCCACAGCAACCAATCTAGGGATTTGAGGCCCTGTATCTGCACCAGGGCTCATTGCTGGACACCACATTTTCCAATCTTTCTTATATGTTCTGTTCTTTATTGTCTAGATAATACAGAAGTTCTTGAGGCTGTGACAATAAACTGTATGCTATTGTGGACGCAAGAACCTCCAGACATTTACAAAACAAATTAGCTTCAATCAGGGATTCAGACATGAAAAATAATAAGTTCTTTGTGATTGATTGTCTCCTGCAGAACAGAAACCCCTACGTCTTCCCCTCTAGGTCTCACAAACACCACGATCTATCCAGTGAATTTTTCCTGTGGATGATCAGGAGATTTCTATATTTGGTGGGTGTTGTTTTCTTGGCAATTAATGATCAATTAAAACCATGAATTTTAAACAGACAGGAAATCAATTAAATTAAACCATGAGTAATAAGCTCCTAACTTTGTAACAATGCATGTATGCAGAGAGGAAATCAATTAAAAACATGAATTTATATACACACGTACCATAACCAATAATCTAGGTTACTATAATTATACATATGCATTGCAAAGTCATCATAATGAAATACTGAGAGTAAAAAATTGTACCGAATCTCTTCGCTTCTAACACAAACCTTGAGATTCATACTGTGCACGACTGTTTCTGGAGGCTCTCGACATTGGTGATCCTGGACTGTTGAGAAGAAGAATACGAGTAATCTCCTCCACCATAGATTGAATCCATTTCTCCGATGCGACTTCCCACGCCACAAACCCTAATTTCGAAACTTCAGAAAAAAATAAAGTTCCAACAGATGGAGCCAGGTTCAATGTCGTCGTTGCAGATAACCGCGGCGTGAGTTTGAAGCGTTGCACCGGAGAACCAAGCACCGGCGGAGTAAATGGTAGCGCAAACTTATGCAGTGTACTGTCCAGCTGTCAACCGCTTTTCGGGTCCGGATTTTTATGGCGGGTCGGGTTACTATTTGTTAGTTTATTTTTAGGGCAGATAGATTTTGACAAAATTTCACAATTCATTCAAAATTTTCTTCTCAAAAACATCAAATCAAACACTTATTTTTTATTTTTTATATTATACTAAAAATCAATTTTACATTCAAAACATCACATCATTACCTATTTATATTACGTCATACAACTATTCAAATTCAAAATTTTTACTATTCAAATCTCAACTCAAAATCCAAACCTCCAAACAAACACACCCTATAATTTTTTTTAATAATATTTTTATCATTAAAAAATAAAAAATTATAAAAATTACATTATTTTCGTCTCACTCGAATGTATTTTTTGCAATTTTTTTATAATAGATTAAAGAATAATATTTCCTCAATAATAATTATATGTATAAGAATATATTTATAAGTTAAAATAAAAATTATAGAATATTTTGGCCTTATCGTAAAATTATTTTTTTACTAAAATAAAAAATAAAAAAATGTTTTAAATTAGAATGAAGAAATAGTAGTATTTATTTTTATTAAATGAAAAACTGTAAAAAAAAAAATAATATGTAAAATTGAACCCAAAATTGTCGCTGCTTATAATAATATTAATTTATTAGTAAGCGTACGCATATTTTGCTTAGTCAGCAATCCACAAATAAAACACAATAATGTCACTAGTTACAAAAATTTTATAATTTTTTTGAAAGGTTATTAAAAATAATTCCACTTATTTGTGGTATTATTTGTTAGCAAAAGGGGCACACGATGGATTTCCACGTCCTAATTGTCTTTCAGTAAGAAATATATGACAAAGACTGTAAAATTTAATCCAACCAATAATTCAATTTTATTTCAATATGTATGTGTGTGACCAATAAAATTAATGATCAGAGCTTTAGCATATCGTGTGGGAATTTTAATTTTAATTTTAATTTTAATATACTGAACTTGTGTTATTGGCCACTTTGTGCAGTTTTGTATATTTCATTGATGGCATAATTAATTATGAACTATTTATTTAAATGTAGGAGATTTCATGCATTCGTGCATTATGAGATAAAATAAAATAAAATAAGTAATTAGGTGACAAAAAAGTAGAGATGCTGGTTGGTAAATAGTACTAAGTTGAGGGACTGATTAGAAATATTGGGTTCCGCCTTAACGTTGGCAGCTGAGTCATGATAATTAGCTGTTGGCCACTCTTACAACTTTCTTTTATTTCTAATTGTCCACTCAGAATTTCACTTGCTTATGTTTCTATATCTCAATTCATATATGACCACTAATTAATTAATTAAATATCTACAAATTTTTTTATTTTATTTTTCAAAATATTTTCCCTTCATTTTCATTCTCCACTCACCTCCACAACGAAAATTCATACCCAAGAATTTTATTTTTTTTTTATTTTTTGAAAAATGAATTATTTTTGAGCCTACAATCTAGCCTAAAGAATACGAATTTTTATAGATAAATTAAAATTTTTATTTAATTCCACTAGCAAAATAATATATATTTTTTTAAAAAATAAATTAAATTCGATATTGAGAAGTGATAAAATATTGTTGCAATTTTTACTTTTAGTTTTTTTTTTAAATAAATATATTTTAGATAAATAATAAATAAGCAATATAATATCTTAATAAAAAAAAATACAAATGAAAGATTAATCTCTCCCTCTCTCTCTCTCTCTCTTTCTTTCTTCCTTTCTTCAATTAGTAAACTGAAAACTACTAATCCCTAGCTATCCATACCCAAATATGCACTTGTTTTTATTACAATATTATATATAAATAATTAAATTACAAGATAATGGGAAGAATAAATGAATATGGGTAATATTCGAATAAATTAAATAATTGCGTAACATATTCGAATAGAATATTAGTAATAAATCAAATATACTTATACCTCTGATAAATATATTAATATTATTCATATTCTATTATCCAACAGTAAAGGGTATCCACACCAACCGGATTAAAGTTTGTTGAATTATATATATATATATATATATATATCATTAAATTGCTGTATTGGAGCAGACAAAGTAAAGGGTAAAGATGTAAATAAACATTAAACCCCAAAAAATAAAACAGTAAAGGAAACAAAAGCATGAGGGTACGTAGAGGTGATGAAACATGAAGATTAAGGCAAAGCAAAGTAAAGACAGAAATATGATCACATGATTAAACCCACTATTTGTTATCATATATATATATATATACAATAATTGTTAAATTAAAGTGGGACTAATGTCCATGCATGAATGTGGGCATTGAAACTGTCTATGTTCATCATTACCATTTCGCCACCACACACATGACTCCTGTATGTATATATACATATATGTATATATATACGTTTGTATGTGTGTGTGACTCGAACCCCACCAGCTGCCACCTAGTGAGATATCATGATCCACCCACCCACCCACCCACATTCTCCATGCATATATATATATATATAATGTAGAGAGAGAGTCGTGGATCCATGCATGAGATATATCGATGAGACCAGGTGAAGTAAGAGAGACAAACAGACAGGAGAGAGATCGAGAGAGAGAGAGAGAGAGAGGAGCGGCGGGGATATAACATAATTAATTAATTAATTGAATTGTTATTTATATGAGATAGGTGGTGGTGTGCAGATCGATCGATCGTCAAGGAAGTTGGTAGATAGAGAGAGAGAGTATATATCTCATATACATACATATAGATACATATATATATATATATCGGATCTGGATGATGGAATGGAAGAAATGCTATCTGGACGTGATACTGGTGCCGTTGGGGTTCATACTGTGCATGGCCTACCATGCATGGCTTTGGCATGCTGTCCGAACCCGACCCCTCTCCACCATCATCGGCACCAACTCCCGCGCTCGTCGTTTCTGGGTTGCCGCCATTGTCAAGGTACCTACTTCGTTACAGTTCAATATGTCCCACATTGAAAAACACGTGAAAACTCTCCCTTTTAATTTAATTTACAGCACTGCACTGCATCTATCACCAATTGATTTTAACAATCATTTCATTTATTACAATAATTGAAGAGCTTGCTAGCTAGCATTATTGAATTTCTCTAATTAAATTAAAAGTTGGCATCGTAAACCTCCCTTTTTAAAAATGTGAATCTTATCCTCCCTGTAAAGTTACTTTATTTTCTTACTTAAACAGACTTATTACCGTTTAACTCGCGGTTGCATGCCGTGCACCAATTGATTTGTGTTGCGTGTATATGTATAACATGGCATGCAGGTGGGGCCAGTTTCGGTTATTCTTTTATTATTTATTTATTTAATTTGGCAAATTTGGAGTTCCACTATAATATTGGAATTTGGAAAAAAAAATACTACTATGTGAATAATTAAAGTGGCTCCTGCGTCGACATGCAACAACAATAATAATCTTTAATTAATCAACAAAACCAAAATAACCAATTAAGGTCCTCGAATCAAAATTTTATTTATTTAATTATTATTATTATCATCATCAATCTGCAGGACAATGAGAAGAAGAACATCCTGGCCGTCCAAACCCTGCGGAACACGATCATGGGGTCGACGCTGATGGCGACGACGTCGATCCTTCTCTGCTCGGGGCTGGCGGCGGTGATCAGCAGCACCTACAGCGTCAAGAAGCCCCTAAACGACGCCGTTTACGGCGCCCACGGCGAGTTCATGGTGGCTCTCAAGTACGTCACCCTCCTCCTCGTCTTCCTCTTCTCCTTCTTCTGCCATTCCCTCTCCATCCGCTTCATCAACCAGGTCAATTTCCTCATCAACTGCCCCGCCGACGACGTCTCGCCGGAATACGTCGCCGACCTTCTCGAGAGGGGCCTCACGCTCAACGCCGTCGGCAACCGTCTCTTCTACGCCGCCCTGCCATTGCTGCTCTGGATTTTCGGCCCCGTCCTCGTTTTCCTCTGCTTCCTCACCATGGTGCCGGTGCTCTATAATTTGGACTTCGTCTGCGGCGGCTCCGCCGCGAAGATGAACGGGAAATTGGGCGGCGCGGAGAGTGGAAATGTGAATAATAATAATAATAATAATAATAATAACAACAGTAAGAATGAGTGCCCTGACTGTGAAGCAGTGTAGAAATTAAATTAAATCCTTAATTATAATGCTCGTCTTCTTAATTTCATTAACTTTTTTCTACCAACAAATATTTGAATTTGTGACTTTATGGTTATAAATTCACTTTCACATAAATCATCTTGTAATATTATACACATAATAATTATATTCTATAATAAGGAAAACAAATTAATACAGATCTCAATATAATTAAAAATAATCAATTTTGGTCTCAATATAAAAATTTCATCAATTTAAGTACCTCTATAAATAATTTTAATCAAAATTGATCACATCATAAAAATCAATGAAAAACTCCACATGGCAGCTAAGTGTGTTGCTGACAAAACAAACACGGCCGTGTTCTATATCAACACGGCCGTGTACGGCCATAATTTTCTTGAACGTCGACCAAAAACTATATCGGAACCAGCTGCTCAGGAATATAAATCGGAGCTGTGGGTTAAGGATGTAAACTGGAGGCGCCGGATTGGAGAAGAAAACCGATGCGGACGGGCCGAGCCGTCAACAAAATTGGATGATCTGGCTGAAGGAGATGTCGGCCTTTTTTTACGGTGGTCCACCAGGGGGCCTCATACTCGACGATGACATCTTTGGCGACATAGTTGGCTCCGGGAGTGATCGTCCTTCTACTCAATCAGATACTCCATTGTCTCATGGTGTGGCTGTTGATTATCTGACTTGACTTTGCCGTAGCTCTAGTCCTAATTCCTAATCGTAAAGGTTGTACTCCGGCGGTAGCGGAACTGATGATTGTGAAGGGCAATCGAAAATTCATTATTATTTATAATGAGATTTAAATTAATGATTTTTTATTATGGAATCAAAATTCATTATTGTTAGCTATATTGGGACCTGTTTTGATTTTTTTCTATAATATAAATATGTAATGAACTCCTACCAACATACAACATACAACAGACAACTTATAATAATTAATTTGTTACATTTTTGCACGATCATGCAAATTTCCTCATAAATAATAATTAAAAGAAAATTATAATCGGAGAAGCCTACACCCTGCCACCACATAGACAGTTTCCTAGCTTGAGTTTGGCGTCCAAAACTACTATGCACATAATTGTACATGAATTTTAGCTAAACCAGATAAAAAGAAACACACCCAAAATCTTTTTGAAATATTAATTTTCGTGGCAAGGGAAACAATTATTAAGAAAAAAATAATCCTAAAATACTTTTAAAAACACTACCCTTATGTTAATTGTATTTGATATTTTAAATATAAAAATAAATTTTAATATAATATAAAAAATTTTAAAATGATACTTAATTTGATTTGATTTCATCTTTTTTTTACATATATATATATATATATTTATAAAGTAAAAGTTGGATTTAAAACCTACAAATATACCCTATAGGACATGCTTTGTTGGTGTTTATTTCCTATATTTTGATTTTTATTGTTTTTGAGGTGAAATGGGTAGTTGATGGTTTTTTAAGAAAAATTATTATGATATTGCATGATAAAAAAATAAAAATAAAAATAAAAAAATAGTTAGGTAATTAAAGAGAACAAACCCAAAAGTGTAAATAATTATCATAATACATATACAAATTGATCAAGTTGGGCAAACAAAATATTACTCCAGTAAAGACTGTTAAATCTACATGCTAAGATACAATTAATTATTATTATTTTTTGACATTAAACATCTCGTCAAATATATTTTATATAATAATTTAAAATAATCTAAAATATATATCCAAAAAAAAAAAGTAAGTATAGAACACAAGCAAGCAAGCAAACAAACCCTTAACACGGTTGTATTTTTTTAGTGTTTTTTAAAAAAATATTAGTTAATGAAAACTATAAAAGTCTTATTAAAATATTTATTTTGTTATTTTTCAAAATAATTTATAATAATATATTTCTATTGATAACATCACGTATCCCTAATTATAAAGTATTTTAAGCATTAATTTGTCAACGCTTTGGGGTATATAATTTTATTCATTATCCCTACAAATACATATGAAAATCAGTAACACTGATGTCACCTATAAATATTTTTTCCACTTAATAATATCATATTAAATATTTATTTTGTATATTTAAAAAAATATTTCTATAATATCAAATTAAAAACTAATTTTACATCAAAAATGAATCTATATTTTTTATATTTATAACATAGCAAATAATTCTCGCATCTTAAAATTTTATTATTAAAAAGTCAAATTTTCAAGCCATAGAAAAAACACAGATTTATTATTTTTTAATAAAAATAAAGAACACAAAAATAAAATAACAAACACACGTAATCAATACGTCCATATTAAATTAAATTGATATGTAACACTTCAAAGTCGCCCATCTTATCTAGTCATGGCGCCATTTTATTATTCATATTTAACAAATCGTCGGAAACTTCCCGGAAGTTTCCAATATTATTGTTAAAAATGAAATTCCTGCCTATAAATTTTTGTCTTCGTTAATTCAAATTAATGATCAAGCTAATCATGGGAAAATTTCTTCTTAGATTCTTCGAAGCTCTACTTGTTTTAGGGTGTAATCTTAATAGTTTTCTTTTTGCCAATTCTAATTTCTATAAATTTTAATTATAAGCCATTATGTGTAAATTGATAAAAGTTGCAGAAGCTCCGAACACTCTAAATTGAAAACGATAGCAATGGAGTCGGAGGCGCCGTCGTCAATGGAGATAATGAATGAGAGCTACAAGGAGCAGACGTCGCTGATAAAAGATCTGGACGACAAGGTCCTGGTGTTGGAGTCCAAATCGTGTCAGCTGATCGGCGCCTACGTCGTCTTCCAAGGCCTTATGTATGTTCAGGCGGCGCTTCCGTCGGCGGCGGCGAGGCGGTGGATCTCCGGCGGCCTCTCCGGACTGGTTTCTGTTGCGTTCTGGTTGGCTTTCACCGTCACGGTTCGCGATTGTTTGAGAATCAGAGAGCAGCAGGACGTGACGTTCGTGGAGCTGCAAAATTTGTACCGGAAAATGCGCTGGATCCAGCGCGGCGGCAGCGGCGGGGGCGGCGGAGGGGATGCTTTGATTAAGCCGTTGGCGGCGGTCCGGCGGCGGCGGTATGCGTACGTAGGTGCTGTGAGTTCTTCGCTGTTTTCCTTTACGGTGCTCGTCTTCTACGCCACTCTCTCGGATTTAGGATGATTTTGAATTAGAATTATATTTATATAATTGATTAGGAAATAACAATCTAAAAAATCTCTATCTAAGAGCATATACAATAAAAATAAATAAATAAATAAAAAGTAATTAAAAAACCCTGTCGTATATATTTTAGTGATACTTTCAAACTTTCACAAATCTCCTGCCCTACATATTTCACAATGGATTTTTGTACAATAATATTACTTCAGCTAATCTATTCATTTGTATTTGACGTAATTGTTTTTAAAATTAAAAATATCATTATATTTGTATAATTTTTTGTATAAATATCGTTACATTAGTATTATAAGACATCAATAGAAATATTTTTATCATTTTTCTTTAATTTGTACTATGTTTTGATATAATAATTAATATTTAAAGATTAACCTGTAAAAACCAAATGGATAGATTAGCGAGAGACTGTAAAATAGAACACATAAAATCTACAAGATTTGCCTCGCCATAACCTCTACTTTACCATGCTTAATCCAAACTTGCTTGCTGAGAGATTTCTATATACTTCCCGGTTTAAAGTGTATTTTGAAGTTCTATAGTAAATTAAAAAATTATATTAATATTTTATTAGTGAGTGGAATTATGTAAAAGATTTTAATATTTTTTTTTGATTTGACGTAAAAAAAAATAATTGTATGTGTAATGGTATATTTGTAATTTAGGTAAAAATTAAAGATATTTTAGTGTTAGTATATATTTACTTTACTAGAATAAGAACAAGATACTTTGAAGTAAGAAGGAGATAAAATGGTAAAAAGAACATTTTGAGTTGAAGTATGATTTATTGTGTACTCCCTCCGTCCCATAAGTAAATATTTATTAGTATTATATTGAGATATAATAGGAATAAAGTAGAAATAACTAAAATAACCTTATTAGTATGTGTGATATAAAGATACTGACATTTGTGTAATATATTGTAAGTTGTAAGGGTATTTGTAAATACTACAATTACTGAAAAAGAAAAAAAAAAAAAGAAATGAATACTTTGTTATAAGGTGCAAATGGAGGTATGCGAGACTTGCAAGGGACGATGTGACTCAAACTCGAGACCTAATCTAGGCTCTGGTACCATATTGGATGCTAATGACCGTCTCATCTAAAAGCTCGAATTATTAGGAAAACTAAGTCATTAGTTATATATCCGCAAATGGGAGTCCCAACAATTTCAAATACGGATCGACATAATGATGCAATAATATATATGTATATATAATTGATCAACACAGAATGGAATATATGCCAAGGAGAACGACGAGAGTAAAAGCAAAGACCAGGAGCATAGATCCAGCCAGCATGGCGCGCCGCCACAACTTTTTCCTCCAATGTCTTCTCCACAGTTCCTCATTAACCCTCCCGAACAAATGCCTGTACAAATTCTGCACTTTTTGGTCCAGTTGGTCCAGGGACTCCATGTACTTGTACGATATTGATAAGAGGGTGCAGATATTGAGGAGAGCGCCGATGAAGGACGCCGACAACGGCACCCAAATGTGGCGGCAGTTGAGGCGGCCGTCTCCGGCGTGGATGGCGGCGGCGAGAAGGACGCTCTGGAATACGAAGTTGTAATTGGCAAGCTGGAATACGGCGGTCTCCATTTTCAGAATCTGGTCTTCTTTCTTCTCGATCTGCTCTTCCAGATCCTTCTGTATCTCCTCTTCGCCACTACTACTCTTTTCTTCCGTTATTCTTCCTCCAGATCGTATTCTCATCATCATCTCATTGGTTCATTAATTCGTTTATGCGTGTATATATATATATATATATATCCATGTATTTGTGTGCTGCGTGCTAAGTGACGTGGTCGAATTCTAATTCTATGTTAATTTATTTATAATTACTCAGTCGTATGGGATGTTTGGTTGGTTAGTAATTTTGGAAGTTCTCGATGTTGTGGTTTTCTATTTTTTTTTTTTTTTTTAAAGGAAAATAAGGAATCGGCCGCCGCTGTTCTTCGTATATTTTGTGGGTAAATTTTTCTGTCGAATTTAATACTTTTTGGGTGTGTTTGTTTGGGGGTTTGGATTTTGGATTGGGATTTGAATAGTAAAAATTTTGAATTTGAATAGTTGTATGATGTGATATAAATAGGGTTTGATGTGATGTTTTGAATGTAAAATTGATTTTTAGTATAATATAAAAAATGAAAAATAGGTGTTTGATTTGATATTTTTGGGGGGAAAAAATTGGATGAATAGTAGAAATCCTTCAAAATCCTTCAAACAAACACACCATTTATGTCCAATAAGACAAGTCATATTACCGGTGCTAGGGGCGTTGTGTTCGCGTCCGGTTGAAGTGTAACAAAAACTATGGCAATCTGAACATGGCCCAAACTTGAATTTTGATCCGAAACTTCATATTCGAACACGACACGAATTTTTTTCGATCACATTCAGGTTAATCTGATTTAGTTTCATATCATCCGATAATCCGAAGAAGCCTTATATGAAACAAACTCGAAAATCTAAAAAAAAATTAAATTTATCTAGAAAAGATCAAATAAATGACAAATTCACCTGACAAGTCATTTATTACCGAACTTCTCGAGATTGTAATTTGATATTTTAAAGAAAAAAAATAATATTTCATATTGAGTTTTTCTGAGTAGATATGGTGTAGGTTTATATATTGTACCTTTTATAATATTTATGAAAAAAGATTAGGATTGATCCAATTAACATAATATTGTCTGTGCAATCCTAATTTACAAAATGTAAGTATTCCTAATTTTTTAACGTGAATTTGAATTTGTACAAAACAGAAAATCATATTAGTAGAAAGAAAATTGTAAGATGAACAAATAAGGTGTTTTCTTTCATTTTAAATAGATTAATTATAGGTCAATAAATAATCATATATGTATAGTTAAATTATTATTATAATCCTATAAATTTCCTACAAATGCATACAATAGCCAACATTTATTTATTTGAAAAGCAATTCATCCATCTAGTACTAATCTTGCCTTCATCACTGTTACTAGACAACTGAGGGTGTTTTTTTTTTTTTTTTTTTTTATGTTTGAAATGAAATGATTTTTAAATAAAAAAATTAGATATTGAGATAATATTTTTAATAAAAAAAATTAAGAAAGTAAGTGGTAAAAAAAAGAAAAGGAAAAACTTAAATGTAAATAAATAAATCATGAATCATCGTTCTTCTTCGCTCCAGAGGAGTAGCAGCAATGAAATAGTCATTTTGTAGTTATTTTAAAATATTTACTTAATGATTATAATATATTTGTAATACAGTGGAATTAATAAATAATAAAAATTAGTGTGATTTCTATGGCGTGACTTTTTTATTTTTAAAAAGTGCTTATTTGTGAATAAACTATTTAAAGGCTTTCCACTTAAAGGGTTTGTTTGTTTGGGAGATTGGATTAAATTTTCACTATTCTTTTTTTTTTTTTTAAATATCAAATTAAATACTTATTTTTTTTTTTATATATTATACTAAAAATCAATTTTACATTCAAAACATAGCATCAACATCTATTTATATCACATCATAAAACTATTCAAATTCAAAATTTTTATTATTGAAATCCCAGGTCAAAATTCAAACCTCCAAACAAACACACCCGTGATGGAGTAAGTGTCATACTCTACTCCTACGTAAATAAATAAATTATTGGTGGAGTTTAATTTCAACTATTACTATACTGTATTGTATTATACACGCAACATTAACTCGCAGGCTAACTGTAAATGGTTAATTAACTTAATTAATAGAGAATAAATTAAAGACTTTTGGCAGTTGAATTCATGGTGCATTCTTTGAGCTGACAACAATCCACGTCGGATCTCTTTTGAAAATTATAAAGTGGCTTATACTATACTGTTATTTAAATTCAAACAATATCAGTCAAAATATAGATATGATATGTTCGTATGTATGATTTGCTTGCAATAATCTTATCTATATATGTATTTATCCAAATTGTCTATATGTTCGTATCTGTATTTTCATTCCATCGATAATATAAAGACCATCAATTCCTGGAGTAAGTTTTATTGTTATTACAATCAATTAATTCGACATATCGATCATGCAAACGAAGCAGTTGGAATTCTCTTTTCTTCTCCTCCTCCTCTACAAAAGTGATTCGTCAGTGAAGTGAATAAGATTAACTAACTTGATCGATTGAGGTGTAAGTAATTAATTTAAGTATTAATAGATAGATACAGACAGATCTGATCGATCATCGATCGATAAGATGAGTTCTAAAACATCAGTGGCGAGGTTTGAGAACAGATTAATTTGCGGAGCGAGTGTGCGACTCCGGTGCCGGTACGTGAAGGACGTGAGAAGGAACCTCTGGTACTACGGCAACCTCAGCTGTCGGATCCAACCCGGTCGCTGTGCAGACGTCGCCTCCACCTTCTTCCTCGACGAGTGGCTGCGGGAGAAGAAGGGCCAGCAGTTCGCCTTCACCGTTGACGACGACGACGTCGCGGTGGTGGCGCCGCCGCCTCCGCTGGTGTTGGAGCATGGCGACTTCCTTAATCTCATGGGCAAGCACGTTGCCATTCAGATCAGGGACGATAATCTTCAACTTGAACTGATCGAAGTACTTGACGCCGTGCTTCCGCCTCCTGCAGCTGACGATGAAATCAATTACCAGTGGCGGTGGTGGTGGTAAGTACGTACCTTATTTAATTGTACGTTTCTTTTGTCCAAAACTCTAATTTTTTACTATTTGGATGGTGCGTTGTCCAAAAAAAAATAAATATATTTTTTTTCTCTTATAAAACATAACAATCATACATTATTTTAAGTATCAAATTCAAATTATATTTTTTTCAAATTTATCTAAAGAAACATACCCTAAATTTCTTGCAACCTCTCTCTAAAAACTCAGATCTATATATATATATATATAAAATGGAATCTTGAGGGTGTGTTTGTTCGGGGCTTTGGATTTTGAGTTTGAATTTGAATAATTGTATAATGTGATATAAATAGGTGTTTATGTGATGTTTTGAACATAAAAATTGATTTTTAGTATAAAATAAAAAATAAATATTTAATTTTATATTTTAAAAAAAAAAAATAGAATAATGGATTTAAAATGCAATCCCCAGACAAACGCACTAGCTAATTGGTCTCAATTGGATGATTGATTTCAGGCGGACGTCCTTTGGGGTTTGCTATGGTGCCCGTCAAAACCATAAATGACAAACTCCATATGATATAGTTTACACTATTTGGGCTCCGCCCATTCACGTCTCTAAGGTCCTGGGCCTTCTGGCCCATATACCTATATAAATATACACGTATACATCTTACCATCCTCACTATCACTTTGCCCTAGCCTCACCGCCGTCTTCATCCTTTTCCGGTTACGATTTCCTCTACGCAGAGAGCACTCTTCCGCCGCTGCATCCACCGTCAATCGATCTTCCGTACGCTTCGTCTCACTGAACTGTGCACGTTTCTCACGAGGTTATTAGAATCGCTCCTGCTCCGGTCTCCGTACCGGAGATTCCTTCACTCAACATCAGTTGTCTTTGCTTACGCGCACCTTCAATTCGTCTTTGTCTATTCTATCATCTATTTTCCTTAGGAGGTTACTTTGTGAATCCAGTTTGATGTGATCACGGACGAATTACTTCAATTTCATCACACTTGTGTCATGTGTGCCACTGGTTTACTCACTCGAGGCTGAATTTGTATGTGCTTATCACCCTTAATTAATTACTTAATTAAGCTATATATATATATGTGTGTATATACACGAAGTCGGCGGTGAGTGAGCGAGCGATGATATGTATGATGACAATGTACGTACAATGTATCTAATACTAAAGCAGAAAAATGTCATGTCGTGTATTATATATATACACATTTTTTTTTTCTTATATATATAATGTTGAAATCCGTCATTATTATTCAAAAATGCAAGTTCGTTGCCTGATAGTTTATAAATTAAGAGGCTCTTTGGTAAAGAGATTTTTTGAATAACTTCTAGAGTCAAATTGTTAATTGTGTTTGGTAAATTAGTTTTATAGAATAATTTTTTGAACTCAAAACAACTAATTTATCTAGCTTTTTTAAAGTCTTTTCAAATTTCTTATTTGTAATAAAAAAATTTATTATAAATTTTACACAAATAAATATATTTTGATTATTTATTAATTATATTAGAATATTTTATTTGTTGATGTATTTTTTCAACAATAAAAGTTATCTTCGAATTTGATATAATTAGTGCTTGAGATTAGAAATCTCGATACATAAAAAAAAATTCTTAAATATTCTTGAATCCCGAAAGGCAATTCTCTTGAATTTGATGTCGATTGAATGCAACCGCCATTCCTCCTTTATTGACACGTGTCTTTAGTCCCACCAGTTCCAGAACTCAACTAGTCCGAGCGAGCGCCCAAACGCGTAACCCAACGATTGCCCCACCGACCATTCCAGAGACTAATTGATCTCCAGACCAAACAACTCCTTGGCCGCCCCATCAAGCGACCACCATCTCGATGGTCTCTTGTCCGACCTCGTATCATCCGTCTCATTCTTCTTCGTCCGACTTCCGTATCAGCCGATCTCCTTCTTCGCTCGACCTCCGTGTCGTCCGACTCAACAGGCTGCGGACCATCCGACCTGCTTATCTGACTGCGGACCATCCGACCTGCTTATATGACTGCAGACTAATCCGACCTGCTTATCCGACTACAAACCAACCAACCGCGGACCAACCGACTTGTCTGTCCGACCACGGACCTTTCGATCTGCCTGTCCGACTGCTAACCAACCGACCGGATCAACCGACTACGGACCAACCAACCTGAGTGCATATTTTCTCTTTTTCTTCTTTTTTTCCGCCCGACTTCGTAATACTATTATATTATAGTTTTACTTTTATAAATTTAAAATAATTAATTTATCTATAAAAATTATTTTAATTATAAAATATATAAATTTAAAATTAATAGAAAATATAAATATTAATAATTTATTTTTTATATTAAAATGATGTATATATAAATTTTATATTAAAAATAAATTATATAAATTAAATAAATATATACACCGAAAATTTATTATTTTATATTTTACATTATTTTTAATAGAAAAAACTATTTATATTTTTCAATAAAAATATATTATTTTTAAATCTAACTATAATAAAAATAAATAACACTTTTACAATTTTCCAAACATTCTAAACTCAAAAGAATACAATTCAATATATTAGAAAAAAATAAAATAAAAATATTCTCGATTGTTATTTTAAGTATAAACAGCTAATATAACAGTTATTTTATCAAATATTTTAGTACAGTTAATCGAATCAGCTACCTAAATCCGAAATACACTGAAGTTTCCCAAATTCTACCTAATAATATCAAAAAATTTTCAAATTAATATTTTAAAATTTTTTAAAGAATAAAAATATTTTCAAGAGACAAACAAAAATAAAAAATTGAATACATTTTAGAAGGTTATTAAAAAAATATAATATATACCTATACAATATAATATATATACATTTTATTTAAAAATGCATTTACTTTTTATATTACTAAAAAATAAAAATAAAAAAAATAATGCATTCTTCCAAAATATAGTGAAGACACCCGAATTTGCCACAAAATATTATTGCTGTACATTAAAAGTTTGTAAGTAAACAGAATGTCTTCTTTTTGTAAATAAATAAATAAATAAAAATGAAATATAAAAAAAAATTTAAAAATTAATATTTATAATATTTTTATACTTTCTCGAGATTGAATTTCTTTGTCATTATATTAACATTAAATAAATTTATATTTATATAAAAAAAAATGTTCAAATTAACGCACCCAAACAATAATTTTGTTCTTATTAGAAAATTTCTCCCAAAAAATAGCAATACATTTATTTTCAAGATCATCCATTTCATAACTTAATTAGTTACCCTTTAGAGGGGTGAGTAGTAATTATATTCATCGCCTCCGTCGTCGCCGTCATCAGGCAAGTGGTCAATTTTTACTTACAATTCTATAATCTATACAGAATATATATAGAGAGAGATAGATAGATACACATACATATGGTAATTCAAAAGTAGCAAAGGAAACCGCCATAATTTGCTTCGCTTACGGATAACTGCTTCTGCAATTCCCACCTCACTCTGACATCAGAGCCGTATGGTGTACTTATTGAGCACCTCTCCTGCGCAATTTGTCACTCCCATAGCCTCGGATTTTGAATTGTGGCGAACTCACTTCAGTACCTTCGCAATTCTCTGAAACATTTGAGGGAGTTCAGATATGGTAGCCGAAGACGCAGTGAAGATTTTTGCCTATTACGTTACTGGCCATGGCTTCGGGCACGCTACCCGAGTTGTTGAGGTTAGTCTTCATTCACGCTTCTGACGATTCATTCTTATCTAGGATTGCCTTTTGTTTTTGTCTCTAATCCGGATTGTGTTCACTTCACCTCAATTTTGGTTTGATCAGGTTGCTCGACATCTGATTCTCGCCGGGCACCAGGTTCACGTGGTCACCGGTGCGCCGGATTATGTCTTCACCGGTGAAATAAAATCTCCTCGCCTTTTTCTTCGCAAGGTTCTCTTGGATTGCGGAGCAGTTCAAGCGGACGCCTTGACGGTTGATCGTCTTGCTTCTTTGGAAAAGGCACGGCTCAATGTTTATTTGCAAGCCAATTTGATTTGTTCATACTCTCACTGATCTACCATTAATGTTCGAACTTTCATGAATTGATTTTAGTACTCTGAGACAGCTGTGGTGCCCCGAGCTGAAATTCTGGCAACGGAAGTCGAGTGGCTGAAGTCAATCAAGGCAGACTTTGTGGTAAAGATATTTTAAATTAGAAATGACTTCTACTTAAAATTGCCCCTTTCAGAGTTGCTTAATATGAATACGTGAATGTTGGAATTAAGGAGCAATTTATATCTTATGGTCGATGATTTTATGGCACAAATTTCAGAGGATGATTGTACAAATGTAGATTTCAAACACAATGATGAGATGATGTGTTCATCGGTTAATCTATTTTATTTGTTGTTGAATGCTGCAAAGTGCTCGAAGGAAGTCCACACTCATGTTTTGTATCTGTAAATCTGGAGTCTCTGTTTTGCTTGTAGGTGTCAGATGTTGTGCCAGTAGCTTGTCGAGCAGCCGCTGAAGCTGGTATTCCTTCAGTTTGTGTCACCAATTTCAGGTTCATCTACTCATTTTCACGTACACTTGTTTAGGCACATTTCCTTAATCTCAACTATTTCCTAGTCATCATTTAAGATAATGATCATTTGGATTATGTTTGCAGCTGGGATTTCATTTATGCTGAATATGTCATGGCTGCTGGTCATCATCACCGGTCCATTGTTTGGCAGGTCGTGTTCTTTTACTTATGCTTATTTGTTTTCAATATTGTACTTAATGTATATGACTATATGCATCAATAGATATTCACTTCATTCTAAAGTAAATTTGGATGTTGCAGATTGCTGAAGATTATTCACACTGTGAATTCCTTATCCGCCTCCCAGGATACTGTCCAAGTAACAACGAAACATATTAGTTCTTAATCATTATTCATTCTGCCCTTTACTATAAATTAAAGTTGGAGATTGTCATCTTTGCAATGATTTATCTCTGTGGCATTCATGTTTGTGCAGTGCCTGCATTTCGTGATGCAATTGATGTGCCTTTAGTGGTAAGGAGATTGCACAAGTCTCGTGAAGAGGTACACAAGAGATATTGAAGAATTACTTATTATCATATGTCTATATCCCACTTTCTCATTCGTATATTTTCTTATAAAAATTCAGGTTAGGAGAGAGCTTGGATTTGGAGAGGATGTGAAGCTGGTAATACTCAATTTCGGTGGACAGGTAGATAAGACACTTGATTGAACTTTTCTATTATATCTTCAAACTTGTCTCTCTACCTTTGTTTACTTGTATTTTCTTGCAAACAACAGCATGTGAAGCTAATTTCTTTGTAAAAAATTTTCACCAACTTGCTCTTATTTGCAGCCTGCAGGTTGGACTTTGAAGGAAGAATACCTGCCTGATGGCTGGATTTGCTTGGTATGGTTCAGGCTACACACTGCATTCTAGGATTTTGTATAACGACATACCTTTATTAATTTTGAAATGCGTCCATCTATTCTGGGCGCAGGTTTGTGGTGCTTCTGAAAGTGCCACACTGCCTCCAAATTTCATAAAGCTTCCGAAAGATGCATACACTCCGGATGCCATTGCTGCATCTGACTGTATGCTTGGTTAGTGATATGCTTTTGTACATGGTTAAATTTGTTGTATAGGGGAAGCATTACAGAAGCTAACAATATTCCTTAATTTCAGGAAAAATTGGATATGGGACTGTCAGTGAAGCTCTGGCATACAAGATACCCTTTGTGTTTGTTCGTAGGGACTTCTTCAATGAAGAACCTTTCTTAAGAAATATGCTTGAGGTAGAGTTGTGCTTTAGAAAGGTTATATATCATACAAATATAACTAACTAAAATTATCCAGCACTTCTCCCTTTCCAAATTCTTATTTCTAAAGCACTGCTCTTGATCAGTTTTATCAATGTGGTGTTGAGATGATAAGAAGGGATTTACTTACTGGACACTGGAAACTGTACCTGGAACATGCAGTCAGTTTAAAACCGTGCTACAAAGGGGGTATAAATGGCGGTGAGGTAATGAGTTTTGCCTTGTAGTAACATACTTCATGATTCCCTTTCAGAGAAGAAGATAGATATTTCTAATCTTTGGGTATAATGTCAACTCTATCTGCACAACACAGATTCTTTGTTGGAGAGCTTGATATAAAATCAGTGTACCTTGCGCACATATCAATTTCTTGGTTTTGTATCCATAACGAGTTATTGTGAAATTGCAGGTAGCAGCTCAAATTTTGCAGGATACAGCCAGAGGGAAACGCCATGCATCTCATAAGGTGAGGCTAAGTTTATTGTTGAAGATGCTTAAGATTGTATGGGCAATTATCTTCTAATAAGGTGAAAGTGATGAATCTGTTTCAAGGGGGGGGGGGGGGGGGGGGGGGGGGGGGGATTAGTTACTTTTTCATCAATCTTCTTTACCTCTTATTATCTTGAATTCCAGCTTAGCGGGTCTAGGAGATTGCGCGATGCTATTGTTCTTGGCTATGAGTTGCAAAGGTCTCCAGGAAGGGATCTTAGCATCCCAGAGTGGTATGCAAATGCTGAGAATGAACTAGGGCTCCGCCCACGATCTCATGCTGCTGAAATCAAGGAAGATAGTCTACGTAAAACTTTGTGAGTGAAATTCAACCATTGTTCCAGTTCCACCATGGTCTTTAGTAATTACCAGCAGAAATACTGAATACTTTCTCAAATGACCATTTCCTTCTTGTTTTCCCCAGTGGTTTTGAGGAATTTAAGATTCTTGAGGGAGATGTTTCGGGCCTTTCTGATACCTTGAATTTCTTAAAGAGCCTATCAAAGCTTGATGCTGTTTCTGAATCTGAAAAGAATGCTGAAAAACCCCAGATGAGGGAGCAAAAAGCTGCTGCTGCTCTATTCAATTGGGAGGTAACTTTACATACCCTTTAATTTGATGCACACTGTATTATTTTGCACTTTGAACAAGCTAGTATGTTTTAAGTGATACTTTGTAGCTAATTTATATACCCTAAAATATGTTGTTTTCTTTAGTAAACAACTGAAGTATCATTGTTCCAATTACACACTACATACAGTGTTCTGCTTCCAAGAACATAAGTCTAAATTAAATAATATGGTGATCCAAAGTGTCTTCAATTAATGCCAGCTGATTACTTTTTCTTGGCCATTGAAGTATATTCCGCTTCTTGCAATTAAGCTACAATTTTCTAGCTTAATCTGATGTTCCAAGTGCAAGAACAGGTTATTGAGTGCATGTGTTTGGGGAAGCCATTGTACCTGACTGCAACTTTGTCCTGAATATGTACGTGTAGGAAGACATTTTTGTGGCTAGAGCACCTGGAAGGTTAGATGTCATGGGTGGAATTGCTGACTACTCTGGCAGCCTTGTGTTGCAGGTATTTGCACTCTGATAATCTACACGTTTATTTCCACTTCTCAATTCATAAATTTCTTTGTTACAAAATTTTAAGGAAATTGGGAGAGAAATATTACTCAATAAGACGAAGCAACTTGGATTCTCAGCAGATGGTTTTTTGCATTTCATCCTATGATATTTAGTCTAAGTGTGTTTCAACAAATCATCTACAGATGCCAACAAGAGAAGCTTGTCATGTTGCTGTACAAAAGATAAAGCCAAGTAAACAGAGACTATGGAAGCATGCCCAGGCTCGACAGATTGCTAAAGGACAAGGACCGATTCCTGTTCTGCAAATTGTACGTATACAGAACTTAAGCTGAAGTTATATAAAACAGAGGCCCATAACTAAGTTAAAGAGCCTGACAGAAGTGCCACTATAGGCCCCCTTATAGAATGACCAATATCTGAAGAATTTGAACTGTCATTTTATCGCTGGGGCTATTTATTGCTTTAACTTAATCTTTCAGGTGTCATATGGTTCTGAATTAAGCAATCGTGGACCAACTTTTGACATGGATTTGCTAGATTTCATGGATGGAGATCAACCAATATCATATGAAACTGCGAGAAATTACTTTGACAGGGATCCATCCCAAAGGTTTACAATTAACATCAGTATATGCTTTTGTGTGCTTTAGATGCTCTCCTAGTACGCTGACAAGGTTTTTCTTCTAGGTGGGCTGCATACATTGCAGGAACCATTCTTGTACTGATGAAAGAGCTTGGCGTACGCTTTGAGAATAGTATCAGTATCCTTGTATGTTCTCCTAATTTACTCAAGCTTTTGTGTGTTTGTTTGTTTGCATACATATATACATTTTTTCTTATACCTGCCACTTATTCCCACTCAATTCTGGTGGTTCCGAACATGACTTATAATTGGCCTGTTTCTGAGTCTCATGCGGGTGTTAAACTCATTCTAGCAGTTCTTTTTTGTGATATTTTTTCCTTTCGTCTTTATTCCTTCATATGACTCAATGACTTTAGTTTTATGAACAAACTGTATTTTATTTATACCAATCTTAAATATGCAGGTTTCCTCTGCTGTGCCAGAAGGCAAAGGGGTTTCTTCTTCAGCATCTGTGGAGGTTGCTACTATGTCCGCTATTGCTGCTACACACGGTACTGTGTTTTTGCTCCATTGCCTCTGTGACAATATATATATAATAAATTCACGTTTTGCATTTAAACCATGGTAATACAATCATTGTTCCCAAGGGACCTTCTATTCGAGTTGGTAATCATTTTTCAGAAATTGTCATCATGCTTACTTTCATGAAAAAAAATTGCTCATAATTTTGTTGTTTTATGTTTAACCAGTGACACAGAATAATTACATCTGCCAATGTTTTTTATTTTCAGGATTAAACATAGACCCCAGAAACCTTGCCTTACTCTGTCAAAAGGTAGCTTCCCCTGAATGGCATGCCAGGACCATTCACCCTGGACAACATTTATTTATTTTCACCGTGTGCTTTAGTTTCTAGATATTTGATCACTGAATCTTCTTTCATGGAGGAAGGTGGAGAATCATGTAGTAGGAGCTCCATGTGGTGTGATGGATCAGATGACTTCAGCTTGTGGTGAAGCCAACAAGCTTCTTGCCATGGTTTGCCAGGTAGCTGATCACAATTCATCTGGACAACTGGAATTCCTCATCGCGAAATCATAGGAAATTGCTTTGAGAACTTCATCTTATCTTTTTCAGCCTGCTGAGGTATTGGGTCTGGTGGACATTCCAAATCACATAAGATTTTGGGGAATTGATTCTGGAATTCGGCACAGGTATTAGGCTATATATATGATATTCATACTAAATATCTACTAGCACCTCACCTCCTTCCATGAATTTATTTTAACGGCTGAAGAAATAAAAAAATCTTACAGAAAAACAATTGATTGTTATGCAGTGTGGGTGGAGCTGATTATGGATCTGTGAGGATCGGAGCTTTCATGGGTCAAAAAATCATAAAGTCCTTTGCATCAGAATCGATATCTATCTCTCCTGCCAATGGGGCAACACCTGATGACGGAGAAGAGGATGGAATGCAACTGCTTGAAACTGAGGCTTCCTTGGACTACTTGTGCAACTTGTCACCACACAGGTAAAAACACTGAATTGATATTTCCGGCCAACATGAAACTACCAAGCCTCTCTTAGCTCGATTTTTTATTTTTTTTCAAATATGCACTCACATTACAGTGACTTGATCTGCTTCTCTTTCTATTCATGTCTTCAAGTTACTGTTTTAGTTCGTACATTCATATTTTCATTCCTGTTACAACAAATGTGTTGTTTTCTTGATCAGATATGAAGCTCTTTATGTCAAGCAGCTTCCTGAAACTATGCTTGGTGAGACGTTCTTGGAGAAATATGAAGATCATAATGACCCATTCACTATAATAGATAAGAAGAGAAGTTACGGTGTCAGACCTGCAACCCGACATCCTGTTTATGAAAATTTCCGGGTGAAGGTAATGAAAACAAAGCATGCTCTCAAAAGAATAATCTGCAAGAAATGGTTACACTTTGTTTGATACGATTGCAGGCCTTCAAAGCGCTTCTGTCATCTGTAACTTCAGATGACCAATTAACTGCTCTCGGAGAGCTAATGTATCAGGTACACTCAATTCGAAGCTGAATTGCTCGGTACAAAATGGAAATTACATGGAGAATGCATCCAAGGCAATTATTATCCACTGAATCAATGTATGAATTGTTGCTCCAGTGCCATTATAGTTACAGCGCTTGTGGACTTGGCTCGGACGGGACAGACAGGCTTGTTCAGCTAGTGCAAGAAATGCAGCACGGAAAAGTTTCTAAGTGCGCTGAAGGAAGTTTGTATGGAGCAAAGATAACCGGTGGAGGGTCTGGCGGAACAGTTTGTGTTGTTGGCAGGAATTGTCTGCGAAGCAGCGAGCAAATTCTCCAGGTATCGAAACTCTTAAGGAATTTCTTGCTAATAGTTTGTGTTTGTTAAACTGCTAATGTCAATTGTTAATAATGTTGCAGATTCAGCAGAAATACATGAATGCTACAGGCTATCTACCTGTTGTTTTCGAGGGATCATCCCCAGGTTCCGGAAAGTTTGGCTATCTCAGAATCCGGCGCATCCGAAATTGAACCGAAAATGGTATTTGCGTTACAATGCTTTGATTATTTAAAGTTGATTGGAAACTAAAGTCTTGGAATAACTTCCCAAATTGTGTTGGGAACATATGTAGAAGTTAAATCTTCATATATATACATATACAAGCATGATTGATCATTCATGATTTAGCCATGTATGGAATTTGGTTATATAATACATTTGGATCTGTTTTGATTTTGTTCTTTTATGTGTCATTACAGATTAATGTTGAAAATAGATGCTAAATATAAAATCATGACAAGAATCACCTAATATCTCAGAACCAAATCAAATTGTGTAAAATGTATTTCAATACAAATCCATCCCTGATGACTGACTATTAAAAGTTCATAGGACTAGTGGTAGTGTTCTTGTTCTATTATGTCATCAAAAAATGCTCCAAACTACTCGACCCCCAACTCTCCGAATCATGGGAAGATCTCGAAAAATCTGCCCGGACAAGCATGGTCTTGGAGAGCACTGACCTCCATGGATGGCATCGAAACACCATGCCAGCCACCCTTCTTGATCGACATAGACAACCCCGCAACCGAGATGCCTATGACCTGGAGAAGAAGGTATCCTCAGCCTGTACTGCTTCCTGCCATAGAAAACTAAAAATTAAATGATAGAACTTCACCAACACAATCAAAAGTAGAGAACAATTAAAAGATGACCAAATATGAGGCAAGAGTGTTGTAGATCTTCTCAACTACTTATGTTTGTTTCTTTAATGATTCCAAGCTTAAGCAGAGTAACACCGGTGATTCAATTAAATTACCTCTTAATACAATTTACAGTAACACCCGCCCTTAAATTTTGCAATGTTCATCTTCATTACGGGCGGAGTGGGCAAGAGTTGTTCGGAAGCTGTCCTGGTACAGGCATGAAGTTTTAATCTCTTGTTTGTGTCCCATTTGTCGGATACAAAATAGGTTTTAAGTTCTCCATTGTCAAGATCTGGCAGCCCCTCCCTGAAAAACAAGAAATCTAAGTATTATTAGAATGAGAAACAAATCAAATCATAGCCTAGAAACTAACACAGAAGCCACAAAAATAAAGATATAGTGAAAAAACACATGAAAATTTCGGATCAGATTGGTTATGAACCTGTAAACATCGCCCCCGAACATGATCAACATCAACCAAGAATTCTCTATTCTGCCCGGATGAAACTTGGAATCCATCAAGCTACACATATGAACAATAAAACACAAAACCATAAAACAAGTTGAATCTCTTAGAATTACTCTCCCTCTGCAATGCAAAGGGCAAAACCGATGCCCCTATTTATTGAATCAAATGCAGGGACACGTGGATCATCGCTCACATGCAGGGTATAGATGCGCGACGCGTACCCAACGTCGTGTCATTTATTGATTCTGCATGCTGCAAAATTCAAACACCTGGCTGTGCCTACTTAGGATTTATCTAAAATACACTAATGAACAGTTTTTTAAGTAAATTAGGAGATATAACATCCTAACACAAGTACGTCTATACGAAAGAGCAGAGACTGATGGAAAAAGCGACAACTCTTTAACAGAATCATCAACTCCAATGTGCTTCAGAAGAATCGTTACGTTGCTTCCTCCGAAGCTAAAACTGGTAGACAATTGAAATACAAAAAAACAAAAAAGGAAGAGTGTCTTTTCTTTATTGCAGCTTCTGTTTCCACACCTAACAAACCATTCCTCTGCCATCCCAATCGATATATTAGTAGCATCCACATGATTAAATTAGCGCAATTATCGTAACAGCATGAGTATATGAGGCTACATGTGGAGCCACATTACATATATATATATATATAAGTATATGAAAACTCTTCAGTCCCAAAATTTGTGACAACAGATCAAGACTGGCATTTCTTCTGCAATTGTGGACAAGTTCTAGAAAGAATGCATCATGTATTTTAAGATCATTGATATGGTGAAACATACAGCCAAATGATACCTAGTAAATATCATAATATCAAGGGGTGAGAATCCTTATCACATTAGCTCATATCTGCAAGTGCTATAACTTTGAAAAGTAAAGAGCATATCAATGATAGAGAAAACAACAATCTATGGGTGAAATTGGTCACCATAATCGTTGATACTTCCAAGCATATAAAGATATAAGTGGAGTGGAAATTAACTGACTCGGAAGACTCATCAAAATTTCCGTTCCTGTTATATACATTGTTTGAGCTCAAGCAATAAATGATTCCTACCTTATCTATCAGGATGTTTCTGAAACATTATATGCTTTTTCATAGCACCAGCTACCAAGGTTCGCTCTTCTCATCTTCGAAACTAAACAAAAAGCGCATGTCCTGCATCGTAAATGAAATGAGAGAGAGAGAGAGAGAGCAGCGATAAGTGAACTGGCGTAAAACCTGAAGCGCGGAAATTCAAGCAACCTGCGAGGAAAGGAAGACCGGAGAGCGCGTGGTCCCCATTGAGATCCGGCGCCATACATGCCGGTGTCGCCGAACTCCTCCGGTGGCTGCAGCGGGGAGAAATCTGCGGCCGATAGCGCCTCCGGCAGTCTTATAATATTACCTTTTTATTTTAGAAGGGTTTTTAAGTTTGGTTAACACGAGTCATTTTAAAAGTTTTGTTTTAATTAAAATTTATATTTAAATAATATTTAATAAATTGCTTTATTAAACATAAGTATATATTTTGAAAATTACAAAATACAAATAATAAAATTTTAAAAATAATAATAATAAAGAAACACAGCCTTAATTTTTTATTTTTTATTTTTTTTGGGTAAAAAATACTACTGACGCGTATGAACTGAAGTCTGAATCATAGCATAGACGAGATTTGCTAAATTTAGAGGGACACGCCCGTGTCATAAAAACCCTAAAGAACATTTTTCGTTCTATTTTTAGTTTACAGCATCTTAGTGTAACGTCATTTCCTAAATACTCTTTGTCAATAATGAATTAGGATAGACATTTACAACTTTTTTTTAAAAAAAAAATAAATATGTATTTATATATATATATATATGTTAGTACTTATTATATGTAATTTGTGAAAAAATGAAATAAAATTTGTGTGACATATGTTTTTTTATTTCAAATTTTTCAAAATTTACTATTTGGACGATGCTGCAAAAAAATACACTTTTTTCTCTCATCAAACATTATTTTAATATCAAACTCAAACTAAAATTTTACCAAATTTATCAAAAAAAAAAATAAGTATTGAAACAATTGTTTTGTGACATGATATATTTTAGTATTAATATTACACTAATTCCTCCTGTTCCCAGAAGTTGGAGAGGGAAGGATGGTTTTTAATTAATTAAATAATTATTTTATTTATTTTTGTATGGGAAGACAGATGGACGGCTCAGATCAATTCACTTGGAGATCCTTTTTCTTCTAGGCTGCCATTATCGTTTATTTCTCCGTCTTCATCTTCTTCAATTCGATCGGCGGCGAAGAAGACGACAGGCATGGAAGCTGCGTGAGCCAAGGCGGAATCTCTGTCGCCGTCGGTGACATGGAGCGGTGGAGCATTGCGAACTCCGTCGTCGTTGTTGTAGTACTTGTGCGCGAGAAGCAACCTGCGCCGTTTATTGCATATGTGATCCTTCTTCCCCAAATCACGAATGTCCTCAACACTTAGTTGGTTCAAGTTGCAGAACGATTTCGACCGTCCATTGTAAAATCTGGACAGACCTCTTCTGCAGAAGATCAGAAAATCAAATTCAGGTCACACATATTCATACATATCTACGTACATGTACGTGTGTGTTGTAAACGCTAAACAGTGTGATGAATTAGGAATTATGAAACAGGAACAGATTCAGTTACTTAATCGGAAGAGCATCTTCGAGCGCAGCCAAGGAATCCAGCGTTCTCCGGCGATTAGGTTGCGTCTCTCGTTCATCAACATCACTCTCTCCATCGCTAGACGACGGCAGAGGATGAGGAACAACATCCTGAACAATTTCCTTCCCCTCGCTGTCTCCGTCAACATAACCGCCATCGATTCTCTCCATTCCTTCAGCTTGTTTGCAAAAATAACCAGGTGCGTACAGAAATCACTACTCTGCTTCAAATGATCTGCTTACCTTTTCTATTGCTAATCACATCGCATGAATCGTTCTCTGCTTGAAAATTTTGAGAGGAATAACTCCAATATATTGACAAAAAATCGGTGCTGACTGAATTAATTAAAGTAGAAGACATAAATTCAAATTGTGGTTGGGGGTGAGGAAATTCCGGATTGATGTTCGTCTCATTTGTAAATCAAAATTTGGTGCGTATTCCTTCCATCATATTCAACTGAACAATCGTCACAAAATATCGAATGAAAGTGAAAAAAGAGGTATGAATTGAATATAGATAGCGAAGAAGAGAAGAGAAGAGAAGGATGACGGAGCTAAATTGACACGTAGAGACTTCAATCGGTTGCTTTTGTCTCTGTATTATTCTTTTCATTAAAAATATATATATAATATATATATGATGATGACGATGATTACGTAAGCATTATAACGTCATTTGCCTTTCCCCTCTCTCTCTCTTCATCACTCACACTTCCACCGTTTCAGTTTCTGCACATATTTTGAATTTTTATATTTTTTTATCGAACGAATTCAGAAATTTTTATGACCAGTTAGTTGTATATTGATTTAGTATCAGCATTTTTTCCGATGCCGATCACCTTTTTCCGAACTGGGATTGTAATTCTGCGATAGTCCAGTCTATTTTTGTTGAAGGTTTGTGCATTTTTATCAAACTAATTGCCATATGTTATTTTCCACTTTTCAAATGAAGATCGTCACTAAAGTTGTTTATGCTCATTTCAGTTCATTCTCCAGTAGTATTTTCTAATATATATATATATATATATATATATTTTAGAATCGCTTCATTAAAGATGTTACTACTTGTTACACTTCATCTTTCTTGTAGGTTTTGATAATGATTTGAACTATTGTAGCATTGAAAGTAGTAATCAGCAACTCTGTATTTAGACATTTGGTCAGACAAGAACACAAAAATAAAAACCTGCTATTTAGCAGAGATTAGTCAGAAAAAAAAGTTTCAGAATTAGTTAATGGAACCTTTCTTGCAGCCTGTTGTGTGTTCCAAATCACTCAGTTTTGACATTTTCCTTGATCACATCCATAGCCGAACTGGAATCCTCATGTCTTTGCTGCTTATCAGGAATTTTTTTACCTGCAAGATTGACCATCGTCTTTTCATTAACACGTAGTCTACAATCTATAAATCTCTTCTTCTCTAGGTACAAATGTTGGAGAAATTACCAGTGTCTTCTGCTTGCAATACAGCCGGAGCCATTTGAGCTTCCTGAGTTGGACGGGTAACGGGAGCAGAAGCTTTACCCTGATTCATCGAGGCAGATTTACAGATCTCAGCTTGGTTAGTTTCTTGGACAATCTTTTTCGACTCATTGGCTGAGGTAGAAGCCGCAGCAACTTTGGGGGGCACGGCAGCAGCAGGAGATGGAATGGACGCCGTTGCATTTTCCACTCCAGGAGTCTTCAAAGGGCTAGGCTGTGGTGCTGCTGGTGTTGCAGCTTTTATACTGCGTTGGTATTGAGCTTGCGGGGCTTCAACAGGTAAAGTAGTGTTCGGTTTAGGCGCAGTGTAAGTGGAGATTGGCGCTCTTGCAAGGCCATTCCGGATAAAATGCACATTGCTAGGCAGTTGGCTCGAAAGGGGCGGAGGGGGGGATTTGACCGCAGAGCTTGCACCAGTTGTGATACGGACAACATTCTGAAGCCGGGAAGCATCGATTATAGAAGGTGCATCAGCAGAGGTAGCGATGCGCGCCCCGGCAGCAACTGCAGCAGCTTTGACCATAGAGTCGGGGGTGGAAATAGGGTTTGGCGGTCTCACAGTTGGCGCCGGAGGTTTCAGAGGCCCGGTCCTTCCAAAATGGTGATCTGCAGGAAATCAGGTATATGGTTTAATTTCATTCTAACTATGAGGAGATCATTTATTCGTAAGGTAATAAACAAGGTAGAAACTAAAGTTCGACTATGGGTAATGCATAGCACCAAGAATGTTTCTCTTGCGACAGACAATGACGAATATGAAGCAAATACCACTGAGGTATAGCGAAATCAAATGCTTTAGGAAAAAAGTACGGCGCCACTGTTCCCTTCGGAAAGAACAGATATGTTCACAATATGCCAACTACTATGCAGTACCGACAAGCATGCATTAAAGACAAACTCAGCACAACATCGTAAATCTTTTGTTATGGAAAACAATGAGCATCTCCTAAAATCAAAGGCTGTACCAAATTAACTTTCTTTCATGGTGATTGAGATAAGAAAGCATCTAAAGATATTACTAAATGCTAATTTATTTCAAAACCAGGCGGAGGAAAAGCAAAGGCTAGGAGCAACTAAGCATCCAATTATTCACAAGAGATGTAGCAATATGGCAACAAAAAAACACGCGATAAAACTTCATATCACAGAACTAATTCTCGGCTATAGGGCACAGGCATTTACCCATTTCAAGGATGGTTCTTCCAACCAAGATGCCAAATTTCTGCTCAAAATAAAATGATAAAACAGGTAGAAACTGACAATGAGATTCACCTGTCTTCAAATTTTCACCACCCAGCGGCATATTTAGGGCTAAGGACACGGCCCGATGAGCAGCTGCTAGTTGAGTTTCAGAAAATTTTGAACTGGTTCCTGCATTTGCATTGCCTTGTTTTTTCCTCAGGCTGGACCATCTCTACAAATGCACATCCTCATGAATTAAACTTTGATAACAAATTTCCTCGACACAAGAGAGTACAATGAAATATGATAGAAACAAACACAGGAAATCTATTCAATGTCCAGAGGCTTTTACGAGGCTACACCACAAACAATGATTACTAAACGCCATCCAGATAAACACGGGCTACACACGCATATATATATATATATATATATATAGAGAGAGAGAGAGAGAGAGAGAGAGAACATAGTGGAATACACCAGACTCAATCTGTCTTCTTTCATCAGTTTGACAGTTTCAGCAACAACCGAAGTATGACCATCATCGTGACGATGCAAGATACTAGAAAACTTCTGAAAATAGCTCAGAATCATTTACCAGCTGATATTAACAACTCATAACTTAAGGGGTTATTCAGAAAATGAGACGGTCAAACTTTTAGGTTGGGGGACAGGTCGGCCATAGGAGTTCTAAAAAAGGATATGAACCGGGGCAGCAAAAGTTATGTGTGTGACGTTGGCTGAAGGAAGACTGAAAACAAAAGAAATAAATGCTGCTGCATAATTTTACAATCTGAAAACAAATCCTTCATCAGCACACATAAGCATCTAAATGTTTGTACGAAAAGGAAAATGTAAAACCTTATCATAGACAGGCAACAGATCTCTCTAAAAACACATAACCTAATAAGCAATTTACCTAATAATTGCATCTTTGGTTTTGTTTAATACGTGCGCTAACAAAGCATAAAACAATTCAATTAAAGCGGAATTGTGGGTATGAAGAACCTGAGATAGCTCTGACGGCTTTCTATTGTTTTCGAAATCTCCCCTGGCAATACTAGCCCAATTTCGTTCCCCATATTTTTTCACAGCAGCAGTGAGTTTTGTATCCTCCTCTGCAGACCAAACCCTTCTCCTTTTTCGTGAAGCCGCATCTGCTCCTGATGCCCCATTATTGGGCCTCTTTTCACTGCTTATTCCAGATGATAATGGTTGTATTTGAACTGGTACTGAGATGCGAACATTTTTTCCCTGCGTAGAGTCGAAGAGAACTGAACCATCTGAAGGACCAGCTTGTGCTCTGCTGCTCGGTACATTAATTGTCAATGGCGCTTCAAGATTAGAGGTCGGATTGTTATCCAAACAACCTGAATCAATTAAAACCTACAGAAAAAGCAATTGAACAAATGGATGAAGAATTATCTTTAATAAATGAGGAAAAATCAAAAGTTGCTGCCTCATTTAAATTACAAATATCCCTCCAAAACGGATTACTGGCTACGACATTAGAACCTAACTCCATTCACATTACGCCCCTATTCTCCAACAGTATATGCAGTCTTATTAACGTGCTCAAAACGTCAAGTTGGTTTTAAAATTCAATGTCCAACAGAACAGGAATCTATATTTTGCGAATTTGAAGCTAAGAATCAACAAAGACAGTGGAATCTTGCATTAATGACGCATCAATAGTTTCCGCATCCTTCAAATAATAAACTTCCCTTCCAACTCAGTTTAAACAAAACATCTGTTTCTTCTACAAACTAGAGATCCTTGCTATATTCCAAAAGATTGTCCTATCTCAGATAATAAATTCTTCATAAAAACTTGCTTAAAAGCAAAGTCAGTTTGAAAATTCAATGTTTCTGCAAAATAAATCTGGAAAACTAGAAATCAGTTTAAGAACAGATATGAGAGACTTGTAGGTAAAAGATTATCTTTTGCATTACATACTTTAACACACGCAGCAGCCTCCGTCAACGCTTCGCGAGGAACGGCAGGAACGGCCTCTACTTCATATTCCAAATCACTGTCATCATCCTATAACCATAGATAGGAAATTTCCCAATCAGTAATTCGAGCTAAAAACTCAACCACAACAAGAGAGCATCTGCTAGGCACAAATTTTCGACAATATTCATCTTGCATACATATCCATGGCGTAAAGTGAAAAAGACGCACCGACATACAAAGACAACGACAATTAATTAATTACTATAGAGCAGACCGGTGCATGAAATCGAGCAAAACCACAATCGACTTACGTCAGAATGTACAAAAATCAGAAACAGACAATAGAAAAACAGACCAAGGAATTCGCAGCAGCAACCACGCTTTGATCGGTTAGGGTTTCCCCATACGCAAGATGTCGCCAAAGCATTTGGCACTCCCTCGCACCGGAAATTCCGGTGGCGGTATTCTTCACCACTTTATCCCAATCAATTTTTTCTCCAGCCACATGCGCCACCTCTCGCAGCAAAGCCAGCACCGTCGATAATGGGTACCTACAGAAATCCCAATAAATGATAAAAACCCCAAACGGAAAAGACCGAAAATCTCCGAGGAAAAAGTACCTCTCCAACAAAGCGGCTGCGTTCTCTTCGGTGATCGGTCTCTTCTTCCCCTTCTTGGATTTGTCAATCATTGTTATCCTCAAAAGCCCTCGAATCCTAAACCCTTAGGAGGAATTGAGAGGTGAAATTTAGTAATAAACCCTGAGGAGGAGGAGGAGGAGGAGGGATTGAGAGGTGTATAATGAAATTTAATAATTATAAGAAATCTTTTTTTTTTATATACATACGATTTTGTTGCTATTTTTAACTATTTCAGCTTCTAAAAAGAAAAGCTCAAAGGAGGACTGTGCTTAACTGGGAAGCTCTGTAAACTTATATCAAACACACTAATAAACAAATACACACATATCTAATATACACATAGTTTGGCAACTTTTCTTATTTTCTAAGTATTATTTACTAAAAAGAATTTTAAATATATCAAATCAAATATATATATATATTAAAAAATAATTTCCATAATTTACAATTATTTGTACATATGTTTGTGTCTGTACAATGAATGGGAACCAACCAAACCACTCTCACCCACTCCTAATTTTGTTTATTGATAGATTGAAATTGTATGTGTATATATAGAGACACATACATTACTGGTAAAACCTACACACAATAAAGTAATAAATTGTGCCATTATCATCAGAACAGGACTAAAATTCCATTTCATAAATAGGCAGTATCGTTCTCATTATTATTCCATATTTCCATTCCATATAATAAAATACTCTCTCTCTGACTTCAGATTGATCTCCTTCCCCCTCCCCATCCCCCTCTTCTCCTGAACCATAGTTAAGTTACTACTACCTGCAAGTAACTAATATTTGCATCTTCATCTTCATCTTCATCTTCTTCAATAACAATAACCCCAACCCCATCCTCACACTGATCCTGATCCTGATCCTGATACTCATGGTAGTATATACAACATCAACATCAACATCCAATCCAATGCAGATTCTGCAAGTTTTTCACTTTACACTCTGCGGATCTTCCGAAGGAGGGTTGAATTTTCCGCTAGGATGCCTCACCTTCAAGCTGCCGTGCTTCGCCAGCTTCGGATGGAAAAGAGAGTTGAACATCTTCTCCAACGACTGCGCCGTGTACTTGGCGTATTTGCTTGCGCTTGCGTCCTGTTCCACAAGTGGCCCGTAGTTCTGCATATAGCTACGATACACCGGCACAATGGTCTGGATGATCGCCTGGCATGTCTTCTCGCGAAGCTCCTTGTCTGCAATCACGTAATTGGAATGTTTCTTGTACATCTCATCGAACGCTTCATTGAACGCTTTCAATCTCTGTTTCACCAAATTGCGCGCAGTTGCTCGCCCACCGGAAAAGAGGATCAGCCCTTCCCGGCTCAGGAGAGTCGGGAGCTTCCCCCAGCTCTCGCGCAAATACATGGTTGAAAAATAGTCCTTGTACTGTTCGTGTTCTCGCAGCCATGTATCTCCTAAAAGCCCACCAAATCTCGACCCTTTCAGATGCTTGTATAAATGCCAGTGATTGTTCATCTGGAAGAGGTAGGAGGGGACTGCATCTTTGTAACCCTTGGACCACGTGTCCAAATTCACCTCGATAGATTGTACTAATTTTAGAAGTTCGTTGTAGAGGATTCGCTCCTGGAACTTCTCCTGCTTCCAGCTCCGTTCGATGACAAGAACCTGCATCAGGATTGGCCTGTAGTCATCCCCGATCAGCTTGTTGCAGTAATCAGTGATAAATGTTACGACTCTAGGGATGCTGCAATCAGGTGGAGGAGGCGTGCGTCGTTGCAGCTCAACTTGAACCAATAGCTCCCAGAAAATTTCGCATGCTCCGCCAATTAATCTCTTGATTAGATCCCTTGTAAGGTTTTGAATCTCCGCGCACGGAGCCCCACCAAAGAGGCGGTTGAAGTCTGATCTAAGCTTGCTTAGGGATGCAAAAATGTCGAGCAGTTTCAATAGCTTGATGGGATCCTTGCGACTTTCTGTAACTGTTTTGCCAAACTGCAGGAAGGCGAGCATTCCGGCCTGCGCAGCAATTTTGGCAAAGCAGCTCTTCCACACGTCCAATCCCATTCGTTCAAACACGTCGTTGCAAAGCTTATACTCAGCTTCAAACAGGTGTTTCACAGCAAACTCCAAATGTTTTCCCCACTTGGCTATATAACCCTCAATGCTCGCTACGTCGTTGAATTCAGACACCGATATTTCAAGGTAATCCAAATTAAGGGCTTGCAGGCTAGCCCGAACATTAGAGCTCCGAACCTCAATGTAAATGGATATACACTTTTCAAGCCTCTCATTCGCAATTAATCTCCCTAAAATAGCCTGCAACTTCTGGATGACTGCCACCGGCAATGGTGATGGCGCAATGCAAGCTTGCTCGCCCGGTAAGGTTGGAGAGGACATAGGCAGCGGAACAGTATTCTCAACCAGCAGTCTCCTGAACTCATTCTGCAATCTGTCGAGCGCAGCCTCCAACAGCCCCCCATCAAGGCGGCCCTTCTCATCGCCTGCCTCCAGCTCCCTGAGATTCGCCAGCGCCTTCTTTAAACTCGAAATAAATGCCTTGTCTGCAACCCTATGATCATCCAGATACTCCACTATATCACCCAACCATTGAATAGCCATCCCACAGTTATCCCCCAAGAATCGCAACGCCTCTTCAAGGCGTTTGAGGACACTAAGATATCCCAAAAGGTCATACTGTGGATCAGACAATGATTTTTCAAGCCCATGGATGGCGTCGAAAACCTTAAGAACTGAAGCTGCAGGAACTACAGCTTGGTTGATGTGACCACCAACGGCGCTGAGGGCATCCCTTTCGGCTTGGATTGGCCAAACCGCGACCTCCAACGAAGGTAATCTACAGCTAATCTCACCTAATATAGATCCTGATTTTTCTAAAGATGCCCCTAAACACTTGGATTTCTCCACATTGGCTTTCAAAAGCTTCCTAGCAGATATCAAGTGATCAATGCCTTTATCCATCACAACCAATCAAATCAAATCACCAACTGCCTCAAAATGAACCAATGATTTTTCCCCAAAACATACAAACCCTAAGATTCACCACCGACGGCAACAGTTTCCCCCCCCTTTTCCGTTATTCTTCGCTTTTATTTACTCAAACTATGCAAAATCAATCCGGTTTCTTGTAGAACCTAACTTTCATTATTTTCACTCACCAACGTTACCAAATTTAAACCGAGCAATCAAACGAAAAAAAAATAAAAAAAATCAATGGCCAGATATATTCCCCCAACTACCTCATGAAAAACCACACGAAAACGCCACCATTTCTTCGACAAACTAGCCTCGACTCTAACTCGAATTAACAAATGCTACAAAAAATTCGCCCGGAATCGGATGCAAAATAGATCTGCTCAAGAAATCAGTAGTGTAGTTGCTGTACCTCCACAAAGTCGACGGTGGAATCGTCCGATGGCCAAAAATGGGAGCGATGAACCCTAATCGTAAAGCGAAAAAGGCGAATGCTTTTGGAAACCAGCAGCAGCAGCCCTGCCTGCCTCTGATCTTCGTGTCCAAGTGCTTGACAGTCAGACTCAGTCGGTATATTTTGCCTCTCTCTCTACTTTGTTTCTTTCTTTGTTTTCATTCTTTCTTTCCTTTTTTCTTTTGCCTGTCTCGCTTTTATTGCTACTACCTTTTTACTAATATTTTTATTTTATTTTATATCCAATCACGAACATTCCAGAATCAATAATAATTCTCTATATCTTATCATAATAATACATTAAAGTCGCATATTTGAAACACTCTTTTATTTACCCTTAAAAATATTATATCAAAATAATTATTTCACTTAAAAATATGAATAGAATACAAAAAACACATTATGTATTTTCACTCAAAATACTATATTTAATCATTATTATTCATTAAGAAAATCAAATTCAATGAATTTTTTTATTCACACCATTCTAAGATAAATACAAACTTTTGGATGAGGTGATACTTCCAAGATTTGTGTAAAATAAATAAATCAAAAGGCTACATTAAGTATAAATATTATATGTATAGGTCCAAGTAAAGCCCAATAAAGAAATAAATGGGCCTCGGTAAGGTTGGTCCATTAATTAAATTGGTCTATGCGCTGGCCCATGTGAAGAACTATCAGCACTAAGTTCCGTGTAGGAAAACAATTAGGTAATAATTAATGAACCAAAAAATCTGGTCAAAAAACCTGTTAGTCAACTAGTTTGAATTGTGGATATGGGTCAAAAGTATAACTTAAAAAATACTACATTAAATTTTCTCTCGATTACTGCCCACATTATGAAGCTGGAACGATTAAAATAGGTTTTATTCATGTGGTCCAAGTAAAATAATTAGACTGGTCAATTGAAGTAGCACATGGCACGTATCAAATAAGGTACGAAAAAACGTGTTCTTGATTGCAATTTCCCACATGAATCTCTATCATCATCAACATCATTATATGTTCATTTTTATTATTATTTTTTGTGGCTTCTTGCGAAGACCCACAAAATAAAAATGAAAATTTTGGTGATAAAAAAAAGAATGCCCACAAAAATTGGAGTATGTAGAAACGATGGAGTGGTTGTAAATTGTAAGTCCCACATGGGTTTGGGGATATTTGGTGGGTATTTGTTGTGTGGAATAAATAAAAATGGTTAGTTGTGAAGTAGTTGGAGGGTTTGGTTCAAAGGCCATAATGAGAGTGAGTATTAGTTATGAGTTATGACTCAACTGCCCCCCACATTTTGACTATTTATGAATTGGGGATGTTGAAAGAAAATAGAAGTAATTATTAGTTCTAATTAACTGGAGGTTTATTACCTCCATGTGATGATCATTCAAGTTAATGAGTGTGGTTAGAGGAAACCAGAGGGTGTTTGCATCACGGATTTGAATTTTAGTTTGGAGAATGAATACCTATGTAGTAATATAATAAAAAGATTAAACTTTTCTTTTTTAAAATTTAGTGGGGTGTATGGAATTAATTAATAAATATCAACTGTGTGGATTGAAAATTTGTTGAGGGGGTGGGGTGGGGTGGGGTGGCGAGTAGACTTTATGCATCCAAATTTCAAAATTGGCTGAAATGGTGATTGAAAAGCATCACATGGGATGGGCACTTTTAAGTATCTGTTTTTTATTTATTTTAAAAAATATATATATAACCTATCTTTTTGACCTTAGCAAAAAAGCACGACTTTATTCCATTCCTATGTCGAGAAAATAAATAAAGAAAGAATTATATGCGATTCTCAATTATGGGCATCCTATGCAGTAAAATAGTAGAAGAATCTTATTCAACTATGAATCTAAAATATTTGAGGGAAATTAATAAAACTTTCTTTTTCTTTTTTTTTTTTCCTTTTTTTGGGTTTCGCGGATTCTGGTGTCATCTACGGACTACGTCTAACAAATTTACACAAGAGTTCCAAATCTACCCCTGAATATATCTATTTCCGAAAATAGCCTCAAACTACCTCGAAATTACAAAAGATGCCTTTCCCCTTTTTACTCACGACGACTCAAACACCACCAACTGTGAGGGGGTACCGGCGCCGGAGATTTCGGGGGTGTGGCGGTGCTCTCCTTCGTAGGTCACGATTAGCATCGTGGAATCATCGTTTGCCCTCTCCACGTGCTTCCTCGCCGGGCAGCCCCTCACTGTACTGCACTTGTAGTATCCCCGAGGGTATGGTGAGCCTTTGATCGGCTTTTGGCCGTACTTTCTCCAGGAGTATTCGTCCGGCGGGATGTCGGCGACTTTTGAGCTAATTGCGGGGACTCTGATCGTTCTCTTCACCTTAGATTTCCTGGAATAATTGTTTAACAGCTTTATGAATATGGATGAATGTGAAATCTGGAAAGTCGTGGAAAAATTGATTAGCAGAAACCGTTGCCGGCTGAAAGCAAGCTTGTCAGAAGCGTCGGCGTCATACGCCGATAGAATATGAATGGAAAGTTTCAATTAATGCTATGTGATTAGGAAGTCGAATCAAATCCTTGCGATTGAATTTTGTAGTTTATGTTTTGATAGATTTCATCGGATTTCGAAAGAAATTGAATGAACCACCACGATTGAGTTTGCTCATAGATCAGCAATTGAGAATCACCAAAGCAACAAATCAATATTCAATCGGCGTTTATAATAAAGTGCGCATAGAATACCTCTTTTTGCAGTGGCAGCGGCTAGAGCCGGATGTTTTGCCGGATAACTCATCGGACTGGTCATGCTCACGACACCTCTTGCCGGAGAGCGGAGGTTTACCAGATGAGATAGCTACAGCAGGCGGAGGCATAAACATTTTAGGCGATCCACCTTTTCCGTTCGACACGCTACCTTCGGCGGTAATCGACGACACAAAGGTCGAAGAAGAGTTACCGGACGTGGACATCGCCGTCGACAAGCCGAATCCTTCTTTACCAGTGATTTCAACCCCATCCTTTCCCACAGATGGGCCTTGTTTGGTGAAATCAAGCGCCAAAGTAGGCACCGCCGGAGCCGGCGGAGCTGGAGAAAGAGAAAACAGACTCAAAGGTTGAGGAACCGAATTTTTCGGTGGATAACTTTTAACAGCAGTCACCGCCGGCGGCTGAGGCGCCGGCTGAACTGGAGCGCGCCTGAACCGCGCGTGTCCAGTCCGATTTAAGATAGAAATCATTTTTCTAAACTTCGAAACAGTGAAATCCGTGATCTCTCTGCAGTCAATCTTCTCGCACTGCTGCGGCTGCTGCTGATTCTTCTGAGAAACGGTTCGGATTAAATGCTCCATGGATTTCAACCCTGCCGACGCTGCTTCATGAATCGCCGTTTGCTCGTTGATATTCGCGTAGCCGAGCAACTCCACGGCCATATCTCCCTAAAAATCTCAAACAAAAACAATCTTGGGCAAAAATCGAGAGCTATTTATCTTCACAGAAACCTCATCAGAAAAAATGGGGAACGAGAGAAATATGAATGAATGAGCAGAGGAAGAGGAAGAGGAAGACGGGGAATATATTGTGGGGAAAGTGACCGGGCTACCGGGTACGAGTCAAACTGATCCGACGGCTGAGATTACTCCATCGTCGAATTCGATGTAGTGGGCAATAAAGACAAATTACTGGCCCTATTTTTCTGTTCGCAAGTGGGCCCATCACGAAGGACTCTATGGGGCCCACTTTAAAGGATTGCCAGCTCATACGTAACGTGTCCCCTCGGATACCATACCAAAATTACGCAGTATAGTGTACAAGTAGAATCAAAGCATAATTCAGCGAAGGGCATTTTTGTAATATCGTAAAAGTCGCATTTCCTAAAGTAGCGATTTCTTCTCATCAACACAAAAGTTGGATCATTACAAAAGGCTGACTACTTAAAAAAACTGAACAAGACAACCCACATGCCGAATGGTTGACCAACTTCTCCATCTGCATTCCTTTCCAACCGCACGATTGTCTCCTCTCCCATCAACGGCCACGATTCATTTGAGATTTTGACCGCTACTCGCTGACTTATCTGGCCTCGCTGCCACGTGCCATGCGTTGGGACACTCGTCATTTTCTGATTACCAGATTTAGTGTAGTTTACCCGATTTCTTTTTTATTTTATTTTTAATTTTGTAGTTAAATTTTTAAAAATCAACTTTATAAATAATGTAATTCAATATTTATTTTTTCTTTTTTTTGAGAATGCTAATTTTATACTAAGAAGTCTGACTTTTTATTTTTCCTGTTTAAATTAAAGCAAAGTTTGACTATCCGCCGGTCCGCACCCTTTCCTGCGAAGGTTCATCTCTATTTTCTATTTTAAACAAAATAAAATAAAATAGTTACAGAAATATGTGTGACATGATTTCTATTATTGACCAAATAGGAAGAGTAGGTTTGAGTTCATATTCAGTACGTATTATTTTTTTATTTATTTTTTTTATTGAAGAAATAATAAATTAAATTAAAGATTCAAGACAATATATAATTAAAGTAAAGGTGACAGACAGACAGACAGACAGCTTTTGACTATTTGATATTGACTTTGTATCTTTATTAGGAGCTTAGTAGTTGGCTTGGCATTTAATTTAATTTAATTTAATTAATTAATTTTTTAAAATTAGTGAAAGATGTAGTACAATTGGGTCATTATAAAAAATATGTATATATTTAGTGGGTTATGATGTCAAATGCAACTAATGGCAATTGGCAATTGCATGCGTGCTTCACCACTTTACTTGCCCTAATTAATTTATATAAATCACAAAAAAAATAATAATCAAGATCAAACCAAATCAAATCAAATCAACTATTCACTAATTAAATTAAATTAAAATTTAAATATTCATTTTTGGGTCACTAGAGAAACAGCTGGCCAACTCACTTTAATATATACGATATCATATTTAAAGTATTCAACATCTTTATTCGGACAGCACATTCTATATATATAATCAAAGTGCCACTATATATATATATATATATATAATTAATTTATGGTGCATAGGCAGGGCGTTGACAATTTCTGAAGTCAACCAATACCCACTTGAAAAGACAACGTTATAAATCAGGAACCTAAATGTCAACTCTGAGTGGAAGAGTATTGTTATGCATGGAGGAAGAAAGATGTAGGAAATAACTTAGCATTATTTAAAAATAAAATAAAATAAAATTGAATTGAATTGATTAGGGATTCGGTGGCTAATTGATTTAATTAATACGACTACACTAGTGATTGTGTTTTTTCAAGTGGTTGCTATTTTAATTAATTAATTAATTAATGTTGTTGCTACAAATTATATATGATTTTATTTAATTAATTGTTAGGACAATATTTTTATTCAAAGAAATACTGCAAATATTTCTAAGTAAGAAATAATTAAATATATTTAATCTTTACTCCACAATTATCTCATCACATCACTCAAATAAATAAATATTTTTTCTATGTCACTTAATTCTCAAATTATTCTATTTAATGCTATCTACTTAAATTCTCTTGTCGAACACAAATACTCCCTCCGTCCCATAACAAAGTATCTAATTTTTCGTTTTAGTTCATCTCATAACAAAGTATTCATTTCATTTTTTAGTAACTGTATTATCTATCTAACATTACAAATATCCTTACAACTTACAATATATTGCACAAATGTCGTTACATTTGTATCATACATACTAATAAGGTTATTTTAATCATTTCTACTACATCACAATATAATACTAATAATTTTAAAATTACGTGCAAAAAGCAAATAAATATCGAGTTATGAGATGGAGAGAGTATTAAACTTAGATGGAGAGAGGGTATTATTTAATACTATACCATCGCTAAAGCTGTTAACGATCCGAACCGAGCCAAATTTTAAGTGTTCGTTAACGTTCGCGAACAAGGCTCGTGTTCGTTCGTTAAGCTTTCGAGCTCGTTCGTAGTGTTCGAATTCGGCTCGTTAAGAAATTTTGTTATTTGAGCTCGTGTTCGTGTTTGGTTCGTTTAGGCTCGATTAAGCTCGTTCGAGTTTGTTCGAGCTCGTTTATCTTATTTCTTTTAAATTTATATATAAATTATAAAGAAAATTTAATATTATTTATTTATATATTTTAAATTAATATTTTATTTATTTATAAATTATAATTTTATCAGTATATATAATATTTATAATAAATATATTATTTAAAGGAATGTTTGCAAACGTTCGCGAACAAAACTCGGGCTTGTTCGTAAATCAAACGAGCTTGTTTATTTTGTTCGACTTGACTCGTGAACGTTCGCGAACGAGCTTTAACCGAACCGAATTCACGAACGGCTCGATTCGTTTAACAGCTCTAACCATCGCAACAATCATTTAAACCAAAAAAAAAATAAAAATCCATATCCAAGAAAAAATCACCAAAGAGAAAAAGGACTTCCATTTTTCCAATACGAAACCAATCATTGTAAATAATTTTGAATTTACTTTCAATATACATATATTTCATAATTTCATATCATATATTATGTGTTATTTATTTATACTTTATATATATATATATATTCTACCTAATATGATATGAAAAACAGATGCTATGATGCATTGATTGGAAATTAAAGTGAAGAACAGGAAGCTTCTATTCCATGTACACATTAGGTCAATGAAATAAATAAATTTGAATGGTCCCCATATGTATAAATTCAATAAATAGACTTTCATCATATTGAATCAATTCTAATTCCTATCAATAAGTCTTTGGTAAAGAGTCTTTTATACACACAGGATTTAGTCACTAATTGAATAGCAACATTGAATATTTGTTTACCAACTTTTGTGAATATTTATGATTTTTTTTTCTCATAAAATATTGCATCTCTATTATTATTATTGTTATTTTTTTTTTTCCAAAAAAAAAAAGTCACAAACTAAATGCACCTGCAAATACATTATATGTTAAATATCTATAAGATGGTTACACTTAATTAGGTTATCTAATGATAACAAATTAACATCCTACAATTGTTTGTAATTTTTTTATTAACCAATTCTTAAAATAAATAAATATATTTCACGCTCGAGACAGACAAAAAATGAAATGACAAAAAATGAAACATTGTAGGATATTTGAGACGAATGAAATATATTTTAATAAAAAATTAAGAAATTTTTTAAAAATAATTTAAAAAAACTTACGTTTTGATTTTTATTGTTTTATGTGAAACATATATTTAGTATAATATTTTATTAAAGATTATAAAATATATGGTAAGACTTAATTAAGGAAAAAAAACTCAAAAAGCAAATAAATTATATTATAGTATCATAAATTAAATAAAAAAAAAAAGTAAAATGGAAAATTATATAAAAATGATACAGTTTAGAAATTTTCACAAAAGTAAAACAAACAAAAGATTATGAGGAAAATAACACAAATATTTTTATTACTCCATTTATCTATTCAAAATTTCTTAATTTTCTATTTTAGTCGATCCATATGTTCTTATCTCTTTTTTAGTAAAGTTATATTATACACAAATACAAAATATCTTTATTTTATCATTACATTATTATTTATATATATGTAAAAAAAATAATAATAAAATTATCTTTGCATATCTCATTAATAAAATATTAATATACTAAAAATCTTGGGGGAAGTATTTTTTCAGTATCTTCTTATTAATTTTCTCAATTATGGACCCATAATTCTTTATAACCTAATTAAGGGGCTTTTCTGACATTTGGGCTTGGGCCGAAAGTAGCCACTCACTAAAACAAAATTTCTTTTTTTTTTTTTTTTTTTTTTTTTTTTTTTTTTTCAGTAAAAGAAAATTGAGAAACCATCACAATAGAAAACTTCTATATTGTTTCGATATATTTAAAAAAAATTATATCTTAATATGATATTTTATGGAATAAAATAATCTATTTTTTTATTGAAAATTGGATGTTAATTTAAAATCACAGACAAATAAATATATTATATTGTATTGAAATAAAATTTTGTACAATTTAACATATTATATATATAATAGTTCAGAAAAATCACTACTCGTGTAAGGAACATTATTTTTATTTTATTTTTTAAATGGTTTAGACTATTCCTTAATTAATTTTCTGAAATTAAAAATATTTTTGAGTAAAATTATTATCATTAATTTTTGTAATTTGATAGCTAGTTTTTATAAGAATTTAAATATATATATAATTTTTTTTTAAAACAAATTATACTTGTTCAAACAAGAATACAGTGTATTTCATCACACTTAGTCAGTCCATCCCTATATCATATTATCATTTATTAGCTATTAAAACTAACCATATATATTAAATCAAATAAATTTTGGAACTTTATATATGTCACAAATCCTCCCCTTTAAATATAAATTTAATGTTATTTTTACCTAAATAATTAAAGTTGGGTACAAAATAGTACATGAATGCACCATATATATATATATATAAAGTGGCTTGGACAGTTAGTACTGTATTATTTCAGTATGAAATCTTAAAATTTATTTCCAAATTATTTATTGTTACTATTAAATTTGGCAAGACAAAACTTAATAATTAACTACCATTGGTAATTGTTATTATTATTACATATAAATATTTTCAAAGTTAAGTAATTTTAATTACTTTTATATTTTAATGAAACGTTTATTTTTTATTAATCTCGTTGCTAAAAAGGGTAATGATTTGTAGGTACTCAATAAAGAGGGAAGTTTATAAAACTTTAACTATATCTATATACAGTTTTGGAAATTTTTGGTACTATTAATATATAGTAATTTTTATTAATTATATTTTTATTATTTTTAAAAATTTCAAAAATTTAAAATTGTTTTTCCTTTCAATCTAGATTAAGGGTAGAAGTTTAGATTTTTAATTCTAAAAAAAAAATATTTTATTAAAAAATAATAAAAGTAAAAAAGATAATTGAGAATATTTAAATTTTATTTAGGAAAAAAAAAACAAAGAAAGAAGGTAATAAAATAGTAGTAATATTTATTGAAACAGAAGATAGTTATAATAAATAATACATTATTATTATTATTATTATTATTAAAAAACGATATTAATAATCAAGCAACGGTTTTAAAGGCACCGCACGAAGCAATGAACTCGTCGATGCTGCGGTCGGAGCTCCCGCCGGCGTCCATGGCGGTCCTGGCCAGCTCCTTCCATTTCGCGGCGTTCCTCCGAATCGCCGCCCCCTTCTCCCCTACCATGACTTCCTCCACGCACACCTTCATCTTCTCCCTCCCGACGACCCCGTCCTCCCCCGCCGCCGCCCTAACCCCTATCTTCCACACATCCGTCACGAATTTGGCGTTGGTCGGCTGGTCGGACCACTGCGGCACCGCCACCACCGGAACGCCGAGGCTGAGCGCCTCCAGCGTAGAATTCCAGCCGCAGTGGCTGACGAAACACCCAACCGCCGGGTGTGACAGCACGTCCAGCTGCGGGCACCACGCCACAATAAGGGTTTCTTCCCCTTCCGTACACTCTTCCGGAACCTTCCGTTGCTCCGTCGACCGGACCACCCACAGAACCGGTTTTCCGGTCAGCTTCAACCCCCACGCCAGCTCAGCCATCTGCGCCTCCCCCAAATCCGTCACGCTCCCGAAAGAAACGTACACCACTGAAGCCGGCACGCGCCGGCTCAGCCACTCCATGCAGGCGCCGGTAGCCGGCTTGTACAGGCTCAGCCCGTAGTCGCCGTCGTCCGCCAACCGCCGGTCTAGGTAAACCGACGGTACCGTCGGCCCGATCGTCGCCACTTTTGAGAGCTTCCTCATATGCTCCACCAACTGTAAATAATTAAATGTAAAAAATAAAATAAAATTTATATGGACATTTTTTAAATTTTGTCACAATTTATATACTGGAGTATCTTTTTATTGTTACTAAAAATTTTAAAAATTTAAAACTCCAAATGTATGTCTAAATGCAGACATATAATCGACAAATGAATTTATTTCGATTTGTTACGAAATAATTATTATATATACCAGAATTAATAAAATAAAATAAATAACCTCTTTCTCCGACTCGTAAAACGTATTAATAATGAGCCAATCAGCTTTCGCCACGTCCTGAAATTGCAGAACCGCCAGTTTAAAAATCGTCGGGAAAGGTATATGCCCCGTCAGAAACGACGGCAGGTCTCCGGCGACCAACGGTGGCACTCCAGGAATAGTTATCTCCCTCTCGCCGGAGACCGGTATTTCCAGGTCGCCGGCGTAGGTCAGGTAGTACAAATAATCGACGGCGCAGGACTGAGTAAAGAACGGCGCCGCCAGGAGGCGGAGGTCCTTGGCGACGTCCAAAGCCCAGGGCAAGTACGAATCGTAAACGATACAGCTGACGTCGCCGGAATCGGCAATAATCCTCTCCACGGCTTCCTTGACGGACGCCGGCGCGACTTCCAGAAACCTCTGCGCGCACTCCTCGTGGTCGATTCCGGACGGAATTCCGTCGTCGTATCCGTCGGTGTAGGTTTCAGTGGAGATGGCGTCGGTAGGGAATCGCTTGGTTTTGGCCAAGTAATTGGTGACGAGGAGAGTGATTTTGAGGCCTTTGTGGTGGAGGCGTTTGGCGAATTGAAGCATGGGGTTGATGTGACCTTGGATCGGCCATGGGAAGATGATGCAGTGCGATTTTAGTTGCTCTGCGGATTCCGCCATTTTCGCCGGAGACGACGATGACGATGACATTAGTTGATGCATTTCTTGAATCCTTTGGGGCTAATATATAGTGCTGATGAGCTAGTCTCTACTGAACTAATTAATGAATCCCTTTTTATTTTTTAAATAATAATAACAATAATAATAATAATAGTAATAGTAATATAATAATAATAATAGTAATAATAATAATAATAATAATAATAATAATAATAATAATAGTAACAATAATTCTATTTAGTTGCTTGATATTATAGTCATATTATTTCTATTTTGAAGTGTAATAGAAAAATTGGTGATTTGGAACATTTTATTAAGTCATGTAATATTATTGTATTATTTGGTGTTTTTGAGTTTTAGATATTTGTGATTATTATTATTTTTAAGTATTCAATTTATTAATTTTCTAAAAATTCATTTTTATGATTTTTAAGTTTATCTAAAACATTGTATAGAATTATATATTAGTTGATGTTCTAATTAATACCTATTGTAGGTCATGTTCATGATGTGGATTGTTTTTATCATAACTCGATTTTGTTAGGATATGGGTGAAACTATTATTCTACCATTCATAAATTTGAATTTCTAAAAATATTAGTCAAACATTTATCTTTTACTTTTTTATATTATACATCAATATTTGAATATATCACATTAAACAATGTAAATTTATACTATTCTTAACCCCAAACCTTCCTTCTGTGCATAATCACACCTATAAATTAAAATGTTTTTCGAAATTTAGTATGATACATTAATTAAAGTGTAAATGAGCTCGAAAACTTTTTAATCCACTCTTACATAGAAAGAATCTTAAGATTTTCACGACAGCATATAATAATAGGAGAGAATTCGAAGCGAGTTTCTAAAACATCTTATTAGTGACAAATAGGAAAAAGATCGTTTAAACTTTCTGAATTTATATTGCGAATATAAAAAGTTCTCCAAAAATCTCGAAACTTTGGAAATCATTATTTTGTCTTGTATATTCAACGTACATGAAATATAAGATTGAACTTAAATTTTCTCATTAACCAAAGTGGTAAAAATTAGAATTAAAATTTTGATACCATGTAAGATTTGATAGCATTTTAGAACATGAGTTACAAATCCCTTGGCTCTATTCTCTTTTAATTTTTCTTAAAAAGTTACAATTCAAATATTTTATTTTATTTTTATTTTTTTTTATTTTTTTTTAATATAGAATATTATATCCAATTACTATTTAAACAAAAAAATAAAATACAAAACTAGATGCAAAAAGAACAACCGTTATTTCAGAATGAGTAATTTTTAGGATATACACAAGTGTATTTTTAGAATTATACCAAATTTTATCAAATGCTTACATATTTCAAAAATCAAAATAATACTATTATTTACGCAGAGAAAATATTACCCAAACCTGCAAAAGAATAATATCATGACCATAATATACTCAATTATTTCAAGAATATTATAATTGTACAATATTAGAAAACACATGACACATTTTATTTTCACATTGTTTTTGAGATTTTATCAATTATACATTCCTAGAAAAAACACATCAAACTTATTTTTATTTAAATACTAAATCATTATTTATATATATATATATACCTCTGATATAGAACATCACATATTCATCCATAAATTAAAATACACACCTAAACCACTGAAGGTAACCTAACCTCGTTAGCTACCACAGAAAAAGGCAATTATCACAAGCACATAAATATGCAAACAACAATGGTAACATCAAAATGTGCAATTATGGAATAACATTTCATTTCCAAGATTCCTGTTAATATTGAAACCCCGGACATAGTTCCCAGCGCATCCACTTGCGGAGACGGGACGGGACCGGATCATCGTTAAAATCATGTATGTATATGTGTTTGTGTAGCCTGTATGTATGTATAGATATAAACAGAAAGAATTTCTTTTAACATCTGGGATTACCAATGAATGCCTGCCTGTCTCTACTCGATTCAAGACATCCTTCGCCACGTTCCAGCCAGCGAGCGCAGCCTGGAACTCATTCTCGGAAATACCATTAGTTTTCACGCCAGTGCTGTGAAGGTGCAGTCTCCTGCCTTAACAGGTTAAGTAAGCTCCATGGATTTATCTATGTTCTTAAGACAGACATTCGAAGTTTTCTCCAGTAACCCATCAGATCTATACATACCTTGTATCAAGGATAGGGTTGCGCAATCCAGAAATTACCCTCTTTATAATCTGATCACCAGAATGGAATGTACATTTGGGAGGCTCTCACAGACTAGCTTTAAGCCTTCCCATTTTCATGGATAATGTGAATTGTTCCATCACCTGGCAAGCTGCCATTTCCATATGTTAAGCTGACTTTTGCATCTTCCCCTTCCGAATTGTTGAGGTGGCAGTCATGTGGCGAATGAGTTGCTTCTGCAGATGTTCTATCTTCAGCCTGAACACATTTCCTTTTCGGGCTTTTTCCAAGAAAACCTGGGGGAAAAAGTGGCTTCTTTCCTGATGAGCTTCCTTCACCTGCTTTCTTAGCAGCATTTTCAAAATTTTCGGAAGAAAGGGATCCTTTACCATACTTGGCACGTGGGGTGAATGTAGAATTAGCAGGGTTTGCTTTATCTTGGACCTTAGCATTGGTAATATCCATGGCTGAAACATTACAAGCAGCACTGTCTTCCTTGAAGAAATGTGTCTCAGCAACACAAGATTCCTTGGTCAACTTTCTCATTGAGCTTACATTGACATTAACTTCACTGTCACAATTTGCATTCTCGCCATCAGAAACAGAGACTGATGATTCTGAATCCTCAGCATCAAATCGTGTACAGGCATTGTTGATCAAGGACATTTTGGTGGAGTTTGGCAGCATGTCAACTTTCCCAGGATGAGTAAGTGTTTCAGGATTCTTGGACAGTCCCTCGTTGCTATTAAGTTCAAGATCCTTGACAATGGACAAACTCTGGCCAGATACTACCATTTCCATATCCCCTCGGGCATTTTCTGAATCTATAAGGGATGACGATACTTTCTCACAATTGATTTTATTACCTGCACAAATAATGGTTAAAGGTTGCTCAGAATCAACTGGACTACCCATGCATGCCGCAATAGAAGAGCAGCCAGCAGGTTGCTTCAGTGAAGGATCTACTTCATGAGTTTTAACAATTTCACTTTCTTCTTTCTTCAACAAGTCCGTTAATAACAAGCATGATGGGCGGGCACAAGTCCTGCATAAAATGAAAATATTGTTAAACCTAAATGTGAAAATATCATGCTCGTGACAAAGCTCTGTGCTGATCTGGGACAGTTTATGGCTACTGGGGCAGATGTTCAGGGAAGTGGAGCTCATTCTTTTGTGCATGTATTATACTATTATTAATTGTGCTTCACAGTTCACAACGCTCATTTTGTCATAAAGACTTATATATTTATTATGATTGCTTTATATAAGAAAAACTCGACAATATTTTAGTAAAAAAACATTAATTACGAATTATAACTTGACAATATTTTAGTAAAAAAACATTAATTACGAATTATAACTTGACAATATTTTAGTAAACTTGGTACTTCATAAAGAGCCACAGTGCTTATCAAAACATATAATTAGTAATTAAAGGTTCAGATATTTTCTAGCAAAATCATGAATGTCTCTACACCTTGTTCATGGTATTATGTTAACATCAACTCTCAAGAATATTTCATAGGGATTAATCAAAAGTGGAACTCTTTAACAATGTCTTCTGTTCTACTCAGAAGCAACTTCTAAATTATTTAGACTTCCTAGAGACTTTAAGAACGCTGTGTCGCTGTCCTTTAAATTAGTTATCCATCAAGGACTTGAAGCAACTTGCAAATAACTTAAAAAGAATTCTAACGACTAACGGTATCTCTATCATATTAATAATGCCTGCAAAGAAACGGAAATTACCTACTATACAAGAGCATATAGGCTCCCTGGGAAAGTACGTCATCCAAGTCAACCCTAGCAACCTGAAAATGAGAAAAATATTAAAATACACTCAATTCAAGTCAAATTAGACTTATTGGGTACCACATTAAAGTTGGTATTTAGAAAAGTAAAATGCATGAGTATGGTTTGTTTAAGCCAGATCTTAAATACAAGCTTGCGATCAGAAAATCTGTGATGCGCTTAAAGAAAGCCTTCCTATTAGAACAAGGGCACATTAACACATGTAAGCTGCTAGAAAGAGAAAAAACAGCAGAAAGCAATACCTTACAATCATCAATCCTGTACCAGGTTCCGCGGAAGTCCTTAACATAGCAGATATAGTGACCAAAAAATGATGCATTCAGCATATCTACATGGACGATAACAGCATATAACTTGTATATATTTCCTTCTTCCAATTCACTCATGTACGGGCTGAGATTCAGTGTTTCTGGGAAGGTCACTCTCTTATTAAGTTTCCCAAATCTTCCACTCTGCAGGTGGTGCATTTGTAAACAGCATCAATGGAAACTCTCATTTCATGGCCAAAACTTAGATTGCAAGTATCATAGTTGACATAAGTAATTGCTCCAAGAACACACACACACACAGTACATATGCGCAGGATAAATAATAGATTCAACAGGCACACCTGAAATCTTTTCAAGGCAATTGTAAGAATGTTTGGTGCTTGCTGTATGGTAAGGCGCTTCCATGCCATGACATAAGCATTGCAACTGCAATAAACTCATTCTAATTGGTCAAAAACTACACACTCAAAGCTAGTTAATGTAAAATGGGTAAACACTTGTATGGTTAGTATAAATAATGCTAGCATCAAATGAAATTGCAAGCCAAAGAAACTGAATGGAAGTAGATAGCAACTAGAAAGGGTAGAAAAACTAGTAATGATCCAAGTTCAAAGAGCTGCCAAGCGGAATAGGAAATATCGAATAGTAATGAATTAATGACGCAAGATAAATAAAAAAAAACGTTCAGCCATAGGGAAATTAAAATCAACTACAGCCAATGTGGTGCAATGGTGGTAAGTCATTGTACCAGACGGAAATTGGAAATTAAAACTATGAATATGGTTTATAAAAATAAACTAAAAATTTCAGTATCCTTGTGGTTTTTGGCTTAACATATAATGCTTACCCATCGCATTTATACATATTGTCCCCATGAAGTGACTCTTTAGCAGTGAACTGATCCAAACACTCCTCCAAAGATCCAGCATCACCATGAATTTCCACAGTTAAATCCATCATATTCTCGAATTGGTTTGAAACATTATTACATTCTGCACATATAACCTAAAACCCAAATATTATTAACCAAACATGGTGAAAGCAATAAAAGAAACAGAGAGAAAGGGGCATGAGAGAGGATAGGGCCCAGGGGACAGCGAGTTGCATTTTGATAATTAGGGAGACAAACAAAGCATTCCATAAATAAGAAGTAATATCCCAACAAGCAACACGTCACATATTTGATTACGATACTTAATGCTTTGTGAATAGTGTAATGGTATGATGCGATAACAAGAGCCATGACTTAATCACTAGCACTGTAAGGGATATTGCTGCATCACTTCTATCAATGAAGCACACTCCATACTTCACATCAAACAACAAACATGGTTTATATATGAAGACTACCTGCGAACGAAGACGACCGCCAAATATATGTTGAATAAGGGTTGTCGCCTGATAATTAGGATGAACTACTTTTTCCCCACCAAATTCATCAAGGCATACAGATTGCATTGTGTCAATGGCAAACCTATACAATTATTGTAATCCAACCAAATTGATCTTAGCACATCGACTAGTATACTTCAAAACATCTTTCCTGAAACTGTATAAAGGGAGTAGAATGGGAATTGAATCAGTGTGAAACATCTAATATAGACCTCATGAACTCGTGGGCATCCTCTTGTTTCCCATAGCCAAGATTGCCACCAATATTAGGCAATCTTGAAAGAATGTTCATGGGAGAAAATGGATTGACACTTCGGCTAGCTCTTTCCACATGTGTTTGAAACTCACACAAAAAACACCAATCGTCTCGTTGACCTAGATACAGAAAGATCAATTAATAGATATAATATATATAAAATGAAAATGAATACAACAAAAAGAATTGATGAGTAATAGTCATGAACAAAGAAAATTACATTCACTGCGATGGCCTTTCTCCAACAAGTAGACAACAAGAGGACGGGTATACGAAAGACATTGAAGGACCACATTAGCAAAGCAGCTGTAATAAAGCAGGCAGGGGAAAAGGTTGCTACCTGAAGTTATATGACAGAAATCAATGGTGAATAAGATCTTCATTTACCTGTTTCCACAGTTCAGAAGTCCACAGGGAGGGTAACCGGGCTTGTCCCATTTAAAATATTCTACAAACTCTTCATATGGAAAAAGTATCTGTAAACAAAATAAGTCCTGGTCAAAGCAAGTCAACGCTTATGTATGATTATTATTATGGAACATGAGCAGTGAATACTCTGTTTGCTGGTTTAAGTTTCTTGGAGTTTCCACCCGCTGGACCTAAAGTTTTCCTTCCTCGGTGAGTGGATGATGATGTTTGGATGTGGTTAGCTTTGTGACATGATTGAAAATCCTTGCAGGTTGTCTTATGCTCAGAATTCCAATGAGACCTTTGACAAGCTTCAGAGCTATAATTCCAGGTACAATGTTAAGCAAGTAGTAGGATCAGAATCAGTTAAAATTTTAGGAACTAACTTATATTCAGATAAGCATCCCTATAAGTTGCGCATCAATTGCTTCCATGAACCATTATTAGAATTGCATAAATCGATATTTTGACATTCTCACAATCATGGGTCATTTTAAAAGGACCAGTCAACGGGAATAGCAACTAACATATGCTCTATCTGATGACATGAAACATTAAATGCAGGATTTACTCTACAATCTGTCAAAAGATTTATAGATACAATCATATTACAATAGGTTCTCTTCTCTAAATGCGTCAATATACAAAACATTAATGACTTAGAAGCAAAACCCAACCAAAGCTTAAACCAAAGAATAATCGTCTAGTAGTAAAACATCATGAAATAAGTTAGGAGACAAACACTCAACAGAGCCTGTGCTACACTAAGATTTGTACAAGTTATAAGTTTTGTCACCACTTTGTGGAAAATCGTTAGGTATGAATATGTTAGATACCTACATATATTCATATAGGCAAATTTCAGTCCTGGATGAACCTAACTACAACATTAATTTCTCTATTATACCTTTAAAACACAACCTAATAACTAAAATAGCATTGGCCATTCCATAACCTAAAATTCATCACTCTGCAACAGAAAAATAATAATAATAATAACAAAAATAAAAACCACATGTTTCCACAACAGAATTCGCATGCAAGTACAGAGCCAAGCATCACTCCACAAATCGCTAAATATAAAAAAAATATATATGAATTAACAAAAAGGTAAACGAAAAGCACAGCCGCTATTACCAGTACTTAACCATCTTGCAGCGAGCACACTGTTTCTTCGTCAGAAGCCCGCAGACGACGCAGGCCGTACTCTCCGTTTTCCTGCGATCCAATGAGGAATAATCCGCGGCGGAGGTATCGAAATTGGAGTCCACCACAAAATACCTAGAGGCAGTGTCCCGCACCAGATACAGCAACCCGAAGGCTCCCGCGAATGCCAGCACTATAAACTGCAGGAACCAGTTAAGATCCGCTGCGACATGCATTTATCAATTCGCAATTTCCGCCTTACAGTGCAATTCTCAATACTACAAAATTCGCACACCATTAATCAATCAAGCGTATGAGAATTAGGGTTTCTGTAAATTTTTCGCGTGGGAAAGGGGAAACTGTCGAAACTGGCAAAGGCACCCTTCGTTCCTCCAAATATACAAAATTCCCTAAAATATTTTCTTCTTTCCACTCGGCCCTTCCTTTTCCGTTGCAGCTCGAAAATTCAACTCATAAGTTTAAGCCGCAGATTTCCATTTTTACTCTCTCTCTTCTTCTTTCCAGCTCCAGGGCAATTTCGTCTCTTCGTCTTATGTATAACAAATTAAAGTTTATTTTTTTTAATTTTAAACTGAAATAATATTATTCACAACTTACATAATAAAAATATATTATTATTTTTTTTTAAATTATTAAAATATTATTTAAATAAAAATTCATTTTAATATTATCCAAATTTAAATCCATAATTTCATTGTCACAAACTCATTCCAACACCACTAGACCATATAAATAATTGAATTTTTCTAAAATATCTAGAATATAGAGAAAAGATATCACAAATATTTTCTCTTATCATATCCACGTTGCCGTTTCTGTCCTTCCCCACGTACTATGTCACTTTCCTTTTTTGCAAAATGATTACACACTTTAATCTCATTTTAAATTTTTAATTTTTTTTAATTTTAATTAAACTAATTGTTTATTTTAATTTTAATTTATAATTATTTATATTATATGATAATTATTTTCACTAATACATTCTTAATTATCTACTAATTACACCCCTCTTCCTAAAATACCGTGTCTACAGTGCAGCAAACACGGTATCTGGGACGGAGGGAGTACTATTTATGTCCCACTACAAATTTTTATTGACTAGTGCAAGCGAGCAAGAGATTTTTGAAATTATTGTCCTATGAATTTATGTATAAAGTAATTATATGTGTAATTGAGATAATAAAATAAAAAATTAACCGAGACAATATAGATGAATGTGTTGTTGTGTATTAATGCCATGTGATTACCAACTGAATTTTGCTGAATAAGTAGTTAGCAGTTGAAGGGAGAGTGTGTGTATGTGCCGAGTTTTAAATAATGGAAAAAGACAGATGAGAAGGGACACGCGAATTAAAAGTGCCTCAATTATACATACAACTATTCAAATATTTAAATAAAATAAAATAAGTTTATATATCTGTCTGTTACCAAATAATACTCACTAGCATTTAAAAACATCACAAGCTTTGCTTCGTACTACTATTAATAAAATTAAATGACACGTAAGAACATGTCACACAACACTTACACTATGGACAAAGTGTTGATTAGAAGGGTTATATTATTATTATTATTATTATTATTTAATATATATTTGAGTGTTTTTATTTTGGGCTTTTGGATATATGTGCTTTTTGAATGTTTGATAAGAAAAAATGCTAATATAAAAAATTAAAAGTATATGAATTTGCTTTATAACAGTTTTCTTTTTCTTTTTGAAGAAAAATAAAAAATAAAAAAATTATAATAAATGATAAAAAATAATAAAATAGCTGTTTAGCCATAATAAATTTATAAAATATAACAATATAACTTACAGATTGAAAATATTTTTTACTATAATACTTGCTTTCTTTACATTTTTTCATCCATTTTTTTTCCTAACACGATTATGTCTTTTGAAAAAATAGTACAAAAATAAAATTATATTTAAATAAAATAATAATAAATAAAGAAAACTATTTTCTTTCAAACCTGTATTGTATTGATACGATTCTCAAATATATATTAAAAATAATATTTTTATTGATAGTTAATTTTTTATTAAATAATTAATTTTTTATGAGTGAATAAAAAATATTATATATATATTGGATGAGTGTATATGTATACTATATATTTTTTTAATATATAATAATTATGAAAAATTGTTCGATTAAAAATTACTGAACAAACCCAAAATAGCCACCAAGAAAATGAATAAAGAAATCATGCAATTATTACCCATATTTTACTCTCTCTCTCTATATATATTTAAATAAATAATAAATAAAATTAGAATGATAAAAAAAAATAAAAGAAAAAAATATCAAAATCGGTCTCATTAAAATAGAAAAAACCAAAATCAATATTGATCATAATATGACAAACTTAAAAAAAAATAAACTCATTGAACAAATATGACTGCATTTGAAATAGTAACATAAATGTTGGCGGAATAATATCTTTAGGTAATTTTGGAAATATATATTTTTGGATAATATTAATATTACTATATTTTATGCATCCAATAAGTTGGAATTTGACTACATTATCATAGCAGTATTTGAAATTATTAAAAAAATTTATGTCATTTGCCATTTTTTTTTTAATCATTCCCGAAACCAAATCGTACAGCTCAATCAAGAGTTCGACGAAGTATTGGAAATGAAAGAACAAATAAAAGATAAAGATAAACAACTCGATGAGATTGATCGAATTCGCCTTAAGAGCTGGTGGGAACAAATACCTATTGACAGCCTAAATGCGAATCAAGCCCAAGAGTGGATCGCCTTGTTTGAAAACCTTTGTGCCCTAGTCCGCAAACCAAAAGACGAGATCATGAATGGCGTCGGCACTACCTAGCGCCATTGGAAACGGTGGTCCAATGGTGGAACGATTGAAGGCAACAAAGGCGGCAATGGCTAAGGCTCTCAAAGGGACATGTCATTTGGTTCGATATTGATCAATTCAAATCAATTACCAACAAAAATATACTTTGTTATCAAAGAAACCCCATATATTTTGTTATCCAAGGAATTCATGGATACTTTCTCCCAAATGATCAAAATCTAGCCAATGGCATCGGCAAAAGTGGTGGCGATGACTTTAGGAATGGTGGCGGTGGTGACGAGTTCTAACTTGTGATTCTCATAGTGTCGCAATCACAATGTAATGGCCGCAATAGTGATTGATCTAAAAGAAATTTGTGATCTTTTGTGATTTGTAAAATTTGATATATTTTTTTTTTCAATATATATATATAATTTATATTTGAAATCTGTCTCCAATCCTTATTTACCGCCGCTCCCCCGCCTTGTGCGTCATCCCCAAGGCGGCGGCCTCTACTGCTAGGGCTGCCGCAGTCTTTGTCTCTCAAATTCTAATGACACCCTCTCTTTGCCATCTCGACTTCATATCTTTGTTTAAAAGACTTTTAACTTAATTAAATCAATTAGTATTAAATAGAGTAGTTTTCACCTTATAAGTTAGGGGAGTCCCAAAATTTATTCCATGTGAGATATATTAAGTGATGAAACTAGTTGTAAAAGTTCGAGGGCAAAATGTTGATTCATTTTTATTTTTTAGTGTTATCGTTTTCAATTTGTCCCAACGCATCATGTATAAAAAAAATTAATAAAAAGGATAAAAATTATATATTAAGATAAAAATGAACAAACCTATAAGAGTCGGATAACAATTTGTCTTCGAAAATTATAAAATGAAAGGATTATTTATTTATTATATTCAAAAAATTATTTAAGATATTTTACGTTTTTTTATTTGTATAAAACTTTCATAATTTAGGTCTTTATTTAAAATCAAATATATATTTTGGACAAGAAGGATGTTTTGTGCAAATTTGACATAACAAAAGGGAGTTTCACGCAATAAATATAAAACACAGAGTGTTTTTGTGCATTTTTAGCAAAAGCAGGAGGTGTTATATAATTTATTCGTTTACTAAATTTGATAATTTATGAAACTAATTTTATACAAATCTAGTTATGATTTAAAATGATAAAAGAAAAAAAAAATTATGTGTGGAATTGAAAAATATTTCTCTTAATAAAAATTTTCAATATATATATATATATATAGTAACTAAGAAAAAGATTGAAAATATTTTATGAAGTTACTGCTACCTGGGTTTTGCTTGCCAACTATGATTCACCTAATTCGACCGGTGCTTTATCCGGAGCATTACCCGAAGTGGCTGCCATTCCACATTTAAAAAAAATAAAATAAAATAAAATAAGAAAATAAAATTATAATGATAAAAAAATAAAAAGTTTTATGTATTTGTGATAATTCTTTATTAGTAATTTTATAGGATTCAAAAATAATTCTAAAGTATTACAAACACTGTATTTTAGAAACTGTATTTGTAATAAAGAATAATACTTCATTCGTCTCAAATACTGCTCAACAATTTGAGACAATTTGAAGATTAGGTGACGTGATTGGAGAGAGAAATACATAGAGAAAATTGTAAAAATATATCATATGTATACATCATTGTCACTTTTGTTATGTATTTATCTCGCTGACAAAATATATCCTACACGTTTGCAAAAGTTGTTATTTTTATCCTTTGGCCGCGAACATGTATGATATATTTTGTCAGCGAGATAAATATATGACAAATGTGATAATGAGGTATACATGTGAAATATTTTTTGCAATTTTTCTGAAATATATATTTATTTTTTATTTAAGTAATGCATAAAGTAAAATGTATATATATATAATTAATTATTTTTAAATTCGAAAATATTGCAGTGAATTTGAAAAAAAAAAAAAAAAATTTGTCAGGGTTTGAGTAAGAAGCATCTTAAATCAAAGATTGACTTTATAAGAGAGAATAAAATATATATTATACAAATAACGAGAAATTCTGTTGGACAAACAAAATAATCATTCTTTATTTTTTTTATAATATATTATTTTAATGCATACATTTTATCAATAAAATCTTAAATATAATTGCGTTAGATTGCAATTATTAATTTTTAAAAATTATGTCATTAATTACTTACGCTAATTGAGAATACGGCGCGGTCTATATAAAGATGGATATTACTTATCCGTCATTCATACATTCATTGACACAAAATCGTATATGTGTTCATTATAAGCAATTTGTATTCCAAACAATGGATGCCAATAAATCATTAGCTATATATTGCAAATATACCGAATATATAGCTCGATCTTTGGTGAGTCATTTCATATGTTGTTTATAGCATATCTTAATATTTTGCTCATTTTTCTCTATTTATGTTCTTCTTCCTTTATTTTTTTCTTTTGATTCATTAGAACTTTTGAAAATGGGATTTTTAGTGTTTGAATTTTATTCACTTTGTATAAATCTGTAGAAGCTGCATTTTATTTTTTATTCTTAACAAAATTTATTATGCATATATATTTTTTTAAAACAATAGTAACGTAATTATTGGTAAAGCTTTTAGTTGTATTTTTTTTTATATGTACGAATAATTGTGTTGATAATATAAAATAATATTTTATGTTAGAAATGTTGATTTTTTTAAGATAATTGAATATATATTGTTTATATTATACAAATATGTATGTAGATTGTATTCTTTTATTAATATTTATCGGAAAATCGAATTAGAAATAATTAGTTTGATGAACAAATTTTCTGTAAGTATAAAATTAATTTTTACTAGATTTTATGCATCAAATCATTTACAATTTGACTATATCACTATAATAGTATCTGACATTATTAAACTTGTATTGTTATTTGCCATATTTTGTTAGTAGTAACTAGTAAAACCATTAATTTTTGTTACTAAATATCCAATTTTCATTTCTAAATCAAATTAATATTACTATATTAAATTCATCAAATTATTAAAAATTTGACTAACTCACTTAAATAGTATTTGAAATCATTAAAACATTATTGTTATTTGCCATATTATTTCAAGTACTCCAAGTACATTAATTTATGTTACCTATTATTCATTTTTCGTATTTATCCCACAAACTAAAAATGCAAATATACAATTAATCACATTTATTGCTAATCCAACATTTTCAACTATAAATACATACTATACACTAATCCACAATCACATCCTTCAAGCTTGGAACAATTTTCATACAATATTCCTCATCTTTTTGTATCTTATTTCCCATTTATTTCTATTCGTAAAATGGCAGGTAGGCAAACCAGGGGCCGACAGAGAATCCCTATCCAGTTCATTGAAAGCCAGGACGACATGTATGCCACGTTTTCGAAACGTCGCCTTGGCCTTTATAAAAAGGCCAGTGAGCTCAGCACCCTGTGCGGTGTTGACATTGGATTAATTATCTTCTCTCCTACGGGAAATCCATACTCGTTTTTCAGTCCGGGTGCGGAGGCGATTATGGAGAGATACCGGAATCCCGACCAGCCCGTAAGCGGCATTCCTCAGTTCATCGACGATCATTCTAGAACCCAACTCGTGCAGCTCAATCAAGCGCTCGATGAGGTTCTAGAAATGAAAGAACAAATCAAAGATCGAGAGAAACAACTCGATGAGGCTGATGGAATTCGCCCTAAGGGTTGGTGGGAACATGTCCCCGTTGAGAGCCTGAATGCGAACCAGGTCCTAACATGGACCACTTGGTTCGAGAATGTTCGGACCCAAATTCGCACTCGGAAGGAGGAACTTAGGAATGGCGCTGGTACTAGCGCCGCTCCCGGTTCCACCCGTTAGCCGACTTTATTAATGTATATATATATATTATATTATGTTGTTTAATACATTTTACTAAAATAATAAGTTATGTTAAAGAAAAATATCTTGTTCTTATATTCGACTTGCTGTGTGTCTCTTGAGTTTATTAAGAAAAAAATTAATTAATTGATTGAATGCTAAATGTACTTTTAACTTTTAATAATAAATTAATTCAATATGGAGTACAATTGTTAAAATATGTTGAATCCATTGGATTGACTTACTAAAAGGGGTCAGTTTACATGTGAGCCAATTAAAATTTGACAACAATAATTTATTATATTAGTTATAAAATATATAATTTTAATATTTAATATATTATTTATTTAATCTTAGATGTTATGTTTTATATTATTATTTTAAAAAATTAAATTAGTTTTATAATTCAAAATTATATATGTTTTGGGTCTTTCCATTCACTAATAATAGAAATATTTTAGATATCTATAAAGAAAATAGACACGCCAAATGTAGAGGTATACTATTAAAAATTAGTTAACATATTATTTCACATTAAAGTATTTTTTATGTTATTATATTAATGCATAAATTTATTATTTATCTACTAAATAAAAAATACTATTGTTTTGACCCAACGTGCAAATAATAGATATATAACGGTTTATGGACTTATGTGTATATTAATATATTATTCTTTTTATTAATATTTCGGCAAAATTTTATACACAAATTTAGCCCATAGCCCAATTCCTTAAATTTTTCATATTTAATAATTAATTTATGAAAAATCTTTTTCAAATTTGACGAATTGTGATAATATTAACAATAATAATGCATTTTGTTCAATATAAAATTAAATTTACATTAATATGCAAGTTAATTTATATTTCGATACTTTCAATAATTTTCGTAAATTTAAATTATGAAACTTTCAAATATTTAGAAAATTGATGAATAATTATACATACCATATATATATATATATATGAAGCGGTTAAAATAATTTTACCTTCCAATGAAAATTTATAATATCCAACAAAAATCATGACAATTGCTGCACATTAATAAAATCTTCCAAAAAGAAAAAAAAGAGAAAATAATTTTTGGATATACTATTTTCTCTAAATATTATTAAAAATATTATATATATATACACATATTAGCATAATATATAATATATTTATTAAAAAAGTCAATAATTCAATACAAATATTATTTTTATGTAATTGATACGAATTTTTATATCTAACATAAAAAAATTATATATTCATTCAAAAATATAAAATAAATATACTGAATACTTCACTTGTAATTTTATTCGATTCAATAAAAGTTTACGGTATATCTTGGACTTTAATTTATTTCAAACACTATTATTATTGAAATGTAAGTAAAACTATGATTATTTAATTTCATCGATAAAATTTTAAATTAAAGGTAATTGCATTAACTCTCGATTATTATTTCTTTTTTTAAAAAAATATATCATTAATTACTTACGCTTAAAGAGAGTCGACAATGATCTATATAAAGGTCGAATTTTGTGCGTCATTTTGACATCTATTAATACAAAAACATATCTTGTATATATGTTCATTACATGCAATTCATATTTCGGACAATGGATTCCGATAAATCATTAGCTACATATATTGCCATACAATGGCAAGTATGTCGAATGGTTCAATATTTGTGAGTTATTTCATTTGTTGTGTATATTATACGTACTCATATTTTAATATTTTCCGCATTTTCTTATTATTATTATTATTTTTTTTTCTGTGGGGCTGGGGTGGCGGGATTCATTAGAACTCAAATTTGCATTAGAACTTTTGAAAAATGGTTTATAAATTTTGCATTACAGTTGTAATATGAATATGTTTGAATTTTTTTATTTATGCATGAGATACAAATCACTAAAACTTGGAGGCGTATTTGGTTGTGATTTTAAATCGAAATCAATACTATTTATACTATACGGTTTTTAAATAATTATATTTTTTTTATATAAAATATCTTATTAAAATACTATTTAAATAAAAATTTAAATCAATATTTCATTTCAAATCAATTTGAAATGTATTAATATTACTGCTAATATTGGAAAAATGATATAATTTTATGTAACTAGAATTTTTATATTTTTTACTAAATTACTTAAATAGTAGTACTCCCTCCGTCCCGTAAAAAAAGTATCCATTTTTCCATTTTAGTCCGTCCCATAACAAAGTATCCATTTCTTTTTTTAGTAACTGTACTATCTACCTAACATTACAAATATCCTTACAACTTACAATATATTACACAAATGTCATTAACTTTATATCATACATACTAATACTAATAAGGTTATTTTAGTCGTTTCTACCTTATTCATACTATATCTCAATATAATACTAATATTTCTAAAATTACGTACAAAAAACAAATGGATATTTAGTTTCGAGATGGAGGGACTATATGGAATTATTAAAAAATTTATTGTCAGTTGCCATATTTTATCAAATACTACAACTACATTAATTCTGTTACCAAATACTCATTTCTTTATAAAATTAGTATTACTATATTTTATGTATTAGAATTCGACTAAATCACTTAAATAGTATCTGAAATTATTAAAAAATTTATTGTCATTTGGCATAATTTTCCAAGTAACTACATTAATTTTGTTACCAATTGTTCAATCATTTAGAATTTGACTAAATCACTTAAATAGTATATGAAATTTAAATTTTTTTATTGTCATTAGCCATAGTTTCAAAAGTAACTATATTAATTTTTGTTACCTATTACCCAATCATTTAGAATTTGACTAAATCACTTAAATAGTATATGAAATTATTACAAATTTTATTGTCATTTGCCATATTTTCTCAAGTAATGCTACATTAATTTTTATTACCAATTACCCATTTCTAAAAAAAGTTAATATTACTAATACATTATTTTTGTTACTAATTATCCATTTCGAAATAACAATATTACTATATTTTATGCATCAAATCATTTAGAATTAATCGACTAAATCGCTTAAAAAACATCAAATTTAATTGATATTACTATATTTTATGCATCAAATCCTTTAAAATTTAACTATTTCACTTAAATAGTATGTGAAATTATTGAAATTTTTATTGTCATTTACCATTTTTTTCCAAGTACTACAAGTGCATTAATTTTTGTTACCAATTATCCCATTTTCGTTTATACATAATTGACGAAATAATTCTACATACTAAAAATGTAAAAAATACAATTAATCACACATTATTGCTAATCCAATTTTTTCAACTATAAATAGACCCACACCTAATTGTAAATCCATCATCACATCTAGCAAGCTTTATACATTTTCCTTACAATATTCCCTCCTAATTTTGCCTTTTATTTCTCATTTATCTGTATTTTTAAAATGGCTGGTAGACAAACTCGAGGCCGCCGAAGAATTCCTATTCGATTTATTGAAAACCAAGAGGACATGTACGCTACGTTCTCTAAGCGTCGTCTTGGCCTTTATAACAAGGCGAGCGAGCTCAGCACTCTTTGTAGTGTTGACGTTGGAGTAATTATATCGTCTCCAAGAGGAATCCCACACTCGTTTTATAGTCCGAGTATGGGAGTTGTATTGGAGAGATACTTAAATCCCAACATGCCCGTGAGCGGTGTTCCTCGATTCATCGACAATCATTCCCGGAACCAAATCGCACGGCTCAATCAAGAGCTCGACGAGGTTCTGGAAATGAAAGAGCAATTAAAAATAAGGGATAAACAAGTCGATGAAATTGATCGAACCCGTCCCAAGGGCTGGTGGGAGCAAGTACCTATCGAGAGCCTGGATGCAAACCAGGTCCAAATGTGGATCTCCCGATTCGAGAACCTTCGTGCCCAAATCCGGGCTCGTAAGGAAGAGATCGAGCACTGCGCCTGAACTAAACCGTTTCCTGCCTCGCACTTTCAACGTCTAGGGCCATCTTTAGGAAGACAGTTGAGGGGGATGATCCGAGCAACTACCCTTTCAAAGTTTAGCAACAAACAACCCTTGAAAATCAGAAGAAGGGCAATGATTCTACCCCAGTTTGTTATTTAACTGGGGAGGATGATAATGCTGCTGAGCTTTTTTGAGAGTTTGCCTGGGTACTTTCCCCTGAATGGTCAAAGCCTAGTCGATGGCTATGGAGATGGTCAATAATGGTGGAAAGATTGGAGGCAATGGAGGCGGCGAGGGTGATGGCGAGGGTTCTAATATATAATTCTCGAATTAAATATTATTTTGATATGATATTTTGTGAGAGAACATAATGTATTTTTATTGGCCTATAGAAGCGGTCAATAATGGTGGAAAGATTGAAGGCAATGGAGGCTGCAATAGAGGCGGCGATGATGGCGAGAGTTCTAATTTGTGATTTGTATAATTATATAGTATTTTGATGTAATATTTTATGAGAAAAAAATAATGTATTTGATTGAATAATATTAATTTGTGCTTGAATTTTTATTTTAAACTTTTAGAAAAAGAATAACAAAAAATTAAGATGTAGATGATACATATTTATTTGTGTACAAAATATAAATAATTTAAGTGCAAGCTATCAATAACTTATTCATTGTTGCCTTCCTATTGTATATTATATGTGTTGTCAATATTGTATTCAATTTTATAACTTAACAAGGCTCGTTACTATTTATTTAAATTTGAGATTTGAACTATGAAAAATATTTGAAATTTGGTGAATAATTAATTATACATAATACATATATAAAGTAGGTTAATATAATTTACTTTCCATTGATGAATGATAATATCCAACAAAAATCAGGATAGTTGATACACATTAAATAAAATATTCCAAATAAGAAAAAAGAATAAATATATATGGTCACCAAAAAAAGAAAAACAAAAGAAACAAAAATTGAAATGTAAATAGAAAATATTTTCTTGATTTTTTTATAATATAATATTTTAATGCTTACCCTTTTCTTTCAATAAAATCTTAAACGTAAGTGCATTAGATCACATGTATTATTATTATTATATTTAAAAAATTATATCACTAATTACTTACGCTTAAACGAGAATATGACACGCTCTGTATAAAGGTCGTCGATGTCTGTCCGTCACTCATATATCTAGTTACACAAAAATGTACTATATATATATGTACCATATATTTAAAATGGCAAATATACCGAATGGTTCGATATTTGGTAAGTCATTTCATATATGGTGTATAGTTATTTTAATGTTTTGCGCATTTTTACTTATTATTCATTTATTTATTTCATTATTTGGCTTACTATAAGTCAAAATATTGTTTCTTTTAATTTGTATGCGAAATTTAACTTATTACCAATAATTTGTTTTGAATAAAATTAATGCTACTATATTTAATGAATTTGACTAAATCACTAAAAAATTATTAACATTTTTATTGTTACTTGCCTTATTTTTAACATTAAATTTTGTTACCAATAATATGTTTGAATAAAATTAATATTACTACATTTTATATATTTGACTAAATCACTTAAATAATAGAAGTATAAAAAGTTACTAAAATTTTAGGTATCATTTGCCTTATTCTTTAAAATACCACAACTACAATATTAATCTTTGTTTCCTATTATCCATTTTTGGGTTATACATAATGGAATCCTACATACTAAAAATGTTAAAATACAATTAATCAGGCTAATTTCTTATCCGATTTTCATATATATATATATATATAATTATAAATACATCCACACCAAATTGTAAATATCATTATATTTTTACAAGCTTTAAAGTATTTTTCATACAACTTTTTCAAAACGCGGTGTCGGCCTTTACAAAAAGACAAATGAACTCAGCACTATTTGTGGAGTTGATATAGGATTAATTATGTCTTCTCCTATAGGAAATCCATACTCATTCCTTAGTTCCGACTATGGAAGCTGTCCTGAAGAGATACATAAACCCTAACATGGCCGTGAGCGGTGTTCCTCAATTCATCGACGATCATTCCCGCAACCGAATTGCACGGCTCAATCAAGAGCTCGACGAGGTTCTAGAAATGAAAGAACAACTAAAAGAAAAGGATAAAGAGCTCGATGAGATTGATCAAACTCGCCCTAAGAGCTGGTGGGAACAAGTACCCATTGAAAGCCTGAATGTAAACCAAGTCCAAACGTGGATCGCTAGGTTTGAAAACCTTCGTGCCCAAATCCGTGTTCGAAAGGAGGAGACCAAGAACCACGCCAATTAACACTAGCGCTGCTGCCATAACCACTAGATCAGCCGTTATCGCAATCCAAGGCCGAGATCACAGTGAAACGATCCAGTTTCCTGCGTCGAAATTTTCAACTTCTAGGGCCATCTTCAACAAGGCAAGTTGAGGGGGATGATCCCAGCAACTATGCTTCCGAAGTTCAAATTAATGGTGATGGCGACAGCAATGACAGTGCCAATGGTGGAACGATTGAAGGCGATGCTGGCGTGGTGGTGATGGTGAGGATTCTAACTTGTGATCTTCGAAAGATCGCAATGACTACAGCTCTCAAAGGGACATGTTATTTGGTTCGATATTGATCGATACAAATCAATTACCAACAAAAATATATTTTTTTATTGATTATAAGAGATATAACAGTTTGTAATTTTGTTTAAATAATATTTTGTGAGAGAAAATAATACATTTTTATTAAATTTGTACGAACCTATAGTTTGGTCATATCATTTTTCTAGTATTTTACAAACTTGAGCAAAGAGAATGCATGTATATATTTAGAGGTATAATAATAATAATAAATAGATTATATACTTTACGGGTAAAAGAATTGTATATATATATTTCAAAATGAAATTGTGAAAATCTTAAAATTTTGAACAAAATAACAAAAAATTATGAAGAGTCAATCTACCTAAATTTTGAAAATTATATTACATAATTACATATACCATACATATGAAATTGGTAAATGCAATCAAAATCTAGCATGCAATTACCATGCCTTATATAAAAATTTCCCAAAAAAAAAAAAAAAGTTATCAAGAAAAGGAAAGCATTACCCATACTTTCAAAATAAAAATAAAATAATATTTCCTTAATCCCCACAATCATATCCATGTTACTATATATACTACTATAATTTAGGAGGATATAATTAATAAATAATTAAGATATATTAGTAAAAATAATTATCATATAATATAAACAATTATAAATTAAAATTAATATACCTAATTAATTTAATTAAAATTTTAAAAAATAAAAATTAAAAAACTTCTACGTACTATACGGGTGCCATCAAGACATTTCACGCCGATGGACAAAATATGCAAAAAAATTTCATTTAGGAGAATATTTCAACGACAAACTCAAGTTACAAGACTAAAATATGAAATTGTCAGTTACGAGACTAAAAAAATAATTTATCCTTTGAAATTTAAAATGTATAATTTTTTTTTCAAAAAGAAAAAATGACATAAGATTAAGGATGTACGGATAAAATCTTAAATCTAAAATCTCACTAAAATCACGATTATTATATTTGCTAAAAAGGTATGTCATTATTTACTTACGCTTAAAACTACGATTATTATTGTTACTAAAGAAAATTTTCATTAATTACTTACACGTAAAATAAATCGACACCGCCTATATAAAGGTTGATGTTTTAATCATTCATACATCCGTTAACACTACAATACATTATGTTTATGTTTAGTGCTTCCATTTTATACTTCAAACAAGGAATGCCGATGATAAATTCTCGGCTACGTTGTCATGCAATAGCAACCATGTCGAATGGCTCGAAAATTGGTGAGTTATTTCACATATCATGCATATGATATATAATTTGTTCATATATTGTTCTTTGTTATGCTATAATTATCTGTGCTTCCCAGTGTTTGTTTGGGGATTTGGATTTTGAGTTGATACTTGAATAGTAAAAATTTTGAATTTGAATAGTTGTACGATGCGATATAAATAGGTGTTAATGTGATGTTTTGAATGTAAAATTAAGTTTAAATTTAACATAAAAAATAAAAAATAAGTATTTGATTTGACCTTTTTTTGGAAAAAAAATAAGATGAACAGTGGATTTAAAATCCAATCTCCCAAACAAACACACCCTAATTAAATCTCAAAGTTGTTGTAAAATAATGAGATTTTAGATTTTTATATTTCAACTTATATTATACGCTTATGATCAATCAAATTTTGCCTAAATTACTTAAATAGTCATCTAAATTATTAAAATTTTGTTACCATATGCTGTATTTTGTTAATTGCCACACTAAATTAATTTTTGTTACTGATTAATCACTTAAAATTTATCTAATTTTATTGTGATTGCAAATACTGCGTATTTTTGTATGAACATAATGCATAAAATCACATTAATTGTTAATCTACTTTGTATAACTATAAATATATATTCACTAAGGTTATATTATATCTATCAAATTTTATAATTTTTAAACTTATCTTACGACAGTCCTTCTTTATTCATATTTTTCACCAAATTTATTTTTTAATATAAAATGGCAGCTAGACAAACAAGAGGGCGTCAAAGAATTCCAATCCAACCGATCGAAAATCAAAGAGACATGTACGCTTCATTCTCAAAGCGTCGCCTAAGCCTTTACAAAAAGGCAAGCGAGCTCAGCACCCTATGTGGGGCTAATATGGGAATAATAATCTTCTCCCCAACAGGACTTCCATATTCGTTTTTCAGCCCGAATATGGATATCCTATTGAGGAGATATAGAAATGCTAACCAACCCCTTGATCGCATAACTCAGTACATCGAGAATTATCTCGGGAACCAGATCCAACAACAAAATCAACAGTTGGATGAGGTTTTAGAGATGAAAGAAGAAATAAAAGCAAGGGATAAAGAACTCGATGAAATCGATCCAACTCGCGTAAAAGGTTGGTGGGAACAGGTACCTATCGAGAGCCTCGGCCCAAGAGAGATCATAGAGTGGACCGCCTGGTTCGAGACAATTCAAGCCCAAGCCCACCGGAGGGAGGAGGAGATGAGGAATGCCGCCAGCACTAGCGGCGGCGCCGCTGCTGCCGTCCAAGAACCGCCACAAACCATTTCAACTCCTCCGACAAACCGTGTCGTTCCAACAACCTATGATGATCCGATGGCAGGGCCATCGTCATCTTCGAGCCACTATAATATCTTTCCACAACCTACATCCTCAACTCAGCCTCATCAAGAATTATTCCTGGGAAATCAAAACATGGGCAATGATTCTAGCCCGTTTTATCATTTCTCAGGATCTTTTATTGATGAGAATTTATTTAGAGAGGATGATGATATTGCCGCGCTGTTAGGGGGATCGCATTGGAGCTTCTTTCCAGTGGATCAAAACCCAAATGATGGCTCCGGCAATGGTGGTGGTGGCAATAGTGACAACAATGGTGGCGGCGGCGAGGGTTCTAACTTATGAACCTCGGCTATTGGAAAGTTGGGTTGAAATGGCAACGGCAACGGCGGCTCTCAATCAATGCGTACCTGATCTTCTCACCAGTCTTTTGAACGAGTTTAAACTATCGATCTCATCGAGTTTTTTATCCCTTTCTTTTATTACTTCTTGTATTTGTAAATTAAACTTCATCAAGTTGTTATATCTTATTAGAGTTTGGTTAATTGTTTATAGAGTGATATGTGGTTAGGATTTTGTATTTGTTTATTTTTTATTTGGAAATAGTAAAAATGTGATTGTAATAAATATTTAATGTCTTATAGATACATATATATATATTTCTTGCCAATACAATAATAAATATGGCAAATATTAACATTCGCACACACATGCATATTAATAACAAAGTTAAGTATTTTTACTTTGTATTCGGTTTTTACTGCTAATAACAACAATTCAAAAATAAAATAAAATAAACCAAAAAATTATCTAAATCATAGCAACTAAAATAGTGCCGGAATAGAAACGGACAAGACTGAAATTGCAGTTCAATTGATTGATGTACCAAAGCCACGAATAAAATGTGTTTTATTCATTTCATCATATATCACTGAAAACACAAAAGATTGTACCAAGGAATAAGTCAATCTTAGTTCATCAAATTATTCAGGCAGCCTCGACAGAAATCACACCCCACAAATGATCACTCGCCCAATACTCTTATGTGTGGAAATGTGTATTCAATTTAATTGCTTCTGCTGGCTATACCGTAAAATGCCGTATACGTCGACAATGCCTGGCGGGAAGACGGGATCAGTGGCCGCTCTTACGGCGACCTTAGCAACTGCACTGACATTCACAGGAGGGGTGAGAAGCGGTCCGACCATGGGAATTTTCACCAGTGCCTTCAAATGCTGGAGGCCCTGCATTGACGATATTCATATGAAGGTGTCTCAGATGTCTGGAAGAATAGACTATATATTATATAAACAGATAAATGCCAAAACCGGAAAAGAGTGGAGCGATCTCTCACCATCTCCAGTGGAGCCCCGATTAGATGAAGTGGTACTGCCATGCCTGCAACCTGGCGAGTTCCGTATATAAATCCAGGCCTCAGAATCACTCCTGAAAAACAAGATTGAATTTTTGCATCAAGGAGAAGGTGACTTGGATACATATGATGACATAATGTTCCCCTGGCAGCTCGATTTTAATATGTTACCTCCATATGGGTATCTTGTGAGTAACTCTGTCTCAGCGGCTCTCTGTACCACATGATATAATATGAAATTAGATGAGGGCCGTTGAAGCTTTTTGTTTCAACTTAAACAGCATAGTAAGAGATACTGCACAACTACAGAAACTTCTTCCTCTCCATCGAGTCTTGCTGTTTGAAGAATACAAGATTTCCCTATAGTGGTGACACTATGTACTCTATCCATCAAAATGAAAACACAGCTCTATGTATTCATTCGGCTTAGAAGTATTTTGTATGCAAGAACAGAACATTTTTACAGGAATAGATGGTCTCAATAGCAATAATTTAATATTTGAACAACAAAGCATTTTTTCTAATTAAATTAACACCAGAAATGGAATCGTTAAAATTTAAAGATCCTTTCTTGATAGCCACTAAGCATATGCTTAGAACTTATGAAACCATAATATCTGATAAAGAAAAGTAGGGAGTTGTGGTAATACCTTTCCCTCATAATATCCTTTAAGCAAATAATTTACAACGCCGAAGTCAGCAGCAGATATGTAAACAAACCTCTTGACTCCTACAGATTAGAAGAGAGAGGTTACGATGCGGACGGTGTAGTTTACTATGTATAAGATGTAAACAGAAGATTTAGCATGTAATGTCATTTCTACTGAAAAGAACAGGAGAGAAAATAATCTAGTTCATAGACGACTCCTAATAAAGATGAGATGAAAGTTAATATAAGTTCAAAAGAAACAAATAGCAAAAAAATCCCTGGCTAGATATTGAAAATCTCAAAAGAACAAGCTGTGCAAGAAAATCCAGCCCAGACCTCATTCTAAACCAGTTCCAACTATGTGATTTGGGTGCGGATATGGAACTGTTTCCAAACACAGAAGCCAAGTGTGACAATTAAACAATTCCATGCTCAACTCACTTTTGACATCTTCAACATTGCTCCCAAATAATAAACAAAGTATAATAACTCCATTTCCAAAAAATTGAAATTAAGAGAAGCTACCAGCATGGGCATACATATATATATATATGTGTACATATATCTTCTCTCAACTATTGTACCTGCTTCTGAAGCAGCTCTAACAGCATTAATATTTGCAGTTCCATTGATTTTGTACATTTCAGAGTTGGAACCAAACCCACCAACACAAGAAATCTGCCATAAAATTCACATTCAAGAAATAAAAAATAAGTCAGCAAAAAAAATAAATAAATAAATTGGTAACAGCATGTCGATGAGGCTTAGTTTGCAAGCATGAAAGTTTTTTCTTTCACGGCCAAAATGACTGGATACTTTCTCAAAGAAGTTTCTGTGAAGGCTTATAGCTTAGTTGGTAGATAGTAGTGTTTTCATATTGAATTTATACACACAAAAACACTAATTCCTTATGAACATAATAAACAAAATCACCAACACAGCTTCAATTATCTTATTCAATTCCAAGTAACACTGCAAAATCACCAACATGAAATAGCTAATTAATTAAATTGCATCTTCTATTATTTTGCACTATTCTAAAAATCCACTTCTTTCCATTTCAAGAAAAGTGAACTAACAAGGAGGAACACATGCAACCCAAGTGCTCTGGAGCACCTATATGATCAAATGATAGAATTTTAAGTAAGAATTAACTCAACACTCCATCAGTTGAGAAAACAGATAAATCTAATGTCATCTCTCCATTTAGTTCCACACGCATACCACAACAGAATTCAAGGCGAAATAGTACGCACAACTGAGGTTACTCCCTCGAGCGCATCCTTCCACACATGCGTAAAAAGGTTACCTTCAAGCAAGGAAAAATATATATATATATATATAAATAACTCAAATGACCAAATATTTTCCATTATCTGAAAACAAAAAATGAATTCTGCAGAGCAACCAGGAAACCTTGATGCCACGTCACTTTGTCAGCCCAAGATTCTTTTACAGAAGATCTACCAGATCTGCAGAGAGCATGCATAAAATAATACTTGAGCATTATGCAACCGAAGGTTGATTAGAGCTATGATGCACAGAAGCTTGGTGCTTAAGCTTCCTAAGATGACTATTAACACAATATAAACGATGCTTCCAAGAAATATTGTTCTGAAGGATAGATTTTTACTTTTTTGGGGTTCACATCCAAGAATAAGAAGGTTCTAGGTGGTCTAGTTATCAACAGTTATAGAAGTCTGGACAAATATATATGCAGCTATAGCTCCTGCTCCCAAATACAAATTCATTAAGGACACGGAGGGGCATATTCAGTAACAAAGATGGTGTAATCATTATGGGTCATTAGTATAGAATTTTAACAGAAACAAATGGAGGACACCAAACAACCATCTATGAGCATATACAGAACCATGCGTACCATACCAAGGAATGTGACTTAATTTCAGAAAATATTACCTGCTGAGGCTGGCAACAGAGTAACCACGATTCAAAGCTTCTTTGCATATATGAGAACCAACAAACCCATTTCCGCCAAGAACAAGCAACTACATACAAAATCAAACATAAATAGTTGCTTGGACTGGAGTAACATAAAAGATATGTCATTGTAACCAGTTCAAGTTGAGCACCTTCTCTGTTGAAAGAGGTTGGGCTTGTACAGTTTCTGCTTCCTCAACTCTATCAGTTCTAACAGAATCTTTAGCGCTGACAGGTCCAGTAGAATCAACTGACAAAGTAGGCCCGCTTCCCGGGAGGGCTGTACTGCTGAAATATCTTGTAGTGCTGAAATATAAGAAACGATATTAGAACAAGGCAATAGTCAAAACAAAGTTTCGAAGCAATGTGAAAATTCAGAAGGCTTATCAACAATCCTAACTGGAAAGAGGCCAAAATGAATACAATTATTCTATGACACACATTCACTATTTCAGCACTTCATACAGAAAACTTAGCAAAACTCAAAGATTTACATTTTTAAGGATGCAACCTACAATTCCTGCTGGTTCCTCCATTGCAACTAAACCATCAACCAATTCCCATTACTACAAGATAGCTTGTCCAAAGATACCCAAACCAATTTCCATAACAAACATTCCACAAACCTCCTAGTCACAAACATTTCAATCAGAGTACACATTAGAACAATCACCAAGCATTTATTTTCCACATTACTCAAAACATCTTCGCAAACAAAACCAACCAACCGACAGGAAACAACATCGCATTCCAAAACCCCATCGAGTGCAATACAAAAGAAAGCGAGAACAGAAACGGAAGTAGACAAATTACTAGAATTGAGAGAGCGAGGGCTTCAAACGGAGGATCACGCGAGACATCTTCCTTCCACGATCGCCGGGTATCGATCAAGAAATACCAATACCTAAAACCAGAACGCTCGTGAGATTTTTTTTTCTTCAGTTCTTGAGAGCACACACGCAACGGAGAGCGTTCAATTCAATTATGTAGGGATGCTAACACGTGGCGACCTCCTGCAACGACCCGTAGCGTTAACATGTGGCCCGATTTGCACCCACTCACTCAATAACGCTACTACCTTCTTTCAAAATAAAGCGCTATTTGGACTAAACGCGATTTTTGCATATTTGGGCCGACCTCACGGCCCAATCGTACTTTGGGCCGTAAGTTGATTAGTTTCTTTTGTATATAATAATTTTATAAATTATAAATTATATACTGATCATGATGCGGTTTTCCATTTCCGCATCCAGACACGTGCCCTAAATGACAGGTGGGATACGAAATTCAGTGACGCGGCGGCGAAACGCCGCTGCCGTCGTCAGGTTGAAGATACGGATGGATATACATATACCTACTGTATCATTGAAACTGGAAATGCTATTGCCATTTCATCATAGAATATACAATCACAAAGTGATCGATCATCGATACGAAGATCACACAGTCCAATTACTTCAATCGAGAGACTTGAAATAAAATAATCGATCACACTTGTAAGATCTTTTCGGCTGTTTCTTCGTCTTCGTCTTCGTCTTCTTTGCTTGCGGCGGCATCGAAATCGGCGGGCGTTGCGAGAAACGTGGGGTTGAGTTGACCGGCCATAACAACGAGGACTCTGGATTCAGCAACTGGGGGAGCCACGCCGCCAGAGTTTTCCCCTTTCTCCGAGTCTTCGATGGGGCCGCCGGAGCGCCGGCGCCGGCGATAGAAGCAGGCTAAGAGGAGGAGCAGGATTGCCATTAGCAGTGCCATCCCCGCTAGGGCACTGAAGAGATAGAGCATCGAGGAGAGCCGCGGAGGAGGAGACTGTGCGACGGTGGTCGTCGTCGACATTTTTGCGGCAGGAAGGATTTTGGCGGAGTAACACAAGACAAGGGGAGCACTGTGTACGGTAAATTATCCAGGGTGCTTTTAGGTTTTACTCTTATTCTAAAATTTCTTAAGAAAAAATTTATCAAATTAAATATATATATATATATTTGTTATAATATAAAATTTTATATATTTAAAATATTATTATTAATATTCTTTTCCTCCTATACTAATTGACATATTTTCAAAACATTCACAAATTCACACCAGACCATTGATTTTTGTTTTTTCTTTTTTAATTTATATGATTTTGGTTTAAAATTAGTTGTTGTTTTGAATTTTAATTTAATATACTATTTAAAATATATAAATCAATTTAATTAACATCATAACATTACATCATCATAAATATGCGTAGACTTACTCAAAACCCCTCTATTTCTATATCTCTCATAAAAATAAATAAATAATTTTATCAATATTTAAAACTGCACACATTTTTTATAAAATCGATTTATATTAATTATAAATAAAAATATATATATTTTTTTATTTACTTTTTATTATAGAAAATTATTTTCTACAAAATGATATCCATATTCATATATTTTTGTAAGTGCTATATAATTTTTAAATATTTAAACATATATTTTAATTTTTAATTATATATATTAAATTTATTTTAAAATTATAAACTATTATTAATTACATAAAAATAATACTCCCTCCGTCCGTTTACATTTACTTTTGGATTATAGTAAGTAGTTAAAAGTAGTGTAATGATATTTTTGCTCTTATTTTTTTTGTGTAAAAATAATGATGTGGTGTAAAGTAAGGGTATTTATGGAAAAAAATAGGGTATTCAATGAAATATTAACTTTGTAATTGGATGTCCCAAAATAGAAATATGTAAACATTGTAAGTGGACGGAGGGAGTAATATAATAATATTATAACTCATTATTATTAACTAGTATTATCTTAAATACCATCTCTCTAATCAAATGATTTAATTCCGGTGGACACGGAGGGAGTAAATATTTTAATATGGTATATTTTGTGAGATAATATTTACCATAAATTGTAGTTGAATGAAGGAGTAGTAAGTATCAACGTAATTTGAGCTGGTTACACGCCCATAATATAATATATTCAAGGCAGCCCATGGGAATATTATAATTGGGCCTTGGCTTAGCATAATTGGGCCATAATTAAATTAGCATGGCCCATAAAATCCATATTTAACAAATAATAATAATAATAATAATAATAATAATAACCAAGTAATTTAATGAAATTGCAGCATTACCCAAATTATATTGTTTGAAATTTTACTTTCAATTAATGATAAAGTTTAGATAAGTGGATTATTGTGAGGGGAAATAATGGGTTGTCACGTATTCTTTACCCACTAATCATTTGTGTGGTATACTAGTTTCAATTTTATTATGGAACTTCCAGTAATATTTTTAAATTTGAAAAATTGTTTTATATGATTATAATAATTAATTTATTATTATTGTAAATGTAACTTTGTTAAGTAGGCGATTCTATACTATTTTTTATTTTTTATTTTTTATTTTTGGAAAAAAAACGTGCGATGGAATCCAAAATGCGACTTTGGTTGAGGAATTTTCTTTAATTTATGGGGAATAATATACTAAAGGAATATGTAACAAAACATTATTATGGATTCTTTGGAGGTATATTATATGTCGTAAGCAATTCATAGCTCAATTTCGTGACCTCATATATTTCAATTCTTGTGACAAAATTTAATTATATCAAATAATTATTTTAAATAAAAATTCTTTAAAACGTCAAGCTCAATTCTCAAACACACCGGAAACATACTAAAGGGCCTTCTTAATTATTGTTCCACAATAAAAATATAGTAAAATTTTAAAATAAAATTAGCATTGATTCATTGTAACTAACATATTATATTATTGAATATTCTATAGAATAAAAATTAATTTATATTACTATGCATTATTTCACAGTGTTTGTATATATACGTATTTATTTATATTCTCTTCATTAAAATATGCTTTTTACTGTTGAATTTAAATATTTTTTTTAAGAAATCAAATAATTGTAAAGACTAATGTTTCTTTAGTCGAGTTTCCCAAAATTTTACTATTTGAACTCTGCATTTTTCGAATTCCATCAAATATTATTTTCATACCAAACTTTTTTTTTCAAACTTATCAAAAGAAACACATTCTTAGCAGGGACATTAGCAGTAACGCAATGTTACATTTATATTTACAATTAAAATAAAAATAATTATATTTTAATAAAAAAAATTATTAAAGTTCATAAACATCTTTAAAAAAATTGTATTCTCAATTGAATGCCAAGATTCTAAAAGAATACAAATAAATCAGTGCAAATTTAATAATAGGACGCGTGGCGTATAGCATTGTACCTGTACCTCAACGGATCAGGGCCCGGCCCGGCCCGCTCCGTCTATAAAACTCGGGGTACACTTGTTCTACATTTCCGCCACAAACCACCGTGAAAATGACGATGGGCGAATCTACCACCGTCCCTACGACAGCGACCACGTTTTCACCACCGCCGACCGCCGTGGAATGCTCTCCATGGCACTCTCCGATCCCCTACCTGTTCGGCGGGATGGCGGGGACGCTAGCGATAATCGCACTCGCGCTCCTCCTCCTAGCCTGCTCCTATCGGCGGCGTTACGGCGGCAGGGAAGAAGACTTGGAGAAATCGGAGGGGAACTCCGGCGGCGAGGCTCCACCGGCTTTTGAAGACAAAGTTCTCGTTATTATGGCCGGCGAAGTGAAGCCGACTTTTCTCGCAACGCCGACGGATTTTCCGATCAGAATCGACGGCGAAAAATCTGAAAGCAAAGAAGAAGAAGGACGAAGAGAAGAATCAGCCGTAGATTGCTTAAATGTATGATCGATTAATCAATTTTATTTATTTTTTGTTTCTACAAAGTGTTCATCAATTTTGGGATTCGGAAGAGATTGTAATTCTCAATACTGAAATGAAATAAATAATATATATGCAATTTCAATCGGCCGTATAGTTCGCCGGACGACGGCGGAGCATGAATCGGTAGGTTCGCCGTCAAGGCCACGTGGCGGGATGTGATTGGGGGTGTAGCGGAAGGGAAACCGCGTGCGAAACAGAGGATGGGAATATGCGATGAGGCGATGCGAAGCCGCATAGCTGTACTGGCACGCCTGCATTTAATGCAAGCGGTTATAGTCTGATTACTTTATGTGGCTACTCGTGAGTCGTGATTTCTACAACTTTTTCGTGTAACAGCCGCCGCGTTTTGCAATAATACGATGGACTATTTCCAAATTTGCCCCCAAAAGGAGTTTAAAAATGATGGAAAAAGAGTGGGAAATTTGGTAAGAGGGGTAATAAGTATGGACTATAATAAATGGTGAGAGTTGTCTTTTCTTGTTAAGTGTATTGGGTTTAATCTAATGGGCCGTATAGATAGGCCCAATTGAGTTTAGGTGGGTCGGTCTGGTTTTTAATGTAAACTTTCTAGAAACTTCCCCCAAATATCGCTGTAGTTATGATCGAAAAAAGTAAAGTTCCAACTCACATCACATGCGAAGCAGAGGATTGAATCCGTGCACCGCGGCGAGACGACACCGTATAGCTGTACGGCACGCTGGCATTAAATGCAGGAGGAGATGTAATTTGATTATCTACGTGGCGGCTGCTCGTGATTTCTCAAACTTTTTGTGCAACAAACCGCCGCAATCCCCGCAAACCCCCCCCCCCCCCCCCCCCCGAAAAAAAGAAAGAAAGTTTGTTAATGGATGGTATGGGGGGAGAGTTTAGTCATTTCGAGTTCAGTCTACTGGGTTGTGATTATATTGGGCTTATTTAAATTGGGCCTTATAAATTTGCCCAAAAGGATTCGGACGGCCCAGCCCGGTCCGAGTTAGACCATACGTCGCGCGTGCGCAACACGAGGGTGGATTGACAGGGCGGATACAGTCATACAGACTACAGAGGAAAAGCAATATGAGTGGTGGATAATGATTCGTTCAGGTTCAGCCGCCGGCGGCCTTTCCGACGAACTCGACGTCGAAGAGGAGAACTGAATCGGGGGGAATTATGCAGGATCCTCCACGACAGCCAGCACCTCTCATGCCATATCCAAGCTGAGGAGGTATTCTTAGCTTCCGCTTTCCTCCTGCAAGTTAATGATTCATTAATCATCCGTCATGTGTATGTTGGATTAGCATTGAATTCGATCTTCGTTTGGTTTTAGAAGCAGGAAGTTTCATGTGTTCATTACCGGTGAGCATGGCTGGAACTCCTTCTCCACCGATAATTCCCTCATCCCATCCTTTGATCACCTGCGAGCAGATCAGTTCGTCCTCGAGTATAACACCCAAACACTGCACAGATGATTCAACTGATGCATAAATTGTTAAATACCTCGCCAACGCCCACTCGGAAGGTCAGAGGCTGTCCCCTATTGTAGCTGCTGTCGAACACCTTTCCATCTTCCAGTCTCCCCACGTAATGCGCCTGTATTTCACTCGGAATCTAATTTTTCACTTTTTTTCTCATAACTTCCATCCTCAATTCACTGATTTAATTAACTGCACGAAGTGAAAGGATAAACACTGAATTAATCGAGTGCATCATTGTTTACCTTAATTAGCTGCCCTTTAACAGCTTCAGGTCCAGCGCCGACAACTTTATCGCAGTAGGCGAGGCCCGACGGAGCTACGGTGTACTCACAGGTAGAATTAGCGTCACTCACAGCCGCAGCGGTGGAATCCATTCGCGGATTGAGAAGCTGGAGAAGGCTAACGCCGACGCCGACACCGAGTGCTTCTCTTCTGTTTAGGGCAGCCGGAGTACTCTTGTTGCTTTCGCCATTGAATTTCGGAGCTCGGCAAGACCCAAGTATCTGATGCTTCTTCTCGGCGGGAATTGGGAGCCCTAATCCAGGCGCGGGATTGGACGTCCGTACGGCGAACGCTAGCGAGTTCATTTCAATTTTCAGCCTCACTATCTATTTGCAGAGGGATAAGCGGAGAAGATACAATTAATTAACCGCCCTAATTTGGGCCTGGGCCGATCGTCTATGGGCCCAATGATTGATGTAGCCCAACAGCTATTGTGAAGAAGAATAGTAATAATATTCGAAGAAAATGTTAATATTTCCAGGAAGCTCCTGGATCCGAACACCACATGATGGATCTCTGAGAGTGCTTGTGCATGTGGAGTTGGAGTCCAGGATCTCTCCCGCATTGGAAACCCAGCAACGCTTAAAACACTGTCGGTCAAATTATTTGAAGATTTTGGATGCCAACGAATCCCAAATCGTGTACACTCCCGAGACCGAGCACGGATTTGGGGCTCAAGAAGCCTCGATTGGTTGTTGAAGTTGTTCGTGGTTGCTGGCTGTGGCTATTGGCTTTTGAATCCAGGTAGGGATCGGCCGGAGTATTCAGATTAGCGTCGAGCGAGGCGAGATTGAGATGCAGATCTTCGTCAAAACCCTAACCGGGAAAACAATCACGCTCGAGGTTGAGAGCAGCGACACCATCGACAATGTCAAGGCCAAGATTCAGGTCCATAATTCACTTTTTCTTTTTTTTTTCGTAGGAGATTCGATCGTCTGGATTTTCTCTACGAGCTTTGATGATTGTGTTGTGCTGTTGCCTTCGAATTAAGCAGTTTAAGCATCTTCCCCCGCCCTCACTCTTTATGTTTATCTTCACTGATGATTTATGACGGTGTTGACAAAGCTAGGGTTTCAAGAAATGTTTTTAGTTATGTGAATCGAGCGAATTAACTCATAACTGAAATAGCTTTTCATGAAATCTGCTATTGTAAGATACTTTGTAGATTGAATTCACAGAGTTGAGTTCGAATTATGGCACTCCAATCATCCATGTCTAACTTATTGTTACAGGACAAAGAAGGCATACCTCCAGACCAGCAAAGGTTGATATTCGCAGGCAAGCAGTTGGAAGATGGCAGGACACTGGCAGATTACAATATCCAGAAAGAATCAACACTTCACCTTGTCTTAAGACTCAGGGGAGGAACAATGATCAAGGTCAAGACCCTCACTGGTAAAGAAATTGAAATAGACATCGAGCCAACTGATACCATTGACAGGATCAAGGAAAGGGTTGAGGAGAAAGAGGGAATCCCACCTGTGCAGCAAAGGTAGCAAACATATTATTAGTGTCTGTCAATCTTCTTCCTGGTATCATTTGCTTTCCTGAATTAAGCTATTAGACTCATTATGTATGTGTTGGTATTTCTATTACAGGCTCATCTATGCTGGAAAGCAGCTTGCAGACGACAAAACTGCGAAAGACTACAACATCGAAGGTGGTTCTGTTCTTCATTTGGTTCTTGCTCTCAGGGGTGGCCATGGCTGTGGCTCTATTTAGGCGACTGTCTGTACCTCAAGATTTTAAATAAACTAGTCAAATTTGATGTGTTCTAGTAGAAATGCGGCCTGAACCCGACTATTAATTCATGGCAAGCGACTTTGAGACATGCTTTCCTCTGCAAATAATATTATTCTTCTGCAGCATTTTATGATGTAATTCCACAGGGGTTTTGTTAAAACTGCTCAACATCTCAGACAGCTTACGGCAATACAAAGAGAACTGGTACGATGAAGCTATCATACATTTGGCATAAATATCCATCCATTTAAGAGAGGTAATGTGTTTGTTATAAAGAGTACTCATGCTTAAGCATAATGTCATAGCGTTTGCCTATCTATTTGTGTACACTTCAGCGAAGCACCCTTTCCCTTTCCAGTGATGTTCTAATCGAGTTTGTCGAAACAAAAACCTGATATGATGGGTGTTCTTTTTAAGCCGAGGTGCTGCGAGAGGATTCTGGTTGGTTAGCCAGAAACCGAACGATAACAATTGTGATGTTGTCGCCACTGCCCCTCTGATTTGCTTCCTGCATCAGCCTTTTTGCTGCTACTTCTGGGTCTTGGATTGATCTAGTCATACAGACAGCTTCCTGAAAACAGCCACAATTTGTTACATTTACAAATGATGATATTTTATAATAAAAGTAACTAATATACAGATTCTTAACAAAGATTTACCTCATTCGTGACAACGTCCCAAAGTCCGTCGCTAGCAAGGATGAGAAACTCAAGGGTTTCATCAACTTTTTCCTCCTGTAACCAATGCAATGTTTAAGGCATAGAAGATTTTGGATTATATAGAAGTTTGAAAGGTTCCTAGTTAAGTACCACTTTGTTGATTTGCATTTAAATGTACAATAGATGTTTTCAACTACTGCTTTTAAAGAATATTATGTGTTACAAACTAGTGTTGGAGCACACCTGTATTTCTGGATCTGCAACCACAAATTGCTTCAGCAGTCTATCGCCAAAGGCACGGGATACAGCAAGAACCCCTCCAACCCTCCAAGTTCCTGTGTGGGGATATTCGAATGACATGAGGCCAGAAAATAGTCCGTATTATAAAGAGAATATATGAATCAAGGTTAAAGCATACGAAGTGGCTTTACCTGCCCACATTACAAAGCCTCCAGCATCTTCAATCCGTTGTCTCTCGTCTGTTTGGTCTGGTTTGTGATCTCGAGAAACAGCAAATGCTGCAAGCCCCAACAGATCAGTTATATGTAATGACAAAAACATGGAAGTCATCACATGTTAGGATTGTTAGAAGTAATATGAAATGTTCCAGATAGAACAAGTATGAAGTATGATGGTTTTCCAAGGGTTCACAATAAACAAATAGACAACTGAGAGAACTTTTCAACTCTAACCTTTGCCACCCCTGCAAATTACTGCTCTTGAATCTCCCACATTTGCGACCAACAAACGATCACCAACAAGGATAGCAGTAGAAGCAGTAGAACCTGCATCCCTGTTCTGATTTTTTTCAGACTTCAGGAATTCTGAGTCTGTAAGGCTGTAGGTTTCAGCTGAAAAAAACACCAAAACAATACAGAAAGTAAGTGAAAAGAGCAACTAATTTGTGAAAGGAGACACGCTGCAACAATGACTTACCTATAGCTGATTTGGTATCAGATATAAACTTGGGGTGCCTGAGTAGATTACTGAAGAGATTTTGTTTGACATATTCTGCAGCTCGAGCTCCTCCATGACCTTAAATAGTGTAGTATAAGAAGAATGAAAGGTCAGTTATATAGTTTACATGGCACTGATCATAAATGGATCAGAATAGGATGGCCCGTGAGATAACTAGATTCACATTATTGCTTTAAAAAGAGGACAAAAGAGGGAAACGAATTCCACAATAACTTATGTGACTTGAAAATGCCATATATCTATTGAAACTTTGGTTTGATAGTTCATAATAGATGAGTTGTTCCTTAAGGATTTATGCTATTCTTCTTTGAGGATGATGATAGTTATATGATTTTAACAAACCCATACAGATCCCCTCCCCAGAAACTTCAGAAAGAAATAATCCCATTTCCATGCAGGCTTGGATGTAACCACCCCCACGCAAAAGACAAGCACACGAAACACGCATATGTACATATACACGGAGAGAGAGAAAGAGAGAGTTACCATCAAATACCCCGAAGAGACCAACCAACTCTCCATCTACACCATCAATCCTTGTCTCGTAGAAATCCTCCATTGAAGACCTTTTACCTGGAGAGCTGGCATATCCATAGCAGAACTTTCCATCCTGACTGCAAGTAGTTCGATACCTTAGACATTAATGGGACCACATAAAACATTACATGGAAATTTGATTCACAGTCACAATGATCTAAATAAGAAACAGCTTCAGAAAGTGAAGATTCAATTCCTATCATAAAAGCTGCTTCAAAGTCAATGATCACAAATAGTTCAATGGAATGCCATCCACCTGAGGAAATCAAGCAAAGGAGGTCACATTTCATCAGATAATCAATTCACACACCTGTCACTCTGTTATACCTCTAAAATGTAGAGGCATATAAAGTGATCATCAAAATTAAGCACCTCACAATCACATAATCTCCATCAGAGACAAAAATAAATATATAAAAAAGTAAAACTCTCTTACAAAAAACATCTTTTGTTTGCAGAAAATATGAATTTAATGGACCAACATATAAGAAACTATATCAGACTGATTAACTCAGTACATAATTAGATATAGATAATAGATGTTTTGTAACTAAACTTAGAAACCATCCTTTCATATAAAGATAATCAGAAGGATCATTGATGATGTTAACCTCATGGAAATCAATTATCATTTTAATATTATCCAAACTACTCCTGTGAGAAGAGGAAACAAACATCTATTTTTTCATATGATTAAAAGCAACGACAGGTTTCCAGACACGACAAACAGAAGCGTACGTAAGCATTCTTCATGACAGGTTTTCTAGACGCGACAAACGGAAGCATACGTAAGCATTCTTCATCACATTAATGAGGAAATCAAGAAAACATTAGGTGTAAATTGCATCAAATATAGTACACAAGGAACTCTATTTTCCGGTGGTGCGGAATAAATGCAATGCATTTATGCAAGGAAAAATTGGATTCAGGTTCTTCAATCACATTATAAAGATAAGAAAAGAAAATTTCATAACATCATCATATAAAGCCACCAGACAATTGTAGCTTGTTAACTAATTCGAAATAAAACATGACAAACAACTTATCAGTGTGAATATAAATAAGGAATATACACAATTTTGATCAACCATATACTTTTAATATGCGAAAGATAGAAATAGCAGAAGCCTTCATATACCATTTCAGGCTTAGAAATAAAACCAAACAAGTAAATATAGAAGTAGAAAAAATAGGAAGCTGGACTACTCAGGTTCAACATCCATTTATTTCTTCTTGTACTTACTAATCTACCATTTTTGAGTTATTATAAAGTAAAAAAGCTTTTTCAAGAAAAACGCACCGCCTATCAGTGTCTATTTTCAGAAACATGGAATTTAGCATAATGTCCACCAAATTAATACGTAAAATGGATGAAGAAAACGGAAAAAAGCCGACTCCGAAACGTATGAAGAGGGGGCAAGAGGATCACCTTAGGCCACCTCCGCTTGCTGGAGCAACATCGACGTGGAGATCGCTAGTAGATTCAGACAACACCGAGTTCAGATAGCCCATGAATCCAACTTCTCTTCAATTTTCTCGTCGATAACGTTTTGACTTCACCTTAGCGAAAGGGGAGAAATCACTCAACTTGTGCCTCTATACTTCGTTTATGAAAAATCAGCAGATCAGAGCAACGCAAGCCTTTTTCAATTTGAATCAACGAACCTTTTCAATCCAACCTGACCACGAAAAAACATACATAATAAATAAATCAGACCAAACCTCAGCTCGATAACAGATCTAGCACGCATCTGCATACACAACACGAGCCTTGCAAATTAACTACGAAAAAAAAGAAAGAAGATGCAGCAGCAATCAATTCCGGTTTCCACTGCTAACTTACTTCAATCACACCACAATTAAATGCTTGAAAAACAAGTCTCTGCTATAATATTTCTCATCAGCATCCGCACCAAAAAAAAAAAAAAAAGAAAAAAAGAACATAGACAAAAAGAAGAACTTCCTAGCCTTCAAGAATCAAATTCCACAAAAAAATAACACGACACCGAACCTTCCCCCACAGATTTGCTTCGTAATTTCATGAATCCAATTAAAGATAAAACAATACAATTACAAATGCATGAAAAGTATACATGCACCAAATACTATCTGTATGCACAGAGACCGAAGAGGCCAGAGAGAAAGAACCTTGGAGAAGAAAAAGGAAACGCCATGAGAGAGAAAGAAGAGACTATATTATACTATTACTATTATAATTACAGTAATCAAAGAGCATAATTAAAAGTCTATAGTTAATAATTGGAATTTGGAAACTTACGGCTCCGTTTGGAGGATGCGACTGAGATGGCAAATTCTGCAATATATCTTTTTCCTATAATTTATAAATTCAAATTTTATCATATCTTTTACCAATTAAGGCTTATGGCACCTAATAGGCACTACATCGATGTGCGATTTAATTATATTATTGTAATTATTAACAACTAGATGCTAATTTCATGTGTATCTTAATATAGTAACGAATATTTATCCGACGAAAACACGGCTAAGGAACTAATATTGAAATTGTGTTGTGGATAAGATTTTTTAGTAATGGTAGTGGCACCAAACATTGCCTTACTTGCAAAGTCGATTCCATAAATGAGCAGAGGCGAAATATGAGCTCAGCACTGAAAGATGAGTGTAACTGATAATGCATTTAATTCCATTCTCTCTCTCTCTCTCTCACACACACACACGCACTTATTTATTGCTTCTTTGCTTTGTCAACCATTACGCTACTCCTATTCAATAAACAATTTAATTAAAATAAAAATGCATACATACAGAATGGGTTATGGCCAACTAGTGGTGGATTTGACACTGTCAAGAAGATCGACCCATTTGAACACTTGTTTCATGGCTTGCTTGTGAGTGTATTGTAATGAAGTGTAGTTGCAGGCTCTGTCGTCATCTTTGATGGCTACCTTTTGCGGCAGATTGTCATGCCGTCTCCCACGGGAATCTGTATCAAAAAAACAAGGATGATGGAAAGAATTGGCTATACCATAGTTAAGGACGGGGGAGAATTGGTTAAGAAGGGTACCATGCTAATCGATACACGTTCGTCGTCCATCAATTTACGATTGAAGTTTCTGATGCTGAGAGTCTTGGAGTCATTCACCTGTGGAAGAAGAAAATCGAATGGTTCGGGGATGAGATAGTTCAGAGTTGTTGAACTGGTGGTGAAGTTTCAAGTGTAATTACCAGCGGATCGGCAACTCTTCCGTGCCAGAGAACATTGTCCATTACTATGACACCTCCAACTCTCACCTGTACAACACAACTATAAGGAATCCTTCATAGAATGAGAATTGATAGAGAGAGCAATTTGGATTTGTGTTATTTGTTGATCTTGTGGATAAAAAGATAGGCAGCTACTAACCAGTTGTAGCAGCAGTTCGAAATAATCCTGGTACATTTTCTTCTCAGCATCTACGAAAGCAAAATCATAGCTACACAGATAAATGATCGCATAGTTAGTCGGCTTTGTAGTCCTCATAGGTAAATAAAATAGAATCTGCATAAGCTAGTGCTATAAGATAGTAAGTTTCTCTTATAATTATGTTAAAAGCAAGCTTCCAGATTTGAATCCAAGGAAAATCGGAGTAATGAAATAAGTAGCAAACGAAACAGATGGCGGAAAATACTATGCCCTGAAATTGCAGTCGATTATAATACTTTCTTAATGGAAATTAATGATGGCTTCAAGTGTTTGATGAAAGAAATGTAAACAATTAACATGCAGAAACATCCTTCAAAAATGCAGGCAATCTACTTAATCTAAATCAAATTTTCTAGGTCAACATAAAGTACCTCTCACTTTCTCCATTCTGAATCATAGATTTCAGGGTATCAACTGCAAGCCCAAGTTTCACATTCACCTGAGTCCCAATTTATGGTGATAAATTATAAGTTTCCACATCTTTGAGATCTTGCAAAAGCGTGGAAGAATAAACGACACAACCATACCTTATTTGAAACACCGGCACGGCCATAATACCTTTTTGCAACTTCTAGTGATCTGGGGTCTCTCTCGCATGCGACCAGTTGGCCTCCTTCAGGCAGTACCAAAGCAACTGCAAGAGATGAGTACCCCTGGAAATGATATAAATGTTTTGAAATGAAGTTTTTTCTAAATTTGTTTAATTTCGAATAGGAGAACATAAGACACTGAAAAAATGTAAAAGCCAATTTGGTTTTAAGTAAGAAGATTGAATGGGAGTATAGAAGAATGCCTTATTTACATTATGTTTTTCACATTTGTGTCTAAGAGTTAAGAAAAGCTTGCAATTTTCACATTAAGTGAGGTTAAAAAAGAGAGTGAAATTTCATTTGAGTACTTAGCAAGCAAGACAAAACCATCTATTTCACATTGCAAGAGAAACAACTTTTCATAGATATAATCAAGAATTAACTTGCCATATATGATGATAATGCTTGTTCAAACTCCAAAACAACTAGGTAGTCACAATAGTAAGGTGTAACTTTGAAGAGAAAAACACACGGAGGATCACAAGACATCGATGGGAATGAAGCAAGAAAGAGTTGCATACTGTGTATACACCAACTTCAATACACTTTTCTGCTCCTAGAATCTCAACAATCATAACAAGAAGCTGCGCTTGATCTGGAGAAACCTATAGGGCAAAAGGAAGAAAAATAAACAATAAAATAGGGAATCTTAGCAGATAAACTAATGCAAATAGTTCAAAGTTGACACTTAATTGGACCTCAGGAGTTCATTGCTGAACCAATGGAAGTGTTCAATCCCACAGTGGGAATGATGAATTTTCACGTCAACACAACTTGACGAGAATTCAGAGACTAATTACTATCAAGCGAGAAGTAAATATCTTACAATCACCTGCATTTGACTACCACGCATGCTGGCAGTCTCCTCCCTGAGCTCACGCAATATCTGAAATGAAGGAAAAAAATTCTAACAAAATGGACAAAATTTCCATCACAGGCACAAAAGCAACAAACCTCAAAACTGAGATGAGAAGAATCAAACCTTTGGCTCTCTAACATTATCCAATAAATAGTCATACAGCCGGGGATTAACACTAATGACTTCCTTACGCCCGTAATTGTCATCAGTAGCAGTTACCGTGTCCGTATTCGCCACAGATTTCAGCGCCTTTTTGGTACCGTAAACAGTCCGGGTCAATATTAATGCCCTAGCAGAGTGCAGAACAGGGCGGAAATGGCCACTGGACGATCGTAATGCCAACAGTGGAGTCGCCCATCGATGCACAAGCCCCCAACCAGTGGTCATTGCAATTTCCGAAGCACAATCCTCCCAAAAGCAAGAGCTAGGGCTGCAGTTTTTCAGAAACTACAATCCTAGCCTTCCTATCTCCCCGCCCTCCGCAAACCGACCTATTGCTTCAATCTCTTTCAAGACATAGCTCCACATAAAGAAATCGAACTCTAAATCTGAACGTAATAAATAAGAGTAGGATCTTCGGTATTCGCTCGCCGGCGATAAACCCTCCACCGGAAGGGAAGATTCTTTCTTTTTTTATCCATCAGTCTGACAGGGTTAAAAAGGGTAATTCGCATGAATGGGCTTATGGGCTCCTTGGCTTGGATTGGATCTTAAATTTTATTTTATTTTATTTTTATCATATATATATATATATAATCCCTTGTCATCCAAAGATAAAAATAAAAAATAAAAAATAAAATAAATAAGCTCAACTACCCTTTGCTTAAAAGTTGAAACTCCATCCGTATTAGGGAAGATTTGATGGTTTGCTTCAACGTGTTGAGTCTAAGTCATAAAAAGAGTGTTAGTTATTTAGGTCGATATCAATATTATTTTAGCTTATACGTTTACCTGCAGTATTAGTAAATATTTCTATATAAAAATACACACATGAAAATGAGTGAGTAATAAAATATAAAACTTTATTATTACATGTATTTTTATAAAATTTGTAACAACAAAAAAAATTTCATATAAGTCCCCGACCTACCAATGCTCAAAAAGCGTGTACATCGAAGAGATTCGGTGTCCACTGTCTTCCACATCCACCCCTCTCTTACACTTTAATTTCTATAATGCCACTGATAGTCGTAGTAAACAACAATATGAAGGCATATTAAAACCATGTAAATTATGTTCACATATAGTTTTGGATATATTTTGGATAAAATATTATCAGTTTTATCAAAATATTTCTAATTATTTTAAATATTATTTAAAAATTAAAAAGAAAATTTTGAAGAAATATATTGTGAATATATATAATAGTTATCAATTAAATATTAGTTTATGATATTTTTTCTTTATATAACTTGGAATTCATGACATCACCGTCAAGTCCACTGTTCCTATTTGATTTAAAACAAATCACAATTTTTAGTTTGAAATTTTGAAATTTTAAAATTAGTTCATATCGAATATCTCAAAAAATTCAAAATTTTGAATTAGTATACTAGAAATATGAATCAATTCAAATTTTAAAATATACTGTTTTCGTTTCAATACAATAGTCTTATTTACAATTTTTGTCTGTCCCAAAACAGTAATCTCATTTCCATAATCGTAAAACTATTTCTATTTTTTAATTATTATTACACAATTGTCACTATTTTTTATACTTAATATACTCATAAGAGCAAAAAAATTATTTATATTTATTTTTTACCAACTATCAATATAATATAATATTAATAGGGACGGGGGAGTAATATATTAATAAAAATAAAATAGTCTCAAAATTATTAATTATATATTAATATTCTTATTTATATTTATTATATATATATTTAATATTATCCAAAAAATTGAAAAAAATATTTTTTTAAAAAAAAAACTTCGAATTGGTTTTAATTTTTAATTCAAAATTCTGTTATTTCAATTTAATTCAAAGTGGATTTTTCAAATAATTAACTTTTTGAAGTGAGTCGGATTTGAAATCAAATAGAAAATCGCACTAGGTAAATCCCCACCCCCGATCAAATTTAATACCCTACAAACCATGTTCGACGGAAAAGTCACAAACTATGTATAGTAGGTGGACCTGAAGCGTCAGATGTTTGAACCCATAATTACAAATCCAAACCCCTGCGCCACTCCACCCCTCGCTAGACAAAATCTTTCTCTTCTTAAGTGGACAAGATACAGCTGCCTAACCTATTCCTTAATTACATACACAATAACATTTGACTAATAAAATTGTACATATAATCAGTTAATTATTAATTAATAATATATATTGATAGAGTTATTAACTTTGAGATAGTTAGGGTTGTAGGAAATGTATATTTTATTGGGCACGATACAACCACTTATATCACCATTAATTAATAAGTATTATTATGAAATTATTTTCAACTGTATTTGCAATTCAATATTGTAATTACATGAGACTAATTATCATTAGCATGTGTACTTCGCTGATATTCTGCTGACATAAATTTATTTTTATATTATTTAATTGTGAAAATGTATTTATAGTATACAATTATATTTATAGAATAGTTTGACATCTACTTTTAAAGATTGCCATGAAACTCATATATATTAAAAAAATAAAAAATAAATGTCATATTTACATATTTATCTATTAGTTTACTTTAAAAATATTATATATATATATAAAAAAAACACCTAAAGAAACTAATTAGTACTGATAATAATTTATTTATTTATAAAAGAAAATATTATTAATATTTATAGTATTAAATTTTAGCTAGGGTATATATAGGATTTGGGCCTGTTGTAATTTTCCCGAACTATAAGGGCAAATTTATTGGGCATTTCCTCCTTTAATAACCAGAGGTACACCTCAAAGGCCCACCGCTCGGTTGCTGTTGTGCGTTACGGCGGAACTTCGACGGAGGAAGAATCAGCCGCCGCGAATATGTGCACCACGAAGCACAAGCAAAAGCAACTCCATCAGAGTCAGAGCAACGGTTGCTTTTCCTCTACTTTGACGGCCGATGATTCGATAGAAGGCTGGAGGGAGGAGGCAATCGCTGGGGGATCGTTGAAGCATGTGGACCTCCAAAATGGGACGAATGGCTGGGCATCGCCGCCTGGTGAATTATTCAATCTCCGTGGACCTAATTACTTCGCGAAAAAAGTTAAAATCCCGTCCGGCGAGTGGCTGATGAATCCTGCTGGGGTTGACTGGCTCAGATCCAATGCGAAACTCGATCATGTGCTGGCTAGGCCAGATAATCGAGTTATGAACGCTTTGCGCAACTCAAAAAATTCGGAGAAATCATCCAAGGCTTTCATCGTGGCGATAAATCTACAAGTCCCCGGACGGGAACATTATTCCGCGGTTTTCTACTTCTCTAGTAAAGTAGACGAGTCGCTTGATTCGAATTCTCTGTTTTATCAGTTCATCAACGGTTCGGATGCTTTCCGCAACAGTCGTTTCAAGATTGTGAATAAAATCGTCAAAGGACCGTGGATTGTGAAAGCTACGGTGGGGAATCATTCCGCTTGTTTATTGGGGAAGGCGTTGAACTGCTACTATCATCGGGGTCCAAATTATTTGGAAATTGACGTTGATATCGGTAGCTCGGCCATAGCTAGCGCAATTCTGAAGCTGGCGTTGGGTTGCGTGACAGCGGTGACGGTAGACATGGGGTTTCTGGTGGAGGGGCAAAAGGAGGAAGAGTTGCCGGAGCGATTATTCGGCGCAGTGAGGATTTGCCAAATGGAGATGAGTTCAGCAACGTTCGTTGACGGCGTCGCTCCGACAAGTAAGGTTTTGCCAATGAGCAGTGGCGGTGAGAGTGAGTGTGACGACAACTAATAGCTTTTCGATGGATTTACTACGAATTATCTGAGTTTCTTAAATGTGAATTCATGGTGGTGATGAAAAATGTTGAATCCCTTTCAACTAGGGGAGATGACTCGTGTAGATAATGAATGCTGATGACAATGTTGGGTTCTTTGAACCATTCAAGAATAAATTTTTATTGGAAGAGTCTATTTGCTCTATTATTGCAGTTGAAATCTCATTTGTTTTATATACCATACAGTGTTTCTCACAGTGACGGAATATGTTAGCATCAATGATACAATAACCAGAAGAAACCACATTGCTTGCTGCAATTTCATTTATTTATTTTTAAAAAAGAGATGCCATGGCTGATCGACTCTGACCTTGTAGGGTATGCATTTAAATTGTCTTTGCGCAATACCTGCTGGATCATAAATGGCATGTCTTGTATTGTTAGCTTGATGCCGCCTTTTGCGGTGTGAAGATTGTCTCGAAAATTTTATGTTCAAAGAGCTATTATTGGTTACTATTCTGGTTGCTTGGTGTTGTTGATTTCTCCTCGAATCTGTAAAACTGTACTGGACTCTGAAGTTTGCACTTTTTGTCTCCTTTTGGGTGGTGAAATTGTCATGATGATGATGGTAAGATCCAAATGCGCCAAATTGCCCATAGTTCCAGACATGGTGTTTTGGACCGTTATCCAGATTGCAGTCTTTGGTTTCTGTGATTTGAGTGCACCTTGTCTCAGTATCAAGAAAGGTACATCTTTTATCACCCTTGTGAAAGTTGGAAGTACAATCAACAATATTTGGTAAAAGTATATGCTTATGATTCCTCTTTCTTGAGCTGCGTGAGAGCTTTTTGTTTTCTTTATGCTGTTGGGGTGAGTGGAGATAGATGATAGTGATTTGATTAATTGCTTTATTTGCTGCCCTTGACCATGACCATCACACATATTTGGATATTTTAGTCACATTTGTGAAGTGCTCTCATTTCTAATTGATAGGAGAAAGTTGTAAGGAATTTAGCAAAGTTGAAATCTTGGCTACATGTAGTAGAATGAACCTAACATAGTTCGTTCATGCCTTCAGTATGCATAAAATTCTGCTGTTAAGTTACAATTACAACTCGTAGACAGCAGTAGTAAACACATCTTCAGCTTGAAAGATTGTAGTTTATTGTTTTTAAGTGCTGATTTCGTAATGCAGTCTTGTATCGAACTGGAAATGATCATATCTTAAGTTACTGACATCAGACTATCTATGAAGTAAAAGATAGTCTTGCACACATTCTCACAATCATCAAATTTAACTGTGCTAGTCTTGCACACACTCTCACAATCATCAAATTTAACTGTGCTTTTCATTCCTTTTTACTTTGATTATTATTACCATAAACTGAAGAACATTTTCTTTTACCTTCCATGGAAATCAATGGTGTGCTACAGTTACTGCTTGATCCTCAAATTCAGACACTAATATGTCGAAGTTTTTTCTGTTAACTATTTACACCCACCAGCACCAAATCCTAGCCTCCCTCCGGCAACATCATACACCACTTCCAGTGTCTTCTGCTGAGTATTCCCGAAGATTGCCACAGTGCTCGAGTCGCTGTTCCCAGCAAACGCAAGGCATGCTTGCTTTCCATTAATGGCTATAAGTATCCCGCTGGCATCCAAATTGACTTTTGCGTTGCCACGGAAGGTAAATGATATGGTTGGAATAACTATTTTTGTGTTTGTGTAATTGCTGAAATCATAGCAGGTGTCCAGAATCGAATAGGCCGGCGCAACAGGGTACTTCTTCATTTGCTGCTGAAATTCTGTGCTCAGCGCGCTATACGCTGCGGGAGGCAGGCGGGTGATCACCGTGCCCGAGTCTACTATAGTGCCTCCGGCTGCCTGGAAGACAGATTGGCTGATGGATAGTGCGCGGCCGCCTACACTTATTCCGTCAATGTCAACAAAGTAGAAGGAATTGGATGCCGCCCCCTGTGAAGAGCTAGCAAAAGGTGTGAAGATCACACTTCCCGAAGCCCGACTTCTTCCCAATGACAAGTGCCCCGTTGAGCTCGAACTTGATGGCAGGCAGTACGAGAAGTATTTCCCGTAAGTTCCTGCGGTTTGGGAGACAACCGACAGCTGATCTCTCCCGAGCCCGATCAATCCTGCAGTATTGCCAAACAGCCCCTGGTTGTTCTGCCCGCAGCCGAAGAAAAAGTTCTGAAACACCGCGGATTTACTTATGGTGAGTGTGTCTTTGCTCAAGAATCCCACTGAGAATGACTGGTCGCCGTACTGAATGCCGTACACGCACGTCTTGGTGGAGCAGCCGGGAGTGTTGCCGGTGGCGGAGCTGAGCTGAGAGCACTGCGAGGAGGCGCAGGACACGTTGGAATAGGAACTCGACGAAGACGGGTTGAAGATAGGATCCTGCTGTTGGTAGCACGATCGAGCACACGGCTGGCATTGCGTCCACGTCAGATCGCTGCCGGTGTCGAAGATGAGTGACAGGGTTTTAGGCGGCGTCCCAAGGCCGACCCTGACGATGTAATTGCCCGAGCCGAGTGATCGCCCTGGCTGCACCGGAAGGTCGACTTTCCTGTCCTTGTATTTGTTCCTCTTGCCGGCCCGAGTGATTTCGTAGCTCGGGGCGAGCTTGGCCTGGATCGACTCAACCCGGGATTCGTCGGCAGCGAGGATCTCGGCCAGGGATGGTGGTGTGGTGAGGTGGGGTACAGAACAGGGGCCATGCCTGTGAACCACCTGCAATGTTGATGACCTCTGCTTGGAACCTGCTGCAGATTCATGTAAGTTAATAAGCTTTAAAACACATTGATTATATGTATATGTGTATGTATATATGTATGTATATGTGTATGTATACCTGGAGTGAAGGAGGAGGAGGGAGTGCAGAGTGATTGAGGGAAAAGGGAGGTGAAATGAAGGGTGTGGAAATGGTGGAGATCATCATCTTCTTCATCATAACTATTCACAGCTGCTGCAGCAGAAACAGGTTTTGTTGTCTCTGCAAAACACCATAGAATTAGCAGTGCCAATAACAAAGAAGAAGAAGAATATTGGAGGGTTTGTGTGGCCTTGGCCATAACAATAGTAATAGTAATATCAAGAATGTTGATGATGGAGTGGAATGGGATTAATTAGTTGATTGAAATTAGCTTGCTTGTGCCCATATTTGCCACCCATCTTTCTCAATTTACATACATATATATATATATAGAGAGAGAGAGAGAGAGAGAGAGACATGCAATGCAATGTATACAAGAGTCTCCATGTCAACCACTGTCCATACTTTATTATTATTATTTGTTATTTATTATTTATATATATATATATATATATTATTAAATAATTGTGCTCCCTATCAATTTGGGTGGAGAGACTTTGAATGATTTAAGGATCATATATATATATATATATATATTTTAAATATTCTGCAAAGCTTTCTCTTGTAAAACAAACCTTACCTTACCCCTGATTTTACTCACCATTTCATCTAACATACAGTATAGTTATCTATTCAATAATAATAATTCACATGAGGGATCAAATATAAATGAATAATATTTTATTGTTTATTACATTTAAATTATGAATAATGGTAAAACACCCAAACGAACAAACGCACCTATAATATCTGTGATGGTTAACATACGCTTTTGGTAAGCGAAGAAAGCGCGTTTCTGCTTTTGGCGTGATTGTTGTTGCCAAATGGGATCTGTTTGGTGGAATACCAATTTATCCAACATACAATACAAAACAAATCAAAACAAAATCAATACCACCAAACAGGTTATATATACATATTATCTTTAATTATATTCCAACAGCAAAAATCCATGTGTGACACAGCAATTCATCACCCAAACCTAACGACAGTTAAAAAAAAAAAAAGAAGAAGAGAGGCAAAAAAACGTCTAAGTTATTTTTGTTCCAGCAATTTAAAGGCAAAACAAACACATCACTTCTAATTAACCCAAAATGCAAAAGAATCAACAAATTATCGACACAGTCTCTCATTTTACGAATTATGGAATTATTATACTAATTAGTTTAATTTTTATTGAATTATTTGCTATTAAAAGTGTTGGAAGCTTATGAAATCATCTTCTTATTTTTGTCTACAAGCCAATGTCATTAGTGGAACCCTCTCAACCCTACTTTTCCTTTTAACAAATATATATAATTTTGGCTTTATAAATAAATAAATATATACATCCCTTTCAAATTTGTTTGTTTTGTGTTGAAATAACAACCCCACTCATGTATTATAGTGCTGCATTGTTGCTTGATCCATATGCTAAACTAATTTTGAGATTATATCTATTCCAAATTATTGTCATGCATTGGCACAAACAATCATAGTGGATGATAGATTTCTTTTCTGGTTTCATGTCATCTCCAATGAAATATAATATATATTATATATAATTTATAATAAACATAATAATTGTAGTGTGGCAGACAATTTAGAAATAAACCACTTGTTCAAGTAATTGGATGTTGCCCCACTAAAAGCCATAGTCATTTTATGAAATGATTTATATGTGGCCCATTTTCACACATTTCCTATTGCTCTTAACAAATATATATATATATATATATATAAGTTTTTGTGTGTGAATGTGAAGCAAGATTTCAATGGAATCTTGGCAAAGAAGTGGAAGTTTTGGCTATGGAGGAAAGAAACAAAGGAATGAGTTAGTGAAGCTTGTGGGCTAGTCTTTGAACATTGAACAAATGATCACAACCACAGGTCATGTGAAAATGTCTGAAATCTGCAGAGTGCACTGACATACATTTCATATATATATATTATTGATAATGAGTTTAGGTATGAAAATGTAAACCACAAGTCAAAATGATGGTGATTTTGATCCATGAAAGTGATGGGATTCCCAAATATATCTTTCTACATCATCAATCATTAACCTAACAATAATAAAGAACGAAGATTGGAAGAAACAATAAGCAATCAATCAATCATCTTAACTGCAAATTGTATCTTGTTTGTTCTATCTTTGAAGGATCTTGATTTCTTCATCAATCCCCACAGTGTTCCTATTGTTCTCCACTTCAACATAAAATTTCATTTGAGGAATTTTTTTCAGACATAAAAGGGCAATCAAAATAAAACATACCATCTATCGACATTGCACCGGCGCCATGGCGCGCAATTGCAACTGCAAGAATTAGAGGCATCGGGGGTAAGTTAGGCTGGAAATGATCGACGATGACAAAGCATCGACAGGAAAACAGTTTGCAGCAATTGAATAAGCTTAAGATTTGTTTCCATGTACTTGCAACCTTATCTTATTTTGCATCAAGAACTAAATAATACCGGGTTTGTCCCAGCTAGGCTAATCGGAATATTCTTGTTTGGGGCCCTCTTGACGTCCATTATGGATGTATGGAATCACACAATCAACCACTAGTGTTTAAATATAAGAGCATTACCTGTGTATGATGATGCTACGTTGATATTTTCTTTGTTTAGTTGCTTCTACTTTTGGATGATCCTGTCGATGTCAAATCCACACCATGGATTAGATCTACCCTACCCTGCAGTGAAAAAATGAAAAATCAATTACAAAACTATGTTGAACAGAATATTTGGTATATAGTAGGATGAACTGAAAATAAAAAGCTAAGAAGTCGAAGAATTACTTACTTATCCAACCATAGGAATGAAGAAGATCGAAGTGGTTGCAACGAGTGATAAGCACCACTGGTTGAAGTGTTGAAATTCTGCCGTAGATGCGAAATTCAGCTTCCTGAAAGCTGTTTTAATGCTGCTGATTACACAATGTTTTCGCCTTATACATAGAAGCTTCCTTCCAAACTCTTGTCTAAAAAGACCGATGCCTTAAACATTTCCATTAAATCTCCCAAGAATTCAAACCATTGCTGTTTAAACAGGACCATCAGCACCTACAATGGGATAATCACTGGCAAGGACTAGATCATCAAAGGATCCATCTAGCGTATAATCGCCTAAAGGTTTTCGAATCTCCCTAGTTAGTTCCTTCAATGCGTTGTAAATTTCTACGGAAATTGGGTGCGAGTGATCATCTGCATTAAAGGCATAAACATCATTGCCCAATTCAATCCAACTCCAACCAGGAACTTTCTTGACTCCCTTATCTCTCATTAACCTCGTCACAGAAGCTTTCTTATCCCAGCGCTTAAGTTGCCCGTACATATCGGATAGAAGCACATAAGTACAATGATCTCCAGGATCGAGTTCTAGCAAATGCCCGGCTACCTGAGTTGCCAATTGTATGTCACCACATGCTCTACAAGCACCTAATAATGTTTTCCACACCATTAAATCAGGTTCGAATGGCATTTCACCGATCAGTTCTTCCGCCTCCAGCAAACGTCCAGCTCTACCGAGCAAATCTATTGCGCACGCATAATTTTCCATTCGGGGCGGGATCCTATACTCAGCTTCCATAGATTTTAATAACTTAAGACCTTCTTCAACTAGACCAATGTGACTACAGGCAGTGACAGCAGCAACAAAAGTTATGTGATCCAGCTTCACGCGTCTCTCTGTCATTCGGTAAAACAGGTCAAGAGCAACTTTACCTTGCCCATGCTGCGCATGTGCGAAGATGATTGAGTTCCATGTCACCGACGTTTCCTTATTGCACGCCTCAAATGATTTCCAAGCATCTTCGATGATCCCGCATTTTGAGTACATAAATATCAAACCACTAGCTACGAACTCATTTCCTTCAAGGCCAGATTTCACCACCAAGACATGAATCTGTTGACCTAACTTAAGTATCGCCAAGTCTGAGCAAGATCTCAAGATTGCCGTGAAGGTAAATTGGTCAAAAACCATACGATCAAGACGCATCTTCTGAAAGAGCCTCAAGGCATCTTCGCTCATCCCATTTTGAGACAAGCCCGTCAAGATTGTATTCCAGGATACAAGATCCTTCACATGTAAGCGTTCGAATGTTTTCCACGCATCCTCCATACTTTGGCTATTGTGTTTAGTGTACATGGAAACCAATGCATTAGACACCTGTGTCGACTGCTCAAATCCCCGTTTTATAACCAAACAATGCAACGACTTTCCAAGTCCCCATTGCGCATCACCAAAGCAAGAACTTATTATAACAGAATACGAATAAGCATCCAGTTCCAATCCCTGCCGCACCATCTTCAAGAAAAGATCAAATCCACATCCTTCCAAACCATGCTCTAAATAAGCTGCTAACATCGAGTTCCATGTCACCAAATCCCGGAATGCATCGGCACCATCAAACACTCTTTCAGCATCTTCAATGCATCCACATTCTGCATATGCGGTGATCATCGCATTAAACACTATGGTCTCGTGCACCAGGCCATGTTTCATTACCATTCCATGGAGCTGCCGCAACAACTCATAGGAATCGACATTGCAAAGCAATGTCATAAGAGGTGCAAATGTCCCATCATCCATTCTCACACCCTCCATCTCCATACTTACAAGCAACTCTATACAACGCTGTAAATCCCCAATCTCTGCATACCCTGCCATCAAAGCATTCCAAGATACTGTGTTCCGCCATGGCATACACTCAAAAACCTTCCGCGCATCATCAAGTCTACCCCTCTTCGCATACATATCTAAAAGTGCACTAGCAGCATAAACGTTATCATCAAACCCCATCTTCACCACATCCGAATGAACTTGGAGCCCATACAACAGACCACCACTAACACCTACACCTTTCAGTACGCTTCCAAAAGTATACGCATCAAACAAAAATCCACACCGTTTCATCGACTTCAAGACTCCCCAGGCACTGCCAAAACTTCCCCTATTCACGTTTCCTGCGATAACGGTATTCCAAGAGACTGTATCTCTGTGAGGCATATCGTCGAACAGCTTCTGAGCATTTCGTAAGTCTCTGCATTTCACGTACCCGTTGATGAGATTATTAGAGATGTATAAATCGGAGATCAGAGACGCTTTAACGGCTTGACAATGGGCTGCCGCCACTTTTGATAACGTCAGAACAGCGGATTCAGACAGCAAATGCAGCGGCCTCATTCAAGACAACCGTCGATCATCGCTGAGTGCGCTGAAAATTTAGCCTTAAAGTCGCGTTTTGTAATAATCGTTCTCAGCTGCTGTCGCTATTTTAATATAAATGCGACTTTCATTCGAGTTGGCTTTGTACATTCAATAGAACTACTATAAAGTCGAATATACTTCACCATTATTATCTCAGTCGTTCAAATTATTCAGATTTTGAGATTTTTTTGGTAATAATAAAAAAATAAAGAATAAATATCATATTTTGTGATTTCTTTTTTATTATTGAAACTTGTGCTTAAAAATGTTGACACATAACAATTACTACTACAACAAACAAAACAAGAATCTGTGTCTCTAAGCATTCAATGGAACTGTCCATTAGTCAGAGAACAAGAAAGTCGAATTTCGCCATTATCATCACTCTTAACACCCATGCTGCTAAGTTTCAAGAAAGACACTGCCCACGTCTCAAAGAACCTATCTTGATTGTTTGCAAGTTCCACCACTCTCATCTTCGATCTTTCATCGCTGAGCAGTGCTGAATCCGACTGGAACAGCCCCCTGTGGCTGAGCAAGTTCCTGTAGTACTCGTTGTCGAACAGCCGGGGAGTGGCGGGGTCGTTGTTAACCGCAACAGTATCGCCTGCTGCCCCGGCAGGACAAATTTTTGTCAGCTGAGAAGCATACTGCCGGTCTAGAGATCCATCGATCAGCGTAAGGCTTCCGTTGGTATCCACCTTGAATCGACCATTGAACGAGCTGCAATGAGCTGTCCCTATTGTGTGAGCTCCTGCAGAAGCACAGGTTAGAAGTTTGATTAATGTATTTGATTCTTTTCTGGGACCATTTCAGTGATCTCTGAAAGAATAGGCTTAGCTTAAATGCTGCATGTGCCGGCTGCCCGGGTGACGTACCTGAGAGGGTAACAAGGTCATCCATGGATAGTCCCTTGGATGAAAAGATGCTGGCCATTTGGTCCAGTGTGAAGCTTGTGTCAACAATGTTTGGTCGCACATTCGCCGCGATGGAAGTCCTGCCGTCTTTCCTTCCTGTTGGAATCTGAATATTCGGACCTCCGGCCTGTGGTAGAAGGAAAAAGAATACGATATGATGGAAGTGTAATGAAGGCAGAAACATGTGGCCTGGATTCGGGGTTTTACGAATTCAACTGCATCTCTGGCTGCCAATGCGATTATATCGGCGCAAGAAACTGTTCCGGGGCAGAAAATTTCCAGCACTCTTTTTGCAGAGTCGATCACGGTGAATCCTCCGAGTGACTTGTTCGCTGGATCGCTTCTTTCGGTTCCATTTCCTTGTAAGAGTATGGAGGCATCACAGCCCTGTGAGAATCAACTTATAATAGTGTTCTTATAATCGCCATCCAAACAGCAATTGTCGTAAACTAAATGTGAACGAGACGATAATAGGATTAGTAATTATTGATAACCTCTACAAAGCAGTCATGGAAAAGCAAGCGAAGCAGCTTCCCGGGGGTTGTTGGATCCATAGCAGAAGCTGATCTTACAGTAGCTTTGACCATCAGTTCAGCAGCTGGGCATGAGCCTGCATAGAAGCCAAAAGAGAGAGTCGAAGAAAATGGAGGAAGAAATGCTATGAAGAGCATTACAAGAAACCACAGCAGCAGCAACTTGTAGTGAGAAAATATTTTGCCAACACAAACTTCAGTTTTTTCCATTTATGAACTTGCACAAGAATGACAACATGGAGCTACTGAGTGTCAATATACAATCACATTGGCTGTACAGTTACTATGAAAATAGCCAGACGAAGAAAGAGATAGAGGCAGCATGCCCATTCATTAATTAACCTTCATTGACTAAGGATGTGGCCATGGTAGCTTGGTAACCATTTTAACACTCTGGAGGAAGTGTAGGGCAGTCAGTAGAATAAATGCTCATCTTCTTCTCGATCTGTTTCTAACTTTTGCATTTTCCTTTTTCAAAATTTTATTTTGGAAAGTGGAATTGAAATAGTTCAAGTGGGTGGGAGTTGGCAGGCAATTACAAACCTTTACTACATTGTCAGAAGTCCCATATGAATTCAAGCAGATCTGATACTGCAGAGACTCCTGAAATTGATTGGGAGGGTTTTGAGGTTGAGAGCAATAATGGAATGAAGCTGGGACTGATTTCCTACCATGTAACAAGATGCTACCACTAAACACTTAACCAGGATATCCTAATAACATTCCAAATAAATTCAAGATCTTTATCTGAGGTTTATCATCCCACTGTATTTACTCAAAGACAAATCACAATTACATAGTACCTAAGGAGAACTATACAAGAAGAGGAAGTTACCTGTGAGGGGCCTGGAAAAAAATCACCACTGGCATCTTTGTACAAGACAACCTGTTGTAAAAAACAGTGAGGTGAATAAGCATATTATCAGGAACAGTTTACATCAGATTGAGTGGGTACCATACATACCTCACATCTTTCCTCTGAATTATGTTCCTTAATCACTTATTGGACAGCAACTAAACTTAAAATTTCTGCTACTTCAATTTCGGTATATGGTTAGATAGGTTCAAGGGTTGACAAAAATAAGTAGTTCTTGGTTTTGTTTCAGGTGTGGTACGGAACTGTGAGAAAATGGTATTCCTGGGGAAGGATGAAACAGGGATAAATGGGCAGTAGCTTCAAGAAGGCCATGTACATATAGTATACCTTTATACTGATGATTCAGGAAGAGTAGTTGATTGATATAAAATGATCAAGAATAGCAGAAGAAGAAGATGCCATTATGAAATTGGAGCGTACTGTTTGGACCCATATCTTTACAGTTCTGGTCTCACTAGCTAATGCAGGGCAACACAAGCCAAATTTGTCTGTTGCTAAACTAGCAGTTGATAAAGGAATTTAAAATTCAAGACATGATATAATGATGTATTGGTAGAGAGTACAGAGTAGAGAGTAGAGATACTGGATTTTTCTGCCAAAAACATTCAACTACCAAATATAAAACATTAGAAGTGGAAAATAATAAAATGGTATCAGTTACTATGATGATTCTAATTAGATTATTGTATGTGTTACTTTCTTAGAGAAATCTCTGAGATGTTTATTAATAATGAAATTAGAGTCTATTTATATACCTTATACAAAAGGATAAACTCAAATAATAATAATAATCTAATTTAGTAGATATATCTAAATAATAACAATATGATCTAACAGATATGCCTAAATAATAACTATCAAATCTAAATAATATCAACCAAAATATCTATCTAAAATATATTTCAAGAAACTTTGGATATTGAAACTTCAAAAACTCCAAAACTCAAGCCAATGTTGAGATCTATAACTCATCGTCCAAGTTCCAGTATGTTACTGTTAGCATCTGTTGCACATAATGAATATCACAGGCTACAGATGCTGCATTTCACATAATCAACACTCTATAAACCTCACTTCATAGAGCAAACATAACATAACAGCTGTATCAACATACTTCGACTCCAACGCCTCACAAGAATGGTGATCTTAATGTCAACACAAGTCAAAATGTTCATCATAGAAAGGTTCATCATATTGGCTGCCTACCTCACCACTATAACAACCAAAATCATCATTATCTTGGAAAGAGTTTGTACAATGCTGGTCCTCACTGTAACTGCTGTCTTCAGCTCGGGGCATTTGATGGCTGGTGTTTCCTTGTGATGAATACTTGACTCTGTCAGAATCATTGGTGATTGCCAGAGCTGTTTCAGAACTTTCAGCCTGCATATATTTGATCATTTGAAATTTAGACACACACTCAATCTCTAAAGTAGAAAACATTATGGGGTGTTTACTATCCATGATTTTATGATCTTCATGTGTTATGTTCTGTGAGTTTTAATGGTCTAGATAGACAGAGTACAACACTGAAAGCTTCAAACCAATGAGCTTCTTTGGGACACAAAATGCATATCACGGGAGATTGAAGACAATGACAGTATTGAATCAAAAGTGAAGAGAATACTCACTAAATCACTGCCCAGGAGTTTCAAAGCATCATAATTTATCCTTGTACTTCGCTTCTGTTCCAACAGAAATTACATGATCACTTATAAAATTTAAATTAAATACGACAATAGATTCTTGTGTAGCGAGTCTATTACCTGTAACCCCACTTTCTCAGATGCTTTAGCAAACTTTTCGGCAGATGCAAATTTCTTTGTTTCAGTTGTTCTTTTTCGTTTCTTGGCCTGAAATTCATTCATTTTTAGCACCACATAGACCCAGCAAAACAACAAGTGACTATTTATATTTTCTGCCATTTTTCTTTTCATTAATGAGCTTTTCTTTACCATAAAGCTAAGTCAAGACAACTGTACATAAAGTTTAGCAAGGCAGAAGACACTTCGAAGTTTGATGGTATAAAAACAGAATGAAACATTCAAAGAAAAAAACGGGTTAGTGTACCTTCTTGTAGTTCCCATTGATTGCTTCCCATAAAATTGTTTTTACAATGATCTCTTCTTTGCTGTTAAGGTACCCAGAAATCTGGAAAGTATTAAACATGTTAGGCAGTTGTATGCTGACAACAATATAGTAATATATTTTGCACATATATGAAAAGAATAGGAAAGTCCATCCCTTAGAATGCATATGAAGAGCTTAGCCATACAATTCAAAATCAACTCAAATAATGCATATATAGAGTTGACACATACTTCAGCGTTGGCACTAACATAAAATTTAGGAATAAATTAATTCAGTCCTCATAGTGCATACAAAGAGCTTAATTTGTCATCTAATTCAAAATCAAGTACAACTATTGCCAGTATGGAGTTGAAACGTACCTCAGCATCATCAATCTCAGAAAGGCTATCTAGTTTTCTGTAATTTTTCAAATTTTCCCTGACTTTGCAACATTTGACGGTAATGGAAGCATCCTTATTGATTTGGTTGTGTCCATTTGAAGGCCCTGAAGTGAAGATAGATGTAAATAGTATTACAAATTGGCAAAATCTTGCTTTCTGGAAAAACATGTGCCGCTTTAGGAGAAATTCAGACACGATTACCATTGAGTTTTCTCACTTGAATGGGTGGGCATGCATCAGAAACTGTATCTTCTCTGCAGGAAAGAGATGTCCCTTCCTCTGTCTGAAAAAAACAAAAAGGTTTTAAGGCATGCAGACAGCATAATTTCCTATAAAAATTGGAAAAATAGACAAGCTTGGATACATTCATACCCAATCGGATAAGTATGAAGAGTGTTCAATATGAAAGAGCCAAAGTCTCAACACAGTCAAGAATCAAGGTATATAATGCCACAAATACAATGACAATTGAATAGCATCATATTCTACATGGCAATCAGATAGCGGAAATAGGATAATAATGTTAACACTCAACGCAACAAAAAAGGTTATCTTGAAATGTTTTCTGAAGTTGGTCAAAGAAAGATTGTGTTAGGAAAGTTACAGATTCGAGGAACATACTTTGAGAGATTTGAAATAAAAACTTCCAAAAGTAGTTATCTGCAGCAACTTTCCAGATGAAATTTAAACGATCTACAATGGTTAAGAGGTCCAACCTAATGTAAGAATGATAAAAACAATCCAAATTAGAAGCAAAACTAATATACAACGGAAGAAATTTCACAGGTAAAATCTACCAAAGATTTAAGCACGCCAGAGTTCACAAGCATAAAATCAAGCACATCGAAAGCGTCAATACCGGCATTCCAGATTAATAATCACTAAGCCAATATCACCAGAAGCCAAACACAATAATTCGACGTAATATGCATACCGTTTGATTCGTATCGCCGACGGAGCTTTGTGTGACGGCCATTACCGGTGTGGCGTCTCTAGAGATTCTTCGTCGAAGAATGGAGATCGAGGGCTTTATATAGGTCTGGGTTGTAGGTCTGATTACCAAACTACCCTTCCTCGTGCCATGAAAAAAATTAGATTTATAAAGGGTATAAAAGTAATATTAAGAGCCATTAACCCTTCACCTCACGCCCTACAAAAATTTCAAACAGTTTAAACTGGAAGGGCCAGAGCGAACGGACGACGAAGAGAAGACGGAAACTTCAGCCAAAAATGGAGCACAATCAAGCAGTAGATGGGCTTCTGACGCTGTTTTCGAAAGCAAATCGTGATTTATCTCTGGTTCATAACAAGCTCTACAAAGAATTTCAACAAGTCTATCCCGAAAATGTGCGCCGAATCCCGTTATGTTTCTCTCCTCTCTTTTTCACTGAAATATCAATTTACTTGTTTTGTGTTACTTGATTTGGAAATTGGAACTTTGGTTTCACTGCTTCGACGGTTTCTCCATAGGCAAATCCGATGAAACTGGTTGCAAGGTTGAAAAAGATAGAGGAGGAAATGTCGTCGTTGAAGGACCAATGTCGCGAACTTCTTGCCGCAAAGCAGGTAATTGTCTCAAATGTGCTCTTCTGATCCTGCAATGGTAGATTGTAAGTTTTCTAGGAGTTAGTCTTTGTGTTACTGTAATCTGTGTGCTATTTCCATTTGAACTATATTTTGGTTATTGACAAACTTCAGAATTTGAGGATTTTTCATTAGCCGTATAAATTTTGGAACTTACAGGATCTGATCGACAAAGCCAGAACACTCTTAGTTGGGAACAGGACCATGCTGCAGAGGCTGCAAGCATCCGCTGGTGCTCTCATCACTAGTGATGATGATGATCATGCTTATCAGAGCTTTAATCAGGCATTCATTACTCATTCTTTTATTGATTACAGCTCAAATTCATGTCTTTTGAAAAAATTTAAAATTCAGAGTTGTTTCATTTTCCATTTGTTGTTTGAATATTTCATATCATGTGCCAACAAGCAACCAAATTTTGTGTGGCAAGGCTTAGGATGTTTATCTCTGCCCTTGCCACAAAAATGAAATCTGATACTTTGTTGTTTTTAACAGTGTATTGGGCTTCAATTGTGTTAAGGTAACATTTTTGTCTCATATTTTTCAGGTTATTGACGAGTGGACAGCTCAAGTCAAATCAAGAACAGGTAATATGTCAGTTCAAACTAATTACATCCTAACAAAAGATAATAAGTAGTATGATAATTTGCCATGCTCATCTAAGATTGTACTATAGACAAATATGTTGTTGAGGTTTAACCTAAGCAAAGGAATAACTCAACTAAGCATTGTTCTTCAACCACTTCTCATGGTAATTCATTTTACATTTTGTTGCACTGTGATGATGATATATATGGTTGGATCATATACAAAAATTTTGAACTGATAAAGTAATTTTCAACTACACAGAGGAGGACGACGCAGAACCAGGCTCCAACGACATCAACAAGTTGCTATTCTCAGCAATTGTTCAAAGCAACTAACTGCTGAATCTGAAAGATCACCAAACAATCATCATTTCCTCAGAAACTCTATATAGTTATGAATTTTATAAGGGTATGGTTTTCTGAATTCCAACAGACCATTACAATTAGATACCTACTAAATGAATGAACCATCAAAAACAATTATTGAGTTACATGACCTGGGGGACATCCTTTTATGTTTTTGGCGCGTGTTGTAGCCATTACAGATTGAATACAAACACAGCCATTCTACTTCTTGGCAACGGGTGGCTGTCCCAGCCACTTTGCGCGATAACCGGACCCTTTGCAATCGGGACAACATCCACAGCCCTGTACATACATAATCAAGCCCCCAAATGAGATTTTTACTATGCAGCAGTGATTGCATAACTGTGCCAATCTAATGTACCTTTCCTGCACAGATTACACAGGCAGTGCTCCTGGAAGGGACCTGGCACAGCATTGTTTCACCAAGAATGAAGAAGCCAGTGCCACTGCACCATTTGCAATCAACATGTCCCTTTGAATCACATGAAGCACAACCAACTGGCATTGGTTGCTGCATTCATTTGTAACCAAAATTATCCTCATCACCAACAAGCATATACATATACATATATATATTTGAGAATTTAGCCATGGTGTGTTATTCTGGCATGTTCTTTTCTTTCTTCTGGAAATTGCAATAAATTCACTCCTCAAATCCTCCATCAAATCACAGTAATATGCCAGAAAAGCTATTAATAAGTTCATACGAATTAAGCTAGGGTTTGAATTGTATGAGGAAAATAAAGAAGCCGGAGCAAGTAACATACCTCAGAAATCAACCAGGCGCGTTCCATGCGTTCCACCAAATTAGGGCTCTCGAACGAAGAATCCAGCTTGGAAGCTCTCACGCTGATCCTTTTCGGCGCCATCGACGCCGCTTTCTTCCCGAATTTCAGAGGGTTGAAGACCACCGGCCCGCCACGAAAACCACAAGTAGCCGACATTTTTGTAGAATCACGGCTTCTCCTTTCTCCCTACAAATCTAGGCTAGTAATTTCTTTGAGAAGAGTTTGAATATTCCAATACACTTCTATCATCCAAAAGATATTTTTGTCGGCCCGTCGTCTTCAATCTTTCCACCGATTTCTTTTTTTTTTTTTTTTTTTTCCACACGTTAAAAAAAAATTGGACGGTGTTCTTCTGTTATTTGGGTGTGGTTGCTTCGATTTTAAATTAAAATTAAAACAAAATAGCATAAAAGTTTTTCAATTTTCATTGACGATGTTAAATTTGATACAATCATGCCGTTATTTATATTTTCTTTTTAGAAAATTATGGAGCATGATAGAGATGAAGTAGCTTCAATTTACTTATACCTATTTACCCTACTCTGCAGTCGACCACACGCCGCCCATCATATGCTCTTTCACGCCGACTGCGCTGTTGTTTGTGCTGTCACCGGAATCAGCAGTAAAATTAAGAGGGGGGCAAAATATCAATTGTTCTTTTTTATTTCTCTTAGCACAGTCAGGTAAAAAAAAATAATAATAATAATTGGTTTGTTGTGTTTAGAATGAAGAGAGTAGACCTTTTATACAAGCGTCTCGGCTAAAATGGCAGGAATCAATTACAATCATAATTACGACTTTAATAATCGATATAATTTATTCTAAATTTAAATATTATTCTAATTATAAATTTTCTGTTTGTGATTTGAAATTATAATAAATTTGATATAATACTGTGTTTAAATTGGGGTTGCACAATTTAGTTTGTTTAGAGACAGACAAAATACCATTATCCAAAAACTAATTTATAGTAACGATAAGTAAATAACATATTTATTTATTTACCTTATATAAATTTTTATTCTTTATATCCATAATGTATATATTTTATAAGATATAATATTAAAAATATTTAAAAATAAGTTTTAAATTTTTTTTAATTATTAAATAAAATGATAGTTACGTACTATATTACTTTATCCGTCCATTGAATTTATTCATTTTTTTAATTCGTCCGTTAAATTTATCTTATTATTAATTTTTAACAAAATTAATTAATTAATATTTAATTATTATTCTCAATGAACACACATTTAAAATGAATGCCATTACTTTTGTTTACATTTTTTTTTTTTTTTCACTAAATTTTCTTTTGTTATTTTTACAATAAAATACTCATTTTTCATTGATCTTCTTGTCGAATTTAAATGTGCTAATTTCACAAAATGGAGGGAATAGTAGAGAGTGGTAAATCAATTATATATCTTTGTTTGAATTAGTATTCAATTCAAAATTGATATTTATATTAATTTTGAATTCAATTTGATAATGGTACATAATAGATACATATATATATTTAATTATATACACAAATTATATTCTATATTTTAATATAAAATTCTAAATTAAATAAATCAAATTAAATTTATTTTCAGCATGGTATTTTAAAATGTATGTATATAAATTGATAAATATTATAATTTTAAATTCTTATTAATAGCTAATTGTAAACTAATCAAAAAAATTTATTCTATTTCATATTCAATTCAAAATTACAATTTTTGTATTCCATTTATGCAAAATTCAAATTCGAATATAGATATAGAATTAAGGGAATATTTCCATGAAAAGGGCTTTGTTGACTTTTTTGTTAAAAAAATAAAACATGTGGCAATTATTGTCTCGTGGCATTATTTTAACAAATTGGACGGGTGTGTTTACCTGTCAGGTTTTACACTTATATTACTATTTTAATTTTTTTTTTTTTAAAAACATCAAATCAAACATTCAATTTTTATTTATTTTATTACATTAAAATTTAATTTTACATTCAAAACATCACGTCAACGCATATTTATATCACATCAAATAACTATTTCAATTCAAAATTTTACTATTCAAAATTAAAACCCAAATCTAAAACCTTTGCATTAATATCATATCCTATTTGTAAAAAAAGTCAGCATATGATATTCAAATAGGATCACATGCTGAAATTCTTAACCTTAAAACTTCATTAATGCAAAATGAAAGAGTGTGATCTATTTCAGCATATGCTGACTTCTCTTACAAATCAGCGTACGATCCAATCTGTAATAATAATAATAATAATAATAATAATAATAATAATAATAATAATAATAATAATAATAATAATAATAATATACAGATTAGTCCAAATTATTAATTGAATTCATGTGCTTGAATGTGTTGGTTTTATATATTATGTTCTGTTAATTTGTTTGTTATATTTATTTTAAATTAATACCAACTTTATGGTGTTTGTGATGAATCACTAATTTGATTATATCTATATATTTTGATTAATTGTAATTATAATTTATGATTTGGATGGAAATGTATTTATTTATGATTCCATTTTGATTAGTGCTAAGAATAGTGATTTGAAGGACTATGCATGTCCATGCCAATACTCGGAGTAGAATTATGGAAAATTTTGGTGAGAATTTTATAAATTAATGAAATATTTTAAAAATTGATTTCTTGTGTCAAGAAAAATCATTAAAGATGATTTGGATAAATCTTACCACCAACAGGATAAGAAAAAAAAAAAATTGGCATTACCATGGTATTTAAGACCTATAATCGATTTATTAATTGACCAACGAAATTATTTTAAATCAACGATCAATTATTAATTCGATTTCTTATCCATTTCTTAGGCGACATATTTAATCTTCATTTGAAATATAATTTTTATTTATCATTGCTTTATTTTAATTGAATTCCATTTTTGCTGAATTTTTTTTTTTTTATCTCTCTCCCGCCATATTGAATAATAACGATACAATAAATAGTTTACTCAATCTCCACAAGGCTTACACAATATTTGTTTGAACTCTATTTTTTTAAAAATAAAAAAAAAAAAAAAAAAATATAGTAGTATTTGTTTACAAAATATTACACTACGTATTATTTTAGAAAAATTATAACCCTTCAAATCCAATTCAAAATGAATATAAAAGAAATACATAGGAGATATCCGCTTTGTTTGTAAAAGCCAAAATTGAATTCCGAATCCAAAAATAATACTCCCTCCGTACTATAAGTGTATCAATTTGTTTTCTGCAATATTATATTGGAATACAGTAGGAATAAAGTAGAAATGACTAAAATAATAAGTATGTGATATAAAAATAATGACATTTGTGTAATATATTGTAAATTGTAAGGGTATTTGTAACGTTAGTTAGATAGTACAATTACAAAAAAAAATTAATATTTTATTATGGGACGGACTAACATAGGAGAGATAGAGTAATAAAGAATATAAAATACTTTGTTCAGAGGTAAAAAAAAATAAATAAATAAAAAAATAAAAAAAAAATCAAATATTTGTTAAGGGACTACAATAGTATATGCTTTTATTCATACAAATCACCTTATTTTTATTGTCAGTATAACTATCTCAAATATTTATTTATATATTATTCCAGAAATCCTATTCAAATAATAAAATATTAGTGTGATACAAATTATAAGTATTGAAATAATATATATATATATATTTATATCATATTGAAGAGCGTATATACTATGTGAGAATCATCTTATTATAAATTAGCTTGTTTCAATATAATTTTGAATTAAAAACATATATATAGTTATTGAATTTGATATGGGAAAATGTGTTAATAATAATAATAATAATAATAATAATAAATATATAAATTAAATATTAAATATTTACTTTTTATATGAATTTAAAAGAATATCGTATCAGGATTTATTTATATAACATAAACAATTTCAATAATTGGCTATAATTTCGGAGTACAGTCGACATTTAGGAAAAAACAGCATTACGTACTTGCAGTTCTGTAATTTCTGAAGAAGAAGAAGAAGTCGACGACTCCATAATCGAGCGATTTGCAGTTCTGTAATTTCTGAAGAAGAAGAAGAAGTCGACGACTCCATAATCGAGCGATTGAGCAGTTTCAATAGTCGTAACAGACAATCATGCTGCTCAGAAGCTTCCACTTCAGATCACAGAACGTAGTCTGCGGCAGCGGCAAAAATCTATCGGGTACAGTACAGTTGCCTCGAGCTTATTAGTTAACGTGGTTGAGCTCTTGCTCTTAGTTTATTTTGAGTCTGTGTTTTTTCCGTACCCTACAGCAGATGATGCAACGCAGCAATTTCCCGCCTGTCGTCGATCACTGCTCCCAATTTCCACGGTGCGAGCAATATATAGTTAGCTAATTAACTAGGACGATCGACCAAGTTGATCTGTCGGTTAACAGAAACCTGTACATTTCTAATCTGTTTGCATGTGTAGGGGAAAGAAATTGAAGCTTCGATCGAGAAGATACGACAGAGGTTGTTCGGAGGGAAAATGGAGGTTTGCGCGTCCGCGTACGATACAGCGTGGGTGGCTATGGTGCCGTCGAGGAAAAGTTCTCGGCCTCGTTTCCCCAGTGCGTTGACTGGATCGTCGAAAATCAGAACACGGATGGATCGTGGGGGTGGGGAAATTATTCTTCTCCTACTCTGGTGAAAGACTCACTGAGTTGCACTTTGGCCTGCTTGCTTGCTCTCCGCAAGTGGAACGTTGCTCCACAACTCGTCCATAAGGGTAAGCCTACAGCTGCATCCGTATCAATTATTTAAGCGCAACTGAATTAATTATGTGTTACGTGTAGATTGATCTCGTTTCCCGCAGGTCTGAACTTCATTGGATCAAACGGCAGGGCAATTTCTTGCAACGAATCTTATTCTCCGATAGGGTTTGACATCGTGTTTCCCCATATGATAAGCTGTGGATACGACATGGGTTTGAATCTGCCTTTCGACCCTATTTTAGTGGATTCCTTGCTACGAAAGCGAGACACACTGCTTAAGAGGTGATTGCAGCTACACTAATTTTGTGGTTTCTACTATCTGTTAGGCGTGGTTGATGTTTAGCACATTAGGTGTTTGATAAAATCTGTATTGATGAGTAGGAATGGGAACTCGGGATATATTGCTGAAGGACTTGGAGTGTCTTGCAACTGGAAGAAGATATTGACTCAGCAGAGTAAGAATGGATCTCTTTTCAATTCACCAGCCACAACTGCAGCTGCCTTGATTCATACCCACGATGATAAATGCTTTCAATATTTGCTTGATGTTCTTGGAGTTTTCGAGAGATGGGGTAATTCTTTGAAATATAATTAACTCATTGATGTTTTGTCTTGACCCCTGTTTGTAATCTGTTCTACTACAAATTTTGTTCGTTTGGCTTAGTTCCAAGTGCTTATCCTTCGGATATATACTCAAAACTCTGCATTGTGGACACCCTTGAAAGGCTGGGAATAGCTAAGCATTTTCTAGGTGATATTGACAATATTATAGATGAAACATACAGGTAATATAATACATTGTTGCCAAAGTTGCTTTATCTCATTCTGTCAGCAAAAATTTATGCTCATGTATTTGCAATTGGTGCTGCACTCCAATCATCACTACGAGAAAAATACCAGGTTATGGCTGCAGAAGGAAGAGGAGATTTTTGCAGACATTAGGTGTCTATCCTTGGCATTTCGACACCTACGAATGAAAGGATTTGCTGTTTCCTCAGGTGACTTGTACTCAAACTTATTACTACAGAGAATAATCCCAGAAGTTAAGGTTAAATTGCTCTTTTCTTACTTTTAGATGGTGGTATCGACTAATATATTTTGTTATGCTTTAGATAAATTGGCAGAATTTGTTGATCAGGATCATTTCCTGGGGTCTGTGAATCTAGAATTCACTGGTGTGGATACAATTCTCGAGCTTTACAGAGCCTCACATCTGAGGATGTCTGAGGGAGAAGTTGCACTAGAGAAAATACATTCCTGGACTGGCACATTCCTGAAGCAGCAGTTGTTAGATCAAGCAATTTTTGACAAAAGACTGCAGAGACAGGTGGTGTTATACATATACATGAAACTATAACTTTAATTTTCTGTTTTAATGGATCGTCTGATTAGTTTCATCTATTGGCTGGCGGGATTTGAAAGGTGGAGACTGAATTGAGATTCGATGGAATGTCAAATCTATTCGAAAATATAAGAAGCATAAAAGAATACGATGTGGAGCATTTTCAAATGCGAAAAACAGCACACCGGTAATGAATAACTATTTTATATGAGCTGTTTTTAATGCATAATCCTTTCATAACTATTTTTATTCTCTGGCCAGATGTCCCACATTGTACAATGAAGATATTCTAGCATTTTTGCAGACAAAGCTTAGCTCTTTCCAAGCTAAATGCAACGAAGAAATGCGCTTGCTGACGAGGTATAAGTATAACAAACAGACACGTCAACGCTTTACTTTACTGAGGAAATTTGTGTTCCTTCATACTAATTGTCAAAAGCATATATGCATAGATGGTACGAGGATTCCAAGCTGAGCAGCATGAAGTGTGAATGCGACGCGGTCATGTGGTCTTATGTTGTAGCCTTGCTAGTTTTCAATGATCCTCATCATTCCGAGGCTCGTATTTGGTATACTAAAACATCAGTTATTGCAACCTTGTTGGATGATTATTATGACTTGTATTCAACCATAGATGAAGCTCAAAACTTCACTGAATTACTCAGAAGGTAAGTTCCAGTTTCAGGATGCAATATGTACTAGTGATTCAAGCATTTGATGGTATCTTTCTCACCCTGCCCATTGTTTGCAGTTGGAACAAGAAGAAAGCCATAAATTGCTCTCAAGACGAAAAAGTTCTTCTTGCAGCAACATACAACACTGTAAATGAGCTGGCAGAGAATGCAAGAACCAAGCAAGATCAATGTTTCAAAGATGATATAATTAGCATGGTATGATCGGTATTTTTCAAAGGATTCAATTCATAGTATCGAGTCTTTCCATTGTCATGCATTTCTCGTGACTTCAACTCATTATACATGTAATGTGAGAGCAGTGGATTGAAATTGTAAGTTGCTACATGAAAGAGAAGCAAACTTCAAGCAGCAACAAAAAACCAACCTTGGATCAGTACTTGTCCTGTTCCTGGATAACCATGGGCTGCAAACTCGGCTACACCATGACCGCACATTTTCTTGGTGTGAAGGTTACTGAAGACATTTTAACTAACTCCAAGTGTGCTAACATGTTGAAGCATATTTCATTGATCGGCAGACTTCTCAACGATCTCAGAGGTTTCGAGGTAAACTCGCGTCTAAATTTTACTATTAAATAATCGTATACGTCTGTGTCACTGTCTAACTCTAACTAAACTGAAATGAACACCTGGATTCACAGAGAGAAGAAGAAGAAGGTAAAGTGAACAGCCTGCACCTGCTACTGAATGATGGATTCAGTCTTGAAGAGGCTGCTGCAAAAGCAAAGCAAATGATCGAATACAGCAGAAGAAATGTGATGCAGGTGTGCAATAATTTGCATTCGAAACAAAGCCTGGTCCCGAAAGAGTGTGTGGAAATGATCTGGGGGACCTATGAGGCTGTGTGGTATGTGTACTGCGAAGCTGATAGGATCAAATGCCAGAAGCAAGCCATTGAGGATTTGAATTCACTAATTCAAGCTCTGTGACTTTGTCCATGAGTAATCAATTGAGGAGGTATGATGATTTTGGTGACTGAGAGTCCAGGGACGAATATTTACAATGATGCACTACAGTCTACAGTACTCCGTCGTCTCCGAGTGGAGGTATATGAACATCGTATCCTTCTATTCTCCTCTATTACACTGAGAGTTTACGAACAAGAACAACCATGGATTTGCAGCTTCTATTTCGCTTTATATAACATATATATTAAAATTCAAAATAAATGTTATTATGCTCTTTTTTATTTAAACGGATAGATTTGATCATGAAAAAATTAATAAAAATAGAAAAAAAATAAAATATATATATATATATATATACAATGCAGAAAGATAATTCGAAAAAATATTATACAAAAAATATTATACTTAGCGCAACACCTTAAAAAAATATATGGAGTTTTTATTATTGGCTATTGGGATGCCAAGTGTTGGTAATATAGTCTCAAACCTAAACCCTAAATTCAGAAGCAACTGAATCACCTATGCACGTATACTGGCTCAATCGGTGACTGATCCAAGGATAATTTGAAATTGCATTAAATAAATATAGACAATCCCTTAAACCGTCTAGGAATAGTTTGAAATTGAAATTGCATTAGATTAATATAGACAATCGCTTAATCAGTCGGTGACCGATATAGAGAGAGATTGAAATTGCATGAAATCATTAAATCAATATAGACAATCCCTTCTCTCCTTTTCCTTCTCCCAGATAATCTTTTTCCTCACTGGCCTCCTCTTCCAGTGCAACTCCTCGCAGACGGACATTGGCTCGATTCTTCTGACTCAGATCCTCCAGAGCACTCGTTGACGGTCGCACGGGGGCGGCACCAATGCTTTGGTAAATGCATCCCTACTGCTTTCTTCCTTCGGATTCTTAGGACGGCCGATGGCATGAATTGGTGACTGATTTGGGGATTGGTTTGAAATTGCGTTAAATAATTCCTTCTCTCTTTTTCTTTCTCTCCGGCCTCCTCTTCAGGCGCAATTCCTCCCGACGGACCTCACCTCGAATTTTCAGCCTTAGATCCTCAGGAGTACTTTCCTTAGATTCCATCGTGTCGGGGCTACCGTTTGCGGATATACGGTTAATGTTTTGCTTTTGTTGCGAGAGATATGGTGCTGAGATTGAAGAGGTTTTGCAAGACGGAGGCAGTAGCAGCAGCTCCGAGTACATCGCTGATTACCGAGCGGGGAGACGACGACGCCATACGTTCAAAGATTCCGGAGTTGAAATGCAGCGCAAATTTGTTGAATCTGATGAACGTGTTTAAGATTTCGGTGATGGTTGTTTCTCTTGTATTCTCCTTTTCCGTGCTGATTGAGGAACCCTCCCGCGGATGCTTTTTGGAAGGTTTCTGAGGCAAGGAATCTCAATTTCAACCTACGAAAAGGTACTTGCGTCTTCATTTGAATTTTGTTTGTTTGTTCATTAGAGCCAACAGAAATTACGACAACTGTTTGGTTATTCGAATGGCGATGAAGGAAATTTGTTGTTGCTTGTTGTTACTTTGTGTTTTCACTGTGGTAGATTGATTGAACACTGCACATGCAGTAATGCTCAGTAGGTTGAGAGATCTGTATTTGTGTGCAAAATTTGAAGAATTGGCTGGAAAATGGACCGAGAGGGTGGTTGGGGATGGAACACGAACTGGAAGAATGGATACACAAGGGCGTTGTTTATATGTATGCTGCAGCCAGATCGACAGTTAGGACCAATAGTGCATGCTAAATGTAGATCGGACTCTCTCATGAAGATTTTGGAAAGGATAAGGGGGTAACCATTTCTTCCTTTGATTTATGTTGGGGCATTTCTTGATTAATGTTCAAAAACATTTTCCACCTCCAGCTTTCTACAGTTTCCTGGGCATTTCATCGTAGAAACAATCCTCAATTGTTCTTATTGATTACTTATGGATGCAACTTAGGGCTATTGCTTCATTCTCTCCAATTTCTAGCTTTCTCTCATGAACTGAGTAAACATTTAATGCTACAAAATCTCGCAGGAGACCACTCGGAAACTAGGGACAATGAGCTTGTAATAATGAGTTTGTTCTGCCTTATATGTATCGTCCTACACATAATTGTAGGCGTAGGATCTAGGGGGCTTCACAATAGTTGTAATTTTCAGTGAGCTTCAAATTTTGACACTGGCATTGTTGTCTTTTGCAATATGTACTGGGCAAACTGCAATATATTGCTCTATTCTTGTGCTGCAGTTATGATTGTATTTCCATCAAATATTATTGACATTAAAAAGTGTCCGTGTATTTTCAGCACTCAAATTACTAAGGGGGGTTTCTTTCCCTGCAGAAACTTCACCTCAATGCCACATGGTTATTTGCATATTAAAAGAAATCAAAAAAAATTTCTGGGCACAAAAACTTTTATTTTTTCTTTCTAAAATATTATTTATTTATTTATTTTTTATATTTTTGTATTATATAAAATTTTATTTTTCTACAAAATGATATGTATATATTGATATAATTTTATTTAAATTTAATAATATTTTTAATTATTTTGATATAAATTAAAAAATATATAGTGAGGTGGAAGAAAGAGATTGTAAAATAAAAGAAAATGAGTATGAGGTTGAAATTTTAAGAAACTTTTGGAGAGTTTCTTTGGCGTAGATGGCTTAAAAACCAAACTGCCCGGCATTGCATGCTTGTGAATCAGTACAAACATAAAAAAAAAAAAAAAAAAAAAAAAAAAAAAAAAAAAAAAAAAAAAAAAAAATTAGAGAAGAAAGAGAAAATTTGGTGCTATCTTGACTGTGGAGTGTAAAATTAGGACAAATTGTGATGTTTTTAATTAATATTTTTTATATATTATTGAATTTTTATAAAAATAAAAATAAAAATAATGGTGATGTTTTATAATTTTTTGTTACCTAATTATATTTAATTTAAATTAGATGTACACCAATATTTTTATAATATATTTTTATTCAAAATTTAATTTAATTATGTATTAAATCTATTTTTATTGTAATAATCTAATTAATAATTAGTGATGAAAAGAAAGATCTATTGGAGAAATTGATAGTATTTAGGTGCAGATAATCTCACTTAATCTCATTGATGGTGGCAGATAATGATGATAATGGATAAGTTAAAAGTGTATAGCAACAGAGAATCACTTATGGAGAAGAGGATACCAATGGTGGCAGAGAATATCACTTTGATGGAGAAGTTGATTGTGCATGACAACAGAGAATCACCGAGGGAAAAGTGATAGAACGCTAAGAATCACAGATACAAAAATTGATAGTGTTTGGAAGCAAATAATCACCGACGGAGGATTTGGTTTGTGATTTCTTCCAACTGTGAACTGCAGGTTTACTGTTTGAACCAGCAATTTGGATTTTTTAATTTTTTTTTTTAATTTTTTCGAATATTGCGACTTGCATATAGGCAGCCAGGCGCAGCGAGCAGCAGAAGCAAGGTATGTGAAATGAAGACGAGGAAATAAAGAAGAAAAAAATTGGAGAAGAAAGAGAAAACCTGGTGCGTGGAGTGTAAAATTAAGGCAAATTGTGATATTTTTAGATAAATTTTTTATATATTACTGAAATTTTATAAAAATAAAAATAATATTGATATTTTATAATTTTTTATTATATAATTATATTTAATTTAAATTATTTTATTATCTAATACATTAATATTTTTATAATATTTTTATTCAAATTTACTTTAATTATGTATTAAATTAATTATTATTATTATTATTTTGTAATAATGTAACTAATTATTATTTATATATTTTTTATACCATAAATAATAAATATATTTTTAAGGCCGGCATATGGGTCATCCTTTAATTTGTGTGCATTGACGAGTAAGGTGTCCATCTATCATCCTTGTATTTGTGTAAACATGAAATGTATTAATTAGTAGCAATAAAATATACGGATAATTGGTCTGTCCTCCCTACACGTAATGTTGAATTATAATTCAGTCTTTATTTTAAAATAATTGATCTGCATTCTCTTTTTTATTTATTTAATTTAATATTAGCATTTAAACCCATGTTATGCACGGGTGTATATATAATTAAAATATGTTTAAAACAATATTGTAATGTAATTATATATTTGATAAATTTTGCATATATAATTTATAAAATAAATATATATAATAAAATTATTTTTATACTATATAAATAAAAGTAGATAAAATATTGTAGATGGAACCGTATATAATATAAATCATAACATTTAAGTAAAAATTATTTTATAAACTACGGAAAAAAATATATAATTCCAAAAAAAATAGTTATAATTGTTAAGATCTTTTCAAAATATGTGAATATTCTTCACACCAATCTACGGTCATAACAGTTATTTTATAAACTGTCGAAAAAAATATATAATTCCAGAAAAAAGAAAAAGAAAATAGTTATAATTGTTAATGTCTTTTCAAAATATGTGAATATTTTTCACACCAATCTACGGTCATAACTTGAAACACTGGAAATGAAGCATCCGGTCTTGCAAACGTTGTAAATGCAGTCAAATAATTTTTTGGCATTATTTTTCCATTTATATAAATATAAATAAATAAGAAATATATATTTACTTATTAGAAAAAAAATAAGTAATTCAAAATTTTTAATTAATACATATGCATTATCTTTCTAAAAAATATTAAAACTATCTAAACAAATATATAAATATATCTAAATTTTCTCCATAAAACTATCTATATATCATATATATATATATATATAGACACAATCATGTGCAAGATAAATTATTAAAGAAAAATTATAATTATTTATTTATAAAAATATTATTTGATGATATTACTTTAAACGGAATTATTTTCTTCGTTGTAATCGAGCAATTTTATGCTCTGCTTGGACGGTATTCATCTATATAAACATAAATAGATAAGAAATATATATTTACTTATTAGAAAGAAGTAAGTAATCAACAAAAATAAGAAAATAGTGGATCCACTTGAGTGGACTACACCAGAGTGGAAAGTCCTAATTTGCTTTAGTTCAATCACTATCGGTCTATCATTCAAAGAAATAAATAAAATAGGGCATAGTTAAGTCGTTTAAATTAAAAATTACTTACCACAGCAAGAGAACTTTAAATCCAAATGCATCCACACTCCACAGTCAACATC